TCGGAGGCTGTGTGAGATTTTCTGTCAGTTCCTGTACGTTTTCGGTCAGCTGCTCCAACTCCAGCTCTGCTTGGTCCTTATTTTCAGCAGGGATGGTCGCCGCGCTGGAAGGAGGAGCTCCTGCAGCTCTAGTCGTGGAGGAGGCCTGAGTTCCTACACCTTCCTTGTCGCTCTGCTTTGGCGTACTACTACTATCACCTTCGTTTGGATTTGCGGTTGAAATAGAAGTTGGACCACCGTCTTCTCGTTTTGTTGCATTTGACGTTCCATCAGCATCTTTCTGCTCGTCTTCCGTCCCACCACCGCCCCCAAATCGGCCGAAAAACCGCGACTTCAGCCAGTTCTTCACGCCCTGGGTGCGGGAAACCGGTTGCGGCGTCGTTTTCGCCTTTTGTAAGAGGTACTCTTCCATCCATTGCTTCAGGGATTGAAAGTTCCAAACCTCAACTTCTAGCTGCTGCATCTGCTCCAGATCCGCCCCTTCCAGCTCCGGTTTATTGTCTCCGCCGCCGGCTTGGTTCAGCAAAACGTCGCGCTTCGCCTGTAGCGCGAAAAACAACGCTTTCTGCCCCTCTTCTACCTTTTGCATTTGCTGCGCGAACTTCATGGCGAAAGTGTAGTTTCTCTTTGGAACCGCCGAAGTCCTCCCAGCACCGCGCGACAGGCCTCGGATGTGCAAGGCACAAAGCATCGCCCACTGCCACCGTGCCTTCGCCAGCTTCGACTTGTTCACGCGGGCCAGGGAAGCTGAAGCAGCTGCAGCGGCATTTGTACTTGATGTTTGTGTTTCGTCTGCATTTAATATTTTTTCCCCTCCAACATCATTATCGCTCAGCACTTTTTTCTCGAACGGCCTGACCATTACTTCGCGCAATGGTAGGAACACCTGGACCTTCCGCAAGTACTCGGCTTCAAAGAGAAAATGCCGGCTGATCACGGAGGCGACTTCGCGGTAGTCTTTCAAGACCTGCTCATCCAGTTTCGCCGCGATGTGCTTCAGCCGCCCTTTCACGTAGTAGCTCGCGTCCGAAGTGTTGATCGAGTGTTCGAGCAGTAGAATAAACGAGATCGGCGTGAGCACGTGCTGCAACTTCTGTTGGTTGTTCGCAATTTCGCTATCCAGCTGCTCCATCTTCACGGACCGATTCTGAAACTTCTGCATCAGCAGTTCTCTAGGGGACAGTTTAGGAACTGAATTGGTTTGCTGACTCGCCCCCTCAGCTCCACGGCGGGGGCCAACATCCGATGTACTACTAGCTCCTGCGTCCACCTTGGCCTTGTCAGCTGCGGCCGCCGCGAGTGCTTTTTCCTGGGCCGCCTTCTGTTCTTTGTGCACTAGAACGAGTTCCTGTTGCAGCTTCAGCTTTTCCTCTTTCAACTTTTTCAACTTCGCAAACGCATCCGTTTCCTTCTTTGACCGCAGGCACAGCAGTTGAAACCCGTTCAACTCAGCCTTCTTGTGCACGTGCATCGCCTCGCCCTGGAGATTGCGCTGGATCCGGGTGGGTTGCAAAGTCCTAGGGTCCACGTTTTGCACCGCGATCGAGGAAAGCTGCAGGACGTAGGCAAATTGCTGCTGCTGTAGTTCATTTCCATTTGTGGGAGCACCACGTAGTGATGTGACCACAGCCGGAGCGGGTGTCGCTCCTGCAACAACAGTTGTACCAGTAGATCCAGTGGTTATCGTACCGGCATGGGTTCCCCGTGGCGTAGTTGCGAGGCTGTTTGCGAGAGTTTGCCCCCGGTAGGTAAGCTCCACGTCCTCGAGTTTAAAGCGCAGATTATCCTTTATCCGGTAGAACACCGAGGTGCTCCAAGAAGCTCCACCTTGCGACGCCGGGTTGGACTTCTGCTGCTGCTGTCCTCCGGTCGTCGTGCCACCGCGGGGAGAGTCTTTGGGCTGCTGCTGGTCTGCAGAAGTTGCTGCACTAGCAGTGCTGCCTGCTCCAGTTGCAGATTTAGTACTCTCTGCTCCTTCCCCCTTCGACGTCTCGGTAGAAGTACCACCACCTCCGTTCTGTTGCAAAATCGCTTCGTTCAGCCCTGACCGCATTTCCACGCCCTGGAGCCGTTTGTGCCGCAGCTCTTGCAGTCTTTCCCGGGCGAGCTTGCCGCTGGCCTTTATGGATGTGTCAGGATCGAAATCGACAAAATCGAAAAACTTGCGATGCATAAAATGTAGAGCACTGAACGCCTGTATTGGTAAGCAGGCAATGGCAAATGAGACCGATTGTAAGCCTGTTCAGGGGTATGCGGTGCGCTGCCAGCGTAGCATGACAGGAGGAGTCTTCTTTGTCCAAACAGCGCGACAGACTGGGTTTGGGTGCTCCCGAAGTTTGTCATGCGCCACTCGGAAACTGAGGCTCCAACTGGTATCGATTTTATGCATCAATTTTTCGATTTTGTCAATTTCGATTCTGACACTTTCATAGCCTTCTTGTTTCCGATAGACTCGTCATCCTTCTCGATGTTAATCACTACGGCCTTCAGGGTGATCTCGATATGACAGTGCACAACTCCCCCTACCCCTAATTTGTCATGCATAATCCCAAATGACGTCTTTTCTCTGTAGCACTTCTTGCATAACAGGATTTTCGAGCCGAAACAGCACTAGAATCGGTCCTCGCGAATTTGTCATGCAAAAAGAGCACTCATGCCAGTACTTGTGTTGCTGCTTATGCACTTCAAACGAGTGGGAGGGGGAGTTGTGCACTGTCGTACTCGATGTCTTGCGCCGTCAAGCCCAGGGCCCACGTCACCGTCACCTCGCCCACGGATCCGGAGAACTTGAAGGGAATCCCAAGCAGCCGCCGCATGGAGAGTGTGGAAGAGAAAAAATGACTTAGTGATCCTGTAACTTTGTATTGCGCCGAAAGAACTACATGCGTATGCGAGACGAAGGCCGCCATCAACATCATGCTCCTGTGCTCGACGTGGACTATACAACTTGCCGACAGGAGCACAAGAAATTTGCAACTACGTATATCACGGTGCTGGAGCGAATTTCAGGGCCAGCACCAGTGTTGACTGTGCACGACAATGAGATTGACATGCAAGCGCACGTAGCTAGAAATCCTTCTTCTCTATTCTCTCATGCAATATGCCGACGGTCCTGCGCGACATAGATAACTGGAATTTCGAAAATGAATACCTCTACAACCTGCAAACTGAAACACAAACGTGTACGTGTTTCATCGTAAGTACGTCAACGCTTCATCAGTTTTTCATCCTCTTGGATAGCATCAGGCTTGAGCTTCACGTTCTTCAACGTTCCGGAGCCCTCCACCCCTTGTCCCCGCAGCATAGACCCGAGGCCGCCGCCGGAGAGGAGGCCCTGCGTTACCTGAAAATCCTCGCGCTGGAAATCGAGGTAGGTCCCCACGTTGTTCTGGACCGCCGGCCAGATCCACTTCTCTAGCATACCAGCGGCCATCTTGAAGATATTAGAGCAGGTGGAACGAAAGGGCCGGCTGGTAGGTATTCATGCGGGGGCGGCGGGACGAGCAGAAAGACAAAGAGCTACGAGTTCGCGGTCGCGGTCGTGCGTGATCGTGAATACAGACGTGATTCTTTCCGTTACTTCGTGGAGCTGCTTCTAAAAACGGAAGGTCATGTTGACAACTTCTTGGTGGAAATGAAATTGCGGCACAGGGATGTTGTTGCTAAGATGAACGGCGACGTGCTGTGATGTATTCTACGAAGAGCCGCAGCTTCTTTACACCGCGCCACCGCGACGTTGCGCTTGTTGCGACGGTGGTGCACTCCTGCGGTCCAATTTTTTACGCTACCACGAGCGGATCGTACGAGATCAGTCCGCGCCTGCGCTTCGTCAGAAAATACGGATCTGTTCCTGCGACGAACCCAGCTACAGCTGCCTGGCAGTCTAGATCGACGTCCTTGCTCGCTGCGGCAACTGCCAGCACGACGGTTGCTGGGGCGATTGTCTGTATTGCCACCCCCACAGGACGAGCTGCTGCAAGGCCGCGTTGTGAATAAGTAGGGGGCCAGCACTTCTACCGCCCGCAAGTAACAGTCCATCTTTTCATCTACTCATTTATTACACTACAACGACATCTCCAGCAGGGCTTGTTTACACCGTTTTTCTGAAATTTCTTAATGCTAGGTTCGAAGTTTCACACTTGAGGTGATCTTTTTTTTCTGGCTCGTTCTTGTTCGCCTAGGCTTGTCGTGTAAATCTAGCCTCTGTCCAAAGTGGCCGTCTACAAAAGTTTTCCGAAGAGACAGGACACATGATCAAAGTAACATCAAAGTGAAATTGAAATAGAAACTAGGCCTACGTGGACGGCTCTGAAGCGACTTGTGCTTTCGTCTTGCTTCACAGTGCTTTACAACACATTCACAGCAGAATAATCTACACAGATGAACAAAATTTCCAGTCGGCCTGAGGTCAAGCGATAAAAAAGCAGCTCAATGCTTGAAAACATCAAAGTGATGAATCGCGCGTCCTGCATGTGCATTCAAGCAGCGAGCCGGTTGCTCCGTAGATGGGCAAGAAATGGGGAGCCCCCGCGTCATATATAAGCTATAGACTTATTGTGGATGATCCGTCGATTCATGATGATGTCGAAACAGGTGCATGAATGCAGTGTTGCGTTGCTCGTCTGCTCACCTTGTTTGCTAGGGTTGATGGATCACGGTCTTGGGAGTGTTCTACTTCAGCACTTCATGTTGAACCCAAAGGAAACGGACCTCCGAGTACTTAGAAGTCATCAGTGCAGCAAAACCAAAACAGCTGAACGGTCATCATCTTCGTCCTTTTCTCGAAGTGCGGATTGATTCTGCATTGGACGAGAAAGATCAGGAACTACGCAGCCACCTCCTTCTGAATTATCTTCGCACTAGAGTTCAGAGTCATGGTCTTCAAATGGACGTGGAGGAGGAGGCTCAACACCCCACCGCAATTATGTTGAACATGAACACCGGTAAAAATTTATAGAGCCTGTACAGAAGCTTATCAGCTTTTGCTCGTCGCTTCGTCTTTCATCGGCGCCAATTGCTTTTTTCATTTGGTATCAAGTAGTACTTCTGTTCCCGCTTCCTCCCCTACTGTAGTTGGGGTTGCACAACTAGCTGTAGCGACCACTGCAATAAGTATTCGAATTCTTCTCCTCAAACAAGAAGAACATCAATCATCCAAAGATGATACGTATAGCATCATCAAACCGCTCGCTGTGAACTATACTGCTAGTTAGTACTACGTGTCATCTACCGAAGAAACGTGTCTACTGGGTGGCGTCGATCTTCCCACCAGACGAGACATTTGGTGCATCAAAGGAATCAGAATTACAGAAGTTCGTTGCTATAATTATTCTTGTTGTGTTGACTGTTGAGCGATGTCGACGGTGGCTCAGAAGTTGTTGTAAAGAACGCGAGAGAAAAAAAGCGCTCTCCTTCATGTTCCGAATGAGAGAAGACGCGGATAGAATGATGAAAAGGGTACTTCTACGAGAGAGTCGCCACAACAAGGATCATTGTTGAGTTCCACCATAAAAATGTCTTGTCAGGTCCTGCACCTAGAAGTTCGTAAAAAATCGTTGTGGAGTTGAGTTCGCCTTCGTTTCTTCGATACGTATTAGAAAAATAAACACTTCTCCTGTGGTCGTCGTCGTGTAAGATTCATCTACAAAAGTTGTGCCGTAATTCGTTGCTCATTCTACTTTATTCGCAAAAATAGGTTCTGATCGATTCGGTTCGTTGTTCCGCCTGCTGTAGGTCAAGCAGCTAGTGAAATCCATGATATCCAAGAAGTATTACACCCTATTTGTATCTGTTCTTTTTAGTTTTACAAACCATTTCTATAATCCTCGATAGAATTACACGTTTTCATCTACTTCACGACCTTGCGAAGATTCACATGACCCTTCGTCGCTTTTCGTCACCCCCACGCCCCCCTAGGCGATTGTTGTCACCACCTCGCATGCCGCCCGGCGGCCCGATGCGCTGCGTGTGGCCTCCGAAAGAGCCGACGCCGCCCCGCGGTCCTCCCATGTTTCCGTCCCGGCCCCGGTTGGCGCCGCCGCGGTTCCCCCGGCTGGCCCCGCCGCCGCCACCGCCCGTGCCCGGCGGGAACAGGTGCGGCATCTGATCCTTATACTTGTTAAAGGTCTTGGCCGCCCCGTCCACCACCTCCTGCACCACACGGTTGTCCACGACCAGTTGCACGGTCCCGTTGCTTATGCCTTGCAAATATGTCTGGGTCTGGAAGAATGCAACTTGTGATGCAAATTTCAGACAACACGAAGATCTGTCATGCAGGAACAGCAAATGCGGCCCAAAAATTGGCACCAAAATGGGGGATTTGTCATGCTGATTAGGCATTGGAACACCTTCTCAAGACGTGTGATGCTACGGTTTGCATGACAGACCTCCTTGGTCATGATGCAAGAGCAGCATGACAAACATCTGCACTCATCCAGACCCAGACATATTTGCATTTGATATTGTTCAGGCTCATGAGCGGCTTCACGGTGCGGTAGTTAAAGAACTCCTGCGGGGTATCCTGAGTAAAAACATCCCCACACCAGAGTCAAGATGGGGATTTTGCAACACAAGCCTAGAACTTTTGGGGGTCACGCATCACAAGTTGCAGTCCGTAGTGTAGTGCAGGTTCGCAAGGCCAGCTGCATCAGAAATCCATCTGCTCATCCTGTTTACAGCATTACAAGATCCAAAACACGACTAAAAATGCCTCTCTTGGCGATGCGCATTACAAATGTTCCTGTCATTGCAAATCTGCATGACAACTCTGGTGTGGGGACGTTTTTACTCAGGATACGGGGACCGGCACACCCCCGCGCTCAGGTGCTTGAACCCGGTGACCTTCTGCAAAATTTCCTCGAGCGGCAGCTGGCGGTCCGGAGAGCGGCGGAGCAGCACCGCGACCTCGCGCACGATCAAGATCCGCCGCTCCTCGACCTCCTCCGGGTCCGAGGCGTCCAGTCGGATCGGCTTCACGGGCTCCCGGTCCCCGCCCCGGGAGTTCTCACCCCTGTTCATCATGTTGTCGTTGTTGAAGCTCGCGTAAGTGCCACCGCGGGGAGCGTTGCGGTCGTCCATACGGATCGTTCGTTGGGAAACTGGGTTCGTACCTGCAATAAACAAAATTCGCAAACATCTTCGCAAAACCAAAACATCAAATTCATATGGAGAAACACGTCGACGTCCACTACATCGTCTACAAGAACTTCCACGTGAAAATAAAAACCAGTCGGAAAATTATCGCATCTATACTTTGTGCCCGTCTGTCGCGACCATCTCTCCTGTCCCCACCCCGGTCGGGTCGGTCCCGGTCGTTGTTGCGGCCACGGTCCCTTCCGCTCGCGCCCGTGTTGTAAAACTTGTTCCAATGGGGGGTGTCGTCAATGTCTGTAGATATTTAGTGTCGTTGGGTGATGTTTGTGATGTAGATGTTTTTGTTCAATATTCGTGGTTGTTCATACCAACATGTGATCAGTGTGTACCATCATGATCGACACAAACATGGAATGTCGGACTAACAACCGGGGATTAAAATTCGTCAACTGAGTGTCGATAAAAAATAAAAACCAAAAGTCGTGGAGTACGAATCAAAACTTACTCAGCAATTCATTCCTGGCTTTTCGGATCTGCTCAATGGTTTTGATGAAGACCAGACTATCCTCCTTGAGCGCCACATCCATGAGCTTGTCCGAAATCAAGGAAAACAGGTCCTGGTTCTGTTCCTGTGGTCAGTGGAGGTGCATTTAGAATTATTGTTTCTTCGATGCATTATACTGGGCATGCAGGACAGGAGAAACAAAAGCCCGATAAAGATAGATAGCCCCGTCAACATGAAGAAGAATGAATCTGAATCAGTTCCAAAAAACGCGGGAAATAATAGAAACGGAGGGCTCAGCACCAGCTCTTGATGATGGTCTTAACTTTTCGAAATGCAAATGTAAATCATACCGGTGACGAGTTCATCTGTGGGCTCTCCGGCTTCATGGCTTCCTGCTCCACGTTTCGCTCCTCCACATACTGTCCCGGGATGTTCGCGGACTCCCAAATATGCATTGCAAAAGTATCGCGCTAGTAGATGAACTTAATTGCATATACAAGTAGTTCGCTCAGCATGACGAATTGAATTCGTCATGCTGATTTACCTGAGGATCGGGAAGGATTTGTAATACGTGACTGCGATTACTAGCTACGAGTACGATAGTTTTGCAATGCATACCCTCCGAAGTTAAAGTCGTCGTCGTTTGCGAAGGGATTCTATCAAATGTAAAAATGTCCGGGTCTGGAAAGTTGGAACTTGTAATGCTGGTCTTGCATTCCTGTGAAATCTGTATTGCATGACCAAGCACTGTGGTGGCCTCTTCTGTCATACAAAAACGCAGTTTCTCTTGCGGAGTTCGTATGAGAAAGCGTGCTGCAGCCTTGCCCTTGTCATGCTTTCCTGCATAAGCAAGTGACCTCCTCTTGCACATTTTAGCATCACAAATTTCCAGACCCAGACATTTTTACAGTTGATAGATTCGCGGACGGCAAGTTGTCGCCCCCATGGAGCTCCTGCGCGAAGCCATCGTCCACCGGCGCGCCAGCGTTGGTTCCAGCGGGCGAGTTAGACCCACCGTCGGTGTTTGCTATGACCTAGTACTCAGGTGTTTCAATCTCATTCGTTACAATAGAGTCCGAGTTTTGTCTTGCATAGCCAGAATCAGGAGAGACCCAGACCCACAGAGCGTTCTTGTTCCGCTTTTTGCAATACAAATCTCACCAGATTCTTATGAGGTCGTCTGGGGAGTTGTATCATGCCAGATGATCGCGCACTTTTTGCATCTTCATCTTCACAAATCTTCGCTTTTCTTGTAACACAGCTGAGAATGTGAAACAACATCTAAACAAGCCATATTCGCAGCTGGTCGCTTCTTGCTCTTGGCGTTTTTGTTCTTGCCCAGCGCATTTTTGTTGAGAATGTTCCCGTCGCCGTCCACAAATCCGTTCGAAATCCCCAGAGCCGTGGCGACGCACGCGTCCTTGCAGAGCATGAAGTACGAATTATACTCCTTCAGGATTGTGGTCAACTTCTTCTCAAAACCCGCGGGGATCTTCGCGAGCCACTGCTTGATCTGTTGTAGTTGTTGAGTATTTTTCCCAGTAGAAGTCGTGTACTATTGGAGCAGGTTCCTTTACTGTCTTTCGCTTGCGTCTTGTCCAGACAATTTTACTTTCATTTTTGCCTTTCTTCAAGAACGTGGACGTGGTCCCCCTGCAAGATAATTTGCCCTTCCAGCAGCTCTTCTAGCTACGTGGTGGTGTGCAGCAACGACCAACGTGGACTTCCTATTAGTCGCGCATGCAAGACGAGAAATTTATCCTCTAAAATTTCTACAAGTCGATCCATGACCATGACCAATCAATACCAATTACAATTACTCATCTGTGCAAATACTTACTAATTTTCGTTTATCCTGTTCTAATTCTACTACTTCTTCCAACTGTCATCTATTACCGTTGCATCCTCGCAAACAACTCCCAACGAGCAAAACCCGCCTTTGCCATCAACCACTCCGGAAATGGCTTGGGTCAGCTCCTCCTTGACCTCGTTATAAATCTGCGCCTCGGGGGACAGAATCGCGGCCATTTTCAAACTTACACGTCGAATAAGATTATAGAATTGTAAAGATGGAACAAAGACAAATGGGAAGGGCGCTGCTTAGAAATAGATTGGCTGATGGGAAATAGGGAAATAGAAACACAATGCTGACATGAAATCAAAAAAGAACTCTGCTCCTGTTTCCACGCGTCGGTCCTGCTGAACGATTTCTTTCACTTTCTATTTGCTTCTACGTACGGTGTGACAACTTCGCTACATGTACAAATCCAACGAATCGTACGTTCCTGGAATGTAAGGTGGAGAAAAAGATGAACATTCAACCGTATAATTACATAGGGAACTCAATATGGACGTGAATAAAGAAAATTCTCCTCGGAAGATGAAGATATTGGAGGCAATCTACTGTGGACTGTCTCCGATGTCTGCAATACAGCTGAGCCTGAGATTTCTTCGGACTCAAGGATCTTCACGCAAGGTGGAAAATGAAGCGCAGAAAACGGCGCAGTTGGAACGAAATTGCAGCATTTTTTGCCAAAAGTCAGTAGCTGTGATCCCGGCGATGTCGAAAGATTTTGTTCCATCGCAAAAAACTACAATTTCCGACAAGATGGATCCTGGTCGTGCTTGCTTCAGGAGCTTCTTCTATCATCACATATTATTTCCGGCGCAAAACTACAAAGTCGTTAAAAGTCAGCAAATAAGTCATGTAGTGATCTCGACTTCCAGCAGTTTGAGCAGGACGCAACCTGATTGAAGATTCTACTGCCAATCTGGCCCTACGCCTCTATACATTCCGTTGAAGATCCAGACTCGGTCAGAATTCGAATTGTCCGCGGAAAAATTCTGCTAGAAAGAGCAGTAGAAGTCGTGCAACAATTTTTCCTTATTTCCATCTGGTTCTATTCTTTTGCTTTTTCCAAAAATCCTGACATCACCAGCTGCATTCTCGTCTGTTTTCATGTTTTCTCGGAATTTTCTGTGGAACTCTTTTTCAAATTTGATCAAATTTGGAACTCCTAGCTCGATCAGCTGCTGAGTAATGAAAAGCTTCGTGTCGATACTAATTTTTGGATTGTCTCCAAGCCACACACGACAGGAGCCTCCAGCAGATCTACTAGTAGTGCTGCCGTCATGTCGTCCCGGCCGCTCTCTTCCCGCCACTGCTCCTGCTCCAGTTGATGAAGATCGCTCCTTCTGCACAATGTTGTTCTCCGTGCCGCTGCCACCCTTAGATAGAGCAAGAAATGCAGCCCGCTTCCGTGCATTTTCCAGTACTGCCGTGAGTAGCTTCACTGCTCCCGCGTCCGAAATTTCGTTTTTCGTCAAAAACAAATCTTGCATATCCACGAGAAGGGAGCATTTGACCGCACAGACACAAGACGTACTACAGGTACAGGTGATGTTGACGTAGCATGACAAATCAAAAGCTCGTGTTTTCATATGTCATTCGTAATCACGAGCAGCGTGAGCAGTCTGACCATGGTAGGAATTTAGGTTGCCTAGTATGTGTGTGAAGACCTTTTTCTTGTGTTATTGAGTTGTTTCCACGTGCACTTCTTTCATCATTTTCTGAGTGTTGTGCAAACTTGTCGTTGTCGTGCAGCGGTACTACATCAAAAACCAGTTTCTATTTCGTATTGCAGTCCCGAGTTTTCCCTGAGACACTCATCCGCTAAAAAGGCCACCGCCTCGTCGTCGATCCTATTTTTCCGTAGCTCCAAAGTTTGTAGCGAAAAATTCCGCTTTAAACTACCCGCCAGGCGCTGGACCGCTTTCGGGTCCGAGATATGATTGTTCGAAAGAAACAGGGACTTCAGTCCTACTCCACCAGGATTTATTTTACCAGGTCGTGGTCCAACGTCACCAGGAGCAGGTCCACGTCCCTATCAACTGTAAAAATGTCTGGGTCTGGAAGATTCTGACATATGTCATGCACGTTTTGCATGAGCCATGATGTCTGTGATGCAAACCCTAGCAATACAGGTTTTCTGAGGGCTTCCTGATGCCTATTCCGCATGGCAAATGCCTTCTCAGCGGAGCAAAAATTGCATTCCCTTTGGTACTTATGCAATACAGATTTTTTTGGAATCCAACTGCAGCATCACAAGTTGCATTCTTCCAGACCCAGACATTTTTACATTTGATAGTCCCTGCTGTGGTACCAAGACATGGCAATCCATAGTAAATTGTTCCTGTACACGACGTACAATAAATGCGGTTTCTGCATCATCATCATCATCATCATCATGTAGTGGACACCCGCTCCCAGCGCCACAGGTCAAGGATCCCCTCCCCGGGGGGGTGGGCGAGGAAGCACTTTCGGCGACCTCATCATACAAAAGCCGAGCGCTACCACGGCAAGTCGCCCCAATAAAAGTACCAACCAGTCGGGAGCTGCATGGCAAAACTTGGCTTCGATCCTAGTTTAGCATGACAAGTTCCGCACTCCCAATTGGGGAAATTTGTGATGCATCTTGTACATCTACGGGAAATTTGTATTGCATAATGGTCGACGAGAAACTCCAGTCCGCGGTCACCGCCTGCATTGTCGTTCAGGTTCAACGTCGTTATGTAGGACCCGTTTGGGGCGAAGCGGAGGAGCTTTGCAACGATCAAGAAGTCCAGGTCGGACAAGTTTCGTTTGTCCAGATTGATCGCATTAGACGATGGAGAATTAGAAACATCGAAAACATATCACGTGCAAAGGTGTGGCACTCGGTCGTAGTAAGTTGCAATACTGCCTGACAGATCTATCCGTCGTGTAGTACGCTTACGCCAATCAACATATTATAGAAACGCCACTTTTCATGCCAAGCAAGGTGAAGCTTGTATAAATGCAATTTTTGCTCGTACTTCGATAAGTACAACTTCTGCAACGGATAAAAAACGGCGCAAGACGCAGGGAGGCGATGATCGCGATGCTTGCTCAGGATCTTCATGCGGGGGCGTAGTCGCGGTGCTGGGCGATGTAGAACTCTCCGCCGGGTGCATCGTGATCGGGATGCTTGCACCGTCGACCATTTTGTAGTTTTTCCCCCTTTGCCTTTCGTCCGGCGTCGTATTTATTCCAGGAGCGCCTTGAGCGACATCGTGAGGACGATCCTTGAACACCTGTTCCTGGTCGTCATCCTGTAGCTCTCGATCCGCAAAAGTCCCCCTTTGCCTTGCGTCCGGTGTCGTGTTTATTATTCCAGGAGCGTCTTGCACGACATCATTAGGACCTAGAGCTTTAACACCCGGTAGCATGAGAAGTTGCGCATTTGTAGTGAATTTTGCATGACAAATTGCAGGCGGGTCCGCCGGTACTTTGTCCCTCTTGCCCTTCTGGGAAGTGCGTTCTGCACACCGCAGAACTCAAGGCTTATGCGGCGGGCAGCTTCTAGACATGGCCTGGGTGCCGTTCTTTGGCCATGTCTATTCGTCTCCCTGTGCTCGCATACGAGCACTGCAGCAGCCGCGGCAGAGACGCCAAAAAGAAAGTGCTGCGAAGCAAATGCAATTAGGCAAGAAGGCGCGAAGGCAAGGGCGAAAGGACCAGGCCGAAAGCTTTGACGCGTCTATCGGGCAGGTGCGTGAACTCTCCCGGCCTTTCCGGCAGAATATAGACGGGCTGAGGCCAGCCTCCATTGCAACATGTCTCCAGACATTCAAGCCGAGCCAGCCGCAACCCGTGAGAGCTACCCATTTAGATGTTGACCCAGTGCCCCTCTCCTGTTGAGGCTTCGGCCCCCTCCCTCTCGACCCACTATGGACCCCGCAGAGGCAGTGTTGTATTGTGAGACCGCCACGGGCCGCCTTTGCTTCTTGGCAACGCACCCTGCAGCAAAGACGTGCGTCTCTACTTTAGGCTTTGACAGAGAGCGTCCCCATCCAAATGGCACCGCGCAAGTGCTAGCCTTTCAACTACCCGGAACACTGACTGCCTGGTGTCCTCCTCGTGTTCTTCATACGCCCCTTAATTCATGCATCTGCATCACGCCACGCAATACAGATTCACTGCAAATTCACCCTTCTCTATGCTAACGACCGTTGAAGACATAAATTAGGACGATCCTCCAGCACCTGTTCGTTGTCGTCATCGTGTAGCTCTCGATCCGCAAAAGCCCCTCTGGCATTGGACGATGAAGAATTGGAAACATCGAAAACATATCATGTGCAAAAGTATATATAGCACTCGTAGTAAATTGCAATACTGCCTGACAGATGATCTATCCGTGTAGTCTAGTTGCGCTTATGCCAATCAACATAGAAACTCCACTTTTCATGCCAAGCAAGCTTGTATAAATACAATTTTATTTGCTCGTACGTCGATAAGTACTTCTGCAACGGATAAAAAACGGCGCAAGACGCGGGGAGGCGATCGCGTTGCTTGTTCAGGATCTTCATGCGGGGGCGTAGTCGTGCTGGGCGATGTAGTCTCCGCCGGTTGCATGATCGGGATGCTTGCACCGTGGACCATGCTGTAGTCGTGTTTCCCTCTTTGCCTTTCGTCGTCGTCCGTCGTCGTCTTTATTCCAGGAGCGCTTTGAGCGACATGATCATGTTCATGCTGGTCGTCCATTTCTTTGTCACCTACTTCGTGTGCTTCCCTCGACCCAACAACTGAAGGTGAATTTTCTCGCGAGCTCTCAGCACCACGCGGACGATCCTTGAACACCTGTTCCTGGTCGTCATCCTGTAGTTATCCTGTGCAAAAGTATCGCACTCGTACAAATGCAAGTCTTGCATTACAAATCTTGTTCCCAAGGCAAATCTGCATTACAAATTTTATTTCTCATGCGGAGGAAATTTGTAATGCATTTATACGAGTACGATACTTTTGCAATTCATAGTAGCTCTCGATCCGCAAAAGCCCCTCTGCTGGGCGAAACGCTGCACTTTGTTATGGATGTGTCAGAGTTGAAATCGACAAAGTTGAAATAATTTGTCATGCATAAAATGGATGCCAGTTGGAACCCAGTTTCTAAGTGGCGCATGACAAATCTTGGTGGCCCCTAAATCCAGTTTGTCATGCTGTTTAGGCAAAGAAGAGCGATTTTCTCACGCTACTCTAGCAGCTCGAGCTGTAGCCCCAAACAGGCTTACAATCGGCTCTGCAACACACGTGCCGCGGGTCATGCATTTTATGCGTCGCAAATTATTTCAACTCTGACGATTTCAAACCTGACGCTTCCATATTTGTGACGAAGCTCGTATACGTTCGCCGGACCGCACCGTCCGCATCGCACTGCAGAGCCGGTTATCAAATGCAAATATGTTTGTCTGGGCCTGGAAGTAGATTTGGGGAGTTGTTTGTCATGCAAATTGTACATGGCCTCCGATGCCTGTGATGCATTTTCTAGCGTCACAGCTTTCATCACAGAGTAGGTTTGCTCATGCCTCTTCTGCATGATAAAAAATGCCCTCTGTGAGCGGCAACAATCTGAGCGCCTTTGGCCTCTCATGCAATACAGATTTTTTTGTGATCGACACCTAGCATCACAAATCCAATTCTTTCCAGACCCAGACATATTTGCAATGCATACCTCTAGCACCTGTTCCTGGTCGTCATCGTGTAGTTATCCTGTGCAAAAGTATCGCACTCGTACAAATGCAAGTCTTGCATTACAAATCTTGTTCCCAAGGCAAATCTGCATTACAAATTTTATTTCTCATGCGGAGGAAATTTGTAATGCATTTATACGAGTACGATACTTTTGCAATTCATAGTAGTTCTCGATCCGCAAAAGCCCCTCTGCTGGGCGAAACGCTGCACTTTGTGACGAAGCTCGTATACGTTCGGCGGACCGCACCGTCGGCATCGTACTGCAGAGCCGGTGGCTCGCCCGGTAGCTCCTCACAGAAATGCTCCAAGGCTTCAATCACCTGGCTCACGGTTTCGTTGGGTGCCTTCAGCTTGGCAAATTCGGACGGGATGACGAATTCGACGCCGGCGGGCGGTTTTGACGATGAGGATGTTGACGCTTGCATTTGCGAGGACCCAGTGTGAGATGTTTGCTGGACTTCTTCTTGTCCATCGTTCTTGTCGTCCCCTCCGGATTCGGATGTATTGCCTCCTGTAGGAGTAGGCGGAGCCCCCGGGGACGAATTTTTCTCGTCTGAGCCGCTAAGCCAGCGCCGGGCGGAGCCGGAGGTCGGTGGTGCGTTTGCGTTTCGCATCGGTCTCGAGGAGCGTCGTGCACCAGAGGAAAATAAATTACCGGCATGGGAAGCAGGAGCGACCCGCGAACCGGTGCTCCTACAGCTGGTGGTCGTGCACCCGACCAGAGATACAGAAACTCTCGTTGCATTTTTCAAATGAACTAGTCTGGAAGATGACACCAAAAGCGGCATCGGGCAGGAGACGCCAAAATTCTGATCACCCTCTTGATGCAGCAACTGCTACTAAACTTGCATGCCTCCACAGACAAAAAAAGTCATCTTTATTATGGAAAACTCGCCATGAATCGAAAACTTTTCTGCACGCGAGAGGGAGGCAGTAGAGAAACAAACTACGTACTGCTTCCGAGTTACAGGACGAAGAAGACAGAACAAGAACAGCCCAACATAGTATGTAACTACTCGCGAGTTAGTTTCTCGGCGATCGTCCTCATTTATTTTTCCATCACGTCGTCGAGCAGAAACATTCATTCGCATCGATCATGCTTTAAACGATTATGATCATTTCATCCTACAAGTAGCAGAAACATCAAGCAGCGAAAGGAAAGCGACAGGAAGAGTCGTCTGGTGGCATTAGCTGCTGCATTCTTGCTATTGTACGGGTCCGCTTCCTGTTCTAGCAACCTGTCATTCAGAAGCAGATCGACGAAATTAAAAGATGTAAAACTCCTGCACAGCGAAATTTGTTGGCGGGTGTCTACTTAGCACTATTGCGATACTTGCAGCAAAATTTCCACCAACGTATGATTTCTGTGGTTTTATTTTTTATACATTAGTTGTACTAGCACTTAACATCTTCAGTCGTCGTCTTTTGACACCCGCCCTCCCGCACCGACGAAATCTTTCCAGAATCGCAGGTCGTGCTTACCGAGAACCAAGCATTCGAAGCACATTCTGCAGTCTCCCAACAGGGAGAAAACCGTATGCATTGCAAAAGCAAAGAAAGCACTGCACCGCACTAGCAGAAATTGCATGACAGATTTTGCCAAGAAAAAAATTGGAATTTCTCATGCTGATTCACATAGAAAACCTGATTTGTCATGCTTGACTGCAATTTGTATGAGTGCGATACTTTTGCAAAGGATAAACCGCACACCGCAGCGATTTCAGAGTGACCGGTTTGTTCTGTTCCACGAAGAAGTGCGCGCCCCAGGCGAAGCTGTACCCGCACAGGGCCGCTTTCAAAGCGTTTTGCCCGATCATCGAGAGGAAGCAGTCGAGGTGGTAATTTTCGTTGTCGTTTTCCACCGTTGCCGGCTGCAAAAACTTCCGCAGGGAATCCGAGCGCCCGAGGGAAAGAGCGAACAGCAGTGCGTAGTAGGTCAAGAGGACCACCGTGAAGGCCAAGTAGTACAGCAACGTGGCCCCGAAGGGGATGGCAAACAGCGTCCCGACACAGTGCAGCACCTTGGTCAGCGGTTTCCTATGTTCCGTTAGGTAGTACGGGTAAAACTCGGCGAACGTGGTAATTTTCGTCGCGTCAACGAGGACCTTTGAGGGCGCTGTACTCCCTATGTTATTGTTCGGCGGGGTAGAGGACATCAGGGTAGTGGGTTTTGAGAGAACAAGGCTACTATCGTTATTTGAGGAAGTCGTTTGTAACAACGGAGTTTCAAAGGACGACATAATTTTTCTCGATGACCGTTGTCTAGAGATTTTATTTTTCAGTCTACCTAGTACTAGTTCCGCGGCCGCTGTGTCACGACATTGTCTTAAAAAAATGTTCTTTTGTTTATATTTACACTGAGTTGTCAATGGAGCAGAGTATATCAATTTGATCGGGGGACGACGCGAAGTGGAATAACACGAAAGCGATCTTCCGGTGGATTCCCGCGCTAGATATTCAAACAGTTAATTATGGTGTGCGCTCCAGAACTATTGGCTAGAAATACCCGAAAGGATGTTGAAGAGGACCTGCGTTTTTGTTGTAGAAAACGACGAAAGCCGTTCAGTAGAGGAAAACACTGCAGCATACAGGAAGAGTTCCATTCCAGCAGGGCAGCACACAAGAAGAACTATACTACGACGCATAGGCCTATCCGTGCGACATCATCAGCCATCACAGGAGGATAAAACTGTACCTACAACTTGTCTTCGACCCAGCACATGTCTATCGAAAAAAAAACCGAAGTCAGAGCGGCGAGGTGCGCAAGCGCCCGGGCTAGAACTTGCAACTACTTCTTGCTGTTTCAAAATAAAGGTAGAACACATCTTCAGTGACAGTGCCACATGAAAACGAAATCAAAAATCATTGTCCGCCTGCTATCGCATTTTCATTTTGCACTTTGCAGGGCTTGATGATATAGTACTGCGCTTTCATCAACTTGTACTCTTTTGTCCTGCGGATGTTGATGACTTTGAGTAGTTTCTCTCGCGGCCAGCAGTAGCTCGCTCGTTCGGACGTGGATATCATGATTAAATCCGTGCTTTTTCTTCTTGGATGTTGTAGCTGTACCAGCTAGCTGAACTTTCTGCAAGACAAAGCTTGGGTCATTGTACTTTGGGCAATTGAGCCACTTCAGCTCCCAGTTTGCCAGGAGGTGGGATAGATTCAAATGTCCATACATTCTATGGGCGTTCATTTCCACGCCCCCACGGTAAATCGGAGAGTCATACGGATTTATTTCATTTTTGGTACTAGTTTTAACACTCTCGTGCTCGACGTCGCGCGAAGTAGACAATGCTGTTCTCCTAGCCAACGCCGTCGTGTGTTCAGAACCAGCTTCATCCGGAGGAGCAAGAACATCAGATACAAAGACCTTGTCGGAAAGAGCGGGTCCACCACTCGTCAACACCTTTTCATCATGAGCGATATCCAACAGATCTTTTATGTTGAGCGGGCGCTTCTCTTGCACGCTGTAGTTCGGCAAGATCGTCGTGGTGCTCGTAGTTGTCTGCATTTGCGAATCCAGGGCAAAAATTATGTCTGGGACCACTTCTGGAAGAAGAGAATGCAAGATTTGTCATCCCCATTTGGCATGACGACCCATCAAGTCTGTGATGTAGTGTGCTTTAGCATCACAGATTTTATCTTTAGAGCCTCTTCCTCTTGATACCTACCCCGCTCGACGAAAAATGCCCTCTCAACCACGGTGCAAAAAGTTCTAAACAAGTCCTCTTGCTGTTGCTGGTCACTCATGCAATACAGACAGATTTTTTGAGAATCGAAAGGGCAGCATCACGAGTTGCACTCTTTCTCTTCCAGATGAAGATCCACACATTATATTTGCAATGCATATTGCGCCTTCGACAGGTTCGGCCGGATTTTTCGGGATCGTCCCGTATCCAAGGGAATCTGATTCGCAACCGGGGCGTGGATGAACCGGTCGTCGACTTATGAACTGCAAAAGTATCGTACTCGGAGTTGTATTGCAACACAAATTAGCTCAGCATGACAAATGGAATTTGTCATGCTGATTTAGCTTGAAAAAAAAATTTGTCTTGGATGACTGCTATTCGTACCAGTACGATACTTTTGCATAGGATACGACTTCCAGAGAAGCAGCGTCATCCTCCACTCCAGGCATGCCGAGCAGGAAATGCCCGTTGTCTTTCACGATGCAATACGCCTTCGCCATGGTGATCAAGTCCCCGTACGGATTGACGGCGTCCCCGTACCTCCCGAGCCCAGAATGCTCGATGGACGAGTCGGAGACCACGAGGTCAAATTTCTTCGAATCTTCAGAACTTATGGACGTAATATTTCCAACATCCTCTTGCTGGTTCTTGTCCAACGATATTTCCGACACGACGAACCGCAGAAACTCGTCCGGCACGTAACTCCTCATGTTCGGGTGCTGCAAAACCAGGTACGCGTACTCCAAGGTCACCACTTCCTTCGCGCCGAGCGCGACGCACATGCCCTCCAGCACCGGCGACTGGGTGCCGATGACCAACACCTTCTTGCCCCGCAAGTCGAGCTCGAGCAACTTGTGAAACAGCAGGATTCCGTGCTGGTAGGCAGAGTTCCAGATCCGTTGGTGCAGGTTGTATTTTTTCCTCAGCGTCTATGGAACTGTCAGGTTTGAAATCGTCAGAGTTGACATAGTTTGTCATGCATAAAATGCAACGCAGAAAGTGCCTGTCTTGCCGGGATGGCAAGTGAGGCAGATTGTGAGGCTATTTAGGGGAGGTTGAAGTAGAGCTGCTAAAAGAGCACGACAAATAAAGCAGTCCTCTGTGCCCAAACAGCATGACAAATCGGATTCCGGTACTCCGAAAATTTGTCATGCGCCGCTTGGAAATTGGTCTTCCAACTGGAACTGGTATCCATTTTATGCATGACAAATCATACATTTCATTTTCAACTTTATCGATTTCAATCCTGACACTCCCATAGCGTCTCCGTCACGTGGGTGCCGTTACGGTACCAGTTGGGGAAAAAAAACGCGGATTTCTCCCTTTTCAAATCTTCACTTTGATCAAAATCCCGGCTGAGCAGCTGAAACAGCGCCACCCAGGGCTGGATGAAATCGTTCTTTAGGGTGTCAAACGAAAAGAACTGGTGCGGCAGAAGGTACTGCAGCCCGTTGTGGTGGTAATTCGTGACGGGCAGTTGGTTGCCGTACGAAAACTATGCTGTGCAAAAGTATCCCGCTCGTAGTAATTGCAGATATGCATGACAAATCTTCCTCCTAAGGTAAAACAGCATTACAAATCCAAGTTTTCTTCTTGCCAAAATTATTTGTAAAGCAATTTATACTAGTACGTTACTTGTGCAATGCATAAAAACGCGTACTCGGTGATTTTCGTGATGTCCCGGCCTTGCTTCGGGGTCTTATCAAATGTAAAAATGTCTGGGTCTGGAAGAATGCAACTTGTCATGCTAAATCCGAATCATGCAGAAATCTGTGTTGCATGAGTGCCAAAAGCTGTCCCCTTTTGACCAAGTTAGTAGTAGTAGTAGTAGTAACCATTTAACTCCTGGCGGGTGGGCGTTAGAACAGATTTAGCCTCTGCCAATACCTGGGCGTTAGAACAGATTTAGCCTCTGCCAATACCCCTAGGTGGATACTTGCTCCACTTCCTACCTACCACCCGGCCGCATCCGCAAAACCGCTATCGATTGCTTACGCGTAACTACGACCAGTGGGCGCTACGTGTGGCAGAACCCCCTTACCAAGTTGAGAGGGAGTTTCTCATGCAGGAAAGGCATGATAGAGACCTCAAAGAATCTGTCATGCTGGATCTCGCATTCCAGACCTCATGGGTCATGGAAAAGCTGCATGACAAATCGCGCATTCTTCCAGACCCAGACATTTTTGCATTTGATGGGTCTTGAACAACCCAAATTTGACCAAGCTTCCGCGTTCCATGCTCTTGCTGTGCCACAGTCGGTGGCAGTCGAGTTTTTTCGTTACCTTATGCGAGGGCGCGGACTTCATGGGCATAGCCACAGGAGATCGTGGCGGAGCTGCGGCCGCGGAGGTCCCCATAGACATAGTACTCCCCTCCGTCGAGCTATCTACCGGTGCAGATGGCTGTTCGCTGGTAGAAGTACTAGTACTGCACTGCCCCCGTCCGGTTCGCAAGACCGACAGCGCCCTTCGGTAGGACTCCTGGCTCCAGACCGAGCCTGGCTCCGCACCAGGTGGTGCTCCTGGTAGTTGCAGATCATGATCTGTATCCTCTTCTGCCGACGTCCACTCCATTTTCTTCCGCAGCTCTTCCGCCTCATACCTCTCCGCCTTGATCTCTGCGTCCACCGAGGCGTACTTCCAGAACAAGTCCAGATCCACCGTGACCCCGCGGCACACGCTGCCGCAGTCCTGGGCCATCTGGAAAAATTCTTCATGTTGCACACACGTTGGCCAGCACAGCGGGGAATATCCCGTGCAAAAGTATCGTACTCGTGTCGTAGTAATCGCATTTATGCATTACAAGTCTCTTTCTCAAGGTAAATCAGCATTACAAATTCCATTTGTAATGCTGGGGAATTTGTAATGCAATTTATACTAGTACGATACTTTTGCACAGGATAGGGAATTCTTCGGCGCGAAGAGCGGGTCGTGGTCGCAGAAGGAGCCATATCCTGTGCAAAAGTATCGCACTCGTACTAATTGCAATCATGCATGACAAATCTTGTTTCTTAGAGAAATCAGCATTACAAATTCCATTTTTCCTTCTGGAAAAATTTGTATTGCGATTTATACTAGTACGATACTTTTGCAATGCATAAGCCACAGCTCACGTTCCAAGGATGAAAAATCTTATCGTGCTTGAGCAAATGGCTCGTCCACAGGGCCTCATCCCGGTACAACGGATCCACGAAGGCATGGGCGGGTGTTGTGATCGTGAAGTAGAAATAAAGTGTTCTTGTGCCGACCATGGAGACGAGGAGAAGATGGCGAACGAGAAACTGAATCTTTTTTTGCATTTTGCAAACAGTAAACGCGAACAGCAAGTAGTGGAGCTGGAGCTATGTTCATGTTGTATATTAAATAGTCATTTAGTATTTGCAGAACTCCACCGCTGATCAGCATTTACGACCTCTTCCGCGGCCTGACTGAACGAGAACCCTGTAGAGTTTATGTTCCACGCTTGGAAACAAGATAGGAGTTGTAGCAGAACTCGACGAATACAAGGCAAGCGACAAGCGTCGACCTCGCCTCGGCCAAAAGCAAAACAAAACAACATATATAAGACCCAGGATTTGGATTGCGCACAGCACAGGAAATGAGAACAGCGTAGGCCTCTTGGGACCACCTCAACTCTGTCATCTCCGCCACAAAAAGCCGGCGCGTTCCCGCGGCAGGCACTCCTGGTAAGTATCTATTTTCGTGATGGCAGCATCAATTTCAATTTTCATTCGTCGCAAGCGTCATCATCTTGAACTTGATGTTGACTGCTTGTCGACAAATCAAAGTACTGAGTACGGTTTTTCGATGCTGTCGGCCGCGACCAGCTACGGGGCTGCGGCTGACTGCATCGTGCATTCATCCTGCGCGAGAGCGGATGGGAATGCCGCTGCCTGGGTGGTCATGCTCCCTCAGAAATATTTCAAACTAATCTCTTGCACGGGTGGATTAGAAGACTTTGTTCGGGGTGGAATGAATTGCTATGCTGTCTCCACATCAACGACCAGCGAAGTAAAAATACTAAATACCGCGAGCGGTGAGGCCCCCGGGAATAGTGAACTGAGCGCTCTTCCTCGCCGTCCACCTCAAAATCTACGCAACTCCCTTGAGATTTATTCGTGCTCTACTCGCGGGACTGCTGGTATCGTGCCACTATACAACTCCGCAGACCGGCGACCCCTCCTGGCATCCGGCAGCAACAACGTCTAGATAGTTGTACACTTGCATACTTGTTACCACGAGTTTTTAATATGGACGTCTCATCGGCCTCCAGCATCATCCTGCAGAAGTACGTAAATAATAAACCCAACGCAGTGTATGGGAACGTGGCAAGGTTGCGCAGATTGAAGATGAGTAGCGACTTGCGTTGGAAAGGAAAAGGAATGGAATCCATTCAACAATTTTAATTATAATTACACGTTTGCCCACTCAATACATACGTACGTCAGCTGGAGATGTGGCTCGGCCGGCAAAAAAGAAAAAGAATGAAAGGTCTCAAAAAAAAAGAAAAAGAAAACCACGTAGTTGTCAATGCGTGATAAATGTAAACATGAAAAAAAAAGTAGCAAATCAGAATCACTCGGCGTCCTTAATTAGAATTACAGATACTTATGCATAAAGGTCACTCTCGTCCACAGTCTCAGTCACTGACATGAGACCGAGGCGTGGAAATAGGTCTATCTCGTCTACTGGACTCATATCATTAATTGATAGCTCTCATTTAGTGTTCCTCGTCGTTTAGATACATTAACATTTTTTTTTTCGAAAATAGGAATAGCATGAGCAGGAACCGAATCGCACTGACCAGCAGCACAGTGATTCCTCGCGTCACTGCCGTCGTCGTCATCGCGTTGTAATCGTAATCCACCACGCTCAGCACTACAACAATGGGAATCTAACTCTTTGTCTGGCTCATCGTCATAGTCAGGTCATGCTCTTGCTTCCTTGTATTTTTACATTTAGAGTTCTACATCGTTGAATCTTTATACTTTTTTTTTTTTTTTTTATGCAAATTACTGACAAAAGGGCTATAAAAGTTCCAAAAACGACATAGAAGGATGGCTTTGGCTGCTGCTGTTCCTGTCGTCCTCAGTACTTCGTTCTTCCTCTTGCTTTCGTTTAGCATGCGCCCGCTGGATTTGAACTCGCTGGGTTGCTCTTGGCAGTTATACTTGTTACGTACGTATAAATATATTACTGTGGAGATAAGCTTGATCAGATGCAGCTCGTGCGTTTCGTGTCTTCATTTTGGCGCCGCGACGCCAGCCCCTGTGCTGCTCTTCTACTGCTCCGCATTTTCGTCCGTCTCCGTTCTTGTCCATGGAAATTCCGCATTTTTTTTCGTCCGGAGCCGGCGGCAACTACGGACTCACAAAGAGAGCGTCAATATCTTTCGTTTTGAGCTCTTCCGTTTCCTCATCTTTCGTTTTGTATCCTTCTCGAAGATCACGACCCCAAAAAACCGAATCCTCTCGTCTACTTTTCTCATGACAAAGGACCACTTTTGTTGCACCAGTTGCGGTCGTTTCGCTGCAAAATTTTTTCTTGTCAACATTCTGTCCACCATGCAAAGGCAGCTGCAGGGGGCTTTCAAGAACATGAACATCATCACCATGCTCCCTTAAATCAAGGGCGACAACGACGACGACGCGAACGTCGCCTTAATCTTTTATAATTGAATTTGGTCGTCTTTAACTTGCTGGTTGAAGACTCCTATTGTATCCTTCTTGTTACTTCCATCACGTCGTTGTCGCCGTGCCGACAAGAGTCATGATTTTGAGAAGTGGAAATTCGGGTTCTTTCGGCAGTCGTGATCATCGACGTCGCATTTGATAAACCGGGAATCGCGTCTTCGAGTTTGATGGGCATGTTGCGGACAAGCTCGTCCCCGGAGTCATCCATCATCAGCGCCGGAGAATCCATCTGCAGCTGCACCAGCGCCCGTCGGTAGGGCAAGGGACTTGTTCTTTTCCGGGACAGGTCGGTCTTTTGGATGCGCTCAAAGTTTTCCCCGAAAACGTTCTTGCAGGTCTGGAGAGCATGCAGCCGGACCAACGCATCTCCACTACGAGGTGCTCCGGCCAACAACGCCACAGCCTGGCCCTTTCCAACAGCCGCTTGGAGCTTCTCGGCGAAGGCAGGCGCTTGCGGCGGGTGGCCGTGGGGGCGGAGCAGCCGGTCTCTCCGCGAGTAGTATTCGTTCAAGAGCACCACACCTGTGCGATACACGGCTATTGTGAGGAAAAATCCCCCCAGCCCATATCGAAGAGGAAATTATGTGTACTGTCATGCTGAGGGCACAAGGCCTTCCAACACCAGCCAGCACCACAGTCCGCATCCCTTTCGTTCTAGCATGACAACGTGATTTGTGATCACATCAAATCATGCTGCATAAATCTCCGTTTTTATATGGGGAGTGGGGATTTTTCACTTTGATAAAGGCGCCCAAAACGCGACAGTGCCGCCAGGCGGGGGCGAACACCATGGATACCCACATGCTGCGGTAACTCTTCTGCCAGGGTGGAATTGTGGCTTCATGCTCGTCAGATCGCTTCTGTCGGCGGGCGCGCGTAGAGGGAGTGATTTCCTGCGGGAAACGACGGGACGAGGTGCTCCCGGGAGCCCGTCCCTGGGGCGTCATCGGCGGATCATCGTTGAGTTGTCTACTTCGAGCTGCAGGAGAACTTGGTCTAGGGCTGCGGAGTCCCTCCAACCCCCCTGCAGCTTTGGCTGCTAGATCCTCCCGAGCTTCCCTAGCAAGCTCCTCCTCCCTTGCATACCTCCCATGGGGAGTTCCGGTATGTGCCGGGGTTGTCTGCACGGACTGCGACACCGCGTTTTCGTACACAGCTGCATCTTTCAGTCTGCGCTCCCCCGCGGCCTTTTGATTCTTATATTTCTTTGCCTGCTGCTGCTTCTCTCTGTCGAATTTGCGCTCCACGTGCTCCAGCTCCCGTAGGTTCCGTCTGTACTCGTCCGACACCGACCATACTCCTGCCCAGTCCTGGCGCTTGGTCCACTCGAGGCTACTGCGACTCTCTGCCAATGCATGCTTGTACTCGTTCAAGTATTGCAAACTTTGTCTGTTCCATTCCTCCAGCTCTTCCAGCTCCCCGTAAATCGCCGCAATCAGGGGCGCCGCGGAACTCTGCAGTTGGCGCACCGCCCTGCTTTGTGCCTTCATGCCCAGATCGCCGTGACGGAAGGCGCTCGAGAACGGATCCGGCCAAGGCACATTTGACGGATTCCCGGCATCCACGGGCACAAACTGGCCCAGAGCATGATGCGTCCGCTCCGCCACCTTGTTGATGACCCTGAGCAGCTGTGCGCCTGCGTAGAAGAAAGAGCTCGCTGCAGCATCCTGAAGCGGCAGGTCGTAAAACGAAAGAAGCAGCTCCGTCACCTTGGGCAATCTGGTCAGATCGTAGTAAAAGAGATTTGTGTGCTGGTCAAATTTCGAAAGGGGCGCCGCGGGATTGTCCCGCTGGCCGAAAAACGGTCCCAGGTCGGGATTCGCAGTAGGGGAAAAACCGGTGGCCTCCAACGCTTTCGTAAATTCAGCTTTTTCATCCTCAACACGAATATCCTTATTCCCGCATGGTACGAAAAAAATGCAGTTTCACTGTGGTTTCGATTGTCCAATTAAACGACTCGCATGACTACAACTGACGAGTTTATTTTTCTTTCGCACGAAGACAGGAAAAATTATCCGACCTGCTCATGCGTGGCTTCACTCCACCATAGTTTGCGATGAGATGAAACTGGCAACAAGAAAAAAAGACTTTCTGTTCTTTCTTGCAATTGATTTTTTTTTTCTATTTTCCAGCGCAGTTACATTTCTAGCAAGACATAAACAAACACTCATGGTCCTGGTCGCATGCTACAACATAACGCATGCACATGCTCCGCATACACAAGTTCACCCTTTACAGTGACACCGATTCATCTGGTTTTTCGTGCGATATTTTGCCTTGGCCAGCACCACGCCTCCTCAATCTCATGTCGATCGCTTGCTCCTTATGGCACGCTCACGCACTACATTCTCAACTGTTGCACTCTTTGCCATGCAGAATCACTTTCACCCTGCAATCGATTCAGCATCTTTGCGTGTTGACAAGTTCTCGCCGCGCTCAATAGCGGCACTAGCATCCGTGCCAAATCTGCATTGCAAGACGCGCAAAGTCTTTCCCGTTCCCTTTTGCTGCTATTCTTGCGTCACAAAAATTTTATGTAACAGTTGAGAATGTATCGTGTGAGAGCGCCTTACTCCTGCTCCTCGATATACGGCTTCCCGCGTCCGGGGGGAGGAGTCCTTCGCTTCTGAAGCAGAAATTGAGCAAAGCCCCGCGAGCTGCAATGATGATGACCTTGTGGTTGTGCTGCTCGACCTCGATGTCACAACAGAAATAAACGCGGTGTCTTTTTTCTTCGTATATAAGTATGTTGATGTTGTCGTTTTAGTCTCTACAAGTTGTAAAAGTTCAATTAAGGTTTTCATCAAGGCACCTGTCCCCCGCATGCCGATTATTTAACGAAAGTGTCTTCGACAACTGTAAATGAAAATGTGATTCGGATCGCCAAATTGGGGCTTTGTAATTGTTTCGTCGCATACTGCTGGGGGCTGAAAGTATCAAGCCACGTGTTCGTCTTGTCCTCCGCCACGCACACTGCCTTGTGCGCTGCTTCCTCGGGCTGCAGAAAACGTTTCAGCGGCACATAATTTGCAAACGCTTGCCAGACATTCAAGGTTTTGGGCATCGGAACCTTCTCGTGCGGTGCCACGTACTCCAAAAAATCTTGTATTCCGCCTGCCCCCCACCAGGTGATGCCTCGAATGGTATTCGTCGCACTTTGCGACCAGAAAAATTCGGGAACAAAAGACGTTCCGCCACGGTGCACGACCTTTTCCATTACAACCGACCGATGAACTCGGGCGAAGACTTTCATGTACGGAAGGCACTCTATCATAGTCCGCTTGTTGCTGCGAACCATGCCGTCGGGCGAAATCTCCGCGTCCGTCAGTTCCATTGAGTCGTAACCGACGAGCTTTCCTCCCTCCGCGATCGGCTTGACTCGTGTGAGCGAAACGCGGCGCCAGCCGATGAACGTGGGAACTTCATCGGTCTGAGGAGACGAAGAGATGGTCGCGATGACGTGACGCTTGACGTCCTCCACACTGATCTTCATAGGGGCGGAATCCACCCCGGAGGAGTCATCTAGTACTGGCGAAGATGCACTACTGCAGGGCGTCCTAATTTCGCGCGTACGAGACCATTTTAAGTCTTTTGGGTTCCACGAGTACAGCTGAACCGGTAAATAACTACTGGCACTAGCCCCCGCTCCTGCACCAGCATGTTGCGAGGAAGTAGAGCTCGCGGACAGAAACTTCCCGTGCACGACGCCCACGTGGCCGGCCAAACTGCAGGTTGCGAGAAAATACGCGCTCGCCCGCCCCCCGGAGACCAGGCGGATAGGGGAGGAGTTGTGTTTTTGCAGAGCAGACATCTTCGTCGAAACCTCGAACTCAAAGAGAAGGAAGTTCTTCAAGTACTGCGCTGTTGCAAGAACACGACCCGGCTCTGTGTACTATGAACGTGCAAAATGCAAAACCGGACAACCTAAATAGAGAAGTTTTTTTGCTGTTTGGGCAAAAAAGCTTTTCATTTTCTGCCGTATTTGCTCTCGCCGGGTGCCCCTTCTCCGCGCGATATTGGATCGAGTTGCGCGTGTTAGGTTGCGCAAAAACAAGACTGATTGTCGTGCTAGAGGTGGTCGCAGGCCTTGCGCAGTGCCACAGCTGGCGCGATCCTGCAGCGCGCGTCTGCGTGTGGTGCGGGAACTTAAAGACGCAACTCGCTGGGCGGTTGGGATGACGCATCTCACTCCTGGCGCGCCAGCTGTGCCTCTCAAGCAAGTCAAGCGTGACGGCCGCTGCAGTTGCATCAACCTCCTGATCTGGTCTTCGAAGCGCCCTTTCGCAGAGACCGACCAGCCCAATCTACCGCAAAGCGACTCCAGCGAGCTCCCTTGCGGAGTTGCTCCGTGGGTTGCCGGGGAAATGTCCCGAGCTATTCTCGGACGCGAGCCAGAGTCCATCCACATGCGGAAAAGGGTTAATCCTGGCCCGGGGTTCGCACATTCCGGAGCTTGCCCGACACGATGTAGCTGAGGTCTCACCTCTCCCTTCCCCGTTCGCCGAATGCCGCTCAATGAGAAGAATCTCCTCATTTTGGCGATTTTTTTGCCGGATTTTGCCAAAACTTCGCCAAAATCCGGGTTTTTGGCGAAGTTTTGGCAAAATCCGGCAAAAAAATCCCCAAAGTCAGAAGTTTCTTCTCATCGAGCGGACTTCTGCGAAGAAGGAAAGGAGGCGAGAAATGTCGGCTCCAATGTGTCGCGCAAGCTCCGTGATCGGCGTGGGCCCCTGTCCAGGATAAGCGTCTTCCCACATGTGGACGCGACCTGTATTGCGTCCGGAGATGATCCTGGACACTATCAAGGAGCAGTTTCGCGCTGGTGCTTTCTGGAGTTGTTTTGCGGCAGACTGGGCGGCGCGGTCTCTGCGCAGAGGATTTTCGAGTGTTAGCAAACGCTGGCGCGCCTCCAGCTGCCAGCTCCTTGAGAAACACACTTGGCGCGCCTCGGCGGAGGTGTGTCACCTCAACCGCCCAAGCAGTTGCGTCGTTATATAGGTTCGCACGCCACCTGTTGAGACACCTTCTAGGAGCGCTTCATCTGCAGCACCGCGCAAAGCCAAAGCCTGCGACAACCTAGATAGAGCGCGGCAGCCAGATTCGTTTTTGGTGGCCTCAATACGTTCCCAGCACTCAATATTGCACGGCGAAGGGGCAGCTGGCGAGAGCAAATACGGCTGAAAGTGAAAAGCTTTTTTGCCCAAACAGCGAAAAAACTTCTCTGTTTAGGTTGTCCGGTTTTGCATTTTCAAGTACTGCGCTGTTGCAAGAACACCCGGCTCTGTGTACAACTATCAATTACAATTTTGTATTGGCGACAACACCCCTGCTACTTCTGCTCGCAAAAAGTTGTTGGCGACAACACCCCTGTCTTCACAAAAAGTTGTTGCGCCCTACTGGTGCAGTTTGATAGATATAGATATAGATTACAGTATAAAGATCGATTGCGATCGGAAGTTTTGCTTGACAGATATAGATATGATAGATAAGATTGATAGGTCGTTGTTCGCGTTGTTATCAAAAGTTAACTTTTTTCGTCGAGGTGTCGCTTATTGTCAGCTGAAAATCGGGTCGTGGAGGTTGATACTGATACAAAGACCAGAGACACAGGTCTATCCTACTACTGAAGTTTGTCTGTGAAGTGGAGTGGAGTTTGTCTGTGAAGACAAGAAACCAGCAAGCAGGAGAAAGCAACTAGCCCTAGTGCCTGTGTGTTGTAGAGCAGACCTCGAGAAGTTGAAGTAGAGAGCGAAATAATCAAAAAACTTTAGTTGGCCTTTAATCAAGTCGCATTATGGTCCTTCAATGTAGAGAAATATCGCGAGGACGCCGCGCTTATTCTACAACTTGCACATCTACTCGTGAGGATGCGGCTGCAATTAACCGATTTCCCAGCTGGAAGATGTTATTCCGATGCGCGAACTTTTACCGATCGCACTGCTTTTCATCCGATCTTCCAATCGACATTTTTCATTTTGGATCACAGATTTCTTTTCACTTTCCGCGACAGAAGATTCCAAAAGGATGCGAGGTGTTCTGCATTTTATTTTCTCTACAGGGATAGTAAATGGGTTTGAAATTATGTCGTAGTAGCAGAGAGCAGAGAGCAGGGATAGTAAATACTAACTTCCAGCACAGGGACCGATTACCACCCTGAATCCATTGCACTTAAACTTTAGAAGATTCTTTCATCTACCGATTATTTTATTCAATGCGGTTCAGTCACAGGTGGTGAGATGTTTACCGACAGGGTCACATTCATCACTCAATGTGGTACTAACTTGGTGGAATTCATCTTTTGCACAAAGAAGCGCTAGTAGCGGTTCGCAGCCGATTTGGGCGTTTTCCTTTCGAAAAGCACCAGCCCTACTCGCGCGAGTGAGAAGCGTGTCAGTCTGTATAAAGTGTAAACGCATGCAATTTTTCATAATTCCATCACACTTGAGCTCAAAACTGCCTTCGCGATTCCATCGGCGTCGAGCTCTACCTATGAATTGCAAAAGTATCGTACTCGTATAAGTGCATTACAAATTTCCTCGGCATGAGAGGTAAAATTTGTAATTAGTAATGCGGATTTTCGTTCAGAAAAAAATTTGTAATGCATGACTGCAATACGAGTACGATACTTTTGCACAGGATACTACCCGGCCTTTCCGTACCAACCCGAAATTTGCCGTCATCGACTCCAGAGTCTGCTATGCATTGCAAAAATATCGTGCTTGTGTGGTCGTACTAATCGCAATCACGCATGACAAAAGTATTTCTTTACCCTATCCAGCATGACAACTTCCATTTTTTACTTAAGTATTTTGTTGGTGCAATTTGCGATGCGATTTCTACCAGGAGTACCATCCACGATACGGCTTCTGCAATGCATATCTGCTTGCTGTACGCAATCTCCTCCGGCACCGAGTGCTGGCAGTAGTGGTGCACGTCGGCAACCCGCGCGAGTCCCCCGTAGATCGCGAGGAGATTGCGGTCCCAGTTGTTTTGTCGCTGGCACAAGCCCTGGACCGTCGCCACGGGTTGCTGCGGCAGAATCTCGATCACCGCAGAACTTTGCCAGTACGGCCGCAGAAACGTCGTCCAGGCGAGCCCGGCGCCGTGGGACCCGATGAAAAAACTGCTGGCTTGCACCGTGGTTAGTTGCTGTGTCATGGTCTTGTCTTCAAAGTGCCCGTGGAAGCCGACGGCATGATCTTTCAGTTTATCTTATGAAGAAGAAAAATCTCCTCTCCCCATATCAAAACGCAAGTCTGTGACGCAGATTTGTGGTCACAAAGTAGCTCTGTCATGCTAGGAGGGAAAAGGTGCGGACTGTAGTGCTAGGTGGCGTGGGAAAGCCTCGCATCTTCAGCATAACAGGAGACAGCTGGAAGTGGGAAACAGCATGACAAATTGCCTGCAATTCAGGCAAGAACTGCGTCACTTGGCTTTCTAGCAATACAACTCGATTCGTGCACGCAAATACAGCATCACAAGTTTCATATTCGATATGGGGAGGCGGGATTTTTTCTTTTGATATTTCTTTCAAATCCGCCCACTGCCTCTCAAACTGCTCCTTTTCGAAGTTCCGCCCGCTGTCCTATGCATTGCAAAAGTATCGTACTAAGTAAATATACATAACTCGCGTTACAAATTTGCTCAGCATGATCAGCAATGGAATTTGTCATGCTCCTTCACCTTGAGCAGAAGATTTGTCAAGCCTAACTGCAATTAGTACGACGAGTGCGATACTTTTGCACAGGATATGTCCCCACGAAAGTTGTTTTTGTTCTCGGTTTCGTTCAGATGCTTGATCTTCCTCTGCAGGATGAAATAGGACAACCGCCTGCGGTAGTTGGTCTCCGGACCTGCGAAAAATAGCCCGGGACGGGACCCGTACCACAGCTGATACAGCAAACTCGGGGACCGGCTTCGGCTATCTTCTGATGAAGATGACGCTCTACTTGCTAAAGCCTTGTCAAGATGAACGTCGCTCCTCGTTTTCGCTCCATCTCTCTTCATCGTCGTCGTCCTCGTGGCACGACCACGCAGCAAAGCTGACGTGATCACGAGTCTTGCTGTGCTGAGTTGCAGGGTCGACCTAACAGCGTGCCGGAGGGAATGGACCTGGATTTTCTCGTGCTGTCCGATGAAAGCGTGCTTGAAACAGCCCGAAAAACGACGCTCGTACGGCAACGGCGAGGAATAAAGATGGTTGTCTTGTTGCTCGACGACTTTGCCGTCGTGGTTTTTGTGATGATCATAATCCCGCACTGCTGAACCGTGCAGAACCAGTGTTTTTGCGGTCGAAGGGTCCGCCGCAAGTTTTTGAACGAACTCTGCGACAATAGCCTCCTTGTCTAGGGTCTCTGACTGAAGATCCGGTGGGATGTGACTATGATCTTCTCTGGAGGTGAAGAAGGTGTTGCTCTCGTCCTCGGGAGTAGCAGGTGGCTCAGTTATAATATCATGCCGCGAAGTTGAAGTACTAGCTGAGCCGTCTGTTGTTGCGTCGCCCTTATGAAGATTTTTTCCCCCGCGGCCTAATGAGCTCAACACCAGACTCTGGGGACTGTTCCGTACCATGTCTCGCAGCAGCAGCTTGGCCCAATTAGCTTCCCGCCACGACCACTCGGCTTTCCGCTTGGTTTTTTTTTCCTCTTCATTTTCAAAAAACAAGCTTTTTCTCTCCCCCGGCTGTTCGTTGCAGTGCCGCGCGAAGACCGCGACGTGGTCGAAGCTGTAGAGTAAAATCACGTTCACCGCGAGCAAATCGAGGAAGTCCAAATATTCCGCCCGCCACCGGTGCCACACGGCGGGCTCCGGCCCCGGGAAACACCCGTCCGCGGTGCCGCCCGACACCCAGATGAAGAGATATATACAAGAACACAACTGTGTCAGTGTAACTTTGTCTTGCAGACGTTGCAGTACAGTTACACTTGTCATGCCGGACATGCATCAGAGGCTTTTGAATAACGTGTTTATTTCGCGTACTAGCTACGCATGATATTAGGTCTTCTGCCATGCAAAACAAATCTGTGATGCTGTTCCTGCAGAAAAGTTACACTTACACAGTTTTTTTCTTGGATAAGATACTGCAGCTTTTCGAAGCCGATCCGGATCGGCGCGTCTGACAAGATTTGGGTGAAAAAAAGGAAAAAATGGCTCATGTTCAGCTCCACCATCGGCACAGACACGATCCACGTCGACTTTTGCAGCACGCGCGGCTGTCTCGCTTGGTCGTACGCATGGAAATTGATATCGCGGCGGCGCTTCTTTTTCATCATCCCAGGAAGAGATTTTTGCAGCTCCTCTTTTGATCGGGCTTTTCCATTTGGTCCCTCGTTTATTTCCGCCGCTTTTGCTTTACTTTCCAATCTTTCCAATTCCGTAGCAAATCGGTGTTTCAATTTTGACAGTGGCGTCGCTGTTCTTGGGCGGTTTTGTCGGTCCTGCGCCTGCTGCGCGGTACTAGCACTTTCACCTGTAGAAGTGGATGCGGAGCCACTCGGTTGTGCAACAAAGCCGAATCTGGCTTTCAGCGCTAGGTCCGCATCATCATGCTCGAATTCCTCCAAGTCCACCGCTCCTCCTTCGACATCCGCTTGATCGTCTGAAATTTTCTTCTGCTCTTCTTCTCCACCAGATGACAACTTCAACATCGGCGCTGGGCTGGTGTTTTCCGACGATTTGTGCAGCACGTTCCGCGTGTTCGCCCACAGCGTGTGCCGGCCCCACTCGTTGCACAGGTGCGACACCTTCAGCTGTCGCCGTATATCAACTGCAAATATGTCTGGGTCTGGAAACATGTAATGCATGTCAGGGAACAATGAGCACACAGCAATGCGCTGCCACGCATGACAAATTTTTCCGTGCTTCTGAGTTGCCACGGATTCCGCATTACAAACTGCGTTTTGCATGACAGGCAACGGAGGTCTTTGCGGCCACGCAATACAGAGCCCAAAGTCATGCCAGACTAGCATGACAAATCTCGCACTCTCCCAGACCCAGACATATTTGCATGTGATACCGTATCTGGTTCCGCAAAAAGAGCCCGTGCGCGTGGTCGCCCCAGGCGCGGTCCTGTTCCAGGTACTTCGTGCCGTCAGGCTGTTCCTTTTCAACATCGTCCTCAGATGTGGACGACGAGGAGGTCCCTCCTTCTACTTCTGAACTACGGTGCAGCGGCTGTTGCTCTTCTGCAGCTCCTTGTTCTTCACCAGCATGATCTACTTCACTCCCGCCCGGGGACATCTTCAATACAGCTTTCCCCCCCGAGCTGTCTACCTGCACGCCGGCGGCGCTCATGTATCCACAGAAAAAAACCCATCCACATCCATTTTTTGCATGACAGACACAGGATTTTATGTATGTTTTGCATGACAAATTGGATGTGAATGAGTGTTTTTTCCTGGATATCATGCCGGTGCTTTCCAAAGCCTGCTCCGCGATCAGGATTCCCTTTTTCGGATCCTCGTCGATTGCCAGGTTGGTGTCGTTTTTTTGGTTGGGAAACCGCTTTTCGTCCCACCCTTGTTCGCCCCACACCCGCGTGTCCATCTGGCGCGACCGGAAATCCAGCACCGTGTTGTTCGCGATGCAGATTCCTACGTTCTGCACCTTGTGCACGCGGCACCCCGTGTGAATCAGGTCGATCGGGATGGGAAAATAGGTTTTCGTGAATTCCAGCGATTTTTGCATCGAGCAGTGCTTCTGGTCCTCCTGCAGCGCGAGCCGGGTTTGGTCAATGATTTGTTTCTTGCTCGAGCTCGTCCCTCCTACGGCATAATTTGGGTCGTGGTTCGACGCTTTTGCGGTGGACGTGGTCGCGGGTGGTGCGGATGGAATGCTTGATGTCGTAAGAATTTGCGACAAATCGTCGAAACGATCCTCGTCAGCAAGATGGCCGTCGGGCTCTTCCGCTCCCATAAATGACGGCGCACCTTCTTCTTCCTCATCCACAGCGGAGCTTGTAGCTGCAAGTATGTTGGCACCTCCTGATGTAGGAGCGGCACTACTGGGTGGACTAGCACTCGTTTCAACGTGGTCCGCAGGTGGTTCATTTCCCTCTTGGTGTTGCGCACCACCAGCGATGAAATTCAAATTCTTGTTTCCCTGATTGTAGTTGTACGCTTCCTCCACCATTCCCTGCGTCACCTGTTTTCGTCTGGCGGTCCCCGACGTTATCGTTTGGAGCTCTCCGACAGTTTTCTCGATATGGGGTTCTCAAACGTTACACTCTCAACTGTTACAATGAATTTGTCATGCAAAATTCCAATTACATGTCTACATGCTCAAGCTTCTTGGCATGACAAGTTCTCGACGCACCACTGGATAGCATAATTACAATCTGCGCCAAACTTGTAATGCAAGAGGCGCAATCTTCCGCCTTGCATTTTTGCCAGTCTTGCATTACACATTCATGTAACAGTTGAGAGTGTAACGTTGGCCAACTCCTCCATACTCGAACATGCCCCGGTACATGAAGTTGTAAATGTTCCCGGGCCGGCCGTCCCCAAACGCGCCCGTGTTTTGGTTGGCAGTGGTAACCTGCGTGGACAGCTGCTTGCAGTTCTCGATGGTGTCGGAAATTTCCCTTTTCAACTCTGCTGGCGGGGGTCGCGTAGAGGTAGTAGTGGTCGACCTGTTCGATGTATCTCCGCTTCCTGTGCTGTGATGTGCATTTTGGACAATCGCGATCGCCTCTTGGGTCTCTGCGTCCGGCTCGGGCTCTACCAAATCGTTGTACAAAGCCATGAGGTCTGCAGGCTCCGCTGGCAACACGAGCATATCCTGGTAGGTTGTCAGAGTCTTCACCTCAGAAGTAGGAGGCGTAGAAAGGACGACTCCACCAGTTTTTGCACTAGCAGTGGTTGGCTGCGAAGATGTTGACGCATTAGCAATATTCTGCTCCTCGTCCGCGGCAGCAGTCTCGTCCCCTTCCGCTGGAGTTGTTCCAGTACTTCCCGCTCCGAAAACTCCGACCGCTTTCATTTCCTTGCCCGCTAGCTCGTAAATGTTCTTCATCAGCTGGACGAAGGTCAGATGCGTGAAAGGCCAATCGGACAGGTCGCACTGGTACGCGAGAGAGATCATCACGTTTAAATGCAGGAATTCCAGCGCGTAGGCGAACTTTTCGTCCAAAATGCATGCCATCGCCGACATCAGATTTACCGCCTGCTCGCCGGGTATCCTGTGCAAAAGTATCGCACTCGTATAAATGCAGCTCTTGCATCACAAATATTTTGCTTAAGGTAAATCTTCAGCATGACAAATTTTATTTCTCATGCTGAGAGAATTTGTAATGCTAATGCATTTATACGAGTACGATGCTTTTGCAGTTCATACCGGGCGCGCAGCGAAAGGTGTGGAAGTAGTCCGTGTGAAAGATTTGGTCGCGCACCATTTCCATAAACTGCCAGGTCGCGTATCCTGATTAAAAACGTCCCCACACCAGAGTCAAGTCAAGATGGGAAATCTGCTAGGCAAATCATACAGCTTTGGTTGTTTGGCGTGACAAGTTTGTCCTCGTAGTGTAATCCTGTTTAGCTAGCTCAGAAGCATCACAGATCTAGCACAGCATGCTGATCCCAGCATTACAAATCCCAAAGCACGAAAGGAAAATGCTTCTCATAGGGCACCGCATGAGAAACCTTTTTGGCATGCAGAATTGCATGACAACTCCGGGGTGGGAATGTTTTTACACGGGATATCGCGCACCCCTGCGTCATCAAATGCCGGTACTGCCAGGACGTCGATGCGTTCGACAGTTGGTTCTTCAAACCGTCGAAAGATCGGAAGTCGAAGCCTTTGAGGATCTGCAGAATCGCCATGAAGTAGTCGTAGCTATGAGAGTGCACAACTCCCCCTCGTCCTCCCCCTCATTTGTCATGCAAAACCGCAAATCCATTTGATGCCCTTTGGCACTGTTTGCATGACAAATTTCGGAAGGCCAAACAGTACTACCTTCGGCCGGTGAACTTGTGATGCACAGGACCCAGGAGTGCTGGCGTTTGTATTGCTGTTTATGCCATACAAATGAGGGGAAGGGGGTGGAGGTGTTGTGCACTCTCATAGTAGCCCTTACCGATGCAAGAACAGGAATCGAACGGGACAAAACCCGCATTGTCGTGGACCACCTTATCCTGTGCAAAAGTATCGCACTCAGTAATCGCAATTATGCATGACAAATCTCTGTCTCAAGGTAAATCAGCATGAGAAATTCCATTTGTCATGCTTAGCAAGAAATTTGTATTGCGGTTACTACTAGTACGATACTTTTGCATTTCATACAGCTCGTAGGACACCAGTTTGAAGGCTTTTTGAAGCTCGCCGGTGAGGCTGGTGGTCGCCTCGTGGTCATTATCTTCAACTTCAACAGTTGAAGATGCGCCGCCGTTGCTTACAACACTTCTTCCGCCTGCATCTTGTGGTTCACTTGATGAGCGGCCGCCTAGCATCGTCTGGGACTGCGTCTTTCCAACGAGGTCACCATTCGTCGTGCTCGTGGTGCCGATTTTTAGCGGAAACGTGGGTACCACGGCCGCCAGCAGCTCCAACGACTGCAACACCATGTTCCGCAGCTGATCCGCCCTCTGGATCACCGCCCCGGCGCCCTCCCGCAATGCCCACCCGAGCGACGGTCGCTCCACGCTCAACCGCTTCTCTACCGTAACCACCGTCGGCTTGCAGCAGAACGTCAACCATTCCGGCTGCCCTTGGAAACAGAAGTCGATGGCATCCGGATGGCCGTGGCAGCAGCGGGCGGTGGACCATTCGCTCTGGTCTTCGTACTTGTCAAAACAGTCGTACTTGTGGTCGCGGGGCGATTGCTCAGGGGTCTGGGCGCGGGGGAGCAGCAAAATGTTGACGTCGTGCAAATAACAAGAATGCCAAAAGGAGGCTATCCTCGCGAGCGATTTCATCATGATTTTCTTGAGTAAGCGGATTGGGACCGCAGCGTTGGTTTTTAACTTGACTTCGACCTCGTAAAGATCTACTTAAAGGAACCATAATTCAAGTGGATAATGCCACGTCACGGCGGATGGTTTTGACAGCATGGACCGCCCGTCCGCAGCGGAAGCAAAACGAAAACACACGAAACTTTTCAGCCAACGAAGTGAAACCGCCACGATTGCGGTAGAGCTTTCACCAGAGAAAAAAACAGCTCATAATCCAGATCCAAAACAATAATGATGATCTAGCACCACTCCTCCTGTAACTACACGACCACCAGAAATTGCAATGATCGCAGCTGCAGGATCAATAAAGCGTGCAGAGTCATCTCGGTACTGGTACTCCATTGTCAAAAACCGAAAAAAAAAACAAGATCTTCATTAGCCAAAAGCGAATTTAGCTTTGTCCACCTCTGTTGCGATCTTCTCAAAATCTACGACACCTGTTACGAGACCTTCATCAACGACAGAAAGATGATCTCCACGAAGCATCAAACTTCACCCATGCACAGGGAGAAACAAGAAACAAGACGACTTGCAGTTTCACGGGAGAAGTTTGTTCTGCAAGACGACATCAATTGCGATGAACGTCTGAAAATTATACCAGAACAACTTTTTTAACACGACCCTCGCAGGAACATCAGCCACTTCTACTTTCTCGAGCTCGCGCTTGATGACCCCGCTTTATGTTGTCGTCGCCCAAGCACTTTTTCGTCACAGCGCCGCTTTGCCCGTTGCCAAGAACGTGATTTTTTCCAGCAGACTCAAGCTGATTACGGTGTAGGGTGCAAGTTTCACAAATGCGGGGAAAAAACCTCGCCACAAAACCAACGGCCCGTCCTTCGCGACGGACTTTGTCGCGCAGTCGACCATATGCATTGCAAATGTGTCTGGGTCTGGAAAAAGTGAACTTGTCATGCTGGTCTTACATTCAAAGAAAATCTGTATTGCATGACCAACAAACGGGCAGCGTTCTTTGTCACGCAGATACGCAGTTTGTAGTCATGCGCGCTACGTATGAAACAGTGCGTTGCAGGAACTTGTCATGCTTGGCGGCATTCGAAAGCGTTTCAGTCATCCACAATTTGGCATCACAAGTTTCCAGACCCAGACATGTTTGCATTTGATAGACCACGCCGGCGTACAGCGGTGCTTCTCCGGGTTTCGGCGTGGGCATGTTCTGGATGCGCGACTTTACCACGTCGAAGGGCATCGAGGCTGTGTTAGAGATCAGCGAACCCGCTAACGAGCAGGTTAGTAAGGTCGCAATCCCGCCGTCCGTGAAGGTGTCCGGGTAATTCTGCGTCAGGTAGACCTTGTTTTGATGATCATTGATCCATGGAGTGTTCTTGAGGACGAGTGCGACAAACATGTTGTAGTCTGTTCAGCTTCAATAGTCAGCAATAGAATTTTTTCTCAAGAAAGCATCTTCTCGTTCTCTCGTCTATCTAGCACCAGCTGAAACGACGACAAACACCGCCTCTACCTTCGTCTCCGAGTAGGTCGCCAGTTGTGTACTGGCCAGCGCCATGGCCCGGATCACGGTGATGGTATCCAGCAAAAAACACCCATCCCCATCCATTTTTTGCATGACAAATAGTGGATTTTGTGCATGTTTTGCATGACAAATTGGATGGGGATGCGTGTTTTTTCCTGGATAGATGGTCGCTCCCTTGTACAGCCCACTGCTACCCAGTCCCTCTTTCTTTGCGATTTGCGACAGGCATATCAAATGTAAAAGTGTCTGGGTCTGGAAGAATGCATGTTTGTCATGCTTGTCTGGCATGACTCTTAGATCTGTCATGCACGTTACCCAAGAGCTCCACTTTTCTGCGATGCAGGAACGCAGTTTGTCATGCAGATTAGGCAACACCTAGAAGCTCAGAAACTTGTCATGCTGAGCCAGCATCTGTGGCCTCATCATGAGACGCCACCCAGCATCACAAGTTTCCAGACCCAGACATTTTTACATTTGATAAGGCAATCCACGATGTTCCTGTAGTTCCGCCTTTCCGCCGCTGGCAGCTGCTATCCTGTGCAAAAGTATCGTGCTCGTATTGCAATCTTGCATTTACAAATCTTTTTCTTAAGGTAAATTCGCATTACAAATTTTATTTCTCATTCTGAGGAAATTTGTATATGCATTTATACGAATACGATACTTTTGCAGTCATAGCTGCGAGTCCGCGGCCATTCTCACAATCGCGACCTCGGACGGTGTGCCAAAAAAAGCCCCAATACCGCCGGAGGTCGCGCCAAACGCGATCTTCTCCAGAAACGTCGGGGAGGATTTGGGCCCATTTTTCGCCTTGTAGTCGGAAAGTAGGTAGTATCCACCAAGAAAAAAACTGTGTTAGTGTAGCCTTCTTTGGCTGACAGCATGGCACATTTGCTCTACATGACAGAGAAAATCTGTCATGCGTCGCTTGTAAAGGAAAACACACACGAAAAGAGGACTTCATGGCTGTCTGGCATGACCACAGGGGTAACTCTGTTGTATGTTCTGCATTTTTACAGAGTTACAATATACACAACTTTTTGTTTTTTCTTGCATAGGTAGGAGTAGATGCCCATCCGACCGGAGCCGTACATCCACTGGCGGAGAAAAGCCGCAGAAAGCCCGTTGTAAAGACCGGGCACACCTGGGAAGTGATTCGTTTTCATGTGCGATGCTGAAGCACGACGCATGCGGCGTGAAGTTTGTCTTTGTTTTCATCTTCATTTTTGCATCAAAAAAGCTGATGAAGGAGCCGATTTTGTTTGCGCTTGTCTATCGACCAGGCCAGATCAAGAGGTAGAATGATTCTTGACCTTGTGTAATTGTAAATCTAAATCAGGTAGTATACCAGCCTCCGCCACAATGTGTTTCGCCGTGCCAACAAAGCTCCTGGAAACCGTCCCGACCTGCATCTGAACCCGTAACACGTCGAAGGGGTGGCAAAAACACGCGGCCCCCATGCCGGAGACCGCCGAGTAGCACATCCTTGCGGGGAGGGACTCCGCGAACGAGGAGGTGCTCCTGGAGGACGAGGAGGAGGACGAGGAGGGCATTTTGTTGTTTTTTCACCGACTTCACGGCTTTATCGTACGTGCAGTCATGCAAAGCTTAGTCTTAGTGCCGGAACGAAAAGAACAGTCAGCACTTTCATCAAAAAAAAATTCGCTCGCGTCACACTCCCCCTCGAAGAAAATCTTCTGCTTCACTCGACCAATTGGGTACAGCTGCTGCGACGCTGCTTCGTGTTAGGCGCTCGCGGGTTTGCGGTGGTGAGCCTGGAGCTGACCATTCGTAGTTCGTGCTCCATTCACATTGACCAGTTCAATTATTATAAACCAAAGACACAATTTGTTTGTCTTTTTCCCTTTTTCCCTGCAACTCTGTCGAGAAATACTTGTGTGCCTCGCTTGTTCCTTCTGGTATGTGGAGAAGCATCATGTAGGTAGGCAAAAACACAGAATTCGTGTCCCAGCGTCGTCGAAACACAGCCACGCCATGACACGCTGTGGGGCCTCGGTGACATCTCCAGGCTTCAAGCTGCGGAGGACCTGCCAGTATCGATCCCACCGCCGAATCGGCTCGCCACCCGAATAGTAGACTTTAGCTTCGTACTAATCTCAATCACGACTTTCATGATCCACCAAACTTGTTTCTGTTTCAGGTTCACTTCTAGCCTACTTACTATATTCCACTTGCACTTGCTTGGTTGTAGTTGCCGAAAACTTGATTTTCACCTCGTCACTGACCACTACACTTTTTCGTTGCACTTTGAATTACACTAGCTCTACCATATCAGCGATCACCTCGTCGTAGCCAACAAGATAACATCTGCCCGCGGCTGACGCTGACCCTTTCTGGTTGTAAAAAAAGCGAAGAAGAGCGCTGACCTGTTTGCAGGTAGCAGCAGCAGTCATTTGCCCGAGTTATTTCTACCTCGACTGGAACATAACTAAATGAAATTATAACCGTAGAAATTTTCTAAATCTTGTATATTGTTTGATAAACGTGGTCCGGTCTCCTGATGTGATCAATCTTATCTCAAATCAGGGTCGACAGAAATCCCTTGGTCCACTCCTGCTGCGCCGAGGCCTTCTCCGGATCACGGGTTTTCTTCGTGGTCGCCAAATTACCTGTAGCCGCAACCGTCGTAGTGGTGCTGTTCTTGTTATTTGTCATGCTTCTACCTATCGCCGATGTCGACCCGGATGTTAAACTGTGATTTATTTCAAACAACTCGGTCTGATACCGATGCTCGATCATTTTCTCGTCCACGGCCTGCTTCAACATCTTCCCCGCATTGGAATAATACGCCGGCGCATGATCGTCGTGCTGGCTATACCCGGCGTGTTGAGATGAACTACCAGCCGGTCGTCCTGGTTTATTGTTGACGTTCTTCTTCTCCATCAGCTGCTCTCGCGGTGTGTTGAGATTTTGCATCTCCGCAGCGAGTAGGAGAACATTGTCCCCGATGGACAAAGCGTCGCACTTCAATCCGGCTTCCGCAATATTCTTTTTCACGAAATCGGTTTTGCTATTCATTTTGCTGTCCTGGTTTAGGTTTTTGCTTCCACCTACATCTTCATCCACACGGGCTGGTGCGCCACCAACGCCAGTATGTAGTAATTCTTGCTTTCCCACTCCACTATTTCTCGTCGTGGTCCTGGTGCTGTGTCTGCCAACGGAGCTGGAGGTCCGCGCGGAAATTGGAAGGCCGTTCAGATCGTACTTGATTTGGTCCGCTCTTTTGCCATTCTTGCTTTCGTTGGCGAGCAAACGCGAGCATCGGGGCGGCGGGCCCAGGCGGTCGTACTCGTCCGGCTGGCGGTAGCCTAGGGAATTACGGTTTTTCATCACCGCAGCTTATGTGTTTGCACTTGTAGTTTTGCAGCGCAGGCAGCATGACACGAATGATTTCATCTCATGCGTGTTGTCAGAGAAAATTCCAAAAAACATCTTTCTGTACCAAAAGTTTTGTGGAAGCCCGCAGTTAGGTCGTCTTTTGGCGGCTTCACGTAGTTCTCGTTCATATTCAGGATGTCTTCGTCCAGAGACGACACAACTCCCTTGCCCTTCGAGGCTGGCACTACAGCCCGTGACATTCTACTGCTCATAGTCGGCGACTTCATCGTTGATCGAGCCGCTCCTGTCCCTGCCGCGCCGGAAGACATTCTCGCAGAGCCAGTTGCTGGTCCTCCGGTAGAAGATGCCCGTGGTACAACTAGCGGCTTGGAACTTGTTGCCCTGGAGCTCGACACAGGCGTCGTTGAGTAGTTACTCGGCTCGACTGAAATCGGCAATTTGGGGATGTACGGCATGCCAGAGGAAGTAAAGCCACTGAAACCCGGTCCCGGTCCTGTGGTCGCTCTTTGACTTTGTCGCTGGTGGTGCATCGAGTTATACTGTAGATGTTGCCCGCGCTGCTGATAAGAGCTTGTACTTGGGTGGTAGTTCTCGCGACTGAAAATTTTCGCAAGTAAGCTTTCCGCCTCCGCGTCTCGTTCAGCGGTCTTCAGAAAGCGGGCATTGAACCGGGTGATCTGATGCGCAGGATTTTTTGAAATCTACTTCTCGCTTCGTCCACGTGCATTTGCAATTTCAACATTTACTGTTTTTGTGGGAACCACTCCTAGGATTTTCAGCTCGACAATGAGTATGAGTGTCGGCACGACTACAAGCACGAGCACAAACAGCAGCTCTATACTTCCTCCTCAACCAGCATTTCTAGTTCCTCCCAACCGAGCCCCTGGATCCGTTCTTCCATAACCTCGGACATCGTTGGCGCTCGCCTTGTCGGCGAAGCAGAAATCTTTTTGTGACATTAAAATATTTACGAGGCAAATGTAATGAGTATTTTTTTCTTGTGATGACGTCTCGAAACCAAAGAAAAGAATTCCTATTCCTTCGCGTCATGATTTTCGTGAGAAAGAGAACGACGGAAAAGACAGACGCAGATGTTGCGTAGTACTAGAAGGTTTTCAATAGCTTTCACTTCAAGTTTCTTACCCTGCTCGCAGAATTGGTGACTTCCGTTACCGTTTTCATCGTGCCCTGCTCTACTGCGAAATGGCTTTCCTGCGCGTCTCCACCACCCTGTCCAGCGTGTTTCCTCTGATCAAATGGCGGTGGTCGCGGTGACCCCAGCGGCTCGACCCCTAGCTTCCGCGGATCTCCCAAACCCGCGAGCAGCCGCTCAAGTTTGGATTGCCGCGTTTGCTGGCAAGTGCGGGGGCTCTTCGGGGGAGAGGAGGGATTGATGTCTGGTTGTGGATTTTCGGATGCCAGTGCAGCAGGAAAATACTTCATCTCGTTTTCTGCGTTAATATTTGATGGCGGAGCACCAGAAACAGCACCTCCCGCCGGCCTGCCGCGCGAAGAGGCCGCGCTCTTCGAAGTTGGAGATTGGCAGCTTCTTGTGTCTTCATTCGCCATCAATGGAGGATCTCCACGCTGCTGTAGCTCTCCGGATCGCGACGGTGCGGACGGTGCCGCCTGGTTTTTCCGCACCGAAGGTGTTGCTGCTTGTGCAGCAACTGGATTCATCCCAGCTGCTCCTCTTCCAGTGCCGCGACTTGAACTGGATCCTGCTGTAGTTGTTCCTGCGGCGGTGCCGTGTTGCCGCGTTGTGGCCGCGCTTCGAGCCGTGGCTTTCGCCGCCGCTCCAACACCGATTCCGGATGAAGCAGAAGTGGTCAGCTTTTGATGTGCAACTGCAACTGGTTTTGTTGACTTCGGGCCACTGGTTGCGTTTTTGCTAGAGAAGTATCCTGCTGAGGAGGGGGCCACCGCGTTTTTATTCGGACCTAGAAGTACCTGATGGTCGTCCTGCAGGAGCAACAAATTTCTCGCGTAGCCACTCTGCGCGGCTGTGGCGCTGGTGTTCGCTACGGACGCGGACGCGATACTGGGGCCACCAGCCTTCGGAGAAAAAATCACGTCGGCTGTACCTGGTCAAGTTTTCACTTTCTGCAATTCAAATCCTATTCAGCTGTTGTAGTTGTCACATGTGTTCCTCTTTTTGGTTCAAACAGGAAATGCAAATGCCTTCGCCCACCAATCATGGAATCAATTTGCATCTCCATCTCACCTGCGAAGCCCGTCCTTGCCCGGAGGTCTTCCTCCACGCGGCAGGCAGATTGGAGCATTTCCGTTGCGCACTGGATCAGGCCAAAGTTGTTGTCTGCGGCATCATCCTCATCCGCGTCGTTCATTCTGCCGTCTTGTCGGTTGTCGACGTCATAGGATGCTCGCGGTGCGAGAGGTGGGACGGTTTTCTGCAATCCTGCCTGTTTGTTTCTTCCTAAAAATGAATACTTGCTTCCGGCACTGGTAAAATGCATGGTAGCTTCTACACGACTCGTATCTCCAAATTACCAGGCAACTCTCGCTCAGTGTCAGTGGTCAAAATCATGCTCCACTTCAGACATCATGCTCAAGCTCATGGACACGACACGTCGTCTTGTTCGTTGAAATTGAATGTAGGACCATGACTATTAGCCCGTGCCCGACCCCTACCGCCACTCGCTCTCGCTCACTGAACAACAAAGACGCTGCAATAGGCAAGTCACACACAGAGGAACCCCGCCGCCACCGCGTTCTGTACTCGGCAACCCAAATAATGACTCTGCTTGCCTAGCGTCACACAGGGGATGGCGCGTGCACATCACAGCAACGACAGGAGGCGCACGGAGCGGTCGCCGCTAATACAACTAGCCCGCCAACCCCCCGAAGCTACAGGGCCACAATGCAAGATGGCGCCCGCGCCCAGGCAGATGACGTTGACGCCGCCAGCTGCCCTCGCTAATACGAGTGAACCCGCAACGCAACAGGCCGGCGGCTGCGCCGAAAGTCCGTCGGGTCGGGAGGCCCCGCCAGGCGAGCAGGGACAAGAGAGGCGCCGGGGATCCGGAAAAAAGCAAACCGGCACCAACACCGGGGGAGATTTCTTGGCGCGGGCGCCCAATCCCACAGCCCGGGCCCCCCTTCCTTGGTTTGCTGCGCGGAGCAAGGCAGGCCGCCCGGCAACAAACGGCGAGGGCGCGGCCGGCCGCGCCACGGGCCACGGCCCGGGGCCGTTGTAGTTTTCGCGAACGGCGGGGGGGGGAGTGGGCACACGCGCGGACGCCGGCGGACTCCGCTTGAAAACGGGATCGCTTTCATCTGCTGCTCCGCACGCAGGCACGCACGCCGACTTATGGACGGCGACCGTCGGCGCCCGGCGCCCGCCTGCCGACCCGTCCAATTGCCACAGGCGCAACGCGGTCCAAACCCTGGCGCAAGGCCCGCCCCAAACGGATGACGCCCCCGACACTTTTAACAGCGCGCCCCCGGGCGCCATCCGGCACGGAGACCGACACGCGCGGCGCCATGCGCCACGGATTACGCGCGAGCTCTGACTCAGACTCTCCACTATGTCGCATTCACCAACTCCAGCACTCACATTGACAAAAGGCTGGACGAGCAGGCCTGCAAAAGCACCTCGTCTCAACTACAGACCAACTCAGCAACTGCCCAACTAGATCGAAGGGCTACTACACGACGTTGAAGTTTGAAAACCGAACACACGACAGCGCCGTCCATCGAAGTCAGCTGCCACAACGACAAACGAAAGATTTCTGAGAAGTTGTAGTTTCCAGCTTCGTTCAGAATTGGAGTTGTGTGCGTCAATGAATAACATCCTCGTTGATGCTTCATCTTGTATACATCCTCTTCAATTCCCGCCCGACCTAGATGTGCAAGAGCTCAGCGCCTGCCCCAAGTACGACTGCGCGAACGCCTTACTTCGAACCGACGAACTTTCTCGCTCCACATCCCCCTTCCCATCTTCCCCGGTCTCGACCCCCGCAGCACTTCCTCCCGGAGCCGCTTCGCCCTCCTGCCCCCGACCGGAGTCCATATTATTTCGCGCAGAAGCTACAGCACCTCCTCCTCCAACTGCTCCAAAAAACCCAACATCCTCCTCAGTTCCATAGCTCATGTCGCCGTTGACAAGCCGTTCCAACCGCTGGTCCAATTCTGCGCAAAACAAAGCCGCGACTTGCAGCGACCGCGCTGTTTTGTAGGCCATTGGCACGTTGAAATACTGCTCGCTCAGCGTTTCCCGCTCCCGCAGCCGGTCCGGCAGATACAGCCGCGGCCCGGCGAATTCCGCCTTGCTCTGCCGCGCGGAGGAGCCTCCGGAGTGGTGCGAGCGCTCCGTAGGAGGGAGGTCTTGCCCGCCGTGGTCCTCACCAGGGACTACATCTGCCGTCGGTCGTGCAACTCCAGCCCCTGGCCCTGCTTCTGCTCCATCCCCGCCGGTTGTAGTACCTGGACTGGTGCCCGCCCCTGGAGCTTGTAGTTCTTCTTGCGCAGCAGTTCTACTTTTCACGTTGTACGCAGTCTCGTCCTCCTCCCGTAAGTACTTCAATGTCCACTTGCTCGCGTCTTCGGACTCAATGTGCTTCAGCTTCCGCAAGTTTTTCTGGATGAAATAAAGGTCCGCCTGCTCGAGCTGTTTCAGCAACTCGGGGTGTTTCGCCACGGGGAAGTCTATGCTTTGGGAAAGACTACTTACCTCACGCAGCTCTGATGTGTCATCTTGGCCCAAAGACGTCGCTCGAGGGACCACGCTCGAGATTTCCAGCGAGCCCGAGGGTGGCGACGGTGATTCCGTTCCCGACAGTGCCACCCCGGACGTTTGCCGTTCCACGGTCAAATTGCGAGAAAGCACCTCTTCGGTCATTTCCTCCTGGTTGTTCGGGCTCTCCTCTCCTCGGGACCTTGTCCTGGTCCGGGCTCTGACTCCTAGTGCGGATGGCTGCTCCAGGATCGGTTTTGCCAGCAGCGCTTTCGAACAGACAATTTCCAGCGCGTTGCTACTTCTCTTCACCAAGCCACGGACGTACCGCAAATCGTCAATTTCCATGCCCATCTGGTTCACACTCGCGGTACACGCAGCGATCTCCTGGTCGCGCAGAGTTGCCTGTACCGCCTCCCGCCCGGGGATGGAGTTCATGGTCTGCGTGTCTATCAACTGGCTGATGCGAAAGAGGTACTGGAGATTCACCTGGTTCTGTCTGGTCAAGCTTCCGTTCGGCGCGCGGAAATCGGCGAGCCACGCGATTTGGCAATTTTTGTCCAGCGTGTTTGGTGGGGGGAAAAACGCGAGGCGGGGCTTCTCCATGATTTGCATGTGGTCAATCACTTTCAGCCGCATGGCGACCCGTTTCCGAAGCAAACGGTTACGGACGGAAGAGGTGATAATGGAGGCCGCAGCGACTGAGGTTATGTATTTTGTCGGTTTCTTGGGTTGTAAACAAGAGTTGCAGCCACAGCTGTCGTGTGCCTGGTGCCCGATCCTAAAAATGCGCGAATACGAATTCGAATGGAATGCTCAGCATCAGGAGCAAAAGCCCGAATTATATGGCAAAACGAACTATTTGTGGTCGCTTCTACCTATACATAGAGCTTTTACCATGTTTCCTTGACTGCCCCGGATTTTTCGCGATTGCCAGCGTCAAGCAGCGCCGCAGGTGCTGTTGTGGTGCGGTAAGCAGCACCGTGCACTCCTCGATCTTCAGGATTCGTTCCGGTTTCGCCATACCCTCCTCATCTGCTAGTTGCGCAGCTTGCTTCTTCAGAGCTTTCTTCTCCTCGCGCTTCACCTTGAAGATGTTTTTGGAGATAGATCAAATCGGCTAGTGGCGTTTCCAAAACACCATCACCAAGAACAGTGAGTAGAATACACGTCTTGACCTTGAAATGAAAACTGCAGAGGAAAATCAAAATTCACATTTTTATACCAGTATCGTGAGGTCTTTGAGCGTGACCCTCGGGTCCCGTACCATGAAGTTATCTTTTGCCAGTTTGTAGGCTTTTTCCCCGAACTATGCGAGTGTCAGGATTGAAATTGACAACGTTGAAAAAACTTGTAATGCATAAAATCGATACCAGTTGGAAGCCCAATTTCCAAGCGGTGCATGACAAATTTCGCAACCGTCTACATCCAGTTTGTCATGCTGTTTGGGCACAGAAGAGTGCTTTTGTCATGCTTCTGTAGCAGCTCTATCCCAAACCCTAAATAGGCTCACAATCTGCCTCACTTGCCATCCCGGCAAGACAGGCACTTCATGCCTTGCATTTTATGCATGGCAAATCATTTCAACTCTGACGATTTCAATCCTGACACTCCCATACAAACAAAATCTGTCCCACCGTGTCCAGCCGGATCTTGATTGTGGTACTGTCGTTGATTTGCCTTTCCCGGTCCATGTCAAAGGTCGGCGCGTTCCCGGAAGCGTTTACGTAGGAGTCCACCGTGCGTGGCTTGTGCTTCTGCTGCAAGAGGTAGAGAAAGTTGAACCCCGGGTCCAGTTGCAGAAATCTTTTCTCGAAGGCGTCTTTTTCGTGGTGAAAGTAAAGCAGGGGAATCCCGTGTGCATTGCAAATATGTCTGGGTCTGAGAGATTAGAACTTCTCATGCTAAATCTGAATGATGAAAAAATCTGTGTTGCGTGAGTGCCAAAAGCTGTCCGCTTTTGACCAAGTTGAGAGAGAATTTCTCACGCAGGAAAGGCATGATAGAGACCTCAAAGAATCTGTCATGCTGGGTGTCGCATTCCGGACCTCATGGGTCATGGAAAACCTGCATCACAAATCTTGCAGTCTTCCAGACCCAGAAATATTTGCATTTCATATCCCGGAAAACAGCACATTTTCCACGGACGTGACCTTGGCCCCGCGCGCCACCGCCCGGTTCCGCGACCCGGAGTGCCAGAGCCGGATGCCGTGCGACACGCGGCAATACTCGGTGAGGATGGGCTCAATGAGCGTTTTCACGCTCTCCCGCTGCTCTTTGTTTTCGTTGCTGCTCGACTGCACGCCGGAGCTGGGCGGGGCAAGCAACGCGGACCCGGGCTCAGATTCGGGCGCGGCCGCGATCGAGGCGGCGCGGGCCGAGTTCGCGGGCGTGAGTGCGGTGCCCCAGGTATCGTTCCCGAGATGATCCTTACTGTCATGGAAGGCGAGGGGCTCCAATTTAGGGATGGAAGGCTTCTTCTCGTCGCGGTCCGGCATGTTGATCTTGGACTAGGCGGAGGTGGTTGTGATGTTGATGTTCTTTTTGGTACAGGTGGAAGAGTTCTCCTTGACCTCCTGGTCAAAGGGCTACCGGGGCCGGGCCCGGGCAGACGGGGTTTTAGGATTTAATAGCGCTCCCAGAATACAAAACCTTGGCGGCTTCCAGTTTTGGCTTGATGTAACGGTCAGCAGAACCTCCCGCGGCCAGGTCAACGAACTCGCCTTAGGGAGATGCAGAACCAGGATGACGAGAGTGTTGCAACGCAGAAGACGGAACAGTGGCGCTTGTCCATCTTGTTTGACGAGTGCTTTCAAGTTGTGTAGGAAGTGGATGCACTCAAGAGACTCTCAAACTCAAAGCGAGGAAAAAAATCATTCGCAGGGCACTCGTCCGACAGCATGTTTCCCTCAGAAGTAATTGTCATTGTAGCTGCTTCCTCATGAAGTTGAAGATCAAAAATCTCGCTCACCACATTGATGCTGCGTCAGAACATCGGCATGCAGTTGTCTCGACAGCTGCAACCAGTCCCCGAAAGCAGGAGGCTATGAAGACGAGCCCCGGTGTGGGTTTCTCGTTTCTGGGTGAATCTTACGAAAGCAAATTTTACACACAAAAGACTTGTTTACAGGCAGAAGCTGTGTGGGTCAGTTTCAAGTATTCAGAGTCACAACTAAGTACCTGCTTTGAAGCAGGCAAAACTTAGTCGCTTTAGGGAAACCAGTGGAGATTTACTGTACAGTTTTGGAACAAAGAAACTACAGGTAAAGGTATTCAATCACTTTGCATGCGCAGAAGGCAACAAGTCTATGTCTACGAGGAAAGTAAAAGTAGCCGTAAAGATGAATCATCACTTTCATTTCGCAGTAAGTTGTTCGAAAACCCTTACTGCTAATCGCGGTTCGCAAGTTTTTCGAGTAGCTGATTCATTTTGATGAGCTCCGCTTCCATCGCCGACATTCGCCTTCGCAATTCGTGCTTCTCCGATTCCGAAGATGCATCTTCATGTTCTTTGTCGTTTTTTTGGTGTGTGTCAGATCCAGCACCGTCGGTGGGGTTTCTCATGATTCTGCTGTCGTTCTGTGCACGAGACGAGGACGGCGGCAAGTAGTTATTTACTGCGGTACTTCTTTGTGGAGGTGCTTCTTGTGCACTATGGTAGTTCAATGTCATGTCTCCCTCGTCTAGACGTCCAGATTCCGACGCTGATTCGCCCGGTCTGTAGTCCGCAGCCGCGTTGACGGTTCGTCTTTTGGTTTTCAGTTGTTCCCTTCTTCTCTCCCTTTCGTTGTGAAGCACGGAGATGAAGGCCTGCGACGTTCGCTCGATGTCAGCTTTTTCTGCCGCTGAGTTGTAGTAAAACAGATTGGCTTGAAGATCATGTTGGTGCTCTTCGTCTTCATGGTCTCCTTGGCCACCACGTTGTACTTCATGTAAATGATGCCTCGCTCTGGGCGTGGACGCAGATGAGGATGTGCCGCTGAACAGACCCCCTCCATCTCGTCCTATAGGGAATTTCTCATGCGCACCCTCCTTCTGCGCCGCACCAGAATCCTCTGTAGCAGCTCCGCCAACCTTCATCGCATTCATCATCTGATCCAAAGCACTCCCCGGGTTTTTCTCCGGATCTAGGTTTCCGAATCGCACCAAGTCCTCTTCTTTATCTTGTTTCTCACCCTGCTGGTGTTGAGGATTGGTCTTCGCCTCCGCTTGGAGATACTTTTGCAGGTCCGCCTTGATTTGCGTCACGAGTTTCAAAATCCGCGTCACCTCGATGGGTGCGTCGGAGGTGATTCGCGCCAGCATCGCGTCGCAAAACTCGTCAATCCCGATCAGACCGCCGCCATCCACGTCGAGCATTTCAAACAGCTGCAGCGGGCTGTGGCTGCCCATGAAGTGCTCTAGCTCCTTCCGCAGGTCGTCGTTCTCCGTCATGCCCTTGACAACCTCCTCCTTTGAAATATCGCCCGACTTGTCCTCGTCGAGCAATGCGAAAATCTTCCGCACTTCCGGCATCATTCCCTCCAACTTCTGCTTCTGGTATGCGGCATTCACCTCTTTGTCCTCGTTCGAGCACTCGATCGCGTTCTGCACCAGAACCGCCGTCACCAGGTTCATCATGGCGACAGACACGACGAGGAGGAAGGGCATGAAGTAGAAGAACAGCGCCGGGTGGAACTTTATCAGAGGGGTATAGACCGACCCGATGGAGTCCAGAGTGACGAACTGGAGCAACACCAGCATGATGGAGAACAAACTGTCAAAGTTCTCTTCCACAATCTTGTTGCACTCCGGGTTATCTGCGTAGGCGTTTTTGTTCTTCGTGATGATTTCCACCCCAAGAACCGCGGTCAGGTACACCGACATAAAAATCAAGAGGAAGGTGAAAAGAATGGTGTCCATGGAGGTCAGGAGGCCCCGGACCAACATCCAGAGGGTCTTGAACGTCACAATCAAGCGGACCTGAGGTTGTAGTGAAATATGAAATTTTTGTTTTTGGGTGGTCAGTACAAAGAACTGACATCAACTTTTTGTTCTGTGTGTCATTCGCATAGAAAGAACGCATCATATTCATCATAAAGAAATCACTCCAATTTTCTATACCGCCCTGGCCAATCGCAGCAGCCTTAGCACCCGCAGGACTAATATCGGCTCCAGCGCACTCGGCGTGGACGTGAATATCAGCGGCATGATCCATTGGGACAAAATGCCCACGCAGACCAGGCAGAAGTCGAACAGTACCCAGTATTACAATGAAATATGCCCCCACCCCCGAAGTTGAAAGCATTTGTATTGCAAACCTTTCCAAATAAAACGCTCGCCCTCTTGCATCTATCAGCATCACAGGTTTCCAATCGTGAGTAGCAAAAATTTGTATTGCAAAGGACCCCAGGAAGAGCGGCGCTTGTCATGCAAGCGATTCGATACACGCCTAGACCCTGCATCAGAAAGACTCGTACTCCTTTCATGCATGACAAAAAGTTTTCACTTGGAAACTTCGCATCACAAATTTTTGCAACTTTGGGGGTGGGGGCATTTTTCACTGTGATACCCAGCGCGAACCCACTAGCGACCGCAACACCCCGAAGGCGAAGAACCGCGCGCCAATCTCGAACACGTAGATGATCAGGAAGAAGTGCTCGATAATTTGGAACGCCGTCGTGTCCCCGTCCTCCACCTCCGTTTGGGATTCCCACCCGATGGTGATCGAGTTCGCCACGATGATTATGCCGATGTAGAGGTCGAAATTTTGTTTGTTCAAAATCTCCGCCACTTGCACCTTCCACAGCTGCACTTTCACGTCCCAACCGGTCAGGTTTGACTTCGTGCTCATCCGCACCAACTTGTGCACCCCGCGCAGACTGGCACCGCGGCCGATGGCCCCGAACTTGGCGTCTTCCCGGGACCTCTGCAGCATCTCCGCCTCCTGGTGCAGGAGTCGCTTCCGGTTCTCCGCCATGGTCTTTCGGCTGTCGTTATGAATTGCAAAAATGTCTGGGTCTAGAACAAGATTGCAACCTGTCATGGTAAATCTGAAGCATGCAAAAATCTGTGATGTTGCATGAGTGCTAAAAGCTGACCACTTTTGACAAAGTTGGAACGGAGTTATTTCTCATGCAGAATAGGCATGATAGGGACCTCACAGAATGTCTGTCATGCTAAGTCCCGCATTCCAGACCTCATGGGTCATGGAAAATCCGCATGACAAGTTTACACTCTTCCAGACCCAGACATTTTTCCGCTTGATAGTCGTCCGGGTGAAACACCACGTGGTGGTGATCTTTGGTCACCGTATCGACTTCGAGTTTCGTCTATCCTGTGCAAAAGTATCGCACTCGTACAAATGCTAATGCAAGTCTTGCATTACAAATCTTATTTCCAAGGCAAATCTGCATTACAAATTTTATTTCTCATGCTGGGGAAATTTGTAATGCTAATGCATTTATACGAGTACGATACTTTTGCAGTTCATATCATCGCCGTGCCAGATTTCTTCGGACCGTGGTGGGGTTGACCTTCCACTTCCGCAAGCGGGTCTTCTTCATCTGCTGCGGGCGGAAATTCTGCTTCTTCTTGTTGGGCTAGGGGTTGGGGGGCACCATCCGGATAATTATTTCCCCCAGCCCTTGGATCGTCGCTGTCGTTGACCTGCATCATTTGCGGAGGAGGGTCCAGGTTATCCTCCGTGTCCAGCGCCATACCGGTCCTGTCAGACGACCGCGACTTCTTTTAAATCAGTGGTCTCGACGTCCCAGAAGGCAATATTCAAGTGGGCAGCAAGAACAGATCAAGTTTTATTTACCGGTTTCATCCGGGGCGCTTTCTTCATAGTCGTAGGAAGTTTCGTCCCGTATTCGTCGAGCACAAAATTCAAAGTTCCTTTTGGTCGTTTTGGTACAGTTTTCTTAAAATTTCAAGTGGGATAAGCTACCGGGGAATAGACTCACTTCTAATTCTAACAACTCCTGGCACTACCGGGTAAGCTAATGTACATGATCTAGATGATTGTGATTGATAAAATGGAAAATGAAAGAGGGGGTCCTGGAAGCCGTGACAATTGTTTGCGAGATTTTTAAGTTTGCGATACTAATTCGCAAAACAACCTACGGCTGCCGTTAAACAACCAGGTCGATGAATTCAACAGTGGTCAGAGCCAGAGGCGAACGAAACTATGAAAATGCACGAATCTTGTAGTACACCGAGATAGAACTTGATGTTGCACGACAACGTCGACAAAATTTCTTTGCACGTCGACCGAGTTTCATCTGAGTACTGGTTTTCTAATTCTTTTCGGACGAACAGCTAGTACTGGATACAACTTATACATCCACAGCTACACAAACCGATCTGACTTCTGTCATTTTCAAGAAGAACCGAGCCACTTCTACTTCCTCAGTGTGAACAGCAGTGAAGTTGTTGCCTTCCAGCCAAGGTGCCTCTGATCACGCACGTCGATGCGGCACACGCATTCTATCATAAAGAAACAGAAAGATGAAACAAATCGTGGAAAATCGAGATCAGAAAAATCTTGTGACATGAAGGGTAGGCGATACGGAGTTTGGAGTATGTTTGAATAGGAGGGATGTAGAACCCCGCGATCACGGCGAGAAGTAGGGGTTTCTTTTTATGCATATGCATATGGGTGGAACTACCAGTTTGTGTTTCTTGCGCCGTGGACGTCCACCGCATCTTCGCGACTTTCGTTTTTATATTACAGCTTTTGGTTGTATACTACATTTGCAACTGCAGCTAGCACTTATGTGCATAAAACCTTACTACGAGAGGATTTGAATGTCGTACATGAATGTTGAGACTCGAACTTCTATACTGCGAACCATTTTTCCTCAGTCTGCCTCTGTGTGAAATTCATATCTTCTTCTTGTCGTCCAAGGTTGAAGATGTTCCCGGTAGCTGCTCCCGCAGCTGCCCACTTTCCTCCAACTTTTTGCTCAGCTTGGACACTATGCCCTCCAACTTCCGGAATTCCCGTAGCAAGAAATTGGTCTGGCTGGCGAAGTATGCAATGCAAAAGCATCGCACTAGTATAAACCAGCCATGCCCCGGCTGACGCCGGGGCGAGTGGCTGTTGTGGTGGGGCAGGACTATTTGCGGATCGGGCCACAGCGCCAGAGCTTTGCGCGCGGCGTGATCGGTCGATGGAAATATTGGCGCCGGTTTGCGCCATCTCAACCCGCTGGGCCTCCTGCGCGCTTCCCGCGCCTTCAGGCGCTACGCGCAGGGAGCAGCTGCAGCGAAGCTTGGGGGCGAAACGAAGCCGCCTCGGCGTAGGTGCCTGCCGAAGCAGAACGGGGGCCGCGCTGCCCTTTTTGATCACGCGCGACAGGGTGGCCTGAGAGGGTAGCGCGAGAGGGTGGCGCGAGAGGGTGCGCGAGACGGTAGCGCGAGAGGGTTCGGGCCTATGCATGAAAAGGCCGCAAAAAAGCAGCTCTGTGCCGGGCGGATTCGGGTTTTTTCACCCCTCTCGCAGACCCTCTTTTTCACCTCTTCCGAGAGGTGTTGCTAATAATCCGGCTATACTCGCCGGTAGAGGTCTATAGAGGTGGCCGAGAGGTGGCCCAGAGAGTGCGCGAGAGGTTCGCCCTTATTCGCGCAACCTCTCGGCACCTCTGTCCACCTCTCGCTTACCCTCTCGGGACCCTCTCGGCCCCCTCTGGTCCCTATAGGCGCGGCTTTAGGGTGAACGGCTCGGCTGGCTATACCCGCGCCACCTCTCTGCCACCCTCCCGAATGGCCTCCCGCGCGACCTCTCCACCTCTGTCGACCTCTTTTTGACCTCTGTTGACCTCTTTTTGACCTCTCGGCCACCTCCCTTCGACCCTCTGTAGACCTCTTTTTTCGCATGAATATAATAGATAGTAACTCAGCATGACAAGTTTATAATCTTCCAGACCCAGAGCCAGACATTTTTACATTTGATAAGCACCCTGCCCATGCAAAAGGGCAGCGGCACCTACTACATTATGGGATTCTCAAACGTTACATTCTCAACTGTTACATGGATTTGCCATGCAAAATTGCCATTGCCCTCCACTTGATCAAGCTGCTTAGCATGACAAATTTTCGAAGGGCTAAGCAGTATGATACTCTGTAGAAAATCTGTGATGCGAAAGTTGCAACGTTGCCACTTTCACTGTTGCTGTTCTTGCATATACAAATCCATGTAACAGTTGAGAATGTAACATTTGAGAACGCCATATACATTGATGCCAGCTTTGGCGCCGCCAAGGGGATCGACGAAAAAACGCAGATGGCCAAGCCAGAAACCGATGTTGAGGAGCTGCAGTATGGGTGGATTCTCGAACGTTGCACTCATCTCAACTGTATACATGAATTGTCATGCAAAACTAGCAACAACATCCACACGATCATGAAGCTGGGGATCCTTGACCTGTGGCGCAGGGAGCGGGTGTCCACTACGTGATAATGATGATGATGTTGAAGCTACTTCGCATGACAAGTTTCTGAACGGTGAAAGAAGCCGAGTTTGTAATGTTGCCAGTAGAGGTGCAACAGACCACACTCCGTCCTTTCACTTTTTGCTTATAATTCTTGCGTCGCAAATTCATGCATACAGATGTTGACTGCAATGCTTGAGAATCCCATACACAGCCGGGCTATTTCTCCATTAGGGCGGAAAAATCGGCAAATCGCATCATTTTTGCCAGCGCACTTATTGGGGGGGTAAAAAAAGTTTTTTTGTTGGGGGCGCAACATCTTGGNACCCTCTGTAGACCTCTTTTTTCGCATGAATATAATAGATAGTAATCGCATGACAAATTAGCTCAGCATTACAAATGAAATTTGTAATGCTATTTTGCCTTAGGAAAGAGATTTGTCATGCATATGCGCAATTAGTACGAGTACGATACTTTTGCACAGGATACGAAGTGAAAGGAAATTTCGGACTCCCGGGCCTTCAAAATTCCGGACACAAACTCTTCCATCGACAATTCGCCACTCTGGTCCGTGTCCAGGGTCTCAAAGAGCCAATCTATTTCCGATTCCTGGACGTTCAATGTCGTGATTTTTTCCCTGAGAAGCATCTGTGTTGTGCTGAATCTCTGGATCTGCATGCCGTCTTGCTCCTGTTGCTCTCCTCCAGCAAGGTCCGCTGGATTTTTTCCGCTTCCGTTCCGATTCTCCTGTCCAGGGTCACCCACCTCCGCACCCATCGCCCTCTTGAATTCGGTCCGGCTGACACTCCCGTCCCCGTCTGTGTCCACCAAGGCGAAGACGATTTTCAGTTCCTGCGCCATCGCGGTTTGCTGCTGCTTGATTTGCTGGACCAGTGTCAATATGAACTGCAAAAGTATCGTATTCGTATAAATGCATTACAAATTTCCTCAGCATGAGAAATAAAATTTGTAATGCAGATTTACCTTAACAAAAGGATTTGTAATGCATGATTGCAATACGAGTACGATACTTTTGCACAGGATAGTCAAGTCTGCGGTGTTCGCGGCCGATTGCAAGGTGTCGACGAGCACACCCACGAAATATCCTTTGTAAAAACGTCCCCACCCCAGAGCTGTCATGCAAATGCGCAATGGCAGAAACATCTGTAATGCGCATCTCCATGGGAGGCATTTCCAATCGTGTTTTGAGATGTGTAATGCTGTAAACAGTATGAGAAAGTGGCTTTCTCATGCGGCTTGCCTTGCTAACCAGCACTAAACTGCAGATGGGAACTTGTCATGCAGAACTCCCAAAACTTAGGAATTTTTGTTGCAGACTTCCGATCTTGACTGTGGTGTGGGGACGTTTTTACATAGGATACGAAAAGCGACATCATCATAAAATTCGTGATGACGATGAAGATGGCGAAGAAAAACCCGTACGCGCCCGTTTCCTCCATCATAGTCCGTGCAATGTCCGGCCAATTTTCCAGCGTGACCACCTGAAACAGCGTCAGCATCGACGCGGAGACGCTTTCGAAGTACTCATGGACCTTCTTCCGGTCCGGGTCCACCGTGTTGGTCGCCTGCTCCTGCTCGGTCCCCTCGTAAAATTGGTTGCCTTTGACCTGCGACGTGAGCAGGATCGCGCACACGTAGATGATCATGCAGAGCAGTACCATCACCCACACGATGGAGCGCAGCGCCCGACCCAGCCCGTGCACCAGGATGTACAGGTCCTTCACGTACCGAATTAATTTTATCGACCGCAACACGCGCAGCAAACGCAGAATACGCAGGGCGGACACGCTCTTCGCATTGTTGTCGTCCGCGAAGAAGAGCGCGAAGACCCACACGTCAATCGCGGACACCAAAATGACCAGCGCGTCGAGGCTGTACCAGGATACCTGCACGAAGCGTTCTGTTCCGCTGTATATGCATTCCAAAAGTATCGTACTCGTATAAATGCGCAGCTAGCATTACAGATCTGCTTTATTACCCGAATCTGCATGAGAAGTTTCATTTTTCTTCCAGGAAAAATTTGTCATGCAATTCATACGTATTACGATTCTTTTGCAATGCATACTGTACAACGTCATCCAAACCATGCCGTACCGGAAGCAGTTTTTCGCCGTCAATTGCATCTCCATCTCGATAATTTCCAGCTCTTGGGGGACGATCACTGTTGAACTGGTCTCCGTCGCGTTGCTAGTTGTACCAACGGTCTGCGCACCGTCCGAGTTGGTCGGGCTCGTAGGCGGGGGAAAATCATTTGTTTTGCCATTTTGACCTACTTCTTCAAGATCTTGATCTTCTGTCGCACTGTGCCTCCCCTCGACTCCGTCCCCCCCGTCCAGAATGTCTATGTTGAGCGAGCTTCTCCCCGTTCGGTTCACCCTTCGCATGGACTTCGTTGCGTTCTCATTCAGCTCGTCCTCGATGCCGTCCCGGTCCAGCAGCGCTCGCTCACGGGCCCCCGCCAGCCGTGCGTTTTTCGCGTTCAGAATTTCCCGCAGCTGCGCGTTCACCAGTTCGTCGCCGGTTGACTCCGGGTCGACATAGATCGTAACCACCTTAATCTGGATTTCGAACCGCAGCCGGTAATACAGCTCCCAACAAAACACGAGCAGGATGCAGGTTTCGACCCACCAAAAGGGGTTTTTCGGCGGCCCCGCCTCGAAAGACTCGCCATAGTCGATCTCAATCCCTAAAATCAGCATGTTCACGCAGATCAGTAGTCCGCAGTAGTAATCGAGCTTCGCCAGGAATTTCGCCTTCGGGTTGTTTTTGTTGCGCGACTTCTCGTACTTCAGCAGTTTTTCCTTCTGCGCCTGCGTGTAGCGGTACTTGGCGTCCTCAAAGGCCTGGCGCCCGATGTCTAACTCGTCGAGCTGCGCGGCGATCTCCTTCGAAGTGGCGCGGATAGAGGGGGGAGTAGTACTGGTGGTGTAATTGCCACCACCAGGGCTATTATTCGGATCATTCCGACCAGCGCTTGACTGTGCTGCAGGACTGCCCCCGTTATTATAGCTCCTCTTATTCATCGTAGTGGTGCCGCTCATAGGCGTGCTAAACCCCCCTCCTGGAGGTCCGCCGCCCGCATTGGTCGGCGTATTAACATTACTGCTTGCAGCTCCGATGACGTTTGCGCTCGAGGGGCCGCGGTAAAGCAAATTTACCCCACCCGCTGATGTTCCGCCGGCGCCCCGGCGGGAGCCACCCGCGCGGTGACTGGTTGAGGCAATGATCTGTCTGGTGGAGCTGGAGGATCTATTCGGCAGGGCCGCGGCGGCGGAGCGTTGCGACCCAATTTGCGGTATGCGGGGTCCTGCTGCGCTGTTCCGACCGCTGTTCATCGAAGATGGCGTCATGGCATCTGCAGAACTCTTTCCCTTGCCCTTGCCCTTGTTCCGTAAAGCTGGCATGTTGCTGTTCGATGATTCTTTGGGAGGCAGGGACGGTGGTGAGGAAGACATCCTTGCAGCAGAGACGGTGCCGGCAGCAAGTAGATACGAGCCTGGTGAGTTCTTACGATATTTGGTGTGCTATATTCACCGAGACACAGTCTCTTTCCCTTTCCGTAGAATGTAATACTAATAGCGATTGTACAACAAAAACCGTCCAGCTATCATCTTCTCATCTTCGTCCGCCGTCGTGGGACGGGATCAATGAATTGAATCCCCGAACCGAGGCAAAGATAAACTCTGGAGCGTCTAGGAGGTGGAGGATGTTTAGTAGTGGTTGAATTGTACATACTTTGCTCCAGGTCCACTACACAACAAAGAAAAAGAATGGCGTGTGCGCTTCTTAAGGTGAGCGGGAAAAATCCTCTCGCATACTATTAAGCAATCCTGAAGGTAAGAATATCTGCTGACGAGAAAAATCTCTTCTGCACGCCTTCTGAACAAAGAAAAAGAAAATACTTAATAGCAATTACAAGGCAACAGGGGTCTGTTGGTCCGATATCCTGTTTCCTGGAGGCACATTTCAATATTTTTTACTTATTTAACAGAAATGACGACACTGTGGCTGACAACGAAGCCAAATGGACGACGGGCGTCAGGGTGCCCGCGAGGACGAGCAGCACTAGGCTAGTAAATAGACATATTGCAAGAGCACGAGAACGAACGAATCAGGACGACTTGGGAAGGTTCTACACTGGTGTAAGTACGCGGCACATAAAACGAAGACGATAAACAAAAACGAGGGTGAAAGCAGACGAAGCGCTTCTAAAAATTAGCAACAACATGTTAGTTTATTTGACAGGCGACTGAGAAAGACACTTCCTGCTACTTCTTCTATCGAACAAACTGATACATACCGACTTGAGATTGAGTACTCTGTTGCTGGTCTTTATTCTTATTGATTTTCGGTGCCAGCTCGCGATAAAATCACCTGAGTCTGATCGCATTCGCATACGCATTTGTAGCGTACTATATCCACAAAAATCTGCAAGGTTCTTGCGCGGACAAAAATTCAATATACTTCAAGGGTAGAAATCAAAATTTAGCTCGCTCGTCCCGAGTAGAAGATAAAGTCTTAATCTTCTGGTAAATAACGGACCACAGCATGGGACTCATTATACAGCTCTGTAGCTGTAGCATTTTACTTGTGCGCGGTACTTCGGCTCTAGGGGCAAATGGAAAAGTCAGAGATTGTCTTGGGTAAACGTTGAAAAGGCTACATGATACTTTATTTCGGAAAAATGGATAGAGATAGAACGATTATCTGCACAGAGGCTTTCTGTGCTTTGTCGTTTGCTGCAGGTAGTATGCTCTGAACCTGTATCTGATGTAAGTGTAAGTTGTGAAATAATGCGAAATTCAAATTGCTGGCGTTCGGGATCGGGTAGTAAGTAATAGTATCCAGTCGCCCGTTACTGGGAATAAAAGTCAGTTCTTTCTTGACTCGACCACTCATACTTTTACGGTTGTAGCCAGAGTCAGCCCTGTAGACTCACAGGTGCAAGCATTCAGAGACTCTCGGATCAGTGCCGGATAGCCCAGGTTCAAACCCATTTTTGTGGTGTCGCATTTGGTGGGATGGTTCTGCTTCTGGCACTCTTCTGCAACGGATAGCAAGTTGTTGTTTCCAGCACGATCAGCAACTCTCTTTGTGAAAGTGTCCATATCGATCGGACCTTCATTACAAATGGGGTTATCCAAAAAACTTAAGGGGTTTTGTTTCTTTATCTCTGCCTGCAGCAGGTCTTTGCTTTTCAGTTTACAAGAACACAAGTCGCTTTCCGTTTCCCCGGAGAGAAATTGCAGGAACAACCCGCCGGCAGGGGCAGGGCCGCTCGGAACCGGTTCTCCCAGGCCATTGAACGACTGCAAATTCGTGTTTCCTGCCATTTTACCTGCGAATGATGATGCGAAACATAGTGCTACATGCCAGCAAAAGCAAATGAGAAAGGGTTACTTACCTTCCACATGGTCGATGTTGAATACCCAAGAATAGCAAGAACGTAAATAGCAAGACCAAGAACAGGTGTGGCGCATCAGAGTGATGTTTTATTCAAGTACCTGCACGGTCCGCCATCATCTTGGTCGTGCGCGGGGAATGGACGACGCCCACTGCCCCCCCCCCCCCCCCCCCGACTCCATCTTCGCCAACTTCTGGTCGTCGCCCTCTTCCCCGGCCTGCTTCAAAGCTGCCGCAACCTGAGCGCCGGCGAGCAAGGTGGTGGTCTTTCTCGGCATGATTTGGATTTGCAACTGCTTGTGCTTGGAGCGATGTTTATTCCTGTTCTTCCGCTACGAATTTTCGAGCCACGATTCGCATTCGAAGTAAGCGTAACTTGAAGTGGTTTTGTTGGAGTGATGAGCGCGAGCACCTGGCAGCACTCGTTGTTCTAACTATGTATCTTAGTTTAGTTTCACCTGGACACCCTGCAATCTTTTCGAAAAAAAACGCTGACAGAACAAAATATTAACTGACAAGCAGGTTGTAGAAAGATAGCGTTTATTCGCGCGAGCCCTTCGAACAAGGCGAGGAGGTCATCAAGATAGAAGTAAACGCCATCGGACACATCCCTTACTAGCGAGCACGACCGAAGATCATAATGTGGTGAACGCACAGAAGAGCCCACCACCACGACAATAATGTCGAGCTACGTACGAATGATATTTACACGACTGCAAGAAAGAGAAAGTGTTCATTCGTTATATTGCTTGCCGGGCACGTGGTTCACGGACGAAGAGAAAATCAGTACGTACGATGTGGGACGAAGGAGGCATTGCAAGATCTACTTGCCGAGTTAGTTTTCAGGCACGATATTTCGTGTAGAATGATACTCAGCCGAGTTCTTTTTGCACGATAAGATGAAGCGCGTTTGCGTTGGAGACATTGCATACGACTCTACATTTTTTTCCTCTTCATACATGATGTACATCTTCCAAACTCAACAAAAATCTCTTGCTGCGTTTGTCGAAGGCACCAGTGGCTCTTCCTCTTGCCGACTACGGAACAACGCAAAGTCCTCTGCTAACGAATTTTATTCTCGAGTGTACTTTCGACGGATACTTGTTTGCTCCTTCAGCTTCCTCACTTCCTTTGTCTTCGTCTTGGCCAAAACCGTCTTTAAAATATAAACCGGGTTTAGGGTTTATGATACGTAGAAGACTTATCATGATTAACTGCATTTTCATTATCACAGCTCATCCCCCGGGAGCTCTCCATCGAGTGCCACCTCTCCGCCGCCCCCGCTCCCCCTCGTCCTCGAATACTTCCCCAAGATCTCGGTCGCGATCCGTGTCGCGATTTCCACCGTATCCGTGTTCACCGGTATCGTAAGGAAAAATCCCCCCTCCCCATATCGAAAAGGCACGCCTCAGAGAATTTGCGATGCTGATTTCTGACCACGAATCGCGTCTGTCTTGCAAGAAAGCAACGGCATAGGCTTCGCTCCATTATGCAGGCGGTTTGTGATGCTGTTGGGCCTACAGCATAGACGTTCCTCATGCTAAGTGCCTAGGCCACGACCTCTCTACATTGGCATGATATGGTCCTGCAGTCCTCTACTACAAGACAAATCTGATTTGTGTACGCAAATCCAGCATCAGAAATTTCGTTTTGATGTGGGAAGGGGGGATTTGTCATTTTGATAACCGGTGCGACGAGATCGTGTCGAATTTTCCGCGCGTAGAACTCGTCGACGCACTTCTGGGCGAGTTTGCGCTCGTATGCTAGTGGACAAGGACTTCCCCTCTTTTACTTAACAAGTATCTCATTTGTATAGCTAGATAAGCAGCAACAGAAACAACAGCAGAAACCGAAGACAGTACGTAGTCCTCTTATCTTGACTTCCTCTTTTTCAGTTACCAAGTGTGTATCCGATCAGGATTTGGTATTTCCCATCACAAATGAGGCCAACATCAAGGGCAGCAGCACGTCCAATCGTCCACTAGCATAGCTCGTTGCGAATTTCGTGCACGAGTGCGTGTGTCACCGGGTCGTTGGAGTACTTTTCGTAGTGGACCAACTTCGGTTGGTTCTTCGGCGTCTCCAGCTCCTTGTACAGGTCTATGAGGCTCTGAACTGTTACATTCTACTCAATTGCTACACGAATTTGTCATGTAAAACTACCTTAAGCCGCCAGATGATCAAGTGGCTACGCATGACAAATCTACGAAGGGCCGAACAGGACGTAAATCTGTGCCAAATCTGTGATGCGAAAGCAGCAATCTTGCCGCTTCGGTTGTTGGTGTTCTTGCATTACAAATTCATGTAACAGTTGAGAATGTAACGTTTGAGAACCCCATAAGATCCAGGCACGCGTTCTGTATCGCGTTGTAGATTTGAATATCCTGTTTATCAAGAGTAAAAATGTCTGGGTCTGGAAGAATGCATGTTTGTCATGCTTGTCTGGCATGACTCTTAAGTCTGTCATGCACGTTACCCAAGAGCCCCACTTTTCTGTGATGCAGAAACGCAGTTTGTCATGCAGAATAGGCAACACCTAGAAGCTCAAAAACTTGTCATGCTGAGCCAGCATTTGTAGCCTCATCATGAGACGCCACCCAGCATCACAAGTTTCCAGACCCAGACATTTTTACAGTTGATACTGTTGCAGCTTGTCCGAATCGGTGATTTTTTTTCCGTATCCTGTGCAAAAGCATCGTATTCATATAAATGCAAGTCTTGCATTACAAATTTTTTTCTCAAAGTAAATCAGCATGACAAATTTTATTTCTCATGCTGAGAAAATTTGTAATGCATTTATACGAGTACGATACTTTTGCAGTTCATATTCCGCCCTGCGGTGGGACTTGATGAATTGCGCTCGCGCTCGGTTGTGCCTGCTCAAATGCCAAGTACCTCGCCTGGCGATGGCAATCCACCGTTGCGTTCGCGACAACTTCTGGTAAGTCGTAGCGGAGTATTATCGGCGGGCAGTAGGACTGCAACGGGGAATATGAAAGGGGAAAGGAACTGCATGATTTACATGTGCGATCTTTATTGCAGCAACGTGAGCAGAGATTTCCGCAGAAGTTCTTTTTGGACTATACTCTTAGGTCGTTAGAAATAGCATCAGTTTTGTTCCTCTTTATGCGAAAAAGCGCTTCATCTGCATAGTTTCAGTTTGTTCTCGGTCTGGCTATAGGTAAATCTAAATATTGCTGCCCGGTAGCTGCTCCGATGACCGCTTTCAGACACTGCGATTTCGATTTCATACCTCTCCGGAAAGTTCAAAGTGCCTGGCCCCGTACGGATTATCTTCGACCTGTTGATGATCATGATGTATCATTGGAAAAAACAGTTCGTTGCCAAAGGAGATCTTCGCGCATGAGACTCCTTTTCGTTTCGGTTTCAGCTTATTGGTTCTGTTACAACTGTTTCTAACGCTCCACTAGTTCTGGTTTTGACAGGCAAGAAAGCTGAAATCAGCTGCAATTATACCTTGAACCCGTAGCGAATCATGAACTCGAGATTACTCGCCTGCGAATATTCTATGCACATCTCTTCCCCGGCCGCGATGTCAGACGAGGCCCGGAAGGAGATAAATTCCCCCACCGCCCCCTGCTGCTTTTCTTCGCTCGTCGCGTCCGGCAACGGGTCGGGCGTCCGCACGTTGGCTTTGGGGTGGTGGTTCAAAAAGTCCGCGAGCGGTATCAACAGCGTGGAGTTTCTGCTGGTGTCAAACGCAAATCCGCGCGTTTTCACGATGCTGAAGGCCCACTTCAGCGTGAAGCGAATGCGGGCCTTGTCGGCTTTCTTCTGGAACTTCGCCGCGCCGTAGACTTTTTTGTACACCTGCTCCATGCACTCGATTTGCGTGTCCCAATCGTTTAAAATGTAGTTGAAAAAGGTCTGGTTCACCAAGGTGCGTTGGTCCTCCGAAAACCACAAAACGTTCGCAAAATTTTTCGGCAGCAGCTGGATCCACTTGAAGAACCGGGACCGCTCCCCCTTCTGTTCCTCGTCTACCAGTCCGAGCGCCAACATCGCGTGCGCGTCGCACGTCGTGGGGGAAGGAGAAGATGATTCCTCGTTATTCTTTTGTACGACCATCGGAGAGGAAGATGCAGATATGATCTCCTCAAACCCTTTCGTCAGCGCGGGCGGCAAGTCCCGCAACCCGTAGGTCTGATTCACCGGCACCCGAAGAATTTCTTGCCCCCGGGGAACCGTCGCGAGTTCGTTTGTTCCTAGCGAAGTAGATGCTCCACCTGAGTGGTCGCTTGATCCAACACCAGCATCGAGAGATGAACCACTTATTCGGCCAGTTTTAGAGCCTGTAGTTTTTGTTGATCCACCTGCTCCCGCAATACTGCTCCTACTAGCTGTTGATCTCTTCATCGCAGTATTTGCTGCGTTCACCGCCCCGCTCCGGCCGGTCCCTATCAAATGTAAAAATGTCTGGGTCTGGAAGATTGGAACATGTGATGCTACCTTTGGACTCTAGAAAAATCTGTATTGCATGACCAGCAAGAGGAGTCTAGTTTGTGCTACGCGGGGAGGGCGTTTGTCATGCGGAGTAGGCATCAGGAAGCCCGCTCAAAATCTGTGATGCGCGGTCGTGCATTACAGACATCCTGGGTCATGCAAAACATGCATGACAAGTCTCAAAATCTTCCAGACCCAGACATTTTTACATTTGATAGTCCCTTCGATTTGCCGAATCTCAAAGTCGACCTTAGCGCCGCGGGCCACCATGTCTTCGATGAAGAGTAAGCGCTGATGGTGAAATATCCAAGAAAAAAACTGTGTAAGTGTAAGCTTTGTGTTGCAGAAAATGCAAAACTGTTATACACTCGTCATGCTGGACCTGGACATGCATCAGAGGCTACTTTCGTACGTGTTTTCAAGTACTAGCTCCGCATGACAGATTTTCTGTGTCATGCAGAGCAAACTTGTGATGCTATTCCTCCAAGAAACTTACACTCACACAGTTTTTTTCCTGGATATGAAACCTCTGTCCCTCGATCGTGTCCGTGCAGCACTTTTCGTAGGTATAGATGTGATCCCAGCACAGCGGATTCCCCTGGGCGCCGGGGCTGCTGCAGCAGATTTCCGGGGTCCAACCCCCGGCCCAGCAGTCGGTGGGGGCTCTCACCGGGGCGATGGGCTCTGCGGCGTGGGCGACTTGTTGAAGGTACGTGGCTATTGGTAAAAAGAACACGATCAACATCAAACGCTGGAGCACGGCAAAAAAGTTCGCTACACGACATGGTGCGACAGTTCCTGCGCACAGGGAAAGCTGGAACTTGGAAGACGAAGAACAAAAGAAGGCCATGATTGCCGTGGTCATGATGCGAGAGGTGGTCGTGGTCAACCCGGAACCGCCTACCATTTTCGTTATTTGTTCCACCCCGTCTGAACCTCGTCGAGATGAATTTCTGCGTCTCGTCTTTCGTCCTCTTAATTCGAAAACAGCCGGGCGCACGTCCAACCACATTTTGAACGGTCTTCCACCTCCTCGGAAGAACTATCCAAACCAAAACGAAAAGCAACTGCAGCCCAATCACACGACGGAGCTTTTGGCTAAGCAGGTGTGTGTCCAGATCGACGCCCGGGTTTTTTTGCGTAGCAACATTGTTTCTTGAATGATGTGTGCGTGGTGTGCCCCGCCTTCTACTATTTACACTCAGACGCAATTGCACTCGTTTTTTAGCTTTGTTGAGGAGAAGTCCCTGAGTCGACAGTTTATTCCCAGGGTTCAGAAAAAAAAGGAGGAGCGAAACGAACAGCGCTCGTCTTGTTGTTGTGGTGGTGCAAAAATCAAGAACACAAGAAAAGTCAACCAAGCGTGGGTGACGAAAAGCAGTAAGAAATAAGAGATCAACATCAGGACACGCAAGCAACAAACGGCAAAAAACGACAAAGCCGCGACACAAGAGATGAAACAAACCAAGAAGACCTCCGAATAGTTAGTTCATCGTGATCATTATTGCGCGATCTAATTTTCTGCACGTCTGCTTCGGCTTCCGCTTCCACGCTCTCGGTCAGCTGTGAAATTGAATCAGATGCAGATCCAGTTCCAGACCACTTGGGGCAACGAAATAAAACACGGGAGATCGATTTGGATTTGATGAAGTGATCATTTCTATTCTAACACGACGTACGAAGGAGCCGAGGCGGAACCCTTGTATTTCTTCTTGACGGTTGTGCCATCCTTTTTCTCATTATTTTTTCGATACTTTATTCTCGCATCAATCACAGTAGTTCATCGAAGACCTTCGATGTCCAGCTGAAATCTCCAAACCCCCGCGTCCGCCTCGCGACGGCTCAGGATATCGAACAGGACGCCGTCAATTTTCTTTTACCACCTCGCTGTTTTTCATTTCTTGCAACACGACCCCCATTTTCACCTTCCGCGTCAAAAAAGCCCTCCTCGTCCGGAACAAAGAGTTCTTTGAACCCCAATGGCAATCCACTTTCCCGGTCCTGCAGCATGAGCCGCAGTTTGCGGATCCGGTCACAGGCGTGTTTCTGCAGGGTGAAATCGCGATTGGCGGTCGTCCCAGCAGTTCCCGTGCCGCTCTTGCTGAACATCGGCAAGTATGAGCGGCAAAAGTGTCTGGGTCTGGAAAATTGCGAGATTTGTCATGCTTGTCTGGCATGACCAAAAAGTTTGTCATGCGTGTCCAAGAGACCCTTTTGCCGGTCATGCAGTCATGCGAAAAACGCAACACAAAGAAGCGCAGATATTTCTCATGCTTGGTGGTGCATTACAGAGCATTCACTGTTTCCAATGCAGCATTACAAGTTTCCAGACCCAGACACTTTTGCATTTGATAGCAAGCTGTTCTCAATCGGAAACGGCGTGCCACTCGGATCACGCTCCTCCTGCGAAGAGGTATTCATTTTGCTGACCCAGACAAGATATGGATTGTAAAAATGTCTGGGTCTGGATGAATGCATGTTTGTCATGCTTGTCTGGCATGAGTCTTACATCTGTCATGCACGTTACCCAAGAGCTCCATTTTTCTGTGATGCAGGAAGCAGTTTGTCATGCAGAATAGGCAACACCTAGAAGCTCAAACACTTGTCATGCTGAGCCAGCATTTGTAGCCTCATCATGAGACGCCACCCAGCATCACAAGTTTCCAGACCCAGACATTTTTACAGTTGATACAAGAGCGTCCAAAATCCTGTTCATCTGGACGAAATGCTGCGCGATGTTGTGGTTGTTGTCGTGCAGCTGCTCCATATGTTTAGCTGTAGTTGCATTTGTATTTGCTTGAATTTTACCTTCGGCAGAACTGTCGTCACCACCCTGCTCGTCTTGTTCACGCATCGACATTTTTGTTCTTGTTTGCTCAAGACGTAGCAGGCCCTCCGCCACGACCTCGGCATGGATTTGTGCCCTGCGCAGCATGATATCCAGAACCTCCAACCCAACGCACCAGAGAAAGTCGTGCTCCAAGCAGTTTCCAGCCACACTCACGGTGCGCGCGCCGGGCAGGTTTCCCAGGTTTGCGGTTTTGAGGAAGCAAACATCCAGGTCGCTTTCGCGTGCTCGCTATCAAATGTAAAAATGTCTGGGTCTGGAAACTTGTGATGCTAAAAGTGAACGAGAGTTCCACTGCAATACGGAGCCAAGCATGACAAATTTTTTGGGCTCCTATGTGTTACGTGTTCCGCATGGCAAACTGCGTGTTTGCATCACAGAGAAGAGGACCGCTTCGTGCCCATGCATCACAGATTCTTGAGTCATGTCAGACACGCATGACAAATGTAGGAATCTTCCAGACCCAGACATTTTTGCATTTCATACTCGCAAAATCTCGATAAACTCACTTTCCAATGGAGAGGGCTGGTTCGCTTCTGTCGTTCTTTCATCATGTTGGGAGTGCTGGTCGCGGCTCGATTGTAATTCAGTTCTTGTGCCACTGGTCGTGAGGCCTCCGCTCTGGGCCCCCTGCTGCTGCCTTTGCCTCTTAATTTTGTTTACGTGCGCAAGAGTGATCAGCTTATCGACTGCAAATTTGCAATTCTCATGCCTGGACCGGCACGCACGGAAAAAGTAAAAATTGAAGTAGGAGTAGCTCCTACTACTTGCGAGGCATTCTTTATTTTACGAGATGATCACGATCAACTCTTAGACTGAGTCTAGCTACAGACTCATGTTCTAGGGCTAGACGCGCCTCTGTCTCCCATACTTTTTCCCAGCACAGCCTCCAGCACGACAATATTTCCGGTCCTCTTCCTTACAAGTGTAGAATTCCGAACAGGACATGAGTGTAGTGCGAAGGCTATCAAATGCAAAGATGTCTGGGTCTGGAAGATTCCGAAACTTGTCATGCAGATTTTCCATGATCCATGTCATCTGGAATGCAGGAACTAGCATGACAGATTCTGTGGGATTCCTATCATGCCTACTTATCCTGCATGAGAAACTTCCTCTCAGCTCCGTCAAAAGTGGACAACTTTTGGCATTCATGCAACACAGATTTTTGCATGATCCAGAATTAGCATCACAAGGTGCAACCTTCCAGACCCAGACATTTTTGCATTTGATAAAGGCAGAGTGTGAAGCGGGAGTTGGTGCGTAAAACTTCGAGGAGTCAAGTCCTCTATCCTGTGCGTTGCGGTTCCCGGCCCCGCCATGGAGGGCGTCGTCACCGTGATCCCCACCTTCGGGTCGAGCGCTTGTGCCCTTCCAAGCCACAATCTGTCATCCTCGGTAAGGAGTCCGTCTGGTTCTACCGCTCGTTTCCCACGAGAATCGTCGGGCTCGAAACACTGTTTGTGTTTGATATTCTCCCGTCGTATTGCCACCGTGTCGCTCAGCTGTACGTAGTTTAAACAGACTCGCGGAATGAGAAACAGACTGTCCTGCTCGCCGTTCTCTGCAGCTTGGCCTTTCGAGGACGTGGTAGAAGTTCTTGCATACGTCGTGGTAGTACCACCTGCAGCAGTCCGCCGGCGAGGCTTTTTTGCCAACAGCAGCCTCTTATCCTGTGCAAAAGTATCGCACTCGTACTAATTGCAATCTTGCATGACAAACCTACCTTTTTACCTGAATTAGCATTACAAATTCCACTATTCTTTCTGATAAAATTTGTATATGCAATTTATAGATACTACGTACGATACTTTTGCAATGCATACCTCTTTACCACCGCTAAACTCAAGGTCGGTTCCGAGTAGAGCCCTTGCAAAAGCGTATCTGAGTAAAAACGTACCCACACCAGAGCTGTAATGCAGATTTGCAAAGACAGGAAGACTTGTAATGCGCATCCCCATGAGAGCCATTTCCAATCGTGTTTTGGAATTTGTGATGCTGTGAACAGGATCAGCAGATGAATCTGTGATGCGGCTGCACTTGCTAACCTGCACTACACTGCAGAGTGCAACTTGTCATGTGTGACTCACAAAACTCCTAGGTTTGTGTTGCAAAATCCCCATCCTGACTCTGGTGTGGGTACTACGTTTTTACTGAGGATAAAGCGTCCACAGTGCGGGTCGCTGACCGCACAGGAAAGTCGTGACTGAAGGGTCGTTTGCGTTATCTTCTACTACCGAAGTAGATGCGGCTTGTTCTGCAACACCAACAGTGTACGGATTTTGTGCGGAGAGATGAACGTCCTCCGCTTGCTTGGAAAAGACACTCCGGTCCGTGATACAACTTGTAGTTCTTGCAGTTTCATCGGAACTTGCCTCCCGTTCCACTTCTAGCGTCTTCGGCTGTTCCGTAAATTTCTGGCCGAGAGCCATCTTGGTGAGGTCCATGTCCAGATAGGAACAGGAAAGCAAGGAGCGCGGCGGTATGTAGCTGAACAAATTGAAGCACGACAAATTCGTGTCCTTCCGTGTTTGCGAAGAAGAAGAAGGAGCTTCACGTGGGCCGTGCCCAACTTGTTCTACTTCCGGCGTAAAATTATGATCCGCGATATTTTTATGCATTGCCAGCGGGTACCACTTGACAAAAGCTGCGATCAAATTTCGCTGCCGCGATTCAAAGATTTCCCTGGTCTCGGGCAAAACGACGCCGGCAGGAACGGCTAGCGCATTTCCATTTGGACGGAGCAGATCAGCGCTTTTGAACCCGCCTGCTAGGTCATTCATCAGAACGCCGCATTCCTTCGAGGCCTTGCTTCGCAGCTCCACTCCGGAGCGCGGGTCGTCCCGGGGTACGGACAGATCCATCGGCAGCTGCTCAGTGTGGCGATTCAGGTTGGCCAGGGCGTACAGCAGCGACGTGCGGTCGATTTTCTTGGGTGTTCCACTAGTTTGCCGCCACTCGTAGCACGCTTCAGGCGTCCTTGCAGCGGCATAATTCAGTGGCGCATCTGAAACAAGGTCGTGAACGGCCCCGCTTCGAATTTTTGCCTCCTGCTCCTGCATAATTTCTTCTTGACTTTTCGTCCCTTCGTGGTTGTCTTGCGTCATTCGCTGCTCCACTTGCGCACACATCTGCTCCCACACGCCGAAGTAGACAAACACATTCGCGTGCCACGCGTTTCCGGCCACGTGCGGATGGAAGAGTATTCCCTGAAAATGACCCATCCCCACCCACTTTTTGCATGACAAACACGATGATTTTATGTATGTTTTGCATGACAAATTGGATGGGGATGGGTAATTTTCGGGGAATAAAGAGCGCCCGCCAAAAACACACGGGAAAGCCGTTCACGAAGACCCTGCACGGGTCCTCATCGACAGGGAAAGGAACAACGGCACAGCTACCGCCACTGGAGGCATCTTGTTCTATGCCGTGTCGTGGCAATGTAGCATTACGATTACGTTCGGTCGCCTTCGGGTAGCGGCGCTGCGTGTTGCGGTCGCCGTAAACGTCGACCGCTTCTTTGTCGAAAAATGCTTCCCAGTGCTTCTTATGGATTGTGGAAACTTGTGATGCTGGGCGGCGCATCATGAAGAGGCCACAAGTGCTGGCTCAGCATGACAAGCTTTTGAGCTTCTAGGTGTTCTTGCCTATTCTGCATGACAAACTGTGTTTCTGCATGACAGCAAAGTGGGGCTCTTGGGTAAAAACGTGCATGACAGATTTAAGAGTCATGCCAGACTAGCATGACAGAGCTCGCATTCTTCCAGACCCAGACATTTTTGCATTTGATACTTCTCGACCAGTCGATAGGTGTAGTCCGGGATGAGTTTTGTAGAGTCCTGCAGCTCAACCTCATCATCTTGATCCTGACCCTCAAGCGGTTGGTCATCATGACCGCCCTCGAAAGAACTGCTAGCGTCAGGAGCACCACGATCCCTATGCTGCTGGTCCTGGTCGTTCCTGGTGTTCCTGATCCTCGGGTCAGCGTCATTACAAGAAGACGGCCCCAACACGGCGAACAGCTGCCAGGGCGCCTTGCGCGTGGCGCCCAGACTGACTTTCAAGTACTGCACGGTGTTCGGTCTGAGAAAGGGGGCGGGAGTATCGAAAAGCGTGACGCTGGCAAACTCCGGGTCGTTTGGCTCGAGCAGGTCGTAGGGGACAACGTCATTCCCGAGGTTGCGGAGGAAGACACGCATCTTTATAGAGTTGTAGTGTGCTGTTGCACTTGTACTTACTACACCTCGCTCCTTTTGTCTTTTGTGGATCTGAAGTTCATCGTACTTCCTAGCATACTGTCAGATGCAGATCCAGTTCTCACCACACCTATAGACGAACACGAACAGCAGAGATGAGCAGTCGTCCACCACCACTGATCTTGTTACTAGGTTGATGATTGAAGATAGCGCGGCACACAAAAATTTTTCGAATGTTCAGCGCCCTGCATGTTGCGCTTTTTCTTGGAAAAAATCCACCTAAGAACAAAGACAAACTCAGACTTCAGACGATGTAAGAGTGAGAAGAAGTCCAGTTCTTTCACGCCCCTGCAACCGCGGTTGCAGTTTGAGCAGGCGATGGACTATCATCATCATCAATTTGATTCCCAGCATCCTCCAACAAGTTCTGTCTCTTCGCCGCCAGCCGCTGCTTCAGCACCTTCCACAGCCGTTCCCGAGTCTATGCTGGGTGAAAGAATGTCAAGTCGAAAGTCTTGTATACGTACAATTGTACAAATTTCCGTCGAAGATGGTGCTGCTGATCGCCAGTGAAATTAACATCAGATGCCTCCACGCCAAAGAGTTGCAGTGCTCATGCAGCAAAGTCGAGAAGCAAACGAAGCTATTGCTATTGTGCTTTCTTGCATTTCAATCGTACCACGTACTAGGCACAGACCTCAAGAGCAGATGCATCTGATCTTATTTTTTCCATCTTCTATAATGACAAAAGACATGGACTCGACAAACTACACCACCTCCGGATACATTTTTCTTCGTCCTCTCCCCGCGAAAAGGGTCGCAGTCGAGATAGGGCATACGGAAGAATTCGTAGCCGCTTTTCGCCAGCAGCCACGTCTCGAATTTGTCTTTTCCGGTGGGGGTTCTTTCGCAGCCCTTGCTCCGGAAAAAATGATTTGGGCCGTCGTATTCCAGAATGATGGTCCGGTCTCGCTCCTCTGGGTAGGAGAAATTGCAGCTGGTAGGCCTGTGGACCACATCATGATGAGAACAATGCTGATTGTGATCAGTCCCATTGTTGGTATCGCCGGGAACAATTTGGCTGTTAGAGTTCCTCCTCCTTCGCGACGACAGCAAGAACTGTGGATCGACATCCAACACAAAGTCCACAGACCGGTCCAACAGCGTTATTACAATGAAAAATGCCCCCACCCCCGAACCTGGGAGCATTGGTATTGCAAACCTTTCCAAATGAAACACTCGCCCTCATGCATCTATTAGCATCACAGGTTTCCGATCGTGAAGAGCAAAAATCTGTATTGCAAAAGATCCCAGCAAGAGCGGCGCTTGTCATGCAAGTGATGCGATACACGCCTAGAATCTGCATCAGAAAGATTCGCACGCCTTTCATGCATGACAAAAAGTTTTCATTTGGAAACTTCGCATCACAAATATTAATATTTGCAATTTCAGGGGTGGGGGCACTTTTCACTGTAATAAGCGTGATCCAGACTTCGCGTCGGTGCTTCAAGCCGAAGCTGTCCATTTCCCGGGTCAGGTACTTCTCCGATAGAGTGGGCGCAAAAGCGGTGAATGGCGTGTTCTGCGAGATGTAGGACGACCTCACTCCGCGGGGATCGGCAGACGCCGGAGTCGACGAAGCCCTCGTCGCGCCGAAAGTAGCTGCTCTACTAGCTCCCAGCTTAGCTGCGCCTTGATGGTCTGCTCCCGAACCCGTAGGTGCAGTGTTCAATTTCTTCACCTGCGACGTCACGGCCAGGCGCTGCAGTTTCGCTCGCAAAAAATCCGCCTCTGCAGTGAAATCCAGCGCTATCGCTGCACGCAGCGCCATCCGGAGATCCGTCTGGTGTAGGTGGTGGTGCGTAGAACGCGGCGCTGGCGGTATTTGCGCTTGATATCTTCGGGCCATACGGTCGTCATCATCTTCCCCGCGGCCAGTGCAGCTGCTCGAAAGACGGCTTGCAGTTGTGGCGGTGGTGCAAGAATTTCTACTCGACGCTGTGGTCGCTCCTTCTTCTCGCGCCATCGCTACCCTCTCTAGTTCCATGATTGGAGCGAACAAACAGGCTTGCGCGAAATCGCGAAACTCGCTAGCCTGGTGCCAGTCAATCGGTTTTGTCGCAGTCAAGGTTGTGGATGCAGCTGCGTCGGCACTAGAACGATGAGGACTACTAGCGCCGCCATTCGCCCCTAACACGCAGAAGCTCCAGACAACGTTCGCGGCTTGTCGCAAATCTGGTGAAGATGATCCAGTGATGCTGCTGCGTCCTCCCTTACTCCGGCGGTGCCCCTGCTCCACAAGTCCAGAATTGTTTTCGGCCGCCTTTGTGGCGCCAAAAGCAACACCTCCGGCTGCGTTTGTTCTTTCGCAACAAGTAGCAGTCTCCTCGGATGTTTCGACGTCGGTTGAAGATGCTCTACCTCTAGTACAACTTTCTGGTCGTGCATCAAAGAAAAAAAGTTCGTCACGATCACTCATGCGCATTTTCGCAAGACAAAACTTTCTGTCATGCGTAAAAATGCATCACAGCCACACTTCATAAGGGATTTCTCTAGTGTTTCTGCAATACAGAGGAAAGTTGTGATGCTAAAAAAATTTCTAAATGCAAAGCCTGCAAGTTAATGACTGTGATATATAAACTTTTTTCTCTCCATATCGTGATCCCAACATCACGTTCCTCGCCTCGCGAAAAATCCTCTCTTCCAGCATTTTATCCCGGCAGTCGAGAATGGCCATGCACCGGATGATCTGCACGCACGCAAGCCAATCCAGCTTCTCAAACTCTTTGATCGCTTTCACTTTGCCCAACACCTGCACCAAAAGCGCGTCCTCGCGCCACCGCCACTCGGTGCAGAAGTACAAAATGTTAGACAGATTCCGCAAGTGCACCTTCGCTAATTTTGCGGACGGTTTGTGGCAGAAGATGGCGTTGAAGCAGGCTGGGTGGGATAACTTCCTCAAAAATTCTATCAGTTCTAAAAACGTCCCCACCCCATAGGTGTCACACAATAAATTCTGCATGCCAAAAACGTTTCTCATGCGCAGGCCCATGAGAAGTAATTTCCAGTCGTGTTTTGGAATTTGTTATGCTATAATCAGCATGCTAAGCTACCTCTGTGATGCTTCCGAACTAGCTGAACAGGACTACAATACAAGGACGGACTTGTCATGCCAAACAACCAAAGTTGGCTGATTTGTCTAGCAGATTTCCGATCGTGTTGCTGATGTGGGGACGTTTTTACTCAGGATAAATTCCTCCGCAAAGGGAAAGACCAGCCGTTCCTGGTCGCTGTCTGGCAGTTTCGCCATTCCGTACAGAAAACTTCCGACATCGTGACAGTTCCAAAACAGGGCAGGTGGTTCTCGGGCGGCTACAGGCGTAGTGGCAGGGACAGTTGGGCAGCTGGCAACAACATCACCGCTGCTTTGCGACTGCGATTCCGAACAAGAATGTGAGGACAGATCACTATCGCGCTCGCCATTAACAAATCCCGGCGACTTTCCTGGTTCGAGAAACGAATCAGTGTCCTGACCGAGCACTGCTTCCCGGCCTGTTGTCCTGACCGGCCGTTGTCCTGACGGAGCACTGCTTTCGTCCGACAGACCAGAGCCTCCGCTTTCGGAAAAATTGTCGCGCTCGACGCAATTATCCGCACATTTGGACGACGAGTTTTTATCAGTATCAACAGCATCAATCTCCGGCACGAATAGCATTTTCACAGCGAACTCGAACCCTTCCTTCGCCAGGTCGAGGGGTAAAATCCCCCTGCCGCCGAAGGACGCGATGACGTTTGTGAACTCACGGCAGTGTGCTGGCTCCTTCAGCTGGTCCCAACGTTTTTGCAGCAATCCCTCCATTTCACTGAAAGGCAGATGCAGCTCCGCGCTGGCCGCCGCGGTGAGGGAGCACACCAGGTCGGTGGGCCGGGCGTGCGGCGAACGCCAGATTTCGTAGAATGTGTCTTGTAATGAAGAGACTGGCGCTGGGCCTCGGGAAATCAAGTCGCCACTGGTATTGTGGCTTATTTTCTGAAGACCCTTGCCTTCGTTCATGGTTCTTCTTGTAGAAGGCGAGTCATTTTGATTGTTCTGATGGTTGGCGGGGACAAAGGCTCCTGCTCCGCCTCGTCGTCGCGCTTCTGCTTTGCTCGCTACCGAGCCTTGTTTCTTTCCACCGCCGCCGCGTACAGCTGCGTCGTGGAGCTTGTCCAGCAAACATTGCACCTCCGGGTGCGCCGTTTGCTCCGCAAGAAACTCAGACGTGTGTTTTCGTAGTTCTGCGGTAGGAACTACGCCTCGGTGCTGATGGGCAGGTCTTGAAGATGTCGCTTTCGTTTTGATGTTCGTCGACGAGCTGCGAGAAGCGCACTTCGTTGGTCCGTCTCCCCCCGTTGAAATGGAAATCGACACACGAGAGTTAGGACAGCCAAACACTTGGCTCCTCGTCCTTGGGCCTTTCGCTGCTGCCGCAGGAGTGGCTATTCCCTCTGGGGGTACAACAACTTCGACAGCCGCGGAGGAGAAACCCCTCGTTGTTCTAGTAGTGAATCCTGCTTGTTCTCCTGGTGATGAATTTACAACGGTTGAGGAACTCCACGCAAGGTGCCCCCCCTGCAACAACTGACAGTTACAAGCTGTACTTCTACAACAGCTGACCCGATGCTGAAAAACTCCCCCTCGGACTCCGCTGGTGTTGTATAGCTGCAAAAGCCGCGCAAGGAAGAGGTCGACATTTTTGTATGCATACTGCTGCAGTGCTGGTGCAACCACTGTTGAGTATGTCCTCGATGGATTCATCATCCCGCACGGACGCCGGGCCTCTCGGTGAAGCGGCTGCAGGCTCATGATCTGCGCAACAGCACGAAAGGTCCCTTTTCCAGGGAAAATATTCTGCTGGGTCCGCGGACTCACTTGCCTCGCTTTAAGTGAGACGTAGTTGTCCTCTTACATACTGATGCAGAACTAGCAGCTGTTTATACATGCTTTTTTTTTGGTAGCGGCGTGCGGATGGAATAAGTGCTTAGTCGCAAAGAAGCGTGTACTGTCGAAAACTAAATCTGCCAGTGCCCTACGAATCACGATACAAAAACAACACTTCAAGAAAGTGCTAGTACTTGCAAAGATCCTTAGTACCGTCCAAGCCAAACTACGACTACTACTCTTTTTAAGGCACTCGTGGTAACTTCATCTGCATTTCTGACTTCATTCAGATCTCCACAAAACAGAAAAAAAACAAGATCCTTTTCCGCACTGCGCAAAGAATGCTGCCCTTTTGCATGATAGCTGACACGCGATCCTAGCGGCGTGAGGATCGACCATCTCTTTTCACGACCACCCGTTCCGCAAATTCTTTCATCACTATACCGACGTGAACCGTAACGAGGAAGAGCAGGAGCTGCAGCTACTAGCCACGACAAAGACAAATATTATGAGGTAAGTACATAAAAAAACCGAACGCAAATCCAAATCGCGACAGATGAACCAGCATGATCATTATTGAAGTAATATGAGAACAGCAAGACATCTATTGATACTGACGCCTGACGGCTCCTCGTGTGTGCGGTCGTCCTCGTCCTTCCTGCCGAAGCTGTGCAACAGAGGACGCGTTGTCATCCACAGGACGACGGACCAGCACCTATGGCCGCATTCAGGAGCGATTATTGATAAGATGGGTAAAAAAGTTGGAAACTGGGGTTCATGGTCTGCATCAAATCGTGACTTCATGACAATCATATCCCTTTCTGGATGTTGATTCCCAAACGAAAACTACGTGTGGTCTGGGAACGACCCGAAAGTCGAAATGCGTCCACGTGACGTCGACAGTAATCAAAGAATAATATACAGCGCACAACGAGGCGGTGGACGAGGATATATAATTGTCTTATTTGATGTCGAGCAGGCTATGCATAGTGTTGTTGAGCAGACTATAAAATTTTTCAGGGAGCAGGTGTATGCTATACAGGTGTCTTCAGGGAGACTGTGCCATCGGGCAGGGAGTACGTAAAAGAGTGAAAGGGAAAGAACGCTCTAGCTTTTGATCTTCTCTATGGCTGGGGATGCTCTGGTGGCTGTTCAACATCGTGGGTAGTCTCTATGAAATTAATAATAGGTGAAAAGTAGACTGTCGTGATAGTGCACAGCTAGACACAGGGCCGCGCATTGCTTTTGTGTTGTTTTCTTGCCAGTAGAATATATGTGAAGATTTAATACTTATTTTGGTTTTTCTAGTTTTATTATTACTTTCTTGAACTGCTACTCGATTGTGCGGTAATCTGCGTGTGTGTTGAAAGAGAAAACTGATAATGTGACAGAATAGCGAAACAAAATAAAGGACAAAAAATGTGATATGAAAATGTAGTAAACGCAAATAAATTACAAACGAGGATAGCTACCAGACCACAGACTTGGGCTTGCTGTGCAATTTTTTAGAACTTAAGTAGTCGTGGAACCATTCCTATTCCATTCACTTAAAAACGTATTTCTGTGGGTGGTCCGGTCCCTGTCGCGGAGGCATTCAGAATGTCACAGAGAGTAGATAGCCCAAAAATTGTCGACAGCGACCAGCTGCGCGCGTTGCTGCGGAAAGAAGTTCTGAAGAAAACTGGTAGACGAGTAAAAGTATTTTTTTCATTCCATGTGAACCGCAATTGTACAGATTGTATACGATTAAGTACCACTTCGGGCTTCTGATCTTTTTACTCATAAAACGTCGAGTAGATATATTCGATTAAGAGTACCAGAGTTGGAGGGACCAAAAAAAAGAAATGCACTCATACACAAGACAATTACCCAAACATGGTAGCGCACTCGCACGAGTCCTTGGACAGGTCGTAGCACCCGCAGCACTCGGGCACGGGTGCTAGCTCTTGCTTACCCTTCTTGATCTTGGCGCTGCAGAAATGGTCACAACATTTTTCCTTGGTGATCTCGCCCTCCTCCGAGTTGGAGCAATCCTGCGGTTGGGTCTTACCAGTGCACACTTGTTTTGGATCTTCCCAAAAATGCTCCCAAGCTGAATGCCCTCCGAACCCGCAATTGGTTTCCAACTCCCGCGCGTCGTGCGTTTTGTCGCTTTCTATCATGAAGCAACAAATCCCGATTGGGCACGACGGTTCCCCCTGAAATTGAGTGGTTTTCCTCCTCGCCGGTCTTCCTCCTAGCATCAGATACAACGACAAAACTTCTTTAGTATTACCTTTGGCTTTGATAGGAGTGGACGATTGCTTCCGGGCTTTTGTTTCACGACTTGAACGAAACAAATACGAATTTCTTGCACGACGTCACGAGTCTCGTTCGACGAGCTGCATGTATATCAGTAATATCTTTAATTACTTATCTTGCTCTTTGCGAAGTACGAAACAAATCTACTACTTTGCACGACGAGGACGACCCACTAAATTTTGTATGAACTTGTTGTCCTCGAAAGATATCCATATTTATGGTAGAAGTTCTCCCAGCTGCTTGCGCGATTCATCTATCAGTAGTGGCTCACGAAGAAAACGACCTTTGGCACCTGCAACTTGAACTTCTATATCTTCTTGACAACTTTGTCTTTGACAAAGTATCAAAATTGGAGAAAATTGGCAACATTGTCAACCGGCTAATCTACTTTCCTCGTGTAGTCGAGCGCGTCTTTGCACTTCGTCGACGAGATACAGCATTCAGAAGCGCCCTGAACGAAGCCACGAGGTTTTGGATCCAAAACGAACAACGAGGGAAAAAAGTTTTAAGCAACATACCAATCTATCACGATCGGCAATCTGGCCCTTCTCAACCAAAAGAAGGCGGTCACTTATTATCGGAAGCTGTTGCACCTGCATCTTGCTTCCAAAAGAATCTTTTGAAGCCCGGAGTTCGATTGAGTAAATTATCGATCCTCTTCGAGGACAGACTTGTTCGAGCACAGCTAAAAGTAATGCTTGCAGCTGTGAGTTTTATTTGTTTTCCTCTTGCTTTTGCAGCTGCTGAACAAAGACAAACTGTAACTACTACTACTTATAATAAAGAAAAACAGAGCTGCTTATCTCCTTCACATCAACTTCTATGAACATGAAGATAATTACAACGGATACCCGGCCGGTCGTAAATCTCCCGGGTACCCGATCCACCACTCGAACCCGTCTGTATTATCTCCAACCATTTGAATCCGGTTATTTCCATCTTCCCGAACGTTGGAGATCCTGAAGTGAAAGTCCACCAGTTGCTTAACATCTGTCTTGCTGTTCCAAACGGTAATTTTGTCACCCTTCTCGCTGTCGGAATGCTCAATCTCCCAGTCCCGCCAGGACGTGACTCGGTCTTTTCCCAAGTCCCCGGAGCTGTAGCGCCCCTTCCGGTAGATGACGTTTTCAATCACAAACTCCCGGTAGTGCTGCATGGGCGTGTAGATATGCACTAACGCTGGGCAAAGGTCGTCGCAATAGAGGCCGGACAGCTTCCAGTTTCCGATCTCCTTGTCCGGTGCGAACGCCCAGTCGCTATTGTAAGAATACGATGCTCCGATGATCGCCGAGGGAAGCGCTTCTTTATCCCAAGACTTAAACCTCGTGTGCAGAATCGTGATGTCTTTCGCGTTATCAAATGCAAAAATGTCTGGGTTTGGAAGGGTGCGCGGTTCGCCATGCAGCTTTTCCATGACCCATGAGGTCTGGAATGCAGCACCTAGCATGACAGATTCTGCGCGATCTCTCTCATGCCTATCCTGCATGAGAAACTCCCGACCGACTTGGTCAAAACTGGCCGAGTTTTGGTAATCATGCAACACAGATTTTTGCATGCTTCAGATAGAGCATGACAAGTAGCATTCTTCCAGACGCAGACCCAGACATTTTTACATTTGATACGCGTACACGTTCTGCAGGTTTTGCGGCGCCCAGCCCATCTGGAACACCGGGTCGTTCGGGCCTTTCCACACGGAGATCCGCTCTATCAAAAGGAAAAATCCCCCCTCCCCAAATCGCAAACGAACTTTGTGATGCTGTATTTGAGTACACAAGTCGACTTGTAATGCTAGAAGGCCAAGAGACGCAGCTGTGGCCTCGTTTGCAGGCACTTTGTCATGCTGTTTCCCACTTCCAGCTGCCCTCTGTCGTGCTGAAGACGCAAGGCTTTCCCACGCCAACCAGCACTACAGTCCGCATCTTTTCCCTTCTAGCATGACAAAGCTGACTTGTGACCACAAATCTGCATCACAAATTTCTAGTTTGAGTATGGGGTGGGGGGATTTTTCATTTTGATACGCTCGTACTGAATGTCCGAGTGGTAAGTTTTCAGCCCGTCGTCGTTCGTGTGCACCAGACTGTCCTTGAACACACTGCCCGGGTACAGCGTGAGCCCGTCGGTCTGCAAGAACCAGCCGCCGACTTGCTTGTAGTCCGTGGCGAAAATCTTTGGCTCGTTGTACATGTCGTGGGAATTAAACGGCGGGTCGGTCATGGTCACCCCGTGGAGGATAAAGGTCTGCTGCCCGGGTGAACCGTTCCAGGATTTCCACATGCGCAGGGACGCAGCGTCCGACTTCACACTCTCGTAGGATCTGTCGGGATTCGCCTGGTACACGTAATCAGACCCGGTCAATACCCCGTAGCCCGTCGCCGCGTAGGTCCCATTCTCCTCGGCGTATTGCCAGTGAACCGCAGATTTCACGTACGCCCAGTGCGCGAAGTGCACCCAGGCTTGGGATTCCGTCAGCGTCATGTGGTTTTCGCCGCGTTTTCCAGTTTTCCCTTGTCGGTTTGTGTCCATCCAGTAGACACCCGGGGGGAAATAGAGAACTTTCTTAGCGGATTTGTAGTTGTCCAAACTGATCGGGCCGGGTTGCATCACGAGAATTTCGTTCTCTTCGTAGACGGAAAAAGGGTCTTTCTCCCGCTCCAGCGGCGGCGAGACGAAAAGAAACAAGACATGTTTCGGCTCCCGGCCGACAATAGCGCCATCGGCCGCTCGGAAAACGATTTGTGACTCAATATCGTCGAACTCGATGGAGATTTGCCGGATCTTGGGGTTGGCCTTGTCGAAAGGGATCAAAAGCTCGATAGAATTTTCGTCAAGCGCTTTATCCGTGTTGACGACAATGTCCTCGTTGTTGAAAACCGGTTTGACGTGGCAACTGCTGAACCACTTTTTCAAATCCACCCCAGACTTTCCACCATCCCTGGCCGTGAGTTTCACCTTGATCGTGTTCTTGTAAACGATCTGCGTATACGCCATGGTCTGCTGTTTCACCAAAGCATCTATCCCATCGTCATCTTTCCCCGTAGGGATTCGGTCCAAAGGCCAGGGCCGTTGCCAGTCCCGGGGTCGTTGAATTTTCCCCTTCCCGCCGCGCGGAAGGGTCTCGAACACGAAAGATGGCTGCTCATCGACAGACACTTTCCAGTGTAAGGACTCCCGGACGAAGTCTGCCCGTTTCCATCCGTCCCAGCTGTAGTCCGTCCGGCCGTTCGGCGGTTTGGGTTGTACGCAGAAGTCCACGTCGGGGGACAGGCAAAGCGACGTGTCCTCGGGAGCAGTCGGCGGGCGGACAATAAGTGGCATTTGCCCTCCAGGTTGAGGTTGTTGCAGTTTTTCTTTTTCATCTTCGGGATTCTTGACATTGATGAGGACTGAAGCAGTTTTACTACCAGGATCCACCTCAGGGCTCTTCTTTTCCTTTCCTCCAGGAGTGGTCGGCGCCCCACCTAATTCTTTCGTCGAAGAAGTTGTACCCGCGATTACACCCGCCTCGCCGCTACTCGTATTAACCCAAGTGGACGAAACGGGAAGACCACATACAGGATCAATTAAATGTAAAAAGAAAGAAAAGATAAAGTGTGTTGCAGGGAACATCATTTTGTTCTTCAGCTGGAGCAAAAAATCGAAAAAGGCCAAGGATCTAGTACTAGTAGTAGTACACTGATATAATATACGAATTCAAAAAGAATGCTTAATCCATAGTTTGGAAAATTTATTTTGGAGACCTGGAAACGCAAGTGCGGCGCGCATGCTTCAGCCAGAAGTTTATCTAGGACGAAAAAAACTCAATAAACCGATCTATATCTTGTTTCTCTTTTGAATAATACCACTTTGAGAGCAAAGTTGTTTTCAATTTTGATCTGACACGTTGAGGATCTATTTTTTTAGACCATTTAGATCGTAAATCTTGTTGCAAAACACACACACGAAATTTCGCATGGAAACAGAAACCATTTTAGCCTTTAAGATGGGAATCAGAGGAAGCCTCACACGAACTCAACCTGAAAAAATCGCACCGACTCGGAGCCCTCATACCGATGAGAATAAGTAGGCAAGAAAAAAGACGCACTGCGTCCCCTGCCACCTCACCGATTTTTGTCTCGTTGCCCTTCGAAGCACCAACCAGGAAGAGAACAAAGTTTCGGAGTGCTCGCTTGATGAATTGTCAAAGAATTCCGAAGAGAACAGGATTTCGAATTTTAGATCGAATTCGAATTTTAGATCGTAAAAAACAATACGATCTAGACAAAATGAAAAGTAGAAGCAACGAGATTTTGGGTCCGAGACCGAGACGAACAATGAGGCAACCAAAGTATAGCATGATAGTACCAATCACGATCGCTAATCTGTATCTGGCGCTGACCCTTCTGCTCGACCAAAAATAATCGGAAGCCGGTGGTGCACCACGTGCATCGCGACAAGCGCGACTAGTTTTTAGTTTCTTTGCATTTACCTGGGTTCATTTTCGGCTTGTGCGAAAAAAAGTTCCCGGAAAAAACTTCGTGTAAAACGAAAACGTAGCTGTACGACGGACTGACAAGTATCAAAGAAATCTCCAGCTGCTGCTGTCGCCAACAACAGAACAAGAATGAAACTTTGATGTGCTGGTCGAAATCAAAAACTTTACTTTTCACGAATAATCTTCAATATCTGGTACGATGTCCTTACTGACGTATTGGTTTAAAGGTTTCGCGACTGCGTGAGGATCTGTTGCAGGTACAAATCAGGAAGAAGCCGCTCGCCGTGGCGCGACGAGGGATAGTTCCACTTTCGAGATGTTGTTCCTTCTGGTGCACGGGGTTGAAAAAAAAACCGCCGTCCGTTTTTTTTGCGGATCAGAAAGGCCAGCACTGCGCTTCGAGTGAATACGACTACGGCAAGAGAACTCTTAGTCTTCAGCTTCACGTTAAATGAAGAGCATGCACGATTTTATTCCTGCGCATCGGATTCTCGCTGTCGCTCGTTTTCCTTTTCTTGTCCATCCGACGTTACTGTTGTTGCGGAACGAAGAATTGCTGGTGCTGTTGCCCATTTACGACGGCTCCGCGTGGCCACGAAGACCCCAGACTGTTGGGCGTGCCGTGGTGTATGCGACGGTAAACGTACTACTTCTAGCCATATTTTTTTTTTTTTACCATCGTTCAACATCAAAAGAAGAAGTTCTCATGGCAACACAAGCAGGTTGTGTTTGTGAAGGAAGCAGGCCGCATCAGACCATGAATGTTCAATGTTTCTGACTCGGAGCCGTGACAAAAAAGATGCAGATTTATTTGAGATAAATTTAGTTTTGCTTCATTTCGCAGCATGACAACAGTTGAGGAATTTGCAACGAGAAAAGTGTGCTCGTTGACCCGCCAGGTCTTGATGGCAATTGTATGCTAAAGCAGAAAAATTCATCACATTTCATATGGTGGGATGGGCTGCGAGAGCCGCGCCGCCTTGGCCCCCGACGTCCTATGGCTGTGCCGCGTATGGAGTGGGTCCCTGTGTTGATTTTTTGATACCGATGACGATGCAGCAACGCCTCACAAATACATAGATACTAGTCATGGCGCGCGCGCGCTCAAAATCTTCCATGCACAACACGTGGCTTCTAAATGAAGTTGAGGAACATCGTAGCGCTTCAGAAGAAACATTTTCTTGAACTTAGTCCCACCTGGTAGCGATCTGCTCCGTGGCTTGCTTTGCAGAGAGTGCAAAGCGGCAATCGGCCGAGACCGTAGCTGCTCGTAGATGGCTTGGTTCTGCGGGTAATGCGGATTATGGGCGTACACGTCCGGAAGATTTGCAGCTGCTTGTGGCCCTCCTGCTGTACCAAGTGGCCCCATGTCCAGCCCGCTATGCATTACAAAAGTATCGTACTAGTAGAAATAGCATTACAAATCTTTCCAGAGTGAAAAATGCAATTTGTAATGCTGAATAGGCTAAGAAACCAGATTTGTCATGCATGACTGCAATTACTACGCGTACGATGCTTTTGCACAGGATACCCGCCATGAAACAGCAAATTCGAGTTCGACCCGATCGTATGAAGTGCGAAAATGTCTGGGTCTGCAGGGTGGAACTTGTAATGCTGTCTGCGCATTCTGAAAATATCTGTGTTGCATGAGCAGCGAGAGGAGTCAGTTCTTGGCACGCGGAGAGGGCATTTCTGATGCGTAATTAGCATCAAGAAGCTCTCAAAAAATCTGTGATGCTAGCACCAGCATCACAGACCTCACGGGTCATGCAAAATGTGCATGACACGTCCCGGCTCTTCCAGACCCAGACATATTTGCATTTGATAGATCGCGCCTGCTGCTTGTTGCGAAGCTCCTGCTGCGAGGGAGCTGTTGTACTGGTAGTGCATTTGCATCATCTTCTGTTGGTGTAATTCTTGCTCCATCTGCTGCTGTTGCTGGAGTTGCAGCTGCCGCATCGCGGGGTTGTACTGTTGCTGCTGCTCCAAAAATTGTACTGGCGATGTAGAGGAACTTGTCCCCCCAGCAGCATTATTGCCATTCAAATTATTCCCACCACCAAAGTGATGCTGTGTTGGTGTAGTTGTACTGCCTCTACCGGCGAAATGTTCTTGCAGCAGATGCTCCCTCGCCATTGCCGCGCGCCCGCCTGGAGGCACGGATCGGGGCCTCGTTGAGGAGCTGGAGGATGCGCCAGCACCGGAAGATGAATTCATGCGCAGGGCTTGCGCCCGTCGCCGAATTTGGTTCACCTGGTCCGTCGAGGAAAAATCGAAATTTCCGTGCAGCAAGTTTTCCATGATCTCCTTATGCTCTGGATCGCTCTGCAATTGCTGCATCAAGGAGGAAGCTGCTCCACCCGCCCCGAAGTTATTGTCATTGCTCCCCAATCCATCATAACCCCTTCTGCTCATCCGGCCTCGCGCCGCGTGGTAACTTTCCACGGCCTCCGCGATGTCCACGTGGTCGTCTTCAGCGCCAAATCGAACTGCTTTTTGGATCGATGACGCTGTTTGGGGCAGTACTGGCACGGGTTCCGAAGAGGAGCCTCCTCCTCCTCCTGTTGGCTCCGTCTCGCTCATGTTGGGCGGACTCGTTTGCGGCACGGCCTGCTGGTGCTCCCCCGCCTGCTGGATCATCAGCTCGCCCTGGTACGGTACTACCCCGTTCATCAATACCGGCATCATCATCCCGTTGTCAGAATGCGCGCCACTGGCAAGGTTCTGCAGCGTATTAGCCGGTATGGGCAGCTCGGTGTCGACGTAGTGCGGGGGGTGTTGCTGGTCGTTGTCAACACCATTTGAGTTGGTGTTGTACTGCTGCATCTGCCGTTGCTGAAATTCGAACTCATCCGTCTGGTGCCGTTGGTGCTGTCCGCCGCTTGCTAGGGGCGTACTCGAGCTGGAACTTGACGGCTGGTTCCCTGTGTATAACGGGTTGGACGTTGTGGTAAGAACCACATGCGGATGCTGGTGCAGCGCACCACCAGAACCTCCAGCTGCACTGGAACTACTACTCGACGTACTGTAAACGACCCAATGCTGGAGCAACCCCAGCATGTGCTCGATCTGGTTTCGCAGCCGCACCTTCGTGATGGCCGGCATGCCCTCGCTCTGCTGGATCTCCTGCAGTTTGTCCAACGCGGACTCCCACTTCGTGTGCAGGCTCTGGTCGAAGTGCCGCTGCTTCTCGGACATGCTGACAAGTTCGGACCGCAGCTGCGCGATCTCCCGCGCCTCGTCTTTGCCGTCTCGGATCCGCAGCTCCTCTTGCAGTGCCTCAATCTTGGAGTGCGCCATATCCAGCTCGTTCTGGTACGCCATAATGCTGTCGTCGCGTTTATGCAATACAAATTTCCCGTACATGTACAAAATGCATCACAAACTTCGCTAACTTTGAATGCCAAACTTGTCATGCTGACTAAGATTGAAGGCAAGTTTTGTCATGCAGAGACAGCATTTGTACGTGTACAGGAAATTTACTGTGGATAGCGCTCGCGGAGGCGCTGGGTGAAAGTCCGCATGATGTCCCGCTGCTTGAGTAGAAGCGACTTGTATCTGGTCGTTGATCATGGGGAGGGTAATAAATGTGTAGTGACGCTGCATATTCATATTCGTAATTTCATCCGTTAAAGTTCGACACAAGTAGTTGCAGAAGTGCTGAAGAAGAAAGAAGTGACAATACAATCGAATACATTTGTTAATGTTAACTCTTCTAACAGACATTAGACATAGTTCTACCTCTGTATCTGCTTCCGGTCCTCGGTGATGGTGGATTTTTCACCCTCGAGCTGGGCGAGCTTTTGTTCGTATGCACGGTAAAAGAACAAGTATCGCAATGTTCGCAATGGCACTACTTAACACTAGTTGTAGTTCTAGATGTATGACTTGCATTTACAAATTTCTTCAACCTAAAATGTTATGATGGATCAGCATCAGTTACATGCACAACTTTAACTGCAAGTGCAATCACGACGAGTCTACGATTTTTCCTTTGCTTTTGCACTGAATACTTCATAGTGCTCCACGATGGAGGCCGTGCCCTCGGTCTGGCGGTCTGAGGTCGAGTTCACGCCGCTGTTGGCCACGCCCGTCTGCCCGTCGACGGAGCTCGCCCCGTCCCGAAAAAACTGCGGCACTTCGGACAACCGACGCTCCAGCTCTATGGCGCTCTCAAACGTTACATTCTCAACTGTTACATGGATTTGTCATGCAAAATTGCCATGAGCCACGAGACGATCAAGCTACCTCGCATGACAAATCCCCAAAGGGCTCAGCAGCGCCTAAATCTGTGCCGAATTTGTGATGCGAGAATTGCAAGCTTGCCCCGTTCACTGTTGCGGTTCTTGCATCACAAATCCGTGTAACAGTTGAGAATGTAACAGTTGAGAATGCCATAAGCTCTCGTCGCTGCTTGCGCTCCGCGTGCAACGTGTGGGTCAGGGCAAGCTCGCGGTCTGGGTGGATAATGGGGAGATGAGAGTTTGGGGAATTTTCTCGAGACGATGAGGATGCTGTGTCAACTACGCAGCAACACAAGATAATGGTGCATTTGCTCGACGTGCTCATCTTCGACTACTAGGAAAAGCATAGTACATTGACCGCAATGGCAAACTACAAAAACCATAGTACCATTCTGCCCCCCAAAGGGTTCCTGGAGCGGTGATCTTCCATTGTTGGACAAGTCGTTCAAATCGATCATGCCGCCACCGCCCCCGGGGTGGCTCCCGTTCAGACTCGGGAAGTTCGGGTCCCCGCTCCGCCCGGCCCCCGACCCCGGACCGCCGCCGAGGCCCCCTGGGTACAGCAGTCCGCTGCTGGTTCCGGGTGACCGCCCGATGTTTTTCTTCGTTTTTTCCATGTGCAAGGCCTCGTTCAGGCGACGAATTTCGTCGCGGGCCTGCTTCAGCAAGTGGTTGTCCTCTTCCGCGCTTCGTATCTTCACAATTTATCACGATGAAAAAAGAGTTTGCATACAGAGTGGAAGAACGCAATTCGCAGTGGTGCGACATTGAGATTATTGTCTTCTGCTTCTTCAGAGCACCAACTGTGTGCGGGTTCTAGGAAAAAGAGCATAGTGATAAAGCTGCTCTGGCAGCCATCAACAACTCTATTTCATGCACATCATGAAGCATTTTTCTTTTTGCCTGGATAAATTGCTGTGCACATTCACGTTGGCGATGTTCACAATGGACTTCGCGCGGTTCATGAATTTCAGCGTGGAAAGGGACTCCTGGAAAGCCTCGTAGGCAGGCGAGATCATGCCGACGATGGTGGTGACACAGTTACCGCCGAGGGAATCCTCCAGCAGCCGGGTCAGCTTGGAGTCCCGGTAGGGGATGTGGCTCCGGGTCGGGTTTTTGTTGCTGTCCGCCAGGGCGTGGATCACGTTGCCGAGGGACAGCAAAGACGTGTTGATCTTTTTCGACTCCTCCAGCTGCTGGCCCTTCGTATGGCGTTCTCAAGTGTTACATTCTCAACTGTTACATGAATTTGTAATGCAAGAACGGCAAAAATGAATGGGGGAAGCTTGCGCCTCTCGCATTACAGATTTGGCAAAGATTTACATGCTATTTAGCCCCTTCGGAGATTTGTCATGCGAAGCAGCTTAATGGTGGCGAGCTTGGTGGCAAATTTGCATGACGAATCATGTAACAGTTGAGAATGTAACATTTGAGAATCCCATACTTCGCACCGGTCCAGTGCACACGCTCGGACCCCGCCAGGTCCACCAGGTTTAATTTCGCAATCCGCACCACCTGCTTCTGCTCGCCCGCGTTGAAAGTTGACGTCGCGCTGGTTGCAGCAGCAGCCCCGACAGCTGCCCCCGCGTCAGCGTGGTCTGCTCCCGTGGCCTGAACTGGATGATCGTGCTGAAGTTGTTCCGCGCCGCCTTCGTTAGTGGGAGATGGATTCCTGGTGCCACCTTCTCCGCTATTCACAATGGTACTCTGCTCCACAAGAATCATGAACACGGTGTGACTGCGACTGGAGACCTCGTTGGACTTGGTCTGCGCGATCATGCGGGCTTTGCCGCCCTTCTCGTATCCAGGAAGAAACAACCAACATCCCCATCCATTTTTTGCATGACAAATAGTGTATTTTATGCATGTTTTGCATCACAAATTGGATGGGGATGGGCGTTTTTTCCTGGATCATATCTCGATCAGCGAGTACACTTCCTTCGGCGACCGCACGATCCATTCCGACAGGTTGTCGACGAAAACGCCGCGCTTCTTGTCCTCCCGAATGTTCATGCTCGTCACCGGCTCGGTTTCCTGCTGCCCCCAGTTGCGCTCCTGGCTGCGCTCGCGGAGGTTCGGAATGGCGTGCTGGTTCCTGTTGGAGGTTTTGCTTTTGTCATTGTCGTGGTGATTGGAAAATTAAAATTTCCTATAGTCGTTAGATTCAGATTTGATTGCCTTCTTCAAGACAACGGGGTTGTAGAGCAGAAAAGTCAAACGGCAACGTCCGGGACATAATTTGAAAAGACTACGAACGAACGTCGTACTTCTGCTGTTTATCTCGGTCGTTATTTCCCGGCTGCCCTCCGGACACGGCCCCCGCAGCTACCGAATTGGGGGGCTTAAGCAAATCCGATATTTGCTCGTTGTAGATCTGCAGGTAGCTGGCCCGCACGATGAAGCGGGCCTTGCGGTCTTCGAAATTAGCGATCGAGTCGAATATTGCATCCATCGACCGTGCTATAATCCCCCGCTTCTCGTCCTTTCGGTCGTAACAGAAGCCCTCCATCGTGTGGGTCTTACCTTTTTTGTCAATCAGATGGCGGACGATCATTCGCGATTCTTTTGTCAGCAACATAATTATTTGGAAATAAGAACGCACTTCATTAACCCGAACAACTCGAGCCGCTTGCCAAGACACTTGGTTGTCAACATCATCCAACTAAAGAACCAAACCCCTAGTCGGTAGAACTAGCTCATACCTGTTCCCGTCTGTCCATAGGCTAAAATGGTTGCGTTGTAGCCCTCGAGGACTGCCTGCGTCGCGTAGTGCCCGGTGGATTCGTACACTTTCGCTTGGCCGTCCGCCGGGCCGTGGGCGTGATTGAATGTGAAGACGTGGTTCGCGAATACGAGGAAATTTCCGCTCGTAATGAAATCCGCTGACGCCGCCGCTTTGGCCGCCGCACTCTTGGAGTTGTTGTGGTCCTTATCTGAAGCCGAGTTACTCGAGCCGCTACTGCTCCCGTGTTCGTTGCTCGGCACGAGCTCCTGCAGCGTCACGGACTGGTTGTTGGGGTCTACCTGGCAGATCTGGTGGTATTTACCGCCCTCCTTTTCCCGGTCAATTGGTGGACGAACCCGGATGACAACACGGATGTTGTGTTTCTGGTTGTGACTGTTCGTGATCTCTCCTTGTTGCTGTGCTGTGTAATGATCACCGAATGAGCCAGCACCTCCGTAGCTCTGCAAAAAGCCCCCTGGTGCGGTGGAACCAAGGCTCATCATGCCAGTTGTAGTACCTGAAGTCCTTCCGATGGAGCGGTTTTGAGAACGCGACCGCTCGCCCGACCGACCCCGCCGCATCGCCGGAAACGACTGGCGCAGGAAAAGCCCGGGGTCCGGATACGTGGCGGCACGGTCCATGACGCAGTTTTATTCCGCTGGGTTGCGAGCTTTACGTAGTTCTTGCACCCGTTTCTACAAGGAGCAGGGATGTACTTAGTCGCGCTCCCGAGCAGCTACCGTGTATGCGTCGATGGTGACGCCCACACGAGGATCTTCTGTGACGCCCTCATTTTCCGTTTCAGCTATTGGGGTTCGGGTTGCCGTTCCCTTCATGTTCTTCATTTGCTTCTCATATAGATACCTATCATCGTTGCATGCACGACCACGTACTTAGAAACCAATTTTCCATCGGCCTCGTTTTCTGGTCGCCCATGCGTCACTTCATTCTCTACTCAAAATTGGAGGTCTACTTCGGATGAGCAACAATTGTAGGTACATATTTTCATCTTTGACTCCAGCTCTTTTGCAATCAGTTTTTGCTTCATCTCGACCTAAAAGCGCGTTGCACTAGACAAGACAATCCTAAGTTGTTGTATCAAAAATTTATGAACTGCAAAAGTATAAGTATCGTACTCGTAGTATTGCAATAGAAATTACCAAAGCATGCCAAATGGGATTTCTCATGCTGATTTAGCTTGGCGAAGAAATTTGTCTTGCATGACTGCGATTAGTACGAGTACGATACTTTTGCACAGGATAAAATTCCAATACTGCCAACGATTGAAATCAAACTCGATCTCCTCGATAACATGGCTCTCTCGAAGCGACGAAATCGTCTTGTTGCAGTCACCAACATGACTACATACATGTAGCGCGATGAATACATCTAGTGCGATGAAACGGAAAAAAGAATAAACTCCGTATGCGAACAGTGATGAGCAAACGGAAACAGGAAGCTTTATGACGAAAAGCTTGTTTTCACCTCGGATCCGTTCATCGTCCCGAAGACGTTTTTTTTACGGCTATGCATTTGCGTCCCATGTTGATTTGCACGACTAGTAGCACCTGAACCTGGAGCTGTGACAAAGGTTTCTTAGGGTTGACAAGGGTTTCGAGTTGGAGTTGGTCCTCGTGGCAGCTCAAACTCGTCCCCCTCCTCCTACTCCTGTCCATGTTTGCAACTACTACTGCCCATTTCTCATGGCTACCTCTTCCCTCCAGTGTTGTAGTATGTTGTTTGCCGTCACCGTGATATTTGGATTCGGCACCCATCCGGTCAGCTTTCGCAATTTCGAGTTGTCCGCCAACAGCGTTTTCTCGTCGGCCGAGCGCATATGAGAGTGCACAACTCCCCCTCCCCCCCATTAATATTTACATTGCTTGACTTCCGGGTTCTGGTCCCGCCTACCCCCCGGCGACAGGTGACCTTGACAGGTGACCGCGACAGGTGACCTGGACAGGTGACCTCGACAGGTGACCTTGACAGGTGACATTGACAGGTGACATTGACAGGCGACCTTGACAGGCGACCTTGACAGGTGAGCTTGACAGGTGACCTTGACAGGTGACCTGGACAGGTGGCCGCGACAGGCGAGGCGAGAGGGTAAAGCAAAGGCGAGACCAGCGCCTGAGCGCAAATATTTATATATTTTACACGCCAAATGCCGACGGGGGAAAATGAAAAATAAATTAAAAGCGCCAAAAAAAAAACGCAACGCACAAAATGAAAAAAAACACAACCTGCCTCCATAAAAAAAGAAGTCTTTGCGTTGCCATGCAAAAATCTTAAAAAGCGGCTTCCTCTGCAATGCACGGCCAGGAGACAGCTGCTTACTTTGCTCTGTGGAATCGGAAAGGCGTTGCGCTTCAATGTTAGAGAACTTTTTTGCAGCAGCCACACAGAGATGTCTACTCTGCTTCTATTTTTGTTTTTTCTTGCAAAATGCAGGGCGCCTAATTCGCCCTTTTTCCACTAGCGCTTCGCGCACTGAGCCAATACGCGCGCGCCTGGTGTGAGGCGAGGGGCGGACGCTGTCCGCCCCGATGCCGAACACCCTTCCCCCACTAGCGTTTCGCGCACTAAGCCACTACGCGCGCGCCTGGTGTGAGGCGAGGGGCGGACGCTGTCCGCCCCGATGCCGAACACCCTTCCCCCACTAGCGCCACTAGGGACGAGCACAAGGCCCCAGCGTGGGGACCCTGTCCCCACGCTCGGGTGGGCCTTGTTTGTCATGCAAAACCCTAAACCCAAGTGCTTCCCTGTGGCACTGTTTGCATGAGAGAAGCCGGAAGCTCAAACAGCAACATACTAGGCGCATTGATTTGCCATGCGCAGGCTCCATGTGATGTGCTGGTGTTTGTATTGCTGTTCATGCAATACAAATGAGGGGGACGGGGGGTTGTGCACCCTCATACCGCAGCCTGCTCCTGTCGAACTCCAGATTTATCGGAATCTTGGCTTCTTTTGTCAGCAGTTGCAGCATGTCCTTGATCGTGTACCCAATGCCCGACCCGACGTTATACGCCTCACCGGGTTTCCCTATCCGGCACAACTTCAGAAACACCGGGGCGGAATCCGCCACATCCGTGACGTCGCGCGAGGTGGAAAGATCCCCGTGGTAGAGCGTGTAATTTGAATTACTGCTGGATGAAGATCTTCCTGTCGCTTCAGGGTGAATAGAAGTTGCGCTGCAGGTTTGGTTGCTGTTCGTTTTCTTAATTTTGCAGGCATGCTCCAAATCCTCGCGCTCCCGCTCTGCCTGAGACTCCAGCTCGGCAATCTGCTTCGCGAAATTTTGCAGGCTCAGCTGGTCGGTGCCGCCCTCGGCCATCTGGATAAAGATCCGGGCCACGATCGTCTTCAGATTGTAGGTTGTAGCGCGCGTATGGTGGCGAAACAGTCTTGAGAACAACTAAGCGTTTTTGCACGTTGTATCTTCTATGACGATGATCATCAGGAACAAATTTTACATCTTAATGCTTGCACATACAAAGCCACCACGACCCCATAGAAGACAGTCAGTGTCATACAAGAGGGCAGAGAACAATACGAGTTGTTCATCACCCCGAATTTTGAGTGCTGAAAAAAAGCAGGACGTCCTCCAAGACTTATTCACTAACATAGTACATCATGGCCAGATTTTCTTGCGCAACCTTGGAAACCTGAGATGGATTGAATCAGCAATCAACATCTTCAATATCACCAACTTAATTTGCAGTAGCACGTACCGTGCACAACAACAGTACGTCGGAAGCAATCCTGTAAAGCACCCAAGCACGTTCCTCTTGCAGAAACACAAATCGACAAAAGACAAAAATGCCCTAAATACCCCATATGGCGTGAAGGGTTTCAGGTGCGCGGTTTCTGGTATAGGCGTTCCCTCCCAATCGATCGCTGCAGCGCCGTATTCCGCGGAGGATCCCGCGACCAGAATTCGCATCTCCTTCGACACGTCGCCGCTGTTCTGCAGCACCCGCACGGCTTCCAGCACATTCAGGGTGCCGATGATGTTCACATTCAAAGACAATATCCTGTGCAAAAGTTGTATCGTATTCGTACTCGTAGTAATCCCATTCATACATTACAAATTTCTTTCTCAAGTTAAATCCGCATTACAAATTCTATATTCTCTTTCTGAGGAAATTTGTATTGCAGTTCATACTAGTACGATACTTTTGTAATGCATAGACAAGGAGGCGGACCCAAAGGAGACGCCGTTGATGGCCTGCGCTGCGAAGTGGAACACGTAGTCGGGCTTCAACTTTTTCGGCTATCCTGTGCAAACGTGTATCGCACTTCTACTGAACAAACTGATTGCAATCTTGCATGACAACCCTACCTTTTTACCTGAATTGGCATTACAAATTTCAATTTTCTTTCTGATAAAATTTGTAATGCAATTTGTACTAATACGATACTTTGCAATGCATATCAGCAGGTTGGTCACAAAAAAAGAATCCGTCACGTCCCCGTACTCCAGCTGTATGCGGTGGACGTAGCCCTTCAGGTTCCGCAAGTTGGAACGCCACCGAGCCAGCACAATAACATTTTTCGCAGACCCAAATTCGCAGTTGTCTACGGCGTGCTTCACCAACTGACTCCCGATCATGCCCGTGCCCCCGGTAATCAAAATTTGCTCCGTGACGCCATCCCGGAGTGGAGTCCGACAGGCGGAAGTCGTGGCAGTTGTAGTACTAGGGGCCGCTGTGGCTTGCTGTGCTGGCGTGGCAAGAACGAGAACGAAGTGGATGCAAAGAGCACGTAAAAGAGAGAACGGCCTCGTGGCTGAGGAGAAGTGAAAAAACGGAAAAAACCAGCAGGACGGAGCCATCTTGATCACAGCAACTACGTTGACCAAAAGCAAAAGCAATGAATACTACAGCGATAGACAGTCAAAATAGCGTGGCCCAGGCGGTGTGTGTTACTTATGCGGCCGAAAACGGCAAGTGTCTACTTGGACCGCGCCCCAGGAGACCGCTCTTAGAATGATGATCGCTTCGAGGGCTAAGTAGTCGGGTAGTCGACGAGAGGAGAGACTGAGTCCGCGGCGCCGGTGCAAGATCATGATCTAGCAAGTCCAAGTCGTCAGATGAATCAATCAAATTGACTGGCAAGTGCAAGTCGCACTTCTGCTTCCGTGTTGTCATTGCCTGCGTCGATGCAGCGCTGCGATAAGTACTTGTCAAAAGTTTGAAATGAGTCGAGTGGTTTATGAATGAAGATTGAGACAAGTCTCTATAGTGCCTTGCATGTATACTATTCTTGTTTCTGTGGTAAATTGTCCAGCGCTTGTTCCCGTGTGAAAGCATTTGCTTTAGCGCTCGCAAGATTTTTGAGAAGTTGTCTGTACTAGTTGTACGAGCTACAGATATATCGACCTTTATCGGCTACTCTTGTTCACCGGATTATTTCTCTTCGGTCTGCTTGCTTTCGCAACAGATTGTTCGGTCCGACGACTTGTTCTAAAGAGCAGAAGTAACCAATGACGGGGCAACAAACTGGTTCCAGCACTATCTTCACAGCTTGTGCAGACAAAACTACCGGTGTAGTTCGAATTCTTGGCGAAGATCGTACTATCAGAAGACGAACTACAAACTGACCGCAATTGCGGTCACGTCGTCCCCCGATTGGCTCGACTGCAGCATTTTCGCCTTTTCACAGCTCGTCCGCAGGTGATCCACCCCGTTCGCAAGCAGTGCGGAAACCAAGGCAGAATTGCTATGACAGTGCACAACTCCCCCTCCCCCTCATTTGTCATGCAAAATACCAAATCCACCCTTTGCCCTGTGGCACTGCTTGCATGACAGATTCCCGAACAAACCGAAACAGCACTACAAACAGTCGCAAATTTGTCATGCAAAAGCTACATCCATGCGAGGACTTGTGTTGCTCCGGATGCCATCCAAATGAGGAGGAGGGGGAATTGTGCACTTTCATAATTGCTGTACTGGTTCCACAACCCCTTGGTGCCCAGAATCAAGAGCAGATCCTGGCCCGGATTGATTTTGTACGCGTTCACTTCATATCAACTGCAAAAATGTCTGGGTCTGGAAGAGTCGGGGCTTGTCATGCAGGTTTTCCATGACGCATGAGGTCTGGAATTGTGTACCTAGCATGACAAACTCTTCGAGGTCTCTAGGATGCCTATCCTGCATGAGGAATTCCCTCCCAACTTGGTCGAAAGTGGACCGGTTTTGGCACTCATGCAACACAGATCTTTGCATGATTCTGATTTAGCATTGCAAGTTCCACTCTTCCAGACCCAGACATTTTTGCAATCCATACTTCAGCCTGCGTTTTCACCACGGACAGGTCAGCGGGCAGTCCGAGGTGCCTGTCATTTTTTTTAGAGACCCTGACGCTCTGAGACCCAAACCAGCGAAACACGACGGCAGCGTGGTTTTCTTGTGTTTAGAATGACGAAAAATAAATACTCATAGCATCGTGATTTCGATTTCTCTTGTTTTTTGGGGGATCCGCCTCTCCACGGGGATCCGCCCGCTCCCCGGGGATCCGCCTGTTACTCGGGGATCCGCCCGCTCCCCGGGGATCCGCCTTCGCCCAGGGGATCCGCCCGTTCCCCGGGGATCCGCCTTCGCCCAGGGGATCCGCCCGTTCCCCGGGGATCCGCCTTCGTTCGCCCAGGGGATCCGCCCCTTCCCCGGGGAACCGCCTTCGCTCAGGGGATCCGCCCGCCGGGGATCCGCCTTCGCGCAGGGGATCCGCCCGCTCCCGGGGATCCGCCTTCGCTCAGGGGATCCGCCCGCTCCCGGGGGTCCGCCCGCACCCCGGGGATCCGCCTTCGCCCAGGGGGTCCCGTCCGCCCGTTCCCCGGGGATCCGCCTTCGCCCAGGGGGTCCCGTCCGCCCGTTCCCCGGGGATCCGCCTTCGCCCAGGGGATCCGCCTGCTACTCGGGGATCCGCCCGCTCCCCGGGGATCCGCCCGCTCACCGGGGATCCGCCTTCGCCCAGGGGATCCGCTTGTTCCTCGGGCATCCGCCCGTTCCCGGGGGATGCGCCCGTTCCCCGGGGGCTCCGCCCGCACCCCGGGGGATCCGCCTTCGCCCGGGGGGCCCACCGGTTCTCCGGGGGATCCGCCCGCACCCCGGGGATCCGCCTGTTCTGCGGGGGATCCGCCCGCGCCCCGGGGGGTCCGCCGGTTCTTCGGGGGATCCGCCCTCGCCCCGGAGGGCCGGCCCGCCTCCCGCGGATCCGCGCGCCCTCGGGGGGTCCAGCCTACGAACTTTCTTTGGGGGGATCCTCCTCAGCTCGGGGGATCCGCCCTCGCCCCGGTGCGTTCGCCCCAGCCTCCGGGGATCTCCCCTTGCCAGGAGGGATCCGATATTCGTGCTTGCCCCTCGGACTGCGCCGGCGTCGCGGGGTTTCACTCCCTCCCCGACGGACACCCGGCCAGCCCGGGGCGGGTGCGCCCTTGCGCCAGAGGCTCCCGCCTTAGGGGTCCTTGCCCTTGCCGCGTTGGCGGTGGGCACGGGCACCGGCACCGGCAAACCGGCGCACATTTCTTGTTTCGGCTTGGTTCTTCCAAGTTGTCAGCGTGTTGCTGGTTGTCAAAGCGGCGCGTTGACAACCAGCAGCAGGATCGAGATGCGACAACCACACAGAAACAGGAGGCGTCCGCACAACCACCCGAGGCCTTGAGAATCGAGAGAATGCGCGCCGGTTTGCCGCGATGCCCTGCACTCGAGTGCGTTCCAAAATCTTCCAAAATGTGCGCCGGTTTGCCGCGGTGCCCGAAATCGACGCTGTGCCGGCGGGGAAAGACCGCGAAGGACGGCGCGAATCCGGCCGGAGGATTCCGGAGAGGATTTTGGAATCCTCTCAGGAATCCTCTTCCGAAATCGAGGCAATACCGCCGGGGGAAGGGCGCGGAAGACGGCTCAACTTGGGCCAGAGGGTTCCCGAGAGGATTTCGGAATCCTCTGCGGAATCCTCTGTGGAATCCGCGCCCGGAATCGAGGCAGTGCCGTCGGGGAAAGGGCGCGAGGGACGGGCCAACTTGGGCCAGAGGATTCCTGAGGGTGGGGATTTTGGAATCCTCTGCAGAATCCTCTGCGGAATCCTCTCGCGAAATCGAGGTAGTGCCGCCGGGGTAAGGGCGCGGAAGACGGCTCAACTTGGGCCACGGGATTCCTGAGAGGATTTTGGAATCCACGGCGGAATCCTCTGCGGAATCCTCTGTGGAATCCTCCCCCGAAATCGAGGCACTGCCGCCGGGGAAAGGGCGCGGAAGACGGCTCAACTTGGGCCAGAGGATTCCTGAGAGGATTTTGGAATCCTCTGTGGAATCCTCTGCGGAATCCTCTGTGGAATCCTCCCCCGAAATCAAGGCACTGCCGCCGGGGAAAGGGCGCGGAAGACGGCGCAACTTGGGCCAGAGGATTCCTGAGAGGATTTTGGAATCCTCTGAGGAATCCTCTATGGAATCCTCCCGCGAAATCGAGGCACTGCCGTCGGCGAAAGGGCGCGAGAGACGGCGCAACTTGGGCCAGAGGATTCCTGAGAGGATTTTGGAATCCTCTCAGGAATCCTCTGCGGAATCCTCCCCCGAAATCGAGGCACTGCCGTCGGGGAAAGGGCGCGGGGGACGGCTCAACTTGGGCCAGAGGATTCCTGAGAGGATTTTGGAATCCTCTGCGGAATCCTCTGCGGGATCCTCTGCGAAAATGTGCGCCGGTTTGCCGGGGCCGCCAGGTTGCTCGCAATCCGCAGCCGACTGTGGCGATCTGGGCGCACGAGACTGCAACGCAGACGCGGCGCGGTTGTGCAAACAAACAGCAGCGGAGTCCTTGCGCGCGCCGCGTTTTCGGTTGCATTGCAACACACTTTAGCACGAGCTAAGCCGAAGGTTTCCCGGGAAACCTTAAACGACCTTGCCCGAGCGGAATCCATTGATTTCTGGGTCTCACAGCGTCACTTTCTCTTTTTTTAAGAATCAAACTCACTTCTATTAACTTTAACTTTTATTAGAATGGTGCCAGTGCCAGTCATCCACCTCGTCACGAGCATAATTTCTGACCTGGTGATAAAATTGAAATTCTCATTGCAAAAAACGGCTCTTGATCTTCCGCAATACCGCGTCAGCTGCTGCGGCTGCGATTCGGCTTTTGGGTTGTTTCTCAGCCTCTGTGCTTCCCCCTTGTGTGTCAATATCGTGTGGTCCTTGGAAAGCGCCACCGCACCAAAGGTACTGCCCTCGCTCTGGCTTTCCTCGCGGCTCGCAAGCACTACACGGGAATCCCCGATAGAACCGACCACGACCCACGATTCTTCTTCTTCGGCCGGAGTTGGACTTTTTGCTGCGCTACTCGGCGTCATCGCAGGTTGGCCTGGGGAGTGGAAAACCGCACGTGGTCATCAGCAGGAGGTACTTACTTAATAGCAGCATGTTGTGCGTGCCATACTCATCAAATGGTACTAGTGTGAAAAAAAACATCGACGTCCTATCTAACCACTTACCTTTCAATCGCAGCAGCAGTGCCAGCGCCGCAGACGCACCGTCCCCGAGTTTCAGCAACCCTTCGCCTTCTCCTCCACCGCTCGCGTTGTTTCTACCACTACTTCCTCTTGACATCGCACCCAGTTATGCAATGCAAAAGCATCGTACTGGTAGTGCAATACAAATTTCCTCAGCATTAGAAATGGAATTCGTAATGCGAGTTTACCTTGATACCTTGATACCTGAATTTGCAATTAGTACTAGTACGATGCTTTTTCATTGCATACCAGTTCCCCCTGCACGATTTCGAAGGCTTCCGCCAACACCGCCTGCGGGTTCTGGAAAATCAAAGGGTGGGAAAACATATCCTGTGCAAAAGCATTGTATTCGTACTAGTTCTACTATGAAATGCATTACAAATTGAGTTAGCATTACAAATTGAATTTGTAATGCGGATTTGCCGTGAGATGAAAATTTGTAATGCATAAACGCGATTCGTACGAGTGCGATACTTTTGCAATGCATAAAACACCAGCTCCGCCATCCTTTGCTTGCAGTGGCGGCTGCACGTACTCCCGTTTTCGCCGAACCCGTCAAACACCGCGTAGAGCGCGATAAAGCCCTCGTTCCGCACGGTGGACAGCCAGTTGTTCGAAGATGCTGTTCCACTGGAGGAGGAGGAAGAGGATGATGCGCTTGCTGTGGCCGCACGAGTGTTGGCACTTCCTGTTGCTGCGTGGTCTCCACCTTCCCCGATAGTTGTAGTCGTCACGATCGGACTCCTCTGCATGGCGAGCAGGAAGTCGTCCTGATTCACGGTTTTGGGGTTGCCACGGAGAGAGACCAGCCGTATGCCCAGCTTCTCCGTCCTCGTCAGAGCCGTGTCCGGGTAGCAGCTGTAACGCTTCTCCCCCGGAGAGGAGGCTTGCTCCACGCCCTGGATGATATGGCATTCTCAAACGTGACATTCTCAACCGTTACATAAATTTGTCATGCAAGACTACCTTAAGCCGCGAGATGATCAAGCTGCTTCGCATGACAAATCTGCAAGAGGGGGCTAAACAGCATCTAAATCTGTGCCAAAGCTGTGATGCGAAAGCAGCAACCTTGCCCCTTTGACTGTTGCCATTCTTGCATCACAAATTCATGCAACAGTTGAGAGTGTAACAGCTGAGAACGCCATAGATGACGAAAACCCAATCGGACTCCTGCTCTGGCTCGGCCGCGGGAAGGTGTATCGAATTTGAAAACGTCCCCACCCCAGAGTTGTCATGCAAGTCTGCATGCTGAAAATGTTTGTCATGCGGAGCCCCATGAGAAGCATTTTCCATTCGTGTCTTGGAATTTGTCATGCTCCAATCAGCATGATATACTAGATCTGTGATGCTGCTCAGATAGCTCAAACAGCACTACACTACAAGTCGAAATTTGTCATGCAAAACAGCCAAACCTTGTGGATTTGTCTAGCCGAGTCCCCATCTTGACTATGGGGTGGGGACGTTTTTACTCTGGATAAGGTGGTCTACAACTTCTTCGGCACCACTTGGCGCTTGGTCGACAGTGTAATGATCTGCGGGTTGTTGCTTGTTGGCGAGACGTTCTTCTCGGGTGGTCGTGCCAGCACCGACCACTGCTTGCTCGTCCTGTAGTGCCAGTTCCGCATCCGTCGTTTTCGTCGGTGGCGACGATGGTTCGTTAGTACCTCCATACTGAAGATCTCCTTGCTGTGAAACTACACTTTGGTGTTCCGCCGGGGACGAGGCAGCGGACGAGCTGCTGATGTTCAACATTTTTCCGCTTCTCGTCTCCATCTTCAAAAGCCCGCGCAGTTTTTCGTTTTCCACGCGGAAAAATTCCACCTTTTTCACCGACTGCCTCGCCTCGAGCCGCAACTTGTCGACCTCGAGCTCCAGGTTCTTGCACTTTTCCGTTAGACAATCGCACTGCTCGGCCTTCCTCTGCAACTCTTGGCGTAGCGTGTCCAGAATCAGGGTCTGTTCGCCCCCCGTCGGGGCGACGAGTGTAGTACCAGTTGCGCCGGAAGTAGTTGTACTACCGCCGCGGCCGTTCGGGTGAAAGGACGTAGAGGACGATGAAGATGAACCCGTGGTACTCGCGACCCCTCTGCTAGACGTATGGTTTTGGTTCCCTGCTCCGTGCAAGATGTTACTTGCCGAGTTCGACCTCTGACGGGCTCCGTTTAATACACCTTGTCGGCTTCCCCTCTCTGGACTAGCCCGACCGCGCAAAGGGGTTGTGTTCGCAGACGCTGAGACCGCGTTAGATGTAGTTGTTCCCCGAACAGGCGTTGCGCGCCGCCGCGTTCTGCTGTTTTCGCGAGTTGCAGTAGAGCCGGGGGCTCCTCCGCCCATGTGGTGATTGCTCGGGACGCGGCGCGCCGGGGAGGCCGTGGGCTCTCGACGGTCGGACCGACCTGTGTAGAAGTTTCGAGGGAGCAGTTATATTTCAGGTGCAGGAACGGATGACAACTTCCTACTGCCCTGTGATCACAGGGAAAAAAATAAGAAACGCGAGCGTCGAAGCAGCATATTAACAACTCTACGTATGTCTATTTTTTGATGATCACGTACGAAGAACGGTAGTTCCTATCAAGAGTACTACCACGTTGCAGGCTTGATTCCCGGCTATTGTACTGCAGAGTTGTCCGATCCTGGCTGCGTAAGCTAGCCCGTCGCGCCGCGTTCTGTGGCCCTGTGTGGGGTACTACTAGATTGTTAAGAGGCGTGCCCGCAGCAGAGGAGCCGGTCGCTCCGCCCCCGCCGGGTGTCGTCCCGTTCATATTTTGGCCACCAACAACTCCGCCACCCGGTCCGGCCGGCGGCCGCAGCATCTTCTTGTTCTTCAACGCACTCAGCGCGTTCGCCAATGGCGCGGACAGATTCTGACTTCCGTTCAAGTCTTGGTCACCCAGAGCTGCTATCAAATGTAAAAAGGTCTGGGTCTGGAAGGTGGTAACTTGTGATGCTGTCTTTGGATTCCAAAAAAATCTGTCTTGCATGACTAGCAAAAGGAGTCCAGTTTGTGCTACACGGGGAGGGCATTTCTCATGCGGAATAAGCATCAGGAAGCCTTCTAAAAATCTGGGATGCTAGGGCGTGCATTACAGGCGTCATTGGACATGCAAAATATGCATGACAAACCTGGCAATCTTCCAGACCCAGACATTTTTGCATTTTATAGCTGCACCTTCATCTCCGTGATCCGCGTGTTTTAGTGCTTGTGCCAGGACGCTCTTCTTGTTCGGCTGATTCGCATTCGCTCGCTGGTGGTGGTGTTGACCGCCCCTGCTATAGTTCTTTCTGGCGACCGACGGTCCGCCGCTGGGTTGCCTTTGTGGGTGCAGCTGCGAAGATGTGTTATAAAAATTCTGTTCGGCGTCTTCGCTATGACGTTCTCAAATGTTACATTCTCAACTGTTACATGATTTGTCATCCAAATTTGCCACCAAGATCGCCACGATTAAGCTGCTTCGCATGACAAATATCCGAAGGGCTAAACAGCATCTAAATCTGTGCCAAATCTGTAATGCAAAAGGCGCAGTCTTCCTCCTTTCATTTTTGCCGTTCTTGCATTTACAAATTTATGTAACAGTTGAGAATGTAACATTTGAGAACGCCATATTCGCTATCAAGATGGTACGAAGTGTATCCCTCTACAACTTCACCGCCCGGAGTAGACGACAAAGCTTGCGTCGGTCTCGTTGTTCCGGTGGCAGATGAACCACCTCCGATGATTCCCGTGCTGCCGAAGTTCTGCAAAACGGCCCCGCCACGCGGTGGATTAGAAGTCGTTGTAACGAGGTTGACGCTGGGCACCAATATGCCCGCGACGAGCTCCTCCTGTCGCTTGGCTCTCTCTTGATTTTTCGCACGATGGAAATCCGCGAGCTGGCTGTTGGCCACGGTTGTGTTGGGACCCTGATATGAGTTATTTGCTTTTTAGACGACTTTTGTACCACAAAGGAACAAGACCTCGTCCATATTTATATTTTTACACCCCTGACGCACATGAAATTGAAAGAGCTCCTCGTCCTCCTTCATTATAGTTTCATCAATTTCCTCCCATCATCAACCGGTCAAGAACAAGATGCGTCTTCACGCTTCTATTCTTGCTGCCAAGTACCTTGCCCGGCCCCTCGCCTCCGTGGAAGCTCGGACCATTTAAAGATGGTCCTCCACCGGTGTTCACCACACCCTCGCTCGAAATCATTATTCCAGATGAGGCGTTCGTCCTGGGTTGCGGCAAGGTTGCTCGGGTACCCGGCGGCGCTATCTTAAACTGGAGAAGATCTGGAAGAGGTCGTGGGATACAGAGAATGAAAAGTAACTTACAGCATCGGCGAATTATGCATACATACTTATAGAAGTGATTCATCAGATGTACATAAAAGAAAGTCCTGGTAAGACCGTTCAAAAATACTCCGGCTCGCCTGCTGCGGCAGCACTGGCTGCGTGACTTGCATCGAGTAGTTGGGTTTCGGACCTGCTCCTGTACTAGACGACGAGGAGCTGCTTGCCCCGCTGGCGCCTGACAGCATGACGGACGCCATGGGCGCTTTCAGGGGTGGCGTGTTGGCGAGCACTGGACGGGGATTCTTCATTTGCTGCAAACCTGTTGCACTCGTTGTGCTCGTCCCGGCGATGGTGTGAGCGCCGTGCTGACCGCCGCCCTGCTGGGGCCGCGTCATGCGCGGCTGTTTCGGAGACTCCAACATATCAGCTTTACACACTCTCGCTCCCTCAATGCAGCGCCTCTAGCAAGACGACTGAGGCTCGCCGGTGCTTCCGCTTTCGAAAAGGGATAGTTAGACTGATGGCTGTGGACGAAGCGGAACTGGTATTACCTACTTACTTCAATTTGCTGTCCTTCAATTCCGCTCACTCACTGATGCTGCCTACTCGCGCATTCCGCGCGCGCGCCTTTACCTTTAGAAGAGTGGCTCTCTTTACAAGACAAAAAGTTCTTGAACATCCGCCGAGCCCCGCACCACGAAAGAGCAGCCCGGAAGCAAGGCTTCGACGGGAGAGTAAGCTTGCTCAGCGTTAGTTTCAAAGTACCTACTTACATCGTAGCAACACTAGCTTCCATAATTTTTCTTTCTGCAAAAATAAGTTCACTAACTTCGCAAAATAAGAGTAGCTCTTCGTATCTTGTTCCACCTGTCGCTGATGTTGCGGAGCAGGGTCATTCTTTCGCTTTTGTTGAAGAGCGTACTTAGTCGATTCGGCACGGATACTTACACGTCATGGGGGGTGGAAGATAAAAAGAACCACGACGACATCAGCGAGAGTCTATTTATTATCCGTTGTCCTCGCCTCTGTTCATTTCTTTCAAGTATGAGAATGGGTATCTTCAAGGTGAAGGTCGTGTAAAAGATGGCACACCAAAATATTCAGCTTCTTCTAACTCACCTTGGCTTTACTTCGGTTTAGCTTTACAAGTTCTGCACATGATAAAAAACACAGGTGGTCAAGATGAAGATGAACCAACCCAGAAATAGAAGGAGCGGGTCACATAGATTTGCTTTGTTGAGGTGAGAACTATAGAAAGTAAAGTAGCAGTGTATTCATTGATGAAAAAGAACCTTTCCTAATTTGCGAGTGAAGGTGAAAAGTTCCGTCACAGCCGCGACAACACCTTGGTTGTCGTCGCCCCGCCAGCCGCTCTCTTCTTGTTGTACTCCATCACACTATTCCGGGCCTGTCGGTATCCTGTGCAAAAGTATCGTACTCGTATTCTTGCAATCACGCATTACGTATTTTAGTGAAGGTAAATCAGCATTACAAATTTTATTTTTCATGCTGAGGAAATTTGTAATGCATTTTATACGAGTACGATACTTTTGCAATTCATAGTCGGCTCCGCGCGGCCGTTTCCGTGACGTCCTCGTGGCGGTCGAATTCTAGGGTCGCAGTTATCAAATGCAAAAGTATCGCACTCGTAGTAATTGCAGTCATGCATTACAAATTTCTTTGCTAAGGTAAATCCGCATGACAAGTTTCATTTCTCATGCTGAGGAAATTTGTAATGCATTTAAATTTATACGAGTACGATGCTTTTGCAATGCATAGCAGTCAGGCAGACCCGATTCGTGACATCCAGACAGTACACCTCACACACCACGGTATGTTGTTGATCATCTTCCGGGTGTAGTTGTTCTTGCGGTAGTTCTAGTTTCTTAGATGTCACAACTTCGGGGCCGAGTTTTCTTGGCTGTTCGAGTTCATCCTGCCCGTGGAGAGTACTATCAAGTTCTTGTTCCTGCGGCTCTTTTCCCCCGACTTCCACCACGTCTCTGCCTGCAAACAGGTCCTCCTCCCGGTTTTCGACCACACTCGCGACCCAGAGGTACCGGAACTTTTCCCCGGAGAAAAGGGCGTAGTGCTTTTGGACAGAAACGTTGGTCAGCACGTAGTCCAGCCCGCGCGTGTTGTCCATCAGCAAATCAAGGTACCGCATGACGGTCCGGTAGGCAATTTCCTCCAGACACCCGGTCACGAAGGCCGTGTGCACCTCAAAGCCCCCGTGTTTCTCTTCCAGCGAGGGGTGGTGAATCTCCTCATAGTCCAGGGAACTAGTAGTTGCCGTCAAAGAACTGCGAGCAGCCGTCGTTTTATTTGCCGACGATGAAGTTCTTGCAGGTGATGAAGAGCCTTCTGGCGCACTTTCTTCAATACTCGCTGTCGTGGCCGCCTTATTCATCGGCACCCTCTCCGTGAACCGGTCCCTTGTGTCGAGCAGAAAACTCACATCCCAGAAAAGCGAGCAGGAGTCCCGAATCCAGTTTTTCAGTTGCTTTTGGCCTGCTGCTTGTCTTGTCGAATAAACGGGCACATCATCAACTACTTGCGATGGTTGCAAGTTCTCATTGGAAGTCGTGGGCGAAAGCACCAAATGAGAAGTACTTGAAGATGTTCTTGCCCCCGCCGGGGTGACAGTTGTTGACTCATCACGCCCCCGTGCGTTGTTCCTCGCCGCCCCATCCGCCTGCTGTCCTCCTGCCCTCGCGAAGTCCTCGAGGGAGCACTCCTTCACCCAGGATTTGTTGTGGATCAGGATCAGCGACCGGTACCGGGAAAGCCACAAGCGCACCCGGGAAATGCCGTCGATCCCCGCGGTGTCGATATCTGGGGGAAACACCTATGCAATGCAAAAGCATCGTACTCGTATAGATGCATTACAAATTTCCTCAGCATGAGAAATGAAATTTGTAAATTTGCCTTGGAGGCAGGATTTGTAATGCAAGACTTGCATTTTTTATACGAGTACGATACTTTTGCACAGGATAACACCGCGTGGTTCGTGATGTGCTTGGCCATCCAATGCGGATAGTCGAGCAAGATTTCCGTCAGCTTGTGCTCGCCGGACGAAGCAGTGGCAGTGCCACCGCCACCACCATAGTTGCCGGTCGTGTAGGACGCTCTTGGAACTACGGGGGCGGGGAAGTTTGCGTTCGAGGACCGTTGTGCAGAACCAGCTCCACTATCGGGGACACCAGGTACCACCTGGCCGCTCCGCGTTTTTGCGAAGAATGGAAAAACAACGGCGCCACTCCGCCTCCTCTTACGCGGGCCGTTATTGTTGTTTCCATTATTTCGAAACATGATTTAATATTTTAAGTAAATCGAAACCGCGCACCACAGAAAAAGAAATCTGGAAGTGGAGCTGTTCGTGAATTACTTTTACGCTGACTCACTGGGTCGTGAATAATTTCATGCTAATCGATAAAGATTTTCAATTATTCTTTCATATCATAAGGAAGCTACATATGTATAAACTGGCTGCGCGCTGTCGTGGGTATTGTATTCTTGGGAGGTACTGTGCATTAATTCATTGCGAGTGGAAATTGACTTCGCCGGGAGGAGGTGTCAAGAGCTCGCTGTTCCGAATCGCCACAAAAAATCTTTTCACACAGAAGTCACAGTCACTCAAACGCTTTTATTATTCTTACTTCACGCTCACGCATCTTCATCATGGCAATCAAAACCGCTCGGCTCGTTCACCAGCCTCTTTGAAGAATTCCACGAAAAAGGTGTTGGTGCGACTCAAATTCCTCTCGGCGTGGGTGAATGAGGAGACCTGCGACTACTAACTTAGCCTTAACTTAATCTCCTCTCTCGATGAAGGTATCTCAATGCCGATATTCAATCCAAAACAAGAACAACGCAGCTTTTCACTGGCTCGTCATCTCTCGCACACGTTTGAACTTCTCACTCTCTCCCCGATGTGGACGTGCTCGAAAACATGTCACGACAACATAAATTGATTCTTGTGTGCTGGAAGCTACTCCAGCACTGACTGTCCAGCTTTTTACCGAAGAACAGCCAAGCACCACTTCATGTGTCTTCACTGAATCACCCTGACCACGGGCTATTGTCTTCATCCTGTTCTGAAACTCCTGCGGCGGTGATACAACAGCCGCAAGGGTAGTCTCGCCCAGATTTGCTTTTTCTGTCGTGTGTCGATTGCGTTCCTGCCCGCGCAAGCGACTGCCGAAGCAGCAACAACCTGCGTCAATCATCGCCGCTTGTGCGATTTTTCGTGCTACTAGCAGCAAAAAAAACCGCAAGCCACGAAACTTTTATTTGAAGTCGCCTTCGCAATTACACCAGCATCGCTGCCCTCGCAAGGCCAAGAAGGGGGCCTCCGCAGCGCTACTTCTATCGTCCCTTTTCCGTGCCTCCACCCTGCCGTTCGTCCCTCAGGTTTTGATGCAGACGCAGCAGCTTTTCCTCATACAGCCTCTCCGCACGTTCGGCCTCGCTTATCATTTCATCAGTAGACGCTCTATCTCCGCCGCAAATGAGTCTTCGACAAGCGTCGAACCCCTCGCGGGAGGTTCTGTCGAGGAAGGGAAAGATCTCCCGCCTCCAATACACGACGAGCCACGTCTGGTCCAGTTCGTATTCCACAAACACTTTCTGGCGGAACCAGATCCGCCACAGCTTGTATTCGTCGATCAAATCGTCCGAAAAGTAGTGGAGGAGCAAAGCGGTCACACTATACACCACCGGCCAAAACGGGTTGCGGAACAGGCAATTCAGGTAGTACTCGAAAGCGTCCAGCCCCCGCAGAGGCAGCTCAGTCTTCACAAACGACGCGCGGTCCTGTTCCCGGGTGCGGTAGTAGTGGCGAGCGTTGCTGTGAACGAGCGAAGTCATGGAAAACCACCTGGCAGCAGATGATAGCAACGCGATCCTAGCGGGGAACAAGGAAAAACTAGAAGATCGGATTTTGAAGACATCGTGTTCTTTCGCTAAGATGAACCGCGCCGTGCTGCAAAGGGCCCCACTTCTGCGCGTTGGCAGTCTTGCCACGGACCAAACACAACAAGGCCTGCAGCATTCCGAGGTGGGAGATCCCGGTCGTGCAGCCAATGCTCCTTTTGCATTCCCCAGGACGGCGGCGGTGGTCGTCCCCAACATTACGGCAGCGCTCTCCTCGGTGTTGGAGTTGGAGTTCTTGGGGGTTTCATCTTACATTCTGTTCTCCCATTTTTGCCATTGATGTGGAGAAGCCGTACACAAAATATCTCCTTGACTGCAATCAACATGTCGATCAAAAATTCTCTGGTGACCACGCCACTCGCGTTCTGGTGTCCTTTGCAGGTGGGTGCGGGTCGTGCCTCAAAGCTCCATAACCTCATCAAAACATCTACTCAGCGTGAGGGTGTATATATAGATTTCTTCTTTTAGACGAGCACGACACGCCTGCAGATGTTGAGCTGCAATTACTACGAAGAACCCACAACTACATCCTCGCTCTATTAAGAACAAGATGGCACCGCAATAGACTGCATGTGCCCCCTACTACAAGCCGGCGGCCAGCACACGTCATCATCTCCTGTGCTTTTTCTTTTTGATAGCTGCGATATTTTCTTCTTATTTTGTCAACACACACTTCCTACTTTGGGAAGCAGAGATGTGGGTTTCTCATTTACATAATTCGTGGTAACATGTCCCGTAGTGATGGTCGTTCCGAATGAATGTCCCATGATGAAGAAATGAGAACGCCGTGGTACTTGGTACTTAGACCTCCCGGCTGCTTCATCCTCCGGCGGACGCGACACAGTCCGTGACGCCCGCCATCAGGACCGGTCGCGGGTAATCGGGATGAAAAATCTTGTGTAACCAGGGTTAGTTGGTTACGGTTCGTACTACTTCTACTGCCAGCCACGATGTTGGGATGTGAAAGATTGAATGACGACTACCTGTACCTACTCAGTGTCGTCGTCTTCGATTAGGATTATTCGAAAAAAATACGGGGGGGGTATGGAACGCCAACGCGGCAGGCACAGTAGTCGGTGAGACCACGATGCGCGGAGCAGAGAATGAATTCATATCTGCTTCACCTCTTCACCAGGACTAGAAGTAGCCGTATCGCGGAGCGGACGCGCAAACTGAACAAAATGGCCGCGTGTCGTGCAGTTAGTAGAAAAAATTAATAATTGTCGCCGTGGGGAACAAATATGATGAATAAAATCGGGAGCAGCAGCTCTTCGTTCACATCAGAATAACAGCACGCCCTGACCCTGTGGTCGCGGTCTTTATAATTGGCCCTCAACTTTTCAAAAACCCGGCTACGCAATCGGCGACGTCTTTGTTTTTACACGCGGCGGTGAGCTGCATGAGTATTCTGCCCTGGTTGTCTTTCCCGATCAGGGCGCGGCACACTACCGAAAACCCGCCCGCAAAGGTCCCCGACAGCCAGAGTTCATGCGCCGTTCTCGAGGGGTATGCAATACAAATTTCCTGTACATGTACAAAATGCGTGACAAATTTTACCAAGTTGGAGCATGCCACTTGTCATGCTGAATAGGATTGGAAGAAAAGTTTGTCATGCAGATACCACATTTGTACGTGTACGGGAAATTTACTGTGGATAAGGGGTCTACGGTGTCGGTTTTTTCACAGGCCTCCATACCCATCGTATTGATAACACCTTCCACGGCCTTTTCGATCGAGTTGTACTCCAGTTGCAGCTTCACCATCTGCAGAGAATTTCCATTTTCCTTTAATTTCTTTGTAGTGATCGTTCCCGTGCAAGCTGCCCAAGCACACGTCAACGCAAGATGGAGATTCTGAGTAGCATCATCAATACACGCAAGAAGACAATGCGAAGTATGATTCATACTTCACATTCAGTGACTCTGAACATACGAAAACCAATCAAAGCAAGTACCGCGCTTCCCTGTGCCTTCAACTGCTCGAAAAGCGGTTTCACCTGGCCCGGCGGAAGCAGGGCGGGGCTGACGTAGTTTCCCGGTAATATCTCCGCGTTCTCGAGCTGCGTTTCGTCGGGAAACCCGATGTCGTCTCCATCTTCGAGTTGGTTGTAGCACAGCTTGCGCTATCAAATGCAAAAGTGTCTGGGTCTGGTTCTGGAAGATTGCGAGATTTGTCATGCTTGTCTGGCATGACCAAAAAATTTGTGATGCGTGTCCAAGCAGAGACACTTTTGCCTGTCATGCAAAAACGAAGTTTGTCATACGAAAAACGCAACACAAAAAAGCGCAGATATGTCTCATGCTTGGCTGCGCATTGCAGAGCATTCACTATTCCCAAGGCAGCACTACAAGTTTCCAGACCCAGACATTTTTGCAGTTGATATGCACGGCAGCGACGCCGCCACGATGCCCTCGATTTTTTTCTCCAACACGAGGTATGATGATTTGTTTTCGTTAAACTGGATCACTTCGCTCGCTTTCACCGACCCGACCAGGGAAAATTTGTCCGCGTCCTTGGGCAAAATGGTCGCCTGCACCTCGGCGTCCGCCAAGCCGACGCCCTCCAAAGTGTTGGTGATGTAAAACTCCAGCACGATGTGTATGGAACTCTCAGACGTTACATTCTAAACTGTTACATGATTTGTCATGCAAATTTACCACCAAGATCGCCGCGATTAAGGTGCTTCGCATGGCAAATCTACGAAGGGCTAAACAGCATCTGAATATGTGCCAAATCTGTAATGCAAAAGGCGCCATCTTCCCCCTTTCACTTTTGCCGTTCTTGCATGACAAATTTATGTAAAAGCTGAGAATGTAACATTTGAGAACGCCATAATGTGCCGCTGGAAGATGTGCTTGATCAGCTGAACGGAATACTCCGCCTCCAGTTCGGTCACCGGCGTGGGCTTCGTGCACGAAAGAAGATTACCTGGTAGAAGTAGTTGTAGAAGTACATCTACTAGTACTACTTTATAGTACACGACAAGAATGCTCAAGATCTTCACGGCTTCAGCTTTTTCACACTTGCTAACAAGTTGTACATCAAGAGCAGCATCATCATTCTATAGCTGTGGGTAAACAATGAGATGAAACCCTAAATCCTAAAACCCCGAAATCTTCTAGAAGCGTCTGTCGTTCTTGGAGACAGAAATTCATTTTTGCAAAAGATCACCACTTGACTACTAGTAAGTGGAAATACGAAAAAAACATATCAGACGGACGAACGGACATAGAAAATAATCGCCCTCACCTATAGCCCCCGCAGCGTTCCCGCCGAAGAGCGGAGCGATTTTGCTGAGTACCTCGGTCGGCGTTGTGGTTGGCTTCGAGACCGCCGCGGCGACGTCGCTGACCCCCGTCGTCTATCAAATGCAAAATTGTCTGGGTCTGGAAGAATGCGCGATTTGTCATGCTGCTTTTCCATGACCCATGAGGTCTGGAATGCAGGACCTAGCATGACAGATTCTGCGAGACCTTTCTCATGCCTGTCCTGCGTGAGAAACTCCCTCCCGACTTGGTCAAAACTGGGCGACTTTTGGTAATCATGCAACACAGATTTTTGCATGCTGCAGATTTAGCATGACAAGTTGCAATCTTCCAGACCCAGACATTTTTACAATTCATATCGTCTCGCCCGGCGCGCCGCCCGCCAGTTGCGCGTGGTGCCCGGCCAGGCCCTGCTCCTTCTGCTCTTCCAGCCTCTTCTTCTCGAGAAACTGCGCATAGGCCTCGGGCGTGGGTAGGTTCGACACGTCGATTGGCTTATTGCGGAGGTCCGGCACCGACATCTGTTTTTCGCAGAGGTCAAACAGGGCGTCAACCGAGAAGTCTTTCAGGGGCTCCACGACGACGGTGAGGTAGTCGCCGTCCTGCGGATTCTGCTGCAGCAGCGAGGACTTGTAGAGATTGATACGGTATCAAATGTAAAAATGTCTGGGTCTGGAAGAATGCGCGATTTGTCATGCAGCTTTTCCATGACCCATGAGGTCTGGAATGCAGGACGTAGCATGACATTGGTGGTCTACGGGCAGGACGTCCCGGTGGCACGAAAGCCGATAGTACAAGTTACTATAAACATGTAAAAAAATATAATATAAAACGAGAAAAAACCTTGAGCCAAAATGGCTACCAGGACGTAGCATGACAGATTCTGTGCGATCTCTCTCATGCCTATCCTGCATGAGAAACTCCCTCCCGACTTGGTCAAAACTGGACGACTTTTGGCAGCCATGCAACACAGATTTTTGTATGCTTCAGATTTAGCATGACAAGTTGCATTCTTCCTGACCCAGACATTTTTACATTTGATATACGGTCCCGCACTTCGTCGTCGTTGTCGTTTTTGCCGCACCTGTTCGTGTTCGTTTTCGGTTTTTATTGTCTATCGATTTGCCATGCAGAAAGCCCCCTAAATCGGTAACTTTGCCATGCAAGGTAGATAAAAGAGGAATGAAAAACTACATAGCGCGGCGAGCAATTTCATGAAATGCAAGTTCTCTTGGTAAGCGAAAAACTCCAAATTGAATTGTACTCCAACAGCGTGGCAATATCTGATCGGAGGGACGGCACTTTTAACCCAACCTTCGTCAATGCGTCGGCGGCGGCCGCTCGGAGGTATGGCAACGAAGAATAAAAGCTCTATCACAACTATCGATGCCTTTCACCCAAGAATAGGTCGGTCTCGGTACTGCACACATGCAACGGCATTGCATTATTAGCATTTCTGCAAAATACGACAATGCGCGGCAGTCATGTTTTTCTTCAGGTGAATGATTAAACCACGCACGTTCTTTTTCAACATTACGCGCGGAAGAAGCGTGCAGTATTGGATGTGGCGTAACATGTGCATTTTTAGACACGATAGTGATAGGAAAAAGCACTTTTTCGTCTTCGTAGCACCAGGGCGTTTTCTAGAATCAACCGGTTGTACATGAACCGCACGAATTTTCCGGGCGACTGCTGCAAGGGCACGTTTTCGCCGAGAAACGCCAGGATGCGCATGCACAGATCCGGGTACTCGCAGTCCTCGATGAACTCGCAGAGGTGAAGCAAACCCTCTTTTTGCGCGACGGCGGACATTTTGGGGTACTGGATCAGGGAGACCATGGCTTCCACCAGGTCCTTTTTGAAATCCAGCGACCCTTCCTCGCGCAGGTTGGTCGACAGAAAGTGCATGATTATCATTTGCAAAAACGTCCCCACACCAGAGCCAAGATGGGAAATCTGCTAGACAAATCAGCCAGCTTTAGTCGTTTGGCATGACAAGTTTGTCCCCGTAGTGTAATCCTGTTTAGGTAGTTCAGCAGCATCACAGATCTAGTCGATCATGCTGATTATAGCATCACAAATCCCAAAACACGACTAGAGAATGCCTCTCATGGCGCTCCGCATGACAAACTTTTTTGGCATGCAGATTTGCATGACAACTCTGGGGTGGGGACGTTTTTACCCAGAATAATGATGACCTTGTACTTAGTCGGGTACTGGAGCCCCAGGGACTTCACCGCCCGCACCACCTCGATCTTGAACACGTCCGTGATATCGGACATGAAACTGGTTATTTGCTTCACTAACCGCTCCACGTTGGACTCATTCCCGGTCTTCAGAAGGGACGTCAAGGCCAGGGTGGCAGTACCTAGAATTCGTTTCGGTCATGTTCGTGCTCCTGCCATGCAGTGGTTCTACTTGTAGTTTTTATTCATATTTTGATCTTCCTTGTCTGTCACTAGACCACAATAATCAAGCATCATGATGACAACGAAGAGTCATTGTCATTCTTGTTGCTCACAACTACGCAAAACCGGTGCAGCTATGTATCTTCTATACTTCTGTTTGGGTCCGACAGCAGGGGCTCCATGTCCTGGTTGCACCTGGTCACCAGTTCTGGTCTATCCTGTGCAAAAGTATCGTACTCGTAGTAATTGCATTTGCAAATATGCATAATTACAAATCTCCATCCTAAGGCAAAACAGCATTACAAATCCCACTTTTCCTCTTGCCAAAATTTGTGATGCAGTCTATACTAGTACGATGCTTTTGCAATGCATATGGTCTGTGTTGCGCCAGTTGGTTCAACGTGCGCGCGGCGGCAAACCGCATCACAGGCTTCGCCGACGTCAGCCCGATTTGGAGAATCTTTGGGATGTAGTGATACATTACGTCCGTTGTTTCATAGCGGTGGATGCTCGAGGAAGGTCACAACGAGGAGGTCGTGACTTTTCACATTATCTTCTACTTGTGCCAACATGCGGATCATGCGTCTTGATTTCATTACACCCATCGACAACGAGGCTCGCGCCAGAAGAAATGCAGAATTCTTTTTTATCTTTTTTCTTTCCTTGCGCATCGAGAAGCCAGCGTTTGCAAGGTCAAGGAGGGAGTTTAGGGTGGTCGTAGTGTGGTGTCATTGTCAAGTGCTACAACAGCAAAACCTAAACCAACCGTTGTGGTACAAAAAGAATAAACTATACATCCACAGCCCGTGCGAAATCCACGCCGAAGAGGTGATTTATGTGCGGGTCCTGCTTCGATTCCGATATTATCAGGTTTACAAACGCCCGCGCCGCCTCGTGCGTGACCATTTCTGCCTTCTGTTTCGCCTTGAGGCAACTGTCGATGTAGGCAATTAGCGGCTTTTCGATGCCCGGGTCGCGGTCTGGAGCCATCAGCGCGTTGGCGGCGTATCTGAAGTTGGTGGAGAAAAAAATTGTGATAACGATGGACAAAAGTTTATCGGTTTTGTTGTGCCTTGCCTGTTTAAGCAAGAAAGACGAGCTGCGTGTGCGTACTTACTACAAACGAAACAGACTTAGTATAAAAATCCTTGTCGAGGAAAAATAAAGGAAAGTCAAACACAAACGCGCAATATTTTTAGGTGCAATGTCGCAAGTCACGGAAAAATGCAAGTTTTTCATGCGAGATACGAAATAAGTGATAAGAAGCGTATTTTGAACAAAGAATGAACCTGATGAGCAGGCACTCCGCCATGGGGTTCTTCAGTTGATTTTTCGCCAAATTGGTGATCACCTTGTGCAGTCCGAGGCGATCGTTTTTCTTGATTTCGTACAGCAGGGCCAAGGCGTGGTACTGTACCATGGAGCTCCCCGAGGACAGCACCGTTTCCTGGATTTCGTTCACCCACCGTTTGATGTATGCATTGCAAATACGTCTGCGTCTGGAACAGTGCAACTTGTCATGCTGAATCTGAAGCATGCAAAAATCTGTGTTGCATGATTATCAAAAGTCGTCCTGTTTTGACCAAGTCGGGAGAAAGTTTCTCATGCAGGATAGGCATGACAGGGATCGCGCAGAATCTGTCATGCTAGGTCCTGCATTCCAAACCCCATGGGTCATGGAAAAGCTGCATGACAAAAAATCGCGCATTCTTCCAGACTCAGACATACTTGCAATGCATATGATGACTTCCGGCACCATTTTGGTCAGGGAGATCCCGCACACCAAGCTGGAGGAGGCCACGAAGGGATTTTTGTCCACGATCGCGGTTTTGAGGTAGCGGTCCGCGATCTGGTTCGCGATCTGCACGTCCAGAATCTTGGACAACACCCGGATCGCGTTCGCGCGGTTGCAATCCGTCTTACTGTTCACATCCTTAATCAGGGATGAAGTGACGATGAACGCCTCCGTCTCCGCGGGCTCCAGATTCTTTATCACCAGGTACGTCAAACGCCGCAGTTTTGGGCTCGAGCTCTGGAACAGCTTGGTGACCCCGAAAAACAGGTCGGTCATGTTGTCGCCGGAAAACCGCTGTCCCTGGAACAGCATGTAAAGAATCTTCGTGATTAGCCGGCAACATTTGTCGGTGTCGATCGGGGTCGCGTGGAAGGCCCGGGCTTCGAGCAAGAGGGTGGATTTGTCGCCTTGCCAGGGATTTACAAAGTCGCGGTTGTCTTCGTATTTCAAGTTGTCCCGCAAGGCAGACTTCAACTTGTCAGAGATGGAATTCGCCAACATCTTCTTCGCTCAGGTTCCACTTGTGGGGCTGGTTCGTGGTACGTAGGGTAGTTTTGATTTTGATATGTATCCGTATATTTAAGGTGATATTACCCAGCGAAGTACAATTCCTTCTGGCGTTCTTCGGCTTCCCAAGAAAAAACCGCGTAAGTGGCTTGAAGTTCTCGCAGGACCTGGTTGTAGTTTTTGATGTACACGTCAGGTGAGTTCTTTTCGCAGCCACGTAGTTCTCGGTTTTTCTTCTGTCACGTCCGTCTGTCGTATGTCCTCGTGGTCGACGTTCTTTTCTGTCCTCGAGGTTACGGCCGTCCTCTTTGCGGTTGCTGCCTGCACCAGGGCAAACCAGTGGAAGAACGTCTTGTCCCGACTTCTAGAGGTTCGTTGCTTCAGCCTGCCAGTCAGCACCTGGTAGAAGCTCCTGTCCTTGTTCTACTACAACTCCGGGTGCTGCGCCGTGTAGTTTGCAAGACTACCGCGGCGCATCAAGCAGGAACGAGTGTAGCGACCACACTTGCAGTTGCGGTTGCCCAAGCCATAGCATCGTTTTTCTAGGCAGGAGGTTCTTTCAAATCGCTTTTTCTAAACGTCGATGGCGGGACTGTTTTTCATATTTTGGGTTTGGCTTTGGAAAACAAGTGCTACACAAAATTTCCTTTCAACTCGAAATAACCGCACTATGTTTTGTAGGGGCTAAATGAAAAACCTGATTGTCGACGCTTCACACTAGAGGCAAAGCACCAGGACTAATCCAAAATAAGGCGGAAAGCATGTTGCTTTCCTTCTACACAAAACTTCACGCCACCATACTTTCGACCGCTGTTAGAGACTGAGCAAAAGTAAAAGATGTGAAATAGGTTCTAAAAAGTGAGAAAATTTTTAGTAGACGGACCATGTTGTCCTTGTCGAGCTGTTTTTCGAATTCGTTTTCGCTACTTATGACACCCCGGCCGAGTTGTGCAGTTGTACTAGAATTGATCGCATTTTTTTGTCTATTAACAAGGAGCGAAGGATGCTAGAAGTGAAAGATCTTGTCTGCTTGCACCTACTCCTGCGTATTAGTCTTGTGCAGCTTCTGTTTGCAAGTGCAACTATGCAAGTACTGCACATGCATTCATAGTGCTGGACCGCGATAATAAAAGGTAGAGTACTACAAGGGTACCGCAGAAGAACCTTGTGAACACTCACTTTGACTCCGCCTGATGCTGTTCCGCGCCAGTGGGAACAACTCTACGAGTATTTGAAAGCACGACGCCTCCATAACTCAACTTAAATATGATTCATCATCTACTGCACTGACATTGTTCGGTGAGACACATCACATCCTGTTCCTGGCGCATTTTCGTTATAATTGGTCGAAACAAGAAAAGTTCGCAGCTCCTCGCCCCTGGGGGAAGCGAAGAGCCGAGGTCTCGAGGTACCAGCAGCGGGGAAGTATTTACCTCTGTTGAAAGGATAGTATTTCTCGTCGCCAAATGATCTCCACATCTGCTTTCTCTTTATTTCAACAGGTGGGTCGCGGCACGCGTCGCAAAATTATAACCTCGAAGAGGTGGTAGGTACTACCGGCGAACGAAATGAAAATCTTCGCATGTTTTGAGACTAGGACTACCTACGTCGGTAATAAAATTTCCGCATCTTCTACTTACTCTGCTCGATTGACCTCCAATGCATTCTCGTACAAGTTCTTGTGTAGTTTTCGTCATCGTTATGACCATGGACCTCGACCTAGTATAACTTCTCTACCGAATATCATAATAATTCAACTACCTGTTGTCAACATTATGGCTACGACCTCCCAGCAGTGGAGGACGTTTACTTATCCTTCGGCAGCTCCAAGATCTTCCCGATCCCCACCGTTTTTCCCTCGTCCCGTAAGGTGAAGCGACCCATCTTCTCGCAGCCCTTAAAGCTGTCCAGAGCGGCTTTCTGGTCCAAGGTGATAATGCAGGTCAGAATGTCGTTCACCTTTGCGCGCTATGCACTGTAAACAAATCGATCTGGTGCTCATGGCTCAGGAAGAACAATGCAAACTTCCACTTCGTTGACAACTACATGACAACTCAGAATGACACAAAAATCTGTTTTGCATCAGCAGCAAAAGATGACGTGGTTGCCTACAGTACACAACTTTGTCTAGTAGGAAACAACATGCGCGGAAGGAGAAAAAAGCACGTCCAACTATGTAAGGAATGCTACTTCTTCTGCTTGCCTTTATTGGCACAGCACGATCTTCATCGGAGGTTTTGCGTAGAATTTGCCTATGATTTTTCAAAATGTGCATGACATCAAGTGAAATCTGGCAACCCTTCATCTTCCAGAACCTCCAGTCGATATTGTACAACTATTTGCCGTCGATACGAACTTCGGGTTCGGGGTTTGCTTTTTCTTGTTCGACACAATCTGCACGGTTTCCACCAGTTTCGTGATTTCGCAATCTTCAATCGCAGTGTGGAAGTGGATCACGCAGCGGTACCTGTAAATTTGAAAATGACCCGCTTGAGTCCCTTTCGCGTTGCAAGTGCAACCACTAATAAGGAAAAACATCAACTTTGTACGACGCGGCAAAATCTTGTACGACATCTAACCACTTCTGCTGATGCATAATTACAGCAATTTCAAATGATGTAAAAATTGCACTTCTACTTAGTGGACATGGAAAATGACTATCGTAACTACCCCGCGGTCAAGATGGGTCGCTCTTCCACCAACTCGATGATTTTGAACTGTGCCTTGAACTTTATCACGGCCCTGGCCGGTTCCTTGACGGGACAGAGCACGAACCCTTTTCGCATGTCCTCCTCGGACACCCCGCCGGTAATCTTCACCGTGACAGACTCCCCCACTACCGCGTGGCTCACTTCCTCCTCCCCAATGAAGACGGACACCGCCGTGCAGGTTTTCCCCGTGGGTTGGATCAGGCACTTCATGCCCGGCAGAACTTTCCCCTGTTCAATTTTGCCGATCGCCATCAAGGATCCCATGTCCCGGTACCCATCCAACATGGGCATGCGCAGCGGGTCGGTGGTTTTTGCGTGAGCGGCGATGTTGAGCTCGTCGATGGTGTCGAAAAAGGTTTTCCCCGTGTACCAAGCCGGAGTCCCCTTGCGTTCCTTCAGGTTGTCGCCATTCAGTCCGGAGATAGGAAGGTAAATCACCTATATGGATTGTTCCGGACGTCGTGAGAGAGTGGAAACAATATACAACATTTGGAAGGTGGAAAAATCGCAGGGGCACAAAGCCGTGACACGACGAGGACAATGCAAAAGATAAAGAAGTTGCACATCTGAAGTAGTTATGCCACTGCAATTCTATATTCCACAGCAGAATGAATGAAAGCCACTACAGTAGCTCTACTTGCGCGATCGTGTCTACTTAATACGTACAAGCACAAAGTGGCACAACATTCCTGTGCCTTTCTTACGTTATTCATGCAGATGCGACGCCGACGTCGCTGATGAAATACTTACGTGCATAATTATCTCGATCGACTTTTACTCAAATACAGCAGGCAAGCCTAGAATTTACACGTCTACCTCAACCCCAGCACTCAATTCTAGTTTTAAAATTTTATAATGAAAAGTATCGATAGTACCTGGTCCTCCTTGAAGCCGCAGGTGCTCTTTAAGAAAGGTTTCATCTTGCCGCAAATCTCGTCGTAGCGTTCCTGCTCCCAGCCCACACTGTGGTCGTCCATTTTATTTACCGCGATAATCAATTTATCCACCCCCAGGGTCTTTGCGAGCACCGCGTGTTCGCTGGTCTGCCCGCCCTTCTCAAACCCCGTCTCGAATTCACCTGGTCGTGGAGCAATAATTGCATTCATCTATCGTCCTGCTTCCTCTTACATTCCTTCTACACAAACAAGACAAAAACTCGAACGTCAACTTAAAGAAACTTTCGTAACTCTCGTGAAGAAGTAAGTAAGTACTTACTATACCTTTTCTTGCGCTGATGATCAAAACCCCGATGTCAGCCTGACTGGCGCCCGAAATCATGTTTGGTACATAAGACTTGTGACCTGGTGCGTCCAGGATGGTGAAACGTTTGTTCGTGGTGCAGAACTGCGCGCGCCCCACTTCCACCGTCTTCCCCTTGGCTTTCTCCTCCTCACTGGTATCCATAATGTAGGCCAGAAACCAACTGTCGCGGTTTTTGTCCTTCGCCTCACGCTGGTACCTGTGGTCAGGATGGGTGGAAAACTGTACTTTGCAAGTTTTTTGAAAAACAGAAATGCAAATTGTCATGCTACATATAGGAATAGGTGGAAAGCAAGGAAAGTATTACACCTGTCACGATGCATATGAATCAAATCGCAACCTAGTACTTTTCAATCGTTCGTTCGTCCACGTAGCCCGTCAAGTAGAGGATGTTCCCGCACGTTGTGCTCTTTCCCGCGTCGACGTGGCCGATAAAGACCATGTTCATGTGCGGTCGGGGATCCGGGTCCTTGACGGCCCCCGCCGGCTTGGCGACTACTGCCTCCTCCGTTTCTGCTGAGGCTGCGTCGTCCGACTCCGCGGGCGAACTGAGGACTTCCTTCTTCGGTGCCGCAGGGCTGGGACTGCCCGTCTTCAGCGGCTTGGTTTGTGGTTCTGCGGCTGTTGATGCAGCTGCTGGAGGCGACGTGGCAGCGGGTGCTGGTGCTGGGGCCTCCTTTTCTACTTCTACCGGCGCCGCGCTCTTATTTTCCTTGGGAGAATTCGAAGGAGAAGTTGTGCTCTCCGCCTTGGCCGCGGGGCTTGGGCTCTGTTTAGTGGTCTGCGCTTCCTTGGCTGTCGGGGTCGGCTCCACGTCGGATACGTCATCGTCCCAATTGTCCTCGTCTTCCTTTACCTTCGGCTCCTCCGTATTTGGTGCGGTATCACGGCAATAAAATTATCCATCTTCTGGTTGTTCAACAAGAAGAGCCAAAGACAACAAGTTTGATGCTGTCCGCCACAGAGACGTCAGGATCCGAGTCCAGAAGTCTGGTCGCGATACAGAATCACTTATCATAGCACCTTTTGAAACTCCTGCACCATAGATATCATGTTTGTCACCGTGACGGACACAGATAGTAGTAGTGCATGCAATACAATAAATTTGTTGCCTTCTTGTTGATACAACTAGCTACATGATGTATTCGCTTGCATACGTCTCCTGTTTCGCCTTTGCTGCGGGCTTTTCCGCCGGAGGTGCAGCCGGCTCCTCTTTTGGCACGACGATGGGGACTGAGAAGTGGGGATTTGGGGCGCAAGAATAAAATTTATTTTGCATACGGAGGTGCAACCAGGAGGGCCCTTCCTGAATGAATCAAGGAGGTATAGGTATTTCTTGTGCTTTATTTTTCCACCAGGATATTGAGTCCTGTTCGTCAGCTTAAAACAAGTTCTGAACAAACTGCTATTAAACATCATCGCTCCTACCTGGCTTTGCTGCTGGTTGTGCAGCTTTCTTCGCGGCTGCGGCAGCCTTGGCTGCCTCTGCTTTTGCCTTCTTCTGGGCATTGTACTCCTCTAGTGTCATTTCCTTTATGGCTTGGCTCAGATGTTACAATCTCAAGCGTTACAATAGAATTTGGAAATCTGTGATGCAAGAAGTGCATGATCTAGCCAAGTCTCATAGGACTGCGCATGACAAGTTCCGGAGTCCCAGTCCGCCCTACAATCTGGCGAAATTTGGTATTGCAGAAAGTGGAATGCTGTGCGAGTCTGTCATGCTCATCATGCAACACAAATTCCAGACTCTATTGTAACGCCTGAGATTGTAACGTTTGAGCAGGTCATATCCTTTGGCTCGGCTTTCTTCTTCGGCTGATCACCATCTGCATAGGTAGTTCGATTATGATTTTCCATGACTTTCACTGGCTATCAACATGTAACATTGATTCTCATGAACGTGTTTGGTAGGCCTTCATGACACAGACAGCGCATGAGAACGTCATCCTCAACAATATGGCTGAGAATCTACGAGCGGATCGCAACAGAATGTTCATAATGAAAGCAGTCAAGAAACTTTTCTACTTTTTGGGCTTTTGCCGTGTTTCCCGTTGCCCTTTGATGCCTTCCCGCCGTTCTGGTAGCCGCCCTGGTTGTTATCCCACTGCTGACCACCCTGTTGCCACTGCTGATTTGGATCCCACTGCTGCCCGCCCCACTGTTGCTGTCCTCCCCACTGCTGGCCTTGGTCCCACTGTGGCTGGCCACCTGGGAATCAACAAATTCGTGCAAAGTAGTTAAAGTATAAATATCATGGTGATCGTTTTGACTGTGAAAGGGACAAAAACATGCACACGAGAAGCTAAGTAGTAAGGGCTTCTTTCTAACATCCAGATTTAGAAGTTCTTATACCCCATTGCTGTTGCTGCCATTGTTGCTGTGGGTTGTAAAATTGCTGTCCATACTGCTGTTGCGGGTATCCGTAGGCCGGTTGGCCGTACCCCTGTTGAAATCCGTTGTTCATGGTCGTGTGTTGCGCGTGTAGTCACGTTCAAGTTTGCTCCGTGGTGAACTTTCGGGTCGTGCAGGGAAACATGAGTCGCGTTGTCGAGGTATGTTATGAATACATGTGTTGTATACGGATAGGTGCCACAGATGAAACTAAGAGACACTGACAAACAACGGTGCGATGTATTTTTTAAAATTCAGATTTCTTGGTAGTGATTTGGACCAACTTTTTATCGGCCAAGAAAATCGAAAAAAAATCCGGTGGCGCGGCGAAACTGTAGAGGCCAGAGCCAACCAACGTAAGGGGGGCGATTCCCGATTCCCGAATTTTGCATTGCTCAAAATCGATTTTGCACTCCCGCAGACGCGGACTGCACAAAATCGATTTTGCATTGCACGAAACCGAATCCCGCAAAATCGATTTTGCATTGCACAAAATTGATTTTGTATTGCACAGCATCGATTTTGCGTTGCACAAAACCGAATCCCGATTTTGCAGTGCACAAAATCGATTTTGCATTGCACAAAACCGAAAGCAGCAAAATCGATCTTGCAGATCTTGCATTGCACAGAAACGATTTTGCATTGCACAAGATCGATTTTGCATTGCACAAAACCGAATCCCGATTTTGCATTGCACAAAATGGATGTTGCATTCCCGCAGACGCGGATTGCACAAAATCGATTTTGCATTGCACAAAACCGAAACCCGCAAAATCGATTTTGCATTGCACAAAATCGATCTTGCATTGCACAAAATCGATTTTGCACTGCACAAAATCGATTTTGCATTGCACAAAACCGAATCCCGATTCTGCATTGCACAAAACCGAATCCCGCAAAATCGATTTTGCATTGCACAAAATCGATTTTGCATGGCACACAACGCAGATTGCACAAAATCGAATCCGCAGACGCGGATTGCACAAAACCCCTCCTCCAGACGCGCAATCCCGCAGATTGCACAAAATCGATTTTCCATTCCCCCAGAACGCAGCGCCGACCACAAGGCCGGTTTTGAGCTGACCACAGGTGGTTCGATGTTGTGGGTCGCGCAAGGGCTGTTGAAGGCCACACAATCGCCCGACCACACAAAATCGATTTCGCAGCTTCCCAGGTCCGACAGAATCGAGCGGCCGCGTGGCTCAATATCGAGGCGGTGCGCCACGCAATCCGCCGGGCCGACGGACTAGGGGGGAGAGCTTCCAGCTATGCGCTTTAGCGGATCTCCCACAAAATCGATTTTGTGCGTCCGCCCTTTCTTCGCGGATGCAGCCTCCCACGCCAAGGCCTTACCAACCCCCGCCCCAGCCCGCGCCCTATGAGGTACGGGCAACGGGCCCTACCGGCCACAAAATCGATTCTGCAGCCCCTCAACCCTATGGACAACGTCGGCACCTTGCCGGACATTAGATCTTCCGGAGAGATCTGGACTTCCGGAAAGATCTCGGGAGATCGCTGCGGTCCGGATTTTCCGACTTCCGGAAAATAGAGCTTCCGAGAAAATAGCAGAAAATCGATCTTGTGCCTCCATTACTATTCAATAGTAGCGGGATCGGACTAAACCTGGCCCATACCATCGGCGGAGGCAGTTGCTTACTATCCAGTTGGTAATCTGCTGCCAAAAATCCAAAAAAAATCCGAAGGCAGTCGCGCTCGAGGTGTCGCACGCAAAAATCTGAGCTGTTTTGTGTTGCGTCCCGAGCAAAATAATAATTACTATTGAATAGTAACCAACTGCCTCCGCCGATGGTATGGACCAGGTTTGGTCCGTCTCCGTTACTATTGAATAGTAACTCGCGCGCACTTTTGGCGCATTTTTGGCGCACACTCGGGCGCACTTTTGGCACACAGAAAATGGACTTTGAAGCGCCTCCGAATCTCTTGAAAGTGCAAGCGTTCGGATTTTTGGCAGCAGATTACCAACTGGATAGTAAGCAACTGCCTCCGCCGATGGTATGGGCCAGGTTTGGTCCGTTCTCCTTAGCAATGAAGCAGAAAATCGATTTTCCGACTCGATTTTCGATTTCGAGGACTTGCTGATGTCCCGATCTCGATTTTCGATTTCGGAAAATTCCGGACTTTTCGCAAACTCCGGACTTTTTGAAATTTCCGGAATTTCCGGAACCCGGAAAGTCGATTTTTCGGCAGTCCCGGAAAGTCCAAGCAACGCGTGGACTTCCGGAACACTTGCTCCTCTGGATTTTCAGGAAGTTGGAAAATCGATTTTGACAAACAGCCAGACAGCCACCTGCCTTAGCCACATAGAAGGCCCGCGCCACCTCTTTTGCCCGCACCACCACTGCCGCGGACATCGCACAAGGAGCGGGCCAACAAAATTGATTTTGCGCGCCTCGGGTGATTGAACCCGCAGACGATTCTGCGAGCCTGAAGCAACTAAAGTCCCCGGCTCTGGGCCCCATCAAGCGCCCAGCGGCTGTCGAGGACTGAGCCGCGGCACCCACCGAGGGCTGTCTGTTCACAAAATCGATTTTGCGACCCCCGCGCCAGCCGAGAGCCCGTTCCTGGCGCCTCTACGGAGCTCAGAACACGCAGACGGGGCCCATGCCGCTCCCGCGGCTTTTCAGAACTTGGGCCCGGATGTAAGAAAGTCACAAGCTCGGGCGTTTTTCATTGGTTTCTACGCTGGGCCAACGCGATGAATGTGCGGAACTTCATCTGGGCGCAAGTTCTGGAGTTCGCGATCATCCCTAAGCCTGTAGCGTGCGAGCGAAACATCGATCCAAGGCGGGCAGAGGCCCGTCCTCTGCGACTTCGCCCCACGCAATCAATTTTGCAGCTTTTGCCGGAATTTCCGGCTTTTGTGTTGGTAAAATCGATTTTGCGAACACGCGCGGATTGTGTGGCCCCGCCCGAGGATAGGGCATCTTCGAAAAGCGTGCCCGAAGGGTGCGCACAAAATCGAATCTGTCCGCGGGTACTCACAAAATCGATTTTGTGAGCACCACCCGCCGGGCGGAACATGACAACCCGGCGCCCCCAACCCGGCTGCGGGAATCTTTCTGGCAGCCCGGACGCTCCAGGGTGGGGCCTAACGCCTCAGGACACCGGCAAAAACTGCCGCGAGACCGAGTTGGCGCATTCTCGAGCTTCGAGAACGCGGGCAACCGACTTCGCTTCGCGCTACTTTGCTTCGCTTGTGGACGTTAGCAGCCGCGGCACAAAGTCGATTTTTTGCGGCGTGCCTGGATTTTTTGCGGATTTTTTTCCGATTTTCTTAACATTTTTGAAGTCGGTCCAAATCAGTACTAAGATTTCTGAAGTGAAACGAAACATGAGGACATTATGTGGCACAGTTCACTACAACTAGAACTACTAGTATGGTCAGTCCATAAAATACAGATGAGTTATGCTCTTTCTTCGATCTTCAGTAGCATTTTTTCAGCAGGAAGCTTCGAGTCGCTTCATCATAGTGGAGCTTTCATTTTCGGCTTATCTCCGTTCGGACAAGATCCTTCGGTTGCTTTTTCTTGCTACGTAGATCCTTTAAAGGAGAAAGCTCATCAAAAACAAAAACGGATCTTTACTTTCGTATAAAAAACAGATCATCGCAGTGCGTTGTAATATTAATATTCAGGCTGTTACAAAGGCCCTGCGAGGCTAGCCGCAACAACTCAGAAAGACACTTCAGATCAACTCGTATGTGTCGTTCCACAGAGTATTTGAATTCACCACGTGTTTTTGAAATAGTCAACGTGAAGCACGATTTTGATCTCTTCGTCTTGCAACAAAATTGCAACGTATCTTTTGGATGCTGAGTCTCTACGAACACAACATGCACAGGGGCAGACTCGCACTCCCTCATGACCACGAGCACTGGGTACGACACCTCTACAGTGTCCCAAGGAAGTTTCTTTCTTGCCGGATGGTCCTGCGAAACACTAAGACGCCCGAAACGCAACAAACTTTGAACCATTATGATTTCCTCTTCATTTTGGCAACTTATAATGCCCGTTTCATCTCTATGGCCCTCACGTGTGTCACGATCTGACTCGACGTCACCCGATCCAAAGACCACCTCAACTGCTGTGTGAATTTACTTTGAAACTGTGTCAACCTCGCCTTGTATCGAATAAAAATAAACTGTGAAAATCTTTGCCTTGACAAATCACTATACCTATACCTGCTGCTGTATCGAATAAAAATAAACTGTAAAAACGCTGAACCTCCGTACTAATCCTAAAAAACGCAAGATCGCTGAGGTAGTGGTCTTCGAGGGTGAACGGATCCTGTGAAGAGTACGCGGTGCAAAGAAATACAGCAACATCGCAAACCACCAAAAGCTGTCATTCAAAAAACATTTGTAGATTCCTGTACTAGGGATTGCTCTAGCTTGTCAGCGTTTCTTGCTCTTAGTGCTGTGGTCTAAGAAAGTACGTACAGTAAATATATTTGTCTTCCTCCCACCAAACTGAAAATTCCTTTACCGATATAATTCTACATACTGAACTAATTCTGCTGTCCTTGTTGCTGCACCACCATCAACGCGGACCGCCCTCCTACACCTTCATGCCCTGCAGGAACGACTTTGCCTCGCCGAGGGCTTCGATTTCACCAGTCATGTGCTCCTGTCGGATGTCGATATCAACTGCAAAAATGTCTGGGTGTGGGTCTGGAAGATTGCCAGGTTTGTAATGCATATCTTGCATGGCCCATGATGCCTGTGATGCATGATTTAGCATCACAGATTTTCGAAGCGCTTCCTGATGCCTATTCCGCATGAGAGACGCCCTCTTGGCATATTTAAGAATCGGACTCCTCTTGCTGGTCATGCAACACATATTTTTTTGGAATGCGAAGACAGCATGACAAACCTTCCATTCTCCCCGACCCAGACATGTCTGCATTTGATAGTCGAAGTTATCGAACAAAAACTTGCAGTCGTCCTTCCACTGCTTCAGCTGCAAGTCCTCATTGTACTTCTCGTCCATTGTGAACTTCTTTTTTTCCGTTTTCGCCTGCAGGTCCTCTTCCGCTGCGGCCTTCTCCTCGCGAAGCTGCGACAAAAACGCTTTCTTATCCTTAATGGATTCTTATGGATGGGAAAAAAACTGCGGTCTGATAGTTCATCTTTCTTTTGTGTGCGTCCTGTGGTCGGTGTTTTTCTTAAAGTTAAAATCGACCGGCTTCCAAGCGATATGGATATTTTCATTTGCCTTGCCGAAGAGACCACAGATGCAAAATCCCTCGTGGTTCTCGCGCAGAGATGAGTATACTAAGCGTAAGCATCACTGCCGTGTTTTCAACATAAAAAACTAAAACACTGCGACACAGTTATGTCGCCCTGCTCAAGATTGTAAGTACGCACGAAATCTTATGAGCACATACAAATAGTCCACACCCGGCTGCAAATGACATATTTAAAAACCAGCATCAGACACACATGTTTTTTTCCCCCTCGATAGCTCATTTGCATCCTTTACGGCCTTTTCGTATTCCGCCTGACTGGCCTTCTCGTTCTGGATGCGAACCTCCGCGGACTTCTCCGTGTCTGCGATGATGGTGGCAATCATGGTCATGACCTTGTTGCCCCCCGCGGACTTGGCGTAGGTCTTGAATTTGGGCTGGTCGGCCCTGGCCTGCAGCAACAGCTTCGCACCGTACACCTTTGCGAGCACTTCCTCCGCCTTCTTCAACACCTTGATGGAAGCTTTCTCGTCCGCGAGCGCAGGCTATGAGAGTGCACAACTCCCCTTCCAACACCAACTCATACATTTGTATAGCACGAGCTGCAACTACCGCAGCAATGCTATGCCACGAATGTAGGTTTTGCATGACAAGTCCGGACATGGGTTGCAGTGCTATTTCTTGGGCGTCCAAAACTTGTCATGCGCAGAGTGCTTTCAAAAGCACGAGGTGGGTTCGGTATTTCGCATGACAAATGAGGGGGAGAGGAAGTTGCGTACTCTCATATGGCCTGGTAGTCCGCGTTCTCCTGGGCCCGGATCTCGGAGAGCTCCTTCAGTTCCGTCTATCCCACGAAAAAAGTGTTACAGTTACACATTTGTAGTCAATTCAGCAACACAAATTTCTCGTCTGCATGTAGTGCAGAAATCGTAGGGGAAAACACCTATGAAACGGGGCTCCTATGCATATCCGGCACGACAAAGGTTGCCTGTCTTGCTTGTTTCGCAACACAATGTGTAACTGTAACACTTTTTTTTGCAATACCTTCTCCTCCTTCTCCAGCGCTTCGGTGGTCTCGTCCATGGCCTGCTCAAGCCCCTGGATTTTGATCTCGAGCCGCTCCTTCGCGGCGTTCAGGTTGTCGATATGCATTGCAAATATGTCAGGATCTGGAAACTTGTGACGCAAGGCACGGAATAGTGAGCACATCGTAATGCGCTACCAAGCATGACAAGTTTTTCCGAAGTACTACGTTGCGTATCCCGCATGAGAAACTTCGTTTTTGCATAGCAGGCAAGAGAAACCCTTTGCGATGATTGGCAACACAAAGTCCAGAGTCATGCCAGACCAGCATGACAAACACAGATCTCGCATTTTCCCCGACCCAGACGTCTTTGAATTTGATAGTCGATATCCGTCTGCAATTTTGTGACCAGCGTGGTCCGGTCGTTGATCTCGGTGGTGCAGGTATCTTTTTGTTATCCACAGGAGAAAGTTTCCAGTGCGCAACGCTGTACAAATGCAGTTTCTGCATGAAGTGTTTCTCTCTGAACCATATACCTACCCGCCATTCGGCATGACAAGTGGCCTGCCTTCATGTATGTTGTCGAAATTTGAAGTGCATTTTGTACGTCGTGTACGGGAAGAAAGTAAATTCGCATCGCATATTTGCTTCACGTCGTCTGCCATTTGCTTCTTAATATCCGCTACCAGGGCGTCGATGGCGGAGATGACCGGTGCAAACGCGTCGGCCTTCACCTTTTGCGCCAGGATCAGCAGTGCCTTGTTGGCGTATCGCTGTCCCTATCAAATGCAAAAATGTCTGGGTCTGGAAAAATCCAAGATTTGTCATGCATATTTATCATGACCCATGATGCCGGTAATGCATGCCCTAGCATCACAGGTTTTTTGAGGGATTCTTGATGCCCATTCCGCATGACAAATGCCCTCTCCGCGTAGCAAAAATTAGATTCCTTTTGCTGCTCATGCAACACAAATTTTTTAGACATCGAAACGCAGCATCACGAGGTGCATTCTTCCAGACCCACACACTTTTACATTTGATAGCCCGGCCCGGCGGAGGATCTTCTGTGCCTCCGAGATGCGCTGTTCCCGCTGTGGGATTCTCAATTGTTACATTCTCAACTGTTACAGGAATTTGTCATGCAGAAGCACCATCATCATCCTCACGATCAAGCTGCTCCGCATGACAAATTTGGCAAGGCCTAAACCGCGCCTAAATCTGTGCGGAATTTGTATGCTACAGGTGCAACCTTCCCCCTTGTACTTTTCCAATTCTTGCATCACAAGCTCATGTAACAGTTGAGAATGTAACAGTTGAGAACGCCATACCCGCTCCTCCAGGGCCGAGGACGACGCGGCTCCCTGCAGCTGCAGAAACCCGAGGGCAATGCACTGCAAAAGCATCCTACTAGTAGTATAAACGCATTACAAATTTCACCAGCATGAGACATAAAATTTGTAATGCTGATTTACCCCAAGAAAAAGATTTGTAACGCATGACTGCAATACGAGTACGATACTTTTGCACAGGATAAGGGCGCGCCCGAACAGCGCGTGAGCCTCGTCCGAGTTCAGGAATTCCAGCGCCTTGCCCACCGCGGCGATTTCCTCCGCGCGGGCCTTGGTTCGCTCCTCAAACTCCGCGTCCGCAAGGGTGCACGTCTCCGTTGCCTCGGCCAGCGTGGTGGTGTCGGCCTCGATATAACAATGCACAACTCCCCCTCCCCCTCATTTGTATATTAGCATGAACGTCAATACACGCATCAGCAAGAATGCCGGTTTTGCATGACAAATTTTCACTGGAGCAGAGCGCTATTTGGGCTGCCAGAACTTGTCATGCAAACAGTGCCAAGAGGCAAACGATGGATTGGGTATTTTGCACGACAAATGAGGGGGAGGACGTCGAGTTGTGCACTGTCATACTCGAGGCCCGCCTCGCACAATGCCTTCTTCGCCGTGTTCTCTGCGAGCATTTTCATGGCGTCGGCCAACTTTTCCTTCTCCTTCTTCAACGTGGCTTGGTCCTGTCATATATATGTGGATTTCGGGTTTGATGCACATTTTTTGGTCTAGAATCAAAATCGATAGCCGCAGTGTAACTACAAGCATTGTAAATTAGCTGCAGTTCTTCAGGGTGAAACAAGTAGCTGAAACTGCAGTAAAAATGCAGATGAAGTAAAAACACATCTATTTACCTTTGCGATCATCTCTTCTTTCATCTTCTTCTGGGCCGCAAAATTCTCGAGCGCTGCTGCTTCAGTTGAGTATGGCGGGGAAAGATGAAAACCGTGTGGTGTTGTCCTGACTATGGTCGCGTCGCAGCTGGATACGCCTACAACAGAAATTTTTGACGATGAAAATGTCAGCATTTGCAGTTTGCATCATCATGCCTGGATGGGGTGCTATCAGCGGACACGTCATCGTCGATGCAAAAACAATCCCCAACCTACGTCGAGGACAACTACACCGAGTTTACTATTCTCTCCCCTTCCATATTTCCCGCGACTCTTTCAAATCTGCGGTGAAGGTGTCGAGCATGTTCTCGAGAATTCCAAAAATTTCACCGCTCTGGGAGGAATACGCCGAGAAAGTTGGCTGCTGCAGAAAGTCCTGTACCGACTCGTTCTGCGACTCGGACAGCTCGTTTGAATTATGCAATGCAAAAATATAAATATCGGGCAAGCGTAGTCCACATTGATTTTGCTTCACACGCTTGTGGTGATCTACCAAAATCACATGGGAATATCAAAAGCGGTTTTCATGAAAACTTGTCATGCTGTGACGCAATGCTTGGTACTACGAGGCACGATAGTTTTGCTCAACATCTTCATACTTATGCCTCAGCTGCAGCAACCTGACGGATTTGGACAGGGTTTTTTTCACTGTCATCAAGACACCGGTGGCGGAGTCTTCCTGCAGAAAGCTGTTGTGCTTTTTCAAAACAGTGAGTGCGGACTTCAGTGCGCCAATGGCCTGGATCATCTCCTTCTCTTCGGCCGAAAAGGACGCGAGTTCCTTCGCCCGCATCTCCGTGGCCTCCTCCAGCGCTGCGGAATTTCCCTCGATGGCTTTCTCTAGGGCTTTGATTTCCGCGCCGGCTTCGGCCTGTCGCCCCGTAGCGGACTCGATGTTGGCGGTGGACTGTGAGATGCAGGCTTTGTTCGCCTCGATGCTGGCTTTGGTGTCTTATGGCGTTCTCAACTGTAGTTACATTTTCAACTGCTACATGGATTTGTGATGCAAGAATGGGAAAAGTGAAAGGGTGGAGATTGCACCTGTAGCATTACAAATTCCGCACAGATTTAGGCGCTGTTGAGCCCTAGGCAAGTTTGTCATGCGAAGCAGCTTGATCGCTTGGATGATGATGGTGCTTTTGCGTGACAAATTCCTGTAACAGTTGAGAATGTAACGTTTGAGAACCCCATATGTCTTTCTTCGTGGTTTTGCACCAGCAGTTCATCTTCTTGTACGTGGCTTGGTCTTCTTCGCCCTCCGTAGGTGTATGCATTGCAAAATAAGTATCGCACTCGTAGGAATTATTGCAATGACGCATGAAAAAGTTTTCTTTTTCGAGTAAAATCAGCATGACAAACTCTTGTCGTGCTGAGCTAATTTGTAATGCAATAACTGCTAGTACGATACTTTTGCGATTCATAAACGAGCTGCGTCTGCATGTCCTTCAACAACTTGATCACTTTCGACACGGGCTATGCATTGCAAAAGTATCATCGCAGTGGTAGTTGTAAATGCCATATCGCATGACAAGTCTCCTTCCTTCAACTCAATCGGCATTACAACATCTTCTAAAGAAAATATTTTTTGACAAAATTTGTGATGCGACAGCTGCTACTTCTATACAACTTTCGCAATGCGTACAGGCCTTTCCTTCTTCAAAAACGTAGCAGCGGTGGTGGACAAAAAGGATGCGAGGAGAACGTGGGCCGTTCTCCTCATCCTGCAGTTCCGCATCTTTAGGCCTGCTACCGGAGTGTTATCGATCCTAGACACGGCACTACAACTTCCAATGGAAATTTTTTTGGACTGTGTTTTTTCGAGACGCAAAAGGCGCAATATGATATATCGTAATGATGATGATGTTGGCAGTGTGCCCTTTAGCGGACTGCTGCGTGCTACTCCCTCCTCCAGCCCGAGAGCAGCTGAACCCCGAGAGCAGCTGAACGCCGATCGTAATTCTAATTTGAAAATAAAGCAGCACCGAAATATGCTTGAAACGACAACGGCGTTTTCGGGTGGCTCCACTACAGCCGATTTGGGAAGCTATGAAAAACACGTAGTGGATCCTCATCGACCTGAGACTGCAGCGCCAACGCTACCAAAAAAGTAAAATTCATGAAAAAAGGAAGCACCTGGCGTTTGGCTTGACCGACCGAGGGAGGTAACAACACGACGAGAGGCACAAGGTCCTCGCAATCCGTAAGCAGAACACGAAATACCACAACAAATCGAAATCTTTGTCAGGCGCTCCATGCAGAACAACTCATTTTCATGATATGATTTGAGCGGAAAAAAAGTTCTTCTTCATCGACTTCATCGAACAGCTCGGAAAGTTTTTAGAAGAAGTGGCGATATGGGAAGTAAATGGAGGTAAAGCCAGACGTCAGTGCCTTCCCTCCACCACTGCTCATCGTGATCAGAAACCAAAGGTCGCCTGACTCTCCCTGAGAACTTACGATCCAGGTGCGCTCCTGTTTCTGGATGAGGAAAAGTTGGGCGACGATGCAAAAGCTGCCGAATTGCTACCGAAAAGGCCCGCAACATGCGAGCTCGGGCTGCTTACCCCTGCACTGGGTTTCGCGTTGTCCGTCGCTTTGTTTGTTTTTTTGCATTCCACTTCGTGATTTCCGACGAAGCCATCAGGCGCCGAGCTCCACGTAGTGAACCACCGACGACGAGCCCGGGCAGCTCCAAGCTCCGCTGCCGCCTGACGCAATAGGGTACCCGGGGCACTCGTTTTTCGACAGCTTGTCAACACAAAAACCGTGGGCCTTTTCTTCACAGCTGCCCGCTCGAGTCATACTAAACTCCTTCCACTCACTACCGCACAGGCAATTGACCTTTTGGCCGGCAGAAGCAACAGCGCCTCCGACAGCAGCAGCAGCAGCTACAGTAGCGAGGCCCAGTGGTTTTTCCTTTTCCAGCAGCCCGCCCGCGGCGCCATCACTCCCGATCACGACCTGCTGGGCATCATCCTCGGGCTTTTTCGCCTCTCCATTCGCGGAAGCAGCCGCCTCGTCGGAAAACTCGGTCTCACTGGGGGGGGGGCACTATCCCTCGCACTGAGGACGACGCGAGAAGCACGGCCGAAATCAACAGCTTTTTTAAAATTTCGAACGCCATCATTTCAATTTCTCGGATCGATTCGTCTTTTGTTGAACCGACTTGGACGGCCGGCTGGCCGTTTCGCAAAAGAGAAGCTACGTCCTCTTGTCGTTGTCCTCGGAACGGAATCAGCAGCAAAAAATAACGACAGCCTATTCTGGGAGTACTAGTCAAAACGATAAAGAACGCTACTTCGTACGAAAACCTAGCAGACCCGGAAGAACAAGATCCAACGAGAAAATGCTGTGTGTCTGTCAAGAATAAGACGCATTCGCCTTTCGCTTTCCTCCTAGTTTTCGATGGATTGGTATATTTCTTTTCTGCTTTTTTACCATCCCAAGATAGACCCGCCTGCGGGCAGCTTGTCTTTTTTCAAAACCCGGGTCATTTTCCGGCAGATAAATCCTCACCTTCCTTTTCTTCTTCTTGGAAACAAAGAGTTGCAAACGAGCTTCTTGGCTAGGAGCAGCTCTGCAAAATGAAAATCTGCTCCCGTGGAAAGAGCATGCAGAAGTAACCCACCTTTTCTGAGAAACCAAAAGCTAGAAACTGAAACTGTGAATACGCAAAGCTTCCTTCCCCTGTGTCACGACGACTGCTTGAAAAAAAACCTGCCTTATAATTCCTTCAAACAGATATATGTTGACCTCCTACTTCTCGTCCCTGTCGCGGTCACCGAAACAGCTCTGGCACCGGCGCGGACACGTACTTGCTGGGCATGTGCGGCTGCAAGTGATCGTATCCGGGAACGTAGGGCGTGATCACACCAAACGCCCCATGAACGCACGCGTGATTTTTCATCCCGGTCGTTGCGCTCCCCATTCCGTACCCCATTCCCGCTTCCCGTCGGCTGTACCAGAGATAGTCAAGGTGTCGCTTGGCCTCCTCCTTTTTCTCGTATTTGGTCAGTTTCGCGCTGCTCTCGATTTCGTAGATCTTGTAGAGACCGTTTTTGTCGTCGCAATTGTCCCGTAGATACTTTGACCGCAGGCAGCTGACGTGGTTGCAGTTGAAGTACGTGGCCGACTCGCCGTGCAGCGCCCGCCGCTGCAGCATTTCCTCGTACAGGAGCGGCTCTGTCGCCTGGATACTGCCGCCTGATTCGTCTTTCGGCTCGTTCCATATCTCCATGTTGTACAGGGTGAGAAAGTAGAGCCCAAAGTGCACCAAGACAAGCAGGAACTTCACCTCCTGCAGATCCAGGTAGCCGACCCGGTCCCCAAAAATCGCCGCCACGTAGAGGATATGAACTGAAAAAGTATTGCATCGCATTCGTATAAATGCATTACAAATTTCCTCAGCATGAGAAATACACTTTGTAATGCGAATTTACCTTAAGAAAAAGATTTGTAATGCACGATTGCAATACGAGTACTATACTTTTGCACAGGATAGAGAATCTGGAAGAGGCAGAATCCCCAAAGCAGGAAGGCGATTTTGCACGAAGAATTGCTGGTGATCGAAGTCTATGAACTGCAAAAGGAGTACCTACTATCGTACTAGTTGAAATTGCAATACATCTTGCTCAGCATTACACATGGAATTTGTCGTGCTGATTCAGCTCACGAGAAAAATTCCTCATGCATAACTGCAATATTAGTACGAATGCGATACTTTTACAGTTGATAGAGTCTTTGCGTACAGCCGGTTCGTGGCCAACAGGCAGAGGTAGTAGTGGAGAACCAGGACAAGCACCAGAAAGACCGACAAAAAACACACGTAATCCACGTCAAGTTGGTATCCTGTGCGAAAGATGCACGGTGATAGTTCTACTGACCTAGCGCTAGCGCATTGCAGCTGCACAAATTTTTTTTATCCTTATGCACAAAAAAATATCTCCGAACAATTTTTGCACAGGATAGACGGAGCCAGATGACGAAGGCAAACACCGTGACCAGGAGCGTGACGTACTTGGACGGGTAGTCGAACCGGGCGGGCATGATGAGCCTCTCCGCCGACATTTTGCTGAAGCTACGGCTGTATCAAATGTAAAAATGTCTGCATCTGGAAACTTGTGATGCTGGGTGGCGTCTCATGATGAGGCCACAAATGCTGGCGCAGCATGACAAGTTTCTGAGCTCCCGGATGTTGCCTATTCTGCATGACAAACTGCGTTTCTGCATGACGGAAAAACGGAGCTCTTGGGTAACGTGCATTACAGACTTAAGAGTCATGCCAGACAAGCATGACAAACATGCATTCTTCTAGACCCAGACACTTTTGCATTTGATAGGCTGCGGATCACGTGTTTGGCGATGTAGTTGGGTAGGAGAATGTCAAACAGCAGGTCGAAGAGCAGGACGGAAACCGAAATATCCTGTGCAAAAGCATCGCAATCGTAGCAATTGCAATTCTGCATTTACAAATCTCCATCCCAAGGCAAAACGGCATGACAAAGTCCATTTGTAGTCATGCTGAGGTTCTTTATAAATGCAATTACTACTAGTACGATGCTTTTGCAGTTCATACGAGAACGGAAACAGCAGCTCCCACACTTCCATCGCTAGCAGTGCGTCCACCTGCTGACTCTCCGTCCGCGGGGTGCCGGCGGAGTTGGTGGCGACGACACTGTAGCCATCGTTTTCGTAGGCCGCACTCTGGGTTTCGTAAACCATGTCTTCGATCTTTCCCTGGCTCGCGATCCACATGCAGAGGAAATCGAACATGAGCATGGCAATCACGGCAAAATAGGTGACGACGAAAAAGACCAGGTTTCGCGTTTCTCCGGACGTGAATCCGACGGAGTCGATATCCTGAGTAAAAACATCCCCACCCCAGAGTTCTTATCATGCAGATTTGCAATTGCAGGAAGATTTGTAATGCGCACCCCCATGAGAGGCATTTCCAATCGTGTTTTGGAATTTATGATGCCGTAAACAGAATAGGTAGATGGGTTTGTGATGCGGTTGAACTTGCTAGACTGCACTACAATGCAGAAAGGAACTTGTCATGCGCGACTCCCAAAGCTTCTGGATTTGTGTCGCGAGATCCCCGTCTTGGCTCTGGTGTGGGGACGTTTTTCCTCTCAATAATCGAAGATGTTCCCGCCCACCCGGATCAGCTGCATGGCCCCCACGGCGGGCACGAGCCCGGCGATCCAGTCGGTTAGCATGGGCATCTCGATCCCGGGGGTGCGTGCGTATTCTGAGTAAAAACGTCCCCACCCAAGAGTTGTTGTTATGCAGATTTGCAGTTACAGGAAGATTTGTAATGCGCATCCCCATGAGAGGCATTTCCCATCTTGTTTTGGACTTTGTAATGCTGTAAACAGGATGACTAGATGGATTTGTGTTGCGGCTGTACTTCCTAACCTACACTACACTACAGAGAGGAACTTGTCATGCTTGAATCCCAAAACTTCTCGATTTGTATTGCGAGATGTCGCCATCTTGACTATGGGGTGGGGACGTTTTTACTCAGGATAGTGCGTATACCAGATTCAAGTACAGGTTCGGGAGCGAGATGATCATGTACGTGATGGTCAGCAGCAACAGGGAGATGAAGGCAAACACGAGTCTGGTATAACCTGCTCAGTTGTCACAAGCTCGATTTCATACAGCGTTAGCACAGAACATGGAACATCTGTGATGCGAGAAGTGCACGATCTAGCCCACTCGCACAACAGGATTGCGCATGACAAGCTCCGGAGCAGTCGCAGTCCCAAACCGTGCTAAAATTATCATCATCTGGCGAAATTTGTATTGCAGAAACTGGAACGCTCTGCGAGTCTGTCATGCTCATCATGCAATACAAAATCCAGACTCATCTATTCGTAACAGTTGAGATTGAAACGCCTGCGCAGGTCATATCTTGTCACCTTGAATTCAATGTCCCAGTTAATCATTTCCGGGTCCGTCATTGCGGGTTCCTATGACAGTGCACAACTGCTCCCCCTCCCCCTCATTTGTAATGCAAAATCCCAAATCCAGCTGGTGCCTTGTAGCAGCACTGTTTGCATGATAAATCCTGGAAGGAGCCCAAACAGCACTATACGGCGGTGCAAATTTGTTATGCAAAACCGGCACTCCTGCTGAAGCTTGCATTGCCGTTCATGCTATACAAATGAGTCAGGAGGAGGAGGGAGGAGGCAGGAGGCAGGAGTAGGAGTTGTGCACCGTCAACATACTTCCAGCGAGATTTCGTATTTGTTCAGGAACTTCGGCGGTTTGGTCTTCTCGTGGTTGTTGTTTGCCAGCACCAGGTCCCGCATGTCCCGAGTGCCGAAGGTAATGTAGCAGGTGCCGTGCATCCTATGAACTGCAACAGTATCGTACTCGCATAAATGCATGACAAATTCTCTCAGCATGAGAAACAAAATTTGTAATGCTGATTTACGTTGAGAAAAAAATTTGTAATGCATGATTGCAATACGAGTACGATACTTTTGCACAGGATACATCCGCGCCTTCAGCAACATTTTAAACACGTACTGCTCGTCGCGAGTGCTCAACTTGTCGAAGATCGGATATCCTGTGTAAAAACGTCCCCACACCATAGTTGTCATGCAAATCAGCACGCCAAAAAAGTTTCTCATGCGAAGCCCCATGAGAAGCATACTCTACTCGTGTTTTGGAGTTTGTGATGCTAGAATCGACACGATATGCTAGATCTGTGACGCTACTGAACTAGCGAAACAGGATCACACTATGAGGGCAAACTTGTCATGCGAATTAGCGAAAGCTGGTCGATTTGTCTAAGTAGCAGATTTCCCATCTTGACTCTGGTGTGGGGATGTTTTTACTCAGGATATCGGCACCAGCTTGTTCGAGTTCGGACCGTAGCCCAGAAGGCAGTCGATCGGCTTCAGGGGGGGCAGCTTCCGGAGACTCTTGTCGAGAAAGCTGTCGCGATTGCGGCCCGTCGCGCGACTAGAGAGGCCGGACAACGCGAGGCCGTCGGTGTTCAGATACTGCAGTTTCCGCTTCTCGTCTATGGACTTTTCAAGCGTTATGTTCTCAACTGTTCCAGCACGAATTTGCGATGCAAGAACAGCAACTCAGTGAAAGGCGCCAGCTTGCGGCAGTCGCATCACAAATTTGGCCCCGACACTGGTCCTGATGTTTAGCCCTGTTTCGAGAGTTTGTCATGCAAAGTAGCTTGATCGTCTGATACAGGTACTAGTAGCTCAATGGCAATTTTGCAATGACAAGTCATGCTTGTAACAGTTAAGAATGTAACTTCCGAGAATGCCATATCGTCCAGGTTGTGTGTGTGCTCCTCCAACATTTTCAACACTGCGCGGTTTTGGTGGTTCTGAAACGACTGTGGCAGGGTGTACCGGAGACTGCACCCGATGATCTGCAGGTTTGGGTTCCACTGCAGCAGCCACTTCTGCACCGCCAGCGCGTCGGTACCCTGCGGAAAGTTGCTGGCTACCAGGCAGAACTGCCGCGGACTGGGCAGCAGGCTGTCGCAGGCGTGCCCGATCCGGAGGCAGGACAGGTAGTACCAGAAGGTGAGGAGCATGGCGCCAAAATACACCCCGAGCAGCCCGCCAGCCATTACCTGTTCGACCTTCGTCTGCTTCCACTGCTTATCAAGTGCAAAAGTGTCTGGGTCTGGAAGGATGCAACTTGTGATGCTGCATTTGGACTCCAAAAAAATCTGCATTGCATGAGCAGCAAAGGGAGTGCAATTTTTGCTACGGGAAGAGGGCATTTGTCATGCGGAATAAGCATCCAGAAGATCACAAAAAATCTCTGATGCTTGGGCATGCATCACAGACATCATGGCTCACGCAAAACTTGCATGACAAGTCTCAGAATCTTCCAGACCCAGACACTTTTGCGCTTGATACTGCTTACTCTGCTCCGCCTCGAACATCCGATCGGCGCTCGCTTTATCCTGTGCAAAAGCATCGTACTCGTAGTAATTGCAATAATGCATTACAAATCTCTCTCTCTTAAGGCGAATCAGCATTTACAAATTTTCCTTCTCATGCTAAGCAAATTTGTCATGCGATTTATACTAGTACGATTATACTTTTGCATTGCATACGCTTCGGCTTCCTCCAAAGTTGTTGCATCTTCGCTTAACACGGAGGTGTTCTTCCGTGAGGAAGAAGATCCGGAGCTGCGGTTGCGACGTCCACCACGACGTTCCCGTCGACCCTTCTCCTGCTCGACACTCGACATGCTCATCTGGAAGAAAGACGTAAATTGCTGCCTCAAAAAGCCTACCGGATCCGCGGCGGCGGTTCGGAGGAGGTGATCTTGTTGGTCAACTACACGGTCGCGGCCCCTGCCCGCCTGGTCATCGAAAATCAGTCTTTCTTCTGGCGTAGAAGCAGAGCTCCTACTTGCAGTCGACGTTCTCAAAAGTCTACTCTTTGTTCCACCGCCTGGTATCGTGCTGTCGTGATCTCTACTCTCTACTTCTGTTGTACCAGAATTTCTTGTTGCCACGCTTTTCTTGTTTATCTCCAGGAAGGAGCTTGACGTAGCACTTTTCGACGCCCCCGCGGCGGCGGCCCAGGATGAGAAGTACGCGCTCTGCGTGTTGTGAAACAGCAGCTCGTCGTCTCGAATGCCGTCCTCCTCGTAAATTTTTCCGCACTTCAGCTCCAGTTGCAGCAAACCCGGTCGTGCGGGCGTCAACACCCCGCCGGTAGCAGCGCCGGACATCGCAGCAGAGGGCACTACAGAAGTGCTTCCGGAGGTCGAAGAAGATGTCGTGTTCGCAGAGCTTGTTCCTGTTGTTGTGTTCTTGTCGCTCGTACCAGTACCAGTATCCTTCGTGACAAAGTCCCCTTCCGCGTGACTCGACCCCCGGAAGAGGACGAAGCTCTGCATTTGGTCACTGTAGAGGCTCGCCGTGCCGTAGAAATACACGCGGGTGCCGCAGACCTGCAGGGCCAGGGCGAGCGCTTATCCTGTGCAAAAGTATCGCACTCGTAGTAATTGCAGTCATGCATTACAAATCTCGTTCCCAAGGCAAATCAGCATGACAAATTGCATTTGTCATGCTGAGAAAATTTGCAATGCAATTCATGCTAGTACGTCGATGCTTTTGCATTTCATAGCGCCACCACCAGCACCATTCGGTGGAACGCGAAAAAGAAGTAGTGCCCCGGCCCCACGTATCAAGTGCAAAAGTGTGTGGGTCTGGAAACTTGTGATGCTGGGTGGCGTATTGTGAGGAGGCCACAAGTGCTGGCTCAGCATGACAAGTTTCTGAGCTTCTAGGTGTTGCCTATTCTGCATGACAAACTGCATGTTTGCATGACAGAAAAATGGCGCTCCTGGGCAACGTGCATGACAGATTTGAGAGTTATGCCAGACAAGCATGACAAACATGCACTCTTCCAGACCCAGACATTTTTGCATTTGATACCACGTCGGTCGGCGAGGGGAACACGCGCCACAATACCGGGAAAAAAGCGCTGTGTCGCTCTGGAAAGTCGTCCTCATCGTCGTGATCATTTGTTGATGTGCTGGCTGCGGTTACTGCTTTTATTTTCTTTTCGGCAGGAGAACCAGGAGGGGACGTCGTCGACTTCTCAGTTCCACCGTCTAGTTGTTTGTCATCTTCATGCGTTTTCTTGGCTTTGTCACTTGATTTCGCAGCTACCAGGGGCGATAGGTTCTTGTTGTTCCTGCTTCCAGAAGGAGGTGATGGACTTCTACCCCCTCGAGCTGGACTTCCAGAAGTTCTAGACCCGGCGACAAGAACGTCGGACCGCAGCCGGCCCCAGTTGCCCAGCACCTTCTGTGGCCGGCAGCACTGCTTGTAGACGTAGGCCGCCCACGTGTTCTCCACGCTGTTCACCGTTTTGCGCAAAAAGAGAAGCAGCAGGTACAGGGCGGAAACGGTCACGATCACGAGGATGAAAACGTACTCGATCAGCACAATCTTGTGAATCAGATGGGACTCTCAAGCGTTACATTCTCAACTTATATATTACATGAATTTGGCATGCAGAGTCACTATATCACGCTTCTCACGATGAAGCTTCTTCGCATGACAAGTTCTCGACAAGTCATGTAGCAGCATAATCTGTGCCAAATCTGTAATGCAAGACGCGCATCAAGGTCAACGTCAACCCTTTCACTTTTCCGATTCTTGCATCACAAATTCATGTAACAGTTTCTTGTTGAGAATGTACCGACTGAGAACGCCATAAATCAGCCGGTTCTCGCACACGGACCCGTTCCCCGACAACGCCATGCCCGTGTCGCATATTCTATTTAAAAACGTCCCCACCCCATAGCTGTCATGCTGATTTGCATCTACAGAAAAATCTGTAATGCACATCTGCAAGAGAGCAATTTGCAGTCGTGGTGTTCTGGGATTTGTAATGCTCTAAACAGGATGAGCAGACGTCTTTGTGATGTTGCGGTTGTCCTTGCTAAACAGCACTACACTACAGATGATAACTTGTCATGCATACCTCCCAAAGCTGGGAGATCTGTGTTGCAGATTTACCAATTTGACTATGGGGTGGGGACATTTTTACTCTGGATATCGCAGCGGTGACACTTGTGCAGGTAAAACGGCTCGTCCTGCGGAGGTGTTTGCCCCGCTACGCTCGTCGCGCCGGACGTGCTGTTTTCGCCGAGAATCGTCCATTTCCGCGTGCTGGTGACGTCGCATTCCACGCAGCCCTATCAAATGCAAAAATCTCTGGGTCTGGAAAAGTGGAACTTGTGATGCGTGTCTCGCATTCCTGGAAAATCTGTGTAGTTGCACGAGCACCAGCAAAGGAGAAGCTTTCTTTGTCATGCGAAAACGAAATTTGTAATGCGTGCTAGGCATCAGCAGGCGTCTCAAAAACTTGTCATGCTTGGCTGCCATTGCAAGCGCTTCAATCATGCTCAATTCAGCATCACAGGTTTCCAGACATCCAGGGATATCGATATTTGCAGTGCATAACCCCGGAATCACCGCGCGCCCACACGGCACCTCGCACTTGCGGCTCTGTGGGTTTATGGATTGTAAAAATGTCTGGGTCTGGAAGGATGCGAACTTGTGATGCGCATTTCACAACGCAGAGAAATCTCTCATGCATAGGCAGCAAAAGGTGCCCACTTCCTGTCACCTCCAAAGTGGGGGATTTGTCATGCGGATTAAGCAATGCGGAAGCTTCTCGAAATCTCTGATGCTAGGGCTTCCATGACAGACATCTTGTGTCATGCAAAAACAGCATAACAAAAATCAGCATTCTTCCAGAGGACCCAGACACTTTTACATTTGATAGGGTTCGCGAAGGAACGAAGCCGGTCGAAGTCCCCGCACTGGTCCGGGCGCACGCAGATCTTGTAGCACGGGGAGTCGTCACTCGGGATCTCGAACCCGCACTCCTCTGGACAGGGGGTGTTTACGGGCACCAGGGCCGTGTTGTCCGCCGACATGGGGGCGCAGGAGCACATCGCCTGAATCTTCTGTGCGCGCACGCTGGTTTTGTGCTGCGCCAAAGCGGAAGACGTCGCGCCTGCTCCGTAGTCCGTTCTCTTCAGCAACGACGTCCACCGCGACAGCTCCGCGTCGCAGAGCAAGGCTCGGGAGGTCGCCGTGTTGGGGCTCAGTTGGTTTTCTCCGGCGAGAATGCTGGTGGACACGTTCTGTGGCATGCTGTAGAGCAGGGAGGTGTAGGAACCGCTGGCGGAGTTGTCTTCATCTCCGGAAGTCGCTGTGCTGCCGAAAATGATTTCTTTGACCGCGGTATCCTATGTAAAAACGTACCCACCCCATAGTCAAGATGGGGAATCGGCTAGACAAATCCACAAGCTTTGGCTGTTTCGCATGACAAATTTGGGCGCGTAGTGTAGTTCTGTTTGAGCTAGTTCAGCAGCATTACAGATCTAGTCTCTCATGCTGATCAGAGCATGACAAATTTCAAAACACCATTAGAAAATGCTTCTCATGGGGCTCCGCATGAGAAACATTTTTTTTTAAGCATACAGATTTGCATTACAACTCTGGTGTGGGTACGTTTTTACGCAGGATACGCGGTGGAAAACGTCGTGGGGCTGAACAAGTCCATCGCGTTTATCAAATGCAAAAGTGTCTAGGTCTGGAAGGATGCGAACTTGTGATGCTGCATTTGGATTCCAAAAAAAATCTGTATTGCATGAGTACCAAAGGGAATGCAATTTTTGCTACGCTGAGAAGGCATTTGTCATGCGGAATAGGCATCAAGAAGCCCTCGAAACATCTGCGAAGCTACGACATGCATCACAGACATCCTGGCTCATGCAAAACGTGCATGACAAGTCTCAGAATCTCCCAGACCCAGACACTTTTACACTCGATGGCGTTTACGTCCGTGCCAAACAGGCTGTTCCTTTGCAACCCCGGTGGCACTTTGTTGCCCAAAATATTTTCGATGTCGTTCCGCCGATACGGCGAACCCTGCGCGTGAACCGCGCTCAACTGCGAAGTGGATTCATCAGTTCCGTTTGCGTCCCGAGTAGCAGAGCCGCTCGCCGTCAACACGGAGGCTACCCCGTCGATGCTGACCGTGCTGCCCTGGGCCGTGTCGGAGTTACTCGCGTCGAACGAGTACAGGGGAAAGTGGGCGATTAAATCGCTGTAGGTCGTCGTGTTTTCGTCGTACACGTGCTCCAAGACTGGCTGTGTACTCACCTGCCAGTTGTACTCGTCGTTCCACAAAATACTCGCCCCTGTAGCTGACTTGAAGTGGCTGATGTTCGTCAACAGTGCCGCCGCGGTCGTCGGTTCGTTCGTTTTATGCAATGCAAAAGCATCGTACTAGTATGCATGCATGACAAAATTTTTCAAGAGAAAAAATGCAATTTGTAATCATGCTGGTTTACCTTACTTGCTGGATCTGTCATGCAAGACGGCGATTAGTACGAGAACGAGTACGATACTTTTGCACAGGATACGTTTTCAGCTTCAGCAACTCCTGGTTCAACCGGTAGGTGTAGTACCGATTCAAAGTCTATCCAATGCAATAATTTGTCTGGGTCTGAAAATTTGTGTTGCTGATACTCCCATTGCAGACTGGCCGCTTGTACGGGATAATAGCATGAGGAGCTTGCCTCTGGTCTGCAGCTTCATGCGAGTTCATGGGTAAATAGCATGGCAAACTGCCTTCGAGATTCCAGCACGGCAATAAAACTCGATTATCCACTCCTGCTATTCATGCAAGCATACAGACCTTGCAGCTGCCGTTCAAATCGCGCATCACAGATCGACCACGACACCCAGACATCATATTTGCAATGGATATATCGGACGCGTGGACCATTATCTCCTCGCCCGCGTGTATCGCAAGAAAGACTTGCCTCGCTGCAAGCTTGTGATGCAGCGCGTGCGGAACAGAAATGTTTCTCTTGCTACTTACACATGCAAGATAAAAACCGTGGATTTGTAGTTTCTAGCACGGACGCACGGCAGATTCTTTATTTTCATGTAGAACAAATCTGTGAAGATGCAGAACTTGCAAAATCCTTACAGTGAAACACTTTTCTCGTACGATAGTGTGGTTGCCGGTCCCGTTCTTTTTGCCAGCTGCGATGTGGAGCTGTTTTAGTTGCGCCACAATGTCGTCCTCCTTGTCTGCGTAGTCCGGAATCTTTATCCCAGAGAAAAAAGCGGGCAGGGCATTTTTGTAATGCAAAAACAAATACACAGAAAAGCTTTGTCATGGGTGGCCCCATAGCATGCTGCTTCGGATATGCAATGCAGATTTTTTCTTTTTGCCTGTTTATTTTTGCATTACAAATATGCCCTGCCAGCTTTTTTCCGTGTAATAATTTTGCTGCTGTCCCACCCCACCGTGGTCATCAATTTCAAAAACCGCTGGTACGCCTATAACCCTCTCAGGTGTTACATTCTCAAACGTTACAACAGAGTCTGAGATTAGTCTTGCATGATGAGCATGACAGACTCACAGAGCGTTCGACGTTCTGCAATACAAGTAGTTTCGTCAGATTGTAGTGGGGTTTGGGGCTCCGGAACATGTCATGCGCAATCCTATGAGAGTTGTCTAGATCATGCACTCTTGCATCACAGATGTCAATATTCTGTTGTAACGTTTGAGATTGTAACACCTGAGCGGGTGATAACGCCTCCACACTGGCGCCTAGGGCCTTCGCCTTGCTTATCAGCACAGGTTCGTACACAGCGATTTTGGACAAGTTCGGGTGCGACACCAGCGCCGCGATGTAGGTATCCAGGGTGGTTTATCAAGCTGGATAAGAAAAAGTGCTCCTACCTTAGACCGTGAACTTGGAAGCATCTGCATCGCACGGTTTACTTCAAAATGGATATGGAAACAATGATCTCCATTTGGCATATAATGCCAGCAATTGCAATACAAATTCTCGATCCAGTTGCAGAATTATAGCGTAAGTTTTCCCGTTGGTCTGGCAGCGGGGCACCTTTTCCTTATCATATGGTCGCCTTCAGTGCGAACGCCAGGTCTTGAGCGTCTGAAACCGTAGGCGCGGTGGAGGAAGTCGCTTGTGATTCGAGTTCGAGTCCGAATACAGGAGACATCATGGAGGTGCAGCCAAGACAGCAGACCACGATTGCCAAGGCGAATAATCTTCCCTTGTTGGGTGCTCCACCAGCTACTAGGGAGGCGGTAGGTCGTCGTATTGTGCTTCCACTCCTTAGGCGAATACCGCCACGATGATCGGGCACCACCGCCATTTTCGGTCGCGTGCTCGTCGAAAAACTTCCTGCCTTGCGACCTTGACGAGTGCTGCCTCGGGGTGCTCTCGTCGTTGCTTTCAACACTGGTGCTGCCGCAATCCTTATTTCATTGTGTTTTGGTTTTGCTTTTTGCCAATTTGGTTGAATTAATTTCCATACCGTCGCCTCTAGCGTGCACGACGACCACGACTCTTGAAGAAAATCAAAAAATCTTGAGCTAGGTAATATATTGGCACGAGCACCTGTCATTTGTTCATCTCTCGCTCTCCACATTGTTATGCCTTAGTTTGTCCATCATTGAAACTCTAACTCTCGCGCTCTTCAATCGAAATATTGTTACCTAGTAGAAAAAGACGAAACACGCCGAACGAAATTTGCAGTTCTTTTCTCGGATGCCGCAGCAGATTTTTTAGGCCAAACAAAGCTTGTCCTACGTATATGTGAAACCACTTGCGTTTCGACGTCGTGACGAATACGCAAGTGACTTCAATCCAGACCTCACATAATTTCCAGGTAAGGAGGCGTGCGCATGTCAAGGGCTTTCTCAGGATGCTGGTGGCCTCCCTCTTGACAATTTGCGTTTTCGCGCTCCTCTCTCTTCTCTCCGCGTCCGACTCTCATGAATCACCAGAAATGACTTAATGAGTCTTGAGAAAGTTGCTCCTCTGAGGCATGAATTCGTGTGTACTTCTATGATTTTTATCATGCTGGCGAGTACGACAAGGTGGTGGACCTTGTTCCAACGAGAGATGACTGGAATCTGCGAAATGCATATCGATCGAACACTCCGGACCATCATTTGGCGCTCGAGAAAGCGAGTTTTGTGTTGCTGATCCTGATCCTGGAGCAGGAGCAACGTCCCTCTAGCGGAAAATATATTCAGCGGTGAAGGTGATGGTGCAAGCATGTGCTCAAATTGATGATCTTGTTGAAATGATTTCGTGGCGAACTTCTATCTACAAAGGGTCAAAATTCAGTTTGTCACCTGCTCGTGGAGGTTGTTCTTGTTGTTGATAGCCAACTCCTCGTTCGACAGGAGCATCATTGTCCGGCGTGTACTCGACGTGCTGTTGGGATGGGGATGTTCCGCACTTATTACCGCAGAACAACGAGGACAAGGACCATCTTCCAGGTACCAGTGAGGACGAGGACCTTCTTGGTGCCTTTTGCACCACCAGTTCCTCGTAGCCAGTATCTGGGTCTTTTTTTCCTGTTTCGACCAACACGTCCTCGAAACTATCTTCCGACGTGGTCGACGACTCCCGAGTGGGAGGGGGCTATCCTGTGCAAAAGTATCGTACTCGTATAAATGCAAGTCTTGCATTACAAATCATTCTCTTAAGGCAAGCCTGCATTACAAATGCTATTTCTCATGCTGAGGAAATTTGTATTGCATTTATACGAGTACGATACTTTTGCAATTCATAGGGGCTGACTAGTATCAATTTCCAACATGGCTGTTGCTCCAGTTTCGGTTGCGATCACCCCCGGAACCGGCGCTACCGGTGCTGTGGAGGTCCCAATATCATTGCCGTTCGCCCCTTCCGCACTCGTTGAACAATGCGTATGCGCCTCCACCACGCTCGTTCTCTATGAGAGTGCACGACTCCCAGTTCATTCCCCTCATTTGGAGGGCCCGAGCAGCAGCAACACAACCGACAAGGACAACGCAACAGAAATGAACCCTTCGCATGACGAATTCGAAAACGGATTCATTGTAGTACTGTAAATCCGGATAAACAAACAATCCGAAAGGCAAGCCAGCGCAAGCTGTGGATTTGGTAAATTAATTCCGTAACAAATAAGGGGGAATGGAAGTTCTGCACTGTCATACTCTCCCGTCCCCGTTTAAATCCGCGTTCGCAGCACAGTCGTCTTCCGTTTGATCCAGAAACCCGTCTCCGTTCCTGTCGCGCGACTCGAAATTCGCTAGCAAGCCGGATTCGTGCATCTGCTGGAAAGCGGTCCAGTTCCCCGTCTCGGCGTACGACTTCAGGCCCTGATTCACCGCGTAGGGGGATAGACCGTCGCGCGCAAGCTGATCGTTCAGGACTGCTCCCTGTCGCTGAGAAGTTTGTGATAGATTTAGATTTGCATTGATGCGAAGGCAATTGAATCTTAATAAATTGTGCTTTCTTCGCTTCAGCATCAGTTGTGTGTGTCTTTATGCATGAGCATGACAAAAGACTCAACATGTAGCATGTCTGTAAAAAGCTCAAGTAGAACGACAAACAGAAAACAATTTTTACTTGCAAGTGTCTCGCTGCCTCCTGGTTCTGCATCAAAAGCTCCATCTTGCTAGCAACATCGTCCGCTACCGTTCCTGGTGCGGTTTCGTCATTTGTTCCACTAATCGCGGTGATGGTGTTTATTTCCGTACTAGTTGATGCAGCACTTGTCCTCTCGTCTTCCGTTGAATTGTTGTAACCACCGTAAATCGCGCCACTGGTTTTCCGCTCGAAGAACGACTGCTGGTCTTCGCCAGTTGCTCTGGGTGAAGAAGACGGGGAGGACGACGACGAGGACGATTTTCTGTAAGAACTCCTGCCACCTTGATATCATGTATTGAAGATTTTGTTCTACAGCTACCTTGAATGACGTTCATATTGCAAGTGCTGCGCGTGCGCTCGAAACAAGTCTACAACTTTGTTCCCCATGATCATGGTCAGAGTCGGGCAGAATCGAACTGAAATGCTAATGCACACCGTAGACATCAAAAAAAAACAGTTTTACCGGAATATGTTGAGGAGGAGCTTGCACCACTGCGTGGTGATGTGCGTCTCGGTGTCTGGCTACTTGTACGCCCGAGTGCCGCGGAGCCTAAGTAGTGAGTGATCAGGGTTTAGGGTAACTACGTTCTTCTTCTTAATCTCATTTTCTTCCGCACTTTGTACTTGCACAACTGCTGGAAACACAAACATACATACGGCATCGGTTCGCTGCATCAATCTAGGAATGATGGCTGGTGTAGTTCTTCTGTGTGAGTACTCCTGCTAATGTAGAAAATAGAATCATCCATTTTCACTCCCCGTAAGTACCTGACGCCAATGCTTCTTCCTCTACCGTGTCCGTGGTCTCCGCATCCTCATCCAAAATGACGGCTTGCTTCTATGCAAGAAAAAAACTGTGTAAGTGTAAATCTGTGATGCAGAACATGCAACAGAGTTACACCTGTCATGCAAGACAGCCATGCAGTCCTCTTTTCATGTTTGTTTTCCCTTACAAACCACGCCTGACAGGTTCTCTCTGTCATGTAGAGAAAATTTGTGATGCTGTCAGCCAAAGAGCGTTACACTAACACAGCTTTTTTCTTGGATAGCTTCTTCCCACTATTCATTCTCGACCCGCGCGCCTCCAGGTCTGCCTGTTGCACCGCCGCGACTGTGTTCATCGCTGCGTCGAAGACCATGGGAGAGAACGATATCGTGCGGCCCAGATTGGCGAAATTGTTGCGGCTCTTGGTCCGGTTGGAGCCGCGACGGGAGCCCCGCGACGGGAGCCCCGCGAGGACCGCGCGGCCTTCTTGTCGTAGGCATGCATTTTTCAATCCTTCTTGATTTTCACGTCGTTCCTGTCCCTCGTCCGCTAAAACTTTTTTCTGTGCCTCGTTGAGTGATCGGAGGAAAGAAAAAACACCTGAAGGAAAGCACTACTGAAGCAACACGCTCGAAAATCTTCTTCTCCGATGGCTTCTCGTTTTTTGTAATGCTAGTGATGTTTGACGAGTTTTATTGGCAACAATTGGTCACAAGTAATGCAATACGATTTAGAGCATCAACCACAAAAGACGAACTGCCTCTCAAGTGTTTGGTTTGATGCACTCTGTGTTAATATTGATGTTTGCTTGCGATACCGACCACGTTTGCAGTGATTTAGAAGTACAATCATGATTGCACCGATTGATCCTTACCGATCACAATTGTTCCTACCTTCCCACGACCACGACTCCGACACATAATTCAAATAGGTAGCAGAGACGCTGAGTGTTCTTGATGGCTTTTTTTCGTGAGTACACAACTAAACGAATTTCGAGGATTTTCGTGCGTACGACAAGCAGCTGGACCCTGTTCTGCCAGCGAGAGCCTGGAACCCGAGAAATCGGCCGAACACAAGACGAGTCTTTTGTCGCTGATCCTGAAGCAGAACTACGTCAATCAAGATCAACTTTGATGAAGCGTCGCAAACGCCACAGCTAATTTTTTCTTTACTTTTCTTTTGCGTAAATCTTTCATTTTCGTTGAATCATGAGAAAGTGAATCATGGCTAGCGGAAAATGAAGCTATATCCGTGAATCAATGTTCTCAAAAGCTCCTGCAGGTATGCCAAACAGAGGTACTTCTTCAGTACATACTTTTTACACTCAGCATGAAGATGAAGATTTTTTTGATCTTGTGTCCCACAGAGATGTGGCGGACGGAACAAGTCACTTTTTTGTTCGCATTGTCATACAAAAACGACGTGTCACAGTGAGTGTAAAAATCGTAATTATAGATACACAATCCTCTGTTTGGCATACATTTTCCAAAAACTGTATGTGCGCGGCGCGCCCGACGAAGGTGTCCAAAGTCCGGTCCGGAAACGCGAAACTCACGTCGGCGCGGTAGAAATTGGGTTTTTTATTTGCAGAATTTGTATTGCATGGAGCAGTACAACTTATCCTGCCTTTCACAGAAGTCTCCTTCATCTCCGGTACTAGCGTTGTTGTACTCGCCTGCTGCTCTACTCCGAAAATCCTTCGTGCCATTTCCGCAACAAGCGCCCCATCGGACGACGAAGATCGTCCTCCCGTACTTTTTGTTCCTCCCGTATGAACATGATCTTCATCATCTTCGCGCCCGACCTGGACCCGGGCAGATTCGTAGGGCGCGTAGGTGTCTTGAAAACTGGAAACGAACAGCACATGGGTAAACACGTGGAGGGGGTTGGTAGGTGGAAGTTGGGAATTGTGCTTGGTATCTTTATCGCCGTCGGCGCTTTCCATTCCGCAACGAGGAGGTTCTCCGCAAAGCCGGAACAGGTAGCAGTCTTCGTAATTATTGCCACTCGTGCCGTCCTCCATAGAGAGTTTTTGTATGATCTGCAAAACTTTACTACTTACGCAAAAAATGGAACCCGCAGCCTTGCGAGCACTGTGAATGTCAATGTCCTACTCCTAGTCCTCAAGTCGCTAGCATTAGTTTCAGCATGAGAAAAAGCGTTTTTTTCCTTCAATAGACAAGCAAGTTTTCCAGCCAATTCGCCTATATGAAATGAGATAACGGAGCTCCACTTTCGCGCATACAATTTTAGCGACTACGCTCCGTAGCTTGCAAGCACTTGCAGTTTCCCCGCATTTGCTGAAGCAGCCAGAGCCCCGTTTTAATCAAATTTGTCGCCTTCACCTGCCGGGAAATGCCGAGATGCGGGGTGGAGAGCGAAATGTAAGAGTGAAAGGTGTAGAAAGGATGCTGGGGCGTGCCTGCGTACTGTTGCTCTCCTGCTTCCGAGGTCGGGTTTTTCGCTCTTGCCATCAGGTGGGGCAGGGCCGCGCGGATGATTAGGCCTCCGAGACTGTGACCGATAAATGAAAGGCGGGGTCTGTAGTAGTGGTGACTGTAATCGTTCCTCGTCAACATGCCGCGGGTCGTGTTGATTCCGTTGCTCGACGCCACGTCGGCATTGTTCGGTAGAATAAACTCCTCAATGTAGTCTTGCACTTCCTGGGCCAACCTCACACCCATGGTCTCGATTGAGTCCACACAGTCTCCTCTGCAAAAGTACTTATCTTCGCACGCAGTCGTTCAAGTATACGTACCCATCTTGCATGACGGAATCACGCTCTTATCTGAAACTGTGTGACGGATTTGGGATTTTCTCCTATACAAAGATTTGTATTTGTCTTGCAACATCGACATACATGGACCAGCAGTACGAAGATACTACTTCTTTTGCAAGGCATACCAACATGCGGCTCTCGTTGCAGGAGGAGAGAAGAAACACCGCCTCTGGGAAAGAGAGACTAAGCAGGTTTTTGATGCACCGCATGTCGTAGTGGTTCCCCTGGAATCCGTGCACGAGCACGAACAGGTGCAGCTGCAGATACCGGCTTTCTACTATCGTTGCATTTTCCTTTATTCCGGAATCATTTTTATCATAAGGCAAAGATGATGTCGACTGGATGAAACAGCTTCTCTTTTTCGGCGCACAGGGCAGCAAGTCTTCTCTCTCCAATACCGAAGCTCGTTTCAGAGACAAGCCCTGCAGCTGCTGGAAGGTCATATGCATTGCAAAAATGTCTGGGTCTGGAAGATGGCAACTTGTGATGCTGCCTATGGATTACACGTAAAATCTGTATTGCATGAACCGCAAAAGAGATCCACTATTTCCTACGCGGAGTGGGCATTTCTCATGCAGTATGGGCATCAGAAAGCCGTGACAAAATCTGTGATGCTAGGGCATGCACCACAGACATCATGGGTCATGCAAAATGTGCATGACAAACGGCGCACCCTTCCAGACCCAGACATTTTTGCATTTGATAGGTCATTTTCTCGTACAAAAAAGTCACCATGGGGGGATAGGACTTGGCGAACGAATATCCTGTGTAAGAACATCCCCACATCATAGTTGTCATGCAACTCTGCATGCTCAAAATGTTTCTTATGCGGAGCCCCATGAGAAGCATTTTCTAATGCGGTTTGGAAATCTGTAATGCGCCAATCAGAATGAGATACGAGATCTGTAATGCTGCTTAGCTGCTCAAACAGCACTACACTACGCGTCCAAATTTGTCATGCGAAACAGCCAAAGCTTATGGATTTGTCTAGCGGATTTCCCATCTTGACTCTGGTGTGGGGACATTTTTACTCAGGATAACGAAGGTGGCCAGTAGTGCTCGTAGTTCTGTCGGCGCATAAGAGCGGCTGCAGGAGCGGCCCCGTGAAGATTTTCGACGCTCCTCTTGAAACCATGATTTTTGTTCGCAACCACAGTAGGACCACCCTCTCCTGCGAGTAGTAGATCCCGACTCGAATCTATCGCAAGAAAAAAGTGTTACAGTTACGCATTGTGTTGCAAGAGCGGCAACACAGACAACCTTTCTCATGCAGGAAATGCTTCGGAGCCTCGTTTCCTTCCTGTTTTCCCTTATGATCTTCGCATTACAAGTTTTCTCTGCCAGGCAGAGAAAATTTGTGATGCGGAAACTCCAACAAGTGTGTAACTGTAACACTTTTTTCTCATGATAGAATCCTCCTCTGTGTCCGAAGCGCTCCAGATGGGTGTGGTGTTTGCCGTGCCCGTCGTTTGTTCAACCACGTTCATCAATAAATCGATGCTCGCACTGTCCTTGCGACCAAGAAAAGCCTTCCCATCGATCCGATTTTGCATCGTCACGACGTCTGCGGGTGGGGCGAGCTGTCGTGGCTTCGACATCATAGTTGCTTCCGTGATGTACAGATCAGCCTCGTCCTCGTCCCCTTGATTATTTGCATTTGGATGCGATGAGATTTTCGCTCCCGCACTGGCGTCGCTGTTCGATGTCCACATTCCGCCCTTTTCTGCAGCACTCGTAGTAGTTCCTGTAGCAGTAGTCGTGCTCTTTGTCTTTGCGCGTTGGCTGTAAAAACCGTGGTAAAGCTGGTGCTCATGGCTTGTTGCGTCAAAAATTCCCAGCTCGTCCTCCTCCTGTTCCTCGTCCGAAGACAGCACAGGCTGTGCAGCAAAAATCGCAGATGGCGCCGCTCTTTTGTTTTGGAGCTGGTGCTCCTTCGCAGCAGTAGCTGAAGTACATTCTGATTGAGAAACAAGATCGCTCCTCGTCCCTGTACTATTGTGCTGTTCGTACTGAAATTCCAGCAAATCCTTGACCGTTTTTTCCGACAAAACTTCCTCGAAAAATACCACGGGCTCGTAGTCCGGCGGACTTTTCCTTTTTTTTCCCGGCGAAAACGCGGTGGTGACGTTATCATCAAGGTACCCTCCGCCGGCATAAGTTGCGGACCCGGACAAAGGACTTGCTGTCGCTGCAGGTGCTTCATTGACCGCAAGGCCAGAACCTGGTTTAATAGGGCCAAGAACTGCAGTCCGGTGCTCGTCGATGGGAAGAGAAATCGGCTGAAGTATTCTCGAGGAGGAAGCGCGGGAGTCAACTGTCCTAGCCGATCCCGCTAATGTATTCTTCGCGTTTGTTCCTCCGCTTAGTTCTTCATCTTCATCGGTTTCGTCTATTACACCATCTGCTTGCTTCAATGATGTCGTAGCTCCAGTTGCAGCAGCTGTTCCATTTCCCCCTTCAACTGCAGAATTGTCACCCGCATGATTCTGCTCGTAGTTCCTTTGCATTTCAGCGGAAGAACGAGCCACACCTGGTTCATCTACTGCGTTAACGTTATCTCTTCCATCCAACGCCATTTTTACACCAGCTTTATTCGCAGCTGCCGCACGTCTTCTCCTCCTGCGCATCATTCTCAGCCTCTCCGCTTTCGCTTCGTGCAAGTTCCCCACGGCAGTGGCGTCGAGAAAAATAGAAGACGTTGTGAGAATCCGGGACTCGAACAAATTTTGTGCCGCTGTGCCGATGGTGGTAGTCTTATCGCGGCTCTTTGCAAGCGCAGAAGCAAAGAGACTACTTTGCTGTGGTCCACCTCCTCCTGGCGCGATATTATATGATGACGAACCTTGTACTTGTAGTTTCGTCGTACTTCGTGCACGATCCTGCAAGAAATACACCTCGCGGCAGCTCTCCTTCCGCGCCCTCCGCCGCATCTTTTCCTCGTACGCAATCCTCGCCCGCATGGAAAGCTTCGCCGCATAAATGTGGTCGGCGGTCAGACCATGTTGCAGGAAGTCGTCCTGCCAAGCGGCGGCAAGGTTTTCCGCGTTCGCTTGCAGGTCGAGCAGGAGGCTCAGCTTGGTTCCTGTGAGCAGGGATGAATCTTCGCTAGTAGCGGTCGTGGGGGACGAAGATTGGGATAATTGCTGCGCAGCTGTTTCTCTCGAAGTGCAACTGGTTTGTCCACCGTCGGCGGAAGCACAAGCTTCTCTTGGTGCAGAGCTGCCAAAAAGCTCACCGACCGGTCGCAGCGACGCTGCATTGTTGAAGCAAGCAAATTCTTGGAGGAACCGTTTGTACGACGCCTTCATGCGCTTTTCGAAAATTTCCTCTCGGAATACGGTGCAAAGAACGCGACTCGCGTTTGTGAAATCCAAATCAGGTGTGGAAAAATTCGGTCTTGTTGCGTTTGCGAATTCTCGGCCTGGATATTCTGCTCCTACTTTATGGCGCAACGCACTTGCCCATTGCTCGAAGACATCCCTTACCGTCAAGGGAAAGTAGGATGTCGGCGAAGATGCGGATTCTATATGATCGGAGTAGTTGCAGCACCTCTCGTTTTCCAAATCGCCCTCGTCTTCCCGAAACACCACCTCGAGAACAGGAGACCAGTACACGCAGACGGCCATAGTGCAACAGTGCGCGTCGTCGAACTGAATCGGTAGGTATTCCGATAGCCTGCTATTTTTACCGTCGACGACGCGAGAAGATAAAGAGTCGGGCGCCACCAACACCGCCGTCGCGCAACTGACGCAGCGGAAGTGCAGTTTGTTTTTCACAAAATCCCGCGTGGCGGGGAAATCGTTGCCCAACATCTGCACAAAGCTCTCCACTCCCCCACAGACGGACAAATCCGCATAATAAAGGGACGCGGTCAGGTGGAAGGAGGGATTTATTTTTGATACAGATTGATGTCGAGGGATGATCGTGCTGTCTTTTGTTGTCCCTCCCGAAGCTGCTGCTGCAGGGGCGGGATGAAGCGCATAGTTTCGGTCTCGTTTTGCAGGTCCTGCCCTGTCGCACGTGCCAGAAGCAGCTTCTGAAGTCGGCTCTGTAAAAATACCTCCACAACTGCCGTCGAACAACAGCTTCTCAAAAAAGCCGAACACCCCGATTTCGCCGAGGTCGATTTCCTCTTCGCAGTAGCGGAGCAGGAACGTCTGCGTTCTGAACTCGGAGTCTGAGAGAACCTCCGCGGGCAGGATGATTTCGTCGAAAGCCGGGCGAGAAGTTGTAGAGGAGGACGCCGATGTGGAAGCTGACGAAGGCGGCGCGGACGAGTCCTTGGGAGCAAAAAATCCTCCGCCAGTACTAGCACCCGCGGCGCAATGCTTTCCAACCAGGTAGGGAGGCGCTCCTGACATGGTGACCTGCGATTTTGAAGATCCACTGCCGGCAGCACTTCTGTAGGTACTAGTACGACCCGCTTGTGCTTGTCCAGGTGCTGATGCGCCGGAGGTGGAATGTGGTCCCGTGTGGTTATTTTGGTCGTCACTTCCAACCTCTTCCCGAACAGCATCCTCATCGTCACAAGCGACGACCTTGAACGAGACAAAATACAAACCCTGCTGAAACAAATCGATGTTCCGAAACGCATTCACCTGCACGGCCACCTCCCGGTACTGTTTCAGCGTTTTCACCTGCTCGCAGAGAAAGGTTTGCGCGCGGCGGTACAGGAGCGCGGGGTCGCTAGTCGTGTGCGTGTCCTTTATTTTGCCAGAAAAAGTCGCCATTGTTTGCGGGTAGTCGTGGTGTTGGAAAGCAACTCAATTATCGCTGGGGGAGGCTGCTGTGATATTGTCGGCCTTGTGCTGTCTACCCCTGCACGTTACATTAAGGAGCTTCTGGCACCGCCACAGCGGGCTGAAGGAGATTTTTTAAATACCAAGTGAAATCTACTAAACAACTCTTCGGTGGCAGTGTCTTATGTACATAAGTACGTGAAGGATCATCTTTGTTGTCTGCGTCTGGAGCGAGACACTATGATAAACTGCAGCTTACTTCCCAAGGCCGACTGGTCTTCAAGACCATCTATCGAGCCTACAGGTGATGCTCGTAATTTTCATAGTACCTGAAGGCCATCGTACTTGACTCATACAACGAACTTAGTACTCAACATAGTCCGCATCTTGCCTTCACTACCTCCATTACAGTCATGCTCAGGTTCTGCTTCTGCAGCTGTGATCTTCCAGCTAGAGGTTTCTAAAGCCAAAAGGTAAACTGGCCCACGACAAAGGCCAAGGCGGCGGCTGGATCAGAAATCATGTAAAAGACTTCATGAACAAAACAAGACAGAAACTCATCACCGACCGCCGTCGAGACGAAAAAATTGCAAAAGCATCTTCTGGCTTTATTCACACTACACGACCGAATCTGCGCTTGTGATGGAGTTGGAGATGATGTGTTGAACAGGACACATACGAAACGCAGGAAGAGGGTTCGAAGCCGTATCGGAGATCGAGGAGAACTACAGGGAACACGATTCCTGGTGTCTGTGCGTTTACGATTCATATTCATAATACGAACCTATATCTTTCGAAAGGAAATGTTTCTTTAGCCTGATATGAAAAAAAGAACATTTTGCGGAAGCAAGGAATTCATGTGAATGAGTTTCACGATATAAAAAGGTTGAATGAGAATACTTTATCATCCGATATAAAATGAGGACATCTGATGGGACCACAGTCACTTCTTGCCAGCATATTTGTGGCTGTGGGCTTCTTGAGTCAGACGGAAAAAGATTCTCGCCGATCATGACTTGGACTGCAATTGTAGTTGCTCTCATCGTGTGCTGCCAGCGAATGGTCTTGCGACAAACTGCTGCAGTCCGGGAAGCACGACGTAGCGTCGATCGTCACACGCGGGAGAGTTCCAGCCTTACGACCACCTGCGTTTGTTTTTTTTCAGAAGACGAACTCGGGCAAACCAAAGAGCGAGCACGAAGTACATTAAACAACGCCAGAAGAACGAAGGCCGCGAACAAAGCAGGTGTTGGTATGATAGTCTACGCACTGTTCATGAATGAAAACGAAACTACTCGAAAGACATTCAGAACGAAACTATCATCGTTTTTTTAATACCCGAAAATCCGAACGAATAATTTTTTTTATTACCCGAAAATCCGACAGAAATCTTCGTGATAGAAGCGGCTGCGAAGATTGTCATCCCGAGTTGACGAACGCTTCTGATACTTACCTGATTTTCATTTTTCGAGCGATGTTGTAAAGTGAAGATCGAGCGTGCAACGGCTCCACAATTATACTTAAATGCAGTTATTCGAAGAAACACACCGTTTCTTGGGGTTCCGCTGGAGGATGAAGATCATATGGATAATGAAAAACATAGAACGAATGAATAAAAAACAATCCAGAACTCGGTAATCCTAATCTATCAATTTCTTACAGTGCCATAGCCCCTCGTTGTCATCGATCCAGCAAACGTCCTGAAGATCCTGTTTTCTCTTCAGTCACTTCCCCCGCCAGTTCTTCCCCGGCGCATCTTCTTGCGAGTGAGTTCCATCTCCTTTCCCGGCACCTTGCACATCTCCCGCAGCAGGCTATGCAAACGAACGGTGGAAAGTCGTAAGTTCAGCTTCAGAGTACTACTTGGAGGTAATTTCTAATGCATAGAACAAACCTACTACTTGCGCCCTCAGTGACCTTCCAACGCGTTCGGCGAATCAGAAGTTTATTTTACAAAAAATTAAAATGCCCGCGCTCGCGCAACAGAAATAATTTTTTCCAAGCTCACGACTTTCCCCCTGTCGCTTTTCACCAGATACGGATGCTCCGCTTCGGTGTCCTTTGTGGGCCCATCAAACCGCATCTTCAGTTCGTTCACCTCGCTCTGCAACTTGCCCTTCAGCGCGATACTGAAGTGCTTCTGGTAGAGTTCAAAGTTGTTCTTGATCCGGTGCTCGGATATCCATTCGTCAAAGCTGTAGTACTTGATGGTAGCGGCCTGCTCTTCGGCGGTAGGAACTCGCACTCGGTCCAGATCCGGCGGCTTTTGCAACATCATTCCCACTTTACCTGATCAAGAATTACGATTGTATCCGAATCATGTGTTTGATTGATATTTCATTTTCAGGCTTCGACAGTTACATGTTATTTCCATGTCCATGTAGATACTTAGGTATTTTACATAGTCGCAATGAAAGACAACCTCTTTACTTTTCATTTTCTTGCTCCCCTTCTTGACCTTTTCCGTGTCAATTCTCCAGACCAAATTTCTGCAGCGCTGTTTCATTGCCTGAGATATCAAATGCAAAAATGTCTGGGTCTGGAAAAGTTCAAACTTGTCATGCAGATTTTCCATGACCCGTGAAGTCTGGAATGCGGGACTTAGCATGACAGACATTCTGTGAGATCCCTATCATGCCTATCCTGCATGAGAAACTCCCTTCCAACTTGGCCAAAAGTGGACAGCTTTTGGCACTCATGCAACACAGATTTTTGCATGCTTCAGATTTACCATGACAAGTTGCCACCTCCCAGACCCAGACATTTTTACAGTTGATATGAGACGCCGCGGCGCTTGGCAGTGCCATGTCGCCCCAGATCATGTCGATGGTGCCATCCGCAGTCGGGTACCCACCGTGTTTGGGTTCCATGTCGTTATCGGGCAGGATAAATTTCACAAAGTCCAGGTTTTTCTTATCGTTCACTTGTATGGGACTCTCAATTGTTACGTTCTCAACTGTTACATGAATTTGTCATGCAAAAGTACCTTGAGCCGGCAGATTATCGAGCTGCTTCGCATGACAAATTTCGGAAGGGCTAGACAGCATCTAAATCTGCGCCAATCTTGTAATGCAAAAGGCGCAACCTTCCTCCTTTCACTTTTGCCAGTCTTGCATTACAAATTTATGTAACAGCTGAGAATGTAACATTTGAGAACTCCATAACCTCCAGACTGCCCTTGGAGCTTGCGTCCTTCAGCTTTTTCAAAAAGTCGCAGGTGGGCGTTGGGACACTGTTCAGGAGAACGTCTTATGAATTGCAAAAGTGTCTGGGTCTGGGAGATTGCGAGACTTGTCATGCTAGTCTGGCATAACTCTGAACTCTGTATTGCGTGTCCGCGAAGAGGTCCTCTTGTCTGGCATGCAAAGACGCAGTTTCTCATGCGGGACACGCATCTCACTCTGAACCACGGAAAAACTTGTCATGCTGGGGAGCGCATTACAGTGTGCTCACTATTCCCTTTCTTGCATCACAAGTTTCCAGACCCAGAAATTTTTGCACTTCATACGTCTCCTCTCGCTTTGCCGTCCGCCAGCGCATCCTGCTCCCGCGCGCACTCGTTGTCGAGGAAATTCACGATGTAGTTGCGCACTTTGAGCGCGTTGGCGTCGTATGCGCACACCACTTCCGGGAAGACAAACCGCAGCCGGAGCGCGCACTGCATGTCCTGGTAGCGGTCAAACCCCGAGCCGCGCCAGATCAGACACGGATAGGCGCCGCTCGTGGGAAAGACCGCGTGGACGGCGTGCTGCATGGCGATTATCAGGGGGCAGTTTGGATCCAAAAACTCCTCCTCCGTGAGAAACAGGCTCGGGTCGCTGTGCTTGTAGTTGATAATGAAATCAAAGTAGAACCGGAACGCGCCGTCGGCCCGCATTTTCTCGCGGATTGGCAAACCGATGCGCAACAGGTCATAGGTGCCTTTCATGGTCTCCCACAGAAGGTCCAACTGGCCAAGCGTATCCCACGAGAAAATTGCTTTTTCACTGTGACGATGTTTTGCAAGATCTTTCTCGCAAATTTACACGAAACTTAACATTTGCCATGCGCGCTTCCCGAGGGAAAACACGCCTGAAAAACCAATGCCGTGCAGGTGTAGCAAGACCAACCCTTTGGTCGTGTTTCGCTTTTCGCATCACAAGTTCACAGTGAAACAGTTTTTTCTTGCGATAAACCGGTACGTAGATGTAATCTTCCAACCCGCGGCAGTTGACATTGCTCAACCCAAACAGGTGCGAAAACCAGTCCCACCGCAGCATGATTTTGTGTGTGTTTTTGTTGATACCATTCTCGTCGATGTCCTGCCTGTGTTCCCCGAACCGCGTTAACTGGTCGTAGATTCGCGTCAGGGCCGCGCAGTCGCAGGTTTCGTAGGGCAGGCATTGGTCCTCCTCCTCGGGCTTCGCGAAGTCATTCAGCCGCTTCTCTAAATAGCCGAGATCGAACCCGTGGTAGGCTGACAGCGCGAGCAGCAACCGTCGGCCCTGCACCTGCTTCGGCGATAGCGTCACCAGCTTGTAGTCGCTGGTCAGCGCCACCCGGCGGTCTTGGAGCACAATGTCCTTCGCCGCTTCCGTGTGCCCCCGCCGGTTCTCGGAATAGTAATCGGAGTCCTTCAGTGCCGGCTTGCCGCCGTCGAGCACCACGTACCAAGGGCATTCCCGGAAAAAGTCATCCTCGAGCTCCTTCTTCTCCCGCTGTTTCGCCTGCCGTTCGCGCTCGGTCAAAACCGTTGTAGTAGTACCAGCACCACCCGCGCTTTTACTATTCTTCTCCTGTCGTGCATTGATGTTCAAGGCGTCCACAAGCTGTCTGCGCTTGTCCGTGTGCTCCTGGATCTCCGTCTTGAAGACCAGGTTGACTAACTCGTCGTTGCACGTGGTGTGGTCCTTATTCAACACGTTTCCGCGCTCGTCAACGCCGTACACCGTCTTCAAGAAGCTGGACGCCCCCGGCCCGGTTTTATTACAGTGAAAAATGCCCCCCACCCCTGAAATTGTAGAAATTTGTGATGCGAAGTTTCCAAATGAAAACCTTTTGTCATGCGTGAAAGGAGTATGAATCTTTCTGATGCAGAGTCTGGGCGTATATCGCATCGCTTGCATGACAAGCGCCGCTCTTGCTGGGGTCTTTTGCAATACAAATTTTTGCTATTCACGATGGGAAAACTGCCATGCTGATAGATGCAAGAGGGCGAGTGTTTCATTTGGAAAGGTTTGCAATACAAATGTTCCCAACTTCGGGGGTGGGGGCATTTTTCATTGTAATAGGTTTTCTCTTTCCTCCGTTCCTCCGCTAAAAACTGCTCGATCGCGAACTGCTCGTATCAAATGCAAATATGTCTGGGTCTGGAAGGTTGGAACTTGTAATGCTAGCATTCCATACCTAGGAAATCTGTATTGCATAACCAACAAAAGTCGCAGCCTCTTCTGGACATGCAAGCACACGGATTCTCATGCGGATTGCCTATGAGAAAGCGTTACGGAAAGTTGTCATGCTAGATGGCATGCGGAATTGTTTCCATCAGCCACATTTTAGCATCACAAGTTTGAGTTTCCAGACCCAGACGTATTTGTATTTCATAGCTCGTACTCAAAGGCAAAGTGCGTGCCTCCGCGGTTCCTCAGATTCTCGACGAAAGGCTTCAGCTCCTCAATCCGGCACGCGGCTGTAATAGTTCTTGCAGTTGTAGGTATAATTTCCGTGCCCGTGGTCCCGCTCCCGGCGGCAGGAGCCTCACGTGATAATAACTCTTCTTGCAGTGCTTGCAAATGGCTTTCCCAAATTTCCAAATCGGCCGCGGCAGAAGAGTTGTTGGTACTATTGCTAACGAAATTCTCTGGGTAGCCGCGACCAAGACCGCATTTGTTCGTTTCATCCACCTCCTCGGCTCGAGGTTTCCACTTTTGCAAATCCGCGAGTTGTATCTTGGAAGCTGCGCTTTTGGCAGTTTTGGCGTCCGCCCCGTAGGCTTGTGCTCGGCTCCGAGCGTCCTGCGCCTTGTTCCGGCGTTCCATCATGTTCGGGGTAACTAGCGGATCTTTGCCCTTGCTCGGCAGAGTGGTCGTGGTCTCCTGCTGGTTCGAAGAACAAGAAGAGGAACTAGTACCATGTGTATGTGATTTTTTATCTTCTTGTTCTACTTGTTTCGACGGCGGGGCGCGCTTTTTTGTAGAAGAGGAGGAGGACGTCGATGATTTATTTTCAGAAGATTCTGCATTTATTTTCAAGCCAAAAAACTCGTTCCACTTTCCCACTTGCTTCTGGTCTCCCCTACCGCGTCCTTTCCGGCCGTATTTCTCGTCTTCCTGAAAGCCGCCCTTCTTCATGACAGCGCTTTTGTCCTTGTCTAGACACTCCTTGTGCACAATATTCGATAGGGTCTTCAATTTCGTCTTTGCCCGACCCGTACCCTCAGGATCCAGCGAGTCCTGGATCTCTCTCCGGACGGTCTCCAGCGTAACACTTCGCTTCACTTCCCTATCGCAGGAAAAAAGTGCATTTGTTGCAATTTCAGCATCACAAAGTTGCTCTGCATGATGGCGAAGAAAACGTGCTATGCGCAGACTATAGGGGAAAAGGAAAACGAAAACACGAATGAAATGAGGCTGGCAAGCATTTCCTGCATGACAGAGGTTCTGTCTTAGTCTTGCTTGTCTTCCATCAGTGGAGTGTGTAACTGTAACACTTTTTTCTCAGGATAGTCCCTCCACAGTTCCATGTTTCTCCTCCTTACCTCAGGGTCCTCCTTACCTCCCGGTTGCTCCTCCTCTCGGTACTTTTCCTTCTGCCTCTCCCTGACAATAGCGTCCATGATCCACTTGTGCACGGGGAGTGTGTCGTCCAATTCCCCCCAGTCAAGGTTGTTTTCCTCGGAGGCTAGCCTTTTGCTTTCCTCGCTCCAGGGTGCGGGGTTTTTCAGGATCGTCGGGCTCTTGTTTCTACTTTTGTGCGGCACCTCGATCTCCTTACGCACCCACAGCTTGTCGTCCTCGCTGTACCAGCGAAGGGTCGTTTCTTTGTTGGAGAGTTTCTCCTCTTTCTCCTCCAAAATCAATTTGCTGGTCGGGGTCATGTCCCCCTTACCGCTACCCGCGGCGGTGTCGGCGGCGCGAGACGACATTTCTTTTCAAACAGACGGTCGTGGCAGCGCTTTGTTGTTCTCCTTTATGTGTAAGTAGTTTCTTTCGTGAGAACAAAGTTACATACTAGGCCGCAGTACCACAAAAATATCTATATCGGCGGAGCGGTTTCTATGAAAGTCACCGGGTCAGTCCTTTTTTTTTGTCTTGTTCGCAGCAGGAACTCGAACTGCTTGTCGTTGATCTTACTAAGTCATGCTTTATTTTACACTTACTATTGCGTCGCTACCTACTTACGTTCTTACTGTTACTTTTGATTCCAAGGTCGAAAGTATGCTGTGCGTGACTGAGGAACATCGATCTGTCGCTTCAAAAACTGAAAGGAAAAAACCCACATGATTGACGAAAAGAAAGTGACGGTCCAGATTGATCTTCTATCTTGGTTGCTGATGAAGTTGCACAGCGCACCCGCGTGAAAAAGAATCGTCAAAACAAGGGCGGACTTTGTTGAATTTCTTTCTAACACACGTCAGGAACAGGACAAAGCTTCTACTGTCGCTCCAGAAGCTTACTTTCGATAGTACTTCGCACCACGAGCGAATTTTCACGTGCTTGAAATTACCCTCCTGATCATAGTACTGTGAAACTGAAAACAGCAGCAGTGCGGTAAACATTCATAGAGACGAGGCAGTGTTTGATATTAACTGTCTGCCTTTCACTGTCTCCTTTTCACTATCTCCATTCGTACGAGGGCAACAACGCACGCGAGGACAAGCATTCTCTTATTATTTCATCTCCATTTTCTTCACAACATTCGCTTTTCGCAGACACCAGCATTTCATCATCAAACAGGCCCGCATACAAATGATGCAGTTTACAGATAACTAATTAGCACAGCTGATAGGCAGGAGATTTTCAATGCTGCGCGACTACCTAGCACAGTACTTTCATATTTTCCGAAAAACAATAATCGTTTAAAATAAGGATCTTTTTTCCCTTTTAGCGTTAGGACATGCTGATGCACGTCCATGTGGACGCACGCGCTATTAGATTTAGAAGCAATAGCAAAATCAAACTTAAACATTAAACAGAAGCAAAATTGAATCTCGGTCCTCGAAGAGTCAACGCCGATGGTGTATTTCCGGAGTTAAGTATCTTCCGGACGCGTTATGCGCTGTTTCGAAAAGAAATGCGTCATGCAAAGAGGTATGGATAGTGCGTCACTATCATTTTCATCAGGGTCTGATTCTCCAAAAACTGTATGTGCGCCGCCCGGCCTATGATGCTGTCTAGCGACTGCTCCGCGATGAAAAAGTTCACGTTGAGGCGCAGCAGCTTCTCCGGCTTCACTTTCTGCAGCAGATTCCGGGCCATTTCCTCGGTCAAAAGCTCGATTTCCGTCCGGGGGTCTTCTTCTTCTACAACTCGTGGTTCATCTGGGCCGACAGAAGTCGCAGTAGGTGGCGTTCCAACCGGTATGGCCAGGTGCGGCTGGAGATCATCTACTCTGCGGTCGATGTCATTCGAAAGATCTGGATCATTTGTTTGACCATCTTGATGCGCCCGATGATTTGACGTACCAGAAGCTTGCTGTTGCTGAGCTCTTGTGCTTGTCCTCGCACTGGTATAATTATCTGTTTGTTCAACCCCGGGCGGAGGCGGCGGCACTTCGCATCTCGCCGACTCGTACGGACTGTATTGGTCTTGCTTCGAAGACAGAAACACCACGTGCTTGAACAGCTCCAGGCTGCTGTGCAAGGAGAGCTGGTACAAAAAGCTGTTGCGCAAAATGTTCATGGTGGGAGTACTTCTTCTACTAGAGAACGCGGAAAAACTACCTTGAAGATGTTGTCCTTCCCCTGTTCTTCTTCTTCTACTTGCGGTTTCTGCTTTAGTATGCTGCTCTTGGAGGTCATCAACATCGTCATCATGATTCATCTGTAAGAGATGACCACGATCAGTAGCTCTACTAGAGTGATGATCGACTTTCAGATTGTAATCGTCGGAGAGACTGAGTTGTCTGAGGGCCTCGCTCTGCCGCCACTTCTTGAGCACCCACACGCCGGCTTCCACCAGGCGGTTCTGGCCCGTGTAGTTTAATCCCAGATGCATCGTCGACAGTGAAATGTAGGAATGGAACGACCTCCCGTACTTGTGGCGCAACAGCGGGATGGCCGACCGTATGATCAACCCACCCATGCTGTGCCCGACGAAGGATAGTCGGTCGGTATGACAGTACACAACGCCACCTCCCCTTTATTTGCAGCCATGCAAAACCCCAAATCCAGTCGCTGCCCTGTGGCGCTGTTTGCATGACAAATTCCGGAAGCCCAAACAGTACTACATCAACATCAGGTACAGAAATGTGTCATGCATAGGCTCCACACGTGCTGGTGTTTGTATTGCTGTTCATGCCATACAAATGAGGGGGAGGGGGTGGAGTTATGCACTCTCATAGTCGGGGATGCCGCCGCAGTTGTCGCAGGCGAACGAGTCCACTTCCTCAAACAACCGTTCCCCCATCGCGCTGATGTCTCCCTCGGTTTGGTCCTCGTTCGAGCTCGAACAGAGGAAGAACACCTCCGGAAACTGCACCACGATGGCGTTCTTGATCATCCGCAAATCGTAGGGATTACCGTGGAGTCCGTGCACCAGGACGATCAAGTGCGAACCCGCGGGCGGGAGGGGGGACGAGTGGTGCAAGTGGAAGTCGGAGAAGCTGTAGTTGGTTGTGTTCTTTTCGGACATCATTTCGGACGTGCTACTAGTGCTCCTCTCGGGCTGTGCGATATTGTCAGCGGAGACAAATAGCGCATCGCTCACCATGTTTTCGTGGCGTTGCACCCGTGACGAGGAGGCGGTTTCTTGCTTGTCCCCATGATGTCTTAATGTCTTTTCGGTATCCAGATTCACCGCTCCCCCGTGAAGATCATAGTCGTCGTCGAGAAGCGCCGCGGCGCGGTGGGAGCCGTCTTGATGCAGTAGTTTTGGGTCTTCGTGTGAACGAGGTTGTAACATGTTCATCTCTCGGAGACCAACTTCTCCTTCTCGCTGGTCTGATACTACCCTTTTCGTCGTCTGACGAGATTGAACCTGCTCTCCTGTAGACGTCGAAATGGCGTCAAGCAATTCCTTCGCAGACGTGCCAAGAAAGCTGTGGTCTGAGGAAGTAGCAGCAGTTGCTGGCTCCACATTCTTTGACTTTGTGGTCTTCCCGCTTGTACGATCATGATCTACAACTTCCGAGTCATCTGGTACTGCTTGTGTCCCACTCCCAACTTCCTCGTCTTTCAAAGTATCACCTGCTTCACTTTGTTTCGTCGCTCCCCGCACTCGACTAGACCCCGCCGCACCGTCGCCGACCAGAACCACGCTGTCAGGATTGATGTTTTTATCACGCGCCGCAGCGTGGTCTGTAATGCTTCCTGCGTCTTCTTCGTGTCTTCCGTCCACCCGTGCCGTCTCTTCTTCAGCCGCGTGTCCTGCCCGGTCTACTACTTGATCTTCTCCGCCGTCTCCTCGCGCAACCTTCCTTTTCGGTCTGGCGGACCCAGAGGTCGTGTTCTGGTCAGCGGAAATTATCTCCGAAAGAACTTCTGCTGCTGCTGGTGTTGTACTAGAAGTTCTTTCGTCTACTTTTGCTGCACTACTTGTAGCTTCCGGTATTGTCGTGACGGCAGCTGGATTATGAATGTGGCTGTACGAAGCACCAGCAGCACTCGGCGCCGTGCTGTAGTTTTTAGTACTTCTAGTATTATTCGCCGCGGCCGGAGTCGAGTTGTTGCTGGAGGTCGTTGTCGTGTTGTGCGTGAAGAGAAAATCCGTCCTCGCGGGGCTGGCCAAACTTGTGAGCGACCGATTCTTTCCATGGTCAAAGGTGATCGGAGAACTCACGGATTTCACCACTGGCGTTCGCACCACGGACGCAGAGGAGGAGGAGGACGCAGTCATCATGTTGCCCCCGTGCCCGTGCTGGATCACTTGAGTCACGCTGTGGTCGTCGATGGTATTATTGCAGTCGCTAGAAGAAATAATTTTATTTCGCATACTAGTTTCGGTTTCGGATTCGTCCGAGTGGGCGTTTAACATTTTTCTAGACGCAGGATCTTGCAATGCGCGACCACCGTCTTGACCGTTCGCTGCCCGCTGCAAGAGACTGCTGCTTCTCGTTTGCCGGTAATACCTGAAGAGGTTATTTGATGCACGTGCCATTTTTCCTTCTTCAACAAACTTCATTGGTTCGCAGTCGCAAACTACGGGCAGCTCGGGTTTAAGTAGAGCTACTACCTCGGGCAAAAATCGTCATCATGTCTTAGTTCTTAGTGCATCTTGCAGCTATCATGCTCTCCAAGTAGTACCTCTGCTCAAAAATCAGTGGGTGTCCCAGTGAATTCGAAAACGACAAGTCGTCAATTTGGAACTCCGACGGCACTGCGGGGTCCCTCTGCGCCAACTGTTGCCGCTTTTGCTCCACGAAACTTTCCGCCTCGGTCTCGTCATCTAAGGCGCTGGGTCGCACGTGCCACAGCTCCAATTTTGCGGCTCTTCTTGCCGGGCTGCTGCATGTCGAACGAAGATTTCTGTCTTGGCGGTCATCCAAGACCAAGTTTTCGCCGTTGTCGTTAATAGAATTCCCCGCCTTCTTCCCGCTTGATGAAGATGTTGATGCCCTATCTAAACCACTTTCTCCGAAGATTTCCACGTCCTCCCGAAAGACGCGATTGGCCCAGAATTATCGTAAAGAAAAATCACCCCTCCCCATATCGAAAAGGTACGTCGCAGAAAATTTGTATTATGCTGATTTGCGACCACAAATCATCTCTGTCTTGCAAGGCAGCAATTCCACAGGCTCCCCCGCATTATGGAGGCGGATTGTGATGCGGTTTGGCCTACAGCGCAGACGTTTCTTATGCTAAGCGCCTAGACCAAAACCTCGTTACTCAGGCTTGATGTAGGCCTGCCGTCCCGTTCAGCAAGACAAATCTGATTTGTGTACGCAAATCCAGAATCACAGACTTCGTTTCGATATGGGAAGGGGGGATTTTTCCTCTCAATAAGAATTTTCGAATGTTCGCCGCATGGATGGTCTGGAGAAAGCTGAAGATCTTGTAATTATAGTGCGGCACTTTGGACAAAAAATGGTCGTATATATGCATTGCAAAAGCAGCGCGCCTAGCATGATCTGCAATACAAATTTTGTCAACCAGAAACATGCAGTTTGTCATGCTGGATCAGGTACTAGAGAATGAGACTTGTCATGCAAAACTGCAAGAAGCTGAAGCACTACAAGCACGCTCACGCTGCTTTTGCATTGGATAGTACCAAAGCGTCGACAGTTTCTGTCGGAGCGCATCCAGCTCGACAAGGTTATCACAGTGAAAAATGCCCCCCACCCCTGAAATTGCAAGAATCTGTGATGCGAAGTTTCCAAATGAAAGCTTTTTGTCATGCATGAAAGGAGTACGAATCTTTCTGATGCAGATTCTAGTCGTGTTTCGCATCGCTTGCATGACAAGCGCCGCTCTTGCTGGGATCTTTTGCAATACAAATTTTTGCTATTCACGATCGGAAATCTGTGATGCTGATACACGCAAGAGGGCGAATGTTTCATTTGGAAAGATTTGCAATACAAATGCTTTCAAGTTCGGGGGTGGGGGCATTTTTCATTGTAATAAAGGTCCTCTTTTCTCCTCTTCGCCGCTAATGCTCGCTGCGTTCCTCTCGCATTTCCATCAACATCATGTTCTTCTTGCTGCCTAGAATGAGTACTAGTACCACCACCATTGTAAAATTGTCGGTCCTCCTCCTCCTCCTGGCTGGAAAACGTCAAATTGTGCTGTTCGTCCGGAATATGGTGGTCAAAAATCTCGCGATGATTTTCCACACGAAATAGAGAACTGCTCGTCGTCCCACTGGTCCCCCCCGCAGATGGGGATGAGTTCAGCGTTAAGCTGGCGCCCGACGCGAGGGAGGAGTCCGCTGCTGTGCTCTTCACCCGCATCAGATTTACCAATTGCTCGCCGCGGTTTTGGGCACTCGCTGTCGACCCGAGGGACAGAGTCCGCTGGTTGTTCACGTTCAGAAAATTTCGGCCTTTGGAGGAGGAAGAAGATGAACCTCCGTTTCTTGTCGCGGTAGAAGTTGTTCCAAGTAACCGGTGCGACACCTGCTCCAAGTGCTGCAGCGCGCTCTCCAGGATCAACTTTTCTCTACTGAGCTGCGCAGAGAAGGTTCTTGTTGTGTCGGCGGTAGTTGTACCTGAAGTTGTGGAATGTTCAGCGCTGCTACTAGCAGTGCCGGCTCTAATTGTTGTATTCTGTCCATTACCACCACTACCACCACCACCCGCTGCAACCGCGACGCTCAGTGCGTCGCAAATTTCCCCGTCAGAGAAGAGTTTGTCCTGGCCCGCATTGCCGAGGAAGTTCTTGAAATTGGACGCGTTCTCGGCACTTTCGTCCTCCTCAATGACCAGACCGAAGCCGTTCCGCAGCCGTTTCCGCACGTCCACGGTGGCGGTGAAGAAATGCAAGCGGAGCAGGGAAAAATGGAACTCGTCAAACAAAACCGGCACAAATTCCGGAAAATTGGTCGCGGAGTTCCAGTTCAACTTCAGCTTTCGCCTGGACACCGACTGAAATTCGATCAGGTCAGGGTCGATCCGCATTTCCGCCGCCGCCTCCGGCCCGCCGAGCGTGGTCAGGTCCGCGAAAAGAAGCTCAATCTCGATCGAAATCGGGTACGTGGCGGTGGATGTAGAAGGTCGTGCAGCTGGGGAAGATGAAGATGAGGAAGAACGCGGGTGTTCAACATCCTCTGCAGCCCCACGACTGTTGTAGTTCCCTTGCCTGTTCCTCACGTTGTCCTGCTCTCCAGTGTTGGTCGTGGTTCTTTCCCCAGCACCAGTACCTTTTCCAGCACCACCAGCTGTGGGCGGCTTGCTCCCCCGAGGACTAGTACAATCAGCAGCACGACGACCCTGCTCAGGTGGATCAACATTCGCGGGTAGTTCGAGGCGAAACACCGCCCCCTCGTTTAACTCGACTTCTTCTTCGCAGTAGCGAATCAAAAACGCCTTCGACAAGTACGTCCCATAGTTGTGCTCGGTGTTTTGGAAAACCGTTGACGGGATCAGATTGGAAATTTCCAGCACTTCCTCCTCGTTGGACTGCTCGTCCGAGTCGTCGGCAGAGTTGTTTAGATTCTCCAAATATCAAATTCAAAAATGTCTGGGTCTGGAAGAATGCGCGATTTGTGATGCTGCTTTTCCATGACCCATAAGGTCTGGAATGCAGGACCTAGCATGACAGACTCTGCGAGACCTTTCTAATGCCTATCCTGCATGAGAAACTACCTCCCGACTTGGTCAAAACTGGACGACTTTTGGTAATCACGCAACACAGATTTTTGCATGCTGCAGATTTAGCATGACAAGTTGCAATCTTCCAGACCCAGACACTTTTACATTTGATACCAAATTCAGCAACTTCGTCACCGAAGCGTAATTGACCAGTGTCAAAACCTTATCCGCATCCGCGTTCGACTCATCCAGAATATCGTGCGTGATTTCGTTGTAGTTCTTCGTACTTGATGTTCCTCCAAAGTTGGCATAATTATTACCGGCGTAATTATTACCTCCGCTCGTCCCAGCAGTGGCAGAAAATGCTGTTGATGATGAGTCAGCGCTATTTAATATTCCACCGCTCCTGCTCCCTGTGCCATAACTGGTGTAGCTGTCACCATGATCACCAAAGTGCTGCCGCAAATACCGTTCGTAGTAGACTTGGACATGCACACGGTACAGGCCCTGATGAAACAGATCGACGTTACGAAAGTCTTTCAAGTGCACGGCGATCTCACAAACCTCCGTCTCCATGCCGGCGCTTGGAAGCTCTAAATGGTGAGATGGACGCGAGGACGCTGAAGTCCTTGCGAGGGGTGATCCTGTTGCTCCTGGCCCACGCACTGTTGCTGAGGTTAGACCATGTTGAAGCTGCTGCCCGGACGAAGAGCTGGCGCTGGTGGGTAGCTGCAGTTTCTGTTGCTGGTCGGCAAAAAGTCCCGGAGGATCTTGGTGCACTGCATCCATTATCTTGGGCGGGGCTGTTGTACTAGGTTGCTTCAAAACATTTCTGTTGTCGTACAACTACTGCTCATGATTACTACTACTCATGTTTGTAGTAGGTACGAAATGCAGGGAGCCCACGAGGAGCAGATCTCTATTTTATTCCTTACGCCCGAACAAGCAAATGCAAAGAAGCAAAAATAGAACAGAGTGCAATTGAAGTCAGAGAACCACCTGCAGAACATCATTAGTACATACAGCCAAAGTGGGGACGAATTTGTGTGCCATGACTTAGGAACAAAGAGAAAGATGTGAAATAGAAATTGCGGCGAGGGACACAAGAAGAAACCAGAGCAAAGAACGAATGAACTTACGCAGTTGTTAGCATTCAGAAGAAAACAAAGCTGGAAATATTGTAACACGATGGCAGATGTGCTTGAGGAAGGCACCACTTTTGATGCATTTTCCGGCGGAGAAATAGACTCTCTCTCCCCAACATATTTTTTTCCAACGAATGCAAACTTGATGTATAGAAACGGCACAGATTCTGCTTGCTTTTCCAAAATATTGTAATATCCTGTTCTATCAAATATTTTTGTTGTGTTGTCCTCAATTATAATATGCTCTGTCGCAATCCAGTGGTCATATAGACCCTGCCTCCCAAATCCTCGGCCCAATTTAGCAATTTCGCTTTGGAAATCCAAACTTATTTCTGTTGTCTCTGTGCACTTGGCCCGATTCAGAGGGATGAACAAGGCTATATTGTCAGGTCTTCGTTGTTTTGACTTTAAGGGTAGTTTGATGCAGCCCGATAAAAATATGTGGTTCGAATCAAAATGTAGAAGTTGTTGTGAAAAAACTTCGTGCGCACAAAGAATTATATTACTTCTGTGAGAACTACTCTCGTAGTCGTAAACCTATTGCCGATCAAACAAGAAACAGTGTTTGTTTTTATCTGTAATGAACGAGATGAAATCTTCTTCTGAGATAAACTTGATAGTTGCATCTTTAAAGGATTTGCTCGCTCATCGCACGCACACCAGGTTGTCGTACAGGCGCGCGGCGCTGGCTTTTTTAGCATAAGAACAATTTTTGGTTTCTTTAGCAAGTGAATTATGCCGCCGAAAACTGCTACTCTCCCTGTCGAGCTGGTGCAACTAATGGTTTCACAACATCAACAATTATATTTTGATTTTAAAAAAGAAAGCTCCCAAAGTTACAATTTTGTGTACTCGTTGTAAACCCTTTAATATTTTTGTGTACTACCTGCTAGTAGCTTATCGAGCAAAAGACGATTTCTGATTTGACCATCGGAAACACCAATACAGTGGCTGTATTTCCATTTTATCCTGATTCAATGTTAATATTTTCAAATTGTCACATAAGAAAGTTGTTGAAAGTAAAGTATCCTCAAAAGTTGTGTTTTTGAATTTTTTACGCAGACCGAAACGTAGAGCCGTGGCATAATTATTTTTAGTAGTGTGGCTTTGAATTTGTCCAGAAGCAGGAGAACAAAAGGTGCAGCTTGCATCATTCCCTGCTGGTGATGTTGTTGTGCTTTTCTACCCTTGCTGTTCAGGAGCAGTTTTTTGTTTGCTTGGGTTCGCACTGTTGTTCAAAAATAAAAGCCCTGCTTCTATTACCGCCCCGCGTTGCGGGCAGTTCCTGGACGGCTCATCGTGCTGGTTCGTTCAAACCCGGCGGTAGCGGGAAACTTCTCGGCCCGTTGGCGGATGATAGTCTGTTGCGATTCGAGCTGCGTTTTCACGTTGTGATACCTGAGAAATTTGAGCATTTTTGCAAAGACGTCGCATTGGTGGTCATGGTACGCGCATGGTCTGGACCAACTCAAGAATACAAAGTTTTTGTTGAGCTTGAGTGGAAGATATCATAATCATATAGAAAAAAGTATCGTGTTTCTATTTCTACCTCTGCAACAATCGCTCTAACTCGGTCTTTCGTGCGTGCTTCTGTTCCTCTCGGCCGGATTGGATACCTGTTGTTTCAAAATTATTTTCCCTGATTGGAATTTCTACTGTCTTGACCTAGAAACAACAACAATTCGTCCAGGTCAAGTATCTTCATTTGAAAGTACTAGTACAACCTCCAGGAGTATCTATTGCATGCAAATACAAGAGCAAGACAGAAAAAGAGATTCTGAACAATGGAGTACGTTTCAGTAGCCCGTGCATTTCCAGCGCCTGTTTTCGCAAAAACTGATCTTCTAACGCCGCAATCTTGGCATCCCTTTTCGCCTTCCACGCCCCGTGCTCCTTGATCTCCAGATTGTCAGCTTGGTGCTTCGTCTTCTGCGCTTCACTGGTGTAATTAGGTGAAGAAGTCAGGCAGTTTGTATTGCTGTACAACTCGAGTTCCTTGTCCTTGACCACATGTTGATGAACGGCCTTAATTACAAAACGAAAACACATCAATGGTATTTCATGCAACACCAGTCCTCGATAATCTCGTCCAAAAATGTAATGACCATGCTGCTGTTATCATGGTATAGTCGGTACCTGTATTTCTTCTGTTTTGCCAGGGTGTCCTGGATTTTTCGCAGATTCAACAGCTCCCTTGACCATCTGGGCGTTCTGGGTGTCGTCTCTTTCTTGATTTTCTCCATGAAACTCATGTGCTCCTGCTTGTGTCTACCGCCCAGCGTGTTTTGGAGGTTCGCTGATTGATGTTTTGCAATCGTTTTTTATTTGTCATGGTGCGTGATGGTTCGCAACTACTCGTCTTCTCTCTGCGAGGTGGAAGAGGACCCTATTTTTTTCTACCAAGAAAAACAAGGCATCGTAGGCTCATGCGGAAAAAGGCACAACTGAAATTGTGCCAATATTTTAATTTTTATTCTACCTGCATGTGACTCGAAGTCTGCTACTTTTTTGTCCCAAATTTCGTTGAATTCCTGAAGCTCCTTCATATGCGCCTCCTCAACACCTGTTTGATTGCGTTAAATTCCTGTTTGTTATGCCGAGCATGCATGAGATGTTGATGTTGTTGAAATGGATCCATCGATTGTCATGCATCTCATCTAACCCTTATGTATCTACCTAATCGCTCTGCCAGCTGTTGCGACCGCAACTCCTCTCTTCTTCGGTTCTCTTTATGCATTGCAAAACCAAAAGTATCGTACTCGTATAAATGCATTACAAATTCCCTCAGCATGAGAAATGAAATTTGTCATGCGGATCTACCTTGGGAAGAAAATTTGTAATGCAAGACTTGCATTTATACGAGTACGATACTCTTGCACAGGATACTCTTCATGTGTTCGCAACTGTTCTAGCCTCGTTTTCGCAAGCTCGGCCTCTTCATACCTTGGCAGTAAGATTTGATGCGGAATAGTGGTTACTCTGCCATCAACTACATGAAAAGCTCCCTTTCTTCCTCTTCGCAAGGGCGGATACAAAAACAATCCTCATGCAACATCAGAACGTCAACGTTCACGTTGTCACGCATCACAGAAGAACTAAAACATAAATGTAAGAACTATACTTTCCCATGCGCTCACATTCCGATCGGTGCTTCTCCAAGACTTCTGATTATCCTAGCAAACTTGTTACGAAGAACAATTTCTTGTTTCCTCACCATCCCTACGATAAAGTTATGCCTTCTTTGATCTCTTTCGGGCCAATGATATATTTATACCGTACAACTTCTTGCATGGTAAAGCCACTGTGATTCTTGATCAGGAAAATCGATTCGTGTTCTTCGTAACATTAACGCAGCTTTCTCGCATAACAAGAAGTCTTGGATTTGAGCCTCGTCGGCCGGGGCCACGTATGCATTGCAAAACTATCGCACTTGCATTACACATTTTCGCACGAACAGAACCGGAACTTGTAATGCTTGCTCAGGTTCTTGGCAAAGGGATTCGCCATGCTGCATGACTGCAAATTTTTATACGAGTGCGATACTTTATTTGCACAGGATACCACGGGCTGGGCAGCCATTTTTTCGGGTGCTACCTCCTAGCAGCTATACCAGAGCGAATGTGTTGTGTTCTGCACGGTTTTTATGTTAGGTTTTTCTACACCAAATTCATGACAGCGACCTTGCGTCTTCGTGATCACGAATGTTGCTTTTGCTGGTCAGACCATGTGCTAAGTGAAAGTGCTGGTGCTCCTTAGCCTTATATTAGAACTTACTCTTAAATGTCGGAAACCATTTCTTCTCTCTGGTGCAGGGGGAAAAGTACTGTACTACCACTACGTATGTACGATGAGTATTAAATCCAGTTTCACACGAGGGCGGGTCGGTTGCGGGGTATAATACAAGTGGGTGACAATTTTTTTCTATTTGCTTTTCAAGTTGTCTATACTGAAAAGCAGGAGCAAATTTTCAGTTTGATGAGGAAAAGGAAATATGAAAAAATATGATATTTGATTATGATTTCGGCATCAACATTGTCACACACTGCTCTGCAAGAACTAAGGGCCTGGCTTCTTTTCACTCCAGCTCAACACAACTGCATCGTCTGACCCGGTCCCGTCGCGTTTTTCCTGGTTCTCCAATAAGTTCTTTGTCTCAACTCTACAAAACAGCTTTGAAGGGTCGGTCAGTCAAGACGAAGAAAGAAAAACACACACGTATCAGGGTAAAGAGTAGTTCTGTCTCCACGTCGCTCTTTTGATAGCTAACACCGGGTGCAGAAAAGAAAATCAAGTAAAGAGAACAAGCAAATGAGAAAAAACAACAGACAAGGCAGAATGTCGAAAAAAACAGCCGAATTCGCATTTTTTTTGTTGAAAAAGTTTTTACTTCAGCCCGCACCCTCAACCACTCACAATTCTCTACTAGTTTCTTTTCATTACAGTTTGAATTTTTTGAAAAAGTCGCACCAGGGCGGCGTTTATTTTCCAAAGAAAAGCAAAAACTGAAAACTTCAACTAGCAGTGCTGTCTGAAAACAAATGACACCCGCAGGAGCAAACACCAGCCAGTAGAGCACTTTGTCCCTATGATGGAGACATTGATGGCGCGGATAGTTATTTTCCATACACTGCCTGCGGCCTTCATTGTGATGGTTATCTTCCCTCGACTCGATCTCGTGCCTCTAAAAGCTAAAACAAAAACTCGTAAAAGCTAATAACAAACAAAAAATTTTGGTTTTCGCAGCACGACCAGCAGGTCACACAGAAAAAGTCTAGAAAGAGTAAGTAAGTAGCAGTACTTTTCCTGTGCAACCGCCTCCAGTGCCGGTTTTTACAGTGATATCAAACACGCATATTGATATTTTTAAATTGGTTCTCACGACTTCCCCAAAACATCAAGGCTTCCATTTTCAGAACCCCGCAAAGGGGTCCAGCGAGTTGCCGGTGTTTCCTTTACTGAAATTTCCGAACCCGTTTCCCGCGGACGCAGCAGGAGCGCTCATGTTGTTCATATTCATCATAGGGTTTTGAAAATTGTTGTTCATCGGGAATCCACCTCCACCGCCGTTCTGCATCTGCATCATCGGGTTCTGTTGCTGCATCATCATTGGGTTGTTGTTCATCATGCCGTGTTGTACTCCACCACCAGCTTGCATCATCATCGGGTTTTGCTGCTGCATCATGGGATTCATCATTCCCATACCGCCCATCATGTTCATGTTTCCTCCCCCTGCCATCGGATTCATCATGCTCATTCCTCCGCCCATCATTCCCCCAGCACCACCGCCCATCGGATTGTTCATCATTCCCGGCATGTTGTTGATATTGGGTGCAGCAGCCGGCGGGCCGCTGAGCGCGCCGAAATTTCCCGGCGTGGGCTTCGAATTTATTGTCCCGACCGGAGGTGCAGCTGCTGCGCCGGTGTAGCTTGCGGGCTGTTGTACCGCTGCAGCTCCTCCTGCACCCGATATAATTGGTGCAGCAGTTGTTGCGGATGTTGCGGTGCTTGATGTTTTTGGTGAGCCCGAGGTTTTTGATGCCGACGTGGTAGATGGCATATCGAAATCCACGAGGTCCAGAAGAGGGTTGCTGTTGTTGTTTCTGTTTTGATTCAACTTCAAGCATAATCCCAGAGTAATAATCGTGATCATTTGATCATAAGTAGTGATATGCCACGAAAAATGAAACGGTAGACGCAATCGCACACGGCGCACCCTATCTAAAAAGTAAAATTTCTTTTGTATCCACTTGTTTTCGTTTTATTACCATAACCATACTAGAAGGAACCAATAAAACAAGTATACTGTGCCGTCGCTGGGGACGATTTTTTACTTGACGCTGTCGACATGGTGTTCCCAAAACCGCCGTTCGAAGCCACCGGCCCGCCGACCGGTGACGGGGCCATGAGGTCCAGCAAACCTCCCGCCGACATTAGCCCATCGCCCGCGGATATCCAAGAAAAAAACTGTGTTAGTGTAAGGTTTTGGGAAAACAGCATCACAAGTTCGTCTGCCATGACAGGACGAACTTGTTATATATGCGCAGATAGAAAGGGAAAACACATAGGAAGCGAGCCGATCACGCATGTCGAGCATGACAAGTGTCACTGTTTGGCATTTTCTGCATCACAGATTTACACTTACACAATTTTTTCTTTGCATAGCGGATGACGGAAAGCTGACGGGCGCGGTGCTGGTCGAGAAGGACCCAAAATCGGAGGAATTTGTGGTCGCATTTACAGAAGAACTCGTTGTGAATATGCAAGACAAATTTCCCGTACATGTAGAAGATGCATCACAAATTTCACCACATTGGAGGGTAAAAATGCTTGTCATGCCAAACTCGGATCGAAGCCCAGTTTTGTCATGCAGAGACTGCTGCATTTCCATTTGCATCACGTGTACGAAAAATTTCCTGTGGATAGTGAACGCGCCAAAGCCATTGTCTGCTGTCCCAGCGGGCGTAGAATTGAAATCGCCGAAGCCGTCGTTAGTTGGCGTGAACCCCTTGGATATCCAAAAATAAAAACGACATCACAATCACATTTAGGAGGTTTCGCGTTAGCAATTTGTCTCGCATGATAAATTTTTCTTGTATTGCAAAAACATAAAAAAGGGAAGCCGCCTATTCCCTATGGCTCTTGACAGTGATGCATTTTTGCGCATGACAAAAATCTTTTTATCGCAAAAATGTGCAAAATTGATTTTTGCGATGTTGTTTTTGTCTCGGATATTGGAGCCGGTACTTGTAGTTCCGCCGCTGATTGCATTGGTGGTTCCGGTGGATGCAAAAAAGTCGTCCATGTTGTTGGAAGTAGGGGCCTGGTTTCCTGCCGCCGCGGAAAATCCACCGAAGTCATTGTCGGCAAAACCAGGGTTAGCTCCTGCTGTGAAATTATTTTGATTTTTCATATGTCTGGCATGAAAAATCGTCTTTGTGTCACGCATGGTGTCGTGCATCAAAAAAGTCCGCACCATCTTAATCGACATCTACTTATACTTGTCTCCTCGTATAATATACCTCCGCCCCCGCCTAGCAGATCTTCATCTAGCAGACTGCCCGTCGGTTTGTTCTCCTGCTTTTTGCCCGCAATCCTGTTGGTCTTCACCCCAACCTTGCCCGACGTGTCTGTTGAAACGAAGTCCGTCGAAACTTTGCCGCCCGACGCAATTTTTCGATTCGGATCGAAATCGTCGTCGATGCTGTAGTAGGATGATTTTTCGTCATATAATGGTAAACTCGCAATCTGAATCTTCATGAGTTGTAGTCGGTTATTTTTTGCCATGCAGGACTAGGACCAAGAATGGACAGGTGCTGTGACGTGTCACTCTTGACATTATGACGAAAAATCAACGTTTTGTTGTACATCAGTGGACTAATATCTGTCATTGCCTTACCTTGCCGTCGTTTCGTTCTGTCTTCTTCTGTCCTCCTTGCTCCCCGACTTGTTGCCCGAATCGAACCCGTTTGTGCCCCTATTCACGCTGTCGCTCCCGAACCCGCCGTAGCGGCCGCTTCCACGGTCACTGCTTATCGTGTTGTTCGCAATACCCTGGGTCCGCTGCCGCGACTCCTTTGCCTTTCCTCGCTCCTCTTGGAGCACGGTCTGGTCGTTGACCAGCTGAAGGATAATCGAGGACAAATCGCGCACACCTTGGCCGCGGTCCTTTCCTTCCTCGATGTGCGAGAAAGAGGACAATTGCTGTAGTTCAGATAATAAGATGAAAAAGTGCGATTTAAGTACTTAGATGAAAGACTTGGATTTTGCACCGCTGGAAATGGAAAACAAGGAATGAGGAAATAAATTTCTGTCATGCTCGAGGACCAGCTACTTCACCCCTGACTGTGTGTTGAAGTAGTTGCTTGCCCGATGAAATCGAAATTATCATAGAATTTATACCCTGATCTTAAACTGGTTGTCCCGCACGTCATCCGTACATCTGTCCGCTCCGTTCTTGACCAAGAATTCTAGGAGAGTCAAAGCCTTGAAGACCTGTCGCCATTTCCTCCCCTTCGCAGGATGGATGCACTCCCAGATATGCTGCATTATTACCTCGTTATTTAGTGAAGATAGTAGTGAGAACCACAACCGCTTCTTGTTAATGTCCTTGCATGGATGAACTAGAACAATGCACTTCTAAATATCGGCGTATAATTTTTACAGCACTGCAACATGAGCATGGCACATTCATTATATCCCGATGCATGATTTTTCCATGTCATTTATCATACCCTAAAATCGTGGCCACTTCTGGTCGCATCGGAAAGCGAGTATTTGAGCGTATTCGAAACATTCCAGTTCTGGTTCGAAGTATGAACTGCAAAAGTATCGCACTCGTATAAATGCATTACAAATTTCCTCAGCATGAGAAATAAAATTTGTAATGCTGATTTACCTCAAGGAAAAGATTTGTATTGCTTGACTGCAATGCGAGTAGGATACTTTTGCACAGGATACGAAGTGGCTTCGTGCAGCTTTTTTTCCAACGGCGTTTTGTCGTAGGCAACCTCCTATACATTGCAAAGGTATCGTGCTCGTAGTAGAAGTCGCAATCTGGCATTACAAATCTCCATTCCAAGGTAAAACAGCATGAGAAATTCCATTTGTCACGCTGAGCTAATTTGTAATGCAATCTATACTAATACGATTTACTTTGTTTTGCAATGCATACCTCCTCCGCGACGTCTTTCACCACATCGACCACATCCTGTATGGACTTGATACCCTTCATATCAAATGCAAATATGTCAGGGTCTGGAAACTTGTGATGCTGGGGGGCGTATCATGCGGAGGACACAAGTGCTGGCTCAGCATGACAAGTTTCTGAGCTTCTAGGTGAAGGTGAAGAAGGCGTTGCCTCTTCTGCATGACAAACTGCATTTCTGCATGACAGAAAAATGGCGCTCTCGTGTAACGTGCATGACAGTCATGCAAGACAAGCATGACAAATCGCGCACTCTTCCAGACCCAGACATATTTGCACTTGATACTTCAGACCGGCGATCAAGTCCTGCATGGTTTCTGGATGTTGGCAGGACCTCGCTTCGCTCTACGAAGATGAACGTCGCACACGCAGTGCGCGATGGTAACAAGAGCTCAGCACGCGAACAAAAAAAGCTTTATCTTCCTCGCAATAAATGCTTGCTGGTGTAGTGTGTGCTTTGATGTAAAAGCGACGAGCGAAAGAACAAACTGCTTTTTATTCATTTCCCCTGCGGCTGTAGATAATGATAAGTATCTGACGTGAAACGACGCAACCAGGACGCGTAACCAAAGAGAGAGAGAGAGAGAGAGAGAGAGAGAGAGAGGACGAGCCTGTCTGATGCTGATGCTGATAGCGAAGCGCGGGCGCAACGCGGGCGGAGGGGCACCGACCTGAAGGGTCCGAAGACGTGCCTATTTTCGGGGGGTAGAAGAGGTGGTTTCATAAATCCAAAGATCACGAAGATGCCAGCCACGGGCAACAAGAAGGCCGAGCCTAGTTCATCTTCTTGAACCGATATTTTATTGTTCACGGAGTTGTAATTGTATGTTTGGAACCACAACACAAACGGAGGTCGTATCAAGATGGGACCACGAAACAAACTTTAACCAACAGAAGAATTTATGCGGATAAGTACCTCATGAACACGAATGGGATGAAAAGGAACTACTACTAGTACTACAAGTTGCAGAGTACAATACATCGCAGCTGTTCCCTGTACAACACAACTACAGGCGCTACGAGGTAAGTATGCACCTGTGTTTGTCATTGCTCCGTGTACTTACTTACATGGTCAAGGACACGACGTCGTTCCGCCCTGTTCAAGAAGCGGAAATAACAAACCTGCGTATGCAAAACAACAGAGTCGCAGTCAGCAGGCGCCAGCAGTGTAGTAAAAACAGCGAAGAGGACCACTTGTCGCAATGTTGTACCAACCTGATTTATGAAGGTCGCGCCCGGAGGGCGATATTGGTAACCAAATGCGTGCGCGAAATTCTAACCAGCGCGAAAGCCTAACCAGCCGCGCGGCGAAAGCGCGGCCCTGCGGGCCGCGCTTTGGCGCTATTTATTTTTGATTACAGTCCCACTCCTTCTTCTTCAAGCCCCCTGCATGAGAAACTGGCCCCCTGGCCAGGAAGGTATCTGGGTCATCGGGGGCTTCCGGATTCGCATTCAAAGCTTATCGCAGGAGCCTGCGGGCCGCCGCGGGCTCCACCACTTCCCCGCGGCCCTAAAGGGCCGCGGACAACTACTGTCGCCCGCGGCGGCCCGCAGGCTCCTGCGATAAGCATTGAAGGCGAAATCCGGTCTGCTATTTCGCAGCGGGGCATCCTTTCTAGCCCCCTGCATGACAAACTGGCCTCCTGGCCAAGAAGGTATGCGGAAAGCCGAATCTCCGCGGACCCTTCCGGGCCACCAAAATCGGGCATTTCAGACGCGGCGGAGGTGCAGGATTTGTGCCCACAAACCAGGGCAAATAGGGATTTTGTGACATCCCTCCGCCCGCTTCTAATGCGTTTTTTTTTTCACAATCCCGATGGTATGGCGCGACCACGCGCCCGCCGGACCGCCCTTGGCGGCCAGTTTGTAAGCCTGCCGAGGGTTCTCGGTTTTTTTCAATTTTCGCTCTTTTTTGTGGTTCTTAGGTGGCCGAAGGGCTCCGGACATTTTCACCGACCGCAGCTGCCTGGCAGTTTCGGAGCCTGCGGAGGGATTGCGCTTTTGCGCATTTTTTTCTCTTTTTCTGTTTTCCAAGTGGCCCGGGCGACCTGGACATTTTTACCGCCCGCATCTCCCTGGCAGTTTTGAAGCCTGCGGAGGGATTGCGCTTTTGCGCCATTTTTCATCTTTTTTCATTTTCCAAGTGGCCCCAGCGACCTGCACATTTTTACCGCCCGCATCTGACTGGCAGTTTTGAAGCCTGCGGAAGGATTGCGCTTTTGCGCGATTTCTCATCTTTTTTCATTTTCCAAGTGGCCCGGGCGACCTGCACATTTTCACCGCCCCCACCTGACTGGCAGTTTTGAAGCCTGCGGAGGGATTGCGCTTTTGCGCGATTTTTCATCTTTTTTCATTTTCCAAGTGGCCCGGGGGATCTGCACAAAATCCGACGATTGCTTCCGCCCACGGTATGAAGCAAATTTTTGCCATTTTTTTCCAACTTTTTCCAGTTACGAAGCGGCCCAAGGCTTCCGGACAGGTCGCGGGCCTGCTTCTCCAACGCAGCTGCCCAGCGGGCGGAGCAAAAAACAGTCCGTCTATTTTTCAGATATCAAGTGGGCCAAACCGCAAAAATGCTCTTTTTTCACCTTCTCCCGCTTGGTTTCTGCCGTTTTTGCGACATTTTTGCCCTCCTGGCCATTTTCCCATCTGGTCCGCTTTTTTTCCCTTCTCCCACTTCATTTCTGGCCATTTCCCTGACCTTCACGCCTCCCGGCGGTTGCCCTATATGGTAACGGCAACTGCCTTCGCGCTGCGTTTGCTACGCAATATCGCAAGCGCGCAGAGCGCGCGCGCCGGCTTCGTGGGCCGGCGCGCGCTCTGCGCGCGCGCACGCACGCATTTGGTTACCAGATTATGCTGAGTTCAATGTACCGAGCAGCACAAGGCCTTGGAGGATTCGATTTTTGCGCGTATTCATTTTCCCCTTGTCCTCCCCCGTTCTTGTTCTTCAGTCATCCTCGATAAACCGCATTTGGGAACTGGTACTCGCGGTTTGCTTCCCTTCCTGAGAGTACTTGCTGACTAACCTGACGCCGCTGCTATTTCCGGGGTTCGATGACGATGAGGCACCCCCAGGCGAAGAGGCGCCGTTGTTTTCGCGATGCAAGCGTGAGTCGAGTTTGCTTCTAGGAGGGCAATCTGTTCTCACGACAGGAAGGATAAGCGGTATCGGTAAACAAGAAACATACTCGGAGTATAAACCAGAATCAGACGCACGCTCAATGTCAATGCGAGCCATAAGTAGCATAATCAAGATTAACGACGTCATGCATGATGAAATTTGACCGTATCCTTACTTCCGCCGGCCTTGCACAGTTCAAAATCTTCGTTTTCATCATATGTGACGTACTATTCCAAACTCGACTCAGCCTTCTGCCACACGTCCATACCCCGCGGCCCCGCGCGTGAGATTATTTCCACTGTGTGGTCCGGACGACCCGAGTGGGGAATTGTAGGCGGAGCTACTGTATGCAATGCAAAACAGGCATCGCACTAGTATAAATTGCATTACAAATTAGCCCAGCATTACAAATTAATTCAATTTGTGATGCTGATGTACCTTGAAAAAGAAACTTGCAATGCATAAATGCAATCACTACAAGTACGACATTTTTGCGCAGCATATACTGGCGGACGACGCAGATCCACCGCCGTGGTAACTCGCCGCAGAGGCGGACCCAGCGGAGAAGGCTGACCCGGCGGATCCGGAGGACAGGTTTCGCCTGTTTGGCGGCGGCACGCCCTGGCTAGTACTGCTGGCCGCACGGTAGCTGGACATGGATCCGGCCGATATGGATTGCAAAAGTGTCTGGGTCTGGAAGATTGCAACTTGTCATGCTAAATCCGAATCATGCAAAAATCTGTGTTGCATGATTACCAAAAGAGGTCCACTTTTGAACAAGGCTCGAGGCAGTTTCTCATGCAGAATAGGCATGAAAGAGACCTCACAGCCTCTGTCATGCTAGGTCCCGCATTCCAGACCTCGAGGGTCATGGAAAACCTGCATGACAAGTCCACACTCTTCCAGACCCAGACATTTTTGCATTTGATAGCCGAGGCGCTGTTCCGATTTTGGATCGTGCCGTAGATCTCCTTCTGCCGTCGTTCCTCCTCTTGTTGGGATAAGCGTAACGCCTCCTCCAGTTCGCGGTCCTGCGGGAAGCTTTCTTTCCGGGACATTTCCAAAACCTTCGCCAAGTCATCGTCTATATCGTCCGCAGTAGAGGCGCTGGTGGCTGCGCCACTTTGGTGTCCTCCCCGCATGGAAGTTTCTTTTTCGGAGAGCCGGAGAACCCGCGCAAAATCGTCGTCGTCGTCGATCTGCTGAGAGCGCTTCAAGGCTTCTTGCAGATCGTCCTCCTCTTTCGTGCGGATTCGTGAGCTCTGGGACAGAGCGGCCTCCAGCATCTGCCCCTCGTCGTCTTGCTGTGAAGATTTACATTTAGTATATTCGGCTTGTAGTTTAGAGATGAAAAACTGATTCATCTCGTCGCGAAGGTCCAGGAATTTATTGTATGGAACGCGATCGCGAACCACGCTCCGAGTTAATACAGTTTCAGTAGAAACCAAATGAGTACTAGAGAAGATGAAGAAGAAATTCGACAAACAGATAAGAAAAACAATGTAGAAGCTACCGGAGCATCCCCCTCGACCTTCAGATTGCTTTTCGCCGCTTTTTCCAGTATCAGTGCCTGCTCCCGCCTGGCCTCCTCCAGCATGGCCTCCTTCTCCTTCAGTTGCTGAATGGGGTCGTTTATGCATTGCAAACATGTCTGGGTCTGGAAACTTGTGATGCAAGGAAGGGATTACTGAGAAAACTGCAATGCGCTCCCCAGCATGACAGGCTTTTATTCCGTAGTTCGGACTCGGAGTTGCGTACTCCGCACGAGAAACTGCGTTTTTGCATGGCAGACAAGAGGCGCTCTGCGCGGGCACGCAATACAGCGCTCAGAGTCATGGCAGACTAGCATGACAAAGCTCGCAATCTCCCAGACCCAGACGTATTTGCAGTTGATATCGTTCCGCTGCATGGCAACGACAGCCGGATTCGGTGGCGGCGTGAACGCGGCGCTTTGCTTATCAAAAGGAAAAATCCCCCCTCCCCATATCAAAACGAAATTTCTGATGCTGGATGTGTGTACACCAATCAGGTTTGTATTGCAGCGAGGCACTGCGGCCAGATCCCCAGGCTAGGTAGGGGCGTATGGGTCTAGTTGTTCAGCACGGCAAGCGGCTCACTTTTAGGCTAAACAGCATGACAAATTGCTTCCATAATGGGGCGGAAGCTTCTGCCGGGTCTCTTTGCAAGACAAATGTGATTTGTACCCTCAAATCAGCAACACAAATTTTCGGGAACATACCTTCTCGATATGGGGAGGGGGGATTTTTCCTTTTGATATTGCTTCCTCCGTTCCAGCCTTTCCTTTTCCCTTTCGTTCATGCTTGCAAGCGAAGATTTGTTGAAAATAGAGGTGTCGGTGAGGACCTCACCACTATTATCGTCATTCACAACTGCGTATCCGGTGCAAAAGCATCGTACTCGTAGTAATTGCATTTATGCATTACAAATCTCCGTCCCAAGGTAGATCAGCATGACAAATTCCATTTCTCGTGCTAATCTAATTTGTAATGCATTTTATACTTCTAGTACGATGCTTTTGCATTGCATACTGCAGCTCCCATTACAGTAGAGCCGCCAGTTGTATCACCTCTCGCGACCGTTTCTTTACTTGGACTCGAACTGAACAGCGGCTTGATTGCCGTTGCGATCTCCTCCTTCCTGGTTATCAGGGACGCTCGTGGTCCTCCTCCCTCTGGGTCGTCTATTTGTTCACTTTCTCCTCCCGTGGGTACGATCTTTGACGAGTAAACGTCGGACCCCCGACCTTCCTTCTGCCCGGCGGCTTTTTGCAGCAGCATATGCATTGCAAAACTATCGCACTAGTAGAAACCAGCCATGCTCCGGCTGCCGCCGGAGCGCAAGGCTGTTGGGCCGGGGCAAGACTGTTTGCCGATCGGACCACAACCCCGCGGGCCTATGCACAACGAAACATATTGCGCCGCGCCAACCCGCAGGACCACTTGCGCGCTTCCCGCGCCTGTGGGCGCTCTGCGCAGGGAGCAGCTGCAAAGAACACCGGGGGCGAACAGAAGCCGCCCGGCGGGAGAGGGTAGCGCGAGAGGGTGGCGCGAGAGGGTGGCGCGAGAGGGTGCGCGAGAGGGTGGCGCGAGAGGGTGGCGCGAGAGGGTGCGCGAGAGGGTGGCGCGGAAAGGCGCCGAGCAAAATAAACAGCTCCGCGAATGGCCTGCAATGCCAAATATGGGTAGTGCCATGCGGATTCGCGCCCGCTTCTTTGTGTTTTACCCTCTCGCAGACCTCTCGCAGACCCTCTTTTTGACCTCTTTTGGGGGTCCCCGCTAATAATCCGGCTATACTCTCGGGTAGAGGTCGACAGAGGTGGCCGAGAGGTGGCCAAGAGGGTCCGCGAGAGGTCGCCCCTTATATATTCGCGCCACCTCTCGCCACCTCTGTCGACCTCTCGCGCCCCCTCTTTTTGACCTCTCTGCACCCTCTGTGCCACTTAGGCGGCGCCTAAGGGTGGGCCCTTACTGCGGGCCTTATTCGCGCACCCTCTCGCGGACCCTCTCGAACGGGGTCCCGCGCCACCTCTCCCCCTCTGTCGACCTCTTTTCTGCCTCTGTCGACCTCTTTTTTACCTCTCGGCCACCTCTCTGGGACCCTCTGTCTACGTCTTTTTTCGCATTAATATAATGTATAAGTAATCGCATTACAAATTTCCTCAAGAACAAAAACGCAACTTGTCATGCGCGTTCGGGTAGAAAGTTGGATTTCTCATGCATGGCTGCAATTACTACGAGTACGATACTTTTGCACAGGATACAGCAGATCGGTTGGCGATTCCTCGTCTAGATCACTTCGGCCTGTATTCAAGCCACCGGGAGGCTGCTGTTGGCGGCCGCCGGGACTGTGTCTCATTTCATCGTCATCATCTGGCGACACTGACGGCGATGAAACGGAGACCGAGACAGACTGCTCGTTTTGCTCGTCATCGTTGTACCGACCGTCCTGGAGCTGCAATTGGCCGGGGTAAGTGGCCGCCCCACCGCCACCGCCGCTCCCTCCCGTAGTTCCAACCTGCTCCCCAGCTGCACCCTTGTTTTTCAGCGCAGACTTGGCTCTTGGGAGATGTCGCGGAGAACCCCTTGCGTTAAGCGGCGAACCGATGCTGTCGTGCTCGCTGTGGAAGTATGCATTGCATAAGAACATGTGGCCTGGGGCTGGAATAAACTTGGGATGCTAGTATGGGGCGAATCAATCACGCGGACGCCTCCACTGATTAAGAAGCCAAGCATCACAAGAAATTTTAGAGCCGCTATAGTATAGTGTTTGTTGTCTATCTCACATGACAAGCTGCGTTTCTGCACGACAGAGAAACGACACCCTGGCAGCTTTTGGGCAATGTGCATGACAGACTTGGGAGTCATGGTGCTACCCCTGCATGACAAACCTTGCATTTTTCTCCCAGAGGACCCACACATGTTATTGCAGTTGATAGGGAAGGCGAGAAGGTCTCCACCAGCTCGTTTCGGAAGGACACGCGTTTCTTGTAGTGCTGAAAAATCTGGCTGTCCGATTGCTTCACCAAGGCCGGCTTGGGCGGCGCCGCGGCTCCGGCCTTTGGTTCCTGGTTCTGCAAGTTGGACCACTGGATGGGGTTCTGCAGCCGGTTTTTCCGGCGCAAGGCGTCGGCGCGCTTGAGCCCCTCGCGGAGCGACCCGAAAAACACGAACAGCCCGGCGCCGCAGACAAGCAGCGCACCGAGCACGGCGACGATCCCGATAATGGCGCCATCCGACGAAGCGAGGCGGCGCGAAGGCGCGCCGGGGAGGTCGTGGGCGGGCAGAGCTGTGGAGGTCGGTTTTATTTCTGCAGCGGTCACAGTTGTAGTGGTAGAAGAAGGTGGTCCAGCACCTCTCAACCCTGTAACCACAATTTCAGGCCCAGTTACAGAAACAGAAGGTGGCGATGTTGATGTTACCACGCTAGCTGCTGTGCTCATCGTAGGTCGTGTTCCGGTGTTGCCAGAAAGGGATGGGTCGTTCGTTTGTGGATTGGCCTCGTCCACCTGGAAGGTTGTGTGCAGCATGGACGAAAACGCCTCTTCACTCGCTCGACGGGGACGGAAAGGGCATGGTGGGAAGGAGTTAGAATTTTAAGTATGTTCGAACCAGCACAATAGGCACTTTGATGATAGTCAACATCTAGTGAGTGTGCAGTAATTAAAGAACGGCGTGGTGGACGCCGGCATCTCGTCTGCTCTCCTCATCGCAAACGCAAACATTATTTTCACTTAACGTTCTTCAATTGCAGACCGAAACTGGTGGCCGCACACAGAGACAAATATCAAACTCAAAGTTCTCGCACTCTAAGGAAACGATGGTTTGTTTTGGCTGTTGGATACGCATAAATGTGCGCTCTTGGAAAAATGAAAAGAAAGAAAACAAACAGGCCGTGGGCCATCCTCTCACTCATATTCTTGCAGTCAATCCATCAGAGATGACATGTGGGCGTACTAAAGAGTGCCTCACACACTCGGGGCACGCTTCAATACGTGAAAATGAAATCGCTCAACCTCAATATTGTTTTGCACTCCCTGTTGCAATCGCGATACGAACCAACCTTGACTAAACTCAGGACCTCGTCACTGGAACTCAGATATAATTGGCCTGCTCTACTCTCTCTTTCATCTCTATCACATTCACATCAGGATAATGAAGATCTAGATCATCACACACAGAAACATCAATATAGGCCCTCCTCCTCGTAAGCCTTGACTGAACTCAAGATGATGATTGCCTACAGCGCAACATGCACAACAAAATTGACGCATCGTTGACTGCTCGCACAAAAGTTTGTTCGGAGCTTTTTATTTTTTCCGGAGCGCAGACAGTTTCATCTGTTTTTTCAACTCCATCGATTCTGTTCCCATGTGAAAACAACAACAAGGGTAAGCGTTTTGCAAATCACATAGAAGCCGAATTCAGGTCGCTACCAGAGAGCGCACAGGCTCGGGTAACTAGAGTAAAATGAAGAACCGCTGCACAAAATTGTGGTGATCTGTATAATCCTGGGGTTCCAAAGTACAAACGTGTTTCGACTCCTCCCCATGCGCTCGCCATAAAGTGTACAGCGCTGCTTCATCAGAGGCAAGTAATGTCTCTTTTAGTATCTGTTCTTTCCCAACTACGATAAAAACTGCTTAAGACTTCTTCCCCTTCTATCTACTTTCCCACCCATGTTGAAAAAGAGATCGCCATTTTTTCCAAGTTTTTCTGATTCATTGAATTTTGCCTTTACACTGGTTCTGACATTCGTCCGTCGTCTTACTGAGCCTTAGAAGCCTTATAAAAACAGCACATTTTTTTACATACAATGGTCATAATGCACCACAGCCATACTATCGCTTCCTTGCAACCGCGAGAGTAGAGGAGGTTGTGTGATGCGTATCTGAATTTGTACTGCAGGAAAATCATGCCAGCGGAGTTATCTATTGTAGGATTCTCGACGACTTGAGGATGCCTTGTTGCTCCGAATGAGCAAAGGCTCTTTCGTAGTAGAGTTGATGTGAGTGTGACTAACAATGGCAATCGCAGGAGCGTGCTGTCAAAACCTACTAGTCAAGCTTTCCGCATCTTCAAGTCCTCGCTCTTGTGTAAGAAAAACGCACCAACCACCGGGGTAGCGGTCATCTTCTATCTACTGAGGGTTTTGATGTTCTTTTTGGGTAATATGATGGTGTCCGTTTGTAAAAGAAGTACAACAACTTTTCAAAACATACAAAACACTTATTTCACTACAGCGGGGTCGATCATTTTTTGGTGCATCTTTTACTACTGGAAAACTTCGGAAGATGTTGGATCATTTCAACATCTGATGTAGATGTAAGTACTTGTACCGTCATGTGATTTTTACCTCCACATTTTTTGCAACGTCGTCGTTCACTTTCTCTTGACCCGGCAGAAGCAGTTGATGTTTTGGCCGAAGATGAACCCTATCAAATGCAAAAGTGTCTGGGTCTGGAAGTTTGGAACTTGTGATGCTAGCTCTCCATACCTGGGAAATCTGTATTGCATAGCCAACAAAAGTCGCAGCCGCTTTTGTACATGCAAAGACGCAGTTTCTCATGCGGATTGCCTATGAGAAAGTGTTCTGAAAATTTGTCATGCTGTGTCGAATTTGGAATTGTTTTCATCATCCACATTTTAGCATCACACATTTCCAGACCCAGACATTTTTGCACTTCATAAACCCGATCAAGACCTTGGTCCAGCTGTCGTAGTAGGGGAGGGAGTCGTAGAATTCCGGCGCAATCTCCCGTACCTTGGGCAGCAGCCGGCCCGGCACCTTCGGAAAGTCGTGGTGCTCGTTGTGGTACCCCACGTTGTAGGCGAAAAAGTTGAGCCACCCGTAGTAGCTGTAGGTTTCCTGGCCGGAGATGAACTCGAAGTGTTCCGCGATGAAGTGTCCCGCCATCGGGTGGAGACCCAGGCCGAGGATGCTGCCGAGGAGGAGGTAGGCGAAGGACTTGTGGCCGAAGTAGGGGGAGGTGGCGATGAAGAAGTCGAAGGACCCGACCACCACCCAGTTCAAAATCTCGTTGCTCGTCACCGGCTTCGGCTTGACCAGCAGGGGTCGCAACCCGTAGAAAAAAGGTTGCAACGCGACCCACAGCGCTTTGGTGATGGTGTACCGGAACAGCTTGCCCTCGAACTTCGTAGGCAGGTCCGCGTCCATCTTCTCGCTGCCCTGGTACGTGTGGTGCTCCAAGTGGTACCTGGTTAGCATGATTTTGCCGGTTTTGTCATGTAGTCTCGTGTATCTGGTTCTGGAAACGAAACCGATGAGCTTAATACGAAAATGCAAAATGTTGACAAAGCATGTTGCGGTGAGACAGGACCAACAACCTACTTCGTTCTTGTTTTCAAAGAGTATAGTACTGCAACACAAACATCAAACAACTAATATAAATATTAAGCAATTGCAATACCGTTTAAACGTGCTTGCGCTGGCAACGCAGGTTGGGCAGTTGATAAACCAGGCGAAGACCGTGTTGACTTGTTTGTTGGGGAACCAGAGGTCGTGCGAAAGCTCGTGCATGGCCAGCACGAGGGAGTGGTTCATGGTTCCAGAGACCACGTACCCGCACAGAAAAATCAGCCACCATGAGGCGTCCCGGAGCAGGTAGGCCATCGTCAGTTGCACAATGCAAGTCCCGATGCAGAAGACCTGGAAGAGGTTTCATGAACGATAACCATAACTATAATTACGATGCATCGCAACTCTACAATGTAGATGTACTCATACTCTGTCTGCGTATCCAATGTCTAATTATCATGTAATGTACTTATCAAAGTTGTCTCATTGTTCCTTTCAATGTATACCGCGCTCAACGGGTCGGGTTTGTAGAGTTTCAATATTTCCGGGTGCTTTTCCAGTATCGCCTTTCTTCTTTTCACGTGCGGCTCCAGATCCTCCGACCAGCTAAAATCCACGGCCGGCTTTTCCCGCCACAGACTCCTGTCGTGTCCCAAAGCGTCCTCGTAGAGCTTGGTGTCAGCACCGGATTTCTGTTGCACCATCTTCAACGTGCTGGCCGCTGCCCGGTTCGTCAGTGCGGATTGCGGCGTGGTCGCTGTGTCTTCCGCGGTCTGCACTTTTTGCTCGACTGCGGAAGGCGTGTCGTTCACCACGCGCGAATTCAGGAGCGCCATGGTGATTTTATTTTTTGTTCCAGTATACGATTATAATACGACCACGTAGACTGTTTTTACGTTTTTCTTCGAACTAGTGTATTGGTTTTTTTTGTCAAACTTATAGTTAGATATCAGCTCTTCTTCAACATCTTCGTCGCAGAACTGCAGCCCTTTATTTTCGCTGCAAATCAAGCTCTAAAGAAATGGCCCTTGCCCTTGAAGTTCCGAAAAAAAAACCTGAATGTCGCCGAAATTGGGTCGCGTAATGTTTTGTAGATGTAAAGGAGAAAACAAAAAGCTGCTTGCTGTACTGTAAGTGCGTTCGTTTTATTTCGCTTGCGTTCTTAGCCTCTGGTTTAGGATATACAGACTTGTATTGTTCCTGTTTCTAGGTTTTGGTCAGAAGCAGAAGATGCACGAAGGCTGGATAATTTGGAACGGGTTGTTGTTGACAAACTTTGTAGCCGGAGGCAAAAATTGCAATTTTCTGCAACAGATATTAATCGAGACACGGTTGGAACGTCGACCCAGGATTTGTTTGAGTAGGAATTTACTGTACCTACTGTCTTTGTGAGAGATATTTACTCAAATACAGCTGCTGGATCAAATTTTACATTTGAAGCTGCTGCTGCTGCTGCTTTACGAGCTACGGTTCTCGTCTCGTCTGAGGCCGTGTATAGCTTTTTTCTCACCACAATTCTATACAGATCTGCTACAAGAACTTCTCTAGCTTAAGTAGATGCAGACCTCCGTGCACAGCGGGGAGGGGAAATTTTTGGGATTTCGGGATCCTGCAGGTGGTCGAGTGATTTATTGGGATTTTCAGTTCAAAAGCCTAAAATTGGTGATGGTTTTTCACGTACTAGCAAAAGACTGTCCTCCGATGATGCATTGAGCTGTGCAATGTAGACGTTATAGGAAATTTCTTGTCTCTTGTGGGAGGACGGAACGACTTATCTGTTGAGCAGTGTACGTAGTTCACGGTCCCTTGAACGTCATGGCTCGGCGCAACATCCTCTCAACGTAGTGCTCCTCTTGTTGCTATGGGACGAAAATATATCAGTACAACAAATAACGTGAAAGGACGTCGAAATACTTACACCGACAAGAAATCTGGAGACTTTATTCGCTGTCTGCTCTCGTAAAGCTTCCAACCTTAAGTCCTCTTCTACGGTCTACTTTCACCGAGCTTACTTTGTGGACAAAGCGAACTCAGATGTGATGAACTCGAGCAACAGCACCCCCGCAACTCGAGGACCGATTTTTTTTGTCAATTGTTTCGTCGATGATCCAATGTCGTCTTGTAAGACCATGAACACGAAAATCAACATGACGGTGTGCTGCTGGTGCAGGGGGACCACTACAAAGGAGCACCAGAAGTAGTACGTAGTAGTGCTTACCTTTTTTCTTGGAAAAAAATGGTTGTGACACATCTTCAGACGAAAGCAGTCAAATCTATACATAGGAGAGTTGAGAAAAAACAGGCGAACATGAACAACATCGAGCTGCACGACCTCCGCGGGTTGTTCTTCCAGAACTACTTTTGAGTTTGTCGGAGGAGCAAGAATGCAAGCTCTTTGTGCAACATGAAGATCATTTCTTCCTCGTCTGCAGCTGCACCCACGACTTTATCTTAGCTTCCGGTTTTCGCCATTTTTCTTGCCTTCCAGGCCTGTGCCGCCTGCAGGATCTTCAAATTCTTCTCGCCTGCGGAGTCCTCTGGGAATATGTAGTCGATAAATTCCTCGTAATCGTCCTCGTCGGGCCCCGTGTTTTATTGTGAGGAAACATCCCTCCTCCCCATATCGAAAAGGCGTGCCTTTCAAAATTTGTGACGCTGATTTGTGGCCACGGATCGGGTCTGTCTTGCAAGAGAGCAAAGCCAGGGCTTCCGCTGCACTTCGCAGGCGATTTGCAATGCTGCTACGCAACTAGGGCAGACATCTGCCATGCTAAGTGCTTACCCCAAGCCACCCCTTTCAGAGCTTCGTATCTGTCTGCAGTCCTCTACCGCAAGACAAATCCGATTTGTGTACACAAATCCTGCATCACAGATTTCCATTCCGATATGGGGAGGGGGGATTTTTCGTTTCAATATGTTTTTTCGCACCTTCTTCTTCTTCGGCTGCCGGTCCTGGATCTTTTCGTACCAGGCTTTTCGGCTGCCGTCCTCTATCGGGAGAAAAAAGTGTTTCACTGTGCAGAGGAGGACTTTATTGCAAGTTTTGCATTACAAGTTCGTTACACATGACAAGGAAAACCTGCCATGCGTACTACCTAAGGGAAAACGCATTGAAAAAGACAATGTCTTGCATGTGTAGCAAGACAAATGCGTCTGTGTTGCTGCATTACATGCATCACAAGTTTCATACAGTGAAACAGTTTTTTCCTGCGATATCTTCCTCGTTGACGTGAATGAGCAACTCCTGCTCCTCGTCCGCCACGAAAATTTCGTCCCGCGCGCGTTTCTTATCCAGTGCAAACATGTCTAGGTCTGCAATAAACTTGTGATGCTGAATTGCGTGTGCTTGAAGCGCTTGCCGTTGCAGCCAAGCATGACAAGTCTACTTTGAGACGCCTTCTAAAGCCCAGTACGCATTACAAATTGCGTTTCTGCATCACAAAGGAGGCTGCTCTTTTGCTGCTCACGCAACACAGATTTTCCAGGAATGTAAATGTAACACCCGCATTACAAGTTCCACATTTATTCCGAACCCAGACACGATTATATTTGCAGTCCATATTTCTCCAGCTGGAGCCACTGCTCTAACAGCATCGCGCGCTGCTCGTTCATTTTCTGTTCCTTGTACTCCTTCAGCCCCCGTTCGAACAGCGCCCGCATCTTGGGCAGGTTCCGGGCGGTCTCCAGCTCAAACTCGGCGTAGGTGCGCCACACGCGTACGTGGTTGGTCTTTTCCAGCAGCCGTTCGAGTAGGTCGCGCGCCTTGTCGAACTCGTTCAAACTAATCTCCAAATCGATGTACTTGCGCCACATCAGTTCGGGCAAATCCTGCACCACGTCGAGTGCGGTCTCGCACAGAAATCGGCACCGGTCGTACTCTTCCAGAGACTATCAAATGCAAATATCCCTGGATGCCTGGAAAATGATGCAACTTGTGATGCTGCCATTCGATAACTAAAAAAATCTGTATTGCATGGGCAGCAAGAGGAACCTATTAGCTGCTACTTGTAGTGGGTATAATTTCTCATGCGGTATAGGCATCCATTAGGAAGCCGTCACAAAACCTGTCATGCTACGGCATGCTTCACAGACTTTATGGGTCATGCAAAATGTGCATGACAAACCTTCCACTCATCCAGACCCAGACATATTTGCAGTGCGTAGAGACTCTTCGAACTCGACGTACCTGATCCAGGGCTGCGGCATCAGGGGGTGCTTCTCGCACAATTTTTCGTAAATCGTGCGGCACTTGTCGAAATTCCCGAACCGCAGCTCCACGTCCGCGTACCACTCGAAAATTTTCTGCTTCCCGCACTCCCCGATCCCGCGCCCAAAGATCCGCCGCGCCTGCTCCAGGTTGCCCCGGCGCAGCTCAAACTCGCTGTACAGCTTGTACAGCTTCGCGAAAGTCAGCTTTTTCGTCGCCGTCAGTTTCATATGGAAGTGTCAGGATCGAAATCGACAAAGTTGCAATGCATAAAATCTATACCAGTTGGACCTACAGTTTCCATTTGGCGCATCACAAATGCTCACCGCGCCGGAAGCGAATCTGTCAGGCTGTTCAGGGCATTAAACGAGCTCCCTTCTGACATGCTAGTTAGCAGCACTATAATCTGCCTTCTTTGCATCCGATGCAACAGAGGCGCCCTCATCTGCGTCGTATTTTATGCATGACAAATGATTTCAACTGTGTCGATTTCGCTGCTGGCGCTTCCATACTTCATATCAACTGTAAAAATGTCTGGGTCTGGAAAATTTCCAGGTTTGTCATGCATATTTCGCATGGGCTATGATGCCTGTAATGTATGACCTAGCATGACAGATTTTTTGCGGGCATCTTGATGCCTATCCCGCATGACAAATGCCCTCTCCGCGGAGCAAAAACTGGACGCCTCTTGCTGCTCATGCAATACAGATTTTCTTAGATTCCAAAAATAGCATCACAAGTTGCATTCTTCCAGACATCCAGGGATTTTTGCAATCCATACTTCACCGCGGTGTCGTACACCTTGCGGGTTTTCGGGTATCAAGTGCAAAAATGTCTGGGTCTGGAAGAGTGTAAACTTGTCATGCAGATTTTCCATGACCCATGAGGTCTGGAATGCGGCACTTAGCATGACAGACTCTGTGAGGTCTCTGCCATGCCTATCCTGCATGAGAAACTCCCTCCCAACTTGGTCGAAAGTGGATAGCTTTTGGCACTCATGCAACACAGAGTTTTGTATGCTTCAGATTTACCATGACAAGTTACCACCTTCCAGACCCAGACATATTTGCAATTCATATCGGGTAGTCCTCTGCCACCGTTTCCTCGAAAAGGGCGTAGTTGTACCACAGGTAGATGTACCGCTTCCAGTAGTCCTTCTGCGCGACGGGCGGAAACTGGGCGATGGCGCGCTCGTAGAGTTCGCGAATCTGAGTGATGTCACCACCTTGCTCCTCGAGGCGGAGGTAATCAAACCAAGTGTCGTAATCGCGAGGCTTGTCCTTCAGAGTCTCCTCATAAGCAAACCTGATACATATAAACGAATGTGGTTTATTTCAACAATGGAATTTCCATTTCCTGTCTGCATGTGCATTATGAGGATATGTTTCATCACGGTAAAAATTCGTACCATGAACATGATGCGTCATTCACTTTAATATTATTCACGTAGCAGCACTGCAGATCAGAAGTATCCTGTACTTATTGTAGTTCTTGCTTCGTCAACTAAAAAGCTGAGCGAACGAGAAATCGCATGATGTTGACATTGCATCCTAAAGTCAAATTCCGATTTCCTTACCTTCTTTTCTGCATGACCACGTCTTCGATTTGGTCCGGTTTTCCGTAGATTTTTTCGAAATTGACGTATTTTTGGTACAAATCCTCAGCCCGGTCCTTTGTGATGAGCTCCAGTCCGCCCTTAAAAATGGCCCGCGCCCGGTCGTACTCCTTAGCCCGGATCTATCGAATGCAAAAATGTCTGGGTCTGGAAGAATGCAAGGTTTGTCATGCATATTTCTCATGACCCATGATGCCTGTAATGCATGACCTAGCATCGCAGACTTTTAGGGGGCTTCATGATGCACCTTCCGCATGAGAAACGCCCTGTCCGTGTAGCACAAAGCGCACCCCTCTTGCTGGTCATGCAATACAAACTTTTTTAGAGTCCGAAAACAGCATGACAAGTTGCATTCTTCCGGACCCAGCCATTTTTACATTTGATAGGATCTCAAAGTGCGCGAACTGGATGTAGAACTGCTCGTCAAGTTCGTTCCCCAAAAGCTCCAGTGCCTTTTCGTAGCCGGACCGCGTGCGCTTGATCTTCAGTGGGTCGTTGTTCGCGTGTCGCTCCTCGAATTTATCCTGTGCAAAAGTATCGCACTCGTATTGCAATCATGCATTACAAATCTTGTACTTGTTCTTAAGCTAAATCCGCATTACAAATTTTTTTTCTCATGCTGAGGAAATTATTTGTGATGCATTTATACGAGTACGATAATTTTGCAGTGCATAGAATTTCACCAGCCGCAAAAACGTATCACGAGAAAAAAGTGTTACAGTTACACATTTGTTGGAGTTTCTGCATCACAAATTTTCACTGTCTGGCAGAGAAAACTTGCAATGCGAAGATCATAAGGGAAAACAGGAAGGAAACGAGGCTGCCAAGCATTTCCTGCATGAGAAAAGTTGTCTGTGTTGCCGGTCGTGCAACACAATGTGTAACTGCAACACTTTTTTCTTGCGATAAAACGCCTGCTGCGTGCAGTGGCAGGAGACGTAGCGCTCGAACACGCGGCGTGCCCGGTCGATATGGATTGCAAAAATGTCTGGGTCTCGTCTGGAAGGTTGGAACTTGTCATGCTAAATCAGAATCATGCAAAAATCTGTGTTGCATGATTACCAAATGCTGTCCACTTTTGATCAAGTTGAGAGGCAGTTTGTCATGCAGGACAGGCATGATAGTGATCTCACGGAGCTTGTCATGCTAGGTACTCCATTACAGATCATGTGGGTCATGGAAAACCTGCATGACAAGTCTTGCAAAGTTCCAGACCCAGACATATTTGCACTTGATAGTCGATCTCGCCGCACCTCTCTTCAAACTTGGCGAATGACGTCCAGGCCTGAGTATTTCAGAAAATCGGTTTTTTTTTATCTAAGCGAAACACAAAGCTGAAAAGGATGTACTGAAGAAGAAGAATGATGTCTCGTGCCTCGCATATCTCTTGCTATGTCATGTGCATCTTCTAGGATAACTACTTCTCATGCATATCAGATTAGGTTTTATCCTTGCAGACAGGCGGTCTTCATACAGGAAATGGATGGAAAAAAGATTAATTCTAATTTTATATCATATTGTCGATAAAAAAAATTCTTTATCCTACGTTGTCTTCCGGCTCGAACTCCATCCATCTTTCAAAGATGGTTCTCGCGCCGCCGAAGTTCCCCAGCAATTCCTCCATGTAAGCGTATTTGTACCAGAACTGGTCGACCCGCGGCAAGTGCACCACGACGCGGTCGAACAAATTTCTTGCGTGGTTGATGAACCCCTCCTTCTGCTTATCCTGAGTAAAAACGTCCCCACAGCAGGGTTGTCATGCAAATGCGCAATGACAGGAATCGATTTGTAATGCGCAGCTCCATGAGAGGACTTTCCGATCGTGTTTTAATAGAATTTGTAATGCTGTAAACAGGATGTGGCAATTGCTTCCTCATGCGGCTTCTCTTGCCAATCAGCACTACACTGCAGAGGTAAAAAACCTGTGATGCGCAGCTCCCAAAACTTGGAGATTTGTGTTGGTAGATTCCCAACTTGATGACTATGGGATGGGGACGTTTTTGCTTAGGATACTGCTCGAACGTGATGTATTTCAGCCACACCGAGGTGCTATCAAATGTAAAAATGTCTGGGTCTGGAAGAATTCATGTTTGTCATGCTTGTCTGGCATGACTCTTGAATCTGTCATGCACGTTACCCAAGAGCTCCGTTTTTCTGTGATGCAGAAGCGCAGTTTGTCATGCGGAATAGGCAACACCGAGGAGCTCAGAAACTTGTCATGCTGAGCCAGCATTTGGAGCCTCATCATGAGACGCCACCCAGCACCACAAGTTTCCAGACCCAGACATTCACATTTTTACATTTGATAGGTGCTGCTCATGTCCACGGTGAGGGCCCGCTCGAACACGTTCCGGGCCCGCGCAAACTCCTTCATGCTGGCCTCGAACTGGGCGTACTTGGCCCAGGTGCCCATGTGTTGCCGGTTCATCCGGAGCGAGTCCTCGAACTCCTTGCGCTTCCGGGCCTGGTAGCTCTGTATCAAAGTGAAAAAAGCCCCCACCCCATATTCAAAAGACAATTTGTGTTGCTGGATTTGTGTACACATCAAATGAGCTCTCTATTGCAGCAAGGGCGTGGCGGCATATTCGAAGCCCATTTGGGTGCGCATCCGGCTAGCAACTGAGCATGAGAGACAAGTCTGACATATGCGAAAACGCATGGCAGACTCGCTGCACAATGCGCCACATGGGTGCCGTTTGCCTTGTACGCAAGACAAAGCTGATCTGTGATCACAAATCAGCATCACAAATTTCCTTTTCGATATGGGGAGGGGGGATTTTTCCTTACAATACTCTGCAGCTCGTCCTCCCCGATGATGTCCTGCTTCGGCTCCAGCCGCACGACGTTGGCGCGCTCCGTGGCCTCGCGAATCAGCTGCTCGGCCGTGATCTGTTGCTCCGCGGCGTTTTTGTTCAGCACCTGGGCCTTCTTCATGCCCATAAACCCGGTCTTCCCCTCGAAGTTCTTCTCGCGCTTCGTGAGCGCGGAAGAACGGAACGTATCGCCATACATCTTGGGGTAAGCGGGGGGGACTAAAACTAAAGCGAAAAGTACGTGAAACTAGGGGTGGAACTACAAGTAGGGGCTTTAACGATTCAAAAAATTATGAGACAAGAAGATGGCTCGCCTGTTCTTCTAGAACACCTACTTAGAACTGATGAAACAAGCTCCTACAAAAAGAGCACAAGCACTGTTGATGCTTATGCTACAGTGACTGCACTCGGGGTTGAGGACAATACTGATGTCCATTGGAAGTTGCTACGTTTAGTTTTTCTTCTTTGGGTCAGGGTCGCTGAGGAGATAGATTCCACTTTTCAAAGATGTTGAGCAAATCAATTGTGCGTCTCTGGCCGCAAGACAACGAACCAAAAGCAGGCGCGAGGAAATTATATGACGCAGCGTGTCGTGAGGACTTTTTGTACCTCTACTATTGTAGTAGAAGTATTCGGTATTCCTTTAAAGGGCGAGGATCTGAAAATCAAAAATAAAAGATATTTTCACTTCCTTCTTTGTTTAGATTTCAAGTTTGACTTCGATCGCGATCGGAAATCGTACTTACAATCTATCCCTAGCGCGACACACTGGGCAGGAACTTTGTTGACCGTGCGATTCTAGTTCTTCTATTTATGCGACATCGTGAACAAATAGATCGCGAGGCCGGATCTTTCATCTGCGTTGTGCGTTTCCCACGACTTCGCGTTCGCACGCGAGATGGCAGATTGGCAACATTTTGATTTTCTTCACAGGAGTTTTTTACATACTCGATTGGAACTTGTATTCGTTCCCAGGCATTTTCAAAAATACCATCATAACGAGAAGCAGAACGTCGACGCTATGATGTGTCATCAGCAGCAGAAAAGATACTTAAAATAGGAGCCTGGTGCAATCGTGCGATACGCAGTTGAAGATCATTTCCTCGCGAATGATCACGACTTTGCAGCTCGAGATTGATTTCTTCATGGTAAAATTTCTTCGAAAGTATTTTCATGTCTTCAAAGGCAGAACGCTACAGCACTTGCTCATCGTGGAACAACGTTCGCGCCATGCGAATTGATCTCCTCTTCCGCATCGGTAAGGTCGTAATCGCGTCGCTTTCTTTTCATGGTGTGCAGAACGCGCCATCAAACTCAAACTGTACTGCCACATTGCATTTTCGGCATAAGTAATAGTATAAATCATTCGGCAGCACCCTCGTCTTGCTTTGTTCTACTCGTGCGTGGATAGTTAGCAGGTGATATGTTCGACCGGCGTGTGCTAGTCGTGTCCTCCTGACTAGTAGAGCCGACGCTATCCAAAGAGCATTTTATCGAATGCAAGTCGGAGGGTTTGCGTCTGATGCACGCTTCTGCTTCATCTGTGAAGATACACATAGACTGTCGGGCTCAGTTCGTAAGTACTTCTACGGCGATGAGAGACATAAGGTAAGAACGTGGTGCTTTGGAGGCTCCTGTCGTACACACACGCTCTTGAACGTCGTTCTAGTGTGGACCACGCACTTACTACGCCTTTTTCCCCTAACTACCTTCAAGTCTTCATATTAGCTGCTCGTGATTCAGAATATTTATACGACGGACTGTGAAACACTTGCTTCATTCATTTACATTTTCATTTTGTTGTTGTTCATCGATCATGATAAAGAAAACGCATACGACAATACTATTAGGACGGTTTCTCTTTCTCAACAAACTTTTTCGATATGGATATATGTGTACTTCCCGGAATATAAGTACTTTTCGCTGGAAGGAACTGCGAATCGAAGTGACGCGCCCCGTGTGAAGAAATTGCAGGTGAATGTCATGAATACGGAACAAAAAGCGATTGGAATAAATAAGTAAATCGTAAAAGTCGGAATGATGTCACATTAGCAATGTGAAATTCTGCTCAAAGCGTGTGAGTACTTCTCATTGTATGAATGCATAGGAAAAGTGAAAGGGTGTCGGAACTTTCAAAAAAGATATTGTAAAATTATGATAATCATTGTACCTCTACTTTCGTCGAAAGAACCTTCTGAATTAACCAAAACCGAGCGGCGTTTCGTGGTACTCAAGAGTAATTCTCCTCTTCATACAGAACCCCAAAGAGCAAGAGTTCTGCTTCTGTTAAGTTTTCTTCATCTTTGTCCGTGTAGTTGAAGTGGCAAAAGAATCGTGTCAGCTGAAGGAGCTTCAGTGACGAGGGCACATCCAGACGCGCTGCCATTGATTGTATTCGGCAAGAAACAACTGCGTCGCAGGGGCATAAAGATAAAACGGTGTCAGGTCGGGATTCAACACCGGGCTCCCGTCCGGATTGACCATCTGCAGAATTGACCACCCCGGCGGATTTGCATTTGGGCCTAAGGGCTTTGTAATTGTATCATGCTGAAAAGAACGAGACATCGACACCATGCTGCAGTGCCTCTGAGTCGGATATGTAGATGACGACTCACTTCTCTCGTCGTCGTCCTGCGATTGTGTTAATTAGGTACTCACTTTTTGACATGCGGACTCCTTACAGTTCGATGACTTTTGATTTCATACAACAACATGGCGTCTCGTCTACTTTTCATGGTGATAAACCTGCCCGACACTATAGCCCTGGTCGCCCGCCTTCTTGTAACAAACTACCGGGGGATCCGGAGAAAACTGCGCCGGGAGCTGGTGGTGTTGCGGCTGCTGCAGTTGTTGCTGCTGCTGCTGCTGCTGCAGTTGTTGCTGCTGCTGCAGAAGTTGTTGCTGCTGCCATTGTTGCTGCTGCCGTTGCTGATGCTGCAGTTGGTGCTGCTGCAGTTGTTGCTGCAGCTGTTGCTGCTGCAGTTGGTGCTGCTGGAGTTGTTGCTGCTGCTGCTGCAGTTGTCGCTGCTGCTGGCGCTGCTGCTGCAGGTGTTGCTCCTGCTGATGCTGCAGTTGTTGCTGCAGGATGTGCTGTTCCGGCCCGCTTTTAGAAGCGGGCGGCGGTGGCGGCGGTGCCGGCGGTGGCGCCACGGGCTGCTTCGTCCTGTGATGGAATATAAATAAGTTCAAGTTCCACTTCTTGGGGAGTTTTCTCATGATTTTCATGCATCATGTTATGCAAGATCTATCTTCGTTCGGCTCACCAGGCTCAAACTCGCTCACTGGCCCATAAAGATGCGAGTCCTTACCTTTCTCGGCGCGCATATCAATCACGTAAGCGTTTATTTTCTCTTCAACCTCTAAATTCACACATCCACGACAACTGCTTTTGAAACTACAAGCATCTCCGTAAGAAGTCTGTTCTCTGCGTTGCGATGTGCGTGATTGCGACCGAGGTCGCCGCGTGCCCGTGAAGTTGCAATCAGAAAACGCACGACGCAGCACAGGCGGCATCCACATTCAATTACAGTTGATACTTCCAGTGAATTTGATTGCGTCCTAGAAAACCCATAAATCTCATTGAAATAATTGGTGCCGCCTAAGGTTAAATATATTGCAATGCAAAATCAAAATAGAAGTTTAAGTAGATCACTGTAGGCGGAGCGAACTGCATAGACCCGATGGTCCGTCGCGGCGTCATATTCAATTCATTGTTTGTCTTTCCGACCCTAGTATGGAACATTAGCAAAAAACTGTACCCCGGATCACGAATTTTGAAAAGCTTAGCCCCGTTCTGGCAGACCAAATCGACTTCTTGGGTGAATAGCTTCTGATTGGGCGGACGAGACACGTGCGTGGAAATCCACACTTTACCGTTCGAATCTAAGTTATACTCGACGCTCTGCCCGGCACGCAAGACTGGAAATTCCACCCACCGCACTGCCTGTGTTCCCGGCAGGACTGCGGCAGGACTGGGAATTGCATGTGCTGCAGGGCGCTGCTGCTGAGGTCCCCGACCGAAAATGTTCAACTGCACCTGTACGTTTGGGCTTGGCATCAAGGAGGCGAGGGCTTGCATCGGGGTAGCCAGGTGCTTCTCCACATCCGAATCCCGATGCCAGCGGAGCTCCCGGAACAAAACATCGTCGTAGCGGATGGTTCTGGTTGCGGCGCCAGTGCCCTTCAATAAAGTCAAGGACGACGCAAGGTTTTCCCACGCACCAGCATAAAGAGGCGAAGAAAACACGAACAACCCGAGAGCATTTTCTCCAGTGTTCTTGTGCTCGGCGCGAAATGCGATTTCGTCTTGTTTCATCGGCTGGTGACTCCGGACATAGAAGTCGAGATTGTTTTTTTGAAGCCAGGAATTTACGTCGTTGGCAAAAGGCCCAAACATGTCGCCACAGCGGGACCAATGTCCGGCCGGCGCGGGATCTGCCCACATGAGCACATTGAAACATTTTGGAGTTGGAGGTTGAAGGGGATTGTGGTCATGATATGGCGCGACACAGTCCCACACTCCGTTCTGGGTCGGTGTCGTTTTAAAGAAGTGGGGCTCAATGATGAAAGAAGCGCCCGGCTTTGCACATTGCGCATTTTGAAGCTTCTCGGAGCACAGCTCTTGATGTGGCCGCTTTTCCGCCGGCGCCAGCCACAATGGTCCACGCAGCAAGTTTATCTTGGAAAGCTCAGATGTGCTTAGCAGGATCGGTGAGAAGCCAGCATGGATCAGCAGAGTCTTGCCGTAAACAATCGCGGCCTGCGGTAGCAATGGAAAAACCGTTGCGAAGGCAAAGCCGTGCCAGGAGTAATATCGGGTCTCCACAGTGCCGACAGCCTTGACCACAGTTTGTCTTGTTGAGAGGAGGTTGACACTCTCTCGATCGTTTTCGTTGTACATCGTACTGACCCCAAAAGTTTCGTGATTTCCCCGGAGAAGCGTCACTTTGCTCGGAAACTCTGCTCCTGCTTCCGTGCAAAATCTTGAGTCAAACTTGCTCATGCATGTGTTCACTCCGCAGAGGCGGGCTGTACGTCACCGCGGAAACTAGGCAGCGCGTCGCGGCGCTTTTTTTCAACGGGAGCGACTAGCACGGCTCGCTAGGCTTCTGCCCCCACATCTCTTTTGGCCGTCGCCACCTCGAAAACGAACACGAGAGGTTTCCGCTATTTGGATCTCGATGTGATGAAGCACAGAGCCTTTTAAAGCTGAACATTAGGTCAGATGCTGTTGTTAGGCGCGCCAGGCGCAGGCACTGGCACATGCCGCGCTGGTCTACCCAAAAATAAACATCCTGGGCGCTGACGCGTAAAAAGCGAAAATGGTAGGCGATCGCGCATCTTCCGCCCATGATCTACTTTGCGATTGCGACAACATATATTATAAATAAATATAAATATTATGCTCACACAATGCATGATTTTTTGACTCAGTTCTTTGCTTGAATACTGCAACCACAGCACGTACAGAAGCGTGTTGTAGCTGTCGCCTGTTAGGGGGGCACGGTCCATGAAATCTCCAAGAAAAACGATGCGACCCTCCACCTTGTCTCCCCAAAAATTTCCAGGAGCTGCGTTCGGTTCGCCGGGCACCGGCAGGAACGCCATCGCGAGAAGCAAATCCGGAAAGGCACCGTGCAAGTCCCCAAAAACGTGCACGAATTCACAGTTTTTTTGGTTCTGGGGAATTCGCTTCAGTTTGGACGACGAGCCAGGCACGCCGCAAATGTTTTCCAGCAGCGGCAGGTGAAGCGATTGTCCGTTTCCGTCGGGGCAGAAATGCTTTCCAAATTGCTGTGCTTTTCCCGTCAGAAACGCAGTGTACTGCTCGGAAATTTTGAACGCGATTCCGGGGTCTTGCAATATTTTCCGGGTCTGGCCGGCGTCTTTGAAAGCACGCGCTGGGTGGAGATAATACCAGGGCAGGTGTTCCGATTTCACCATTTCGATACCATCCGGGTGTGGTAGTTGAAGTTCAACTTGAGGTTGAGCGCCGACTTGCAGAAAATCAGACGCCGCGATCGACGGGCCAAAAGCCCCAATCTCCGAGGACGACGGCGAGAGCTGCTCCGTGACATTCCCCAGGTGGAGCTGCGTATCCACGGGAAATACGTCTGGTGTTCTCCTGGAAGAGTGCAAACTTGTGATGCGTCGTCCCGTGGGTCATGCAAAAATCTGCCTTGCAGGTAGACAGCAAAATACAGCGGCCTACTTTTGGTCGAGCTGAAGAGGGGACGCTTGGTCTCATGCTCCTGGATGGATTGATCATTACGCTGTGAAAACTCTACCGTCTCCATGGTGTCGGGTCCTGCATAGGTATGACACGCGCTGCAGTCATCCCCAAGCGTAGCACGAAAAGCTTCAGGACCAAGAACCTCCATAGCCAACTACATCTTCCAGGAGGCCCAGACATGATGATGTAAATCTATTCGAGGTAGTCCCCTTAGATTATCCTCTTCCGTCCTCTAAGTCTCATGATTGCTTGGATTGGTAGTCTTTCGTTGTTGTTGTTTGTTTGAAAGGAGAGCGCTGAAGATGTATTGCTGCTGCTTGTTGTTTTTGCTGATCCTGTTGCTGCGCCTGTGGTGATGTCTCGCCATAGATTTCGATCAAGGCAGTCCTTTACTGTTGCTCGCTTTCGATTGAGATCCGCGTTGATTTCTGCTATCCAGGTCTTTGTTGCTCCTTGCCCTTTTTTTGTCTTGGCGTGACATATCAATATTAAGTATTTGCGGTTGATGATACTGCACGATGGACGGCTGCAAGAAGAAAGAAGGACCCACTTCACCCGTGTTCTTCGACCCCCCCAGGTCCGCGAAAGAGGATTGGTCCGACGACACGACGTCTCGATCTTGTCCATCGTCATCGTCCAAGAACTGATCATCCTGCGCGGCACCAGAAAAATCGACACCAGCAGTACTTTCCTGCGCAGGGACTTCGGCCGCGCCACCAGAAAATAAATCGGCATCCAACAACCCCCCGCCCTCTTCGCCGTCCACAGGCAGGGCCGCGGCGTCGGCAGCTGACGAGAGGGTCGCGACGACGTTCGGCGAGGCGGGAGCAGCGGCGGCCCCATTCTTCTCTTGGTTTTGACCGCGCTTCGCCATGAAGCCTTTGCGTTCGGCGTGCAGGGTCGGGAAAAACAGGGTCGTGCCACTGAGGAACGCCGCGGGCAGCATTTTCGAAGCGGAGAACCGGAACCGGCCGCTGGTGGGGGAATAGCTCGTTTGGAAGGTCGTCATGATGTTCTTGTTCACGCACTTGCTTAAAATCAAGTGGCTTGCTTCGTCAGATAAGCTTGGACTCGCCACGGTGGTAAGGTTGGCGAGGAAAAAGTACAAGCCTTCGGGTTTACTTATTTTTTGCCGTTTTTACAAGAAAGAGTGATCACAAAAGTTCGTTGTACTGCAAGAGTAGAAAAAGCTTGTTCGAAAACAAATTTTCCGTGTTGTCGTGCGATAGAAGTTTGTAAAAATGTCAAATTGAGGTTTCGGCTTGAGAAGTTTTTGAGGCTTCGTCAAGACCTAGTTGATGATGGCTTTAGAAGTTTTTGTGGCTTCGTCAAGACCTGTAGTGGGTTTATCAGATGAGCTGATACATCATCTCTGTCTCAAACCTAAATCTTACGCAAAAATAAATTAGATGAAATATGCACGGTTTTTTCAACATAGACCTCTATCTTCTAGCGCAGGGACGCAGAGCTGCAAGGATAAGCTCTGCCTCTGCGTTCTTCCTTCGTACAAACCGCGACATCGGTGCACGAGAAGACTACCGAGTAGGTCTTTTTGAACAAAGAGCACAAACAAGTAATCAGCTCCACCGAGGGGTGCTGCGGCTGCAGCTGCAAATGCTCAGGCGAGCAAGCACGAAAACATCAATCGTTTTGGTTTTCCTCTTTCTCACGACACCGAATAAAGTTAAAGACAGCCAACACCGACACGACTTTATCCTTTTGATTGCAATAAGCAAACGAAGAATGTACGACCAGCACCGAGCTCCGGTTCTCGTTCTGAATGTGAATAGAGGACCGATTTTTCTCAGAGCGGATACTGCTTTGAAATATCAAGGGAGTTTTCGTGTGAACGACAACGAGAAAGTACCTGAGAATGACAGTGTAATTGGAGACCTGTTTTTCTCTCACGGGTCAGAACTTCGCCCAGCACGCGAGGCTGCCATAGTAGGTAAGTACGAATTTTTTTTCAGCATGATGTAGAAGTACTACAAGACCCACACTCATACACAAGCTGACTGCCTCGTGCTTCTTTTTGTTCTAGTGTTTTCATGGGTCATTATGACTTTCTATGTCCGTTTTTGCATACGCGCGCTTTCGAAAAAATCATCATGGGTAGAAGAGCGCTGCAAATAAAGCCTGAGTCCGCAATAAGAGAGGCACTACCTACGCTTTACAGGCTGCTCATTGACTCTTCTTGCTAGCAGTTGTATTCACTTTTTTCATACAAAAAGACCTGCGGGTAATCTTAAAATCTTGTCTAAAACTCAACACGGCACGCTGGTGATTCTTCCTACTAATCCTCTAGAAGTACCTATCCACCCACTTGCCTGTGCCCTGATCCGAGCAGCGGCTTGTCTGTGTGTAAGTACTGGAAAAACTTCGGATTTTTACTTTTAGCAAATTGAAATTCAAATTCTTGACAGGAATAAAGAGCGCTGCATGGGCGAATGCGCATGATTTGGATTTCTACATCAAAGATCAAAAAAACAAATTGAGGGGTTCCGCAGCTTCCACACAAATGTTCAGTGGATGAGAGTTGTACGGACCACGCAGAGCAGCCCGCTGAGCATACTACTTGCACGAATCGCTACTCTGATGTCTCAACGTCAACGTCAAGGAGAGCGGTAACAAGCATAAAAAAGCTTTACTTGCTCCTTTGCAACTTTATATACACAGCGACGTGGTTTTTGCGATATTACGCCGCAGAAAAATTTATGGATACTTATCGCAGTGTACGACAAGCTCTTCAAATCTCACCCACTTACCGCCTCGCAGAACCTAGTGCCCCACTCGTCGCACTGGTAGCTGTAGCTAGTGCCGGCGTGGTGCTCGTGCCGCTGGCGTGACGACTTTTTTCAGCAGTATTAAGAGCCGCGCTTTCCTTATTTGACTGCTGCAAGAGCATCTGGCGATCGATGTCGTAGACCGAGGCTAGTATGACAGCGTCAGCAGGTGGGAAGTCTTTGACAAAGAAGCGGAAAAAATCGATAGTCTCACCTGCAATTTCTTTTTTCTACCAAGCGGCGCACGACAAAGCTCGCTTATTTCGAGAATCTCAATCTGTGATGCTGTAAATACTTAAGTAACATAGCGGAAACGCCAAGACAGCCGCTCCTGGGATGCTCTTCAACAAGAACCCGAACCCGTTCCATGCGGATAGAGAGAGTCGTCACGCTTACAATGTGCCTCCTTTGCCTTCCCTGCAAGATGACTGGCGGTAGAACCAGAAGGTGTCCCGCATGGACATTCATGCACATGGTGAATTTATTTCTGCATCACAAGACATTTATTTTTCCATTTTGCAAAATCCCACCCTGACGCTTCCGCCATATCCGGGCGCGGGGAAGTTGTAGGAACTCCATTCATCCTTTTCCTCGATCCCATTCTATCCTACGGAAAAACATCCCCACGACTCCATAGCTGCAATGCGAATCTGCGTGGTAGAAATGTTTCTCATCCCGAGTCCCATGAGAAGCATTTTCTAGTCTTGTTTCGAAGTTTCTCCTGCTCCAATCAGCATGATCGGCTAGCCCTGTGATGCTGCTCAACTAGCTAAACAGGATCACACTACAAGGCCAAATCTGTCATGCGCAACATCCAAAGCCTGTCGATTTGTCTACCAAGAAGTTTCCCATCTTGACTATGGGGTGGGAACGTTTTTGCCCCAGATACCTTCTTGCGCTGGTCTTGTGGCTTGAGGAACTTGTCGACGTCGCGGTAGTACTATTGGTGGTTGTCGCGGCAGTAGAGCCGCCATGACACGAAGACTCCTTACCCAACGAGTGCTTGAAGACGTCGCAGCTCTTCCCTCCACCAGCTCTCTTCGTGAGGGCGTGCTGGGAAGATGTCGAAACTTGACCTCCACTTTGATGGTCGCAGTTGTGGTTGGAATTGTTCAAGTATCCTGTGCAAAAGTATCGTACTCGTAGTAATCGCAGTCAGCATTACAAATCTTTTTCTTAAGGGAAAACCGCACTACAAATTTTATTCGTCAACATGCTGAGGGAATTTCTTGTCACGCGATTTATACTAGTACGATGCTTTTGCATTTCATATCAAGTCGACATTCTCTTTGTCATTTTCTTCGTCCACGTTACGAACATTATTTTTACTCCTGCCACCAGAAGAACGTACGTTTTCAAAGACATCTTCGTCTCCACAAAGATCCGGCTCATCTTCCAGATGAATGATTGATCCGCGGCTGGTTCTCTGTAATTTCTTCATCATCTTCGTCGTTCCTGATCTACTGCTGGCGTCCTCACAGTCTCCTGTTTCTTTGACGAGGTGTATTTGGCTTGTTGCGCTCCTGCTAGTACAACCCTGAAGAGGGAGGTTCATCGCGTTCGTGGTGGAAGCAGAAGACCCGCTGGTGATTTTTGTCTTGTTTTCGCTGGGCGACAAGCACTGGTTGCTCCTCAAAAAGGTGGTTGTAGAATTGCCCACATTGGTTTTGTGGTTTATGATCATGTCGTAGTTGCTCCTACTAGCATAAAGATTCGTCCCGCCCTCCTGAAAATTTTCTTCCTCCCGCGTCATCTTCTGGCCCGCTGAAGACCGGTTGAAGTTACACCTCGTCCCAGCTCCTGTTTTTCCACTTTGCATCAAAAGCATTTTTTGTGTAGAAACACAATTTGTTCTGGCCGTCGTTGTTCTTGATGATGAAACGGCAAAAAGCGAGGGCGTAGCACTTCTCGGCGGCGGCATCACAAAAGACGCGGACTGGGGATGGCCTACACACGAAAGGTATGGATTGCAAATATATCTAGGTCTGGAATTTTGTAATGCTAAAAGTGAATGATAGACGCACTGCAATACGCAGCTATGCATGACAAATTTTTTTGGCTGCCATGTAGTACGTATTCCGCATGGCAAACTGCGTTTTTGCATGACAGGGAAGAGGGCCTTTTCGTGCCTATGCAACACAGATTCTCGAGTCATGCCAGACAAGCATGACAAACTCGCATTGTTCCAGACCCAGACATTTTTGCATTTGATAAAAGGCGCGCTGTGGTCGTGGAGGCAACGGAATGTTGTCCGGTCGTTTGGCCGCTGCTTGATGAGGATGTTGCAGGAGCACCTCGACTCTGCTCCACGACAGCGTGCGTGTTGTTCTCCCGAGTAGAATATGGACTCCCGAGTTGCTGCGACTCCAAAAAATTGTTCTCCCGAGTAGAATATGGATTGCAAAAGTATCTTACTAGTAGTAATCTAAAAAAATGCAACGCAAATAATCATTTGCTTAGCATGAGCATAATGCGGATTTCCCATGAGAAAAAGATTTGTAGTGCAGGGCTGCGATTCAGTACGAGTACGATACTATTGCACGGGATACAGAAGATGAATTGCTGCATATCGTACGAAAAAAGTGTTCCACTGTAAGGATTTTGCAGGCTCTTGCATCACAAGTTTGTTCTACATGACGGGGGATATTTGCCATGCAAGGTTCCTAAGAGAAAACAGAGCTAAAAATCTACTGTCTTGCATGTGTAGCAACACAAACACTTCTGCGATGCATTTTCTGCATCACAAGTTTACAGTGGAACAGTTTTTGCTTGCGATACTGCAGATCGTCGTCCAGCGCCAGCTATCCAGTGCAAACATGTCTGGATCTGAAAAAGAGCAGACACTTGTCATGCGGGCTTTGCATCCGAAAGAAGGTCTGCAATGCATGCAAAGCATGACAAATTCTGCGAACGCCTCTCGTCCATGTCTAGTCTGCATGAGAAATCATGCCCGGTCCTTGACCCAAGAATCTGACCTCTTTTGCTGACAACTATCTATGCAACACAGATAATTTTTGTTTATCTTTTTTTATTCGAGAATCCGCATCCTAAGTGGCCACCTTTCAGACATGACCCAGGGTGGAAATTTGCAATGCATATCGGTTAAAAAACCCCGCTTGATGGTCGTTTTGGAAGTTCTGCCGGCAGCCAGGAACCTGCATTTTCACGTGGTCGAAGGTCGCCAGGGACCGCTCCTTGCGGAGGAAGAGCGGGTTCTTGTGCAGATGTGGTGGAGCAGGTACGACAACTTGGACGTCTCCGGCGTTTTTAGTACGACAATTTGACATTGACGGTGGCTGAGTACAACTAGAGGCTTCAAATTTCTTCTCATCCTGTAGTTGCACCTCCATCTTCATCATCCTCGCCGGCGGCCGAGCAGAAGTCCCCTCCACCGCGGATGAACCACCCGTGGTTGGACGAACGGGCTGCACAGCGGCGCAGTTTGAGGTCCGTGCGAAGGTATCCAAGAAAAAAACTGTGCTAGTGTAACTTTCTTTGGCTGACAGCATCACAAGTTTGCTCTACATGACAGAGAAAACCTGTCATGCGTGGCTTGTAAGGGAAAACACACATGAAAAGAGGACTTCATGGTTGTCTGGCATGACAGGCGTAACTCTGTTGCATGTTCTGCATTACAGAGTTACACTTACACAGTTTTTTTCTTGCATAGAAGGGGGAGAAGTTGTAGTCGTTCGAGTTTGATGCCGCGGTGCCGCGCGCTCAGTATGGAAGCGTCAGGTTTGAAATCGTCAAACTTGAAATAGTTTGTGATGCATAAAATGCAACCCACAAAGTGCCTGTCTTGCAGAGTAGGCAAGGGAGGCAGATGGTAAGCCTGTCGAGGGGTAGAAATAGTAATAGAGCTGTTAAAGTAGCATGACAAAAGGTGCCTTCCTTACCCAAACAGCATATACAAACTGGATCTCGGTTCTACCCAAATTTGTCATGCGCCGCTTGAAAAATAGACACCAACTGGTATCCGTTTTATGCATTGCAAATTATTTCAACTTTGACGATTTCAATCCTTTCGCTTCCATACGCCGCTCCGGACCGGTATAGTCGCTGACGACGAGGAATTATGCGGGGGCTGGAGAGTTAGGCGGCTCGGCTCGCTCGCTATCGCACCGGACGCGAGGGTGGTAGAAGAAGTTGCCGCGGATATTGCAAGGAAAAATCCCCCCTCCCCATATCGAAAAAGTACGTCTCAGAAAATTTGCAGTGCTGATTTGTGACCACAAATCGGCTCTGTCTTGCAAGAACGCAACCCCATAGGCCGCGTCGCATACTGCAGGCGGTTTATGATGCTGTTGGCCCTACAGCTTAGGCGTTTGCCATGCTCAGCGCCTAGCCCAAAGCCTCTCTAGTACTCAGGCTAAGTATAGTAGCCTGTAGCCCTCTCCAGCAAGACCAATCTGATTTGTGTACGTGAAAAATCCAGCATTAGAAACTTCGTTTTGATATGGAGAGGGGGGATTTTTCCTTTTGATAGCGGAGCTGCAGTGGGGGTGTTGTTGTACTTCTAGAGGCGCGGCCATGGGAGGTCCTCGTTGCTTGTTTTGTTGAACCGCAACCATGCGTGGCGCGACCAGGACGGCGCGGGGGTCTTGTTGAAGAAGATGGGGGGCACACTGGATCGTGCTTGCTGTGCTGGAAGGTGGACGACCTTTTTTTGTGCGTATTTTCTTTGTTTTTTCCTCATGTTCTTCCTGTTTCATATTCATGATGATCTGCGATCGTTGGATAAAAAATACAGCGCATCATGAAGGAAATCATCCGCAATTGAAAGAACCAACAGAGACAAAGATACCTGCACCTATTTCCGGACCAGCACCGCGAGGAGTAATTTTCGTTCTCGCGCCAGCAGTGGACGCGAGCACGAGATTTTTGCCACTACTACAGGAGCTTTGGTGACTACCACCATCTGAAGGACCTGCTCGCTGTTGTTCCACATGATCGACCGTACTGCTACAACCCCCATTGTAAACTGCCGGACTGTAGCTGTTCCTGGGTGGACCTACCAAAGAGCAGCCAACCAGCGGCCCGGAGCTGCAGCGACCCAGGGGCGTCGCAGCTGCGGGAATGATGCTACTCGGGGAGGGACTGGTTACTGTGAAAGAGATCATTTGAAAAAGGTTTGATTTTTGTAGTAAGTACTTTTGCACCAGAATAAAGAATGTAACCATCAACTTTTCTTTATGCATGGTACTCTGTCACACAGCGGAGCAATAGCAATCTTGTTCTTCCCTACAATAGTACACGTCGTAGGAAGAAAACAAGATCGCGACCACTTATACCTAAGTTCACCGCACTTCCTCTTCTAGAAGAGCCAGATCTTTGCGTTGCACTGACGGGCTGGAAAGCGGCGCGCAGGTTTGGCGTCCATAGCGTTGGCTTCGTCAGCGAGGTCGTGGGCGTTGTGGCGAGCAGTTTGGGCTGCACACCTGCTACAGGCACGGTTCCGCCGCCCGCGCTGCCCCCATTTTTTCCCGTTGCTGCTTCTGTCGACGGACCAGCACGATCCGCTCGTCCACTGCACCCTGAACTAAGAGGTTGCCGCTGTGCACCGCTGCCAGGCAGTTGTCCTGGTTTCAAAAGTACCCCGCCAGCATGCTCGTCCTGGTAAAACCCTCCTCCAACGAGGTGGTTTGCGGTGGGTGGGTGAGTGTTGGCTCCACCGCGGTAGAAATTTGTTGCGCAGCGCGCAGAGGAGGATGACGCGCTGGAGGAGCTAGAGGTGGCTCCAGACGACGTTGCAAGACCACTATTAAAACCTCCTGCTGTGCTGTAGTTGTATCCGACACGATGCGCAGTCCCCGCAGTGGACGATGGCTCCGCACCACCAGTGCAGCTCACCACGCAGGGGTAGGTACCTCGCGTATGGGAGTGTCAGGATTGAAATCGACAAAGTTTGTAATGCATAAAATCGAGGATACCAGTTGGAAGCCCAATTTGAATTTCTAAGCGGTGCATGACAAATTTCGGCACCTTCTAAATCCAGTTTGTCATGCCGTTTAGGGACAGAAGCCGTCTTCTGTCATGCTACTTGAGAAGCTCTATCGCAGACCCCAAACAGGCTGACCGTCGGCCTCACTTGCCATCCCAGCAAGAGAGAAAGCGCACGCCTTGCAATTCATGCATGAGAAATTATTTCAACTTTGTCGATTTCAATCCTGACGCTTCCATATCGCGGCGTCCGAATGTAGAGCGCACCGTTGGAGGCAGGAAGGAGTATCCTATGTAAAAACATCCCCACCCCAGCGTTGTCATGCAGATTTGCAATGACAAGAACATTTGTGATGCGCATCCCGATGATGGGCATTTCCAGTCGTGTTTTGGAATTTGTAATGCTGTAAGCAGGATACGCATCTCGATTTGTAATCCGGCTGTCCTTGCTAACCTGCACGACACTACGGGCTGCAACTTGTCATGCGTGGCGTCCAAAACTCCAGGATCTGTGTTGCAGAGATCCCAATTTAACTATGGGGCGGGGACATTTTCACACAGGATAAGAAGTGTGTTGTAGTTTGCGCTGGTGGTAGTCGTGTGCGAGGAGGAAACAACCTGATATTGTTCGCAGTTGTTCATGTTTGAATTGTTCACCTGTATCACAAGTCGCTGGTCGCGCAGCAGCCTCGCGTTTTCGTTCGCAAGTTCGCGGTTTTCTCGTTCGAGCTGCGTCAACTTTTCTTCCAACTTGTCGCGATTGATTCTTTCATGTGTGCTTGTTTTTGCCACTACAGAAGATGAAGAGCAGGAGCCTGCGTCTGCTACAATCTTGCCTGTGGTCGAAGAGGAATTGTTCTTACTTCCGGGACAACCGACCTCCAAATCCTGCTGCTCACGCCCGCCGGTAGTGTTCTTCCTGGCGGACAAGAACGCATGATCTTCGCCGGCCTCCCCGGTTCTTGGCGCGGCCCCGGCGATCTCGCGCAGATTTTCCGCGAGCGCACTGTCCTCCTCTTCGTTTGCGGCTTCGTGCAGAAACGTTTTCAGCCGGCGGTTGAGCTGCTCCACCATATTGATGACATCCGGACTGGTAGGCTCGGGTGGGACGGTGATACTGCATGAAGATCCTGGAAGATGTGATTGTGCAGGTCCACGCCCACCTCCGTATCCCACGAAAAAAGTGTTACAGTTACACATTTGTAGTCAATTCAGCAACACAAATTTCTCTGCATGAGAGAGAAAACTTGTAATGCAGAAATCCTACGGGAAAACACGTATGAAACGAGGCTCCTATGCATATCCGGCATGACAGAGCTTGTCTGTCTTGCTTGGCCTGCAACACAATGTGTAACTGTAACACTTTTTTCTTGCGATACTCCGCCGGAGCAGTCTACGAGCGTCGCGCCGGCACAGCTCCTGCTGCTGCAAGCCGTGGCGTAGTTGTGGCAGCTGTTAATGTTATTCATCCGCAGCGTAGTACTACTACACAACGTATTCGTAGATAAGGCGAAGGCGGCACCCTGCTGCACAGCCGTGTTTCTCGGCGCCACGGGGATGCGGCCCTGCTCTGCTTCCGGTGGGTCTTCACAAGAACGACCCGAGCCGCTGGTCAGGATACTACTCGTAGATATCCGCCTATCACAAAAAAAAACTGTTTCACTGTGAACTTGTGATGCAGAAAGTGCATCACTGAAGTGTTTGTATTGCTACACATGCGAGACAAATGATTTTTAGCGGTGTTTTCCCTTAGGATCCTTGCATGGCAAGTTTTCTTTGTGATGTGTAGCGAACTTGTAATGCAAAACTTGCAAAATCCTTACAGTGAAACAGTTTTTTCTTACGATACCGCCCGAGCAGACCTGCGGTCGTGCCATCGTCATTCGGACTGCTCCTCGCGCCGTCCAGGCCTAATTTTTAGTATGTGGTTGAGTTTTGTACTGATTTCGTTTCTTTTCTTAGGGTTTCTCAGGCTAACAGAGAACGAAAATAAATACGAAATGGAAATAAACCCACAAAATGTATATATGAAGATTATATTCATCCGTGTTTTATTTAAACAAACTCACCGGCCAGCGCAACGGCTTCGGCTTGATGGTCATGATCCCCGAGAATAACTCCTTCTCCGCCCGCGAAGTCCGACGAGCGCCCGGGCCTGGAACATGATCTGCGATCGCTGCCGCGAATTATCCTATGTAAAAACGTCCCCACCCCATAGTCAAGATGGGGAATCGGCAAGACAAATCCAAAAGTTTTGGCTGTTTCGCATGACAAATTTAGACTCGTAGTGTAGTGCTGTTTGAGGTAGTTCAGCAGCATAAGAGACCTAGTATATCATGCTGATTGCAGCATGACAAATTCCAAAACACGATCAGAAAATGCTCCTCATGGGGCTCCGCATGACAAACACTTTCAGTTTCAGTCGCATATCGATAGGCTGCAAGCGTTGCTTGTGGTTTAGGCTAGCGCTCAAGGCTCCGAGGAAAAGCTTTTTCGTGCTCAAGTAAAAAACTCAACTGGAACAACACACACCTGGAACGATAGAAGAAGTGTGTTCATGTTTTGTAATTACAACTATGGGGTGGGGACGTTTTCACTGACGATACGAATCGGTTTCGGGTCTAGGTTTGGTTGGTAGGTCGGCCGCCTCTTTTTCCGTACTCGCGAGGACGGCCGCGGAGTCCGGATGCTATTGTGCGGCTGGAAACCAGAAGCCGCACTGCTTTCACCCATCTTACTTCCTTGCTGGTGATTATGATGTCCAGCTTCGTTCTTTATGAGAGGTTCTGGCAGCACACAAATACAAATGAATCGCGCTCGAGTTTTTGCGACTCTGCTTTTGCCTGCAGCTGTGCTAAGCAGTCCTTTAGCCACGTAGACAATAGGAGTGCACGCTCTTCCTTTTAGTATTCTTGCGGAATTCATAGACCTCACCTCGCCGTTTTTTTCTCTGACACACAGCCTCACGGTTTTGTGTCGGTTTCAGTTCACTCCGTAGAATTTGAAAATCATAGACCCTGCACGTGCGTGTGCGTCGCAGTTTGCAATGATTGTTGTACAAAATGGTTCTTTCGTCCTCACTCCAATTGTCAGAAGTTGATTGTTCAGGGCTCTTCTCTCAGACAGACAGGTCGTTGTGAGTAATTCTATAATTATTTCGCATGCGTAGAATAGTTGTAAATGCAACAAGAAAAAGTGCACGAGTGAAGAACCGTTGTCGCTCGGAGCATGGAGGTTCTCTAAATTTTGTTTTTCAGTGGGTCGGACGTTGCTTGGTAGACACGCCACGACTTCGGAACTCCAACTCGAACTCACCCTGGCGGCGCATAAAATAAAATCCAAAGAACAATAAAGACAAAATAACGGCTGCAACTTTGCTACTTGCCACATTGAGTTCAATCATGTTCAACATGATTTGATAGATTTTTGTCCGCTTACCGAAGCTAATACAACCGGAGTTGTACAGCTATAGTAGCACAGAAATTTACTAAAGTTGGGTTCTTCACATTCACGATTGGATGTTGATTAGGAGGTTGAATTTAGAATTGTTTCACTGTTCCCCGTTCTCCTGTGATTTTGACCTGGATGAAAGCTGCGAATTCTGACTTCGGCCTTGTTCCGAACGCGTCCTTCTCGCGGGGCGTCGTCGTTCGGTTCTTGCTGTCGTCGTAAAAGTTTAAGTTTTCTGGTGGAATTATATCAAACCGTGTCAGACGAGAGATACGCTCGACGCTGCGGTTTTCTATTTTCTACTTCGTAACGGGAGGCCGAGGAGTGACTACACCTTCCGAGGAGGAGGAGGAGGAGGAAACCTCTATAGTAAGCTTCTATCTACTAAGCTACTTCTTTCTTAAGCTTAACTATAGGACATATTTTTGGTGCCGACAAGCCGAGCGGATAGTAGATCTGTAAAAGTGGACAAATAGCCCTTCCGGGTGTGCATAACCTAGGACTTCAGTGCCACTCGTTGTCTTCCTTCTACCGCTCAAGGCCCGACACCGAGTCTGTACTGCGATCACCCCATTCGACCCAGCTGCTGCGTGCTCAGTGGCTCTCTGGACCTGTTAAGGGACTGGGCTCGGGGACTGGAGTTTTTTGGGTTTGTGGCGCTGGAGCGACAACAGGGTCGAGACCGAAGCCCGTAACCAGAGTGCCCAGACGCCACGCCTGTTCGACGAGAGGAAGTGAGCCACTACTGTGTCGAATGGTTGTGAGGGCGAAGCAACAGAGTTACCTGTCGGCTGAAGCCCGCAGTGGAGGACTCCCAATCCCTCCACCGTCTACATGAAGTAGTGCAGCATGATGATATTATAAAAACGTCGCCCGCTCCGACGTAGTACAGATAGCTCCCCCGTCGTCGATCCTCGGTTGACTCTCCCCCGTCGTTGGCGGAAGTCCTTCTGTCGCGCGTGTAGGCGCGTCCACGTCCGACGTCGTTAAGAGGGGCGCTGTTCTCGAGCACGCTGGCTGTGCTGATGCACAAAGAAAGATAGCATGGGTGGAGTCAAAGGAATAACCAGGGGAACGACAAAAGATCGATAAGGACAAGCCCCCGGGTTCCTCTCACTGACATGTCCTGCGCCCTCGTCCATAAGAAAAACGCAGGCCCTTGTCGCGTCGCTCGATCACGGCACGAAGGTCACGACCACGGCGGGCGCGGGTGGAGTGTATAAGCTAGTCTATGCGCTATTTCTCTATTGCCCGGCTTCTATACTTTCTTTTTTACTCTTAAGCTATTGCTATCCGAGGCCTTCTATCTAACTCCACGACGGGGCTACGCGGTTACCCGTGCTGCGGCGGCGCTGTCAGTGAGAGGGACGACGTCATTATTTTGTTTATACTCTGGACCGATGTCGTTCGTTCCTAAAGGGACGAGGCTCGCTGGGGCCCCCTGCAGCATCCAGGGACCCTCTCGAGGCCCCTCGCCCCCACGGTTTTTGGTTGATTTTCAAGTAGTATCCGTTCTCATCGACGACGAAGAACAACGACGAAGAACAAAAATGAATGATGCGTCAGGGCGTATTAGCGTGATCTGATTATCAAATCAGATAGGGACAATGCACCCAGGAGTAAAGTTTTTCTAATATCCAGGAGTAAAGTTTTGACTCGGAGAAAATGCGCTTCAATTGCTGGTGATGCTCATACAAATATCATGCTTGTCGTAGACCATGTCCCTGCAAGCAAACTGACCTCGACAGGGAAAAAGAAACCAGCATACCTGAAACAGGTACGGGCGTTCCCCGCATGTCGCTTACGAGCCAAAGAAAGCTACGAGCTAAAGAAAGCACCGACAAAATCTATAATTGCTGCGGCATATTATCTTGACCGGAGTTTCGGACGCCAATTTTCTACTTCGTAACGGGAGGCCGAGGAGTGACTACACCTTCCGAGAAAAGAAAAAACTTGGAAGGTGATCTACCTCTCCCTCCGCACGTCGCCGCGCAAGATTGCGGAGCGAGATCCGGAGGCAGAAAAGACGGGCGCCCTGTCACTTGCCCCAAGTAACTTGCAGGGCCAGGTAGGTTGTCTGGGCACGATGTGGGCGAACATACCGGCCCGGAACAGCTCCACACTTTCAGCCACAAAAAGGAGGGCAAAGCGAAAACAAAAACTTATTTTATTAGCTCGGGGGAAGCTCCCGAAAAAAGTAAGTCTTTGCTTCGATTGCGGTAGGCCTTCTCGGAGCAAAACCCTGACCAAAACCCTGCCGCTTTGGCGGCAGCCATCACAGGGGCAAGCATCTCTTTGGCTGGCCAGGATGGCGATCTATCTCTGCCTCCGGACGTTGTCCAGCAAGATTGCGGAACGAGATCCGGAGGCAGAAAAGCCGGGCAGCCTGCTCCGCGTACCAAGTAACGCGCGAGGCGAGGCGGCTTGCCTGGCGTAGATGCCAGCCTAGATCTCGAGGGAAATGCTGACCCCCAAATCAGCCAGCGTGCGCTCGTCAGAATTGTGGCGACACCTCGCACAAAATCTGGATCGGCATCAAGGTAGAAGGGCCTTCAGCTCTGAAGGCCCGGCGGCTTTGGTTTTGCCAGCCAGACGAAATACGAACCAAGGCACCACCTGGACAACTGCCGGGCGGTGCGAAGAGGGACAAAGGCGGGGGCTGCGAAATCTATGAAACCACGAACCAAAACCCTGATGTAAAACTTAATTTTTTCAACCCTTAACTTCGTAACGGGAGGCCGAGGAGTGACTACACCTTCCGAGAAAAGAAAAAACATCAAGATGCGAATTTGTTGAGCGCTGGCGTAACAACTAGCAGAGGAACGCACCGGCGCTCGCCCACCTCCAGTGGCTCGGCGCAAAAAAGTTTAGAGATAATTGGTTGACACGTTTTACAAGTAAGGGAAAATAAAGCCTGTTGTAACGTAATTGCTACCGTCATGCTGAATTTATTGCGGCATAGTTGTTTGTACTAGGTGTGCTGGTCTTTCATCCCTTTTCTCCGTGTCCGGCGGGGGCTTAAAACCTCTACCAAGTTCAGAATTCGCGGCGATCTCGGTTCTTGGTGCAGGAGCCTAGCTCCTAGTTCGTTGTACTCAGAAACGATCCTCCTCGTGAAAACAATTTTTGCAATTTCTATCTGTATCAATATATAAAACCCAGTACGTAGTAAATCAAGTATACTCTTGTTCATATTGGCGGTGGTGATGGAGTAAGTCTTTAAAATAAACCGAAAAAGAGATGAAATATATTTCTGATGGAAACTACGTTTTCTATCGAGAGAGAAAAACCCATGTCAGTTGCAGTTCATTTTCTTAGGACAACTACAACTGCCATGGCTCTTTCGAAGTTGAACTTCTTCTTCTGAGCGATAATAAAAATGCGACGAGTTACTTTACTTTTCCCTACCGTTTTTATCTACTTCTCCCGACTTGTCTATCATTTCTGTTTCATCTGCTTGAAACAACTCACACCACGAGGTTGTCGTTTCTCGTTGGTAAATCAAGTTTCAAATCCTAAAATCCATATAATCCGCCCCAGGCACGATTAATCATCGGGGAATAATAAATTCAAGTGCCAAACAGTTCTACCAACTGCAGGGTCAGCTGTTGCGATCGTCCGAACGACGGGGGGCGGTAGAACAATCCTGAGCAAGAGTAATCGAGGTTCATAGCTTTATGCAGAAGCGCGCGTACAAATAATGGCAGCTTCGTCGAGATATTGTTCTATCGATTTCGAGCAAGCAAGAGCTATAGGCTGGTGAGAAGATCTACTGAGCGGAACGACGAAATTACGAAAAATCATAAGTTTAAAAACCCCTTCACTACGAAAGAACCCAACTCAAAGCTGAGTGTAATTACAATAAAAATGAACTGAAACGATATTTATTTTGAGTGTGAAGAAACGTTTACAAAAAACGTGACACAAGCACGAGCATCCCCACGGTATTAGTATTACAGTTACTGCTCTTGATTCCGACATGGACATATAAAAATTCTTTCAATAAAATTGCAGCAAAACAAGTACGCCTATTGATTTTTGAAATTTATTTACGCTAACGGCTACAGCACTATGAATTAAAATACTCCGGGCAACAAAATGCAGCTCGTTCTTGACAAAGGTCGTGATAGTCCTGTAGTTCATTGAGGCTGATGCGTTGAGAGATGAAAGGTACTACGACAGGAAGCTCCGACGTCAGACCAGATCATTCTGTTATAGTTTTGTAGTTGTACTTGAAACAGCACTCATCAGTGCGCAGCGTGGCGAGTAGTAGCAGAGCACCTACTCGAGTCTGTGCTCGGAAAGGTGCTTAAGTACCACCCCACCGGTCCCCGGAGCTGCAGCTGCTACAGCACATTCGTATCTATAAAAACATGATTTATTGCGTTTTGTTTTCTAGGAAGAGCAGGCAGCGTGTCTGCTTTTTTTCTAGGAATTGAAGCTGCATCAAAAACTCCAGTGTTGCACTCTTGTTGGTCCTGCTAGCAAAAAAAAAAATCATACGATCGAAGCGAAAAAAAATGTTGTATCCTCCTCAAAAAACTACTGTGCGTTCGAGTTCTTCAATCTAACCAGTCTACTTTGAGCTTATCGAATGTAAAAGTGTCTGGGTCTGGAAGAATTCATGTTTGTCATGCTTGTCTGGCATGACTCTTAAATCTGTCATGCCCGTTACCCAAGAGCTCCGCTTTTCTGTGATGCAGAAGCGCAGTTTGTCATGCAGGATTGGCAACACCCAGGAGCTCAGAAACTTCTCATGCTGAGCCAGCATCTGTAGCCTCATCATGAGACGCCACCCAGCATCACAAGTATCCAGACCCAGACATTTTTACTTTTGGTAGAGCTTCGCTCCAGACAAGTCGAAGTTTCCCAATTCGCTTAGCGAGTTCACCACGTGCGGAGTTATCCTGTGCAGAAGTATCGCACTCGTATAAATGCAAGCATTGCATTACAAATCTTGTTTCCAAGGCAAATCTGCATTACAAATTTCATTTCTCATGCTGAGAAAATTTGTAATGCATTTATACGAGTACGATACTTTTGCAATTCATAGGAGTGGCAGTTTTAGTAACGTGAAGATTTTTGCTCCCAGAAGTTCTTTGATGTTGCCCTCTAGGTGCAGCAGCTGCACCTGACTGTTGCATGCCCTCGGCTTGAAGACCTTGCTTTTGCAGATCCTCGAGCTGCTGCAGAAGATTCAGATTTTCCCCGCCACCTGGCACGAGGTTTAAGCCGCCTCCCGCAACTGCGGCGCGGTGGCGGTTGTTCTCATTGCTGTTCTTCATTTGATGTTGGGCGGTTGTGGAACTGGAAGTTGTTCCAGCTTGTTGCGCGTACTGCAGGTTTTGAAGATGTTGATGTTCTCCACCAAATAAATTATAATGCTGGTTGTGGTGCTGGTAGTAGTTGTGTGCATGTTGACCATGAGCATGTTGCAGATCCGACGCCCGAATAACGCGAATGCCGCCGAAGGCTTGGGGTAGTTGTTGGCGCTCTCCTGCTGCTGCCCCACGCCCAGGGGGAGGGGTATTAATCCCATGATTCATAATCCCGGCGTTGCTGTTGTATGCTTCGGGTTTGTTATTTCGAAACACTTCGGGCGGCAAATGGGAATATACGAAGCGCTTCACGTGTGCAAGACAAAAATTGTGTAAGCGCAAGCTTCTTGGAGCAATAGCTGCATGACACAGAAAATCTGTCATGCGTAGCTAGTACTTGAAAACACCTACGAAAATAGCCTCTGATGCATGTCCAGCATGACAAGGGTAACAGTTTTGCATTTTCTGCAACACAAAGTTACACTTACACAGTTTTTTCCTTGGATACCACGTCATCCATTTTTTCCTCCATTCGACGCTTTTCGTGTTCCTCCTCCACAGGACTGGCCGCGTCTGGGCCTCCTATTCTGAGTAAAAACGTCCCCACCCGCCCAGAGTTGTCATGCAAAACTGCATGCCAGAACCAAGTTTGTCATGCGGAGCGCGAGGAGATGCATTACCTAGTCGTGTTTTGGAATTTGTGGTGTTAGAACCAGAATGATACTGCTAGACCTGTGATGCTGCTGAACTCGCTATACAGGATTAATTAATACAGTACGATGGCAGATCTGTCATGCAAAACAACCAAAGCTGGCTGATTTGTGTAGCAGATTTTCCATCTTGACTCTGGTATGGGGACGTTTTTGCTCAGCATACCTCCTGGGGCGTCGTTGTAGTTATTATCCTCTCCGTCCGCGACGGTGGTACTACCATCGTGCATGGTTTCCGGGCCCGTCCACGAGCGCGGAACCTGCTTGGAGAGCCTGAATTCCTCGGCTAGGTCTGCAGCACTTTGCTGCGAGACGCGGAGCGGCTCGGTGCGGCCCGTGTTGGTGTTGTGCACCAGAAAAGGCATCGGGAGGCGCAACGCCCCCAGCAAGGGCGTCAGCTTCACGATGGCTTCCCACCACGGGTCCCAGATAATGGCGCTGCCGTCTTCGGAAAGGCAATACGCGTGCACCCACTCCTGGGTGGGCGTCTGCCACAGCAGTTCGTGTCCGAAGTTCGTCTTGGTAAATTCGTGGATTAGCAAGAAGTCCTGTCGTCTGGTACCGTCGTCCCCGTGGACCAGCACTGGGATGATGAGGTAGGGCTTGTTGTCTTCCGAGTGCACCAAATACCGATTTGCCACATCGACCTGACCCCCCGCCAAGCCGACCCGCTTCAGGATGCTGTTGCTACTCATGCGCTTGCTCTTGGCGGCCGCCTTGTACTTGTTCGCAGCACCTCCTTCTCCGGGGGTGCTGCCGATGAGAGGCCCCTTGGTCGTGTCCTCACCGTCGATCCCGTAGACCTTTTCGAAGCGTTCCCATCCTAGTCTTCTCATCTCCCGGAGGAGCCGGTCGTAAAGGAGCCGGAACAGTTCGCTGCTCGTCTGCAACGGGCACAACAGCAATTCCTCGCTGAACTGCTTGGCCGGCTGAAAGCGCTCGTCGTGAGTCACATGGACCGAAGGGTTGCGAAGGAAGGAGCGTTGCACTTGCTGGTGTAACGGGTTGAACTCGAGCTTGCCGGAAATCGGATTCTCCACGGCCATTCGCATCTCCCGCATGGCGGTCTGCAGTTTGGCATCGGCATCGCGAATGGCGGTCGACGAAGAACGATCAGTGGCGGGAGGATCAGAAGTGGTCTCACCTTGATGTAGTTCTTCCTCGTCGCCAAACTCCTCTCGTCTCTGCCACACAACATCGTCGCGCTCGTCCTTCGCACGGTAGTAATTGTGTAGCTGTTCTCTCACTTTCGACAGCATCCCCTTGTTCACGAGGAAACGTCGATGTCGGTCCATTATGGCGTTCTCAAACGTTACACTCTCAACTGTTAAGACATGAATTTGTAATGTAAGAATGGCAAGAGTCAAAGGGCGTAGCTTGATGCGACTCTAGCATTACAAATTCGGCACAGATTTATTCCATGCTGTTTCGCCCTTCAGAAATTTGTCATGCGCAGCAGCTTTTCATCGTGTGGATGCTGATGTTAATTTTGATTGACAAATCACGTACACAGTTGAGAATATAACGTTTAGAAATCCCATATCCATCACCTCGGCCTTGTAAATCTGCTCGAAAGACGGATAGAAGTTTTTATCGGAGTTGATGTTCTTTGCAATTTTCTGACGCGCGTCCACGTGGACGTGCGCGTGCTTGAGAACGTCGGCGTACCTCTCTCGGTGAACCCTATGACAGTACACAACTCCCCCTCCCCCTCATTTGTAATGCAAAATCCCAAACCCAGTTGCTTCGCTTCCTTGTAGCACTCTTTGCATGACAGATTCTGGAAGCCCACGCAGTACGATAGTCGGCGCATGAACTTGTCATGCGTCGGCTCCACGTGTCTTGGTGTTTGAATTGCTGTTCATGCCATACAAATGAGGGGGAGGGGGACGAGTTGTGCACTCTCATAAAAACCGTGCTCCGCATACAATTCCGCCCGCCGCCGCACCGCGGGATACAGTTGCGCTTCGTGCTGTTCCGCTTCGGCACTCACCTCCTGGCCCGGGAAAAAGCTTGCCAACCAACTCTGCTCCAGGATGCCCACTTGAGCATTCGTGGAAGACGAGGAGAGAAGGGGCTTCACGACACTGGTAGAAGAAGGACTCGACGTTCTTGCAGCGCTCCTGTCGCTGATGTCCCCGGGAGCTTCTACAGAAGTCCGGCTCATTTGTTCTTCCCTTTCCTTCTCCTCAGGCTGGTGTGGTGTCGTCTTCACGTTTTCTACGAGCCAGTCGAGGGGAAACGCGGCCCAGCTCTCCTTGGCGAAGGCATTGAACGGAAAGGCCAGCATATGCAGGATAAAACTGTGCTTTAGTGTAAGAACTCTTTATAATTTGGAGAAAGAACAGCATGACCACAGGAAATCTGTCTAACACAACAGTTGTCATGCGTAGGCAGTACGTGAAAGAACGCGAATGAAGCTTCTAGCCTGTGACGCATTTTTAGCATGACAAGTGTAACTGTTTTGCATTTTCTGAATGACAGACTATACACTTACACACTTTTTTTCTTGCATACAGCATCTCCTGTAAGTCGTGTTGGTGGACCAGGTTATCCATCTCGTCCTCGCTCGGGGTTGAAGATGTCCCAGCCGAAGTCGTAGGCTCTATCCTGATTAAAAACGTCCCCACACCAGAGTCAAGATGGGAAATCTGCTAGACAAATCAACCAGCTTTGGTTGCTTTGCATGATAAGTTTGTCCTCGTAGTGTAGTCCTGTTTTAGGTAGGTCAGCAGCATCACAGATCTAGCATATAATGCTGATTTATATTTATCACAAATTCCAAAACACGAACAGAAAATGCTTCTCATAGAGCTCCGCATGAGAAACTTTCTTGGCATGCAGAATTGCATGACAACTCTGGGGAGGTGGGGATGTTTTTACTCAGAATAGGTTCGTGTTCCGCTTCATCCGCCGGAGCAGAACTACTACCACTACTGCTATCATTCACCGTCCAGGACGAGGTCGCTCTACTACTTTTTGCAGATGAAGCAGCTCCTCCACTGGCAGTACTGGATACAACATCCTCGTCCACAGGGATGAAATTAGCATCCGCATCGTCTCCTGCACGATCACCATCAAGTTGTAGATCTACTCCTCGCGACCGTGGCTCTTCGTCTTTGTGGCAAAATTGCCCCCGCGCGGGTATGATCGCAGGGAGGTCCGCGTCCTCGATATCGTCTCCGTCCCAGAAGGGATGTTGCACTGTGGTCGTTTGTTCCAGGTGCTCGCCGTGGTAGACGTCCTCGTCTTCATTGTTGTCTTGCAGTACGGCGGCATGATCCTTCAACATTCCGCTTGTACTAGTTCTTGGTTTATTTGTCTTCTCGTCCTGTTCAGATGACGAAGCGACTTTGTAGTTTACAGTGGTGTTTAATATTTCGTCCTCCGCCAAACCAAGTCCTGACCTCACCACCCGCTTCAGTTCGCCGTACAAGTAGCCGAGCACGGAGGTGGAAGCCTCTGAGTCAATATCGCGATCGTCTAGAGATCCGATCAATACCGCGTGGTTATTGGGCTGGCGATGTTGCCGGACTTTTTGCTTCTCTTCCTTATCTCCTGCTTGCAACGGACGTGGTCGTGGTGGGGAGCTAGTTGTACCTTCTAGCGAGTAGAACTCGTTCCGTCCTCGCGTGTCGTGCTGCCGCTGCGACCCAGCATCTTCTTCTAGCGGCGGGGGGAGCTGCACCTCCTCCGAAGTTGTTGCACTTCTATCTTCACTGGTGAATCCACCTACTTCGACGTCGTCGTAATAGTCGAACTCAAAATCATCGGGAGTGTTTACAACAGCCCCGGAGCTGAACGCTTTAAAGCTCCTCTTGTGGCGGTTCTGTAAAGCGCCTTTCTTGATGAGAGGCAGGTCCTCGTGGTTATCCGTCCGGAGGTCGAAGTTGATCTTTCGGATGATGCGCTCCTGCATGTGCAGATAGAAGGCGCGCACCTGGTCCGGATTTGCGTACTCGTCAAAAAACTCCGGGCTGTGGTTGGGGGCGGGAACGTGGTCGGAGAAGTGTTGCTCGTATCGCAGCAGGAGGCTCAGGTAGTCGGCCTCGTTGACCACCTATCCCACGAAAAAAGTGTTACAGTTACACATTTGTTGGAGTTGCTGCATCACAAAGTTGCTCGACATGCCAAAGCAAACCTGTGATGCGCAGACTATAAGGGAAAACACGAATGAAATGAGGCTGCCAAGCATTTCCTGCATGGCAAAGGTTGCCTGCCTTGCTTGTTTCGCAACACAATGTGTAACTGTAACACTTTTTTCTTCGCATACCACCTTCTTCAGGAACCGCTGCGGGTTTTCCGGGTCCTGCCCGTCCCGGGTCAGTATGGCGTTCTCAAACGTTACAGTCTCAACTGTTACATGAATTTGTAATGCTAAACCGACCGAAACCACTACACAACCTGTAAGGGCACCTCACCGCAGATGGTTCGGCCACCAGGTCGTGGAGTCAGGCGGACCGAAGCCATCACCATCATCCTCGGGCACATATATAATCCTACTTACGCCACCTCCTTATCCTTACTTTCGCAAACAGTCCAACTTATCGCCAACATGCGCTTAACGTTCGCCAACGGTCCATACTTGTCGCCAACAGAGCACGTCTAACTTTTTTTTTTCAGGCTCCCGCACCCCCTCGGGCTAGTAGGTACGTGGTCCCAAAAACATATAACGTGTCCCCATGCAACTCCGTGCAAGAGGCGACTTTCCGATTCTGCATGCAAAACAGAGCTCCATATCGGAAAGCCAGGGCACACATACAAACTACCTTCGGATCGGCTGAAGAAACTAGAGATAGGAGGGATGCGGGCCTCCGAAACAAATAAATAACTATCTGTTCTTTTTGATCAGGCGACACAGTGAAGGTATGAATGAAGGCGCGCAAATCAAAACTCGCATGACAGAATAGGTGTCTGCCAGCGGGTAATGAACGAGCAGCCAAAAAGAAGTGCGTCAAAGCTCATCATGGAGTAAACCGCAGCGAAATAAAAAGACTACGCGCTACCGACCGGAAGAGTCGCCGCATACAAATATAAAAATAGGGATAAGCTTCGATCCCGGCCACCATACTAACACGCACAACGTGCTAGACGACAAAGGGGAAGACAAAGGTGGGAGCGCGAACCCAAAATAATTCTAGGTCGGTATAAACGCGGGAGCCATAGAGCAAGAGCTGTGGAGCCTAAGATAATGGACATGGTTACCGGGAAGCGGGCCGGAGAGCAGAAGAGAAGTAAAGATCAAAGCCGGGGCGCGAGCCGGCATAACGTTCTTTTTTTTTCAGGCTCCCGCACCCCCTCGGGCTAGTAGGTGCGTGTTCTCGAAATCATACAACGTGTCCCCAGACCACACGGATCAGAGGCGGTTTTCCGATTTTGCATGCGAAACAGTGCTCGATATCGAAAAACCAGAGCGCACACACAAAGAAACTACCTTCGGATCGGCTGAAGAAACTAGAGCTAGGAGGGAAGCGGGCCTCCGAAACAAGTAAATATGTAATTGGTATATTTCAGGCGACGGCGAGGATGTAAAGTTGCAACTATGCACGCGTCAAAATCCACATGGCAACGAGTCACCAGCGAGTAATGCACTAGCAGCAAGAAATGTCACCTCTAAGGCTCATCATGAAGTAGGTAAGACGCGGCGGACAAATAGGTAAGACGATGCGACGCCGACCAAGATGCAAGTCGCCACATACAAGCAAGAAAATAAGCATGCATAAGCCTCGATCCCGGCCTGTGTAACCACGCGCCAAACGCATGGATACGGCTGAGGGGAGGACAAAGATGGGGACGCGAACCCAAAATAAGTCTACGTCGGCAGTCGCAGGGGCCATAAATGCGGTGGGTGTGGAACCACAAGGAGATAAAAAAACAGAGACAGATACCGGGAAGCGGGCCGGATGAGACAGATCAAGACAGAATCGTAGCCGGGGCGCGAGCCGGCATAGAGAACTAAAAAAATAATAAACAGAAATACATGCGCAGATGGAGTTACTCATATCGTTTTTCATGTAAATAATAGACATCTAGTATAGCACGACGCAGTGGGCACATAGGTTACGATACAAACACAAACGGCAAGATAGTCCACACAAAGAACGCGAGCAGGGGAGCGAGCCTGCAGCGAGAGTAAATAGCCATCTGGGGGGTCGGCCAAGGACCCAGGTGCTAAGCACCATAAAGCCGAAGTATAAAAACCGCAGTAGATGAGAGGTTAACATCAGACAAGTCAAATTCTAAATTTAGTTTTTTCTATTTCCAGAGTCAAAGTATAAATTTTGACTAGAACCCTAAATCCCTAAAAACCCTGAAACCCATCGCCACTGCGTTCCGGGGCGGTAGGCGGGAAGAAGATGTTCGTCGCTGGAGCTGTGGGTGGTCGGGACAGCGGCTGCGGCGGACGACATATGATGGTCCTATATCTAAACCTAAACCTAGACCGATGTGTCCGGATGGGGACACGCAAAGAGAAAAACTGCTTGGCGCCAGTTGGGCCCGGGGGAAAGGAAAAAAGGGGGGCAGCAGAGTAAGCGAATTATGAAGCCATTTGGAAAAAAGCGCTATCAAAAAGCCTTGTGCTCTGATCCGTCCGGGCGTGCACTCCCATCTGGTTCTAAAGCTTCAGCAGTGCTGAGAGCGCTCCGACCCTAAACCTCGAGACGGATGTCAAGAGATCTACGTACGTATGCGCACGAGCAAGGCAGGAACTGCGTCTGATGTGGACGCATTCCTTACTAAAACAAAAAAGCGACTCTCATTCCGGAGGTACACCTCAACGGAGGGCCAATTTGCGAAGCGAAAATCGATCCTCACTCGAGATCGAAAGCGAAAGCGATGTCGGGCGAGAAGATCTCAGGACAGAAGCGAGCAACTCGATCTCGCGGGGCGGACTGTCGAAGAGCGAACAAAATACAAAATCGAACGAAACCGATTAACGAAGTCCTACCTCGAGTCCCTCGTAGCTCGAGAAGCGAATCGAGTACAAGGAAACTCATCATGTCAGGATGCTCTAGTGCTCAAAGTATAAATTTAAAACTTTCAGTCCTTACACACGCCAAGTGAAGGAAGCCGGTCTGTGTGTGGGGGGCGGGTCGGTTGAGCCCCAGGCTCGGACAATGCGGCTGAAATCTACTGCCTGGTGATCTGATCGCCGCCGGCGGAGTACTGAAGATTGGCACTCTGGTGCTCGAGAACGTTCAGGCCCAATATCGTATCATCGGTGTCGTATCCATCTCGATTGAGCGGCACCACGCGGAGGAAATTCGTTCAGCAGCCACATGTCGAATCCAGTTGTAGGAGGAAGGTCGCAATCACGGCACTACCCGGAGACTGTATGGGAACTAAAAAACAGAGCGAACGCATGCAAAATGAAGTAGTTTGTCATGCATGTCGGAGCGGAAACTAATTAATGAGGACGAGACAACAGATAAAGTCACGAAGCGACAGCAACCCAGAAAACTCACCCACCATAGTAGTGTGGCGAGCAAGCCAAGATCCAACTTACATGAATTTGTAATGCAAGACTAGCACAGGCGAGAGAGAGAACCTTGCGCGTCTTGCATTACAGGTTTGGTGCGGATTACAGTGCTATTTAGCCATCCGGGAATTTGTCATGCGAAGCAGCTCGATCGTCTGGCGGGTCATGGTTATTTTGCATGACAAATCGTGTAACAGTTGAGAATGTAACGTTTGAGAACCCCATAGTCAGCATGCGGAGCTTGGGCAGGCTGCCCTCGCGCCACAAGATTTCCACGTTATGAATTGCAAAAGTATCGCATTCGCACTCGTAGAAACGCATCACAAATTTCCTCCGCATGAGATTTGTAATGCTGATTTACCTTAAGAAAAAGATTTGTATATGCATCCTTGCAATACGAATACGATACTTTTGCACAGGATACACGTGCCGCTTGTACTCCTCCGAAATCCCATTCGCGTACCCGGTGACCCGAGTGGCCTTGTCCGCCGGCAGCGTGAGGTTGTTCCAAGAGTCGTATTGGGCGGTCAGTGCCATCTATCCCACGAAAAAACTGTTTCACTGTGATGATTTTGCAAGATCTGCATCACAAGTTTGTTACACATGACACAGAAGATTTGCCATGCGCGCTTTCCAAGGGAAAACACGCTGAAAAATCCTATGCCTTGCAGGTGTAGCAAGACAACTAGTTCTGTGTTCTATTCTATGCATCACAAGTTCACAGTGAAACAGTTTTTTCTTGCGATACCATCTCCCGGGCGATGTCGTCCTCGCTCATCAGCCCGAGCTCCTCTAGGCTGGGATACACGAAGTTTTTCGGCCCGAATCGGTCAAGATAGAAGAAATCTACTTCGCTTGTTCTTCTTCTTACACTCTCTTCGTCGTCGTGGTCCTCCACTGGAGAGGAGGACGAGGTTGCATCTCCTTCTTGAGCAGCAACATCGAAGGCGTGGACGTATTCGTCGTGTTTTTTCTTTTCTGCATCAGCGCTGGTCGTTGCAGCAGTGCTTGATGTTCTTGTTTTCGGGGTAGTTCTTGTAATATTTAATGGGGCAGCAGGAGCTTCTGAAGAAGACTTCTCATCATGATGCGCATCTAGTACAACTTTGACATCATTTTCTTGCACTTCTTCATCTTCAGATGAAAGCAATCCGGCTTCTTCCTCGGCCTGTTCGCGGAGCTTTTCCAAAACCTCCATGGTGTTGGCACGGCTCAGGTCTGGCGTATCAGTGCCAGGGCTAGAATTTTCAAAGTACTCCTGCTGCAACAGTTGCTTCAATTCGTCGAAAGATGTTTTTGTTGTTGTTGTGTCTCTTACAACATTTTCGTTCTGGTTCACCTCTCGCAGCTTAATACTTCCGGTCGTGGTGCTCGTCGTGCTATCGTCGTGATCGCTTTCATAGACTTCCTGTTGTTCTTCATCATGATCTGGTAACAGCTCCTCGTCAATATCTTCTCCCTCCTCGCTGTCAGAAACTATCTTACTTCGTCGGAATTTCCTGTCAATTTCTGCGGGCTCGTAAAAGTAGGAAAGGCGGAAACGGGGCTGCCACACTTGTCGCCCCTCGTGCCTGTAGCCGTATAGCATGGGTTCCACTATAAAATCACCACGCACTCGCTTGCTGTCGTCGAGCGAAATGCCGGGCGGTAACATGGTATCGCACGGAAACGCTGCTTCATGTGCTCTGATGAGATTTTGCATGCTTTGCATCGCAAATTTGCTCTACATGACGAAGAATTTTTTTGCCATGCGTACTATTCACTAGAAGTGGATGAAAGCACAGCCAAATAAATAAACGCATTGCCTTGTATGTGTAGCAAGACAAACAAATCTGCGCTGCATCGTGATCTCCATCCGCATGACGAGTTTAGTACAGTGAAACAGTTTCATTCTTGTGATACCCGGCAGGCTGGCTGTACTGCTTGTTCAGCTGTAGTATGTTTTATTTTTACATGGAAATGCATCATTTCAACCATTCAAGGTTCCATCATTATCGCCAGACACCATTGCAATTCAACGTACTCCTACTCACTCAAGTCTCTTTCATCTTAAAAGAAAAAAAACCCACACACACAATCAAGCTTTGCCTCTGCTTGAGATCTCTGTCACAGCAAAAAAAACATAGCCAAGAAAATGCCACCAAAGTTGATCTTCAAACAAATTCAAATTCTTCAAAAATTATCATGGATCGGTCGCGTTTTTGCTTTGCACGCTTTCCTAAAAGACTCAGGATCCGAGGGCAAGATCGCCGAGCTCTTGAAAAAAGCCGCAGAAGTCAAAAGTGGTTCGGGGTGATAAAGATCACAGCGTCAAACGACTCAAATATTATTTATTATATCTGGGGGGGGGGCGAAGATGTAGCAGTGCATATATCAGAAAAATCTTAGTCTTACGTTGTGCTGGTACCGAGATGCGATAATAAACGGTAGAGCTGCTGGTCTGGTCCTTGCGTCCTCGTGTTGGATACTCGTCACTGCTCTTTTGTCCCGTGCAAAAACTACAAACATCGTACCGGTAGACGCACACATCGGAATAGCAGCACAGCATCGGCATGACAAAAAATTCATAAAATGTTCATTTCCGGCCCCGGGTCACACAAATGCATGTCGAAAGTCATTCACTTTCTTGACTTTGATGCAGAAACGTGTGCGCCTAAGCTAGCAGTACTTGTTTTGCGGTCATGCTGCGTAGATATTCTTGATCACTGGGTTGCCGTTCTGGTGCTTCACTGTATTCTCGAAATTCATGCTTTATTCTCTGGTAGATTCTTGTTCCGAACAATTCTTCTTTATTGACACTCGACTTCTCTTCTTTCAAACTTCTGCTTCGCTACTAAATCTCCTTCTGTATTCACAAGAAAAAACCACCGTTAACATCTCCTCGAACAACTTCTACTATTTTTCTATCTACACATCGTCGTCGTCGTCTTCGTCAATATCTTCTGCTCGCCGCCCCCTGCTGCCTCGCGTCTGCTTGTTTCTCTCGTAATAGAATGCTCTCTGTTCTGCTGCGCGGATTTCTGCTGCCCTCTTGGCCGCGTGCTGTGCCGCCACCGCGTGGTGCATATGAATGCGCAGCTCCCGCTGTTGCTGCCGCAACACGGTTATGCACTGCAAAAGTAATATCCATCGCGTTGCTTCTATTTTCAAAACAAATTTTCGAAAGATCCAAAAAGCAATTCGTCATGCTAGACATCAGGTAGGAAAGAAGATCTCTCACGTCGCATGATGTTCTTGACTGCGATAATTTTTAGTGTACGAAATACGACAAACTCTTGCAATGGATAACGGTTTGCTGATCGAGCTGGCGTGCCGTCCCCATCAGTCTATCAAATGCAAAAGTGTCTGCGTCTGGGTCTGGAAACTTGTGATGCTAGAATGTGGATGATGGAAAGAGTTCCGAATGCAACCCAGCATGACAACTTTCCAGAACGCTCTCTCATAGGCAATCCGCATGAGAAATTGCGTTTTCGCATGTACAAAAGAGGTCGCGACTTTTGTTGGTAACGCAATACAGATTTTCTAGGTATGGAGAGCTAGCATTACAAGTTCCAACCCTTCCAGACCCAGACATTTTTACATTTGATACAGTCCCATGGCGTGCAACTGCCGAAAATATTGGCTGCGGTACACTTCCTATCCCACGAAAAAACTGTTTCACTGTGATGATCTTGCAAGATATGCATCACAAGTTTGTTACGCATGACACTGAAAATCTGTCATGCGCGCTTCCCAAAGGAAAACACGCTTCAAAATCCGATGTCTTGCAGGTGTAGCAAGACAAGTAGTTCTGTGTTCCATTTTCTGCATCACAAGCTCACAGCGAAACTACAGTATTTTCTTGCGATACTTCCTTTGCATGCTGGTCCCGCAAGAAGGCCTCGCAATATCAAATCGAAGAAAGTCCCTACGTACCCCTCATTTCTATTAGACAATAGAGCAAGAGAATCTAAAAATACCAGTCTTCTCTGGCGCGATTTCAGTACAACGAACTACACAAAGCAATAGCACTCTGTCCTCTTCATGCAAGACTCACGTCGTGGGTAATAACCTCCCAAGTATACAACGAATAAGAAACGCCATGCCTGCACAGCTCTACAGAGAACAAGAGCAACTCACCACAACCGTGAGTCAAAATACATTTACTGAGTATGTATTGAGGGGACGAGGTGGGGCGGGGTTTTTTGCTCATAGTAGGTAAGCCTGCTGCATTTTCTCTTCCGAGTGGCTGTTCTGCAGCCGCTGGTAGGTGCGCTCGTATTGCAAGCGACCGTACTGCGACACTTCGTTGGAATCCTTGGAATTGATTTGGTGTTTGTGCTTCATGATCTAGTACTTTGATGGGGAAGATAACTAGTACTCGAAAAAAAAAACTGATTGCCCATGAAAGTGGACAAGCAAGATCCATACAACTGCAGCAAGGCCGAGGGGGAACAAAACAAGAACTAAAAGTGATCCATTGTAGAAACAAAAGGACAAATTACATACACCGCAAGTACAAGATCCTTTTCTAAAATTTGGAACGAAAAGCAGGAAAAAAAGAAGCAGATCTGCCGAAACCGATCGGAGTAAAGTGGCTCAGTTGTGAGATGAAGATGTGGATGTCCTCCTAGTATCCATGCACTCACATAGTGATCGTTATTCGTCGTGGGTCTTACGAGGTCGAGGACAAGCTCTAGTTCTACATAATTTTCCACCCAGCTAAAAGTTGCTAACATTGAGTTTGAACATATTACATACCAGCCAATTGCTACCATTGAGTTCTTTTCATCCAAAATTGAGTTTAACATACCAGCGTCATGTGGATGTAGTTGTGAATTTCCTCGTTGACCATGTCGTCGCTGACAATTTTCCGTATCATGGCCAGCACGTCCGTCGGGGAAAGCAGGCCGCGCTGGGTGAGCTGCGCCAGCTGAATGGTGAGAAAGTGCCGGATATTGCAAGGAAAAGTCCCCCCTCCCCATATTGAAAACGTATTCTGGTGAAAATTTGTGATGCAGATTTGTGACCAAAAACCCTGCCTGTCTTGCCGGAAGGCAAACTCAGAGAGCCCGCCGCGTTCTGCGGGCGGTTTGTCATGCTGTAAAGCCTACACGGCAGACGTCTGCCATGCTAGACGCCTACACGACCAAAAGGCCCCTGCCTAAGCTTGCGAGCTGCGTACAGTCCTCTACTGCAAGACAGATGCGATTTGTGTAGACAAATCCCGCAACACAGATTTCCGTTTTGATATGGGGAGGGGGGATTTTTCCTTTTGATACCGGAACTGCGGGTCCCCCACGTTGCTGGTCGCCAGGATCCGGTCCGCCACGGAATGAAATTGCTGCACGAACTCTGGCGCGTACCCAGCCTCGTCCCCGCGGCGCATCTGCTCCAGCCGCTGTTTGTACTCCTCAACCGACATGCCCATCTGCGCGGCGGCGAAATGCTGGTTGTGTTCCTCTACGGCCGCCTCGGCCTCCGCGTATCAAAAGGAAAAAGGCCACCTCCCCATATCGGAAACGAAACTTGTGATGCTGCATTCGAGTACACAAATCGACTTGTATTGCTAGAAGGCCAAGACACGCAGCTGTGGCCTGAATTGCATGCAATTTTTCATGCTGTTCCCCACTTCCAGTCGCCTCCTGTCATGCTGGAGATGCAAGGCCTTCCCATGCTAGCCAGCACTACAGTCCACATCTTTTGCCTTTTAACATCACAAAACTGATTTGTTACCACGAATCTGCATCTTCACAGGTTTCTCTTTTTATATGGGGAGGGGGAATTTTGCATTGTAATACCGCGCGCCCGCTCTTCTCGTAGTCCTGCAGCAGGCGCAGGTAGGCCTTGTCCTTCACGTGCAGGGTCATACTTGGGTGGTGTCAAATGTAAAAATGTCTGGGTCTGGAAGATTGCAACTTGTCATGCTGTTTTTGGACTCTAAAAAAAATTGTATTGCATGACCAGCAAAATGGGTGCAGTTTTTGCTACACAGACAGGCCATTTCTCATGCGGAAGGTGCATCAGGAAGCCCTCTAAAAATCTTCGATGCTAGTTCAAGCATTACAGGTATCATGGGTCATGAGAAATATGCATGACAAATCTTGCATTCTTCCAGACCCAGACATTTTTGCATTTGATAGGTGGTGGCCCATGGCGACGTGGTACATGTGGTCGCGCCGGGAACCGCCGCCCACGGAGGAGCTCGTCGTGCGCGCATGTTGACCGCCCCCGTGCTGTTGCTGTTGATGTTCCCCAGCAGCACTCCCCGTTTGTTGAGATGAAGGCCCACCGCCACTGCTGCTGCGCAGGATAGCCATCCGCGGCCCACTGCCCTTATGGGGTTCTCAAGCGTTACACTCTCCACTGTTGCATGGATTTTATTTTGGCCTGCAGAATTCTCCTCAGTATCTGGATGACCAAGCTGCTTCGCGTGCAAAGAACAAGAAGTTCTTAGCGAGCTAGATAGCATCGGAACAATCTGCGCCAAAGAACCTGTACGTGCCAAAGGCACGAACATACAAGAACTCTTCCGTCTTTCACTTTTGCCATTCTTGCATCTTTACAAATTCTAATTCATGGAACGGTTGTGAATGTAACGTTTGAGACTCCCATAGCCCGAAGTGAACACATCGTATGCGTCCTTGGCGTTCTGCATCTCTTGCTCGTACAATTGGATGCCGATCAGGTCAATATCCGCGTTGTCCTTGTTGTCTTCCGAGAGCAGCTATCAAACGCAAATGTGTCTCGGTCTGGAAGATTGCGAGCTTTGCCTTTGTCATGCTTTTCTGGCATGACTCTGGACTCTGTGTTGCGTGGCCACAAACAGCTCTCTCTGCCTGTCGTGCAATACCGCAGCTTCTCATGCGGAATACGCAACACAGCGCGACGAAAAAACCTGTCATGCTTGGCGGTGCATTACAGAGTGCTTGGTATTCGCTGAGTTGCATTACAAGTTTCCAGACCCAGACCACATATTTGCCATTCATAGCAGCCGCTTCAGACTCTGCATCCGCTTCTCCCGATGCATGGCCTTATGAAATGCAAAAGCATCGTACTAGTAGAAATCGCATGACAAATTCTCCCAGCATGAAAAATGGAATTTGTCATGCGGATTGAGCTTCAGAAGGAGATTTGTAATGCATGGCTGCGATTACTACGAGTACGATACTTTGGCAGTTCATAGGCCTCCCGCCGCTGCAACTTGCGGTCCTCCACCTGCGCCTGCTTGGTCATCTTCGTGCCCTGTCGGTTCGCCTTCAGCTGTTCCTCGTACCAGTCGCTCGACAGGGACGGCTCCACAAACGTGTGCATGCCCGCAGAACTACCGGAGGCAGCACGGTGCTGCGCCCAATACTGCTGGTTGTGGATCCTGTGTTGACCATTCTGCGTTTTTCATCTTTCTTTGTGAGTCAGTAGCTCCTTTGATGTTATAATTCACAGGGTAATTATTCCCTATCACGTGCAGCATGGTGTTGACATCAGCGGGAACTACATTCATTCTCCTGAAGAAGTTAATACTTTGATTTTGTTTGATGCAAGATGAACTACGTAAGTGCTAGAACTTCTTCCACTTTATTGTCGCGTACTAAAGACTTTTTATACCGTTCTGATGGGAACTGCTCTGGACCAATGGGCCTTCCATACATCCCCGCGGTAGTAGAAGCCCCGTTGGCGTTGATGCCCTTATTTGGGCTGTCCAGGACCGTCCAGTGGTGTTGCCAGCCTATCATACGAAAAAGTGTTTCATTGTAAAGTAAGGACTTTGCGTGCAAGTTTTGCATCACAAGTTTGTTCTAAATGACTAAAGAAAATTTGCCATGCGAGGTTCCTAAGGCAAGATCAAAACACGTTTGAAATTCCATATGTCTTGCATGTGTAGCAAGACAAACACTTCTGCAATGCACTTTCTGCATCACAAGTTTACAGTGAAACAGTTTTTTCCTTCGATACAGTCTTGCGTGATAGCAAGCCGGTATGCGGCGTCCGAAATCCAGCTGCTGGCGTGCACGGTGTCGCTTCTTATCGACATTACAAATTCTCGATCTGGGAGGTCGGATGAAAAAGTAGATGGTTGTACTTTAATGCTTGGTATGCAAGTTCATCGTCCGCAGCGAACAGTAGTTGTCCTCCTGGTCCTCGAATGAGATTCATATATAAAACGACTTCTTTTATTCTTTCAGAGTGGGCAACTACAGATCGCCATATTTTATAGCAAACTTGTCCTCGTCTCCTGTGGCCCCGTATTGAAGAAGTGTCCTTCCTTGATGTAATTGTCCGCATCCGATATCAGCATGACAACTTTCGTCCAGACTCAGATCGATATTTATTTTTGCAACTCGTATTTCTTCCTCCCTTTGCATTTCCACTGTTCACTTTTTTCACGGTCGTCGCCTCGGCGTTCTCCGCCCACCAATCCGGAACTCTTTGCGCTGCTTATCACAATGAAAAACGCCCCCACCCCCGAACTTGGCGGGGGCATTTGTATTGCAAACCTTTCCAACAGAAACATTCGTCCCCTTGCATCTAGCAGCATCACAGATTTCAAATCGTGAATAGCGAAAATTTGTATTGCAAAAGATCCCAGCAGGAGCGGCGCTTGTGATGTAAGCAATGCTATATACGCCTAGACTCTGCATCACAAAGATTCATATTTCTTTCATGCATGACAAAAGCTTTTCATTTGGAAACTTCGCATCACAAATTGTTGCAACTTTGGGGTTGGGAACCTTTTTCACTGTAATACTGCTCTCTCGTTGCTGGAGGCGCCGAAAAGGAACCGGAAGGGTGAAATCGAGGAAAAGAAGCCTGTGGGTGCTTGCTCCCCGGGCTGATGATGCTCCTGCCCTACTACAAATGCGTCATGAACAGCTCCACTACCTGCGGTGGAGAACACTGCGCCGGACTGGTACAACTGTTGCGCGGATCTAATGTTGTGCAGATTGGCGTTCTTGTTCGACATTCCTGTGTAGAACAAATGGTCTAACTTCGCGCCCCCGTCGTTCAGCAGTCGGCTCCGCTGCTCGTGCTGTCGTGCCGCGCGCCAGGACGACCACGGAAGAAACATCCACACGAACACGCAGACAACCGCCACGTGGAAGAAAGCCCGCCCGGGCGCGGACAGGTACTCAAAAAGGTTGAGCAAGAGCTGGTGAAAATGATTTTGGTAGGAACCACGCGCGTGTCCACCAGCTGTCCCCCACTTCTGCGCTGCACTGCCAGTTAACCCCGCCCGGCGAGCCTGCAGAGCCGCAAACCTGGTGCTCTGTCGTGCGTTGCTACTATTGTATCCAGTAGCTGTGCTGCTCCCAAAGGGCGAGGAGAAGGAGGAGCTAGAAGAAGTTGCAGTACTGGTGCCAGCTGTATCACGCGCAAAAATGTCTGGGTCTGGAAGACTCGGAGCCTGTCATGCACATTTTGCATTGATTGATTGATTGATGTAGCTACGCCCCCTGACGTACCTCGGTAGCCGATTGCTCTACCAGCCGGAGATGCTAAATTCATGCCTATCTGTTCGCGTTTGCATAAGCCATGATGTCTGTGATGCATGCCCTAGCATCACAGATTTTTTGATGGCATCTTGAACTTGATGCCTACTCAGCATGACAAATCCCTTCTCCACGTAGCAAAAATCGACTCCCTTTGCTGCTCATGCAATACAGATTTTTTTTGGAATCCAAATGCAGTATCACAAGTTGCAATGTTCCAGACCCAGACATTTTTGCAATTCATAAGCTGTTGTTGTTGACAACTGTCCTCTGCTGGCAGATGATGATGCAGCAGCGTGATGTTCCTTCTTACTGTTGCGGTTCGCGGGCCGGTACTTGTTGATAATCTTCGTCGAGGACGACGTAGTTGTACTACTAGAGCTGCTTACGCTTGTTCCCCCACTAGAACAACCCGCGTGCTCTGCGTCTTGTTCGGCCCCGTTGGACGACGCGTGCTGTTGGTCTGCTCCTGCGGAAGTAGAACTGGACGAGGAGTGCTCAGAAGTAGAAGATGATGAAAAGGAGCCATCACTTGAAGATGTTGTTCCCTGGTAGTTGGTGTTCATCTCTTCTGTAGCTGCGCCGCGACCACGCGCCCGGGGATTTTTGTCCTCGACGTGGTCACAATCATCTTCCCCTACTTCGCCCAAAACTTTCGCCGCGTTGGAGAGCGCCGCGGAATCTGGGATGATGTTGCCGTACGATGTATCCATAGTGGCGGAGAAGAGTGCTTCCACATAGTACTTCCAATGCACTTATCAACTGTAAAAATGTCTGGGTCTGGAAGATTCTGATACTTGTCATGCACGTTTTGCATGAGCCATGATGTCTGTGATCCATACCCTAGCAATACAGATTTTTTGAGGGCTTCTTGATGCCTATTCCGCATGGAAAATGCCTTCTCAGCGTAGCGAAAATTGCATTCCCTTTGGTACTCATGCAATACAGATTTTTTTGGAATCCAAACGCAGCATCACAAGTTGCATTCTTCCAGACCCAGACATTTTTACATTTGATAGCACTTGCCGAGACAGATAGTCCGCCGTGAACCTGCACTCAAACTCGTTTTCCAAATCGAGCTATTAAAATGAAAAATCCCCCCTCCCCATACCGAAACGGAGATTTGTGTAGCATGATTTGCTACCACAAATCATGTTGTCATGCTAGAAGGCAAAAGATGCGGACTGTACTGCTTGCTGGCGTGGGAAAACTTTGCATCTTCAGCATCACAGGAGGCCACTGTAAGTGGGAAAAAGCATGACATATCGCCTACAATTTAGGCCGCATCTGCGTCTCTTGGCCTTCTAGCAATACAAGTGGATTTGTGTACGCAAATCCAGCATCACAAGTAATGTCCTTTTCAATATGGGGACGGGGGATTTTTCCTTGCAATACGAGCGGCGGCAGGTGGATCCGCTGCCAGAAGCTCGGTTTCTGCTGTTTGCTCTTCAAATTGATGTGCGTTTTCTTGTTCAAGGATACCCGGACCGAAGAGTTCTTCACTGGCTTAGAATGTTGATTACTGTGACTGCTGCTGCTGCTGTTCTGCTGTAATGTAGTAACTTCGCCTCCGTGGTCCTCGGCTTGATATTGTGAATGGTTATAACCGGAATTCGCAGAAGAGTTGTCTCCTTGTGAAAATGCTCGTCCGGAGTTGTAGTTACTACTGCTCTCGTCGTGGTCCTGACCCGAAATGCTGTGCTGAAACTCCGCTCCTGATCCTTCCGATACTCCTTGCTCGAGTACTTTCCGTACGTACACAACTTTCCGGTACCCCTTCTTCGACAGCAAAATGCCGTGCACCAACTGCGTCACCAGAAATTCGAAGGTCCTGGGCAGACTGTCCTTGCTGTTGGCAAACACGTAAAAGCGCTTCAGGTTTCGCAGCATGGTTTGCACTTTTTCCATCACGAAGTGGCAGACTTGCCGCTTCTTGGCGACGAGGAAGCGAAAAGTGAGCGCCGGATATTCAAGGCAGCAGTCCTTGATGTTCACGTAGCTGTACTTATTCGTCTTGTCCGCGGATGTCGTTCTTACAGTGGAGGCGGGCGAGGAAGTTCTTGTGGCACTACTACCATGATCTGCGGAGGAGCTGGAGCTTGACGTTGATGCCTTATTGGTCATCGCGGATGCAGCCGGGGAAATGATTGAAGTTGCTGTGCTCGCTGTTGCACCATCCGCCTGCTCAGAAGTAGCTGCGCCACTAGCGGACGTAACGGAATCACCCAGAGTACTAGAAGACAACTTCGGCTGAGTCGTGTACCTTTTCATCTTTCTGCACCACTGCAGGCTGTTTCGGTAGGCTTTCTGCATGTTTTTTCCGACGTTGGACCCAAGCACCTGCTGTGTGATGCATTTGCCGTGGGTGGTGGCGAAGTTGCCACATCTTTTTCCGCACCGCCGAACCGTGTCTCGTCCCGCGCAAGCGAATGCGGAAGACCCGCCGGAAGTTGTCGGGCGCCGCCGCTGTTTGCCTGCCGGTGAAGGAGCTCCTGAAGATGTCGTGGAGGGGGCTGATCTTTTTGGAGAAAGAACCGCAGTCGTGGTCGGCGCTGAATCACCACCCAGAGCAGGAGACCCAGTTCCTTGTGATGTGACTGCCGCATCATGAACGTCTCCTTGATGTTGCACCAGCCTCGAGAAAGCAGGGAGATCCCCAGCACGCGGGGCGGTTTTTGGTCCGTGTGCCCCAGGAGCGGCCCCCGCCCCGCCGGCGCCGATTACGGAAGAACTGTTGTGCTCTTCTTGATGAGGCAAATAACCATTAGCATCAAGACTACGACCTCTCGCACCGAGCATCATCCGACTCGCTGCTGCGTCGTCGAAATTCATTGGAGATTCCGCTGTGGTCTCGGCCGAGCTCGCGGGGGCAACTACTACGCCCCCGCTGGGAACAAAGTTATTTGCAGCGGTTTTTTTCTCCAACAGCTGCGACGTCAGCAGCAGTTGTTGCTTCTGCTTTTTCGTCTTTTTTGCGATCACATTCGGCAAGATGTCCTCTCCGGTTACGGTGCTCACCGCTTTGGCGTTCACCTGCTTCAGCAACTTCCGTGCCACTTTCAACGCTTCAGCGGCCTTGTTTATGTTCTGCGCGTCAGTAGACTCGCTAGTGCAGCTGCTCGGGTGATGAAGATGCTGCTGTTCAGGAATGCTCATGCTAGCGGAAGTGGTCGTAGCTGGGGCGTAGTTCACTGCGGCTGGCGTTTGGTCTGGCATCTTGTGCCTGAGGTTTGATGTTGTGTGCCTTTTTCTTCCGTGTGCATGTTTGTACGCCGTGCGTGGCGTCGTGCTTTAAGTGATGGCTCCAGCACGTCTCATCATGACAAAAATAGTAAATGAATTCGGTCGAGGTACTAGTTCTGTTTGGAACATCAATCAATCCGGATTTCACAATCATCTGAAAAAAAAAATAACTTCACATGTGAGTACTTACTATGGTAAGTACCTGTTCGAGGCGCTGGCAATGGAATTCACGTCTACACTCGTGACGCTGCACCCGCCGGCCGGTGTGAACACACTCGCCGCGGGGGTTCCTTGCTCCAATTCCCCAAAGGAGGCCGTCGAACTTGAGGAATCGCGCAAGATCATCGACAATTTCGGCTCCTGTTGGAAGTGATTTTTTCCATATTGATATTGCTGCTGTCCAACACTGGCTGTGGAAAAAGATGAGCCCGAAGCTGCAGATGCTGGAACCGCTCCCGCGCCAGAGTTGTACATCAATAGCTGCTCTTGTTGTTCGATTGACGTCGACACACAGACACTTTTCGAAATCGAGGATCCAGCACTTGATGTTCCCGTAAGTTTGTTATTCCCGGTGGAAGAAGATGACATCGTCGCGGCACTGTTCAGCGGGGGCGCGTTCATATTCATGACGTCTTTTTGCTTTTTCTGCTTTTTCCCGCCCTTGTTTTCCTTCTTCTTCCCGCCGAGGTGCGATTTCATCTGCTTTAACCGCTGCGCTTCGCGGAACACGGCCTCCGGATCCAATTCGGGCTGCTTGGGCTTCGTCGAGAGGTGGTTCATTCCGACGTCCAGCTGGCTGGCGGTCAGGGTGTTTTGCAGAGAGTCTTGGTTGCTTGTTCCGGATGTGGTCGTCAACGGGCTGGGATTATTGGTTGACGCTTGTTGAAGATGATTTTCAGTAGTTCCAGCACTGCCGTCGCGCATCATCTGGCTATCGGTCACGCAAATGTCTCGGTGAAAGTCCTCTGGCTTGTCGATGCAAATGTCGATTTGCCGTGTGGCGTGGGAGTTGCTCGTTGCATCACCATCGTGCGCCAGCTGTTGTTCGCATGCTTGCTGCTCCTGATAAGAGGTCGCACCGCCCCCGCAGCTAGAATTATAATTGGTACTATTTTCATTGGTGATACTGTACTTGCTGTAACCAAGATTGTTCTTGTTTTCCCACCGGGTTGCTCGCAGCGACGGGTGCCAGTTCTCCGCGTTGTTGTGCTGATTCACATTGTTCATCTGGTTGCCAGAATTATTATACAGGCCCATTTTTGCAGCTGCAGAACTCGTCCTATTCGTGGCTGCACTACCACTTCCACCAGAGTTGTTCATTAGCGTCGCATTGCTGACCCCACCGTCCCCGTTGCCGCCAGAGGAATCTGCAGCTCGGGTGGACGAGGAAGTTGTCGTGTTACTGTTGTACTTGTTCGCATTGTTTTTCTGAAGACTCTCGCCATTAGCAGTCCAATGCGGATGGTGGTGTTGACCACTGCCACGACTCCAGGTAGAACTTTCGTTGCTATCATTGTACAAACGAGATGAAGAACCATAATTGCCGTAAGATGAACCCTCGTGCTCGTGCAGCTCCTGGGTAGTACTACTTTCATTCGTGGTCGACGTCCCATAATTGCTGTTGTACAACCCCGCCCGGTTCAAGGATTTATTATTTCCCTGTCTGCTCTTCGACCCCTGGCGCTTTGATGATCCCACGTTCATCTTGCCACCGCCCTTTTCCTCGCGAGAGCGGCGCAAGGGTGCACCAGTCTGGTCGACGTCGTGCAGGGTGCTATTACTGATCGACGACGAGGACCCTGCGACGTTCTGGTCATTATCCGTGTTATTCACACAAGAAGAACTTGTTGTGGTCCCACTTATATGTTCTCCTCCGCCCACGCTGTTCATCTCGTGGCTCGCCGGCGTGACCCCGTTTGTCGTGCTGGCAGGCGTGCGGCCGGCGGCCGTGGTTCCCTGCTGAATTATGCACAGTAAATTTATTCCTGTACACGACGTGACGTACAAATGGTGCCATTCTGGCATGACAAGCCTCTTCTCGTAGTGTATTTGGCATGACAAAAGTTATAAATGCGTTTTGTAGGTATCTGCATGTCAGGATGAAATTTGTGTTGCGTATCATCAGCACTAGTGCTGGTGGAGTTGGAATCTTTTTCCCCTCCGTGGAAATTCACACCCATCATGTCGGGGTCGGCAGCGGTGGAGGTGGTGATGGCGTTGTTATCCTTATCCACCGAGGAAAGATTGCCAGATGGTCGCCCAGCGCTCGTGGCAGTAGTAGTCCCACCCAGGTTCATGGCTGTGGATTTTTCGGAGAGACTCCCGTCCGCGGAAAAGTTTTCCTTCTCGTCTAAGGAGTTAAAGTGCGTCGTCACCTCGGACTCCGCAAAGGTGGGCGGTATAATCCCGTTGAAGCTCGAGGTTTTCGTGCTGCTGATCGATCCTTCCTTATTCACCGAAGAAGTGAAAACCGGGTTGTGGCAAGACGCGTCCCGTCCCTGGCCCTTCATCCCGCTGGTGCTCGCATTGTTCGTCCCCTTGGAAGTACTTGTATCGCGCATAGAATTATCGTGTAGATCGTGCTGGCCGCTAGTTGTATTCATACCAAATGGCGCGTGATGGTGTTCGCTGAGATTTGCTGCGCTGCCGCTCATATTACCTGCAGTAGTTCCCGAGGAATTATGGCTGCCACAGTACGACGAGGACCCGTGATTGTGTTTATTCGCGCTATTTCCCGAAGCTCCTGTGCTTTGATTTTCGTAGTAGCCACTGCTACGATGCTGGTCTTTCCCACTTCCGTAGTAGCTGTCCTTCCCCGCGTTGTTGTACCCAGAAACCCCACCGCCGTAGCCGGTATCAAAGTTCGCGTTGCAGCTATGGGTGTTCAACACCGAACTCAGCCTCGTGCTGTTGCTGCGAAAGGACCGCGCGCCCGCGGAGGAATGACGCTCCTTGCCGCCCGCACCTTTGTGTTCGAAGCTGCTACTGTTCGTTGTGCCCTTGCCACCACTAATCTGGTTGATGTTGCTGTAGGAGGAACCATTTGCGTGGTAGTTATTGTCACCAACACCACTGGAATTTGTATTCCCGGGACCTGTTCCAATGCGAGGGTCATACAATCCCTCGTACTTGTTGTCGTTGTATTTCTGATTGTGATTGTGATTGCCAGCACTCTGATGTTGCCCTCCACCACCCCCGTATTTCCCTCCTCCACTGCTGTCGTTGTAGCGATTTCCTCCGCCCTTCTTGCCGCTGAACGTCGAACTGTCCTTCCCGCTGTCGCGCCCGCTCGGACCTCCATGCTGGTACAACCCCGTGGCGGAGCTAGAGCGGTTGTGTATGGGGTTCTCAAACGCTACATTCTCAACTGTTACATGAATTTGTCATGCAAAAGCACCATCATCATCCACGCGATCAAGCTGCTTCGCATGACAAATTTGCCTAGGGCTAAACAGCACTTAAATCTGTGCGGAATCTGTAATGCTACAGGCGCAATCTCCCCCCTTTCACTTTTCCCATTCTTGCATCACAAATCCATGTAACAGCTGAGAATGTAACAGTTGAGAACGCCATATTGTGGCTCGAATTGTTGTGGTATTTGTCGTTGTACTTATTGCCGTTGTTGTATCCAGGAAAAAAAGTGTGTAAGTGTAACTTTCTTTGAGGAACAGCATCACAAATTCGCTCTACATGACAGAGAAAACCTGTCATGCATGGTTTGTAAGGGAAAACACACATGAAAATAGGACTTCGTGGCTGTCTGGCATGACAGGTGTAACTCTGTTGCATCTTCTGCAACACAAATTTACACTTACACAGTTTTTTTCTTGCATATGTTGTTATCGAACGCTGCACCGCTGTTCGCGTACTTAGAATGCACATTGTATTTCGAATTTGATCCATAGCGGTGGTCATGTTGTGCCTGACTGTTGTTCCTGTTATCCTTTCCCTCCGTTCTTTGGTTCATGTTGCTGTTTCGGGAGTTATTGTTCATTTGGCTGCTGTTGTTGATATTATTGTCATAGGGGCCTCCTGCGTTGTTGTTGTTGTGCACCATCATGCCAGTCGGTGGCTTCCCATGCTGTGCTGAGGCACTACACACGTTGTTGCCTATTGGGTGCATGGAATTTGGGGTGTTCACGTTGCTCGGGACTAGGTTGCAGTTTGTCGGCATATTCGAACAATTTGTTCCCATCTGATGCTGCTGCATCCCTTGCATATGATGCTGCTGCTGCTGCTGCCCGTTGTTCAACATGTTCTGGTGTGCCGCATGAAAGTGTTGCTGCTGTTGTTCGAAGGTAGTATTCTGCTGCCCGAAAGTAGAACAAGCAGTGTTGTTTCCAGCGTGGTGGCCGCCGAGGAGGTTGCTGCCCTGCATCGCGTTGCCTCCAAAGCCTCCATTGCTGTTCGCCACAAAGTTGTTATTTCCACCCTGTTGTGCGTGCTGATGTCCACCGGCGGCGCCCATGAGCTGCTGCTGCTGCTGCTGCCCGTGATGCTGCGTTGTTCCGGAAGTAGTGGAGGACCCCACGCTGCAAACGCTCGTGGTAGCTGGTAAAGGCGGGTTCAGTGGGCTTTGCTGGGTCGAGGATGGGAACAGGGATTCCATGAACTGCAGACCCATCGTATCAATCTGCTGCTGGACGGATTGGGCGTGTTGCTGCGCCGCTGTCTGGTGCTGCTGCGCAAATTGTTGCTGATGAGCGTTGTTGTTGGAAAATTGCATCATGTTGCTCTGCTGCATATTATGCGGGTCCGGCTGTTGTCCCATGTTATTATGCTGCTGTTGGTGGTGTTGCCCTTGTTGTGACCCCCCGCCACCCATAGTATTGTTCGCCCCCATAAGCTGCATTTGACTTTGACTGTCCTGAAAATTCTGCTGATTCATTAGATTTTGCTGCTGCTGCTGCATCAAGGCTTGCTGCTGCTGCTGTTGTAGCTGCTGCTCCTGACTCAAGAGCTGGCTCTGCTGAAAACCAGCATTCTGGTCCGCTCCGAAGCAGCCTCCGTTTTGGTTCTGCTGCTGCTGCTGGACTATCTGCCCGTTGATGTGCAGATGCTGTCCCGGGACCACCGCCTGCTGGTTTATTTGCAAGTTCTGCTGCTGTTGAGCAAATGCCATATTCTGCTGCTGTTGAAATTGCTGACTCGTCGTGTGACCAAACTGATCGACCTGTTGCTGCTGAAAAGTACTGGCCATCTGCTGCTGCAGACTCAGATCCGAAATCGGCCCTTGGTTCGGAGACGAAGCAGCTGTGCCGGGCAGGTTCTGCTGCTGCTGCTGCTGCTGTGGATCCACCAGATGCTGTGGACCTCCTGTGTTTAATACCCCGAGCTGCTGTTGGTGACCACTCTGGTCGCCCCCGCCCATTTGCTGTTGTTGTTGCAACATCATGGCCTGGTGCTGTTGCTGCTGTTGTTGGGCAACTTGTTGCTGCAACGACCCAGCCGCGCCGTTAATATTATCCGGTGGTAGCTGCATCAACTGCTGGTGCTGTTCCCCCGCGCCCGCGGTTGGCATCTGTATGAGCTGTTGTTCTCCGGTTGGCATCTGCAAGATTTGCGGCTGCTCGTCTCCCGTGGGCATTTGCAACATCTGCTGTGCTGGTCCACCGCAATCATTCGCAGCTCCTGTGCTAGTACCTTGCTGTTGCTGTTGTATTTGCTGCAGCATCTGCGGGTGACTTTGCTGCGGGTGATTTCCGCCAGCAGTAGAAGTTGTGCCTTGCAGTTGCATGTTGTGCGGACCGCCGAACGGCTGCTGCTGCTGCTGCTGCGCATGATTGTTCCCTAGCAATTGCTGGTGCTGAAACTGCTGCTGATTCAGGACGAGTTGTTGCTGCTGCATTTGCTGCTGCTGCGAAAGCTGAGCCATCTGCTGCTGCATCATCTGCTGTTGCAGCAACAAATTCTGTTGCTGCTGCGCGTCCAGCGGTTGACCTGTCTGTGGATCGACCACCGGTTGGACGAGCTGCTGCGAGGTCGTGGGGTTGCCGTTCGCGTCCAGTGGTTGCATCTGCCCCGGGGTGGGAGACAAAACGCCCACACCAAACTGCCCCTGCTGCTGAAGCTGCAGCTGCTGCTGTTGCTGCCCTGCCGCCGAGTTTGGTGTAGTCCCCTGCAGCATCAGATTCTGCTGCAAAAGCTGCTGACCCTGCTGCTGGTTCAAGTTATTCAGGTCGATCAGCTGTTGCTGCTGCTGGCCACAGTTATCCACAAGAACTCCCGGTTGTTGCACTATTGGCTGCCCACCTCTGTTGTTCTGCTGCTGCGGCAAAGTAGACCCTTGATTCACCATCTGGCCCTGCTGCTGGTTCAACTCTATCAACCCTTGTGGCTGCAGCTGCGGGGATCCGCCAGGAGGCTGCTGCTGCTGCTGCTGCTGCTGCAATGGCTGCAGCAACTGTGAGTTGTCTACTGACCCCCCAGTATCAACTGTAAAAATGTCTGGGTCTGGAAGATTGCGAGATTTGTCATGCATATTTCGGATCACGCAAATGGCGTCTGATGCAGGCAAAAACATCACAGGTTTTGAGCACGCCTCATGATGCCTCTCCCGCATGAGAAACTTCCTACTTGCGTGCCAAGAAATTGACAGCTTTTGGCGCTCATGCAACACAAATTTTTGTGTGCTCCAGAGTTTGCATCACAAGTGCCAACCCTTCCAGACCCAGACATTTTTACATTTGATACCCAGCTGCGCCCATCAACGGCCCTTGCGGCGGCGAGTGCTGCGGGTGCTGAAGTGGTGTGTATGGCGTTCTCAACTGTTACATTCTCAACTGTTACATGATTTGTCATGCAAAATAGCCTTCAGAATCGACACCATCAAGCTGCTTCGCATGACAAATTCTCAGAGGGCCAAACAGGCTGACAATCGGCGCCAAATCTGTCATGCAAGACGCGCAAGATCTCCCCTATCACTTTTGCCATTCTTGCATCGCAAATTCGTGTAACAGTTGAGAATGTAACAGTTGAGAGCGCCATAGTGTGGCGAGCGGGGTTGTGAGTTGAGAACTACTCGCACTTTGCTGCATCAGTAGCTGGTTTTGCACACTGTTCGGGTCGCCGATTTGATGTTCCTGCAGAAGTGACTGAGTCGTGGTTCCACCTGTAGTGGTGTCTTGCGCGGCTCCTGTTGCAGTACTACACGCCCCACTGGTGTTGCTGTTGTAGCCATTGTTCGCGTAACTACACGAACTCGATGTAGTTGTTAACAGGCTACTTTGCATGATCGCTGTCGCCTGCTGCGCTATCGTGGTCATTGGCACGACTGGCACTGCCGCAGATGTACCACCTCCGCCGTCCGCACTGTTGTTGCTCAGGGACGACTGCAGCAATGCTGGCGGCTGTTGATCATGCGCGAGGTTCAGACCACTGCTGTTCGAAATGTCGCTTGCAGCGGGTTGTTGTGTCACCAGACCACCAGCAGTACTAGAACACCCTCCATCCGGCGACGTAGTTGAAGATGACCCAGAAGTATTGTTCACCACGACTCCATTCAGTTGTAGCGGCCCCTGCATGATGGTACAACTATCGGTGTCAACAGGTTCTACACTTGAAGCTGCTGCAGCCGTACAACCTCCTGGAGCAACTCCTGCGACACTGCTTTGTTCAGCATCAGCTCCCTCCCCCTGCTGAGTAATGAAATTGCTCGTCTCGCCGCTTGGAACAGATTGTTGTACAACTGCTCCACCTATTTGTTCGCTCGTCGGCTGCTGCTCGTCCTCGGGGTCCTTTTGCGAAACAACAAGCTCTTGCAGTTGCTGCGAGAGCTGCCCCGGCGCCATTGTGTTCAGCTGCTGGTAGAAGGTTGTCGGCTGGTCACTAGTGTTACTAGTACTTCCTGCACTCGCAGCACCACCTGCGCTCTGTTCAGGCGTTGAACCATTGCCTCCTCCTTGCACGACCTGGCTGCTGGAATTCATGTCCTGCTGCTGCTGCTGTCCACTCGCAACAATGTTCGAGCCGTCCCTGAATATTTTACATTTAGTGTATATTTAGATTCTTCGTAATCCCACCAGTTCAAATCCTAGCACAGAAGTGTTGTATAGTTAGTAACCAGGAAAGCAAATGAAGACAAGCTGATGCACAAGCGAAGCGCATGAAAATCTTACTTCGTACTAGCCAAACAACAAGATGAAGAACGACCGCACATTCATCATCATACAACAAGAAATTGCCGAAAAAGTAAAGTCTCAATCTCGATATAGTACTTTCCGAATATGGGGGGGCTCATCGTCGGTACAGGTGGGATGGGGACCCACCTCATATTGGACGGAAAATTGCTCGGTGGCCCGCTGGACGAAGCATTGTTTAGCATCATCGCGCCGGAGGAAGCAGCGATGCTATTTTCGGAGCTGGAATCCGAGCACGCGGCCGTGCTGGTGCATTCCTTCTCAGCTTGCTGCTTACTCATCGCGGTGGCCCCCGCGATCATGTCGGTAGGCACTACCGATTCGGCCGCCGCGTGGGCGACCTCCAGTATCTCGATGGAAGAAGGTGGAACCGCTCCCGCTGCAGCGATGTCCTGCTCAATAGCTGGTGGAGCTCCTGCTGCTGTCTCTGCTGCTGCATTCTGAGCCGAGACAGCGGAGTTGCTTGCGCCAGCGCGTGTCGGGAGGCCGCCTGGTTGGCTGTGAAGATGTTGATCCTCTTGCAGTTTTTGCACCTGGTCAGCAGGAACACCAGGTCCACCCCCGCTCGGTGCTTGTACAACAGCTCCTGCATGATTTCCAGCGGCGCTATTGTTCACACTCACCTGCTTCGGCTCCAGAACCGCTGCACTGGTTGTACTAGAAGTTGTACAACACTCGGGCGGCACGTTGCCCGCATTGGCAAACAGCTTTGGTGGCGGACAGCTGGGCACTAGGGGGATTAAAGTCTGATTTTGGGCTTTCTGGTGGAAGGGAATCGTCGGGCCGCCCCTTTGGTGATTTGGTGGATTGTTGTTTAGAGCTTCAACACCCGCTAGCATGAGTAGCGGTGAATCTTTAGTGAATTTTGCATGACAAGTTGCAGAGCAGACTGCAGATGCGTTGTCCCTCTTGGTCTTCTGGGGAGTAGGTTCTGCACGCTGCGCCAGAATGAAGTCGCGGCTCATGCGGCGGGCAGCTAGAAATAGCCTGGGCGTTGTTCCCATTTTGCGCCTCCCCGTGCTTGCATCAGAGCACTACAGCAGCCGTGGCAAAGCACCAAAAAGAAAGGCGGCGAAACGCATGCAACTACGCAAAAAGGCGCGAGAGCAAGGGCGAAAGGACCAGGCCGAGAGCTTTGACGCGTCTATCCGGCAGGCGCGTGAACTCTCCAGGCCTAGGCCTTTTCGGCAGAATATAGACGGGCTGAGGGCAGCCGAGGGCGCCTGTCTTTTCCTTCCGGCACCACTTCCAAGGGCCTACCTGTGCACTTTTTTGAGCACTTTTCTGCGCTAAAGTTTGCTTATCACGGTCGAAAAGGGGGGCCCGGTGAGTTTTGGGGTGAATTTTGAAAAAACCGTGGGTGAATTTTGGCCCGAGGTGCCTATTCAAAATTCGCTAACGCACGAGAAACTAATTCACCAAGAGAATTCCTGACCTTGGGGTCACGTCGGAAAGGCCTCGCTCCGGAGGCAAAAACACGCCTGGGGAGTTGGGAGCAGAGCACAGCAGGCGAAGCAAGCTACCGTCCGCGGCCGAGTCGGGCCTTCCCTTCCACTCGAGGCTACTCTCAGATATCCAATTCCAAACCGCAACTCGCGAGAGCGTACGCGTTGTACTACTAGTGCTCCTGTGTTCAGGCGTCGCCCTCCCTTTCGACAATTCCGGAGAGGAACTTCTCAGGCAGACGCGCAGAAGAGTAAGAGCCACCCGATCCACCTTCTTTGGTTACATACGCACTACACAGCCCGGCGAGCGAGCCCCCGCAAGACCACTTCTTTCGGTCCTGCAAGCGCCACCACGCGACGAGCAGCCCTTCACGCTATGCGGGATGCTTGGGCTCGTGTGTCTAATACCTAGCGCCCTTCTCTTTTAAGTACTTAAATGCAAGTCATGCAATACAAATTCACTGCAAATTCACCCTTCTGTACGCTAACGACCGTCCAAGGCATAAACTGTTGTGCGTCGGGCCGCCCCTTTGGTGATTTGGTGGATTGTTGTGCTGCACCGTTTGCCCCCGCGGCTGCACGAGAACCCCAGGAGGGGGATGCAGTGCGGGCGGCGGGCCGTCTGGCACGACCGCCGTGCTCGCGCTCTGTTGTACTATGTTTGGTGGCGGCGAGGACGGCACGACAGGTTTTTTTGTCGCGGAGGTCGTGGTTGTACTACCAGTAGACTTGCTAGCATTAACGTCCGGGTTGTAGTTGTTGTAGCTAGGTACTGAATTAGTAATGTTAGTAGACGTGGTTGATGTTGTGGTGTAAGTATTATTTGTCGCGGATTTAATATTTTGCCCTCCTGTAGAAGTTCCTCCCGCGCCACTCGCAGACTTTGCAGAGGCGCTGTTAGGTAAAGGAATGAGCTCCATCTGGTGAAAAAGGGGCACGTTTGGAGGCCGACGGTAAGTGGAGAGACCCGTATTAGAAGAAGTATTTGAGTGGTAAGTGGAATTCGAATTGCAATTGCTGTAGCTGTAGTTGTCAAAATTATCTTCCTGCTCCTGTTCCGTTGTCCGGTTACAACTTCCACGTGTTACAGTATGGGAAACGGGCTCCGGAAAATATTTCTGACCACAATCTTCGCTGAAACACTTTTCCCCCGAATTATTTTTGTAGCCCGAGCCACTACTCATAATAGTCATTGTATTTTTTTATTTGAAAATTATGTTTCTAAAACATAGTAGAGTTCTTTTTAATACTTACCTGGTGTCTGTTTACACTTTATTTCGAGTAGAAAATAGGTACAGGAGGTGCGTGCGCAACCACCAGGTCAACAAATTCTACTCGTACAGTGAAAAAGTAAAATTTTCAAAATTACACCGCAGCGTTGCAAAAGAGACTGTTCCTTTGGAATGACGATGAAAAAGCCTCTTTTGCAGTCGCAGTGTTCGTCCGTAATAGATTGCTTGAAATTTGATTCGTAAAAATATTCTGCTTGTAAAGTAAAAGTAAAATTGGATTTATTTTCGAGTTTGACTTTGATGTCCAAATTGAAGTAAATAAACTGCTTCGAGCGACAAAAATCTATATTACAATGCGAAACGGAGAAACAAAGTACTTAGCGTCAGATAGTAGCTATTTTTCGTAAAAACCGCCGACAATTCCTATAGATACGTAGAAAATGAAACTTGACTATTTCTTGATATACCTTTTTTTTCCAATCCCAATAAAAATTTGCAGTTGGTTCTCACAAGAAATAGTGTACAGAAAGAGTAGCGGTGTTTTTTGTACTACTACTTCGAGAGGCAGCACCTATTACAGCAGAGATAATACAATCGTCTCGTACAGAAGGCACAACAGCAGGACCAATTTATTTCCAACACAACGAGCAACAAAAATAGCACTTTCTTCCCGTTATCTGCAGAAAAAATCAATACTGCAACTAAGCTTTTGATGCTTTTGTACTAACCGTACTTTGGTGGCAGGCGGCCCAGCAACAAAAGTCCAGAAGAGGAAGTGGGTATTAAAAATTCCCGCAAAGAATTGCAGCGGTCGAGGCGGCTGAAAACGACCACCTAAGGACTCAGAAACAGGTGAAACCTTTTCTTCGTTAGATGTAGTGCGACGACGGACGAGTAGTAAGTTGTGGTGAGGAAGATGATAAGTAATTAAATCTTGTTGTCAATTTCTAGGAAAAGAAAATTTTTTCGAGCAGAATCGCAAAAAAATCAGCATACAAACAATCTGTTTTCCAACGCCTCTTTCACAAACTACGAGCACAAGTCCCTAAATTTTTGATGATGATTTGTATTTTTACTGAATTTTTTCTCGTTCAAAATTTTTCTTCCAGCGGCAGCGTGGTCTTCACTCCGATTCTTGTCTTGTTCTCCAAGATGAGATGGGATGATGTACTAGTGCACGCACAACTCTACTACTTCGTTCGTTACTGCAAGGTTTAGGTTCCACTCCTCAAAGATTAGTAGTACCGGTGGTGAAAATAAAATTCGTGCGAAACGGAATAAATACTAGAGATTTTCCTAAAATTTCAAATTCAAGCTCAATACAGACCTTCTCAGCCCTCTTTAGTTTTATTTTCTCGCCAATTGTAGTCAGGAAGTCGTCTCGCAAGGCAATAATTCCGATGATATCTTCGCGTCCTGACCTCCTCTCGACGTCTCAGTGTGTGTGTGGGGGTCGTGTACTGTCGGGGTGGAGGTTTACTTTCTGATCAGAGGTCTTGGGCGGTTCTCTTTGATGCGAAGGAGCCTTGTCGTGTGAAGAAAAGGCCGGAGTTTGTTGTTGATGCGACAGACTATATTCTCAATGACGGCGGGATAGTACTGAACAGCAAGAGGCCTTCGGATTTCTTGGGATGAAACAAAGATAAAATTTACAACAGAAACAACTCGTAATATGTGAGAAGGAGAACAAGCAGCAACAAAATACAGAAATTACAAGACTTCGGGAGCTTCTTAATATCAAACGTCGGGAGAAGTACTCGTCACTCGCTCAGATATCTACAAGTTTTCGTTCGGTTTATTCTAACAACTTACTTCACCACCTCCAATATATAGATACAGATATTGCTAAAGTTTTTTTTTTGAAATTTCTTTCGGCGGAAAATTCGAAGTCAGAAATATTCCACGTCGGGTCACATATGGTTACATTGCATGAGGTCACGGCACCCGAAATTCTGCAACAACGCTACCCTTTTTTTAACGCCATGGACAAATTGGAATTGATCAATATATGAAATTGAAAATGATCGCGCACGCATCGCATGAAAATGAAAGACGTGTTGTATAATGTCGTGCATTAGGACAAAAAGAACAAACGGGAAAAAATTGTAGAGTCGGTGTATCTGAGCTTCGTTCTTCTATCTTAAGTACTACGCCAGAGTTGTTTTAACCAGACAAGAAATATGGGACCGGGAGAGCAGCCAGGGAACACCTCTTTACACTGATGTCTCACGAACCACACAAGTAGTATCAATCGTGTCTGGTGCGGAGGTTCTGTAGTACTCTTTTACAAGCTAAGCGGTCATCTAGTTGTTTCACTGCAAACGCGCTCGATGTATCGTGTGCAAGCGGTTGCGCTTGCGGTCCTCCCGAAGTATACACATAAAAATCTCAACATGGACGCAAATGCACTGGCTCTGCTGGTTGCACAGAACATACAAGCACACAACAATCAGAACTGCTACAGAACGAGCATCAACATGCATACTTATTGGATAGCGACGGAAAAGTCAAATGGCGACCTGTCCAATATTAAAGCAAGAGTGGCCACACCATACACCGAGCGCACCATAGATACATACGAAAGACCATCAAGAAGCGTCGACACCCTTAAGTTTTAGCGCTAAGAGTTGTACCAGATTTTCTTCAGTTGCATTTCCCTTTTTGTTTTTGTTTTTACTTTTGCGACGTACATGAAAACAAACTTGGCAATACTGGCAAAAGAAAATTCTTCCGTTTGGGCGGCTCTTTTGGCCCCTCAGAGGGTAAGTACTAGACAAATCCAACGCTCCTTCAAATTGACAGTCACACATCTTCGAAGCAGTCATTTTTGCGCAGCGAGCAAGCTCCAAACGAGCTCTGTAGTGTCGGAAACTACTACTCTGTAGCTTCTTCATCAAAGCTTCAGGCAGATGATCGAAGAGCATAGCCGTCATCATGCTCTCGTTTTCTACTCTTGGTTATCTTCAAAATTTCATTTTTAGAGTTGTGAAACCGTGCCATGTATTCATCAAAACAGGAATACATTTACATCTGTCATTACGAACGTCACGTAGCTCGTCGGCGGGAAGTAAAAAACATACAAAAAAATTCTTTTGGCTACACCTAGTCGTACATTGTAGTTGATTGTGAATCAGTGTGATTTGTAGTTTTGCGTCCAATTGTTCCATTTGCCTTTGCTCAGCTTGTTCAATAGCCGGTTGTGAGTACTAGTACTTAGCTATCGGTCCAAAACAACTTAAATTTGACGTTGACTTGCTTCACTTCTACCAGAAAAGACATAGATTTTCGTTTTTTCCTTTTCGTTTTCGACAAAAAAATATTTGAAATACGCTTTCTCGCAAAAGAATCCCTCCTAGCGTTTCTTCGTTTTGATCTGCATGCCGCCCACTTTCCCGGGTTGCCCCTATCCTGAGCAAAAACGGTCCCACCCCGTATTGATTTATATCAACTTGGGAAATTAAAAAGACAAATCAAAATTTAATTTTTTCTTTTTTTTGCCTGCGGGAGGGGCTCAGCCTCTATTCGGCTACCCGCATGCAAAAAAAAAGAAAAAGAAGAAAAGGAAAAGGGGCAGGGCGCCCGTACACACAAAGAGGTTGACACCCTTCCTCGAGTATGTCGCTCTGCTGAAGCAGCGGAGGCAGGGACAAGTATTATTCTTGCCGCTAGTATAATACTTTCGATTTTTGCGCTATTGTCGTGCCATACATACAAAGGACATACAGACATCACGATCCGTAGAGGCTCAACAGGCCTCCAGAGTCGCGACTTCATACATATACTTACAAAACCTACATAGACTTTAGCGTAAAAATCTATCTCGGCCTCCCACTGATCAGCAGCGCATGCTTGCCTTACCTCTGCATGCAAAACTGTTGGTGTGTCTTAGAGGTAATTCAAGCACACAGATACTACAATCATGCATAGTTCGACATACTTCCCTCCTCTTTTGAAAATTTAGAACCCACACCCAGCAGAATATGTTGCCGTCGGTCTGGTCGGCACTAACCACCCCGGGGCGGCGATAATCGAAATGGTGGCAGTGCCCTTAGCTCATTCTGCTGGACTCGATGAGAACTAAATGCGCAAAAGTGCGTCGTCCCTAGTTGTGTGTCTTTCCCTTTTCTTGATCAGTCCTTATTGATAAATTCTCCCGGTTGTGCGATGCGACTGCATGTTGGTCCCAGATAGCAACATCGGCGCTGTGTGTGAATCGTATCGCCCGTTTGATCTCTGTTGCTATGTGTGACGTGGTCAGGCGCAGTGCGCTTCCACGTCAGTACCTGTCCCGTCCTGCCCTTGATTCGTATGCACTCTGCCGCACTGCATTTGTAACTCCCGCCATGGATAAACAGATAGCTCCCCGAGCCTGACTGTTACTTTGCTATGATGCGGCAACACTATAGCAAGGAGATTGCAGACCCGTTCGTATCTGGCGCCTCTTTTTTTTCTTTCCTGCGCCTCTTTCTCTTCTCCTCTTTGCTTCACTTACCATTAAATGTGAGTAACAAGAACTATCTATTGTTAAAAATATCTAAAAACAGACGGAATAATGTGTACCTCTCCTACCACGTACCATTCCGCCTCCGTGGATGTCAGCACACTGCATCTATCGTTTTTATTCCGTACATCAAAATTTTCTCACTTTATTTCCCTAGGACTTCGCTTTCCTCATGACATGTCTTATTTTTGCATGACAATTTCGCATTCAATAGACTAGAGATTATATCAACATTTAGAAAAGACGAGAATCAAAATCATATTTTTACATCAATTGATAGATGCATCTATGTCCCATATGAGAAAGATCTAAGATTACAAACCACCATTATTAAAATTCATCCCAGCATAAATAGTATCACAGATTGACTCCCGAGAAGAAAATCAAAATTTAATTTTTGATGCGCATGACAAGTTTCGGCTCGCAATGAAGTCCTGTTTAGCTAGTGCAGCAGCATCACGGTTCCGGCATAGATATCATCCTGATTCGAGCATCACAAATCTCATAACGCCACTGGAAAAGGCTCCTCATGGGTTTCCACATGAGAAACATTTTTAAGCATGCAGATTTGCATGACAACTCTGGGATGAAGACGTTTTGGCACAGCATAGCCCCATCGGGTTGTTCAGGTTCTTCAACGAAATCTTCGCCTTGCTCTTGTTCGCCTGGTTTTCCTTTTGCTTTTGCTATGACAGTGCACAACTCCCCCTCCCGCTCACTTGTCATGCAAAATACCCAAAGTGCCTCTTCACTTTTGCCACTGTTTGCATGACAAGCTCTGGTGGCCCAAAGAAATAGCATGTCATTTCAGTGCCAATCTGTCATGCAAAACCGGCACTCTTGCTGATGCTTGTGTTGCCGTTCATGCTATACATTCGGGGGAGGGTGAGCTGTGCACTCTGATATTTCCCCGAGAAAGAGCACCGCCCCGCCCATCAAGAGGAACAGAATGGCGATGATGCAAAACAGGTAGATCACGCCACCGTAGGTCCCCAGCCCATACATCCAGTTGTTCTGCTCCATCCGCTTCTTCGCCCTCGCACGCTTGCGCTCCTTCGCCTTGGCCTTGGCCTCGGATTGGGTTGATTTTGCTTGCAGCAGCTGCTGCTCGTCGTGTACGGTCTTCTGCACCAGATTGAAGTCCTGCATGGAAATCTTGGGCAACGGACCGAAGGGCATGATGACGATGTCGGTTAAGTCCTCCGGCACGTTCTTCTGGAGCCATTCCTGGATGTAGGGCATCAGCCCTAAACTATCCACGAGTAAAAACAGCTACCTAGCAGGGCATGTAATTATTTGGAATGCAAAAATAAATAGGAAGCAAAATCTGCGATGGAGGGCATGCCCATTTGTATAGCAGGTTGCAGCTTAGGAGCGGTCCATGTAACATCACAGATGAACGAAGCCCTGTAGTTCAGTCTCAGTGTATCTGTATTCATTTCTCCATTACAAATCAATATGCAACCTGGTACTAGTTGTGGCTGTTTTCTGTGTGATATGGGTTCTCCGGGTTTACCAGACCGCCCTCAACAAACTCCTCCACATCTCCGCTATTCCCTGAAAATTAACCAGCCCCATCCAGTTCTTTGTCATGCAAAACATGTATATAAATTCTGTGTCTGTGATGCAAAAAGTGGATCATGGGGATGGTTAATTTTTAAGGAATATCCGTTGTCCATTTCTACCAGGCACTTTATCAAGTGTAAAAATGTCTGGGTCTGGAAGAGTCGGGGCTTGTCATGCACATTTTGCATGACGCGTGAGGTCTGTGATGCTGGTGCTAGCATCACAGATTTTTTGAGAGCTTCTTGATGCTAATTACGCATGAGAAATGCAGCCCTCTCCGCGTACCAGGAACTGACTCCTCTTGCTGCTTATGCAACACAGACATTTTTAGAATCCGCAGACAGCATTACAAGCTCCACGCTCCCAGACCCAGACATATTTGCAATCCATACACTTCGACCACTGCCCAACGATCAGAGAGTCCTGCACAAAACGCGGCTCAATCTTCTGTTGCTGATAGTTGTTGTAGGTAGTTTTTCATTTCACGTCATGACTTTAGCATCAACATGCAGCATATTACACCATTTCGATTTATTTTCATATGTCATTGAAGATTCGGCATCACAAATCCAAGCGATGGAGGTCGAGTTGGTTCCACGCTGGTCAAAAAGGTCCACTTCTAGTGCTAAACTATGTAAATTAATACGTCTATCGTGAAGACGTCTAGCAATTTCGTGAGCTTGGTCTGCATCTCTGGCCCGCCCATCTGCAGCGTCATGCGCGCCAGGTACATGCACAGCATGGTATCAAATGCAAAAGTGTCTGGGTCTGGAAGAATGCAACTTGTGATGCTGCATTTGGATTCCAAAAAAATCTGTATTGCATGAGTAGCAAAGGGAATGCAATTTTTGCTCCGCTGAGAAGGCATTTGTCATGCGGAATACGCATCAAGAAGCCCTCAAAAAATCTGTATTGCTAGGGTATGCATCACGGACCTCATGGCTCATGCAAAACGTGCATGACAAGTGTCAGAAGCTTCCAGACCCAGACATTTTTACAGTTGATACATGGACTTGTCTTGCATCTCCGAAGCAGTGTCTGTTGTGTCCGCGAAGATCGGCTTCGCACCGAGGTCCACGTAGTGCGGCAGCGGGGGTAGTGGTTTCCCGTTCGGCATCATCTGCGGTATGCTGTGCAAAAGTATCGCTACTCTCGTACTAATTGCAAATATGCATGACAAATCTTCTTCCTAAGGTAAAAAATAAAGCATTACAAATTGCATTTGTCATGCTGAGCAAATTTGCAATGCAGTTTACACTAGTACGATGCTTTTGTATTGCATATGCGGGTTGGGAGGTGGATTTGGATTCCCGGCCTCCATGTTTGATTTGGAGGATTCTAGCTTCTCGTATCCTGAGTAAAAACGTACCCACACCAGAGATGTAATGCAGATTTGCAACGACAGGAAGACTTGTAATGCGCATCCCCATGAGAGCCATTTCCAATCCTGTTTTGGAATTTTTGATGCTGTGAACAGGATGAGCACATGAGTCTGTGATGCGGCTGCACTTGCGAACCTGCACTACACTGCATAGTGCAACTTGTCATGCGTGACTCACAAAACTCCTAGGTTTGTGTTGCAAAATCCCCATCCTGACTCTGGTGTGGGTACGTTTTTACTCAGGATATCTCGGGGTCCACGTCCGCATCCAGATCCGAGTCGTCATCCAACGCAGCCTCGTCGTCCTATCAACAAAAGGAAAAACCCCTCCTCCCCATACTCAAGCTGGAAATTTGTAATGCTGATTTGTGACCGCAAGCCATGTTGTCATGCTAGAAGGCAAAAGATGCGGACTGTAGTGCTGGCTCACGGGGGAAGGCCTTGCATCTTCAGCATGACAGAAGGCAAATGGAAGCGCGAAGCAGCATGACGAACTACCTGCAAATAAGGCCACAATTGCGTCTCTTGCCTTTCTAGCAATACAAACCGATAATTGCGTACGCAAATACAGCATCACAAATTTCCAGTCCGATATGGGGAGAGGTGAAGATTTTTCCTCACAATACGTCCGGACTTGTAGTTCCTGCGGGTTCGTCGTCGTCCTCTTGCTCTGCAGCGGTTTTCGCTGCGTCCTCGGTTGCAGCTGGAAATAGATGAAGATTTTTGGGCTCGAAAAGGTAAATGAAATGTTGCACTATAAAAATGCTGATAGCGCGAATCACATGTCCTTACGTTCATATGCACGAACAATTTGAAGACCCACCAGCGTCGGAAAAAAGATCAATTATACCGGAATCATCGCTATCCTCCTTTGCTCTTGCTTGCAATGCGCCGAGAGATGACAGCAGCAGAACACGCGTCAGCGAGCGTTTTGATGGAAGTAACATCTTTCGTGGTCTGGCTCTGGAGGTGTTGACGAGTCGATTCTACAACGACCTCAGAAAAAGTCTTTTCGCCGAGCCAGGTGCCACCAGCCAAAATGGTGACGACCTACTGCAGTGCTTGCGGTGTGCCAGGTAGGTTGTCTCGCCTAGTGCAAAACACCCCTAGCGCTGACTAGTGGCGGGAACGAGGCGCGGTGCTTTTCTAACACACTTGACATAGTCAGTAGGCACTTTGCTCTCCAAGTCGCTGCTGCAATTTAGCGCACTACGCAAAAGATCAAAACATCATCCACAACGGAGCTAACGGGCTCCACCGCAGGCGCCTGCAGACACAAATGAACAATGCCACTACGAACAGGGGGGGATGGTAACTACCAACGCCTGTCCCCACTACATCGAACTCCACGCACTGCTCTGCAGCAGATGTAATTGGAAATAAATCGCGACAACACCCCTGCAGGGCCCAGCACCGAAACAAACAAACCACCGCAGAGGCCGTTGGCGCCAGCTGCCAAAGACCCAACTCTGAGGAGCACCCATGCCATCTCCACAGTGCGCTGCGTAGCAGCGGGCGAGGCAATACAACCAGACAGCGGCGAGCCCGAGCAGCCTTGCACGGTCGCGCCGGCCACTGAAGGCAACACCCCAGAGTGAGAAAGGGGATTTGATGAAAAGGTGAAGGCGCCGGAGCCTGGCCGACAACATACTTCGCGCCACCCTCCCTCCGAAGCGCCCCCCTGGCTCTTCACGGGAGGGGCGCAGGCCGGGCGCGCGGGGCGGCTTCCTTGGCTTGCCGGGAGGGGGCGGCCAAGGGGGGGCGGGGGGCCCGAAGCAGGCCGCCGGCCCGTCCCGCGCACAAAAGAACTGCGCCCAACCGCGGGAGGGCCCTCGGGCCCGCCCCACCCGCTGGACCGGCAAGGGCTGCAAAAGGGCTCGCCCCGGGCCGCGCGCACACCGCGGGGCCGTCTATGCGCGGGGGGGCGGGGGGCGCGCGCGGCGGGCGGGCAGCCAGCAAGCGAGAGGGCGGCGCGGCTTCTTTGACGCTGCCCGGTTTTGGGCCCATCCATCAGGGTGGCGATGTTCTCCCTCGGGCCGCCGGCCCGGCGCAGTCGATTCATGCCGAAAGTCTTTGGCTAACAGGCGAGGCCGCGGCTAGCGGCGGCGCATACCGCGCCACCGGGTGCGGTCGAAGGAAGACGAAGCGCCAAGGCCCACCGGCACGCAGGCAGCACCCCCGGCCGGCGAGCCGCTACACCCAAGCCGGCGCCAAGGCCAGGCGCGGCAATGGTGGGCGCTCCGTGCCAGTCGAGTGCCCACGGACAGATAACGCGCGCCGCTTGCTGCAATAATCTCCGCCGGCGAAAGTCCTACCTTCAGCAAGGCGGTCGGCATCCGTAAGATAGAATACAGGCGCCAGGCGAATCGTCTCGCGTGCGCCGTAGCGCTGACCCATAGGGCGCAACACTGCACAAGGGCAACCCGATTTCGCGCGCTGGGGCTGCATGCCAATGCCCAGGCAAGGCGGGCCACAACCCCGCCCGAAAGAAGGGGCCAAGCGCGCGCCCCCTGCGTCGGCTTGAAATAAATCCCAAGGGGGAGGGGCGCCGCTCGGCCGCCCCTCTCAAGCTACAGCGGCAGGCCGACAAAGGCGCGCCCGCCTATTTATAAGCACCCACGAAGGCATTGCCCTGCGGCGTCTGTCCGAAATAACAGCACGGACACACTTCCCACAAACAAGGGGCCGGCGTGCCGGGCCCTCGGCTGATTGCGCTGGCGGCCCGAATGAGAAAGGGCCGCCGCGTTCGCGGCCGGCCCAGCGAGAAGGATGGAGCCGGGGGCAGGGCGGCTGGCGCCACGCGCCGCGTAATGTTTGATCGGGTGGCCTCTGGCGATTGCTTCCCCCCCTATCTCGCTCGCCTTGCTTGGGGCGCGGGGGGCGCCTGGCTGCCCGGCCTTTGTTTTCACCCGGACGCCGGCCCCTCTAGTCTGCCGCGTGCAAAGCAGGCGCCACTGTACGCGAGCGCCACGGGGGGCCCGCCGAAAGAGAAGGAGGAGCCCCAGCGCTGGGGGCGCTCTCTCTTTGCGCCGGCGCGGTAGCTGTGGCGAGCGAAGATTCTGCCGTGAATGCATTCCGGAAAAACACGAAGAGACGCTTACGGAACATGGCAAACTGGGAACACCTGTATGCCGGAGGACCATTACTCCTCAGCCACGCGACGAGATGCATTCGCGTTTAACATCGACGTGAAGACTGTCGTGTTTATTCATAAATATATTGGGTTTTATCTTTCCGATCTTCGAGTAGAGCCAGGCCAAGGCAAATAAGGCGGATTTCCCAGAAATCAAGTAACAACAGCACACATCCTTCTTCGTCTTCATCATCAAAAATGAATTAATATGAAAATGATATCTATCAAGTCAGTCCTCAATCCAGGCACTGCTGCGTGCCGAGCGGATCCACTTCCAGACACCTCATCGGGTATTGTATGGTGTTGTTCGAGTACTCAAGAATCCACGCACTGCTACTCGAGTGAACAAACTGTGGCACAGCGACCTCATCCGCACCAACAGGGCGGCCACTTCCACCTGGCGTCTGCACGTCAAACTCCACCTCTCCGTTCTTTTCCACACTACTTTCCCCCCTATTTCCACCGAAAAGCGTTACGTCCCGTGAAAAAGAGTACCGACCGTGCGTGTCCACGCACCGGGCGCCCCGCACCAACGCGCGCTGCACCAGCTGCGTCGCCGACTCGGACTCCCAGCCCGGAAGTTGGGGAAGAGGCTGGAGTGAAATCGTTCCAGTGGACGCCGCGACCTGTTCTACGTGATTTTTCCCCCCTGGTCGTTCGGGCGGTGTTAAATCGTCCCAAGTAGAAGTTGTACTTATTATACTATCGTCCGCATTAGTTTTAGTACCACCCATCCACCTCCCGCAAACCGCATTAGATTTGGAGTTGGCACCTCCGCTTTGTTGAAGTTGATCGTGCTCGTGCTCGACCACCGGCACCACCTGACGTAGCGAGCACTGGTAAAGTGCCCGGTACTCCGCGGTTCGAAACTTCGGCGCCTTCAGTAGTTCCCCCGCGGTCGAGTAGGACACGACCAGTGCGTCGCGTTCCAGCTCCTGTTTGTCCACCAAACACAAGCCCCGGTACCGCCACCGGTGCACGCGGAAGATTTCCCGCGCGGTCAGGCTGTGCGTGACAAACCGGCACTTCTTCGCGGGCTGCTCCTTCGAGCGAAATGATGTGTGTCTTCGCGTGTCAGTAGAGAACTCGCTGTCCAAGCCGTACTGCGCCACGTCCACGCCGCCCCACTTTCGCAGACAGCCCGCGAGCATCACGTCCTCCATGCCCGCGCCCCCGACGCCCCGGATGGCTTCCAGGAGGCAGAAGGACGACCAGATGCCCGCTTTCGCGATCAAGCCCCGCGAAAGAAAGTACCCGCCGCCGCCGGACGCGAAGAACGAATTTTTTCCGTACCGCCCCTCCGCGACCTGCGGCATATGGATGTGTCAGGATCGAAGTCGTCAAAGTTGAAATAATTTGTAATGCATAAAATGCATGACGCGCGGTACGTTTGTTGCAGAGCAGGCAAGTGAGGCCTATTGTAAGCCTGTTTGGGGTTAGAGCTCGAGCTGCTACAGTAGCATGAGAAAGTCAGTCTTGTTTGCCTAAACAGCATGACAAACTGGATTTAGGAACCACCAAAATTTGTCATGCGCCACTTGGAAACTGGGTTCCAACTGGCATCCATTTTATGCATGACAAATCATTTCAACTTTGTCGATTTCAAAGCTGACGCGTCCATACGGCACCCCTAAGTAGTACATCTTCCGCGAGTCCGTGAAGCAGGAAAGCCGCTCGAGCAGAGCGGACGTGTGCACGTGGGAATCCGCGTCCGCTTTCATGTACCAGTGACACAAGTCCCGGTAGACGGGATTTCGTCCCAGTACCTCGAACATGCGGAAGGTGCGAAGGGGAAGGTGTGCGTAGTCCGTCTCCAAGTCCTCTTCGAACGTGACGGTTGGCACGCGCCTGTCCTCGCGGAACGACTCCTGCGTCGCGATGGTCCCGGGGGGCTCGAGGAAAAAAACCGCAATGTCAGAGCTGTTCCTCGCCCATGTGTCTCTTGCCGCCCGAGCGGTGTCGATGTAGGACTTTTTCCGGAAGGAAACCGGGATGAAAATGCACAGGAAAAACTTCGGGTCGGGCTTTGGTTTCTTCTGCAGCTGCAGGTTTTCCAGAATCTCGTCCGAAACCGGTAATCTGACCGGGGAAATCTTCGGGCCGGAGGACACAGTTGCGGTGGTCGCGATCAGTTGGCTTGTCGCATTTTTCTCGTGCTCGTCCTCAGAGTTGAACCAATTGCTGAGGTTTTTTGCGAACGTTTCGCCAATTTTGGCTCGCATAGTCTCGATTTCTTCCATGTGGCGCCTCATCTTCGGGTCAGCATCTTCATCTTGTTCCGGGAAGATTCTGTTTGAAGCGGCTTTATTCTTGTTGATCTTGATCTTGTTCCAATGTTTCTTTCCCTGCGGCGGCTTTACCACCGCGGGTTCGTCCAACCAGGGAACGATGGGGTTCGTGTTTATTATTTCATCCCTAGCAGTTTCTACTAGAGGGCTGACCTCGAGCTCGTCGTTCGTCGATGAAGATACTGTACCAGTTATTGCTTCAATAACATCATCCACAGTTGCGGTAGGCTCTGCTGCGTCCGCATTCTTCTCTGACAGGTGCGACATGTGATAGTACTCTGTGTCATTTGTCATAGTAGAAACTTCTGACGTCTCTGCCGCGGGCGGTATGATTTTCTCTACATTGAGGTAACCAAAAGGCTCTACGTCTTCACTTTCTTCCTTCGCTGCGGTTTCCGGAGCTGCAGCACTGGCGGGGTCATTTGCGATATCCTCTTCCAAAGTTGTATCTGTACTCTCTGTTGGCTGCTTAAAAAAGTCCGAGAAAATCGGCACATCCACGGAATGCGACGCAAGGAGCTGGGCTCCGTAGACCAGTTTCGACAAAGACCGCGTCTCCTCTTCGCGCGCACGAAGCAATAGTTCCGAGGCAGTTGTAGGAGTGGTTCCACTTGCGGGAGAAGATGATGGATAACTTTTGGCAACTTCCTCCACCTCGTCGTCCTCTCCGCTTCCATCCTCTGCACCCGAACTTCCTCCCCACCAGGAGCTAAAGAACGACGAGGACGATCCTGTGCCACCACCGGAGGAAGTGCTCATCCCCGCAGCTTTACGTCGTCGCTTTTTCACCACAATCTGGTCGAAGAACGGCAGCGCCACACTCCCCTCGCCGTCTATCCTGAGTCAAAACGTCCTCACCCCAGAGTTGTCACGCAGATCTGCATGCTAAAAAAGTTTCTCACGCGGAGCCCCATGAGAAGCATTTTCTAGCTGTGTTTGAGAATTTGTGATGCTCAGACCAGCATGATCTGCTAGATCTGTGAAGCTGCTGAACTAGCTAAAGAGGACTGTATCACTACGAAGACAGACTTGTCATGCGAAACAACCAAAGGTAGTAGATTTGTATAGCAGATGCCGCATCGTGACACCGGTGTGGGAACGTGGTTCCTCACGATACCGTCCCGCGGGGATTTGCCCGCACAGTATCCGTTCACCTCTTCTTCGTCCAACTTCTGGTACCGTTCCTGCCCACACTTCCAAATGGCCAGCGTCATATCCAAGGAAAAAACTGTGTTACGTTAGTGTAACTTTCTTGTGAGGAATATTAGCATCACAAGATCGCTCTGCATGACAGAGAGAGCCTGTCATGCGCGGCTAGTACGTGAAAACACGTACGTAAACAGCCTCTGATGCATGTTGTCCAGCCTGACAAGTGTAACTGTTTTGCATTTTCTGCATCACAGACTTACACTTACACAGTTTTTTTCTTGCATACTTCACGCTCTCCCGGTAGTAGCTCCGGACCACCCCACCCGTGTCGCGAAACGTGTAGTGCCCCATATCCGTCTCCCCCTTGCAGTCTACCCCCTGGTGCCAGGAGGCCCAGGAGAGGTTGGTTTTGATGTCGTAGTACTGCTCTGCGGAGTCCACCGGCCCGATCGCAAACAAACACTTCCGCATGATCGGGTTGGTTTCGTGGAAAAAAATGTCCATCGCCCGGCCCTCATCCCCGTGCACGAAATTCCGCTGCTCGTCCGCGAAATTCTCGACCGTGATTTTCCCCAAATCCGCCAAGCAGGTCGCGAACACGTACCCGATATGCTAGAGTAAAAACGTCCCCACCCCGTAGTTGTCATGCAGGTTTGCATCCACAGAAACATTTGTAATGCGGGTTCCCATGCGAAGCATTTCTAGTCGTGTTTTGGGATTTGTAATACTGAAAACAGGATGAGCAGATGGATTTGCGATGCGGCTGTCCTTACGCACCTGTACTACACTACGGACTGCAACTTGTTATGCGTGGCGTCCAAAACTTCTAGATTTGTGTTGCTAAGTTCCCAACCTGAGTATGGGGTGGGGACGTTTCTACTTATGATACCCGATCCCCTGGTAGGTGTAGGGCTGCGGCGGGATCAGGTTCAAACAGATCTTCGTCCAGTAGGAGGCGAGGGAAGCCAGTTCCCGGGAAAGCAAAAACCCCACGTATGAGAGTGCACAACTCCCCCTCGTTCTCATTTCTCATGCAGAATACCAAATCCACGCTTTCCCTCCTGTCACTATTATGCATGACAAGTTCTGGTGGCCCAAATAGCACTACACTCCAGTGGAAATTTGTCATGCAAAACCGGCATTCGGGCTGATGCTTGTGTTGCCGTTCATGCTATACAAATGAGGGGGAGGGGGAGTTGTGCACTGCCACTGTCATACCACGTCGCGGTTGTGCATGAGGAAGTTCTCGTTGTCCTCGTAATTGATCTATCAAATGCAAAAATGTCTGGGTCTGGAAGATTAGAACTTGTCATGCTAAATCTGAATGATGCAAAAATCTGTGTTGCGTGAGTGCCAAAAGCTGTCCGCTTTTGACCAAGTTGAGGGGGAGTTTCTCACGCAGGAAAGGCATGGTAGAGACCTCAAAGAATCTGTCATGCTGGGTCTCGCATTCCAGACCTCATGTGTCCCGGAAAACCTGCATCACAAATCTTGCACTCTTCCAGACCCAGACATTTTTACATTTGATATGATCATCCCGGCCAACAACCCGAAGTAGTGCGGCTGCGTCTCGTCCAAGCAATTTCTGCATTACAAAAGTATCGCACTACGTATTAATTGCATCACAAATTTTTTCAAGAAGAAAATTGGTATTTGTAATGCTGACTTAGGTAGAAAAACTAGATTTGTCTTGCATAGCTGCAATTACTTTATCATCATACGAGTGCGATACTTGTTCTGCAGAGGATACAATTCACCCGCTCCGTAATCGCCGGGATGTTCACGTACACTTCCGGGTCTATGTGGTAGAACCACTTGCAGAGGGGAAGCAGGTACGCGAATTTCTCGAAAAGCTGCGACCAGAAGTACAGCAAATCCCGGCTGTCGTGGTTGTTTGGCAGATACAACACTTCCGGGTTCCCAAAACCAGAAGGCAGGCGGGGTAGGGTCGCAATCGCGGGGAGCTGGGTCCTGCTCTCGTGGTGGTCTTCCCCCGTGCTAGAAGGTCGCGCGTCGTCGTTGTGCGGGCCTGGGGTGAGGTTGAACATGAAGATTTGAAGAAGACGTAGAGGTTCTTGCCCGCATAGAAAGAAGGACGAGTGGTATGCGTATGCCTGTATGAGTGTTATCGATAAATAAGTAAATGTAAAAACCGATCGTAAGTCTAAGTACTACAATACAGCGAGAATTATAATTCCCGACCTGCAACTATATATCAAACTTAATCATAGTCGCGGACTACTTGATGGATGCGAAGATGATCATGTGAATAAAGCAGGTAAATGGTAAAAAGAGCTACGAGCGGATGTTACTAATTTTTTTAATAGAGGAATTGATGAAATACATCTTGATGCAGAAATCCACCAAAACCTGTCCGTACCATCCTCCTGCGGCGCTGCGCTGCCCTCCTCGTCAACATCCACGTCGTGGTTTCCGGTTCTGTAGAGCCAAAGCGAGTCCGTCAGAGCGCCCCAGGTGTCGCGAATCGCCAGTAATCTTTTCATCGACAGCCGGTCCGCCTGCATGAAGATGCACAGGGTCCGCTCCTCCGTGTTATGCATTGCAAATATGTCTGGGTCTGGAAACATGTGATGCAAGGAAGCGAATAGTGAGCACACTGTAATGCGCTCCCCAGCATGACAACTTTTTCCGTGGTTCAGAGTTGCGTACTCCGCATGAGAAACTGCGTTTTTGCATGACAGACAGGAGGAGCTCTTCGCGGACACGCAATACAGAGTTCCGAGTCATGCCAGACTAACATGACAAATCTCGCAATCTCCCAGACCCAGACATATAATTTGCAGTTCCTACGTGTATTTCCCGTGCAAAATCTCGTATTCCACGCGGGACTTCGGAATTTATCAAATGCAAAAGTGTCTGGGTCTGGAAAGGTTGAACTTGTATTGCGTGTCCAGGACTCCAGAAATTATATTTGTATTGCATAAAAGCAACAAAAGCGCCACAGTTTCGCCATGAAAAAGCGCAGTTTGTAATGCGCACTGAGTATGAGAAAGCGTTTCAAAAATTTGTCATGCAAAACTGCACTCAAAGGCGCGCTCTCTCACTCATGACCATTCCGCATTACAGATTTCCAGACCGAGACATATTTGCAGTTGATAGAATTAGGGGCGTCACGATCAATGCCGACAAGGGCGCGGCGGTTTTGTATCCTGAGTAAAAACATCCCCAACCCAGAGTTGTCACGCAAATCTGCATGCCAAAAAAGTTTCTCATGCGAAGCCACATGAAAAGCTTTTTCTAGTCGTGTTTTGGAATTTGTGATGCTACAATCAGCATGAGATGCTAGACCTGTGATACCGCTAAACTAGCTAAACAGGATCACACTACGAGGATAAACCTGTCATGCGAAACGACCAAAGTTGGCTGGTTTGTCTAGCAGATTTCCCATCTTGACTCTGGTCTCGGTCTGGGGATGTTTTTACAAATGATATTTTGTCGTGTTGGTTCACGGCGAGAAGGTCCGGAGAACCAGGGGTGGGATGGAGTTTCCCTTGAGAAGTGAACGAACCATCGCACGACCCGTCGGAAAGATCATCACTGCCACTACGCTTGCTCGCACTACTACTGCTAGCGCCACCACCTCCGTTCGGGCTTCGACTTGAGCTGGTTGTTCCACTGGTCGTGCCGTTCGCAGTAGTTGCACCTCTATCATAATCCCGGGTGGGCGAAACTCCACTCAGCTTATTCAGCGAGGAAGAGGAGCTACTGGCGGAACTGCCAACATTATGACCGGCTCCATTTGCCGCACGCAATTCGTCTTTGTCGTGCTCCTCTTGCAGTTCCTCCCCCTCCAACAAGTTCGCAACTTTGAATTCGTGCTTGAATTTCGGTTTTGAGCTAGACCCCTGCTGCGTGTCGCGTGCGGAAGAGGCAACGGGAAGGTCGCGGAGCCTGAAAATTTGGTTTTACTATTGCTCATCGATTCGAGAGAGAAAGAGAGACAGAGAGAGAGGGCGTGTGTGTAATGTGTGAGTGTGTGATGCTACAATTGAACAGGATTCTGTAGTTTTATTTTACAAACACAGAAATGAGCAACACAAGAAATTCGTCGATCTCGAGTACCACATAGAATCCCCGATGAGCCGATCTTTGTCGAGCGCGTTTATCCTGTGTAAAAACGTCCCCACACCATAGTTGTCATGCAAATCTGCATGCGAAGCCCCATGAGAAGCATTTTCTAATGGTGTTTTGAAATTTGTCATGCTCCAATCAGCATGAGAGACTAGATCTGTAATGCTGCTGAACTAGCTCAAACAGCACTACACTACGCGTCCAAAAAATTTGTCATGCGAAACAAGCAAAGTTGGCCGATTTGTCTAGCAGATTTTCCATCTTGACTCTGGTGTGGGTACGTTTTTACTCAGGATAGCGTTCTGGGCATCCTCTTGCTGCTTGTTGAGCTGGTCCAACTTTGTCAGTGTTATGGAATAGGGAAAATCAGCTGTAGACTGGCAGCTGGAAGTCGAACTACTAGTACTACTACTCCGTATGCATGACAAAAGACGCTTGTTGTGCTCGACGTTCGACACATACATTTTTTTTACATTCATTCCTCATCTAGAACCTTTCCTGTTTCCTCTATCGAGACATTGCGCGAACGCCGACAGCTGCCCAGACACAATATTCACTTTTCCCCATTCCATAGTCAGCTGCTCTCTTTCATGCTGTATCCTCGCTATGGTCGACGCTTGCGGTGAGTTTAAGCTTTGTGCTTGGTCGTCACCCGCGAGGTGCTCCGACGAGGTGGAGATGTCTGGAAAAAGATGGGTTTTCGGTTCCTTCGAATACCGCGATAAAATCAACGGCAGCCCATGAGAAGTGAACGAACCATCGTACGACCCGTCGGAAAGCTGTCGCGAATCCACCTCACGGGGGGGAGTAGAAGTACTTCTTCTATGTGCGGGAAGATGGAACAAATTCGTACTACCCAATGCACCACACTCTGCGAAGTTTTCTGACAAAATTTCCACCATTTTTGCATGCGCCAAAAGGTCCTGGTCTGCCGTCTCGGTGTAGGGTCCTAGCGGAACGACCGCGCCGGGCGCGTCGCCTACACTTGAAAATACAGCGGAGGCTGGAAGTAATGCTTCTAGATCAGCATGTACTGGATTTGCATCACTACTTCCGCCTCCGCCAACGATCAGCAACTTTCGCCAAGAATTTCCGTCCCCGTCAGTAGCAGCGGTACTAGAATCCTCTTCCGGTGCTGTTCCACTCGTTGTGTTTTTACCACAAACCCGCCTCGCCAGCTCCCGGATGTCCACAACGCGGGCGAGAATAGTTGGTCGGCCACTTCTGCTGGTGTCCTGCTGGTGTTCCTGCGCTGCTGTTGATTGTGATGACTCTGTAGTGGTCTTCATGATGCTCCTCGCTGTGGACGACGAGGATGTGATTTTTCTTGTGGTGCCGAACTCCACGCGGCGCACAAACTTCGACACGATGTCGACATTCATCGATGTGCTTGTAGTCGTTGTAATGCTGGTACTTGTCTTCGACGTCTCACTACCGCTTATCATTTCTCCTGCTTGTCCTAGCTGTTCATCCGCTTCTTTTACAGCAGGACCAGAAGCGGCGTGAAGATCTTCCCGTTGAAGATGTTCTGGCATGTTGATGTTGTATCAAATGCAAAAATGTCTGGGTCTGATAGGATGCGAACTTGTCATGCAGATTTTACATGGCCCGTGACGTCTGTGATGTATTCCCTGGCATCACATATTTTCTGAGTGCTTCGTTCTTGATGCCTATTCCTCATGACAAATGGCCTCCCCTCGTAGAAGAAACTGGACTCCTCTTGCTGGTCACGCAATACAGATTTTTCTAGAGTCCAAAGCTAGCATCACAAGTTCCAACTTTCCAGACCCCGACATTTTTGCAGTTGATATGTTGAGAAACCGGATCTCCCGCACGTCCTCGTTCTGTTTGTCCGCGAAAAATCGCTTCAGGCCCCGGTAATTCACAAACGCGGGCGTGTGCACCTGCACGACGTGGGTGCATGATTGTTTATCCACCTGGAGTTCCGGAGCAATATGATTGCTCTTGTCAGGCCGGGCGGGCTTATCCAAGAAAACCACATCTGGATGAAAACGATCGGCATCCTCGGGCACCCAGGAAGGCCCAAGTGCCACACAGAAACTCAACAGCGGATTGCGCATTCTTTTTCGAGTACAAGTTCTTATTTTTCGCGTGATAGTGATAGAAGCTGAAGAAGTATCCCTCGAGGACAAATAATACGTAATTTATCTCTATACTGGTGCTAGACTCCCGCTTTGAGTCGTGGCAACTGGATGAACGCGGCTCGTAGTGGAATCTTACCGAGATGAAAGGGCCATCTACTAGCACAACACTTTTGGAGAAAAGGACACACGACAGAAGTTGTTTAGGGGCCTCTTCTACATTCAAGATCTAATACGCTGCGACGTGAAGACAAAAAGAACTTTTTAGAACCACTAGACCATTTTTTACAGCTCCCACGACAAGCAACTACCAGCAAGAAGGCAAACAGCGTGCGGATCGGGTTGGAGGCTGGTTGTCTTGATGTCAGACGAAAGGTACACAAGCAGATTATCCGGCTTGAGAAAAAAACAGTCATCCCCAGGGGGTTTTCGTGGTTGTACCGACGGCCGCATAGTAGACCTTGCAGCATAAGCATAACACAAGAACTTCGTCCTTCTCCTTTCATGGTAGAGAGGCGTGGTATGGTCACATCAAAGGCAAAACTGAGTGCGCCAAAAACATCAAATGCAAATATGTTCCAAACTTCAAAAGAAATGTCTCATTAAGACCCAGCCGATTTTCATGGTCGTAAGAGTAAAAAAAAGGCGAGTAAAAAATAAGGAGCATAGTGATTCTGCTTGAAAACACAAGATCAACACTCAGAGGCAAATCATTCATTGAGATACGATAGATTTAACTCTGGAGTATTCAGTACGCTTATTCCTATGCGGTTTCCTCTTTCTTCTTTGCCTGGCGGCGCAAAGTGGAAGTGCATCCCTTGCCCAGTCTCGGCTCCGCCAGGTGCGCGTGGAACCTGGTTTCAGGAAAAGTCGGGCGAGTTGTTGGAGGCCACACTCATGGGACTGCGAGGTGGAGTTCCCAACTCGTGGTCGACAGGAGACCACGACCTGGGTGAGTTGTCGTTGTCGTCGTTGTCGACGTTGTCGACGCGGGAATGGGACGTGACGTCACGAAACCACGCACGAAAACGCGGGTGCCAAGCGCGTGGGACTCCAAGCCGTTGCCAACCAGTCACACGGGTCGGAGGGTACGTCGACGTCCCGCCACGATAGTCCTTCCAGTGGGAAAATGGTATCGTCTCAGTTTCCGGAACCGGAAAGAGTTCCTCCGGATTTCGATCCGCGGCACCACGGAAGGGCTGTTTTCCTTCAGGTTGTTTTGTGTTTAACACCTGCCCTCCGAGGTTGTCGCCAAACTCGTCGATATGCATTACAAACAAGCCCGGGTCTGAAAACTTGTGATGCTGATGCCGAGTCGCGGCTATTAAAGAAGACGCTTTCGATTCGAATGCAATGCACCCAAGCATGACAAGTTTCTTCAACGTTTTCCCATACATCACCCAGCATCATGCAGTGAACACCCGCACTCAGTGCCACAGCCTAAGGGTCCCCTCCCTGGGGGTGGGAGTGACAGAGGGAGACACTTTTCTTGGTCTCATAATATCTACGTAGTCGAGCGCCCCTACCCCGGACAGCCGCACGCACAGTCACAACCGGTCGGGATCTCCCCGCAACCAGCCAATCGCACCCAGCCAGCAAGCAGGGCGCGGCGCCCCATACAGAACTACGATCCAGAATAGTATTAGGACGTAACGCGCATTCCAACAAGAACAAACTGCGGCTTTGCATGACAAAGTCAGGGCGCTTGTGTCGGTCATACACTGCAGATTCTACCGGAAAATAAATGCGAGATAGGCTATAGAACTTCAACTTTAATCTTCCAGACCCGCACAACTTTGCAGTTGATACTCGGTAATTTTGTACCATTCCTCCCGCCAGTTTTCCTTGTTAAAATATTTCTCCACCAACTTCTTCTCAATTTCATCAAGAAGTAATCCCAGGGGAGTTCTTTCCACCAAAGTAGCTTCGCCGTCATCATCAACATTTATGGGCGCGGAAAAACACACTGACCATGGCCAAGAGAGGACGAGCAGGCTGCTGAAACCCAATCTTAAAAATATATAGAGATAAACAGAAGAACTTCCATCGCTTTTGCATGATCAGCCGACATTTTCATCATGTGCTCAACCACAATGGCCCCCCTGATACATAGTACAGAAGTCATCGTGGTGCACCAAGGTCGACCTATGGACTCCATTTTCTAGTGGTAGCTGGTCACGACCAAAATGTCGTGGATCGATTTGACTCGTCCTCCTGATCAGCGCAGGGCATAATTTACTGTATGCATATAGCAAGAAAACGTCTCCGAACGTATAGTATCGATCTCCCAAGTGTCATCTTCGTTCAAGAGACCAGCCGGAGGTACGTCGTATTGGTCACGGATCTCCCAAGGTCTCCGAGCACCCTCCTCGTAATAGGGTATCGACAAGCCGTGGGAGGTTACAACGGGAGGACCAAACCCGCACCTAAGAGGTTCTCTCGGTACGAGGTAAGGAGCTGCGTTATTTTTCTGATCCAACGTCGCTCGTTCGTGATCGTGTGGTCCCAAGCTCTGTTGAACGCTGGCGCTGTGATGTAGGGTAAAATCAACCGTAACATTTGCGTAACTCAAGACATGATCACTGCAAGGTTGTAAGCCACTGGGATAGTGAGGGACCTGGTGTTCGTGCATTCGTGTTTCGGTATAGTTCTTGGTGTTGAACGTCATCGCTTTACTTCATTCGTGCTCGCTCATCAACAACATCACGACGAATTGCTAACTCTATACCAAAGGGAGTGAAGCTCGCCGACCTTTTTACCCCATTTTTCGCGGAAAACGTCGCTAAACAAGCGCTGCATTTCCCACTGAATCCCGTATTCTCCCCAAATCGTCTTTGCTCTAAAGGGTCGCGCTTTTGTTTGTTCTGCTTTTTCCAGGTCGCCGTTCAAGCGAGAAAAGTCGATAGAGGAGAAGTCGGACCCGAAATGCCGAAACTGCTTCACTCTTTGCATTTTCTTTTTCTGGTCATCAACTACATCTTCACGGGGCGAGGACGTCGGCAGCTCGTCCACAGATCCGGCTCTCGAGGTCGTGCTGCCGCTTGTGGAGGAGATCGGAAGAGTGGCCTCCGTGCCAGAGAACAAGAAAGCTCCTTCTGGCCCCTCAAACAGCACCGCACGTCCTTGCGCGTTCCGCGGCAGGTCGTACACGCTGAGCTTCAACAGGTCGATGAGTAGAGGGCGGACGAGTTGGTAGAACTTTCCGGCAACCAAATCTAAAGCGTCCTCGTTACGGAAAACGATTTCTGTGATGCTCCTGGAGTCATCGCCGCGAGTGGTCGGCGCGAGAAAACCAGCGGCCGCTGCAGGAGCTACTAGTTCGCGGCCGTCTTCGTAGCGTCGTCGCGTCGTCGGCCGTCGTAGTACCGGCGAACTAGTAGTCCCTACAGCTCTAGTTCGACGACCGCCTTGGACTGTCCCGGCGGTCGTCGTAGTCGTCGTCGTCGTGCCCTCTGTATGTTCATACCCGAAGATATTATAGTGAAAAACGCCCCCGCGACCCCAGAACTTGGAAGCATTTGTGTTGCGAAACACCTCCCAACATCCTGCATGAGCATGTATCTTCAGCATCACAAATTTATGACGCTAAACTGCGTTGCAAAGGCCCCCAGCAATCGCCGGCGCGGGAAAAGTTTGGTTTCTATATTGCATGGAAAACTTTGCATCAGAAAAATTTCCAACTTTATTCGGCGGCGGTGGGGGGTGCGATTTTCATTTCAATAGAAGACCCGTAAAATCAACTCTGGGTTCAGCAGATCGGTTGTTCCAGAAAGGGGAGCGAGAAGCTCCCTTTCCCCACCTCCGCGTCCGGGTCCGCCCGCCTGCAGGAGCACGTCATCCTTTGCAAGAAACGCAACAACGGCCGGCTCCAGGGCAGTGAAGGCGGCGGAGAAGTACACACCCTCACGGTGCAGCTCGTCCTCAATCAGGCCTTCACAATCCAGAATGACCATGTTGAACCTCCTTTCCAAGTTCTCAAAGGTAGGCGTGATGTAGCCCGGCATGAAAAACTGAAGCTCCACTACCTGCTTTGCTGCAATGCCGGTCTCGAAATCCATAGGACGGAACCTGAACTTCAAGGGTTCAGGACGCCCTTTCCGCACGCTCCTGACATACACTTTCCGGGCACGCGGTAACTCTACAGCGTAGCTCTACCCTGAGTAAAAATGTCTCGACCCCACCAGAGCTGTCATGCAAACCTGCAGGTCCAAAATGTCTCTGATGCGCAACCCCGTGAAGTAGTGCTGTTTTGGAATTTGCATTACTCCTCGAGTCATAACCAGTCTGTTGAAGATGATCGATTTTTCATGTTGCAACTTACTGTAATAGCCGAAGACGATTACCTGTAAAAAAATATTGCCGGCACAAACTTGTCATGCGCAATAGGAAACTTGTCAAACGCAGCTTCCATCACGATCTTGACTATGAACATGGGGTGGGGACGTTTTTGCGCAGGATAAGTTCGGGTCGTGGTTTACCAAGTCAACATTATTGTCAGCAGAAAAAAAGTTCCACGGCGAAGCGAAAATTCCCAATTTCTGAAGCAATTTCGCGTTTGCAATCTCGACGTCCACGCAGTACGACCAGTCTTCGGAATGTTTGAAATAGTCATCGTGATCCCGCCGAGTAGGATCCGAGGAGCACGAGAACAAGTCATCGTCGTCGAGCACGTACTTGCGCGGGTTAAAGTGCACATCGAGCATATGGCACATGGCTTGCTCCACAATATGCACCAAAAAAAACCGAAATGCTGCGCCCTACTTCGAATGTTCAGCCCTTTCCGAGAACGACACTAAACACCCCCCAAAAAAAAAAGGGTTCTGAAGCTGCCCGCGCCAAATCCGCGCGGACGCCCGCATAGGGGCCGCGCCTGTCCCCCAGGCTGAAAAGCCTCCGGCTGTCAGCTCCACATGCCCGCTAGTGCGCCATACGGCGCGGCGACTCTTCACTTTGGGCGCGGCCGGGAGTACATTCGCGCACACGGATCGCAAGGCGCCAAATGCTGGCGTGGAAAAATCGTGCACCCGAAACGAGAAGCGCGCCCCAGAAGCTGGCCTGTACCTGGAGCGCAATATATTTTTTCGTGGCGCAAGCTGGCATCGCAAAAACAGCAAGATAATTTTTTGCCACGAAGCGAAAAATGTTGCTGGCCTGGAATCCAGCCCAAAACTTGTCCGAGTCGCCTCCGAAGTTTTCGGCTGATAAAAAAAAAAACGGCCTCAAAAAAATTCTCCCCCTCTATTTCGCGAACCATTTTTATGTGGGGTTTTGGTTCTGCATTTTCCGCTGAGCCGCGGGCGAATTTTGGAACCGTTTCTGGGGGCAGCTTTGGCTCTGTTTCCGGGCGAGCCCAAAAATTATTCAATTTCTCGTCCGGCTTTCTTTTCCAGACAATCAAAATTCTGGTCATAAAGTGAAGCCCCGACAAAGTGCTTTTCCGTGGATTGCCTTCCGACCGAAGCCCCATTGCTGCCTCACGGTGGCAACTAGACACCCTCCTCGGAAGTTGCTTGTTCAAATCTATCCCTTACCCTCGGCACCAGACCACAGGCGGACGGTTGTGTCGTATGCCGCAACTTCCAACCCAAGCCGCCCCACACTCGGGGTCGTGGCTCGAATGGTGCCGGGCTTGAAGCATGATCGAGGTAAAGAACCACAATTTCGGTTGCGATTTTGGGAGCGATATAGCGTAGAACCATCCGACTGGTTCAGCGGGTTAGTAGACCACGACTTCTGGATACGAAAGTTGTAAGCGGCCTCTCTCATCGCGAGATTGCGGTCGGTCCACAGGACTGTGGCGTAATCGCCGCCGGTCCCTAACGAGGTTTCGCAGGCCATTTTTTGTGATCCCGTCCACACCATCTTTCCAGCTTTCCCCACTAGCTCTATTTGCGGGATCCATTTTCCCACACTGCGGACACGTCTCAAGTCAGCGCCAAATGTCACGCGGCGACCCTCGTCCTCGTTCGGACCGGAAAGGGTGTCAAAGAGCATTTGCACCTCGTAGCTGGTGGCCGTGTGGGATGTGACGGGGACGAACACTTTATTCATGCGGGCGATGATCCAGTCTTGGTCTGCTTCCGCCATCGTGTCATGATGTACTCTGAACCACTCGCCTACGTCAATCCTCTTGAGCACGGGCGTTGCATCCGATGCAGCTGTTGTCTCGGTAACTATGCAGTGCAAATAAGTATCTCTGGGTCTGGAAGAATGCAAACTTGTGACGCGGCAGATTTTGTCTACACAGCCGCGCTTGGTTTTGGCTAAGTACTCATTGATTCCTAGTTTTCATTTTGACCCTAGTAGCGCAGCAGTGCGCACGTCGACCGATATGCAGACAGGTGCCGAGGCCTGTTTACTAAATGCCAGCTTGTGATGCAGATTCTGGAAGAGATCAAAACCTGTGTAAAACTAAAATCTAATGCGTTTACATAAGTACTTAATCAGCAAAAGTTGTCCGATTTTTGGTCCCAGAAGACGACACTTCTCATGCAGGAGACTACGCATAGAAATAAATCCTTCACAGAATTTGTAAGGCTTTGTGTCCATTTTTTCCTGCAGATCGATGCAACAACGGCATGAAGAAAAATGCCTGGATTCTTCTAGACCCAGACATATTTGCATTTGATAGGACGATGCGCTACCGTGCTATCAGCCGGCGTCTCTCCGACGGAGGAAGTCGACTGCACCCGCTTAGCTACTGCATCAAGAATACGGAGAAAACCACTGCTGTGAAGGAATAAAAATGAGAAGATCAAGTGCACGTAGCGAAGGCGTGCTCCTGCTCGGCGATGCACATCGCTCTTTAGCCAGCCAGGGCGAGACACCATTTTGGTACTTCCAGTCTGCATTTGGATTTTCCCTTTGCACTAAAAATGCCTGTACTTACTTCTGTTTGAACTGCAACTGGAGTCGCTGAACTCACGCCTACTCTTTCTTGCACCTCGCAAACGATGAGACCCAGAGAAGATGAAAAGTCGAATGAAAACCTACGGCACTTCTACGTAACACAAAAATGCAACTACAACTGCAATTTTTCCAAACTATAGTTCGACATCAATGCTGAATACAAGCTCCTGAAGAGAAGAAAAAGAAACAAGATACAACTGATGATGTGATTCCTTGTTCCTCGGGTTAACGTCTGGTTGTTCCATTGATGACGAGATAGCGATCCGGATCTGCAGTTCCACATCCACTTCGATCTATTTTCAGAAAGAGGAGCAAGAGCTCCTTACGGAGCTACATCGAAAAACAAAAATCCCTATGCTCGTATAAGTACCACGCCGTCAATTCGTTTCTGGTTTAACGTGGCCAAGCAGGCTAGAAAAGAGGCCTGCTGTAGTACCTACTTGCGCTCGTTCAAATTATCTAGTACCTGGCTTTCAAGTGGTATTAAGTACTGTCCGGGCCAACGATTTCCCACATGTAGTGTCAAAAACAGATCTACTTCGCCGCTGTGCCTTGATCAAAAAGCAAGTGCCTACAGAGCTGCCATAATATCGTTTTCCACAAGCAATTCCATCAAAGAAGGCGAAAAACAAACAGATCTGATGAGACGACGAAGAACAAGCTGGCTCTTTTATTCATCAGGTCTCAATAAAGCACTGACACACGCGGATCAACATGCGGGTTCAGCAAAAAATCTTCATCTTCATCCGCAAGAGATATTCACCTCCACGGTCTCTACTTTCTTTTCCTTTCGTGGACCATGCTAGAAACTTGTGCTACCACCTCGTGTAAGTGAAAAACCAAGAATCTGTTGATGTTTTTTCACGAGTTTTTTCCACATTGTTTTTTCTTCTGCGAGAAAGAAATGCGAGGATATCATGAAGAAACATGATGATGAACAACTTGTGAATCTCAAAACCAACAGTCTTTTGTGGGAATCTCAAGCAAATGAACGAACGAAAGAATCTGAATGCCCAGGTTCTCCACCAATGTTGACCGAAGAATGTAGAACACGTAGATAGCCGCGCATTCAGATTCTTTCGTTCGTTCATTTGCTTGAGATTCCCACAAAAGACTGTTGGTTTTGAGATTCACAAGTTGTTCATCATCATGTTTCTTCATGATATCCTCGCATTTCTTTCTCGCAGAAGAAAAAACAATGTGGAAAAAACTCGTGAAAAAACATCAACAGATTCTTGGTTTTTCACTTACACGAGGTGGTAGCACAAAACTCGCCTCTGCAGCCGGGAATTCGAATTCTTCAGCACCGATATGAACCGACGATCGACATTCGTCACGGTATGCCGGTTTGTTACCACCAAGAGCAAAGAACAAGAGCTGCGCAAGACCATGCATACAGTGCTGTTATTCAATATTCATGATCGTTTTGTTCCACAAGCTATCCCGCATTTTTTGAAGGCGAACAACAAAAAGATACAGATCCTCGAGAGGTGGGGGTCCAATTTCTCGGCTCTAGTTGTCGTAAGTAGTTGTGTTCTCACGTCGAGCATGAAAAAGCACACATTGGAGTGACATTTTCTTTCTCACCAATTCAAATTTTTGTCCAATTATTCTTCTTGGTTTACATGAAATTTATGTTCCAACTTCGAAGATAGCCTAGTACTACCCGTAGTCGGGTAAGTAAAAACTAATGCGGTTGTCTACGGCTTGAAAACTTCCGCATCCGCCTTAAATTTAGTTTCTCTGCTTACAACTTTCTATTGTCAATTTTGAAGATTTTTTGTCGTCGACATAAACTACAGGAGCCGAAGTAGGTCGGCGATGTCAATTTTCTGCTGAATTTATTAAGCGCACGCAAAAGAAAAGTTTTATATCGTCATCAAGTTCTTCTACTACTTATTCTTGTTCTCTCACAGCTGATCCAGTTCCCAGCTGTTATTGAGCATCAGTCTGCACCGCACGGCGGGTATGTACTCGTCTTTCGTCTTGTTGCTCCAGTACTGCACCCAAATGAGCGAATCCTTCGGGTCCCCCGTCTCACTCGGCATCACGCCCTTGACTATTGTGAGGAAAAATCCACCCCCATATCGAAAGCGAAATTTGTGTTGCTGTATTTGACTACACAAATCACGTTGGTCTTGCTGGAGAGGACTGCAGACCCATATCAAGCTTGAGTAGAGAGGATTTGACTTAGGCGCTTAGCATGAAAAGCGTCCGTGATGTTGGCTCAACAGCATGACAAACCGCCTCCATAACGGGACGGAAGCTGCTGCCCTTGTCTTCTTGCAACACAAACGCGATTTGTGACCTCAAATCAGCAACACAAATGTTCGAAAACCTACCTCTTCAATATGGGGAGGGGGGATTTTTCCTTTTCATATTGACGGTGGCCTGTTCGGGCTGTGGGTCACCCAACTCCCGGAGCACTATCATTTGTAAAAACGTCCCCGCCCCATAGTTGTGGTGCAATTCTGCATGCTGAAGATGCTTCTCATTCGGAGCCCCAGCACTCCGGAATTTGTCATGCTCCCATCAGCATGCTGCTCTGGATTTGTGACGCTGGTGAGCTAGCTGGTGAACAGTACCACACTACGAGACCAAACCTGTCATGCGCAACAACCAAGCCCTGTGGATTTGTCTAGCAGATTTCCCCACTTGACTATGGGTATGGGGTGGGGACGTTTTTTCACAGGATAAACACCCACACGTTGTCCTTCTCCTGCAGCTGTCGCTCGTTGGAATATCAAGTGCAAATATGTCTGGGTCTGGGAGATTGTGAGATTTGTAATGCTCTGCTGATAGGAGAGAAAGATCTGTCATGCGTCTTGCGCTACCAAGCTATCTTTTTGTGATGCAAAAACGCAGGTTGTCATGCAGTCGACGCAAGACCAAGTCGCTCAGAAACTTGTCATGCGCGTCCCCATATCATAGGCTGCTTATGATTCGCAAACTAGCGTCACAAATTCCCAGACCCAGACATTTTTGCAATGCATATGGAAACCAGCTCCGCGACGCCCATGGATTTCCGCAGCAGGTGGAGCGTTTTGTCCCGTTTCCGCACGTCCTATCGTACGGAAAAAGTGTTTCACTGTAAGGATTTTGCAAGTTTTGCATCACAAGTTTGTTTTACACGACAGCGGAAATTTGCCATGCGGGGTTCCTAAGGGAAAACGCAGCTAGAAACTCATGGTCCTGCATGTGTAGCATGACACACACTTCTGCGATCCATTTTCTGCATCACAACTTTACAGTGAAACAGTTTTTTCTTGCGATACGTCCGCCATCTTCAGTAATGTGTCCCCACCCCCGTTCACCCAGGCCAGCCAGATTTTGCAGTCGCCGACCTGCTTCAAGATCTGTTTCAGCGTCTGCTCATCGTCTTGGCCGACGGCCCGAAAAGCCTGCTTTTTCAGTTGCTTGATCTCTTCCGTTTCGGGCTCCGTCGTGGTCGGATGATCTATGGATGTGTCAGAATCGAAATTGACAAAATCGAGAAATTTGTGATGCACAAAACCGATGCCAGTTGGAGACTCAGTTTCCAAGTGGCGCATGACAAATTTCGCGAGCACCCAAATCCAGTCTGTCATGCTGTTTGGGCAAAGAAGACTGCTCCTGTCATGGTACTCTGGCAGCACATTGCGTAGCCCAAAACAGGCTTACAATCGGCCTCATTTGCCTGCTCCCCAATACAGACTTTCAGTGCCCTACATTTTACGCATCACAAGTTTTTCGATTTTGTCGATTTCGATCCTGACACATCCATATGATCCGCTGTGGTAGTACTGCCACTACGCTTGCTCGCACTACTACTACTAGCACCACCACCTCCATTCGGACTTCGACTTGAGCTGGTGTGGCCAGCTGTTCCACTGGTCGTGCCGTTCGCAGTAGTTGCACCTCCTGCATAATTCCTTGTGGGCGAAATTCCACTCAGTTTATTCAGCGAGGAAGAGGAGCTACTGGCGGAACTGCCAACATTATGACCGGCTCCATTTGCCGCACGCAATTCGTCTTTGTCGTGCTCCTCTTGCAATTCCTCCCCCTCCAATAAGTTCGCAACTTTGAACTCGTGCTTGAATTTCGGTTTTGAACTGGACCCCTGCTGCGTGTCGCGGGCGGAGGAGGCAACGGGAAGGTCGCGGAGCCTGATAATTTGGTTTTATTGCTCATCGATTCGAGAGAGAGAGGGTTGTGTGTGATGTGTGAGTGTGTGATGCTAAAATTGCAAAGGATTCTTGTAGTTTTATTTTAAAAACACAGAAATGAGCAACACAAGAAATTTGTCGATCTCGAGTACCACATAGAATCCCCGATGAGCCGATCTTTGTCGAGCGCGTTTATCCTGTGTAAAAACGTCCCCACACCATAGTTGTCATGCAAATCTGCATGCTTAAAATGTTTGCCATGCGGAGCCCCATGAGAAGCATTTTCTAATGGTGTTTTGAAATTTGTCATGCTCCAATCAGCATGAGAGACTAGATCTGTAATGCTGCTGAACTAGCTCAAACAGCACTACACTACGCGTCCAGATTTGTCATGCGAAACAAGCAAAGTTGGCCGAGTTGTCTAGCAGATTTTCCATCTTGACTCTGGTGTGGGTACGTTTTTACTCAGGATAGCGTTCTGGGCGTCCTCTTGCTGCTTGTTATGCATTGCAAATATCCCTGGATGTCTGGGAGGATGGAACTTGTGATGCGTCCTGTGGGTCACACAAAACTCTGTGTTGCGTGATCACCAGAAGTTGTCCTTTTTTGACTAACGTCGTATCGTATCGCTTTGACATTTGACTCCTGTCAGGGTGGCGTTAGAACAGACTTAGCCTCTGCCAATACCGTGGCGCTAGAACAGATTTAGCCTCTGCCAATACCGTGGCGTTAGAACAGATTTAGCCTCTGCCAATACCCCTAGGTGGACACCCGTTCCACGTCCTACAGGTACCACCCGACCGCATCCGCCGAACCGCTTGCGATTGCTTACGCGTGAGTACGGCCAGTGGGCGCTAGATGTGGCTGACCTGATTTACCATCCAAGCCCGCGAGCAAGGTGGAGCTCCAGTGTTGCCTTGTTGGGTTATTCTTACAAACTTTGCACGTCTTACAAACTAACATGAGCGGGAGTTTCTCATGCAGGATAGGCATGATAGAGATTTTGCAGAATCTGTCATGCTAGGTCTTGCATGCCAGCCTCACGGGGCATGGGAAATATGCATGACAAGTCTGCAATCTTCCAGACCCAGACATTTTTGCATTTGATACTTGTTGAGCTGGTCCAACTTTGTCAGTGTTATGGAATAGGGAAAATGAGCTGTAGACTGGCAGCTGGAAGTGGAACTACTACTACTTCTCCGTATGCATGACAAAAGACGCTTGTCGTGCTCAACGACACACACATAATTTTTTTACATGCATTCCTCCCCGACAACCTTTTCTACTTCAATTGTCAAGAGATCGCGAACGCCGACAGCTGCCCAGACACAATTCCAAATTTTCCCCGTTCCATAGTCAGCTGCTCTCTTTCATGCTGTATCCTGGCTATGGTCGACGCTTGCGGTGAGTTCAAGCTTTGTGCTTGATCGTCACCCGCGAGGTGCTCCGACGAAGTGGAGATGTCTGGAAAAAGATGGGTTTTTGGTTCCTTCCAATACCGCGATAAAACCCACGGCAGCCCATGCTCATGGTGCCATAGCTAATGGATGCCCAATGACCTCCACTCAGGAAGAACAATAAACACATGGAAGCCGGAAAATCAATCACTGAAAAAAAACCAAACAGCTCTGTTTTTCTGTACTGCTCGCCTTGCTTCTTTTTTTCCCCGCTGCTCCCACCTCCTCGTATTGAGAGAAAAAATCCCCCCTCCCCATATTGAAAAGGTATGTCTCCGGAAATTTGTGTTGCTGATTTGAGGTCACAAATCACATCTGTCTTGCAAGAAGACAAGGGCAGAAGCTTCCGCCATATTATGGAGGCGATTTGTCATGCCGTTGGGCCTAAAGGGAGGCCGTTTGCCATGCTGAGCAACTAGACCCATACGCCCCCAGCTAGCCTGGGGATCTGGCCGCCATGCCTTTTTGCAACACAAATCTGATTTGTGTATCCAAATGCAGCATCAGAAATTTCGTTTTGATATGGGGAGGGGGGATTTTTCCTTTTGATACCTCGCTCGCCTTTGTTTTCCAATATTCCACCTCCCCGTGCAGACTCTCCAGCGACTTATTACAATGAAAAATGCCCCCACCCCCGAACTTGAAAGCATTTGTATTGCAAACCTTTCCAAATGAAACATTCGCCCTCTTGCACCTAGCAGCATCACAGGTTTCCAATCGTGAATAGCGAAAATTTGTATTGCAAAAGACCCCAGCAAGAGCGGCGCTTGTCATGCAAGCGATGCGATACACGCCTAGACTCTGCATCAGAAAGATTCATACTCCTCCCATGCATGACAAAAAGTTTTCATTTGGAAACTTCGCATCACAAATTTTTGCAATTTGAGGGGTGGGGGGCACTTTTCACTGTAATACGACTTCTCCATGGTTTTCAGCTGCGCCAACGCCTCGTTCCGCGCAAACTGGGACTGCTGCAGCTCCTGCTTAAGCGTTTTTTTCTCCTTTTCCATTTCCTCCCACTTCGCCTCGGCCTTGGCGCACCGCCGCCGCAGTATCCTGAGTAAAAACGTACCCACACCAGAGTTGTAATGCAGATTTGCAAAGACAGGAAGACTTGTAATGCGCATCCCCATGAGAGCCATTTCCAATTGTGTTTTGGAATTTGTGTTCCTGTGAACAGGATGAGCAGATGAATCTGTGACGCGGCTGCACGTGCTAACCTGCACTACACTGCATAGCGCAACTTGTCATGCGTGACTCACAAAACTCCTAGGTTTGTGTTGCAAAATCCCCATCCTGACTCTGGTGTGGGTACGTTTTTACTCAGGATACGCAGTTCCTCGTTTTCCTCTTCCAGGGGCAAGACCGACATTTGGGAGGCGTTCATTTTCGACCGGGCGAGCTTCACTTCGGAAAGCAGCTTCTCATTTTGCTTTCGAATCTCGTCGATCTCCTCATTCTGCATATCCTGTGCAAAAGTATCGCACTCGTATTGACGCAGTCATGCATGCCAAATCGCGTTTTTAAGCCAAGTCCGCATTACAAATTTTCTTTCTCATGCTGAGGAAATAATTTGTGATGCATTTATACGAGTACGATAGTTTTGCAATGCATATTGCACTTGGATCACCGATATCTGCCCGTGCGCGTTCTCCAGCTCGAGGGTCAGGTTGCTTACCTTGGGTGAAGATTTTAGTACAACTCAAGTGGAGTTTATAAAAATTGTAAGTACGCTTCTCCCTAGTTCGTCGGTTGTTCTCTTGTGGCCTTTATTTTTAGACACAGGACGAGTCAATTTGTGCATACCATTCGAGGCGGCAAGTTGATCGGATGAGCTTATCCTTATTGTGGTCATGGTCATCAACGTCAACATTCATAGACAGGACGATGAATCCGTTTTCTTCAGAGTACCGTCCTTTTCTGCTTTGTCACCTCCTCCGTCTTTCGGTGGACTTCTGCCTGCAGGTCGGACACCAGCTTCGCATTTTCATCTACCGTAGACAGCCGGCTCTTCGGGCTGAACCGGCTCGTTTTGTGATTCCTTTTCTCGGGTGACAGGGAACTGGTCCCGCCGAACAGGCCGGTACTTGCTCCGCTGCCGGCCCGGTTTCGCGACGTGGAAGTGGAGGACGACGAACCGCCAAAACTGAACAAGCCACCCAGAATCGACGTCGCAGAGGAGCCGGACTTCCGGCCCTCCTGTTCCGACGATTGTTGCGACTCCGTGGTCTGGCTTATCCTGATTAAAAACGTCCCCACACCAGAGTCAAGATGGGAAATCTGCTAGACAAATCAGCCAGCTTTGGTGGTTTCGCATGACAACTTTGTCCTCGTAGTGTAGTCCTGTTTAGCGGCTCAGCAGCATCACAGATCTAGCCTTGCCATGCTGATTCTAGCATCACAACTTTCAAAACACGAATAGAGCATGCTGCTCATAGGGCTCCGCATGAGAAACTTTTTTGGCATGCAAAATTGCATGACAACTCTGGGGTGGGGACGTTTTTACAAACAATATGGCTATTCAGGTTCTCTTCATCCGTGCGGTCCTGACTTTCGACCTCCGAGCTACTGGCGCTCGAGGAGGACGAGGTCCGCAGCTCCTCATCTTCGTCATCCTGCACGGTCTCCCGGCCTCGCCTGACCGTGGTTTCGTCACCACTTGCTCGTGAGGGTCCCAAAGGGGGGGAACCTCCACGGTGATCCATGTGCTGGTGCTCTGGCGAAGCCCGATTGTAGTTGCTGCCAGTACTACTACTACTACTCTTTTGTTGCTGCGACCTCTCCCGGGTCTTCATGTGGTTCACTTGGGCGACTAACGCGTCGCGCTCCCGCGTCACGGTCTCCTTGCCCGCAGCCATCTCTTCAATTTGCCGCTCGTGGTTTTTTGCCGACAGTGCGTACTCCTTGTTCTCTTGGACGACGTTGTACAACTGTTGCTCGTACTGAGTTTCGATTTTTCGCAAGGACTTGACCTCAGCTTGCAGGGCGTTCAAGTGCTGCCGCAGCTGCTCGGCACTCTCGGTTTCCGCGACTTGTCTCTCGGAAAGCGTATACACATCGGCGGCACGCTGGTTTTTTTTTCGAAACTCAACATTATGTCACGAGGACACTGAAAGATTTCTATCTCATGCGAAAGCTGCATAGCGAAGGCCGTTTCTCATGTTGACATTCGCAACAGTCACAAACTAGTACATCAACCTGTTTTATCTCTAGAAAGATAGTACCTGCTTATTCTCCTTTTTTAGTTTCTGCACCTCCTGGTCCTTTATTTCCAGCCGTCGCCGCAGCTCCGCGCGGGTATGAAGAGGACGAAATAATTTATGGAACTTGTATTGCATACACTGCATGCATGGCATCGCTCTAGACAGTCATGAGTATCATCGATCGCGTATATGCAATACAAATACATCAACTGTGGCACTTTCGTAAAGTTCTCCCGCATACGCGCCCCCGGCGGGATCTTCTTCGCTGCTGGTCGTAGCGGGGTTGTAGTTCACATTGTTGCTGTTTCGCATCATGATGCCAGCTGGATTGGAAGCGTCGTCCGGCGAGGTTATTTTTGACGAAGACGCCGAAGATCTGTTGTTGCCTGTAGTTCCAGCAGCTGCTGCTGTCCCGGTTCCAAAATTGTGCAACTGTATGGAAGCGTCAGGATCGAAATCAACAAAATCGAAATAATTTGTGATGCATAAACTCGATACCAGTCGGAGCCGCAGTTTCCAAGTGGGGCATGACAAATTTCGGGAGCAACAAAATCCAGCCTGTCATGCTGTTTGGGCAAGGAAGACTGCTCCTGTCATGCTACTCTGGCAGCGCATCGCCTTCCCCTAAACAGGCTCGCAATCGGTCTCATTTGCCTGCTCCCCAACACAGGCCATACGTGCCCTACATTTTATGCATTACAAATTTTTCGATTTTGCGAATTTCGATTTTGACACATCCATAAACTGACTGCGCATGCTAGTGTTCTTCGACGTCACACCTGCTCCAGGGGAGTGGGACGACGTTGTCACTTCTACCTGGTTCTGCTGCGCAGTAGAGAGGACGAGACCAGCTGTTGTACTAGTGGGCTCCGACGAATACACTTGACGAGACGAGGACTCGTCGTCGTGGAGTACTAGTTTATCTCTGGACGAGCTACTTGAAACTCCTTGTTCTGCAAAGGGGTTTTTCGACGCACTATTCCTGCCCTTGTGTGATATTCTCGCTGTGCCGCTATTGGCCGCCGGAGAAGATGACGCCAATGAAGAGGAAAACAGGAAGGGCTGCGGCTGCTGCTCTTGTTGTTGCGATGGAGATAGTTGTACTTGCGACGTTACAGCACTAGCTGCCTGCAGATGTTGCTGCGCGCCTAATCCTAAAGAGCCCAAAGCCGCACCTGCTATAGCACCGCTGGTCGTAGCAGTAGTTATCGGCGAAGACAGCGGGCTGGCGAAGTTGCTGGACGTCGAAGACGAGTTATTCGGTGTGTGATGTAGCTGTGCGTTTTTACTCCTGTAATTCGCGTAGGAGTTACTCAGTTTCCACTGGGCGAGCGCCTGGTCCTTCTCCGCAAGAATTTTCGACAGCTCGGCAACCCTGTCCGCAAACTGGCTCTGTTCAACCTTGATTCTGGCCGCGTGCTGCTGGCTATGAACTGCAAATATGTCTGGGTCTGGAAGAGTCGGGGCTTGTCATGCACATTTTGCATGACCCATCAAGTCTGTGACGCTGGTGCTAGCATCACAGATTTTTTGAGAGCTTCTTGATGCTTATTACCCATGACAAATGCCCTCTCCGCGTGCCAAGAACTGACTCCTCTTACTGCTCACGACGCAACACAGATATTTTTAGAATCCACAGACAGCATTACCAGTTCGACTCTTCCAGACCCAGACACTTTTGCATTTGATACTGCCGCTCCTCGGCCAATTTCTTCTCGAGGTCCGCAAACCGGTCCCGCTCTTGCAGTAGTTGCAACGCGTGCTTGCGCTCCTGTTATTATGATGCTGCGTAGTTGATAATATTATCTCATGTCTACCTCATGTAGTTTATTTTTTACTTGGTCGTCCTATCATCATGTATCAATCAAAGGTAGGAAGTCCTAGAGTAGTAATAGTATCTTGTTCCATTATATCTTCCCCCACGCAAAAGAACAAATTCGAAGTCGAAACTTGTTCAGAATACCAGATCCGCCAAGCGCTTTTCGAGGGCGCTACTTCCAGAATCCGTGCCGGCAGATGAAAACAAACTACGGTTTCCGTCGAGCGGACTGCTTGTTTTCACGAGCTGCTGCTGTGGATGTTGGGTCAGATCAGCAAAACCGTTTCCTAGGCCTGGTGAGCAATTGCTTTCCCGTTCTGAATCAAATTGATGTCCCTGCCGGTGGTCTGCGACTCCAGCATGCGCACTACCATGGTACTCCCGAAGATGTTGATCAACGCCCCTTGTGTTCCCGAAGTTGCCGTATCGGCTTAATTGATGAAGCGCGCTCGCTGCCTGGCTGTGTGCAGCGGGACCACCTCCACCACTCAACGGGTGGTGAACGCCAAAAGTAGTCGGAAAGCAGTGCGAATCGGTGCCACTCCGGGTACGGAAACTCCCGAGTCGGCCGAGGTCGACCGACTTCCGGCTGGCGGGAATGCCGGAATAATTTTTCGCGTTGGCGATTTGCGAACGCGAATTCCGCTCGAAGCGCTCGATCAAGGAATTAACACGGGAAGAGGACGAGGAAGTTGCGCCGCTTTTCGTCGAAGAAGATCCCTGTTGGTTCAGGTTGTAAGAAGTAGTTGCACCCCCAGCTGTTTTCGTAGATGTTGAAGTACCGCTGTGCGTTGTCGTAGCACTACTTCCCGGGTTGAAATTAGATGGCGGCCTGGTCGCGGTTGCAGTTGTCATGATGTACAAAAGCGGCGGGTAGTTGTTCGCTGTGAATTTCAAAATTTTTCTGTCCTTGCTCTTTCTTCACGTCGGAAATAAACGAAGAAGTACTAGATTCTCCGATACTACAAGCCGCTCGACGAAAATCGCGAATCAACGGAGACGATAACCCGGCACTCGCCTTCTTAAAAACATTTCTCGCGCCATTTGAGGGTAGCAGGGTTGTTCTTGAAAATTCAGCGCCGGTTGTGGAAAGATGGTCGTCGAGCTGCTCCTGCTGTACATCTTGGGGACGATAAAGGGGACCAAATTGATGGCTTGTTCTCACTGAAACAGTCGTTAGGTTTACTTCATGTCTTGTTGCGCAAGACAACATCGTTTCTTCAATCACACAGGTCATCGTCGTACAGTTATCAAAGTATTCAGCCTCATGCTACTTCATATGCAGTACGGAGTGGTAGTTCTCAGGATAAAATAAATTTGGAGTTCTCTGATTTTTTTCAGATGTAGTTGTCCTTGCAACTACTTGCTTGTGCGGCTATAATGCGATGATCACGTTTGTCCTGCTGGATTTTTCCATCTCTTACACACGACCACTACTTACTTCCTGACCACGGTCAGAGACAAACACGCACCCCGGCAACTGCTTCCTGCAGTAAGTACCAACAATCTTCGTTTTGTCTTGTCAGCTCAGAGTCAAGAACCAGCACGAGATTGCCTGGAAATACATCCTTCACTCTGATATCACGCAAGAACTAAAGCATATCAGTGCCTACACCTTCGCTGCACAACCTTCAGAGACCGGCATTGTGAGATTCTGATCGTACTATTTCTGTTTGAGATATCATGTACGTGTCGTACCTATACCATGCATAGTACTCGCAACAGATGACAACGGTGAGACAACGCGGCAACGAAAAAACGACAAGGGCATCGTGGCACGACGCTGGCTGATTCTCCCACTTCCGAGTAGGAGAAAGGCTAGAGAATGGTACGGAAACACAATTAACGAGGGGGCAAGAAACGAGGCGGTAGCGGTACGTCCAGAGTGCATCACTGCTAGCTCAAAATGAATCAAACTGAAACTGCATCTGCACATAACTAATTGCAGATGCAAAAAACGAAAACCACCCATCAACCTTGGGCCACCGCGGTACAACTAGCAGCTAGTACCAATAGCCGATGCGAAAAAAACTCGCGGAGAGACGATTGAACGGGGGACGTGGGCATCCTTCTAGCAGAGGCATGGCAAGAAGCTCTGAACACCCGCGCTGCTGTGCGTCACTTCACTTCGCTTCTTGTGAAGGTCTCAGGACTGAGCTAATTTCATTGTGAGTGTAATCACTGGGGGAGTCTCATGTTCGTCGTGGTGCCACTTCAAGACAAATCTCGCCTGTGTCGTGTGAATTGTGAAGATGCGAACAAACTAACCAACGACGAGGTAGAACCCACTACGAGTAAAAACAACACCTAGTTGAGGTGGTACAAATATGCATGAGAGATTATTTGTGTGTGTGCCTTGACTGGCATCAAGGGCCCTGGGGTTCATTGGAAGAGTAAAGGTCGATGGTACTGCGTGCCCAGGCAAAACTGGGGCACTCGGGAACCTTCACTATTCTTGCCGTGACGTTCGTGCCCGTCTTAGCCTGTTTCAGGTTCAGTAGTCATCTTACTCTAGTAGAATTGAATTAGTGACGATCGTGCCCGTTTAGGTGTGCTTTGGATCTTTGGAGTGGATCAAGGTTCTTATCGTTGGTTGATGATTTATGTGTCATAGTCCCCCTCACTCCAAATCCAAAGTCAAAAAATAAAATCTGTATTGCAGGTTCTTTGTTTATAGTCTTTGCGAGACTTGCGAAAAATAAATGCAGGCGTAAATGGAAGCGAATAAATTTGGTGCATAATAAAACTCTCTTCGATAGTCATCAGCAGTCCCCCTTGCGCCGAATTTCTTCGCGTTCGTTCGTTCGTTCGTTGGTGTCCAGTTAGGGTTGCTGGCGGTCTGTGGTGTTTTTCATACTCGGAACGTTTTCGGTTAATCCAACTCGATTATGTCGTTTAGTTCGAGAAATGCACGAAACTCGATAGGAGGACAAGTCTTAGTCAAACCGTTTGACTTGTTAATCTTGGTCGAGTGATAAACGCACTTGATAAGTTGTTTCTCTTGCAAATCGCGCATCTGCATGCCACGGATGTCGATATGTTTCAAAGCGCTTTTGGTGCCGTTTTGGTTTTCAGTATACGAAATTGCGCTGGAGTTGTCACATCCAAGTTGAATAGGCAGTAAAAGGCTGTGTGATGCAAAGAACTTTTTCCAAAACGGGCGCAAAGATTCAAGACAATAGTGAAAACGTAAAACCATTTTCGCGGCTTCGCTCATGCCATAGAGCTCAGCTTCAGAAACGCTAGAACTAACGCTGTTTTGACTTGCGCAACGCCATGCGATGGCATTTCCGTTCAGACAGATCACTACGCCGGAATTAGACTTTCTATCTCCGAAACTAGCCCAGTCGGAGTCGCTCCACGCGGTGAGGATAAGACGATCTCCAAACTTTTCACTTCGGTTTTTGTATCGGAGACCTCGGCGGGTCCGTAAGTAGCGCACGATGCGCTTGAGTGCCAAAATGCACTCGGGAGTAGCTTTCACGCGGGCGCACATCTTTAAAGCTACGACTATGTCCATCCTGGTTTGACACAAATACTGTAAGGAGCCAGTTAGTTCTTGCTTGGTTTTGACTAATTCAGGCACTTCAGGCGCAGAGACATCAGGAGGCGCATCCATTGGCGTGGAAGTGTTGCGACCTGTGTCACCGCCAAAGCGATCAAGAATTTTCTGCACGTATTTGTCTTGGTTCAAGACCATGTCGCCGGTCTTTTTGTTTTCGCGGGCTTCGATGCCAAGGACATCGTAGACGAGGTGCGTACCTTCGTCGCGAACCTCTTCGGGTTGTAACTTTAGCGCGGGCCTAAGTTCTTCGTGGTACTTCAAAACTTCTTCCTTGTCACCGAAAAACCAAAAATTATCTACAAATACTAACAACAAAACACCGGCACGAGTCCAGAGAGTGGCCTCGATGGGGTTGCGCTTCCATTCTTGTTTGACAAGAACGGCATCGCGGTGGTCTTCCCAGGCGCGGGAACTAAGGCGCAGGCCATTCATGGCGTATTCTACCACACCAAGGCGGTAGCCTAGCTCGTTTTGCAATCGCTGATCGAGATCGATCACGACCGGAACTGGGTACTTTGCTTGCAAAAAGGCTGAAGTAGCGTCGGAAGGGAATGCAAACATCCTAGGTGACTGAACTTTCATACAAAGCAACATACGCAAAATACTTAAATCAGGCACAGTAGCATACTTCTGGTTCCCAGACATTTTGTCCAGAAAGCCTAAGCATACGATCCGGGCCTTACGTTTGCCGCAGCGCTTTACACTAAGCAACATTTTGCAGGGTACTGCTCTGCTGCCGCTGCGTTTGAACCGTTCGACTTCTTCAGGTGTAGCAGGCCTGAATACGTGAGAATGTGCTTTGACTTCTTTAGAAATGGCTTCTTTCCAAGCGGGCTCTGTAGTGTCAAAACCAGACTTGTGATCAGGGACAGCGATAGCTTTGTAGCAAACTTCACCAGGCTCCCAGTCAGCACAAATGAGGGGCGCAAGCATGGCTGCAAGCGTATTGTCGTTAATGTCGTTGATGTTGAGCTGTCGGCATCGTTCTGCGATGTCAGAAGCGACTTTGTGCTTTTGTGCTTCTTTCAAATGCGAATACTCGGGCTGAGCATCGATTAACGCGCGCACTGTGAGTAGCGTTTTCTCACGTTGTTCGTTGCGTTTTATCCAAGCGCCACGCACCGGCGCTGTTTCAGTTGTCGCGATCAACTGGCGTACGCGCTGCACCTCTTCAGATTTGAGTTTGTCGAAAACGCCCTGATAGTAGTCCTTGGTAAGACGGAACTTTTTCTCTAGTTCGATGGGTGCAACATCAAGTGAGACAGCCGGGCCACCGTTGCCAGGCGGCGGGAGCGTGTCAGGTTCACGAGATGACGAGCTTGCGCTGCTACTTGATGCGGCGGGGGCATCGGTGCTCGATTTTGGGTCGGCTTTGATGCTGTCAGCTGCATCGAGGGTTTTTGGTGCGACCTTCGCATTACCATCCGGAACTATTTTGATGGTTGTCTCTTCGTCGAGAAATTCGCCCTGGGGCGTGTCCGGATGGCTATCAGGGACGTTGTGCGTTTTGTAGAGGCTTTTGAGTAACATGGGTGGAAAAGTCATAGCAGTGGCCGTCAGGTGCCTACGTACGTGAGACGCATGCGAACGGCGATACCTGCCATCATGATCCACAACGAAAGTGACTGAGTTGTTGTTCACTTGGCGATGGATTAAGGTGCAGGGACCTAACCATGCTTCTTTGTCCTTGTCGAAAATTTCTACCAATTCACCAACTTTGCACTCGTCGGATTCATGATAAAAATTGCGCTGAAGTTCCCTCAGCTTCCGCGTCTCATCTACAAGCTGTCTGTCGTGCTTCAGCTCTTCGACCAGAGCACGGGCCCTACAACGGATTTTGTAATCGGACTCAGGACTTTGCTCGTTGACTAAAACTGCTTGCTGCTCTGTCAAATCTTCTACAAAATTAGGCTCGAGCTTAAACGGATTTATGACCCACTGCACCTGCGCAGGCGCAAGCCCGTCAAGCGCAGCGGTGGGCGTCATGTTAACCGCGTTTGTTGCTTGTTGTACCAGGCGCGGGATGATAGAACTCTTTTGGCCATAAACGTAATAAAGACGATGCAAAACAGCACGCAAAAGACGATGGCGGCGCTCGCAAGTTCCATTCACCCAAGAAGCCTTAGGCGTCAGGAAAAGCTGAATGCCATACAGCTGGCACCATTCGCGCACTTTTATGTTGTCAAACTCCTTGCCTTGGTCGCAAAGAATGTTCTTGCCCATCATGCCAACAGTTTTCAAGTACTCTAAAAAATCAGCAGTGTCCTGCATCTTGACTGCTCGTTTGAAAGTTGTGGTGGTGCTGGCGCGGGAATGGATGTTGATCCCATGTAGCACGCTAAACTCCTTACCTAACGGAAAAAACGTATCTAAGGCGCACCAGTCGGACAAAGAATTGGCTTCAACTCCTCCGACTTTATGGTGGGGAAAGGCATGGGTCTTAAGGCGCGTCAAGTTGTGCTTGCAGAAGTGAATAACCATACTTCTGGAGCGCTGGGAGTTGTCAAGCGTTCGGACAATTTCCCACAACTTTTGGAAAGTAGGCATAAAAAGGCAAGCGCCAAGCTGGCATATCTTTTCATAACTAATTTGCTCGAAAGCCGGGGCCTCGGTCGAATCTGTTCGCCTGAACTTCTTCGCCGGGCGCGTTCGCTTTGGTTGGTCCTGGTCCTGGTCGGCCTTTTTGCGCTTTTTGTTCTTGGCCTTTTTCTTCTTTTTGGCCTTGGGCTGCTCAGAGCCAAGATGATCCGAAGTAGGTAGCTCAGAGCGGTCGGCATTTTCAGAATCGCTTGAGGCGCTGCGGGTTGCATCCTGGCCACGATCTTCCTGTTGCGCGCTTGAAGATGTGGGGTCCGAAGATACAGCAGGCTCAGGCTCATGCGATTGGTCCTCTGGTGGAACCTCTGGCGCGGGGAAAGAATAGGCACAAGATGCAAGCCACCTGACATCGTCGTCTTTGATTTCAAATGTCCGATGCTGGTGGTGACTCGGGCCATCAAGCACTACTACTCTTTCATCGAGATACGCTGACAAAATGCGAAGTTTTTCTTTGATCTCGTCATTGATGATGGGCGCCAGTAGTGCAAGTCGTTTTTGACGGTTGTGAACGACTTCTGCGATTATCTCGTTTGTGCTGAGATTTTTGCAATCGATTTCGAAAAACTGAAGACGCAAAGAGCTATCGAAACCAATCAAAGAATTAAAGTAATCATGGGTGGCGCACCACAAGTCCTGCATGAGTTCCTCGCTGCAGGTTACAAACGCCGTCTGGATCGGTTCCTTGTGGTTGATACGCACCGGGAGCTTGATCTGGGTGCATCCTTCCACGAGCTGGATCGCGTAGGATAAGAACTGCATCTTGTCCAAGGACATCGGGATACCGGCTCTGCGCAAAAGCGGATAACTCAGCAACACCCTGTTGCCGAGGCTAGGGACGTGGGCAACGTTCTGGAGCTTGATCGGCGGTGAGGTTTCCAACCAGATAGAACCCGTGGTAGTACTGGTGGTCGGTCCGTTTGCCGTGCTAAACGACATTGCCGGCGCTTTCACGAGTTCATGCAGAACCCGCACCGGTCCCGCCATGTGCTTGCTCGCACAAGAATCCAGCATCAAGAACATCTCCACCGTGTTTGCTGTCGCGGGAGTCGCAAACGCACTGTGGGGGTGGTCGGGGCAGGAGATTTCGACAGCCACGGCACAGAAAAATCCGCCCTGCTGGTTGTAGTTCGGGTTCGCCGGTTGGTGGACCATCTGTTGTTGCAGTTGCTGCGGGGGGTACGGATTTTGTTGTTGTTGGTGCTGGGCACCGTACTGGTTGTAGTTCCCCTGCTGCTGCTGCTGCTGGTGGTATCCACCATGCTGCTGGTGGTGTCCACCGCTGTTGTGGTCGCCGGATGCTGCATACGAGTTGTACTGCTTCCCCGGTGCCCCAGTTTTGCCGCCGTCGGTATTCTGCTTGGTACGGCACTCCGATTCCCAGTGGCCGGCGCGGCTGCAGTAATCGCACCAGGCGTCCGGGTTGTACGGCTTCCGGGGTTTACCACCCTTGCCGCCCTTCTTACCGCCCTTGCCACTACCCTTCTTGCCATGACGACCGCCCTTGTGCTTGCGGCCGCCCTTCGGGTCGTGGAAGGCAGGGAAGGCGACATCAGGTTTCTTCTTCTTCCCGAAAAGCTTCTCCGCTTTGCCAATCGCAGCCGCCAGCTGCGTCGCGTTTCTCGGTTTGTCCTGGACGATGATGCCCCTGACGTTCTTTTGCGCGTTCCGTTCGGCGTAGCGGACGACTTCCGAGAACGGCAGTTTGTCCTCAGGCAATTCAGCAAGAGCTTCGCAGAACTTCTTATACCACTCCTGTGGGTTTTGGTTCTGGTCCTGCTTGCAATCTTCCAGTTTCTCCATACCTGCATCGGGGTCTTGCAGTTCGTTCCGGAAGATCTTGATGATGCGCCGGAGGCGCTTCGAACTGTTATGCGCCTTGCGGACTGTCCTCCGCTTCTTCGCCGCTAAGTACTGTCGCAGGGTAGTAGTATGCTGGATTTTTGATTCAATCCCTTTCAGGATACGGCTCGGCTTGTACTTCTCCTGCGCGAGCGACAAGTACTCGGTGAACGGTAACGAGTCATCTTGATAGAGCGGGAGTTGCGACAAGACCATCTTCTTCTCGTCTTTTTCGTTCGACGATTTCTTTCGCTTTTTCGGTTTCTCGTCCTCCTCGGAACTCGCAGAACCGCTTGAGGAATCGGAAGAAGAGTTTTCGTCGCAGCTGCCACCACTGGAATCCGAAGAAGACAGAATGTCGGAATCGGAATCCTTCCGCTTCGGTTTCTTCTGTTTCTTCTTTTTCGTACTGGTCTTCGTGGCTGGTTTCTGCAACTGCTTCTTCGCATCCGCGTCGCGCTGTTGTTCTTCCTTCGCGACGTCCTCGAGCTGCTTCCGGAGGTCAGCAACGACAGTGCCGCCCTTGTCGTCTTTCAAGTCGCCCAGCAGTTTTCCCATCTGCGACAACTTCGCCACAACGCTAGGCGCAGTTTGCAGCGTCAGAGTGGTGTCGGCGGTAGAAGAAGTGTTTTGCTTTTTCTTCTTTTTCTTCTTGTCTGGGTTCGGCGTGATGGTTCCGTCATCACCGGCTGTTTGCTGTTCGCCCTCAGGCTCGCCAGAAGTTGCTGTTGCTGCTGCTTTCTCCTTCGCAGCCTTTTCCTTCGCAGTCTTCTCTTTCTTGTTTTGCTTCTGCGCTGCAGTCAGCTCGCCCATGGTTTGTCGTTGGGGTATTTATGATTCTAAATTTGTAATGCTGATAATTAGGCGCAAAGTGTAATTTTAAATGTTCGCAATCAGAAGTAAATCTTAGTGGTAATTTGGGCTCATAACTCTGTGAAGATGCGAACTAACCAACGACGAGGTCGAACCCACTACGAGTAAAAACAACACCTAGTTGAGGTGGTACAAATATGCATGAGAGATTATTTGTGTGTGTGCCTTGACTGGCATCAAGGGCCCTGGGGTTCATTGGAAGAGTAAAGGTCGATGGTACTGCGTGCCCAGGCAAAACTGGGGCACTCGGGAACCTTCACTATTCTTGCCGTGACGTTCGTGCCCGTCTTAGCCTGTTTCAGGTTCAGTAGTCATCTTACTCTAGTAGAATTGAATTAGTGACGATCGTGCCCGTTTAGGTGTGCTTTGGATCTTTGGAGTGGATCAAGGTTCTTATCGTTGGTTGATGATTTATGTGTCATATGAATAGATGGTTGAATTGAGCTCAAACAGGACCCGAGTGGTGCCCTCATTGGAACTCCTATCTCCGGCGAAGATAGTGCTGCACCTGCTCTTTTTAGCAATTATACTTGTGCTGCTCCTGCAGCTTTCTGGCACGATCATCACATTGAAATTTCCTACCTTGAAGAAAGAGATACATTATACTACTGAACAATGCACACTCAGTGTGCTTTACCTTCATCTTACACGGAAAAAAAATGTTGCAGCTACATCAGGGGAGGGGTCGAGCGAACGAAAGTGTTCCAAAACTGCGGAATGAGGCAGAATGGCAGGGGAGTTCCACCTAGCCTTTCACTACCTCTTTGTCGGTCCTTCTAGGCGAAGTAAAATCGCCATGGTTGCAATATTTAATTCTAGTATATAAAGCCATCAACTACTGGGAAACGCGAATAGTGAGCTTACTAAACCTACTACACGACTTATGCGGTGGTTTCGTTTCCATCATACATGCTTATGTTGACCAATACTGAAGGCCCGCATTGTCAACGGTCTACCTGCCGCGGACAAGGACCATAGTACTGCCCTACGTTTAATTCAAGCAAGAATTTGCTTCACCGTGTAGTTCTTCATGCACGTCGATCGACATTTGCCATGAGTACTTGCTTCAGGATCGAAGCCGATTGCACTCTATTTCGTCAAATCCATTGGCCCTAGCATATGAGGCGGCGGGTACCGTATCCGCCGCGCCCCATCATCTTTCGGAACCAGTTCCCAAGAATTGGCGTCATCTGCCTTCACCGGGGGCGTCTTATCGTCCCCATCTGCGGGCTCGCGACCGCCAAAGCGCGGGGTGAGAGGGCTTCCCTCTGTTGCCCACTCTTGCGGTCCCCAGTTTTCTGGCAAGTTTTCTGGCATCGACAATTCATCAAACGTATTCAGCGACAATTCATCAACCGATGGTGCATGTGTCAGCGACAATTCATCAACGTATTTGTATTGGTCCCGAGGCCGGGGTCCGGTTCGCGTAATTGGCTTCTTCTCCATCTTCTTCCCCTGCGACGCCGCAAGCGAAACGGCCCCGACCAACACGAGGGACTCAAGTTCGCTACTGATGGCGAGCAAAGCGAAGAGAACCTTACTGAATAGCGAGACAAAATTCATCTTCGTTGTCTACAGCTAAGGCACGATTCAGAGTTTTTAACGTGAAAAATTATAATCACTTATTCCACTTTTGCAAAAAAATCCTCCTGCGAAAATAGATGCTCCATAACTAATTCAATGATCAATCAAAAAAAATTGAAGTACTGTGTACTCTGGAGAAACTACTGCCCAAAGATGAAAGGAGAACTTGAACTTCCCAAAATCGTGACTGTTTTAAAAATACTATAGTGATGATGAAAGCAAAAGACATTCAGTGCGCAGCTTCCAGCCGCTCGTCCCGACTTGCGATTCATTTCTTGTGCACATCACAATTATACCGACAATTCGAATTCCGCGGATCATCTGTACGTACGTATTTTCATTTCCCTTTTCGGAACCGTTCGTGTCAGACTGCATCAGCAAAATGACACACGAAGCAAACCGGACCACTAGACCCATCACGACCGATTGCGTTAGGTGCTCGGAGAGGATGCCTCGTCACAAGAGCAACTCCAAAACTTCGTTGGCCATTTCTCGGAATGCCGAGGCGTCTCAAAGATCATCCCGTCCTGTTCGAACTTCGTGCATCTTCGGAAGCCGAAGCTCGAACAACTGCAATATTATCTGCACACAACTACTAAATTGCAATCTATGTAGCGATAACAACTTTCTTCTAGCGTTTTCCTTATCATGTCGGAATCTTCATGCTTGTGAAATCTGATGTTGATGATGCGCCGTCAACACGCTCTGCAAATTACTTATTGCTCACCTCCTCGATTTTTGAGACTCCTTCATTGACAAATCTGGTATGTTGCTTGTGGATTCATTTTCATTTTGATGACGGCGCCATAAAAATATGAACGTTTTTCTAGAAGAAGATGGACATATTTTTGTGCATCGTGGAATATGGTAGTCCAAATGTCTCTGTTGCTGAAAAAGCATTTTCAAAAATTTCTCGAATTCCGATTGAAACCACTCGGCAGCATCCATGTAGGGACGCTGTAATACTACAGTGCGGCACGAGGTCAGTAACACAATAAGTACGGATGGAAAAGGCAACAATTATATGCGCAGACCGGAATGATGTACTTATCGGCATCGCTATTGAAAAAATGTTGATTTGAAAAGCTCCAACTGGGATTGGAAAAGCGTACTTAAGCTCTGTGCGATGGGCAAGCATTCTCGTTCTCCTGCGGTCTTAAGCGTAAAAATAATTTCGGGCTTGTAGCGCTTTCTAAGGGCGGACGTGGGGTTTTTGATGCACGGGTAGGTAAAGTAGTGCTTTCACGCCTTTGACGCATTGCAGGTGGTCGACGGTGGCGAAGACAAACATCCAATCATACATTGACAATTTTGCTTAATACGGATTATACTACGAAAAAGATTGTGGCTACACAAAACAAAGTCCACGATCTTCCGACAAAAAATTTTACACAGCCACCACGACATTCTCTCTTTCCAGCAAACTTTTTTTCAACAACGCCCCCTGTGGCCCGACTTCTCCCACGGCCGGGGAGTTGACCGAATAGGAGCAAGACCCAGAGTTTGGCGAGATCAAGAGGTTCATCGTAGCCGCGGGGCTAGTGAACTCTTCTTCTCCACAGTCCGGGTTCCCGAACGACCCGATAACCCCATCCTCGTAGGAAAACAGGCTCGGGAACCGCAGCAACCCGCCGTAAATCAGCTGTCCGAGGATGAGCGAGCCGAACCCGGCCAGCTTATGGCATTTTTCCCAAGCGTTTCTTGCAAGTGTCGCTTTTCTGACATGATTTGTCATGCGGAATTATCATCATCCTTCATATCATCAAGCTACTTCGCATGACAAGTTCTTCACCGGCTGCATAGCATCAGAATCCGAACCAAATCTGTAAGTAATGCAAGACGCGTAAGTTCTTCCTCCCACTTCCTTTCGCTTTTGCATTTCCTTGCAGTTGCATCGATGAACAAAGGCCATGTGCTATATAGCAATCATTGTAAAAACGTTTGAGAACGCCATAGAGCTGCAGGTAGGAGTAGGGCGTCCAGGGTTCGCCAAAATCACTTGTCGGGTCGACGCAGTAGAAGTAGAAGATCCCGGTCAGCCACACCACCATCGTGCGCCAGGCGTCCAGCATGGTCCGGTGGACGGCGGACAGGTAGCGGGTGATGCTCATGCCGCAGAAGTTGTAGAACGAGCAAGTGAGCAGGTAGGTCACGGTGAGGACGAAGGTATGGAAGGTGAGAAAAGTGATGTTGATGATCGTTGTTGCGAAATCAAGTTAATAAATCGTCGCGATGACATGAAGCATAAATTCAGTCTAGTACGACGCTGGGATTTTTATATGAGCTACATACAGATGCACGATGGGGAATTGCGTTTTCTTCGTTCGTGCTTCACATTCACTTCACTCACGAATAAAATTATAAAAGTTTCAATTGGATAAATCAACGTCGTGCTATTCCGGATCATCGCCTGGGGTAAGTCGTGTTTTCGTACCGCGATAGAGCAGGACAAGGACCACAACTTCTGATGCGAGAACCACGATCACTGACTGGTTTTCTCATGCGAGGAATCAATGTGATTCATTCAGACCACAAACTACTGGTAAAAAAAAAATGCAAAACCAAAAACTCTCTACAATACGAAAGTGTCCAGTAGGTTTTCTTGGGAGTTCCCAAAATCCGCTCCGGGTAGGTTGTACAGGATTGGGAAGCCGATGAAAGTCAAAATTCCGAACCCCCAGAGCCCTTCGATTCCCACCACGATTGCGGGCGGCAGCTGATATCCAAGAAAAAAACTGTGTCACTGTAACTTTCTTTGGCGGACAGCATTACAGATTTGCTCTAAATGACAGAGAAAACCTGTCATGCGTGGCTTCTAAGCGAAAGCACACACGAAAAGAGGACTTCATGGGTGTCTGGCATGACAGGTGTAACTCTGTTGCATCTTCTGCATCACAGATTTACACTTACACAGTTTTTTCCTTGCATAGCTGGTTGCAGTCCTTCAAAATAAACTCCTCCGTGACCACCTGGCAGGCCGAGATGAACTGGCCGAAAAGCACCAACGCCATGCCGAAAAGCCGTATCAAATATAAAAATGTCTGGGTCTGGAAGATTGCAACTTGTCATGCTAAATCTGCACCATGCAAAAATCTGTGTTGCATGATTACCAAAAGTCGCCCAATTTTGACCAAGTCGGGAGGTAGTTTCTCATGCAGGATAGGCATTAGAAAGCTCTCGCAGAATCTGTCATGCTAGCTCCGTCCGGCATTCCAGACCTCATGGGTCATGGAAAAGCAGCATGACAAGTCGCGCATTCTTCCAGACCCCGACATTTTTACATTTGATAAGCCGCGAATTGTTCTGGTTTGTTTCCTCTTCCACAGTGGACTGGGAGCTGCTGCCCGAAGGGGTGGCGGTTGCCGCCCACATGTTTGTGTCAAAAGTAAAAATGTCTGGGTCTGGGAACTTGTGATGCTGGGTGGCGTCTCATGATGAGGCTAAAAATGCTGGCTCAGCATGACAAGTTTCTGAGCTCCTAGGTGTTGCCTATTCTGCATGACAAACTGTGCTCCTGCATCACAGAAAAGCGGAGCTCTTGGGCAACGTGCATGACAGATTTAAGAGTCATGCCAGACAAGCATGACAAACATGAATTCTTCCAGACCCAGACATTTTTACAGTTGATAGTTTGCCGTCCCGACCATGAGAATCCCGCACACGCAAAGTCCTATCAAATGCAAACATGTCTGGGTCTGGAAGAATGCAAACTTCTCATGCATATTTTCCATGCCCCACGAGGTGTGGAATGCAGGACCCAGCATAACAGGTTCTGCGACGTCCCTATCATGCCTATCCTGCATGACAAACTGCCCCTAAACTTGTTCAAAAGTGGACAGCGTTTGGTACTCATGCAACACAAATTTTTGTACGATCCAGACTTAGCATGACAAGTTCGCGTCCTCCCAGACACAGACCTATTTGCAATGCATAAGTCCGATACCCGCCCAATTGTAGGCAAACAGGTGGCGTTTCAGGCAAAGGACGGAAAGGATACCGGAAAAGACGACCATACCTGAAGATGGGATCATTATTTTCGACGTTCTGCATGTGGATGGATTAGAGGAAAGGAACAATGAAGCAGGAGGTGCCTAATTATGTCAAAGAAAGAGCTCCTTTTGTGAAAATGCATCGAATTCGAATGTGCAGTCGTGGGGTAAAGTAAAATACTGCATTTTTCTCTGTCAAAGAAAAACATCGAACTACTTCCTCGCAGCATCTGCCACACGCTCGCCGAGATGTGCAGCAGCCCGATGAAGCTTAGTGTGGATGAGGTCAAGTCACAGCAGGCCGGTACCGCAATCAGAAGTGCGAGTTTCCTGTTCACGCCTTCCGCCTCGAAAAAGTTGGGGAGGGAGAAGAAACTTCTGGTGGTACTGATTTTATACATTGCAAAAATGTCGGGGTCTGGAAGAAGACAAACTTGTGATGCGCATTTCAAAACACAGAAAAATCTCTCATGCATAGGTAGCAAAAGCTGCCCACTTTCTGTCACCAAAATCGGGGATCTGTCATGCGGATTAGGCATTGCGGAAGCTTCGCGAAACCTGTGATGCTAGAGCTTCCATGCCAGACCTTGTGTGTCATGCAAAAACAGCATGATTCTTCCAGACCCAGACATTTTTACATTTGATAGATTTCTTCAGTCAACATTTTGCTCTTTCCGGCGAGTGGTCGTGTCGTGTTGAAAACCTTGTAGCCCATGTACCCAAACAGCACCAAGCTCATGGCGAGAAACATGCGGTAGGACCCGAAAAACGGCTTCTTGAACTCGTGCAGTTGGCCGTCCAGCCCGATGGAACTGACGGAAAATATGAAAGCGCACAACTCCCCCTCGCCCTCATTCGTCATGCAAAACCCCAAATCTGGTTGGTGGCTTGTTGTGACATGCTTTGCATGACAAACTCCGAAGCCCAAGCAGTACTTCTACGCTCGGTGCGTAATGAACTTGTCATGCGCAGGCTCTACTTGTGTTCGCGGTTGCATTACTGTTCCCGCTATACAAATAAAGGGGAGGGGGAGTTGTGCACCCTCATAGAAAACTGGAGTTTTGTCGACAGGGTGTTCAGAGACCCGAAGACCATGAACCCCGTCACGAGTAGAACCGCGCGCATCATTTTCTTGACTGATAATTTTCAAATCGAATTCGCAGTTTTAATATATTGCCTTACCTGTCAGCTCTTTTCCCTACTGACGTATCTCAAAAATACAAAAATCACGTAGATGCTGTGTCTTCACTTCGCAAGAATAGTTCCTGCTTAGTACTAGAACCTCGATTGGTACTAAACGTGAGTACCACAGCCTCTCTCGTACTACTACGCTCCACCTCGGCTCAGTACACTTGCGGCATGTACTTGAAAAAGGACATTGAACAGACTGCGCTGAAAACTTGCGGTAGTTGTGCTGACATCGTCGACATCAAGCCACAAAAGTTTCTCCAGCTTCATGAGTTGATGTGCAAAGAACCAACGATTCCCCCGACCTCAGGCTCAGGGATATAATTTGCATGTGTTTCGTATTGCGTCCGAGATGAGCGCTATTGTATCCAGAAGATGTTCCAACAAGCAATGGTCCATGCATGATCTTCTCGGTGTTTATTGTTCCTCCATCCCGCGTGGTCGGAGTAGCAAGTCGTGTAAGACCGATGTTCGTGAATACGGGAAAGAAGTACAACAACCAAATAAAAGCACGATCCACCTATCCGGCGCGGGAGAGATGAACTGGCACTACGAAGCAAGGTCGCTAGTACGATATCACGCATGCCAAACTGCCATCCCCTCACGCGTTCTCCAAGGCAGAAATCAAGTATTTTATTTCCACCAAACTCAACCCCGTACCGTGCATGCCCGCGCGTGGCTGGTAAACCGTCACTGTGTTCTCCGCAAGTTCCAGGTTGCCTTTGTTGTCGTCCAAAAACAGAACTCGCTCGGCGTCTGGAAACGCCGTGGTCGTCGTGCCAAGAGCACCCAGCACTTGCTGCGGAGGTGCTGGGTGCTGTTGCGAATCATTTTCCAGATTAGCACCGCTGCTTTCCATCGCTACATGCTCTGCCCCTGCTGCGCTCATGCTGTCGAATAGGTTCACGATCTGCTCCGCCTTGTAGAATCCTTTTGGCCTGTTATTACAGTGAAAAATGCCCCCACCCCCGAACTACTTGGGAGCATTTGTATTGCAAACCTTTCCAAATGACACATTCGCCCTCCTGCATCTATCAGCATCACAGGTTTCCAATCGTGAAGAGAGAAAATTTGTATTGCAAAAGACCCCAGCAAGAGCGGCACTTGTCATGCAAGCGACGCGATACACGCCTAGACTCTGCATAGCATCAGAAAGATTCATACTCCTTTCATGCATGACAAAAAGCTTTCATTTGGAGACTTCGCATCACAAATTTTTGCAATTTGAGGGGTGGGGGGCACTTTTCTCTGCAATACCTGTGCAACGTGTCCGAGGCGAGAATCCTGGCCTTGCTGTCGTACTGTTTCAGGTCATATGCATTGCAACTATGTCTGGCCCTGGAAGACAGTAACTTGTGATGCTAAATCTGCATCATGCTGAAATCTGTGTTGCATAAGTGCCAAAAGCTTTCCACTTTCGACCAAGATAGTAGTAGTAGTAGTACCATTTAACTCCTGGCGGGTGGGCGTTAGAACAGATTTAGCCTCTGCCAATACCTGGGCGTTAGAACAGATTTAGCCTCTGCCGATGCCCCTAGGTGGAGACGCGGTCCACTTCCTAACTACCACCCGGCTGCACCTGCAAAACCGCTATCGATTGCTTACGCATGGCTACAGCCAGTGGGCGCTATGTGTGGCTGACCTGCCTTACCATCCAAGCCCGCGAGCAAGGTGGAGTTCCAGTATTGCCTTGATGGGTTAGTCTTACAAACTTGCTCGAAGAACTACGCGCGTGGCCGGTTGCGCGCTAAAAAGTATACAGGGGGTCTAATGATCAGACACGGTGATCCTATCACGATGGCGGGCGACCCAACGGCGTGTCCCTTTCAGACACGTTTTGCCGATCTTCTTCCCGCACCCTTTTATATGCGTTTCCATAGAAACGGCCCGCGGAGCTCCGCATTCGCAGAGCCGCCATCGCGCCCGCCCCGGGGGGACCCCTTGGGGAAGGGGGGCGCTGCATTAGCGCAGTCTTTTAAATTAGCAACCCTGGCACCACTTCTTTTATATAGTTTCTCTTTCTTCTCTTTCTTTTTCTTTTTGCTTCCTAGCGCGTCAGTGCATACGGTTCGCCGGTGCAAGGAGAGGAAAAGCAGCGCCGTGCCTTTACGGCTGGCGGGAACGAAATGATTAGCATCGCCGCACCCCTCCGGGCTGGCGGGAACGTGTCGAAACGAGGTCCATACGCAGTCTCATCATTTTTTATCGCTCTTTTCTGTTCCGTTTTGTGTCTACGCTCTTCCCTCTGCACCCGCCAGAACACCCCGCATTTGCCTTTTTCGCCTTGAGCCCCGGTCTGTGTCTTCTTTGCTCCTTTATTTCATTCACGTATGAGGCCTCTTATTGCCTCTACTTTGCTATCCATTCGTGAATCTCATCCAAAAAAGAATAAACGCACTGCAGTCACTATTTTCTCTCTCTTCCTTCATTTTCCATCGCTGTTTTCTTTTTCTAGGACTCTATACATTTGGGCTAGTTCTCGCTGCATAGGAGTTTCATACTGCATCCGCCTCCTCCTCCTCTTCTCCTCCTGCATCCTCTTCTCCTTCTCCCGCTGTTCTTTCTCTTTCTGCATCAATGTCGTGGGGTCATCTGCCATTAATTTCTCGACTGTGGGGAAGTTAGAGGCCTCCGTCGTTTGCTTCTTTTTTTCGTCTTCGTTTCCACCGTTTTGGTTCGCTTTCTCGTCTTTTTTCTCCACTTTTCTCCGTTTTTGCTGCTCTTGGTCCGCCTCTTTTTCATCTTGACCTTCCTCCGCCCGCTCCTTATTAATCGCGTCCCTTTTCTCATCCTCCCCCCACGCCACCAGATTCCGAAAAAATGCTCGCGCTGCCTCTTCTGGACCCTGATCTATGTAGTATCCCTGTCCCATCGCCCCTCTTTTGAACACATATCCTCTCCGAGTGCCTTCATATTCTTGCGCCCCGTAGAAGCTTTTTTTTTCTTCCTCTTCTCCGTCTTCGCTGATCCCTTCCCCTTGGTCTCCTTCCCTCCTTCCCCTTTCTTTTTCGTTTGACTTTCTACCATCGTCTTCTTTATTCGCCTCCTCTACCTCCTGCAACAGTTTCGTCGCTTTTTGGATTATTCTGAATGCCCCCTGCGCCATCTCGTCACCAGTTTCCTCTGCTTTCTTCTTCTCTTTCTCGATTAGTCGCAGTATAGTTTCAGAAAGTGTCTCTCCTTCCCTTCTTTCTTCCCCTTTTTCTTCTTGCTTTCTTTCTACATTTGCCCGGCTACTTTTACTTTGACTGCTTGCAGCGCCACTCTCCTTTCCTGTCCTCTCTGTGTTGGTGCTCTTTTTCGTTTCTTTCTTCTTTTGAGATTTCGCGCTGTCTTTCTCTCCTAAGCCTCGCTTCATTTCATCACCGTCCCCAGCTTCTACGTTTTCTTTCTTTTTGTCCCCTTCTGTCTCCTTTTCTTTCATTTTCCTATGTATGTATACCTGCCTTTCTATTTTTGACATTTCCGGCCATTCCCACACCGGTTTCAGTGGAATCCGCTTCGTTCCGAAGTCGAACCGCACCCAGTCCGTATACTCATTGTCGTGATTTAGCACGTTCGCCACCCTGAGCGGTATCTCTTCTTTGGTCCCTCCGTCTATATTTCTTGTCGCTTCCGCTCTGCTTGCAGTTCCTTTTCCCCATCTCGTTACTATAGTTAGGCCCGGGTCCTCACTTTCGGCTTTTTCTATTGTCTCCTGTAGCTCCAAGCCTATTCCATGCCCTTTTCGTAGTATCCCCCGCGTCTTCTCCCTTAACTCGTGGTAGTCTAGCAGTATAATCTGCACCGCTCCGCCTTCTTTCTTTCTCCTCTCTGTGACTATTTCTATGGCCCTCATTGCGTTGTTGCAGTATGCCGCGAAAGTCTTTTCCTCTGTTCTTATTTCAGTCTTTAAGTGCTCCACTTTTGTCTCTATCGTCCTCAGGTGTGTCTCCGTCCTTTCACTTGCCTCTTGTACTGTGACTGTTGTACTTCTTTCCTGTCCGGCATGCTTCACCCATATTTTTTGCATCCTATCGCTCTGCCCTTTCTTCCCGAGGCCTCCTTTTCTGTTCCTGCTGACTACCAAACCCGCGCTCCCCCTGTGTGTATACTGATCCTCTACCCTTGGGGGACCCCGCGCGCTTCTCTCCTTCACGATCCCCACTGCACGCAGGTCGCTTCCCGGCGATAGCCTAACTGTCGCGCCATCCTTCAGCGCCCGCAGCAGTGCTATGTCGGCTTCTTTTCTTTTCAGCATTTTTCGTTCTTCTGTTTTCGGGATGCCCGCCTTTGCTTCGCCTACTACCTTTACTGGCGTCGTTGCTAATGGTGCGAACAAGGCCGGGTCTGTTAGGTAGTTTGCCTGCGCCGTTGCGCGTAGCGTTTTCAGTCCCATCGTGTACGGGTCAGCTAGTCCGAGTAAATTCATCCCGAACACTACCCTATAGAATGTCTCCGCCGTTGTTTCTGTTCTGGCCATCAGCTCTTCCACTGCCTCCGTTGTCATTCCCAGTGTTTCAGCTATTGTCAGCGCCATTTCGCCCATCAATTCCGCCCAGTCTCCTAGGTCGAAATATAAACGCATCACTGGCAGGAAGTATATCATTGCCGACACAAAGAAAACCCGCACTACCCACGTGAGTTCCTCGCCGTTAAGCCTTCCCCTTTTCGCCATTACTTGGCACGCCAAGTGTTGCCCTATCCCTATACTTTGTCTGACCTGCCCCCTCAGGGCCTTGGCTTGTTCCGTTTTGTCTTTCGGCACTATTTTGATCCCCAGAATCTTCAGAAATGTCTTTTCCTCGAACAGAATCCCGAAAGGCTGGAAAGCCTGTCGGATCACGTTTACCTTCAGCGGGTCTTCTATCGACGTTGCAACTTCGCACTTCTGTGGTGCCAAAAATTGTCCTTCAGTTGCGTAGATTTCCTCATATGCCCAGCTTGCTGCTTTGAGCGCGCGCGCTACTATTTTTATATCTTCGATAAAGAACTTTATTACAACTGTGCCGTCGTCCACGTATTGCACGCATAGGGTCCATCTTCTTTTCCCGTCTCCGGGGAGTGTTCCGGAGTAGTATCGAGTCTCCGCCCTTTTTCCTTTCTCATTCACCTTTCTTTTTCCCTGCTCTGTCGTTACCTTCTCTCCCTTTCTGTATCCCGTGACTACTGGCGGGGCTTCTTTAAGGTAGATCTCGTCGACTTCTTCTCACTCTTACATTGTAATCGGGGAAAGTTGTATCGATATCGCCCCCCTTGTAAAGCCTTTTAATCCTCGTTCTCATCTTGGCTTCTGCTGCTTTTAGCCTTTCCTCTTCCGCCCTACCGTCTTCATTGAAGATTTCTTCGAGGAACTCCGCGATTATTTCTACTCCTGGGAGGAAAATCAGGGTCCCCGCTAACATCGTTTCTACTGCGCCCTGAATGAGTTCGCGATGTCTTAGCACGTGTCCGTAACAATCCCCGTCTCTGATCCATAAGTCCTTCGTCCACGCTGTTACTATTATCAACTTTATGAAACACGGGTGCAGTTTTGCAGCTCTGTATGCTGCTACTGCCCTCGGTAGCCCTATATTGTTGAAATAGTTTGACGCATCTAGCCCAAAGACTACCGCTTCCTTTCTTCTTTTCTCTTGCCCATTGCCTCCCTCCTTTCTTTCGTCCGGTGTTTCCGCTTCGCCCCTCTCTTCCCCCTCGTGACATGTCTCCAGGACCTGCAGCGCTGTGGCTTGGCAGCTTGCTCCTGGTTTTGATGCTGATCCGCATCGGGTAAATGCGTCATTTTTGTCGGCTACCCGCGCCATTTCATATACCACTACGCTCAGCAACACCCTCACTATCGCTGTCCCCTGTATCACGGTCCGGATTTTTTCTATTGCCGTTGTTGCTGCTGTTTGTTTTTTCAACAGCTCCACCTGCACCGCATTGAGGTGCTCCTCCAGGAGCTTCGGCCCCTTTCCCTCGTTTCGTTTCATCTCATACTCCTCCACTTCTTTTAAAAACCTATTAAACGCCTCTGCTAACACTTGGTATTGTTCTGGTGTGAGGGCGCGGTATATTCCTTGTCTGAGTCCATCCATGCCTGCTGCTTCACTGTTTAACTTTGAGACGTGTGCTTGTAATTGTGGCCCCGTAAATCGTATGCTCTTTACTTCTTTACATGCTTGCGTGAGCTGTCGTAGCGCTTTTTCGAGCTCTTTTCCGTCATATGTGTGCTTTTTGTCATTTTGCTTTCTCACGAATTCACACTTGAGGAGGTGGCTACTCGCTATCCTTTCTGTCGCTGCTTCCACCCCTTGCACTAGTGTGCCGCCTACTGTTACTTCCTTCGCCTCCCCCATCGGCATTCCTCTGCCTACCCCGCACACAGCTTCTTTTACCTTTCTAGCCGTCTCATAAACCGCTTTCTCGTTTTTCTCTTCCTTTTTTGGCTTTTCTGCGAATGACGCCAGCCAGGCCTTTTCCATTTCGTCCTGTTTCAACTTCTGCTCCTGTCGTCGTGCGGTTTCCTCGTCCTTCTCCTCTTTCTCTTGCGTTTTTCGCTCATCTTTTTTCTTCTTCTGCCAATATTCGTAATTCGCGTCCTGTTTCGGTACTTCTTTGAGTTTCAGCACGCCTGCCTCGCCTAGCTTCTCCATCAGCCATTTTTGCATCCCTAGCATGCTCCTGCGATTTTCTGGCACCGTCCCTGCTTTTTCCATCACCTGCTGTAGTCTTTCTAACGTCACCGACTTTCTCGGCCATTTCACCAGCTGCGTGACAGGGTTTTTCTTCTGAAGTCTTTCTTTCCCTTTTATGATCTCAATTCGCTGCCTTGAGCTTTCAACTGTCGGCACCATCAGCGTATAGCGCGCATTAAGTTTCCACCTCTTTTGCTCTTTTTCTTTCTTCTGTTTTTGTTCTTCTGTGGGCTTCTCGGGCTCTGGGATCCACACTATGTCTGCTAGCAGAGCTACGTGGTCCGACTCCTCTTCTTTATTCTCCCCCTCTACCTCCTTATCTTCTCCGTTTTCCTCTTTTACTGTCCGCGGTATTTGAATTCTTTCACAGGTCTTCGCCACAACTTTTGCCCTTTTTTCCGCTATCGCTACTATATCGATCGTTGTCGGATTTTCCGGGTTTCGGAAGCATGTCGGGCCTCCTGTTGTAAGTGTTTCAGCGTGTTTGTTGAAAATCTTCTGTATCGGTTCTATTATTTCGCTGAAGTAAACTTTTTGCACTCCTGTCCGCTCCCTCTCAAATTTCACCTTTCCCCTTTCATCAATTTGATACTGACAGTTTAGGTCTCCCGCCAGTATGGCTATTCCTGCTTCTTCTATCATCTTTTCGAGTTCTGAAGTCATTTCTTGCATTTGTTTCCTTATGTGTGCTACCTCCTCGCTGTCCTTCGGTGTGTCCTTTGCCGGTCTCCGATAGAACGCGACCACTAGCATTCCTCTTTCGTCCTCTGCTGCGATCATCCATAAAAGTATATCCTCCTTGTCTGTCACATCTCTCTGGAAGAATGCGCCCCCCCTTTCCCTTCGAAAAATCTCCTTTCTCATTGTCTTTTTTGGTAGCTTCTTCGTTTCGTCTGTGTATACGATTCCTACCGCTCCCGAGTTCATCTCTGACGCCACGCCTTTCATGTCTGTGGCGGCTGCGAAGTATATTCCTGGCCTCCCCTCTAGTCCTAATCTCTTCATCTCCTCTTCTACATGTTTGAACGCTGCCTGATCTTGTGTCAGCGCGGCGGTCTTCAACTCGGCGCAGCTCGCCCCTGTAATTTTTGGCGCTATGTCTCTGTAAGCTTTCACTAGACTAATCGCATTCAGACGCTTAACCCCGTTAATATTCCAGAACATATGTCGCTCTCTTCTTAAATCATCTTGCCCGTCATTTCTTTCTTTTTTCTCTTCTTCCCCCATTTCTTCTTGCATTTCTCCCCTCCATATCCCGTCTGGCTCCTCTTCATTATCATTGCGCTCTTCTTTTTCCTCCTCCATCTCACCTTCCCTCTGTTCTGTGTCCGTCCTCCTTGTGCTGTCTTCTCTTCCTTCCGGGGTTTCCCGCGGTAGCAGGCTTTCCTGCCGTTTTCTATCATCATCTCCCTCGTTCTCGTCCATCTTGTCTTTGTTTTCTTACTGTTTTTGACTATCGGGACCGACTGCTCATTCTATTGCTACGCTAGCTGTACACTATCCAAACTTGAGCCAAAATGGCTACGGATTTCTCATGCAGGACAGGCATGACAGAGGCCTCGCAGAGTTTGTCATGCTAGGCCCCGCATTTCAGACCTCATGGGTCATGGAAAATCTGCATGACAAGTTGCATTCTTCCAGACCCAGACATAGTTGCATTTGATAGGTCAAAGTGCGTGTTCAACGGGGTCAGAAAAGGAGAGTTGGAGTGGGTGGACGCGCTGAAGGCAGATTCGTAATCCGACTGCGTTTTGGACAGCAGCTGCACGGGATAGTTGTGCTTGCTCCGGGGGCCATTGGTAACATTACTACCTCCATGCGTCATCGCGTTGTTCGGCGAGCTGCCGGACGCGCCGCTTTTGACGCTGCCGAGGGGGGAGGGCGGAGGCCGCTTATTTTTGTTCCCCGCTGTATGCGCAGCTCCCGGCGTTGTCGCGTGTTCGTCTGGAAGCAGGAGATCCATCGGGTTGTTGGTGTAGTGCTTTCCGCCAGATGAACCATTTCCCGTTGTAGTAACCACCGCTCCTGCCATCGGCGTGTATATCACACAGAAAAAAGCTGGCAGGGCATATCTGTAATGCCAAAATAAATACACAGAAAAACCTGCATTGCGTATCCGAAACAGCATTCTATGGGGCCACCTATGACAATTTTTTTTGTGTATTTATTTTTGCATTACAAATATGCCCTGCCAGCTTTTTTCTCTGGGATAGTGTAAAACGGCCGCGCATCGGCCTGTTCCGGTTGCTTTTCTGTGCAAAAGTGTCGTACTCGTAGTAATCGTAGTACTGCATTACAAATTTGCTTCTTAAGTCAAATCTGCATTACAAATTTGATTTCTCATGCTGAGAAAATTTGTCATGCGATTTATACTAGTACGATAGTTTTGCAAAGCATAGTTGCATCAGATCGGGTGCCGCTGGCGCTGCTGCTGTGTCTATCAGGAGCATCTGGGGCTGGATGGCCAGCGGGGCAGACACGCTCATGTTCAGTAGGTTATTGTTGTTCGCCGTCGTGCTCATGCTTTGAAACAGCATGTCCTGATCGTCATCCGCATAATTGGTTGGTGGTGCAGCAATGTTGTGATCCAGCACCGGCGCAGGTCCTCCAGGTGGAGGACGATCCGCAGTTACCATACCACTACCCGTGGTGGACATCGTTGCATCCCCGTCAGCATCAAACAGCGGGTGGTTGCTGGGTGTGCGGACTTCTTCCCTGTGATTCTCGCGCTGCTGCACGGGAGTTGCAACAAGCCTGGTGCTTGGAGGAACGGCAGCCGATGTTGCAAACGAACCTGTACTTGATGTTGCTGCTGCCCCACCAGATGAAGTGGATCCGTTCTCGAAAAACTTCAACAAGCCGACGTTTTTCAGCGCGATTTTTATCCGGGCTTCCCTCCCCCGGGAAAGAATCCAAAACTGCTTCCTCTTCTGCTGTAGCTTCGTAAACAGTTCGTGCAGCAGCATCACCCGCTCCTGCCCCCCGAACTCTTTCGCAGTGACTTCCTCGATGCTGTCAAGGGTAAACTTGTTCGGGTTCGCGTGCTCGGGGACCGGCGAGCTCTGCAGCTCGGGCAGGTCGTTGTCCAGCTGCAAGGGCTGCATGTTTTCGCGCCGCCGGGACTTCCGGTCGGAGGAGGCGGAGAGCATGTAGTTGCCCATCCCTGTGTTAGGAGTAGCGCTATTATAATCCCCGGCCGGTCCCAACATGGAGGACGATGTGGCATTGTTCCAACCTCCGGGCTGCTGGTCCAGCTGCGCGGCCGCATTGAAGTTCTCATAGTGCAGATCGGTCGCGGTTTGCCGCTGGCCCAGCTATGCATTGCAAATATACATGTTCTTTGGGACTGACCGTTCTTCAGGCACATTTTGCATGACACTCATCATGTCTGTGATGCATGTTGACCTCGCATCTTCACAGAAAGTTCTGCGAGAATTTTCCTGATCATGCCTATACCGCATCAGAAGTTTTTAGGCCCTCATCTCCACGAAGCAAAAACTAGAGTTTCCTTGCTGCTCATGCATCAATACAAACTTTTGTAGAATTTAAATGCAGCATCACAAGTAGTTGCACACTTCCCGACGACGTCGACGTCCTCTAGGGTGGATATTTGCAATGCATACCAGCATTACCGAGCTGATCAGATTGTCAAAATCGAAGATGTAGTAGTCGTAGGTTTGTTGCTATCGTACGAAAGAAGTGTTTCACTGTAAGGATTTTGCAAGTTTTGCATTACAAGTTCGTTACACATGACCAAGAAAACTTGCCATGCGTGCTTCCTAAGGGAAAACACGTTGAAAAACCCAGTGTCTTGCATGTGTAGCAAGACAAATAGTTGTGTGCTCCATTCTGTGCATCACAAGTTCACAGTGAAACAGCTTTTTCGTGCGATAGTTGCTGCAGCGTGTGGAAATCGGAGTAGTTACAGGACATCCCACCTAAGGACATGGACATCTATGGAACTGTCAGGATCGAAATTGACAAAGTCGAAAAATTTGTGATGCACAAAATCGATGTCAGTTAGAGCCTCAGTTTCCAAGTGGCGCATGACAAATTTCGGGAGCAGCCACATCCAGTCTGTCATGCTGTTTGGGCAAAGGAGACTGCTCCTGTCATGCTACTCTGGCAGCGCGTTGCATACCCCTAAACAGGCTTACAGTCGGTCCTCTTTGCCTGCTCCCCAATACAGGCCTCCAGTGCCCTACATTTTACGCATCACAAATTTTCGACTTTGTCGATTTCGATCCTGACGCATCCATAACATCGACATCCTGAGTAAACACGTCCCCACCCCAGAGTTCTATGTAAAAATGCAGCGTTGCACTACTTACGCGAAGATTTGTCCTGTGGATCTCTATGAGACTCATTTGCAGCCGTGTTTTCGAATTTGTAATGCTGTATAACAGCAGGACATGGAGGTGGCTGCACTTGCTCAACCGCACTGCAATAAAGACAGTAACTTGTCATGCGCAGCAGCCCAGACTTCTCGACTTGCGTTGCAAAGTTCCCAACATGATGAGCATGGGGTGGAGACGCTTTTACATATGATAATCGACGAAAGACTGACCTTTGAGTGGTGTGTCGTGCTGAAAGCGCCGAAGGTCTGTCCACCGATATTCTGCGAAGTTGTAGACTGCTTGCTGTTCAGATTGTGCCCCCCAACGCCACCGCTGACCGGGGTATCCTGAGTAAAAACGTACCCACACCAGAGTCAGGATGGGGATTTTGCAACACAAACCTAGGAGTTTTGTGAGTCACGCATGACAAGTTGCACTATGCAGTGTAGTGCAGGTTAGCAAGTGCAGCCGCATCACAGATTCATCTGCTCATCGTGTTCATAGAGTCACAAATTCCAAAACACGACTGGAAATGGCCCTCATGGGGATGCGCATTACAAGTCTTCCTGTCTTTGCAAATCTGCATCACAGCTCTGGCGTGGGTACGTTTTTACTCAGGATACGGGGAGAGGGAAACTTCCGAAGTGCTGTTGGCGGTGTCGCCGTATGAAAGTGCACAACTTCTCCACGTTCTGATTTCTCATGCAAAATACCAACTCCACGCTCATGCAAAATACCAACTCCACGCTTCCCCTCCTATCACTATTATGCATGACAAGTTCATCTGGCAGCCCAAATAGAAGTACAATCTGTCATGCAAAACCTGCATATTAATTCCTGCTAACGATTGCATTGCTGCTCCTGCAATACAAATGAGGGGGGACGAGGTTGTGCACTGTGATACGTCGCTCGGATTGTTTACTAGCCGGTTCGATGTCGAGGTACCTCCGCCCCGCGAACTTGGCGACGAGGGAACATGGATGTCCAGCGAAAGCCGTTTCCGCCCGTTGCTCGTCGTGGCGGGCGCAGAGAGGTTGAGGTTCGATTTTTTCCTTGGGCTCGAGCTACTGGCCGCGGCGGCGGAGTTGCCCGTCAAAGTCGTAGCATTGTTGTACGCGGACGCAGCTCCTTGTGCTGGTCCACCGTCATCGTGGACCACCTGCAGCGGATCTACCCGCCCGTTTATCGCAGTTCCTCCTGGTCCTCCTGCACTCATGTCTTCGTCGGACGAATTGGAGGAAGACATGCCAGGAATGAACGCGTCACTCTGTTGTTGTAGCTTCTGGCGCGGTATCCTGTGCAAAGGTATCGCACTCGTAGTAATCGCAGTCATGCATTACAAATCTCCTTCCCAAGGCAAATCAGCATGACAAATTCCATTTGTAATGCTGAGCGAATTTGTATTGCAATTACTACTAGTACGATACTTTTGCAGTGCATATGCGGTTGTTCCGCTTCATCCGGACGACCCTCTTGGTCCTGCTGCTGCAACATGATTTTCGCGGCAGGAACAAATCGAGAATTTTTATCTCCACCTGCTCGGTCCGTTGTTTTATTGAGATTGGCGAAATTATTTCTCGTCGTCGTTGTGCTACCACAATTTGACGCAGGAGCAGGAGCGCACGTAGTTGTTCTTGTTCTATTCCCTCGTCCCTCGCCCTCTAAGATTTTTAACGGCTGGTCTACTTCTAGCGAGGACGTCGAAGTGGGCGACACTACAGTATCCTTTTGATAACGTATCAAGAGGAAAAATCCCCCCTCCCCATATCGGAAACGGAAGATGCGCGAATTTGTGATGCTGTATTTGAGTACACAAATCGACTTGTATTGCTAGAAGGCCAAGAGACGAAGCTGCGGCCTAAATTGCAGGTAATCTGTCATGCTGTTTCCCACTTCCAGTTGCCTCCTGTCATCCTGGAACTGCAAGGCTTTCCCACACTGGACAGCACTACAGTCCGCATCTTTTGCCTTCTAGCATCACAAAGCTGATTTGTGACCACAAATCTGCATCACAGATTTCCGTTTTGATATGGGGAGGGGGCATTTTTCATTGTAATATAACGCTGGCTCCGGGGCGAAGTCAGCAAGCAGCACGCGCACATTGATATCAAATGCAAAAATGTCTGGGTCTGGAAGATTCTAAACTTGTCATGCTGTCTTTGGATTCCAAAAACATCTGTATTGCGTGACCAACAACAGGAGTCCAGTTTGTGTTACGCGTAGTAGTAGTAGTAGTAGTAGTAACCATTTAACTCCTGGCGGGTTGGCGTTAGAACAGATTTAGCCTCTGCCAATACCTGGGCGTTAGAACAGATTTAGCCTCTGCCGATACCCCTAGGTGGATACCCGATCCACTTCCTAACTACCACCCGACCGCAGCCGCAAAACCGCTATCGATTGCTTACGCGTAACTACGACCAGTGGGCGCTACGTGTGGCAGAACCCCCTTACCATCCAAGCCCGCGAGCAAGGTGGAGCTTCGGTGTGGCCTTGAAGGGTTAGTCTTACAAACTTGATCAGAGTCTTACACTTGTGGCCGGTTGCGCGCTAAAAAAATATACAGGGGGTCTACTGATCATACCCGATGATCCTATCACGATGACGGACAACCCCGAGGCGTACCCCTTTCAGGCACTTTAGCCGACCTTACTCCGCGCACCTTTTTCATGCGTTTCCGAAGAATCGGGCCCCAGGGCTCCGCCTACTCGGAGCCGCCATCGCGCCCGCCCTGGAGGGACCCCTTGGGGAAGGGGGGTGCTGCTTTAGCGCAGTCTTTAAATTAGCAACCCAGTCACCACTTTGCCAATAAACCTAGGCCTAGCGACATGCAAACTCCCAGACCTTTGCAGTTTTTGTCTTTTTGTTCTTTAGCCCATGCCCCCGCCCATCTCTTCTGTTTTTTTTCTTTGTGCCCCGCACCCCTTTTCTTCTGTGCCCCCCGCGTCTTCTCTTTCATGCGTCTACTTTTCCCCCCTATGTCAGTTTGTGTTACGCGGAGAGGGCATTTCTCATGCGGAATAGGCATCAGAAAGCCCTCTAAAAGTCTGTGATGCTAGATCATGCATCACGTGCATTATGGCTCATACAAAATATGCATCACAAATCCCGGAATCTTCCAGACCCAGACATTTTTGCACTTGATAATTGATTCTTGGTGACAAGAAACTGCAACTTTGAGATGCCTTTTCGTTTTTCGGCGACATAGGTTCTTTCCGTGCAGAGGCGATGAAGATAGTATCTATATGTACAATTTGTGTTTGACCCAAAAAAAGCTGCAGATGTAAAAAGTTGATATGGTACACGACAGAGAAAAACGAATCAGCAACGCGAAAGTGTCGACACAAGACCGGAGAATAAAAAGAAATAGTACTAGAGATGATGTTTATGCATTAATTTCAGTAGCTGCGAATAGACATTATGCTTTTTGTTCAATATGAAAATTATGAAGGGTGCATCGTGGAAGATGTGGTCCTGTTTCAAAGTACAATTCGGAAACCTAACAGAAGCAAGTGCTGCGTCCACAAGCTCAACAAAACTACCCGCCCCGGATGTCATCTGTGAGAAGAAAACAGTGGAGATGAGTAGACAAAGAAGTACCACCATCACGACAAGATGAAGGTTGTAATAAACTAACAAAAGCGAGAAAAAAAAAGCGGCCGTACACGGGGAGGCGGAAGATGCCCGCAGTGGAATCAATGACTGAAACAACACTTCTCGTCGCATTACAAACCACATACTTCTACAACCTGGTCACGTCTTCTTCTCGACTCACCTCAGTCACTCAGTCATCTCTCAGCCTAATGTCATCCTCTGATGGAAAGAACATTGTAATCAAACATAGCTGCTTCCACTGCTTGAGGAAGACAGCCACTAAAAAATTGTGCAGTCGCTCGTGCATCTCTCACTTAGCTTCTCTCGCCTACTTGTCTTCTGTTGACACTTCCATGGTATTTTAGTTTGGGAGCTGCACATAGTGCCTGGTCTACTCTGTTCCTCAATCTTTCTCCCTACCTCTAGTCTCGTCTCTCACTCCCTCAGGGAATGAAATAAACGGAATTCACTTTACGAAATTAGCTCAAATAAGCATTTTTAAACGCTGGCTGTAAAACATCAAACACCAAGGGTCTTCGAAGAGAAGAAGTCTGCGCCATCTTCGAAGAGAAGAAGGGTCGTCTCAGCTGAATCCGCTGGTGGATAGACCAGGATGGAGGCCGATGTTGTTACTCAAGCTTCACAATTGGAACTATTGTACACGAGTGAAAAGTCGTCTAGGCCACATGTTTACAATATGCTTTGATGTTGAGACGTATTCGTGTAGTTTAGCCTTTTCGCATTATAATTTCGTAGCAATTATGATTTCTTCTTCTAACGTAACTATTCGAGTATCTTCGCATAAATATCATGTTGTAAATCCTACAAAAAACTCATGTTGTGCGACCAACAAGTGCATAGTGCTGCAGGTGCTGCTGGACGGGCAAGCACGAGTTGAAGTTGAAGCACGCGCTTCCATTTCATCATCCTGCGGTCCCTTATATTTTTTACTTCAAGTCGTGTCTCAACAAACCTCAATGTTGTAGGTGTCTGTAATCCTGTCATAAAAGAGAAACGCATAAAAATGTATAGTAAATCGGTCTTGAAGTGGAAACGCTTTCAAAAAAATGATCATGCGTAGCTTGATGTGGGCACGTAAGTTTAATCGAATCTGGATCTGTGTTGAATCGGATACATTTTTGATTCAATGATGTTAATTTCAATCACGAAAAATGAAATATCTTCTTGACTTGCAGCACTAAAAAGCTGCGCGCAGCTTCTATGAAAGACAAATTCCTTTCTGACTCCCCTCCCTTAGGCCTCCGACGAATTTCCCGACGACAGAGAAACGACCCCACTCGACGTCCCCACCGCTGTCTCATCTGCACTACTGGAGCTACAACCCCCTTCTTGTTCCTCCGCACAGGAAGTAGTGGCGTTGGTCATTAAGTTCTGCCCGATTCTCCCGTTTTTGTTCGCCATTGCGATTGAATACGGCGTCACTTGGTCGCGGTACTTCACGTCTAGCAGCTGGGTGAACCACACGCCAAAGTTCCCGATGTTGGGATCCAGAAAATTCACGGGAGCTTGCCGAATTTTTGCGTCTTCTTCCTAAAGTGTTTTGTATTTGAATACTTGCGTTCGTGTTTTTCGCTTCGTCCGTTCATCATCTTGCCCTCGGTTGAAAACGATCAACCGCAAAGGATTTTTTTTCCGCACCATGATTCACACGTGCTGGTGTGAACAAATAATATTTTCCAGATTCAGTGAGACCGCGTCCACGTGTGCATGCATGCAATAAAAGAAAAAATCATCATACATTCCATGTAAAAAATTATACCTCTTCCAAGTAGGTGGCTCGTGCAAAAATCGCCTTCTTCGTTTCTTCATCGTTTTCCGGTTGCAATAAATCCTCGTCATCTTCGGACGCTTCGGCCTCCTCTCCGAAATTCCTCGCGTCACTCAATGCCGTTAATTCCTCAATTCTCTTCGAGTGCAGCTCATCCGCCAAGGGGTTCACTTTCACCGGTCCCTATGACAGTGCACAACTCTCCATCCCCCTCATTTGTCATGCAAAATACCCAATCCACGACTCCTTGCATCTTGGCACTGTTTGCATGACAAGCTCTGGTAGCCCAAATAGTACTACATTCCAGTGAGAATTTGTCATGCAAAACCGGCACTCTTGCTGATGCTTGTACTGCCGTTCATGCAATACAAATGAGGTGGAAGGGGAGTTGTGCACTCTGATAGTCCCTCCAGATTATCGATGATCTGGATCTTGTCGCGCCGCACCGCGAAGCCCTGGCTTTTCATATCAAATGTAAAAGTGTCTGGGTCTGGAAGAATGCAGCTTGTGATGCTGCATTTGGATTCCAAAAAAATCTGTATTGCATGAGTACCAAAGGGAATGCAATTTGTGCTACGCTGAGAAGGCATTTGTCATGCGGAATAGGCATCAAGAAGCCCTCAAGAAATCTGTATTGCTAGGGTATGCATCACAGACATCATGGCTCATGCAAAACGTGCATGACAAGTGTCAGAATCTTCCAGACCCAGACATTTTTACATTTGATATTTCACTATGCATGGCAAATATGCTGTCTGGGTTTGGAAGCTTCGGATGCTCATGCTTGTAATGCTGGTGTTGCATATACATATTGATTACCACTGAAATCTCCTGTCGTGCTGTGCATGACCAATAGAAGTCGCAGCCTCATCTGCTCTCGTCGTACAGAAATGCAAGCTCTCATGCGAGCTGCGTATCATGAGAAAGCGCTGGCGTTCTGCAAAATTGTATACTCTTGACTTCATTCGGTGGAAGTGTAATTTTCATCTTCATCGTCCACAGTTCTTCAGCATCACAAGTGGTTTCCAGACGTCTACGACAGTAGATATTTGCATTTAATATTGACGCTGAAACTGTTGTTTTCTTCCTCCTCATCCTGGTCCTCTTCGAGGGTTTCTGCACTGCATTCCCTGTTGGAGTTGTTGTTTTTGGTTTCCTCCTCTGCCACTGGGTGGAAGAACGCAAATTCTTCTCGCTGTTGCTCCTCGCACAAATTCGTAATCTTCTTCGTCCCTGCTGCGTCCTCCTGACTATGGTCCTCTCCTGACGGAAACAAATCCCCCTGCGGTTCCTCGTCCTCGTCGTCCGCAAATTCGAGCAGCCCGCTGGGTAGATTGTGAATAGCAGACATAAGAAACATGTCGTTTCGTTTCTGCTGCTCGAATTCGTCCAGAATTCGGCTGCTATTACTGTACCTTTCGTCCTCGACCACTTCTTCTTTTCCACCATCGACACCGTCCACATTTTCACCGACCACACTAAAAGGATTTACTATGTTTGTTGATGTTGAGCTGCTGCTGTTAAAAACCTCTTCGAAGTAGAACCCGTCTTCCAGCAAATTTACGCGGGTCGCGGTCAAAGAGTCCGTTATCAAATGTAAAAGTGTCTGGGTCTGGAAGAATGCAAGATTTGTCATGCATATTTCTCATGACCCATAATGCCTGTAATGCTTGAACTAGCATCGCAGACCTTTAGAGGGCTTCCTGATGCACCTTCCGCATGAGAAATGGCCTGTCTGTGTAGCAAAAACTGTACCCATTTTGCTGGTCATGCAATACAATTTTTTTTAGAGTCCAAAAACAGCGTGACAAGTTGCAATCTTCCAGAGCCAGACCCAGACATTTTTGCATTTCATATCCGTGGCGTTGCTCCCGTTCCCGATCACGGTACCCGTCAACGTCTGCGTTAGCGCGTCCGAGTTGGAGTAGGACAGCGGGGGGGCGGTGGTTTCCTTAGAAGAAGAAAGACTGTCGGAAATGTTGTTGGTCGTGTGCAACTTCTGTGGATTGGCTTTGCTGTTGTTGACCTCAGTCGAGGTTGTACAAGAACTACTACCTTTTAGATTATTGTCCTCCTGCTCTTTCAGCAACTCCACGACGTCCGCGAGGCTGCAGGTATCCTCCTCCTCCTCTTCCTCCTCGCCGTTCGGCGCAATGATCGACGCGGACAAACTCCCTGCCTGTTGCGCGTTCTTCTCTAATTGAAAGTACTCGCTTCCCTCTTTCGTGACAATCACGTCGTTGGCGGGGATGATGATGGCCTTTTGCTGCAGCTCTGGTCCTGGTGCCGCTCGATTTTCGATCACTGATGACACCACGTGGTCACCCAACGCAACTTCCGGCCCAATCACTGTGGGCCGCGGCGCCAATGTCCCAGCGCGGCGGCGGGAGCTGCTGGTGGTCGTGGTATTCTTTCTAGAGGTGGGAGATGAAGTTGTTGTAGTTGTTTCAAAGAAAGTCGCAACATCTACTTCTGCACTCTCTTGGGATCTCCGCCTGCTTCTGCCGTGGCTCTTTTTCGGGGAGGGAGACGCGGACGAAATGGCTTCAAATTTTTCGATTTTATCGGCAATGGTGAAGGTCGTGGAGGGGGAGATTTTTGCGGAGGCATCTTCGTGGGAAGATGAAGATGGAAATGTTGTCGCGGCGAGAGTAATATTCCTGTTGTCCGCACTTGCTCCCTTCGTTGTGCTGCCAGTGAAACTGGAACTCGAACGACCAGTAGCGGTATTAGTACAACTAGCAGAGGAAGCACTAGAAGACAGACCCCAGGCTTCCTGAAACGGCTGCGGAATCAGAGTCGTCAAGACCGCTTTCAGCACTCGTTTCAGATCTGTTGTTTTGAGAGTGGAGTTCGATTTTCATTTTGAACTTGAAGTGGAACAAAAACGACTGCACAACTACGATGGCGCAAAAACATAAATCGAGATAAAACTCATCGTCATCATCTTCATCAACATCATTTTCGTGCATGTCCTTGATAATTTGAAAGTCTTTTCATACCGTCTAAATCCTGCTTTCGATGGTCCTCCTCTGCACAATCCGTCCTGCTCGCCGTCCTTGTTTTCGCGTCGCTCGTGCTGGACGTTCCCGTCTTTGTGGACACACGACAATGCGCTGCTCCGGACGAAGAAGACGTCGTACAACTCTCAGCCTCCTTGTCCCGTTTCGCCGAAATCTCTACCCCGCAGACCGCCTGCACCACATCGATGATCAGGCCTAAAGGGCCCCGCTTCCACAGTCGCTGCGCCCGCGTGGGGCACACGTTTTCGGCGACTTTGGTCAGCATCAAGGTCGCGGTGAGGAGAGAGGCGAAGATGAGTGTGAGTTTGAACTTTCTCTCCCGAAACGAACGGAGGAGATAGTGGAGAAGAGCTTTTACAAGAGACACGAATTTGGAAGCCTTAAACTTCTTATTACCTGCAGTTAGTTGTACAAGAACGGCAACGCTGCTAGAAAAAGATGACATTTACATCAGCGTTCTATCTTCTGGTGTCCGTAAAAAAACTGTAATACACAGATAGTTAGAGTGCCACCTTTTTACTAAGAGCTAACTCGCTTGCTTTTGCACATGCAGTCCCTCTTCAATAATTTAGGTGAGTGTGGTGCACATCAAGTTCACACACCCACGTTGTTTCCAATGAAAAAACATCAAACTAGAAGTTCTTCCGCGGTTTTGATTGAACTTGCTAAGGTCTACCGATTCCGTACCACGTTTGCAAGAAGAAGAAGAAGAAGAAGGACCCTCATCCTCTCGGCGGACCAAAAGGAATAAATTTGCAAAACAAGTACCATGATGAAGCAGAAGCTTCTTTGATTTTGAGCTCAAGAACGTTAACGTGATTGATTACCCGACCCTGACGGAGACCGACTACGTTTTCATCTCTGCTAGATTTGTACGTTAAACAAGACACTGAGAACGAGACAACCGAAAGCGAACCCCGTTAACTTCTACCTACTTTTACGATCCCCGCTTTGCGATCTTCCCCCCTCCCCCACCTTCTCTATCGGTGTAGCATGAAAAAGGTGTTGAAAATCTCACTGACAAAACTCAAAAGGAACAAAAACAGACAAGTCACGACGAATGTTCTTTACTGACATTCATCAAGAACGAACAGGCTGTAAGTAAGTGGATGTGGAACAATCTTCAAACCGGCATGAGAAACTACAAGTCGCTTCCTAAGCTCCTGCAGCGTGGTGAAGCAGCCACCAGAGTGTGATTTTTATTGTGCATGTGGATGCGCAAGCGCCGCAAATAAAGGAAACTCAAAGTCATTTCGAAACAGTCCTGGTAGCATTCTTGTCCAGGTTGCGCGAAATTTAAGTTCGTCCAGGAGAACAGGTTCGTTGACTCCTAAATCCCTCTCGCCACACCTCTTTCTGATTAACAATGTAGTCGGGCAGGATATGCTTGGTTCTGTGAGGCGAGCTACTTGCTTCTATGCGGCAGTTCTTCTCACACCGGCTACCTATTTATGCACATGCGCAGGATATGCGGTCCTAGAGAAAAATCTTACTCTACAGTGGGTAAAATAGAGCAGGCTATGCATCTTATTTCCATCTTCAAAAGCTGCAGTTCATACTGAAGAGAGTGGACTTTTTGCATGGGTACGTAGTTGTCGGTGGCACCAAAAGGAAAATAAGAATTAAGAATGCTGCAAGGGTTCTGCGGGTCATAGAAAGTAAAGCGGGGTAGTTGTACGAGCGCAAATCCGAAAACGACTGGTCTCACCCATGGTGTATGGTGTAACGTAGATGCCCCCGCAGGTGCGACGTAAGTGTCTACCTACAGGCGCGCAGCATCAAATCCAAACTACAGGCGAGCACCGTCTTCGCGGAAATAAAGGTTTGTTGTTTATTTTTCGTTTGCTGGTACCTTCGAATTAGGAAAATTCAAAACAAAACTAAGAAAAATGCGACAGGTGGTTGCTGCTAAAGCACGATACTTTAGAACGGGAGCTCCTTCAAAGTCATATTCATATTTGTGATAAAAATAAAATCAAACGGAATAAAGAACAGAGACGTCGCCGCACCAACCTAGACCAAGAAAGACCTAACCGGGCTACTAGACCCAGCCAAATCCTTCCGTCAACGGCTGTCCCGACAGTGCTTGGCAACAGTGGTGGACACTAAACGTTGCTGCGCTGCCCCAAATGGAACCCAGAACCACCAAAAGTTGCTGTGCTGCCAGTTTTTGCTTTCTGCATGCTGGTACTGCGCTTTCACTGTGAAATTGTAGTGCAACATTTTTTATCATACTGAGTTGCATTTTTGTGATTGTGTTTTTTGTTTTTATTTTTTTGCGTTTTTGTTTTTCGGAGCCGATATATATGTGTAAAAATGGGTTGTTGTAGCAACTACGGGTCAATGAACAACAAGAAGAAGAAAGTAAAACTGAAGCGCAAATAATATGAGGAGGACAACGTACCCAAGAGGCAACTCACCCATGGGGGATCAAAAAAAAAGTTTCAATTAGTGCCGGACTGGCCGGCAAAATACCTATATAAAATAGTTAATTGCAATAGCTAGGTGATTAAGTAGTTAGATAAGACGTTTTTTAGGGGTTGTAGGGTGCTAGATCGCCAAGTCCAGCTCCACGGATTCGCCTCGGAACCCTAGCAAAAAACCGAGGAAGCGCCCCATGGTGTGGCGTCTGTCTACTGCCCGCGCTTTCCATTGTGCGTGGCCTGTGGGAGATTTGGCGCAGCTAGCCGCATCCAGCGGATGGCTGACGACAAGCCGGCACGGTAGACACAAAAAGCCGCGCGCCCTGGTTATGAGAGAAGGCGGAGCAGCGTGCCATCGGCTGCCGAGGGGGGTTTCGCCAAAAAGCACCCGCAAGCCAAGTGCAACATGGCCCGCAGGCCGCGGCCTGCAGGGCCGCAGGCGAGAGGCGGGGGCGCGAGGGGGGGCCGCGGGAGGGGGTCCACACAGGGCCTCCCATAGGGCATATTTTTACCCCTAGCCCCGACGCTGTGGTCGTTTTGTCCCTTGCCAAAAAGGGGGCATCTCGGAGGGGCATCGCGGACGGGGATCCCGGACTCTCGTGTTGTCCTTTGTGAGGTCAATCTGCCCAGGTAGGAACACAACGAAGCCGGGGCACTTTGGGTAGCCTCACAAAATGGCTCCCAAGCTCGGCGGAAAGTGGCAGCAAGGCACAAACAAAACACAGAAAACGGCGGCAAGGTGCGACACGGCCGTCGCAACTACGTCGTCCTGCTGCCTTGCCACAGAAGGCTGGCCGCCGATCCTCTGCCCCCTGCGAACCTTCGTGCCCTATCTGCGCCAGGCCCTCGTGTGCAGTATCCCGGCGCCCCTGCGTGGAGACAACCGAGGCGAAGCCGTGGAGCTGGATATCGGCGATCTAGCACCCTACAACCCTTTGAAAGCGTCTACTTTACATAGCTAATTCACATAAGGCAAGCTAGTGTATTTTAACTAGCGAAATTACTTATGTTCAATTCGTTTACTGTGAAAAAAAAAAAAATTATCCCCTTGGGTGCGTTGCCTGTTGGGCACGTTGTCCTCCTCATAAATAATAACTCGAAAGAAAAGATGAAGGCGAACGCTCTCCTGTCTTCGACAGTCCACGTACTTCGTCTTCGTGCAGCAACTCCCAATTAGTTATTGCAATCGGACGCCGCACCGGTGCAAAGCTGAACTTCATCGCCCTGGGTTGGTCCTGCAAAGCATGCATTCGCGATCGGGGCAGCATCGTTTTCGTTCCGCCCCCTCTTGCCGTAGCTAGAGGGATCGGCACACTCCGACATGTTAGTGCAATAGCACGCGGTCGTGGTCGCCGGTGGGGGTGTCGTCTGGGTCGGTTCGGGGCGAGGAAAAAAACGGGAAACTGGGTTGTTCATGAGATTCCCAATTCCTGTTTGAATTCCTGTTTGTAGTTCTTGTTTCTTTTCGGTCATGGAGTCTTGCATTTTGGCGCCAATCTTCCCGACGCAGTATGAATGGACAAAGCACGAAAGCGTCCCATGAGAATAACACTTTTTGAAACGCAAAAAAGTGACTTGAAAAGCGCAAGAGCCGAATCCTGTCACGACGATGGCTCTTCTTTGTCACGATGAATGAACCAGCCGCCCCCCGGCGGAGGCCGCCGGGGAGGGAGCGGCTGTTCGGGTGAGGCGTTCCGGCAGGGAGGGTGGAGCCAAGCGCTGCGCGCCGCTACGCAAACAAATAAAAGGGCCCGGCGGGTGGGGCCGCGCGGCTCTGACGCCTTTAGCCCAGAAGGCGCAGTGCGCGCGCGTAGGGATGCCGCCGCGGCCAGCGTTCTTTGTCTCTGAAAAAAGCAGAGCCCGGGGGCGGAGTTTGTTGGCTTTTTTTGGAGCGCGAGCATGCGCGCCACATCATTCAATCAGAACGCCAAAGAGCGGCATTATTTCTGCCTAGATGCGCACCCTGAGAATGCGAAGAGCCTGCGAAAAGTATGGGTGTCCTTCGGTGTGAACCGACCGAGAGATGCCCGAAGGCCCAAAATTTTCAAGAGTCCGAAGGCTAGTCTGCCCACGAAAAGTAGCGAACTTGGACAAACAGCGAGGCTTGCACGTGCATGCGAGGGCTCGCGAGCTATGCGCCGAGAGAAAACGCTCACGAAACCTCTCGCACTAATTTAGCCACAACAGCTTTCACGGCACTACAAATGCGCCGCATCTGTTGCCCGCGCGCGCTGGGGCGTTAAATGAAGTGCGGCCACCCGTGGCGGCCGCCCACGCTAAGGAGCGGCGCCGCGCCCCCTCGGGGGGGACGCTGAGCGGCGCTGTCACTCAATGTCCAAATTCTATTTTTTTTTCATCATGGCAAGATTCGGCTTTTGCCTTTTTAAAGTCCGTTCTTTCCGTTTCAAGAAAAGTCAGTATCTTTTTGGCGAACTTTAGTACTTTGTCCAATCATACGAGGCAGCTCATTGGGTCTATACACACAACTGTTGTATTAAAGGTGCGCCCATGATACGGGATATAGGAATAGGAGGTCCTCCCTTCTTCATCTTCTGCGTCGCCTTGCAGGAATGCAACCGGTTCTCCCAGGCCATTGAAGGACTGCATCTTCTTGCTGGTGGGCATTTTACCTGCAGACGGTGGTCAGAAAAAATCTATCTGAAAAAAAAAAAATAGAAACAGCAGTGAACTTCGTGGCTCAAGCAAAATTGTAAGCATAAGCATCCGCTACCAAAACAAAAGCTATACAATACCTGCCCGGTCCTCCATCATCTTGGAGGTGCGCGGGGAATGGACGATGCCAACCGCCCCCCCCCCCTTCGCGACCGACTTCTCCGCCATCTTCTGGCCGTTGACGTTGTCCTCTTCCCCGGCCTGCTTCAAAGCGGCGGCGGCAACCTGCGCCCCGGCGAGCAAGGTGGTAGTCTTTTTCGGCATGATTTGGGTCTTGGTCTTCCGGGAAGTCCGTGTGTGGATCTTCGGAATTTACTTGGGAAATCGCTGAAAACGCGGAAAAGCTAGAAGAAACGTTGTGGAAATTCCTGAGACTTCTACCGGTAGAAGTGTGCAGTTTTATAGTTGTTTCCCTGCGGTTTTTTTCGCAAAAAATGTTCCTGAAAGAGATATTGTAGTTGTAGGTATATCGTATATATCTTCATCGTCGGTCTTGTATCTATCAATCTAAGTGAGTAAATAGCAACTTCGAACTTTGTAACGTGTGGCACGATTTTTTCTGACGACGCGAGCGATCACGACTGGGTAGAACGAGGTCGGTCACGAAAACGAGTGGCCTTTCCACGATCACGAACGTATGTAATAAATGAGCAAGGGCTAGCGGAATTATTCGACACGAGCCGTACGCAGATAAGGACGATTTTGATTTTGAATTTTCACACCCCTGCGGTAGAAGAGCACAGTCTGAAACTGCAAATCCTTCTTCCTACAAAAAATTTACGGAAAGTTTCTTTTGGCTTTCTCTAGACGAGTGGAGGGCGAAGAGCGACTAGACACCCACGAAGAACTTCTGGGGCAACGATATTACCATTTGTGTTTCAACAACCGGCACTTCCGCTGTCCTTTCTATTTCTCTTCGCGCGAGAACGATTGCACCTGCACGCATTTGTTCTGCTTAACGACAGTTTTCCTCGGGCACCGTCTATGTACTCTATGACTTGCGACTTCGGGTCGCTGTACAAAGTAGTACTCCGCAGAGCAGAAACACCATTCTGGTGCAGCGCTTTTCACTTTTTCGCTGAGGAAAACTCACCGATCGCTCCTGACCTTGAACAGCCACTGGTGCATGGTTCGAGTATCACTGCTACAAGAGCCGGCTTATCTTTATTCGTGAAAAACCATGCTGCTTTGGATTATGGTTATGCTGTGGCTTGGCTCTACTGACTGACCAGACTGACTTGTTCCACTTGACAAAGACAAGCTAACAGTCTTCATGCTCCTTCCAACTTCTGCAGACACTCCGTCACGAACACTTCCCAAATCTCCAAGGAGAAAAGCTCCATACGTTCCTTCGTTGTGAATCGATCAAAGAGTCGAGCGGCTAGGAGGGAGCAGGTGTTTTCTAAGCGGTTCCGGTCCTGATCATCCTCGTGGCCGTGATCATCTGCAGGCTCTGCAGTGCTGTCGCCCAGATCTTGATCCAAACAGAACCCTGCTGCGCCAGCTGTACTATCAAAAGAAACCCCCGCTGCCTCGAACTTGTTACGGAGAATTTCGATTTCCACCTTCTTCGCCGCGAGGCGCAATTTTAGCTGTTTCCTTGCTCCTTCAAGATGCGTGGTGGAGGTTGAGTGCAGCTGCAGCGACGTTTCTGATATAATTATACTCGCAGGATCTTTTGCATCCACGACTACTTCCGCCTTCTTCCCTTCCGGAGTAGCAGAAGTAGTCCTAGCATCGAGAGTGTTCGTTTTCTCGTCCCCGTTAGTTTCTTCCGCTACTACCAAGAAATTATCCGTACCCACTTCTACTGTCTGCTTTTCCCTCGGCCTCGGCGAGACTGCGTCTACTGCGGCGTTGACTTTGGGCTTCGTCCTGTTCCAAATAAAACCCCCAAAGAACTTATCCTCCATTTCCCTCACGGCGTTGCACGGGGCGCGCTCCTGCTCCCGCAGCCAAATTCGCTCGAAAAAATACCTCGGAAAAAGCTGCGACTGCAGCAAATGTTTCAACCGTTCCAAGAAATTAACCTGCAGATCATTGACCAACTCTGTGCAGTTGTTTTGCGTCAGAAGAAGATTGTCGAAGTAGGTTTCGAAATTGAATCTTCCGTTGCCCGTACGCATTTTCTGCACACCAAAATCTTCCTTGCCACTAGTTACAGTGTGGTGCTGGCAGATGGTACCACCACCACCAGCTGCACGACCGTTTTGATGGTTTTCTCGCTCCGGATCGTCTTTCCTGTAATTCCGACCCCAGTTTTCACTGACGAAAAATTCCCCTCTCACGTTCTCCACCAGATGTGCGTAGTCGCGCCATTTGTGCACTATCTTCTGCCGCATCGCGTCCAGTGCGTCAGCAAGGAGCAGAAGTTTGTCTTCCCACTTTTCCAGACGAGCTTCCCATCGCTCGAGGAGGAGAAAATTCAAATCATTTGTACCCCTGCCATTAATTCGTAGCTCCCCTTGTAGTCCCGCACGCGTCGCGCCCCCACTCGTCTCCGTGGTTTTCTCAGAGAGAAGAGGTTGGGTAGTTTTTGTAGTTCTTCTAGCATCACAAACATCAGCGAAGTCTTCACTTTTCTCTTGCTGTTGGTGCTCTCGTCCGGCAGCACAGTCGCCAAACATCTTTCCCAAAATGTTGATCTCTTTCCGAACGTAAGCCAGCGCTTGCCTTCGCAAAGCGGCGATAGTGCAAGGCGAGTTGAAGTTCTGCGAACAGACTGCCGTAGTACTTGCTGGTGGACCACCTTCAAGTTTCATATTCACAGAAGATCCGCCGTGATCTTTTATTCCTCCTGTCGCAAGATCAAGATTCTGCTCTGCGGAAAAGTCCCGCTCCCAGTCTGGTAAGACAAAGGCCCTCACCCGCTCGGCAAAGGAAAAGCAGATCCTTTCTATCTCGGCTATTTCCCCCGCTAAAATCGCGAAAGGGCGAAGCGAAGCAGATCTGGTGTCGCTCGTGCGACTCGGCGTGGGCACGGCAAAAGTATGTCCTGCAAAAGGTCCTCGTCCGGCTGACCCCCCGGAGCCAGCGCTAATCGCATCCGCACTGCCATTATCAAATGCAAAAGTGTCTGGGTCTGGAAGATTAGAACTTGTCATGCTAAATCTAAATGATGCAAAAATCTGTGTTGCGTGAGTGCCAAAAGCTGTCTGCTTTTGACCAAGTTGAGAGGAAGTTTCCCATGCAGGAAAGGCATGATAGAGACCTCAAAGAATCTGTCATGTTGGGTCTCGCATTCCAGACCTCATGGGTCATGGAAAACCTGCATCACAAATCTTGCATTCTTCCAGACCCAGACATTTTTACATTTGATAGCCATCCACTTCCACCTCCACGCTGGTGCCACTGCCTTCTGGATATGGAAGCGTCAGGATTGAAATCGTCAAAGTCGAAAAAATTTGTGATGCATAAAATGCAACCCACAAAGTGTCTGCATTGCAGAGTTGGCAAGGGAGGCAGATTGTAAGCCTGTTGAGGGGTAGAAGTCGAGCTGCTAAAGTAGCATGACAAAAGGCGTCTTCCTTACCCGAACAGCATTACAAACTGGATTCAGGCACCACCAAAATTTGTCATGCGCCACTTAGAAACTGGGTTCCAACTGGCATCCATTTTATGCATGACAAATCATCTCAACTTTGTCGATTTCGATCCTGACAGTTCCATACTGGAAAGCTGTAGGGTAGTGCTGTCTCCTCGGACCTTATCGGCACGACTCTGCAGCTCCGCAGCGCACCTCCGGGGCCGTACTGGAAAATGTCGTGCACAAACACCTCTTCTGTCTCGCTCGTGTTGCGGCTGTTCTTGTCGTTTTGGTTGTCCCTTTCCATTTTTCCCTCATCCTCATCTACTTCCCACTGCACCAAGACTTTACTACGGTTATGGTTTTGCGACAACAGCAGCAGCTCTCGTGGAGGGGACGAGGAACTAAACGCGCCAGTGCCGTCTGGTATGACTCCGTCAATACTCCTGTTTGGCTCCACCCCCGCCGTGTGCTGATCAACTACATTTATTTGCCGCGGATCATAATGAAGATTCGCTCGGATTTCTGGCCGTGCAATGATCCGTCCAGGCTTGTAGCAGTACTGCTTCACTTTCGCTTTCGCGGCAGCCGCCGTGGTTTGGTTTTCATCTCCGGTGGTCTCTTCGTGACTTCTAATTTTCGCAGCAGCAGTCGTCGTGCTGGCGGCAACGTGCAGTATTTTCCGTCGGACAAACACCAACTCCCCCGGCAACACGTTCATGTACAGAAGCTCCCTCCGCTCGTTGATCTGTTTACCATGATTTTTCAATACAGCGACCTTCTTGCCATCCTTTTCCCGCGCCGCGAGTTGTGCAGCGCCAGCAGCCGGCGACCGTGTAGTCTCCTGTTGAACAGCCCCATCCTTCTGGAAATAAGGACGGAGAACTTTATTCTGATCTTCGCTTCGCAAGTGATCCTCTTGAGCAGCAGCAGCAGCAGTGCTGCTGGAGCATGTTCTTGAACTGACAAAGCTACTGTCCTCCAACAAGGCGCCGTGAGCGGCCTCACCATAATTCGACGTCATGTAGTCGAAGATCGCGTTGCGCAAATTGGCTGCGTTCCGCAGCTTCGAAGCCGCTTTTTTCTCCAGGCGATACTTCTCCCCCGGGGTCAGCGGCTCCAGAAACACCTCGTCCGTCTTTGTGGTTTGTCCTGTAGTCGCGGCGCACGTGGTTGGTCCGTTCGCATTTGTCTTACTTGAGGTGCAGGATATCGAACAAGAATCCCCGCTTACAGCACCGCTCTGTGAAGAGGAAAAGGTCGAGGACTCCTCCTGGGTGGAGGAAAGATCTCCAACATCCCTCGCTTCTTCAACCATCCGTATTGTCGTTGATTTTCGGAGGGTAACGTACCCAATCTTGAGATCGTGCTCACACCCTGCTTGCACCAACACGCGGGAAGACGTTATGATCTTTTCCTGCTTCACCTTCTTTGCAGTTCCCTTCCCGACCCGCGCGCCTTCGGGGTCGCCCGCGCCGGCGCCGTTTGGTATTCCGATTGTTCCACCTTCAGGAACTACTGCTGGTACACTACTTTCTTCCGTCGCCTCAGCTACGACCTCGCGGCTGCGGAGCAGAAACTCCCCCGATAAAGCCGTGACAATGTCGCCTTCTTGCAAAAATGCTATGTTTTCTTGCTCCTGGTAGAAGAAGGCTGCGCCCGGCTGCTGCTCGCCGTCTTTTTGCAGGGAAAGGTGTTTCGTGAGACGAATCGAGTCTATTTTAATCTTACCGGTCGTGAGTTGTGGAATCAATAAACCACTGTCCTCGTTTTCTTTCGATGAATGAACAACCCGGTACACTTCAGAGATGCGCGTGACAGAATGCAGGAAGAGCTGGTGTGTTTTATGATGCACTTGATTTCTCTCGTCTCCTTTTCCTTTCATTCCAGCCGACGCATCATTGTCCTTCTCGCGCACCACGCCGCCGCGGCCCAGTAGCAAATCTGTCTCACAGACGCACTCGAAGCAAAAGGAGCCGGTGAGTGGTTCTACTTTCCGCGACCAGCTGGAAGGACTGGTTTGAGTTACACTTCCATCGTCCTTGTTATTTTCTGCAAAATAGATCGGCTTCGTCATAACAACGCACGTTCCCGGAGCCAGCTGCACTTCTTCTGCCGTACAATCACTCGCACGACATTCTTTATCCGGAAGGTCTGCTATCGTCAGAAACCTAAACAGGGCCATAATCTCCTCCTTTTCCAAAAATCCGGGGGTTCGACTCCGCGAGAAAATTTTCGTCGACAGAAAATTCTCAAATTCTTCAAGCCTCGCCTCTTTGTCGAGGACGAGTTGTGGCCTTATTCTCCTACTTCGGTAGTAGAAGTTCTTCGGGGCTGGTCGTCGTGCAGCCGTTGTTGATGGCGTCGTTGTCGTGGATTTTTTCATATTCCCGTTTTCAGCCTGGTCGTGAGGCTCAATCTGGAGTGGTGCTGTTACAACTGCACTTTCAACATGATGATCCTCGCTATCAAATGCAAATATGTCTGGGTCTGGAAGAGTCGGGACTTGTCATGCACATTTTGCATGACCCATCAAGTCTGTGATGCTGGTGCTAGCATCACAGATTTTTTGAGAAAAGATTCTTGATGCTTAATTATTAATTACGCATGGCAAATGCCCTCTCCGCGTGCCAAGACCTGACTCCTCTTACTGCTCACGCAACACAGATATCTTTGGAATCCGAATCCGCAGACAGCATTACAAGTTCCACTCTTCCAGACCCAGACACTTTTGCAATCCATACTCGTACTGCTCAAACAACAAGTGCTTCAGGTGCGACAGCGACATCGTGTGGGCACAGGCGGTATGCATTGCAAATGTCCCTCGATCATGTCTGGAAACTTGTGATGCTGGTTGGAGAAAGACGAGCACACCGCAATTGGCTGCCAAGCATGACAAGTTTTGCAGATGCTGCAGCGTTGTCTATTCTGCATGACAAACTGGGCTTCTGCCTTTTGAGTAACGCGCACGACAAACTTGAGAACCATGCTAGCAGAGCATGACAAACCCTGCATGTTTCCAGACCCAGACATTCTTGCATTTCATAGGCGGCTTCCACCGTTTCGTACACCTTGAGCAGGCAGGACGCGACCTGGAGCTGCAGTCTCGTCTCCTTGGCTATCAAAAGGAAAAATGCCCCCTCCCCATATCGAAAACGTATCCGTCTGAAAATTTGTGATGCGCATTTGTGACCTCAAATCCTGTCTGTCTTGCAAGAAGACAAGTCCAGAAAGCGTTCCGCATTTTTCAGGCGGTTTGTGATGCTGTTTGGCTCAGAGCATACACGTTTGTCATGCTAGGCGCCTACGTCAAACCTCTCGGCTGAGGCTTGCCATATGCGTGCATTCCTCTACTGCAAGACAAACCTGATCTGTGTATGGAAATCCAGCATCAGAAACTTCGTTTCGATATGGGGAGGGGGCATTTTTCCTCATGATATTGGCTACCTCCTTCTGGTACTCGGCAACGATGTCAAAAGCGTCGCGGTCAACGAGATCTACTTCGCGCACCCATTCGGGCGGTTGTGATGGACCAAGAACTCGTGGTCTTTTTGGCACTTCTTCTAGAGAAGCGCTGCCCTTCTGCTTTGGTTCTTCCGGCACTATAGTTTCGTCCTCCGAGTCCGCCTCTAGCATGGCTTCAACCAGTTCGGAAGACGGAGCAGAGAGGCCTTCTTGAGGACTGAATTTCTCTCGTCCACCCCGCACGACATGCTCTGAGGAAGATACTTGAGAGAGTATCTGTTGTTGACCTGCAGCTTTCTGTTGATTACTATACTGACCACAATGTAGGTTTTCGCCGTAGCAAGGACTTAAACTTTCCCCTGGGTGCAGGCCAACCAAATAGTCCGCCAGAAACGGGAACAGGGCCTCTGCGGTCCAGGCCCAGGTAGTTGCAGGAGAACAACTATTACATCCTGCACCATTTATCTCGTCGGGGGAAACAAGCGAAGCAGTCGTGGAGGCTGTTGTTCTACCTTCTTGTTCGGGTAAGAGATCCTTCCTTCGCTTCACACCATCTCGAAACCGGTACACGATCCCCATGCGCTTACTTTCGTACACCTTCAACAGCCTTATCGCCTTGTCGCGCTTCTGTGATAACAAAACGGAGGAGGAAGAAGAAGAGCTCACTTTCATCTGCTCCGGATGATGAAAAAGTTCTTGATCATGCGGTCTGCTAGTGCTATTCCACCACGACCACGACGACGACCCACGATTCCTTTCCTGTTGCAGCTCCAGCTTCTGCAGGCAGTCGAACAAGTGCTTGCGGCACTGGCGCTGAAAAAGCTCGGATCCCGGATTTTGCTCCAAGGACCACACGTGCCAGAAGCAGGATTCCAGTACGTTTTTCATCGCGATCAGCTCTCTTCTCTCGAAACCAGAAAGACCAACTGTGGCTTTTGCGACGTTAAAACATTTTTGGCTTCCTTCATGACCGTTGTACTGATTCCTGCGGTAGTTGTTCGCGGTTTTACTGCTTCTCCGCGGATTATTTTCTGACCCTGGTACGCAAGTGGCGCGGTGCTGATGGTGGTGGTACAATTGATTTTTCGGGTAGTCGGCGGCGGAGGAGGAAGCAACTAAAGAAATTCTGTTTACCGTTGATGTTCTACTTGTTCCAGGCCAAAAATTCTGAATAGAATGTTCGTGAGCCCTCGTCATCTCGTGGTCCTGCTCCCACGATATACTAGAAGGTGGCACACAAGTAGAACCTCCTCGTTCTGGCTCTAATACTTGTGTGCTGCAGCTCGCCCTGCCCTGTTGAGGTCCTAGAAGTTGTCCCGCTGCTGCCGTCGAGTGCCGCAGAGGAAAAAAGCCCTCTCGTACTCGTCGGCAGGATGATCTTCTGGGCATGAAACAACTTTCCATCACTGGCCCGGTCGTGTTGCGCTTGTTGCGCAACCTCGCAGCCCGAATGATCTGGTGCGGCTGCGGCGGGGGAGGGGGAGCCAATTTCTCATGACGACGATCCTGTTCATCGCAACGCTTTTCGTCCTCGCGCAGACTCACTAAAGCCTTAGCAACAACCGCATCTTCTTCGGGATAATTTGCAGATGTTGTTGATGTGGCAGCTTGTTCACCACTGATGTTTCTGGTCGTGCAGCACGTGGTCTTGTTCTGCATTTCCAAAGGATCTGGTAATATTTTCGAAACCGCACTACTACTAGCCGTGGCCGTCCCCACGACCTCGCTTTTGTTCCCATTTAACAGTTCCTCCAGAAAATTCGGGGACAGCGCACCGTACTCTTCGGTCCCCTGCTTCTCTACCCGGAAAGCGTCTTTGCACGTCGCCTGCCCGAAAAAAGAATTGTTTTGTTTGCTATTTTTCGAAGTCGGCAGTGTCTATCAACTGCAAAAATGTCTGGGTCTGGAAGAATGCATGTTTGTCGTGCTTGTCTGGCATGACTCTTAAATCTGTCATGCACGTTACCCAAGAGCTCCATTTTTCTGTGATGCAGGAACGCAGTTTGTCATGCAGAATAGGTAACACGAACACCTAGAAGCTCAGAAACTTGTCATGCTGAGCCAGCATTTGTGGCCTCATCATGAGACGCCACCCAGCATCACAAGTTTCCAGACCCAGACATTTTTACATTTGATAGTGTCGTCCCGGGAGCAAAAGACGCTGGTCTCCGGCGGTCTGTTATCGCAAGAAAAGACTGTTTCACTGTGGACTTGTGATGCATAGAATGGAACACAGAACTATTTGTCTTGCTACACCTGCAAGGCATTGGATTTTTAAGCGTGTTCTCCCTTGGAAAGCGCGCATGGCAAATTTTCTGTGTCATGTGTAGAAAACTTGTGATGCGGATCTTGCAAAACCATCACAGTGAAACAGTTTTTTCGTGGGATATCTGTTCCTGCACGTCCAAAGCCAGAAATTGCACCACCGCCGGCGCCGCCACCGCCGCGCGGATTGGTGATTACCATTGAAAACCTTTTCGACCGGTTGCCCATTCTGCCAAGTTCGTACCAAGCAGAGTGTCGATTATCGTCTTCGTGTACGAGGAGATTTTCGTTGCACATTGTTCCGGCGGGTGCGGGTCGTGCAGCTGCTACAAAAAACTCCTTCTTCTCATCTCTCTCTCCCCGAAACGAAAAGCTGGAGTCCGTAGGAAGATGAAAAGGTTTTCCTTGTACTAGCGACGCGCGACTGCAGGAGGAGTTGTAGTTGCGAATGGCTTCCTCAATGCTACCCGTCTCCTCCTCTTGTAGATCCCCCGGTTTTTTTCCCTGCTCGTCGTGGTCGTCCCCGTCTTTATCGCAAGGAAATATCCCCCCTCCCCATATTGAAGCGATATCTCTGATGCTGGATTTGCGTACACAAATCAGATTCGTGCTGCTGGAGAGGACTGCAGGCCCCTATCGAGCCTGAGGCGAGAGGTCTTTGCCTAGGCGCTTAGCATGAAAAACGTCCGCGCTGTAGGCCCAACAGCATGACAAACCGCCTGCATAATACGGCGGAGTCTGTGGAGTTTGGTTCTTGCAAGACAGATGCGATTTGTGGTCACAAATCAGCAACACAAATTTTCGAAAACGTATCTTGTCAATATGGGGAGGGGGGATTTTTCCTTACGATAGTCTTTCTTCTTGGGAAAAATCGAGATCGGAATTCCGGCGGAGGGCCGGGGCCGGAACGGCGCTGGTCGTGGAAGGTCGTTTTTTTTAGGTGACCTTGCACCTCCTTCTTGCTCAAGGTCGGCTCTATTCGCACGAGCGGCTACTTCCCGGTCTCTCCTACCAGCAGCTGCGTGGTGGTCCACCTCTGTCGGTTTATTTCTGTCTGTGCTGTCCTCTGCTGTTGAGAAAGGTGTTGTAGGAGGCACGACGTCCTGTGGTCTTGCAACCGATGTTGATATTGATGCTTTCAACAACCGATCGGACCGGTGTATTTGAGAGCAGGCCAACCCATCTCCATCATCTTGCTGAGCATGATGCGTCCGCAGTGAAGAAAAAACCTGCTCCGGTTGTTCAGGAGCCACGATAGAAGCGCGGGGGCCCTGCTCCCTGTTCCGGCCCGACCCCACATGAAGATGGTTCCAGGTCATTGCACGCTTGCGGGCCTTTGCGACAGGTGGGAAATGTGCTGGGGGTATGAATGGGATTTTTGGGTTCTGGCGCGAAGAGGAGGAAGAGGATCCGCCACCCCCTCCGCTCGACGGCGGAAAAAAGAATCGGGGCGGTGCTACATTCGACGTGACACGCGGTGTGGCCATGCCTGCGATACCGGGAGCCGAAGACGCAGCAGAAGCAGGAGCTGCGTACGGGTTGATCACTTGCGCAAGCCAAACTTGCGAGGGACGTGATGAACTGTGACCGGTTGCTGATGTCTCGCCGCTTGTGCCGTCGTTCTGAATCTTCTCTCTTGATGTGCGGGAGCTGCTCGTCGCAGGAGCAGAAGCAGCAGCTGCTTGGGCACCTATTTCCGTCTCGACGTTCGTTGGGATCTGCATCTTTGCAGCTCCCCCAGCATCGTCCTTGTAGTTTCCCTTCTCACAAAACGAAGCTACGCCCGCGTCCGTCTCCGTATGTACGAGGACTTGACCTGATGCAACTCCCGGCGTTCTCATCTCGCCTGCACGTGATAGTAGACCACCAGTGGAGCTCGTCTCTTCTGGAATCATAGTGCCCGCCCCTGCAGCAGCAGGTCGTTGTCCCTGCACGAATGTGGCTACCTTGGACGTTCCTGTGTTAGTATTCTGATCAGCTGCAAAAGTAGAAAACTGACTGTGTTGACCCTTGGCCGCCAGTGTGGCTTCAACTTCATGTGCAGTATCCTCCTCCTCGGAAACGTCTTTCTTCCTGCGTTTGGTGGCACTAGATGCTGGAAGGCTTGTTTCCGCGAGGCTGTGGTGACCAAGATTTATTTCGCTCTCCTCGGTTAAAATCCTCTCGCCTTTCCGTTTGGACGATGAGGTACTGGATGGACATAAAGCACTTTTCTCTTTGTCTCTCGGAAAACCACGGAGGGGAAACCCATAAACACCAAGATAGACACGCACCGTGATGGGCTCTAGGACAAAAATCCCGCAAGAGATGTATCGCAGCGAAAGCGCCGGTCCGCCACCCCCGCAAAATAGAGAAAGGATACCTCCGGGGAACAGGGAGCACTCGACCCCAGCGACGTGGCAAGACAAGCCTAGAAGCCAATCTCAATATTTGAAAAAGAGGGTCCTGCAATGTCCAGAGGAAAAACCCCCTCCCCTCCCGGGAACGCCCGCCGGCACAGGCGGAGAACACTGATGGCGATGCGCAAACTAGCACAAGACCGTGGACCGGGATTTCGGCAAGCGGCGAGAGAGTGGGCAATAACACTCGAAAGCCGAACGCAGTAGGCACTCCCCGCGCGAACCTTCCGAACGATCACTGCCCGGCGGCACGGAACAAAACCGGTAGTAATCCCGAAGCACAGAGATGCCGAAGACACAAGGAGAGCGGGACAGGGCGAGTAAACATTCCAGCAGGGCGCAATAAGGTCGGGCTCTAAATAAAGTCACAGGCGGACCATCTGACAGCGATTGACCCAGGCTAGCTATACGAGGGGCGCGGCCAGGTGCCGGGCGAACAGCTGCGCAAGAGCTACGCAAAAATGCAGAGGCAGAAAACCACCTCGGAGCAGGAAGAACGCTCCACATCTGTATCGGAAATAAAGCAAAGCGAGTCACGGGGGAATACTCCCTCCAGTCACTCCTCGAAAATGATCTACCGGGGTGGATGTGTCGTTAAAATCCTCTCGCCTTTCCGTTTGGACGATGAGGTACTGGATGGACATAAAGCACTTTTCTCAACATCTGCATTTCCCCCGCAGGCACCGCCCACACGTTGACGACCCTGAAGATTACCTCCAAGTTTCTCGGACACGACTGCGCCGTGGTCTACTTTCATCCCGGTGGCGTTCGCGACGCCACTAGTACTCATTGTACCGGAATAAAAGTCTTCATTTTCAATAGAAACAGATTGTAAAATCGGGTCTCCTTTGTCCTCGCTGAGATCATCAGCATCCTCCTCCTCCCGTAACGGCGACCCGCCGAACCACACCAGCCCCGCGAGCGCATCAGTGTCGATGATTCCATGGGAGGATGAAAAGTCCTTGAGCGTCGCGACCTTCGGCTCGACGTTGATAGCGTCGGCGCCGCGGCGGGGGTCATTGTCGTTCTTCGATAAGGGAGGAGCAGGCGTACACATAGTACTTGAAGCCGCATGATGTTCTTGGGTGGTCTCTTTGCTATTTTGCCGGTGATCTTCGCTCGTCTCATCTGTACAACAACTGGAGGTGGCACCTGTGGCTTTCTCCTTCTCCTCCTTCTCTTCAAGATCACGATCACAGTCAGCTCCGGCTCCGTTCGCAACAGCAGCAGGAGCTGTCCCGTAATAGCTGTTGATCCGGTCCGTGATACTTCTACCTCGAAAGGCCGTGCGGTCGGGGCCGCATAGTCGTTCTTTGTTCACGTGGTCCTTCAGAACCGCTGAAGACCGTCTGCCCGTCCGGCTCTTCCGTGCGACAAAAATCTTTTCTCGTGGCCGTCGCGGGCGTCGGTAACAGTTATGCAACATTTTTTGATCACGAGCATGACGCTGGTCGCGATGAGACGAGCGTCGTTCGTCATCTCCAGGCAAAAATCGAAGGGACTCCTCCCCCTGGAGGTCATCTTCTTGGTCTTCTGCATCATTTGGTGCTGACGTGCCATAATTATAGCGGTCAGTAGAAACTACACCGTAATTGTCGTGTGGACGACCGAACTCGTCCTCAGCGTCGTCTTCGTCGTCACTGAAGCTCTGGTTTACACCGTAGAGATCCAAGTGAGTCAGCAAAATGTTCGCGTCCGGGTCTTCCGCGTCCCAGGGCACAAACCAGTTGGTGGTTGGCGGATTCAGATTCACGGCGGGAGCGGGGCCTTGATATCCTATGGAAAAACGTCCCCACACCATAGTCAAGATGGGGCATCGGCTAGACAAATCCACAAGCGTTGGCCGATTTGCATGACAAACTTGGACTCGTAGTGTAGTGCTATTTTAGGTAGTTTAGCAGCATCACAGATCTAGTACATCACCCTGATTGTAGCATGACAAATTCCAAAACGCGACTAGAAAGCTCTTCTCATGGGGCTCCACATGAGAAACATTTCCACCATGCAGATTTGCATTAGTTACACCTATGGGGTGGGGACGTTTTTAAATACGATACTTGACCTGCTGTATTTTGAGGATTTTCACAAGTCGCGCAGGAAGAACCTGCCACCACGACCTCCGCCCGTCCCCAGACGATATCGCCCCCGACCTCGGTTCCGAGCCACCAAAAGCCATCCTCCCACTCATACAAGCAGAAGCCGTGGTGCCCCTTGGCGTAGTAAAACTTGTTCTCGACGTCGGCGTCACGATTTTCATGATCTCCGTATAATCTGTTGGTTGGTACATCGCATATGATCCGCTTTTCCTATCCTTTGTAAAAACGTCCCCACCCCAGAGTTGTAATGCAAATGCGCAATGACAGGAACATTTGTAATGCGCATCCCGCCCATGAGAGGTATTTCAAATCGTGATTTGGCATTTGCAATGCTGTAAACAGGATGAGAAATTGGCTTTCTCATGCGGCTTGCCTTGCTATGCACCACTATACTACAGACGGAAACTTGTCATGCACAACTCCCAAAGCTTGCCGATTTGTCTAGCAGATTTCCCATCTTGACTCTGGTGTGGGGACGTTTTTACTCAGGATATCTCCCACACGCCGTTCAGTTCCTCCAACGCGTTCGTGAACCCGCTAAAACGAACTGCGGCGGGCAGTAGCGACGCCGAGTTCGTTGGGGACATCTTCAACGCCATGCTCGTGCGAGATTTCACTACTGTAGGTGCTGTTGCCTTTCACAAGCGCGAGACTTCGTAAAACCAAACCATAACCATTGCTTAACTTGCATGAATCAATTGCGTAAATGGAGAACTAAGTAGTCGACAAGGCAGTAATTCGAAAAAACTTCGCGCCCTTTGATACGCATATCAAGTAAGGGGCCGTATATGTCGTGAAAGATCTTCCTCGTCGCAGACGCAGACCAAGCCTCATATGACCATCAGAGAAAACAATTTCGGGGAAGAATCGCGTAGTTCAGCATGTCGATCGATTGTCAACAGGGCCACGGCCGTCGGCGGCATGATGAACGTAATAAACTCAACTTTCACCTTGTGTGGTGCGCACGGATCTAACTCCGCTCAACAACCAGTGTGGAAAAGACAACTCGGATCATCTTCCACATCTTCGGAGACCCACCTTGTATACGTGAAAGATCTTAGACACCGGCGCGGCAACAACAATAGTGTGGCGTATTTTATGCAAACTACAACCGATCGTCAATCTTCAATGAAAACCCCAACACGGAGGGATCTTTGTGCGACAACACTACTGACAACTCCACTGGGAGTGCAACACCCACGACACCGCCGGCGTGAATGGAATACGAAAGACATCTTGACTCAATCACACACTTGCGTGGTACTGCCCTTCATGGAAAAATCAGTTCCTGATCCAGATCCTTGTCGGCCAAAGAGAAAAAATAACAAATCAAATTTTTCATCGTGGTATGAAAACAAAATTCTGGTAAAGTTGAAGAAGAGAAGCTCCTTGTCAATCCTTGAAGACATCTGAAAGCTTGTCCGTGTAAGAGTAAGAGTTGTTGTTCAGAAACTATTGTAAAACTCAGAGACAGAAAGAATAATGTACTAGTACTTTTATTCAAGATTGATGTCAACACACCTCCGGCGGGCAGCTTTAGTTTATGTTGAAGAAATGAGAAGCGTCCTTGCTCTGTGATACTCCTTGAGGTTCGACGTCAAGCACGGATCAGCCAGGCGAGGCGCTACGAATTAGGATGAATCCTCCGTGCGGAGCTCTTTGTTTTTTGCCTTCGTCTCACCATTTGTCGGCTTCTTGTTGCCACCGCATCCGCCTCCGATTCCAGTTTTACCACCGCAGCCAGTGCCTTCTGGCTTCTTGCAACATCCTCTGATCCATGCCTTCACATCAATATTATCCGGGTCCTCGGCGCGGAACGTTGCCGCCTTGTCGTATACCTTCCCCTTGGGACAAACTTGATCCGGGCTGGACCCCTCCTCTTCAGGGGCGCTCCGAGTAGGAATCTCTGTGTGAGAACTGCAAAGGAGACTCACTTTCTTTTTCTTGTACCGCTGCAAGAAACCAGTGATCTTTTCCGGCTCGTCGTCGTCCTCAACGTCGTCGTCCACTTCTGCCTCGGCACCCACCAGAACAGCTTGCCCGGCACTGTTCTCCTCCTCCTCGATCGCGCTGACCAGAGTGCTCTGTGCCGCCGAGAAAACCGCCACGGCGGCCAACAGCTTCGCTGTGGCGGAGTTAGTCATGAGACACAGACGGTAGTGGCTTCTATTACATTTTTCGCGCCGCAACCCGGCCAGGTTTGCATCAATGGCTTTTGTCTCAATGAAAGAAGGCGAAGGAAGTTGCACGCCGTGTCACTGCTTGTTTTGTTTCCTGCTGTTGTGGTCGTGTGTTTGAGTATAGTCACGTAGTCCCAGAAATCACTTTCTTCTCCGAACTCAAAAAGGGAGTTAAGTACTTCTTGATCGTTTTACAACTTCTAGGTAGTTCTTGGGGTGGCAATCAAGTTGAGGGGGCATTTTGGTGCACTGTGATCACAAGTTGTAGATCATGTAGATTTGGACAAGTATATGCCAGGGGTCGACAACGACAAGTCTTCGAATGGCGCTGCTTTCATCTTCCAGCTGCTTCGCTTTCAATCATTCTACCGAACCGCATGAATGCTTGGAGCAGTGGATATCTTGGTTGAGTCTTCTGCCGATTACACCCCGTTGCAGCATTGTACGAAGGAATGTGAACCGAGACCACACCTTTGTGTTGTAGCCGGGCTACTGCGGCCCGGCTGTGTTGCTCGCACCGACAAAGACCTTAGATTGCGTGTACGCATTTGATTACCAGATAAAAGTCTTCAAGCAAAAAACTTCGACAATCTCGGTGGGTGCACGAACCGACCTGCGAACTAAGTACAGCTGCAACCGAGCACAACTTTGGACTTCATCACGACAACACAGGCAGGAAACCGAGTCAAGTCTGTGCGACGCCGAGAATTTTTCGTGATGCAACAAGTGCAATGGGAATACGTACTTTTACTCTCTAATTCACTTAGTACCGACTTATCAGGAAGGATCTCGCTTAACGATGACGGGAGCACGCAGCAGAAGACACACCTGTAGTAAAGACGATCAATTTCTGCCCGTTCTTCTTTACGAACCGAACAAAGAAGTTGATTGGACTCGGGACGGAAAACATTTTTCCGTAGGTGACTGCGTTGCAGGAAAAAAGATTTTCCGCGGTGTGTAGTATAGTGTTTAGGTTATTTCACAAGTTCTGTGTATGAAGCAAAATTTTTCGTGAACAAGACGGAGCAGAATTGAAATGCTACGACAACGACTATCACATATGATGAAAGTAGGCATATTTGTAGGTGCATAAAGATGAGCCTCAATACGTGCGCACTGTGGAAGGGCCAGCTACAATTGCCTCCATTTTCTACGTGAGCGCAGAACAAGATGACACCGAAAACTATTATAGCAGCATGGTGCATTGTATTTTTGCGAATCACAAAAACTGTACCGGATTTTTGCAACGTGACAGCAAAAACCAAAAGTTCTTTGACAGGAGCTGAAATTTGTGATATTGGTCTAGCAAGTCTTCATATGGATACACAAATGTAAGATGAGTGTGCGTTTTTCATTTTTTCGGAGAGAGCATCATCAAGAAAAACTTCTCAAATGTGCAGCTCCTCTTCCACCTTCCTCTTGGCCAGGTAGACCGCCTGGTCCCAGGACATCAGGTCTTTACTGCTGTCCATCTTCTCCACCGTTGCCGCCGTGGCCATGCCGGTAATCAGGCACGTGTTTTCGTCGGTCGTTAGGCGGATGAACCCGGCCTCGCCCCACTCCGTCGTCCACGAGTTGCGGACCACCCAGTACGCATCGCCGTTCTTCTCCGCTGCGCTCTGCTCGAGCGCAACAACCTTTTGTTGTATACTTACAACAATTTTGTACTAATACAGTAATGTACAAGTGTCGGGATGGTTCAGGATGAATACGGTAGTCTCACTTTCATTTCTCATGCTGGTTCTTCACGCTACTTTACACATTTGAAGAACTACTCTTTTCCTTACCTGCACCGCATGGTCAATGCGTTCGGACTCACAGGAAGCCGCGTCGAGAATGCCCTGCTGGTAGGTCTGCCACGCGCTTATCAAATGTAAAAATGTGTGGGTCTGGAAACTTGTGATGCTGGGTGTCGTCTCATGATGAGGCCACAGATCCTGGCTCGGCATGACAAGTTTCTGAGCTTCAGCTTCTAGGTGTTGCCTATTCTGCATGACAAACTGCGTTTCTGCATCGCAGAAAAATGGAGCTCTTGGGTAACGTGCATGACAAATTTGAGAGTCATGCCAGACAAGCATGACAAACATGCATTCTTCCAGACCCAGACATTCTTACATTTGATAGCGCTGGCATCGACGCCAATCGACAAGGGGCCCGCGCTATTGAATTGAAAAGTGGGGCTCTTCATCATCATGGTCTCAGTTGGAGATCACAGCACGCATACGTGATACCACCCAACGCCCGCCCCTGTTGTCCTTTCACGGAAGACCCAGGTCGGCGCTTGAAAAGCTTGCGCACGGCTGGAACTTGAGCTTAACATACTGAATCGTTCGTTGCATTTGTTGTAAATGTGACCCGCCTGCACTACTGCGAAACAAAGCAGGAAGCCTGGTTATAATACTAGCAGGACCTCAGTGATCCGGCAACACCTCAGTGAGGATATGTCAGATGATCATGATGACGAGGAAAACACCACTTTTCGATTCCATAGTTGTTCAGCAAGTAGTCTTTCATGGCCTTCTCCCCCCGACTGACATATCCCAGCGGAAAATCTAAGCCAGCACATTGAATTCATTGTCCTAAACGGGTGGCAACCTCCTGCACACTGGGGTAAGTAACATGGGAGTAGAGTTTTTTCTTTTGCAAAATGCCAGCACTCTCAACGACGAAGTAGATCACTGTGCGATACAGTTGCTGCTGAATTTATTGAACAAACAAGCGTGCTGGGCTAGCATTTTCTGCCATTGTATCCCAGAGAAAAAAGCTGGCAGGTCATATTTGTAATGCAAAAATAAATACACAAAAAAACCTGTATTGCACGTCCGGAGCAGCATGGTATGGGGCGCCCATGACAAATTTTTCTGTGTATTCATTTTTGCATTACAAATATGCCCTGCCAGCTTTTTTCTCTGGGATACATTGATATCACCGTCCACGGGAAGATGCGCATGCCGTGGGCCACGCGGGTGTAGCCGGTGACCTTTGGTGATAATCTTCGTTGACTTAGAGTTACATCTGCGGCAGAAGACAAACTCTTAAAACGGCTCCTTCAAGGAAGACACGACCGCACCATTTCTACATGCTTTTTCAGAATACTATAAAACTCGTAGAAGTGCATCGTCATGCTACATAGAGGACGACCGTGTCTTCACTACTCACACTTACCAAGTATCATACCATTATACCTTCCACTCCGATTTCTTCGGGTCCATCTTGCAGGTGCCCGACTCTTTCGTGGTGCCGCTAGTGTAGGGGTAGTCACTCTCGGCTTCTAACCCGTTTTTTTCGAGGAACTTGTAGGCGTGGGTGGGCAATCCCCCGTTATATGAACTGCAAAAGTGTCTGGGTCCGGAAGAGTCAGGGCTTGCCGCTGCCATGCACATTTTGCATGACCCGTGAGGTCTGTGATGCTGGTGCTAGCATCACAGATTTTTTGATGAAGAGAGCTTCTTGATGCTAATTTTTACGCATGAGACATGCCCTCTCCGCGTGCCAGGAGCTGACTCCTCTTGCTGCTCATGCAACACAGATATTTTTGGAATCCGCAGACAGCATTACATACAAGTTCCACTCATCCAGACCCAGACATATTTGCAATACATACGTTACACCCGAAGTCCATGCCGTGGTCGCACGAAACCAGTTCCTGCGGCGCACCAATAAAACCGGAACTATGGCTTGCAAATATGTCTGGGTCTGGTGGAATGCGAAGTGTAGTAGAATGCAGGTTTTCCATGACCCATGAGGTCTCGAATGCAGGGCCTAGCATGACAAGCTCTGTGAGATCTCTATCATGCCTATCCTGCATGAGAAATTCCCTCTCAACTTGGTAAGAAAGGACGGCCGTTGGTAATCATGCAACACAGACTTTCTGCATGATTCAGATTTAGCATGACAAGTTCCACCAACCTTCCAGACCCAGACACATTTGCATTTCTTAGGAACTCTTGTCCAACAAATGCACCGCCGACTCGACCGTCTCGACCGTCGAAAACGCCCTATCAAAGTGAAAAAAGCCCCTGCCCCATATTCAAAAGACAATTTCTGTTGCTGCATTTGTATACACAAATGAGCTTTGTATTGCAGCAAGAGCTTGCCGGCATATTCTACGCCCATTTGGGTGCTACGCATCCGGCTAGCAGCTGAGCATGAGAAACAAGTCTGACAAAGGCGAAAACGCATGACAGACTCGCTGTATACGATGCGCCACATTGGTGCCGTTTGCCTGGTACGCAAGACAAAGCGGATCTGTGGCCACAAATCAGCATTACAAATCTCCTTTTCAATGTGGGGAGGGGGAATTTTCTTTACGATACGCCCAGCAGGATCCGCACTGGCCTTGGTCCTTCACGGGCGTTACCACGCCCTCCTTCCGCCAATCGCGCGAGCTGGTGGCGGAAGTGGAGTCGAGCAGGGAGGCCTTCGGGACAACGGCCTGATTGAAGGATGTACTCAAAATCAATGTGCTGTGCCAACCATGACGAAAGACTTCAAAGATATCCGAAAAGAGCCAACAAAAAGGCCTAAAACGCTAAAACAAAAGTAAAAACAACTTCTACGACGCCCATGAACATATAAACTTTGAAGAATAATCTGTGTATCCGCGCCTCACCTCGGGAACGTCCTGCATCATATCCGCGATCTGGTCATCCGAAAACGTTTTGCCGCTATCCATCGCAAATATCCCTGCATGTCTGGAAACTTGTGATGCTACAATGAGAAGATGGCCACGTCTCCGGAAGATGCATCTCCGGAAGATTGCAGAACGCCAACGCTTTCTCACACAGAGCCCGCATGAGATAGGAATTGCGTTTTTGCAGGACAAAAGATTAAGATGCTGTGGCTTTTACAATTATAGTTGGTCATGCAAAAATACAGATCTCACAGGTTTCATGTGGGACCACCAGTAATACCTACAACAAGTTCGAACTTTATTCCAGACCCAGCTCGATATGTGCGGTGCGTAACCGCCGTTCTTGTACATTTTCCGGAACTCGCCCGCTGTTAAGTCCATAAATATCAAATGTAAAAATGTCTGGGTCTGGAAGAATGCAACTTGTAATGCGTATTTCAGAACACAGAAAAGTCTCTCATGCATACGTAGCAAAAGCTCCCACTTTTTGTCAGCGAAATAGGGGACTTGTCATGCGGATTCGGCATTGCGGAAGGCTCTCGAAACCTGTGATGCTAGAGCTTCCATGCCAGACCTTCTGTGTCATGCAAAAACAGCATGACTCTTCCAGACCCAGACATTTTTACAATCCATAATAAACCGCGTGATACCGAACACCGCTTTGCCGTCACTCTTGATGTTCAACTTCAGGGCCTGTTTCACGTTTTCGCGGAAGGTTTCAAACTTCTGCTGCACGAAAAGCTGATGTTGACTTCCGTCGTTTTCTACTTGGTCCCCATCTTTATACTGGACGTTGTACGTTTTGCGAAACCAGTCGAAGCCCTCTTTCGCGGCCGCTTCGTCGCTCAGCATCGCCGACAGTTCCTGCATCCGCTTCTTCCATAGCTTCTTCGTCTCCCCCGCCGTCGGAGCGGCCAGGTCGGCAGCACTGTAGTAGGAAAGGGCGGCCCCCCGTAAGGAGTCGCGTAGCTCAACTTCTGGTGCCCGGTTGTCAGCGACAGCGGCAGTGGTCAAGAGAACAGCCGTGGAACAACACAAATGACGCACAGCAGACGAGAACATTACACGACCCATCTTGTAAAAGGTGCTTCGAGAAGATCAACAGAGTAAATGGATAGGCTTACTTCCTGATGAATATATAAAGCGAACTGGGTGATGTGACCTAGTACCCTATCCGATCGTTATCCTGCTGATTATTTCAGAGGTGTAAACAAGCATTCCAGATTCATCGCCAACGAGTATTTTCTTCGGAAACTTAAACGAAGCACATGCACCTGGACGTGGACATAGACATGCGCAAGCAGAAACAAAAAAATAAGAGTAACAAAAAGGGGGAAAAGAATGAAAGGTGCATAAAAAAGGTCGTGGTTTGCACTTCTTAATTTCAATATGCAAAACATCAACCTCACGTGTGCACTACACCTATCCTCTCAAGCTGAACAAGGGTAGAAAAAGCACAATTTGCTTGCGCGCTAGAAAATGCTGCCAGAATGAAGTTTTTTTTGGCAACATGGAAAACGCGCTTTTCTCGTGTGATTTTGTCATGTTTCATTACAATGAATCCGCTTCATCGTTTTAATACCTCAATACAGCAGAGAATCGTTTTTTACGCGATGCTATCAAATGCAAATACGGCTGGGTCTAGGAAAAGATCGCAAGATTTGTGATGCATCTCGCGGACCACGCACCTGGTCTGGAATGGACAAAGAAGCATCACAGATTTTATGGGACTTCTTTCCTTGACGCCTCTCCCGCATGACAAATCGACTTCTTTATTGGCAGCAAGTGGGCATCTTTTGCAAGTCATGCAACACAGATCTTGTCGTCATCGAGAGTTCGCATGACAAGCCCCATCCTTCTACACCCAGACATATTTGCACTTCATAAATGCAACAGGTAGGAGTGGAAATCCGCATTTGGTACTTGCTGCCCACCCAGATACCGAGGCAACTGGCTCACTTCGCATAGCTGTCCTAAGGAAAAACGTCCCCGCCCCATAGTCAAGATGGGGAAGCAGCAGCAGCTACACAAATCCACACGTCTTGCATGACACGCTTGGGCTCGTAGTGTAGTTGTCCTCCTGCTTAGCTAGTGCAACCACACGCACATGCCAAATTGACAGATAGCATTAGATGAAGGTCCTCTTCCTCATGGGCCTGCGCATAAGAGACCCTTTAGGTTTGCAGATTTGGATGACAACGAACTCCGGTGGGGTGGGGAAGTTTTCAAGTACAGTGGATAAGAACTCCGCGTACCAATCGGGCACGTTGTGCGTTGTAACGAACTGCACCACCCGTTTCAGCTTCTTCGGTACCATTGCCTGGGCGATCTGCCAGGCATGCCGGAGCAGTGGCGGCGCGTCAAGGAAAACCTGAAGAGAGGACAAGGGCTTATTTTCATTGAAATAAATAAGCAAAAGGTATACGAACGATATCAAGGGAGAAGACAAGAACTGCGCAAACCGTTTCTCACTGGAATTGTTCTGCGGTGCAGCAAAAAATGCATCAGCATGATCAGCAGCTCAACAATAAACTCGGTCGACGTACTTTTATACTTAAGTACTTACCACGCTCGCAATGACGCTCGGATGACAGAACGCCACCGCCGAGATCGCGTCTTTGAATTCCCAGGGTCTCGCGCTGGCGACGTTCTGCAACCGCAGCCCGTTGAAGTCGTACACCAATCGGACCCCTTTGGCCATGCTGGGCACGTTATGAATTGCAAATATGTCTGGGTCTGGAAACTTGTGATGCTGGGTGGCGTACCATGAGGAGGCAACAAGTGCTGCCTCAGCATGACAAGCTTCTGAGCTTCTAGGTGTTGCCTATTCTGCATGACAAACTGCGTTTCTGCATGACAGAAAAATGGGACTCTTGGGTAAGACGCATGACAGATTTTAAAAGTCATGCCGGACAAACATGACAAACATGCATTCTTCCAGACCCAGACATTTTTGCAGTTGATACACGTCCTGCAGCGCGGCGTCGATGGACAGCCACGTGGATTTGATGCCCACGGGGATTTTGATTTCGTTGGGATTGATAAACTTGTACTTGATCCAGATCATCGGCCTGCCCTCGAAGTCGCGCCCGGAGAGCACGCAGAAGCCCCGACTGTAGTTTTTCCGCACATCCTCGTCCGAGACCGCTTTCAAATTCATTTTCTGAATCATCTTCACGTGCACATCCAACAGCTTTTTCGCTTCGGCCGGGTTCATTTTGGAGGAGTACAGAAACCGCAGCATCGACCGCTGTGTGAGGAAAAAGGTGCTAGAAGTAGTACAACTACTCGACGATGTTGCTGCGGAGGACGTCGGCGGGTCTTGCTGTTGGTGTTGCAGCTGTGGTGCGATATTATTAGAAGCTGGTCCTCCTGCAGCTTGATTTGTCCTGCTCGGGGAGCTAAGCGACTTGCTCGCGTTGTTTCGCGGCGTTAGCACGTTTGGGTCGCCGCCGTGCGAAAAAGAGTCGTCGACGTCGTCGGTATTGTCCGCTCCTGCGAGGGTCGTTCTATTCATTTCTCCCCTGCGGTTACTACTGTGCGTCTCCTCGGGTGGGTAGGTTTCGGATTCTTTGCTTTGCGGGCGGGAAGTCGCATTGATGGTGGAGCTGGCGCGATTGTTATTATTTCTCTCGATAATATTGTCGATACGGTTTTGATGTTCTATTTCTACTCCCGAAACAACTGCTGCTGTCATCGCGGCACTGGACCGTGAGGCCGTTGTTCCAACGGACTGAAAAGTAGAGCTCACCACGCCAGCAGAACTGCCACTCTGCTGCTCTCGGCTTCGGGTTCCTCGCGAGGCCTGCCCGGAAATTGTAGACGAGGAAGTTGTAGGAGCCGCATTGTTACTAGTACTCGTTGCCGCGACCCCGCTGCGCCCAAGCCCGCGCCACAACTCGGAGTCTTGCCACTTTTGGCTCTGCTCGAGCTCTTTCGTCAATTCGGAGTTCAGTCGATAGTACGCGAACTTGTGGTCCTTCAGATGCTCAAAGAGCCGGTCCCGGTTATCAAGTGCAAAAGTGTCTGGGTCTGGAAAAGTGTAACCTTGTCATGCAGATTTTCCATGACCCATGAGGTCTGGAATGCGGGACTTAGCACGACAGACTCTTCGAGATCTCTGCCATGCCTATCCTGCATGAGAAACTCCGTCCTAACTTGGTCAAAAGTGGACAGCTTTTGGCAATCGTGCAACACAGATTTTTACATGATCCAGCTTTACCATGGCAAGTTGCCACCTTCCAGACCCAGACATTTTTGCATTTGTTACCGGTCCTCTTTGAACAAGATCCGCTGGAACTCCGACAGCGCCGACCGTTCGCGCTATCACCTGCAAATTTGCCTGGGTCTGAAAAAATGCAAGGTTTGTCGTGCTTTGCTAACATGACTCTCAAGTCTGTCATGCACGTCAGCCAAAAGCCCCACTTTTCTGGTGTCATGCAGACGCTCACTCTGTCACGCGGGTAGCAAACACTGTCGCACATCCGAAACTTGTCATGCATTGCAGCCAATTGAGGCGTGGTCCCGTCTTTCTCAACCAGCATCACAAGTTTCCAGACCCAGACCGAGATTTGCATTTGGTACACGCCAGCTCAGATTCAACTGCTCGTCCGTTTGCTGCAGGTGGACGTTGGGAAAGATCTGCATGTTCTTTGGGTGATGTGACGGATGAACAAGTTGCGCCTGCTGTGATGTACTCGTCGTGCTAGTGGTCTTTGTGAGTTGTAAATTATGTTGGGCGGCGTTGGAGGAAAATCCAGAATTTGATGCTCCTTGTAATTTCATCGGGGTTACCATTGTTCCCTCAAGAATACCGGTAGACTTCTTTACGTTCGTGGTTGTCATCGTACTCATGTCCGCGATTTCCAAATCATTACTTAGGTTGTTTGCGTTACTATTTCCATTCGCGTTCGCTTCGCTCCCCCCGTTGCTACTGGTCGTGGAGCTCCGCGTCAGGAGCGCGAAATTGGGACTTTCCTTGAGCGCTTCCCGAAATTCCGTCGGAGACTGCGCGAGCGATTTCTGCACCTGCTGGCTCCCCGTGCGAGACAAAGTAGTATTAACGCTGCTCGGACTGGCCTGCAGCCCGCTGTTGGCTCTGGAAAGGACGAAGGGCGGATATCAAATGCAAGTATGTCTGGGTCTGGAGGGTTCTGAGACTTGTCACGCACGTTTTGCATGAGCCAGGATGACTGTGATGCATGCCCTAGCATCACAGATTTTTTCAGGGTTTCTTGGTGCCTATTCCGCATGACAAATGCCCCTGCGCGTCCCCAAAAATTACATTCCCGCCTTTGCTGCTCATGCAATACAGATATTTTTGGAATCCAAACGCAGCATCACAAGTTGCGTTCTTCCAGACCCGGACATACTTGCACTTCATAGCGGGTTGTCCACAACCATTGCCTCGTCGAAAAGCGGCAAATTTTCGGAAATCCCCAAATCCGTATGCTATCGTAAGGAAAAATCCCCCCTCCCCAGATTGAAAACGTATCCGTCTGAAAATTTGTGATGCGCATTTGTGACCTCAAATCCTGTCTGTATTGCAAGAAGGCAAGTCCAGAGTGAGAGCGCCCCGCATTTTGCAGGCGGTTTGTGATGCTGTTGGGCATAGAGCATACACGTTTGTCATGCTAGGTGCCTACGTCAAAACCTCTCGACTGAGGCTTGACATATGCCTGCAGTCCTCTACTGCAAGACAGATCTGATTTGTGTGCGGAAATCCAGCATCAGAAACTTCGTTTCGATATGGGGAGGGGGGACTTTTCCTCACGATATATGCGCCACGCTCTTCGGACTGATCACCTGGATTGGCTGGGAGGCGACACCAGAAGTGGATGCTCCGGTCGGGGTGTGAAACAAGTGATCCGCGGTGCCGAGTAGCGCAGCCTGCCGACCGTTGCTCACGCCGTTCAAAGCCGTAGTACCGTTACCACCTCCGGGGTTGGTGCCGAACCCGGCGCGCGGCGTGAGCGAGAGAGGCGTCGCGAAGCTGTCAAGCAGTGGGTCACCTGGTATGTTGTCATTTGTGGTCGAGATTCTGCTTCTTTGGCAAGTGTGTACACTACATGTTGGATCCAGATTATCATCGTCGTAGTGCATCCAGAGTAGGCAGTCATCTTCCTCGCAGCTCTCGTCTTCTTCCTCCTGCTCCCAGCCCAGTAGCGATTTGAAACCACTTGCGATATCGTCGAACCACGAGGGCGGCTCGGCAGAAACATCTTCGACGGTGGCAGGAGGTGGAGCTTGATGTTCTACAGCGGAGGTTCTTGTAGGCGGCTTTCTATCACGGAAGGAACCCTCTCTACTTGTAGTTTCCTCTCCCCGCGAGGAAGTAAGGGCTGCGCACGTGGCGGCCATCTTAGAACTACTCGCGGACGTCGTGGTTGGGCAATTTCTTGTCCTCCAGAAGAACTATGTCGCACTTTTTACAACCACACAGTCGTTCTTTGTCCAAATCAATGATATTTTTGGGGTCCAACTAGTACAAGAAGCGAGTGTAGTAATGAGGCCCTGAAGTCCATCCGCAGGTTGAGAAGACCACGATCAGAGACGAGAGCAAGACCGGACTCGTTTTCAACAAAATTTTGTGTGTTAAAAACGCGGCAAAAACTACTTTTTTTCTTATTTCGCGCAACACATTTTCAAAAAATCAATGCGCGACCTCATCTAAATGTGACGCTAAACACGAAACATCCAATTGTGCATTTTTTAGACGCAGTCTCGTCAAATTTGAATGGCGAAGATGGGAACACCTTTTGACGGCAAACGGCAATTGGAAGCAGGCGAAGGCGAACCTGATTCCTCAAATTCATAAAAATCTTCCATCTAAAGAAGTGACAGAACTTCCGAAGCAACACTCTACTACTAAAACTTCAAAGCAATTTTACCGAGCCCCCCGAATGGTCCCCCGCCGCCTGCGCCAAAGCTCATCCGGTCGTCGTGTCTGCTGCCCTTCCGTACAGGCAAAATATCGCTCGCCGTCACGGCGTCCCACCGGAACCACAACAAATTCACATTCTCCGGAAGGTCGTCGTCAAAAATATACTCCGTGAGGACCGCGAAGCAGCCCCGGAGAAACATCAAATTTACGATGGCCAGCGAAAACCGGATCACATCCGACACCAGGCAAAGAAAGTCCGTCGAATTTAGCGCGTGCTTGACCGCGGTGAGCACGCATGTCAGATAGTGCAAAACGACTGTGAGCTCGTTTGGCTCGAAAACATCTCTGGGGGTGGAAGACGGACCGAAAGCTGCAGCTCCCGCTGGAACGGCTGGCAGTAAATCGGTTCCATGTTGTTGCGTTGCACCGGCTGCATGATCAGACTCATTACTCACGCTCGTGCGGCCCATGATGGCCTCCCCAGTTGTAGTTGTACCCGCGGCGCCTCTGTGCGCTCCGCTACTAGCGAGACCGTCCTGGAGGTGCCCCGGACCACTCACCTCGCTGCCTGTGACGATGCGCAGGTCTGTGACGAACATTTCGTAGACCAGCACAAAGCCGTGGATCACCAAATTTGCGGGCACAGAAAACTATCCTGTGCAAAAGTATCGGACTCGTAGTAATTCTTGCAGTCATGCATTACAAATTTTTTCCCTAAGGTAAATCCGCATGACAAATTTTATTGCTCATGCTGAGGGAATTTGTAATGCATTTATACGAGTACGATACTTTATTTGCAATGCATAAAAACAACAGGCAGACCGTGAACAGCGACAAGCCGCTCAAGTAGAACAGCCGCGCTCTATCAAAAGGAAAAATCCCCCCTCCCCATATCAAAACGGAAATCTGTGATGCAGATTTGTTGTCACAAATCAGCTGTGTCATGCTACACGGAAAAAGATGCGGACTGTAGTGCTGGGTGGCGTGGGGGAGCCTTGCATCTTCAGCATGATAGGAGGCAGCTGAGAGTGGGAAACAGCATGACAAATTGCCTGCAAACGAGACCACGACTGCGGCTCTTGGCCTTCTAGCATGACAAGTCGATTTGGTACCTCAAATCCTGCATCACAGATTTCCATTTCGATATGGGGAGGGGGGATTTTTCCGTTTGATACGTTCCGGACAACACGCCCAGAAGCCCGCAGAAGCTCCCGAACAGCAGCAGAGCGTCGCAAAAAATGTCCAGGTGGTGCAGCTTGGAGGAATTGGTTTTGAACACGCGCTCCGCCTGCGGCGAATGGTTTTGATTGATCTGTAACTCTTCCTCCTCGTCACCAGCCGCTACCTGATCCACCGTGCACAACCTCCACCACGAAACCGCCAGCCAGAACAGCGTGAAGCCGGACAACACAGCCCGCTGAATATTGATAATTGGGTAGCGACGCATCTTCAAAATCTTCTTCGTACGGTCTTTATGGTTGTTATTTTTCTGAAGCCCCGAGAAGTACTTATGTTCTTACGGTGCGAGAACTAGATCAAAATCAACTCTACAAAGCCATGAGGTGCTTGCAGCCTCCACCAAAGTAGACAGTAAACGTAAAGGACGTAATCGCAACGACGAGTACAATAATTTAAACGGAAGAAAAAAACAAAAAACTTCGACCATTTCACGCGTGGTTCTTTATTTTGCGCAAGAAATTCTAGGATCATGCGCGTGCTTCTTTCGCAACACAAAAAGCGAGCTGAACTCGAAGACCGATGCAGATGAATTTGGATCTGCTCCACAAGAAGGAGAAGATGACCGCAAGGGATTCCATCATCCTTTCCTTTCGCAAGTCGAACTCCCTGCGGAATAAAAAAAAGGCAGTAGCAGTAGAATCAATTATACAAGAGCTGCCTAGTACTCGCGAGTAGTAAGTTGGCGTTTCATGAAAAAAAGCTTCATTCTAAATGTTTTTCTCATCAAGAATCCTCCGAATTATCATCGTCGAAGTCTTCGATATCATCAACCAAAAGTTTAGCGACCCCCACAGGCCGCGCCACCACCACCTCCGGTTCATCGACTGCGGTCGCGGTCGGGATCTCTAGGGCTGGTGGCTTGTTTGGCGCTGCGCCATAATTCTCACCGAAATTATTTGCCCCACCAGCACTGTTCATCTGGGGATCAAACCCGAACTCGTTCTCGTTTCGCAGTTTGCTCGCCAAGTGCGTGATCTGGTGCAACGCAACGTGGGGCAGCGCCGGCGCCTGTCCGCGGGTGTTCCGGAGAATCTGGTCGATGTAGCCGTAAATTTCGTAATCCCCGAAATTGATACAACTCGGCTGCTGCTGGTTCAGGTAGCTTGTGGTCCTGCTCCAATCTGGCTCTGACAGTGTAGCTGGTGCAAAAAATGCGGACGAAGCGGTTGTACTGGCGTTATTAGTATTGTTGTTGTACACTTCTCCTTTGTATATTCAGAGGAAAAATCCCCCCTCCCCATATCGAAAAGGCATGCTACCGAAAATTTGTCTTGCTGATTTGAGACCACAAATCACGTCTGTCTTGCAAGAAGACAAATGCAGAGGCTTCCCTGCCATTATGGGAGCGATTTGGCATGCAGTTGGGCCTAGGGGACAGCAGTTTGTAATGCTAAGCAACTAGACCAAATGTCCTTCCCTAGGCTGCGGATCTGGCTGCGATGCCGTATTGCAAGACAGCGCGCATTCGTGTACACAAATCCTGCATCACAGATTTCCCATTTGATATGGAGTGGGGGGTCTTTTCCCGTTGATATTGTACCAGTGCTTCTCTAAATTCGCCTTCTGCCTCTCCCGGTCCACATCGATGATTCGGGACCGGCGAAATTGAAAAAGCCCGTGCCCACTAGAATTATGATTCTGATAATTGTTGTTCCCGCCAGAAGCTGCAGACCTTGATGGTGTGTAATTCGGCTTCTGACAGAAGATGTTTGCGTCCAAGTAGCTTCTGCAGACCAACTCCAGGTCGTCGGTCGTTATTTGTCCGAAATTCGTCAAGTTCGCGTTCCCCGAAATCGCACACAGGCTGTCCAAGAAATCCGCGTAGGTGGAGATGGGAGTAAAAGTTGAAGCACAAGCATTCGCACTGCTTGGCGTTTCAAACATATTTCCCGGCGATGGCCGATGTTGATGTTGCTGCAGCTGCATTCCTCCTTCCAGTCCGGTAGCGCCTGTTGCTGCTTCTACGGATGAGTACACAGACTGCAAAGGAGTAGAATTTTCTGTAGAGGAGAAAAACGCCGGCGCATTGGTGAAAACGAAATCGACAAACATGCGTGGCTCCTGCACCTCCAGTAACTCCTCCAAGTCGTAGTAAACCTGGGGCCGGATGGACTTCACCAGTGTCAACGTCGCAGCTGGGGTGGTGGAGGACGTCGAAGATGAGTTTATACTCTGTAACAACGCGGGTGTTCGCAACGAAAATTCCTCGACTTTGATTTGCCGGCTGCCCTTCTCGGAAAATTCCTTCGGATTCTTGTAGTCTTTTGCGGTTTTGTTCGGCAGTGGCCGCGGGAGAGTTGTTATCTCGTTGTTGTCCTGCTCTTCGGTTCTTGATGTAGTGGTGCTTCTACTACCTGGAATTGTTGTCGGTTTGGCACCTGTAGTAGTTCTTATCATACTTCCGGCCTGAGTATTGCTGGTGTGACTGCCTACAGCAGCTGAGCTCTGCCCCGCACCCTCAGGTGGTAAAACCCGCTGCCGCTTAGCTGGTGGCCCAGCGGGCGGCGCGACAACATTCAGCATCTCCGGCTCGCTGTCCGACGAAGTGAGACAAATAATGTCGTCGTGTACTTTATTTGCGACGCCGGGAGAACCAGAATCCTGGTTCTTTTTAGCAAAGTTCACTCTCTTCATCACCGGTTTCAGCTTCGCCGTTGGAAGGTTCGTTTCGTTTGCCTTTGGCGAAGGTCTACTTCCCGCTCCTGGTTGAACTTCTGCTACTCCGGGTGCAGCTGGCCGTCTCTTCATCCCAGTTCCAGCAAAGCCGCGCGAACTTGGGCTGGAAGACGCGGAGGCGTAAGAAGTAGTAGACCTCTTGTGAGCACCATCTGGTACTTCTATCACAGGCTCGGCGTTTATCCGCACTACAGGTAGGGGTCCACCACCTTTGTTCACCTCGTTAATATTCCTTGTCGTACTAGAAGTTGACATTATACTACTACTCACGACAACATCTTCCGCACGGGTTGTAGGGTCGTGCGCGAGATCCGTAGAGGTCGTGCTGTAACCACCTAGTACGTGACGAGGATTCTTTATTTTACTTCCATCCCAATCTTGCCTCGATGAACGCGGGTCGTCCCCAACCTGTTGCGCGCCATGTTGATCCACCACAGAAACAATTTGTGGCCCCCGCGATGGTGCAACTTGTACCGCTTTAGCAGCGGCCGCAAGAAGTTGTGCCTTCCTCCTTTTCTCAACGTCTTCGAATTTTTGCCAAAAGTCCTTCGTTTCGCGCTCTTTCCATTCTACGAATTCCTGCACCAGAGTCTCCGGATCCGCTTTTGGTTCGCACCTCTTATTGTACAAAATCCGCCCCAAAGCGTGGAAAAAGTGCAGACTATCGAGCCGGCGAATCCGGTCCAGGCCGGCGGCTGTTTGGGCTTGTGCGTCTCCTTCTTCGGTTATTTTCAATACGGGCACAAATTCTGTTGCTCCTGCTGCGTAGGTGTTTTCTCTGTAGTTGTTGTCCCTCTGCGAGGACCGCTGTTGTGAAGGAGCTGCCCCCTGGCTGAACGCCATGCTGCTCGGGTTCGTTCTACCGCCAGAAGCAAACATATGCTCTTGATGCGCAACTTCTGGTGCACTAGCACCATTACCAAGATACCGCTTCTTCCCCCTGCCACCGCTTTTTGCGGCCGCAGATTTGGCTTTCGCTTTTGGCCTTCTGCCACCACCAGCACCTTTCGAGCCGGTTATATGAATTTGGCCACCATGGTCTGCGTCGTATTTTTTCACGGCGTAGAATTGCAGATTCACCACTGCTTGTCGCAAGTCCCCGCTTTGCTGCAGGGACTCCTTCAAACCGTGGGAAATTGCGGTATTTGTCAGATTCAGGACCCGGGTGATCGCCTTTCCCAGAATGGTCGGCGCCACGGCGTTGAATTTTATCAGCTGTGTAGCGGGGATATGCATTACAAATATGTCTGCCTCTAGAGACTTGTAATGCTGAGTTGCGTAGCATGAGGAGACCACAAGTGATGGCTTAGCATGACAAGTACAAGCTTCTGAGCTTCGACGTGTTGCCTATTCTGCATGACAAACTGCGTTTCTGCATCACAGAAAAACGGGGCTTTTGGGTAACGCGCATGACAGACTTGAGCGTTTTGCTAACCAAGCAAGACAAATCTCGCTCTCTTCCAGACCCAGACATATTTGCACTGGATATGGAAGACGCAGGCTGTTTTTTGTGTAGTTGTACTCGAACAGAACCCGTTCCTGCTTGGTTTGAAACATATCAAATGTAAAAATGTCTGGGTCTGGAAACTTGTGATGCTGGGTGGCGTCTCATGATGAGGCCAGAAATGCTGGCTCAGCATCACAAGTTTCTGAGCTTCTAGGTGTTGCCTATTCTGCATGACAAACTGCGTTTCTGCATCACAGAAAAATGGAGCTCTTGGGTAACTTGCATGACAGATTTAAGAGTCATGCCAGACAAGCATGACAAACATGCATTCTTCCAGACCCAGACATTTTTACATTTGATAGAACAGCCTGCGGAACAAAAAGTCCTCGTTGTCGTTCCCCAGCAGCTATGCATTGCAAAAGTAATCGCACTCATGCATTACAAATCTCCATTCCAAGGTAAAACAGCATGACAGATTCCATTTGTCATGCTGAGCTAGTTTGTGATGCAATTTTTGTATACGAGTTGTACGAGACTTTTGCAATACATAGCAGCGCCAGCCGGTACGTGCGGCGGAACCTCGGGCTGAGAGCCTCGATCAGGTTCTCCCGGAACCCCAACCCGTCGAATTCCATCAGGCCGAAGGGGAAATCTTTCAAACACAGTAGGTTCGCAGTGGAGTTCTTGTCGCCCATCCTCCGCTGTTCCCCCTCCTTGAGAAAGGAAAAAAAGGACGCGCCGATCTTTTCCGGGGGGGAGATCCACTGGCGAAAGTTCAACCCCAGCTCCTCGGCGAGCAGCTTCAGCGTGGTCGCCTTCCCGCTGCCCGGGGGACCGATCAAAAGGAGCACCTTCTGCCGGGAAGCGGCACTGGTGAGGAAGTCCCGGACCTCGTTGATTTTGTTCTTGTGGACCGCCAACTCGTCGGGGGAACTCGGGGCGTAGTCGAGGGTCCAGCAATTCTTGATGCTGGAGGAAGAAGAGGACATTGTGGGTCGTCTATTACTATTTTCATTCGCATGTACTTACGTCGTCGACAGGGAAAACTTACTGTATAGACTGGTTGACATCAGGAGCCGAAACGAAAGTTTCTCTTGCCAATATTTTGTAGTGTTTCAAGCTCCTTGTTCCGTAGCTCTTTCCTTACTAGAAAGATCGAAAATAGATCGTCGCATCTTCGGTATGATGATGGTGATCCAAACCAAGCCCTGACAAAAACATCAATGCGAATTCAACATGACATTTCGACAACGAAATTTGTGACAAACGACACGTGGCGGAGAGCTGCATAGACAATCAGACCTGACACCAAGCAACAAGAAGATAATTCGATCAGGTAAGTAGTAGATGATGTCGCTTAGTCCGTTTAGGGTACAATTTTTACACCAGAAAAGCTGCATGCTCTTTCCAATATATTAATCCAAACTAAGTATATCGAATAATCAGTCCATAACTTCTGCCAGTAAAGTACACGGTCAACACACGTCGCCGAAGAACTAGTGTACTATCACAGGCGCGTTTGCAACACTGGCACAGCCAAGAAGGTCCTCGAGAGGACCCTCTGGAGGTCGTTGTGCCCCTAGTCTTTCAATCTTGGTCGTACAACTACCTGAAGGAGCATTAACAAAGTCATTCGATTTGAAGTTCAATGGCAGGAAGCCTTCGCAGCCACTGCGTTTGTAGTTACAGCCCTTGTTTGCGCATCAATTGCTTCGAATCAATATCGGTTTAGATTGTTTTCACAGTGGAAAGTCGAGGAGGTTGAGTAAACAAGAAAGGTACTAAATCACTTCGCAGCTCAGGTAAACAAAAGCAAATTTGTCGTGAATAATCTTCTCACAGCGGATTCCGAAATCAAATGGTACTACTGTAGCATGGTTCTTAACTACACGTGACTATAATTCGCAGGAGCCACAGCTGTTTGCTTTCCATTTTTCCCCATTTACGTATTAAAATGAAAAATCCCCCCTCCCCATATCAAAACGGAAATTTGTGATGCTAAAACAACCGCACCGACATTGCCATTGTCCAGCATAGCTGAGGAGGCAAGCCTCCACAGGCTCCGGAACGGCATAGGGTCAGAACCGCGAAAACATCGCGAGTATTTCTTCATCCCCGGGCACTCTTATATTTGTGATGCTGATTTGTGGCCACAAATCAGCTCTGTATTGCAGGGAGGCACGGCGGCCAGATCCCCAGGCTAGGTGGGGGCGTATGGGTCTAGTTGCTCAGCATGGCAAACGGCTCCCCTTTAGGCCCAACAGAATGACAAATCGCTTCCATAATGGGGCGGAAGCTTCTGCCAATTCTTGCAAGACAGATGTGATTTGTGACCTCAAATCCGCAACACAAATTTTTGGAAACATACCTTTTCAATATGGGGAGGGGGGATTTTTCTTCACGATAGTCAGTCTCTTACACCTTGTAGAAGAGAAACGCGTGCTGGCCAATGTAAAATATAACCCGCTCAAGCGTTACAATCTCAAACGTTACAATAGAGTCTGGAATTTGTATTGCATGAAGAGCGAGAGGAACGCAGAGAGAATCGAGCTTTTCGCAATACAAATTTTGCCGGATTTCAGGTGGGTCGGGGACTCCGAAACTTGTCATGCACAACCCTATGGGAGTAGGCCAACTCATGCAGTTCTTGCATCACAGATTTCGACATTTTATTGTAACGTTTGAGATTGTAACGCTTGAGCCAGTCATATAAAAGTAGATGAATTTCTGCTTTTCGTGCACGCAGTAGCTCCCGAAACCCTTGCCGCAGACGATGATCCACCCGAGACCCCACTTCTCGTCGAAGTGCTCTTTCAGTGCGCTGCAGATCTCTGCTCCGTCCTTGTCTGGATTTTTCCTGACAAAGTTTTTTGTTTTTTTTTGCTTCTTCAGTGCATAGATAAGTAATCACAACACAATTGCTTTTATGATGGTCGTCGCATGACATGTTGCGCTCTGCAAAATCTGCAAAACGGAATCAACTTGTACCCCTCCAACTGTGCCATTGCTTGGTGAACTGCATCGTGCATGCAGTCGTCCGGCATATCCGATGGCCAGAGGATCCGTGCACCCGATTTATGCAGGAGGTTGCAAAAACCATTTCAATTTCTCATGTGATTTGCAGCTGATGTATCAGAATTTCCAACAGAAATGCAAATACGTTCAGGAAACAGGTATGCTTGCGGCTGACGTTGGGGTTGTCTTCGCATGCGCATGAGAAATGGCATTAAACATTTTTTGCAAATTTCGTAACAGAGTGTGCGGAACTCCTCCTTTACTGCGTCCTTTTCCTGGGCCATTTTGTAGTGCTATTTTCCTACTTGTCCTCCCTAGTTGTCGTCGACTAGGAATCTTCACGTACAACTTTTCTACCAGAAGTGTAGGTGTTGAGCAAATTGGTTTGCGATTAATCAAAGTCCTTGCTTGTCGACATTTTCCGCATATGAACAAGTGTACCAACATCATGAATACGTGCCCCAGATCAGGAATCAAACGCAAGAACTCCGAAGCAAAACAGCGTCAAGCCTGCTCCGCTCCCCGCCACTCCTGTTCATCTCAAGCCGTTCTCTCAAGAAGTTCATCGACACCCAAACTCTCCTTGTCTTAGTGCTCTTTCTCATTCCGAAGAGATAGAGAACAGACCATGACCAACCAAGAGCGACAATGGTACTACTAGTACCGTGGTGACGCGAGAGTGCCTATTTTCGCTTCTCTTCAACGGTGTTTCTTCTTGCTTCAACGCGAATCACATTAGAGCACAACTTCTGATTTCCATTCGATTTTCTTGGAAGTAATGTAGGTGTCGCCAAATCTATGAATCCGCATGCCGCTCTTGGGTTTAAGAGTCGAAATCGTTTCAACAGGCTGCTACCACTGCTACGATCTTCATCTTGTTCTTCCACAAATTTTTTCCTACGATGGGTAAAAAAGTCCTTGTAGTGCCTCTCTTCAAAGTTTATATTCTCGACTTGTTTGTAGTGCTTTGGCAGGAGTGTTGTTCCATCCATCTCCTGTGTAAAAATCTCAAGTATCTCCCGTCACTTCGTAAACGCTCCCATCTGGTTGTAAAGTTGCTGTAACACCAAATTTTGCTGCTGCAGCACATTTTGATAGAGGGCCTGCTGCACCTGCTGTGCACTTTGCTGCGTAGAAGAAGTTGTCGTGGCACTGTTCTGGTTCTTCCCGCCTGCGCCTCCTGCCGCCATCGGCGGTGGAGGCCCCCAGGAAGAAGAATTATTGTTGCTTCTGCCTAAGCCCTTGTTCGGATTGCCAAGCGGAATGTCATTCGAGCCCGTCGCGGAGTCGTGCACGCGACCCTTTGCAGAAGTCGTTGTTCCCTTTTTGTTTTTACCAGAAGTGGTGGCACTATTACCGAACAAACCGCCGTTTCCTTTGGATGAGTTGTTATTTTTAGTTCCTGTGCTGCTCTTGCCACCACCGGCACCACCGAATTTGCCTCCACCGCCCCCAAGCGGTATGTCGTTGGAGCCCGTTGCCGACTGGTGGACGTTGCCTTTGCCTTTACTCGACGACTATCCTGTGTAAAAACATCCCCACCCCAGAGTTGTCATGCTAAACAAAATGCGACACACTTTGCCCCCCCAGAGTTGTCATGCAGATCTGCAAGCACAAGAGCATTTGTAATGCGCATCCCCATGATAGGCATTTCCGACCGTGTTTTGGAACTTGTAATGCTGTAAACAGGATAAGCAACTGGATTTGTAATGCGACTTCCGTTGCTATACTGCACTACTACACTACAGCCCGCAATTTGTCATGCGTGACTCCCAAAACTTCAAGGTTTGTGTTGCAAAATCCCCATCTTGACTCTGGGGTGGGGACGTTTTTCCTTCGGATAACGACGTCCCTTTGTTCATCTTTCCACCCGCAAAGGTGGAATTGTTCCCTTTGTCATTTCCCTTTTTCACACCGCCGCCTTTGCTGTCTTTCCCGCCATTTTTAGTATTTTTGCTACTCTTATTTCCTCCGCCACCAACCACCATGGAACTTGTCCCATACGGACCGGACCGAGCATTTTTACCTGCTGGTGCACTGCCTTTACTATTCTTCGCCCCCTTCCCACCGAAGGAAGCCCCGGAACTTCCTCCTTTGAAGTTGGAAGACTTGTTATGGAAGCGTCAGGATTGAAATCGTCAAAGTTGAAATAATTTGTGATGCATAAAATGCAACCCACAAAGCGCCTGTCTTGCAGAGTAGGCAAGGGAGGCATATTGCAAGCCTGTTGAGGGGTAGAAATGGAGCTGCTAAAGTAGCATGACAAAAGGCGTCTTCCTTACCCAAACAGCATCACAAACTGGATTTAGGCACCACCAAAACTTGTCATGCGCCAATTGCTAACTGGGCTCCAACTGGCATCCATTTTATGCATGACAAACTATTTCAACTCTGACGGTTTCAAACCTGACACATCCATACTTGTTGTTATTTCCGTAGAACCCACCTCCGCTTGATGAACTGTTGTTATTCATCCAGCCGCCACCCCCGCCCCCGTATCGAAAGAAAAAAGTTCGTCACGATCACTCATGCGCATTTTTGCAATACAAAATTTTCTGTCATGCGTAACAATGCATCACAGCCAAACTTTACAAGGGATTTCCCTAGTGTTTCTGCAATACAAGGAAAAGCTGTGATGCTAAATGAATTTGTAATGCAAAGCCTGCAAGTTAGTGACTGTGACAAACTTTTTTCTCTCCATACCCCGTCTTTCGGCGCGAGTATGTGCCGCACGTTGTCCAGGTTCCCTTCCAATCTGCGAAACTTGTCTTTGAAAACTTTGATGTTTTCCGTCACGACAGTGTCCTTCGAATTCACTCCGTCCGAGATCTGGTTGCACTGCTTTTCCATGTACGCACGGATCTTCGGGTCCACCAACTCCGGCACGGACCTCTGCACAATGTCCAGCACCGCCAGGCCCAAACCGGTAGGGACGAGGTGGCGAGACTTCGGCCACTCTCCAGACTTCAGTTTGCCTTTGTTCATGCCCTTGGTCTGATGATCATGATTTGCGAGAATTTGTCATGCGAAGCAGCTTGATGGCCTGGCGGCTCATAGTCAATTTGCATGACAAATCAAGTATTAAAAATTGTCGGTCTCTTTTCAACTGCTTTTTCATGTCCCACAACGACACGCTGGCGCTAGGTGCAACTACTGCAACTGCAAGAGATAATGTGATAGATAATTGTATGAAGTAAGTACTTCACTCAAAGCATTAGATAACTGCACCGAATCAACGAGAAGATCATGAAACAACCTGAAAAATAAAGTACCATGACTCTCGGCCCCGCTTCCTTGCTCCCTTTTTCACCCGGGCCGCAAACGCTGACGTAGTTCCGCACACATATGTTTTCGATATGCCCTGCCATACTTGCGTCGGTCCCAATCCCGTTCTTATCCATCAAGCCGACCAACTCCGATTCTGACAGAAACTGCGGGGGCTCGGTGAAGGTTTCCGTGCTGGTTAGCCGGAGGTTCGAGAATCGGGTGTTTTTCGCCAAGTAGTGGCTTTTCAGCAGCTGGCAGTTGTTGTTCGTCAGTGTGTGGTTGCTGAGCACTTTCAAAAACTTCCCCTTGTGCTCGCACAGGTGGAGGAAGGAATTCTGCCACGCGGGAGAGCTGGAGTTGCTATTGCCGTTGGATGAATAATTGTTGTACGACGACGAGCCACCTCCTGGTGCTCCACGATTGTTGTAGGAAGATGCGCCCCGATTCGTAGTTGATGTGTAGTGGTCCCGAGCCCGACCTCCAGTTGGGACCAAATAGTGAAAGACCGCTTCGAAAGTATTCTCGCTGTCCGTGCTGGTGTTTTTACCGCTGTTGTTATTTGATCCATACCGACCGCCTCCGCCCGCTTCATCCAACCTTGCCTTAGCGGTAAATTCCACGTACTCGATGTCGTTAAACAGCGACGCGATGTATCCTGTGCAAAAGTATCGTACTCGTATCAATGCAAGGCTTGCATTACAAATCTTTTTCTTAACGTAAATCCGCATGACAAATTTCATCTCTCATGCTGAGGAAATTTGTAATGCATTTATACGAGTACGATACTTTTGCAGTTCATACGATAAAATGCTTGGCCACTAGCTCGAACATTTTCCACGCCTTCGGCTTCAAGTTCTCACCCCGGCCCGGTATCCGCATCGGCGTGATGGTATGAACTGCAAAAGTACCGTACTAGTATAGGTTGCAATACAAAGTTGATCATCATTACAAATTGAATTTGTAATGCGGGTTTGCCTAAAGACAAAGATTTGCAATGCATCAAGAGTTGCATTTATACGAGTACGATACTTTTGCACAGGATAGATGGGCGGGTGGTCCCCCCGGTCAAACCCGTCCTGCGGGGGGCGAATTATCGTATTTAAACACGTCCCCACCCCATAGTTGTGATGCAAATCTGCATGCTGAAAATGTTTCTCATGCGGAGCCCCATGAGGGGCATCTTTTAGTCGTGTTTTGAAATTTGTCATGCTCCAATCAGCATGATATACTGGATCTATAATGCTGCTGAGCTACCTCAAACAAGCACTACACTACGAGTTCAAATTTGTCATGCAAAACAGCCAAAGCTTGTGGATTTGTCTAGCCGATTTCCCATCTTGACTATGGTGTGGGGACGTTTTTACACAGGATACGAATGCGCGCGTTGCTTCCACTCTGCTGGTTCAGCAAGGCTTGCACGGAATGCCGCAGCTTGTTGTCGTGCTGGAACATCTATCCTGTGCAAAAGTATCGTACTCGTAGTAATTACTGCAATCATGCATTACAAATCTGGTTCCCAAGGCAAATCAGCATGGCAAATTCCATTTGTCATGCTGAGCGAATTTGTATTGCAATTACTACTAGTAGGCTACTTTTGCAGTGCATAACATCCGGGCTATCTCGTCCACGTTGTAGCTGCTCGCGTACTATCAAATGTAAAAATGTCTGGGTCTGGAAGAGTCCATGTTTGTCATGCGTGTCTGGCATGACTCTCAAATCTGTCATGCACTCTTCCCAAGAGCGCCATATTTCTGTCATGCAGAAACGCAGCTTGTCATGCAGAATAGGCAACACCTAGATAGAAGCTCAGAAGCTTGTCATGCTGAGCCAGCACTTGCGGCCTCCTCGTAATACGCCACCCAGCATCACAAGTTTCCAGACCCAGACATTTTTGCATTTGATACGTACTTCGTGGATTCTGTCCGGGGGTAGGATATCAGTCCAGCGGAATACAGTTCTTCCGCCGTTCGCATGGCGGACGCGGGGGAGAACCCGAGGAAGGAGGCTTGCTTCAGCAATTCGACCGTATTCAACCCCGCTGGTTTCCGGATCTTCTTCGTTTCGTAGTCCAGGGAAAGGAGGGTCGCGGTTGTGCTGTTGTTCCGGCTGTTATTCTGCAGATAGGTCGCACTGGTCTTCGCTTTCGACTTGCACTTGAACTCGATCGCTTTGTCCGTTATACTTTGCTGGTAAGAAGAACTACCGCTGCTGTTGTTGTATCGAGAAGAATTACCTGCTCCGCCCCGGTGACCACTGTGATGGCCGGCGCTTGAAGTAGAAGACCCTCCGCCGCCCAGCTGTGGGGTAAACGTCCGCTCCTGCCACTTTTCCGGGACGAACCGCTGGATTTCCTTGTGCCGCTCGATACAGAACCACAGCGTTGGGGTTTGGCAGGGTCCGTAGCTCAGGCAAGTGTTGTCGATCCAGGAGAACTTCTGTTTCGCGTGGTTTAGAAAGTTCCAGGTGAGAAGCTTGGTGTGTCCTGAGGAAAAAAGGGGCCCACGACACCCCAGAGCTGTCACGCAACTGAAGATTTTTGCAACTACAAAAAAATTTGTACTCACATGCGCATTCCCATGGATGAGAGACCTTCTTACTCGTGTTGTAAGTCAACTTTAGAATGCGGTAAACAGGATGAGGAGCCGGCTTTGTACGTAATTCGGACGTGCTTCTGCTTGCTGACCTGCACTACAATACAGCGCGAAACTTGTCATGCGTGACTCCCAAACCTTCTGGATTTGTGTTGCAGACTTCCCAACTTGATGACTATGGGGAGGTCTGTGGGCCCCGTTTTTCCTCAGGTTATCGTGAACGCTATCCCCACTCGGAAATCCAACAGCTGCCGTGCGTCCACGGACATGGACAGAAACTTGTTCGGGCGCTTCAGGTTCGCCATCGCCTGCTGCAGCTCCGGTTTGGTTAGGGCCGAAAAGTGTGCGCGGTAGATGTGCTCGTCCGTCGCCTCAAACCGCGGATTAATCTCACTTCCAGGACCCTGCTGACCCGGGGTGGCGCTGCTTCGCAACAAGGAAATCACTTCGAAACAAATGTTTTCTCCCTCCTTATCGCAATCCAACCACAAAACCAAGTAGTCGGCCTCCCTCCCCAAATCGCGCAGGTGCTCCGGGATGCGGCACTTCGTCGCGGACGGCTCTAGCTCCTTCACGGTGGTTGTGTCAAAGCAATCGTACGGATTCCTGGGTGATCAAATGCAAACATGTCTGGGTCTGGAAGGTTGCAACTTGTGATGCTGCCGTTGGATTCTACACCGAATCTCTATTGCGTGACCAGCAAAAGAAACCCATTTTTTGCTACACGGAAGAGCGAGCATCTCTCATGCAGTCCAGGCATCACAAAGCCCTCAACAAATCTGTGATGCTAGGGCATGCATCACAGACGTTATGGGTCATGCAAAATATGCATGACAAGCGCTGCTTTTTTCCAGACCCAGACATATTTGCGGTTCATATAGGTTTGTTCTGAAATCCCAGCGTGAAACAGTGTCCGATGGTGGACGTGATCAGAAACTTGAACTATCAAGAAGAAAAATCCCACCTCCCCATATCAAAACGTCAATCTGTGATGCGGGATTTGTGTACACAAATCACATTTGTCTTGCAGGAAAGCACTGCACGCAGATCGCCAGGCTTCGGGGGGCTTTTGGTGTAGGGGCCTAGTCGATGGCAGAACTCTGCCCTATAGGCCTTGCAGCATTACAAACCGCCTGCATATCGCGGCGGACTCTCTGGATTTGCCTTCTGGCAAGACAGACAGGATTTGTGGTCACAAATCTGCATCACAAATTTTCGGAAGGACATCTTCTCAATATGGGGAGGGGGGATTTTTGCTTTTGATATGCACTGCTTGTTTGCCTCTTTGAAAAAACCGTTGAACTTATCCCACAGAAAAAAGCAGGCAGGTCATATTTGTAATGCAAAAATAAATACACAAAAAAATACGCATTGCATATCCTAAACAGCATGCTATGGGGCTGCCCATGACAGAGCTTTTTGTGTATCAATTTTTGCAATACAAATATGCCGTGCCTGCTTTTTTCTGTAGGATAGAACTCAAAAGTCGGCACGCCCTTCGACAGCGTGCCGCGCTTCTGCCACGGGCCGTTGGCGGACGGGCGGTAGCTCGGGTTTAAGTGCTCCGCAAGAATCTATTGGTAAATTAGAGTACTACGCATGGGTAGAAACCGATTCGTAGTTGTTTCTAAAAATAGAACTACTTGATGCAGATGCAAGTATCGTATTTCTCAACACAAAGAACGAAAGGACCAGGAGATGAAAATGTACGTAAAATACTGATGTGCGCCGTCAAGTTGTCAAAAGCATTCTCAGGAGCAAGGTATACGCAAGTATACCTTTGCGATCGAGGGTTTTTCTGCGACCATGAGCACGGTTGGTTTCTTGTTCGGGTCCAAGCTCCGGACCGCTTGTGCCTTTTCCTCCTTCTCCTTCTTTTCTTCGTGCCACCGACTCAAATAGAAGTAGTGCGCGAGGTAGTTCCCCCTACGGTAAAGCTGTTCCGCCGCTCGCGCATCGTAGTTAACGTGCATGGCGCAGTCGCTACTAATCAGCGTGTCCTGCTCGAGCGTGGCGTCGAACTTCGGCGGGTCTTTCGTATTACAATGAAAAACGCCCCCACCCCCGAACTTGGGAGCATTTGCATTGCAAACCTTTCCAAATGAAACATTCGCCCTCTTGCATCTATCAGCATCACAGGTTTCCAATCGTTAATAGCAAAAATTTCTATTGCAAAAGACCCCAGCAAGAGCGGCCCTTTTCATCATGCAAGCGATGCGATACACGCCTACACTCTGCATCAGAAAGATTCCTACTCCTTTCTTGCATGACGAAAAGTTTTCATGGGGGAACTTCGCATCACAAATTTTTGAAATTTCAGGGGTGGGGGGCACTTTTCACTGCAATATTTCGCGTTGTGGCTTTCGTCGGTGGAGAACGTGTCCAGTAATTCCCCCATCAGGGTAAACCCCTCGAAAATCTTGCCCAGGGATTTCCCCTTCGCGCCCGTCGCTGGGTTGTATTCGACACACTTATCTAGCATGTCCGGCGTGGCAAAGTGCGGCCCGCAGAAGAAGTTCTGCAGCACTTGGGGAAAGGTTCTGCTCACCGGGTGGTTCTGGAGCTTTTCCCAGACGTCCTGCCCATTTCTGATCCGCCGATGGTTACTGTAGTTGTGGCTCTCAAAGTTTCCGTTACTCGCCCGGTAGTTGTGGAAAATCTTCGGCTTGATGTTGCTGTTGGTGACCACTTTGTTCAAGGATGAAGACCCCGCGTGGCTCCTTTCAACTACAGGCGCCGCACTGCTCAGAGGCCGGAGAGAGAACGAGGACCCTCGCGCAGCACCAGCACCTACCGACGCTGCTGCATTATCTCCATGTGTCGCCTTGTTCGCAAAAGTGGAAGCTGCTCCTGGGACGATTAGGGGAGCTATCGCTTTTGCAACGGGTGGTCGAAGACCAAGCTCGGCGCTTCCGGAGGTCGCTGCTCGTTGAGAGATAATTCTACTTGTACTTCCAGTCGGCGCGGCGGGAGGGTGATGCTCTTGTTCAACAAATGCAGCACGATCATCGTGTTGCTCCTGGCCTTCTTGCGCTGCTACATCTTCATCCTCGTAATTCTCGATCTCGTCGTAATTTTCCTCCTCGTCGTTCATCATGTACCGGTCTTCACCCAGGAAGTTCTGCCTGTTATATTCGTCATCTGAGTCCTCGTCTTGCTCCTGCCCGGGGTCGTCCCCGCCGACGTAATTCTCGCCGTCTTGCTGTTGATCCGCGTCCTCCTCCTCGTCTTCCGGCCCAACCCCAACGTCAAAAGGGTCATCCGGCATGTCGCGTACTTGATTCTCCTCGTAGTTCATTTCATCCTCGTTGTACTTTCCGTTGTCGTAATTGCCCTCTGGGTCGTGGTCATTCCAATCCGCACCATCGGCATCACCATGCCCCTCGTAATTGTCGTCTACCTCTGCAGTAGCATTCGATGCTGGTGCAGGTGCACCAGCGCCCTTTGTTCCAAGATGATTTTTACCGATGTCTTCACCACCTCTTGTCGTCGTGGCCCTCGCCTCGGCTGCGTTAGTACGTGGTGCTATCGCAGGCCGTGAAGGGCCACTGCTGCTACTGCTCGCCATCTGTGACGACGTTGTCTGCTGCTGCGCGGTCAGCAAGGGACTCGCGCCGGAGGCCTTCGAAAAAGCGCCCGCTTTAGAAAACACGCCAGCGCCAGCTTTGGGAAGAGATGATGTACTACAACTTCCGGTAGTAGTGGTTGGCACACCTCCTGCCGTTGGTCCTCGCGGAGGTAAAGGTCTCAAGCCACTCGGCTTCAAATCGGCGGGCGAGGATCTTGATGGTCCTGTTCCTGGAGAGGAATTGGCAGCATGATTCTGTTGACCATCAAGCTCCGACATCTTTTTCCCAAAAGACCCAAGCGCTGTAACCGCCGCTGGTGGTGGTGCACCACCAGCCGATTTGCTGTTGGTTTCACGACCTCCTTGGATCTCCGACAATTTTTTCCCACCTGAAAGTGGCTTGAGGACCACCGAATTTGTACTAGTAGCCGCACCAGGTCGTGTAGTTTGTTGAAACGCCGAAGGAATGCTCCCAGCACCTCCGTTTAGTTTCGCCACGGGAATGATGGGCGCCGGCGGGGGGCTATCCAAGACAAAAAGATTGTAGGTGTAACTTTTTTGGAGGAACAGCATGACAAATCTGTCTGGCATGAGAGCAAAAACCTGTCATGCGCAGATGGTACGTGAAAACGAGCTTGAGTGGACCTTTTAATGCATGCCCAGCATGACAGCCGCAAGCACTTTGCATGTGGCGCATCACAAAGTTTAGACTAGCAATGTTTTTTTCTTCGATAGGGGCCCTCGGCCCAGGAATCCTTCGCCGCATCGCTGGACGAGGAATGCGACTTTATTTTCGAAACTCCGCTCTTCTGTTGTATCAAATGCAAATATGTCTGGGTCTGGAAGAGTCGGGGTTTGTCATGCACACTTTGCATGACCCATGAGGTCAGTGATGCAGGTCCTAGCATCACAGATTTTTTGAGAGCTTCTTGATGCTTGTCACGCATGAGAAATGCCCTCACCGCGTGCCAAGAACTGAACGGTATTCTTGCTGCTCATGCAACACAGATATTTTTAGAATCCGCAGACAGCATTACAAGTTCCGGTCTCAGACATTTTTGCAGTGAATATGTTGCTCGAGTTGCTGAAGCCTCTGTGCCGAGGGCGGTAAGGGCGTCAGCCGCGGCCGCTTCGCGTCGGGCTCGTAGGAACAGTTCGTGTAGTTGTTGTTTCCTCCATTAGACGCCTGCGGCGGCGAGGGACGCCGAAACTGGTCGAGCCGCTTCATTGTTGAGCAATAAATTGTAGTTGTCGCTGAGAGGATACAAGAAGGCAGTAGAAGAGGACTGGCAGTAGAGGTTATAGGAGTAATAGAATGGCCGGCGGACCCGGACGTACAAAAAACCAAAGTAAAAAGCCTACAGCCGGGAATAAATGCAGCTGTGATAGAAAATCTTAATGGGCACCACAATTGCTCTCACTATTGTACAGAATAGATCACTTCACTTCACTTCACTTTCTAAGGCCTCTGTGGGACTATCCAAGACCCGGTCTATTGCTAAATTTTTATCAAACGCATTCTGGTTGACTAAAACTTGACTGCCAACCTTGTTTCAAGATGGCACTGGACCTGGAGGCACAGGCACATTCTGACACAATAAAGATAAACTTTCCATCTTTACAAGCATTTCGTGCTGCCTACGCAAGCGTAGCGCCACGATTGAAAAAACTGAAAAATTGATCAAATCCGGGAAAATTGCGTGGATCGGAACTCCATTGCTGGAAGACAAGGCACAGCACAACGAGTGAAAAAACAGCGCGAAAAGAAGCCACAAAACAGCAAGAAGATCGTGCTACCAGTTACTTACCCACGTCGGGGGAGTAGAACACAGGTTTCTCGGGCGCTGAAGTAGCGACTTGAAATCGACTGAAATTCACTTGCGATGTGTCGCTAGGCAGATGCAATATTCAAACTTCTTGCGTCTACTTGATGTCTATCGGAAGATTATGAGAAGTGCGCTGCCGGAAGAACTACATGTGTGAGCGACGACATATCCCATGAACAATAACGATCTATACACCACAAGCACCAGACCTGTACTTGCGGTCACGGCACGAGCAGAAAATCTGCGCCGAAGAGCTTCGCTATGCAAGAGAAGAACTGTGTTAGTGTAACTTTCGTTGGCTGACAGCATCACAAATTTCCTCTACATGACAGAGAAAATCTGTCATGCGTGGCTTGCAAGGGAAAACACACATGAAAAGAGGACTCCATGGTTGTTTCGCATGACAGGTGTAACTCGTGCTGCATGTTCCGCATTTTTGCAGAGTTACACTTACACAGTTTTTTTCTTGCATATCCGCGGCGCAGCGGTCGTTATTGGCTTGGGAGGAAAACCCGTGAACCATGTTCGCGACCTCGTTCAGCCTGTTTAGCAATGACTCGAAGAATTCCGTGAACTCCGCGTATTTGCTATCGTAAGGAAAAATCCCTCCTCCTCATATCGAAAAGGCGCGCTTTTCAAAATTTGCGATGCTGATTTGTGGCCACAGATCGAGTCGGTCTTGCAACCGAGCAAAGCCAGAGCTTCCGTCGCATTTCGCAGGCGATTTGTAATGCTGCTGCGCTAATGGGGCAGACATCTGCCATGCTAAGTAACTACCTAAGCCACCCCTTTCCGGGCTTTGTATCTGCCTGCAGTGCTGTACTGCAAGACAAATCTGATTTGTGTACGCAAATACAGCATCACAGACTTCCCTTTCGATATGGGGAGGGGGGATTTTTCCTTTTGATATTTGTCAAAGTCTTCCAACGGATCGGGCTCTGCGACGAAGTAGTAGGGCCCTTTAGATTTCGGGAAATCTACCCCGTTTATCATAAGGAAAAATCCCCCCTCCCCCTATCGAAACGGCACGCCTCGGAAAATTTGTAATGCGGATTTGTGACTACAAATCGCGTCTGTCTTGCAAGAAGGCAACTCCACAGGTTCCACCGCATTATGCCGGCGGTCTGTGATGCTGGTGAGCCTAGAGCATAGACGTTTCTCATGCTAAACGCCTACGCCAACCCTTCTACTCAGGCGCGACATGGGCTCGCAGTCCTTCACTGCAAGACACAGCTGATTTGTGTACGCAAATCCAGCACCAGAAACTTCGTTTCGATATGAGGAAGGGGGATTTGATTTTTTCTTCTGATACCATTTGAGTGGATGCTCTCCTCCTCCACCCGCCGATATCCTAAGCCGAACAAAACTTTTCTCGCCGGCAGACAGTTGCCAAAGTCGTTCTGGAAGTCTTTGTTGTCCAAGCGTAGCACGTTCGGGTGCTCCTCGGGCCTCTTCGCCAGTGCTTCCGTCAACTTCCGCAGCGCCGGTAGGCGGTCTTGCTTGAAGCTCTGCAGACTGTTGGACCGCAACAGTTCCGAAAAACTCTCGTTCAGCAGCTGGCGGCTGCTGGTCCCCTTGGACCGCTGCTTGTCCGCATCCGCGAGCAAAACCCAATTTTGCTCTCGCTCCATCATCTGCGCTTTGTCGTACAGCGCGGCTTCTTCGGCGAGCCGGAGGAGTTCGTTCGCCTTGTCCCGCTTTTCCTTCTCCTCCGCCAGTTCCTTCTCTCGTTTATCCCACAGAAAAAAGCAGGCAGGTCATCTTTGTAATGCGAAAATGAATACACGAAAAATCTGTATTGCGAAGCCTAAACAGCATGCTATGGCGCCGCCCATGACAGTGCTTACTGCGTATTTATTTTTGCATTGCAAATATGTCCTGCCTGCTTTTTTCTGTGGAATATCGTCTCTGCAGTTCCAACGCCTGCTGCCGTTCCGTGGCCGTCTGGATTTCCGCGCGCGCCCGTTTGTTTTCCTCCTCCTCGGCCAATTTTTGCCGTTTCTGCCTCTGCTGCTCCCGCTCCCTCTGCTTGGCGACTTCCGGATCTTGTTCGGACTCGAGGATGTACGTCCGCAGCTCTTGCCGCAACAGGTGCAGAGCTTTTTCTGCTTGTTCTTCATCCCCATTTACTATTCGTGTACTGCTCGCCCCGGCGCCGGCGATTTTGATGTTGCCCTCGCTAGAAGTACTGTGGTCCCGCCCGACCTCCATAGGCATTATATCTCCACCGTCTCTGATCTCCTCCACGCACAGCAGCGTCTCGATTTTCCCTTTTAATATTTCCCAATCCGCGCACAGTGCGAGCACCTTCTCGCTCATCGCGGTGCCGTAGGTGGCGTGGGAAAGGAGCCGCTCGTACGTCTGGTAGTCTGCATCGGTGATATTAGAACTTGTCGCCTTTTTAGTACCCGTTGTGTTGTTCTGCTGCGACTCGCTTCTTGTAGCTTCCCGCACCTCCTCCGGCTCATGTTGATCAGTGGGCGCAGGATGGTTTTTCGCCCTCTGCTGTTCTTCTTTGTCCTGTTGCTGCTTCTCGAAGGCCTCTTCAAACTTGCTTTCCTTCTCGAAACCGTACTTCGACAGCAGTCTATCTACGTATCCCCAGCAAAAACGTTACCACCCCCGAGTTGTCATGCAAATGCCGAATGACAGGAACATATGTAATGCGCCTCTGCATGACAGGCATTTCCAATCGTGTTTTGGCATTTGTAATGCTGTAAATAGGATGAGAAAGTGGCTGTCTCATGCGGCTGCGCTTGCTAACCAGAACTACACTGCAGATGGAAACGTGTCATGCACAACTCCCTTAACTTTGAGATGTGTGTTGCAGATTTACTAACTTGACTATGGGGTGGGGATATTTTTGCACGGGATACTACGTCCTGCCGTGCGTGGGCCTTTTCCCGCATTGCGCGGAAGTCCGTTTCGTGAAAAAGCTATCAAATGCAAAGATGTCTGGGTCTGGAAACTTGTGATGCAAGACAGTCAATAACAAATGCACTGTAATGCGCCGCCAAGCATGACAGTTTTTTCGTGCTTCTGTGCTGCGTCTTCCGGATGAGAAACTGTGTTTTTGCATGACAGGCGAGAGAGGCTGTTTGTGGCCACGCAATACAGATTTAAGGGCCATGCCAGATCAGCATGACAAGTTTCGCAATCTTCCAGACCCAGACATTTTTGCAATTCATAAAAGCAACCGCAGTTGCTGCTTCTGCTCCTCTATTGCTTGGAGCGTCAGGTCTCGCTGCTGCCATGCGTCCACCGCGGACCGGGCCTTTTTATAAATGGAGGAGGAGGCCATTGCTGTAGTGGATATCTAATACCGTGGGAAGAAGTACTTTATACTGAAGACAAAAATTATGGCGCTACAAGCAACTACAACACTTGTGGTTTTGCGATAAGATGAAAAGTTGTAGAGTACATGAACAAACACGAATAGACTGCCTGTTTATGAAAAGAAAATGGACCATGCCGAGGAACAACGTGAAAACAGAACTCCATGACCTGACAGTAAAACCTTCTGGGAGCGCAACTTTCGAATCCTCGTGATCGACACTCATTTGATCATAATTCCCGTGTCATCCTGCATAGCAGATGATAGAGTGTGAGGTCCGTAGAGGCTCAAGTGCCGGAACCGTCGTCCAGAGATCCTGAAGTTTAGACAGATGACCATCCAGCGGTCGGGAAATACACGCTCTAAATCCAACAACGATATTCTGATAGGAATCCGTGTCTAAGAACTTCGCGGCCACGAACACTTTTTTCGCAAAAATCTTTGCGAAAAATTCAATCCCGTCGAAGGTCAGCTTACAACCTCGCTTTTTCCTTCAATCTATAGCTGTTTTTTCGTCGTGCTTGTCGTTTTTTACTCGCTCGTGCGTACTTCTGCGTAGAAACTGTGCGTCACGTCTCTGTGGATGCAAAGGTTTCTGTTGATGATGCTGTGTTGGGGTAGGTAGTTTTTACAGCATCAAAATACTTCGCGCAGAGGAAGGAAAGCATCCCCTGTCGTGTGGCTAGATTTTTGCCCCGTAAAGTTGCAAGAACTTCCAAGCTTCATGTATATTTTCGTCGTCTCAAAACGAAAATAATCCTATCGCGCAGCTAGTTGATGTTTCATTTCATTTCATGATTTCCTGGAAATACGTCCTGTAGTCGCTAGATTTGTTTGCTTTTTAAATTAAGTTGTTGACATTATGAAGATGGCTGGGTAGTTCTTGTAGCAAATATTTCCTGTACAGCACGTCCTCTGCGGCACGTATCAAGTGGTGGCGTTTGCACGGCATTTTTGACGAAGACTATGGTAGGTAGTACTTTGCGTTACTCGTAGTCTAGTATATTCCTCTTTCATCTCACGCAGCTGCAAATTCCACCGAGAACGAAGAAGATCCCGGTCCTCTCGGCCCGACCTTCTTACCGTTGTCACACGACGCACGACCCAGCCAAGAACCAATTAGAAAAACAGCTGGTGCGCAAGAACCAACAACTCCTGACTCGCATATTACTTCTTCCTTTAGCAGCACCCGCAGGTTTTCGGCTTGATTTCGCCGCAGCTCTTGATGATGATCGATTCGACCGTATCCTGTGTAAAAATGTCCCCACCCCATAGTTAAGTTGGGATCTCTGCAACACAGATCCAGGAGTTTTGGACGCCACGCATGACAAGTTGCAACCCTTCGTGTAGTGCAGGTTAGCAAGGACAGCCGCATTACAAATCGAGATACGTATCCTGTTTACAGCATTACGAATTCCAAAACACGACTGGAAATGCCCATCATCGGGATACGCATCACAAGTGTTCTTGTCGTTGCAAATCTGCATGACAACTCGGGGGTGGGGATGTTTTTACATAGGATAGACCGGCTTGTCACCCGCCGCTGTTTCGGCCTGCTCCACCAGCTCCAAAACGTCAAACCCATCGACCACTTCGCCGAACTATCAAATGTAAAAATGTCTGGGTCTGGAAGATGGTAAATCTGAAGCATACAAAAATCTGTGTTGCAAGAGTGCCAAAAGCTGTCCACTTTCGACCAAGTTTGGAGGGAGTTTCTCATGCAGGATAGGCATGGCAGAGACCTCGCAGAGTCTGTCATGCTAAGTCCCGCATTCCAGGCCTCATGGGCCATGGAGAATCTGCATGACAAGTTTACACTCTCCCAGACCCAGACACTTTTGCACTTGATACAAACACGCAGTGCCGGCCGTCCAGGTGCGGGGTGTCCTTGAAAGTGACGAAAAACTGCGACCCGTTGGTGTTCGGCCCCGCGTTGGCCATGGACAGCATACCGCGCTTCACGTGCTGGTCGATCGTTAAATTTTCGTCGTTGAACTTTTCTCCGTAAATCGACTCGCCCCCGGTGCCTGTTGTAGAAGTTCACGGTCGTTGTAATGTAAAAATTCTTTCCACATTGGAATTCTACCGGCATGATGTTGAGGAGGCTGCAAAAGCAAAACATAGACGTAGACCTCCGCAGTGAAACTAAAATCATCAAATATTCCAATACCGTCCCCCCGTGTGAAATCTCCTCCCTGCATCATGAATCCCGGAATCACCCGGTGGAATGCGCACCCCTCGTAGGTCAGCTTCTGCCCGTTGTATCAGAAGGAAAAATCCCACCTCCCAAGGAGGTTTCTGATGCTGGATTTGCGTACACAAATCAGGTTTGTCTTGCAGAAAGTGCTCTGCGGCATTTTCTGAGCCGTTTTGGGTATGCAGAAGGCTAGCTCAATTGCGCATGGCAAACAGGTTTGCAGTAGTCGAAAGCGCATGACAGACTGGCTGCCAAATGCACCACATGGCTTCCGTTGCCCTATAAGCAGGACAAAGACGATTTGTGACCACAAATCAGCATCAGAAATATCCATTTTGATATGGGGAGGGGGCGTTTTTCACTGTAATACGTTGGTCGCCGTCTTTTCTGACTCGCCCGTGCACAGTTGCCGAAAGTTTTCCGCGGTTTTTATGCAAAGAAAAAAGTGTTACAGTTACACATTGTGTTGCAGGCCAAGCAAGACAGACAAGCTCTGTCATGCACAAAATGCTTTTAAGCCTCATTTGGTACGTGTTTTCCCTTATGATCTCTGCATTGCAAGTCTTTCCTCCCATGCAGAGAAAATCTGTGTTGCTAAATTGACAACAAATGTGTAACTGTAACACTTTTTTCGTGGGATAGTTTTCGGGACAATGTCGCTGTACAGGCGCATGGTGATGCGCTTCAACGTATTCTGAGCAAAAACGTCCCCACCCCAGGGTTGTCATGCAAATGCGCAGTCACAGGAACATTTGTAATGCGCAGCTCGATGAGAGGCATTACCAATCATGTCTTGGACTTTGTAATGCTGTGAACGGGATGAGAAAATGGCTTTCTCATGCAACATCTCTTGCCAATCAGCACTACACTTCTGCAGAGGGCAACTTGTTATGCATAGCTCCCAAAACTTGGAGATTTGTGTTGCTAGATTCCCAACGTGACTATGGGGTGGGGACGTTTTTGCTTAGAATAGAACTCCAAGGGGTCGGACTTGTCGCCGAACTTATGGAACTGTCAGGATCGAAATTGACAAAGTCGAAAAATTTGTAATGCATAAAATGTAGGGCATGTATGGCCTGTGGTGGGGAGCAGGCAAAAGAGACCGACTGCAAGCCTGTTCTGGGAAAGGCGATGCGTTGCCAGAGTAGCATCACAGGAGCAGTCTTCTTTGCCCCAACAGCATGACAGACTGAATTTTGGCGCTCCCGAAATTTTTCTTGCATTACTTAGAAACTGGGTTCGAACTGGAATCCCTTTTGTGCATGACAAATTATTTCGATTTTGTCAATTTCGATTCTGACTCTTCCATAGAACTGCACGTCAAAGTAGACCTGCGGAAGCTTTTCCAGGTCCTCACTGGTTCGGACCTTCGCGACCTTGATATCCTCCTTCTCGTTGTACATCGACTTCTTGAACATGTTGCCGAACTGGGACTTTTGCTTTTTCTTGAACTCCTCCTCCTTCTTTTTGCACTCGTCAAACTTTTTCCGGATCTCCGCGTTCTTCGGGTCGTGCTGCAAAGCTTGCTTCAAATCGAACTTGGCCTGGATCGTATCAAAAATTTGTATGTAAATGTATTTTGTATTCAAATCATTCAGCATCAGCTCGGAACTTTTTTACACGAATTTCATCGACAAATAACACGATACACCAACTTCTGCCCGGGAACTCTGCCGGTCGGCTCGGCAGTAGTACTTACAGCATCTCAGTAGAGCAATGATGGCGCGGCGGCTCATGAATGAAGTACAGCTTCAATTAAAATTTTCATGTTTGCGCGTGAAGAAACTCCTTCTCCTATACCTGTGCAAATTCTTCTTTTGCAATGTACGCCACCGCACGTCGGAACCACGCCTTGGAGTTGGTTTCCTCAATTTCCAAAGCTTTGTTCGCGTTCAACAGTGCGTTGTCCCAGTCCTCCAACTTTAAAGAGGTTTGCGCCAGGTTCAGGTACAAAGACTTCTTCAGCTGTTTTAGTGGTTTTGTTTTTGATCGAATATAGGTACAAGAAAGAATTTGAGCTCATCATCTCTGTCGTTCCTCTAGAACACCTCCAAGATCATCCATGAGAATGAATGCCTCAGGGAGGCTGCCAGCCATGACGCCATCGCAAATGCACGACAGCTGCACCTAGCTGTGGCAACCATAAGTAACCTTCGTAGCTGTCAATCATCATGCACAATCAGCATACTACCGTGTCCAATTCTGCCAAGAATTCCGCGTCGTCGCCCCGCATGCTGACATCGAGATCCTCGACGTAGTCCACGCCCTCTGACCAATGCTCAAAAGCCTTCACCATATCCGCCGCCTTGAAGGCCACCGTGCCTTTTTCTTTCTCACTTTTGGCCTCGGCCAATTTCTCATCGAACGTCATTTCCCACTTCTCCCGCTTTTTCTCGAAAAAATCAAACAGCTCGATATCGAAATTGAGGTCGGCGGCACCTGGAATCACGGGCGGGCTGCCTTGCTCGCCGTACCCGAGTTGGTGGGGAATCTTGAACATGGCCCGCTCCCCCTTCTTCATCTATCAACTGCAAGTATGTTGTCTGGGTCTGGAAGTTGTGTTGCATGTAGGTGAAAAGTAAGCACACTGTCATGCACCGCCAAGCATGACAGATTTTACCCCAGCTCTGTGTTGCGTATTCCGCATGAGAAGCAGCCACTTTGCATGACACAAAAGAGGAGCTCTTCGTGGCGACGCAATACAGAGCTTAGTGTCATCATCATGCCAGACTAGCATGACAAACGTCGCACTCTTCCAGACCCAGACATACTTGCAGTGCATATCATCCCGGCGACCGCGATTTCCCAGCCCTTAATTACCTTCCCCGCGCTATCCCACAGAAAAAAGCTGGCAGGGACATTCACATTTGTAATGCAAAAATAAATACGCAAAAAAATCTGCATTGCGTACCCTAAACAGCATGCTATGAGGCCTCCCGTGACAGATTTTTCTGCGTATTTGTTTTTGCATTACAAATATGCCCTGCCAGCTTTTTTCTGTGGGATACGCGCCGAGCTGAAATTCGAACATCTTGCCCCGCTGCCGGGACGAATCGAACTGCTTGCCGTCTGACACCAAGGTGCCTGATAGTGGTTTTTACATCCTGTAAAACTTCTCAAGCAAGAAACACGACAAGCACTCGCAGAGCAGGGAAGATCTCTACATCGCATTTTCTACTCCCGGTCACATGCACAGGATCAACATCTTCTTTGCGAAAAAGAAACGGTGAAACATCACATCTTCAATCACGACGATTGTTCCTAATCACAAGCACGGGCATGTTGGCAGTGAACAAGCTAGGTGAAGATGCAAACAAAAGAACGTTTTTCCTTTATTTTTTTTCTATACCGACGTAATGCACTTTGACCATGTCATTTTTTCCCGGAAATGCGGCGTCGGCCGGCGCCTCCGTGATAATCGTCTTCTCCACGTCTTGTTCGGGCTCCATTGCCATTTTATTGGGGTGCTGCTCGCGAGGTTCCTAAGTGACCGCTTGGAGTTGTGTAATTTCTTGAGCGAGTAGAACTTGAACCTCGAAAATAAAAGACTGAGCAAGAATAAATCAATGGATACAACTACTGTACTGCTGCTACACCGTGGCACCTACGTCTTGCTAAAAATCTCGCCTATTTTTGTGCCTTCGAAATGATCACTCGGTAATGAAGGTGGCGGCCTGTTGCAGAAAATTACAAGGTGAAACTGAGCGATCGTATAAAAACAGGGAAGGTATTCAAGGTCTGTGGGAGGTCTGGAGAAAAACAGAGCATGATCTTCATCGGCCGCATGTACAATCAAAAGATCTTCGGGATCCGAAAAAGTGGTGGCTTTTTGCGTCCGCGTTGTATGTTGAGGACGGCAAAAAGAATTCTGATGAACTTGCGATATCTACTGAACTGTGTGTGGAAAAATCTGTGTGAGCTTAAATTTTCGAGAAGGATCCTCATCCGTACCAGAATGGTGCCAACTTGTCGAAATCTACTTCACCTCCAAATGGAGGTGAAGTAGGTCTCTTCACATCTTCCAGTTTGCAGCAGCACATCACTTCCTGGTCAACATAGCAGAAGGATCACACACTTAAGACGCCACCCGCAAAAGAACTCGGAGTCAAGATTGCAGCTGTGCACAAATGTCATTGCGGAGCGCCGCGTTCCGTAGCTTTATTACCGCGCGAGCTCCGTTGCGGTATATATTAGAAGTTGATGAAACGAGACAAAAACGTTTCTAGCACGATGTGACGAGATGTTGAATTCGATTTCACGTTAAGGTAGTGGGGGGGTACCAACATCGAGATTGATATCATACCGCCTTTTTTCAAATGAGTTCAGCACGTGCGAAGAGGGAAATAAGGATGAACCAAAATATTGCTTGGGGTATACATAGAGAAAAATGCGTTCCTTCGTACGACAACGACTTTTTGACAGCCGGGGTACCGCGAGCTGAAGAGGTACTATACACATACACTTTTTTAGACTTGTCTGGAACTGGACGAAGGAATAGGAATGCATAGGTGAATTGCTTGAATGAAAGTTTTTACTAATAGTACTTGTCGAATCTGGCCAAAATGGTAAGGTACATGACTGTAAGTTCGGTCGTTCCTAGTATCTACTACAACCTAGTATTTTACAGCGAGAGTACTAGAAGAACGAATTGATGTAATGAGAAATGAAAATGTGCAGAAGATAGAAGCAGCTTCAATTGTGTTGAATTTTTCTATTTGGTTACTATAGTTTTTAGTCTGAAAAAGGTTTCAAAATACAAATTTCTGTGCGGACAAGTTCTACGTACATTCTTACAAGCAGCGATGAAAAATAACTGCAGACGAAAAAAAGCTCCTACATTCTGCGCCCGCTGCTTCTTTGGCTGCCGCTTTTTGTACTTCCCGTGCTGGCGTCCGAGCGCGCCGTGATCATGGGCGCGGGGCCCGTTTCGCAGAAGCCCTTGACCACCTGTCCCCGCATGGTGTCGAAGGGCCCGAACTTCCCGAACGTGGGCACCAGCTGGTCGTTGTCGTTTTTCACGAGCGGAAACCGCGGCACCGGGGGACAGTACTTGCGCACCAACGGCCAGTAGCCCGTCTTCACGGGTTTGTTTTCGTAAATCGCGATTTGGTTCTGCCGGTCTTCGGAGCAGACTCGCCGCCGCGTGTCATACTCTTTCCCGTCCGTCGGGGGGACGCGGCACACCTCACGGCACGGCGGAATTCCTGTTGAGTTCATCAGTTGGTTGCTTCACTCTATTGCCTTAGAGCAGGATCATGTTGGACTGCTGTACCAAGCTATCTGATACATACTAACTACCCTGGCTGAAGACGGATCATGACAAAAAAACACTTCTCACGGGCAAGCTATATCGGAATCCGTAAAAACCCGTCCGAGCGTGTTTGAAGAAACCAAACCCACTTCTTTGTGCAAAGGAATTTACATTTACTAAAGAACACATCACTGAACAATTATACTTGGCCCCACGCTGTCACCCTTTGCGTTGGTTGGGTCTTTTCTGAAGTACGTCTGCCGCTGCTGGTTGCTCACGTTCCACCAATCGAATTCTGGTTGACTCCTCCACCAGTCAAAAGAGCCAAATTGCGTGCCGTACAGACGGCCGGGAAAGACCTGAGACGTTTCACATCATCAAAGTAAAAATTATCGCATGACATTGTCAAATTCGCCCAGCATTGGTGGTAGTGCAGATTTACCCTAACAAGAAAGAACAGATTTGTAATGCATGACTGCAAGTTAAGTACCTTATGCGGCGCTTCGTAGAGTCCTGGGTAGTAGTCTTCGTAGGTCCTGCTGTTTTTGTATTCTTCAAACGTACTGTATTTCGCAATTTCCTTCGCAATGTCCGGTTCTTTGTACTCGTTGCGGCTGGCTGGTGGCATGCTGTAGTTTCGCGGCCACATCCTGTCACTCGGCGGAACCCTGTGGGTGGTTTTCATTTTTTTCAGAATTTTTCGGACAACAAAAGGGGGGGATAAATTGCTGACTCTGTAGCTGTACTATCAAGTCCATGGTACAAAATTACATTCATCTTTGCAATGCAAGGCCAGTCCAGCAGAGACACGAACTGTAGATGAAAATGCGAAAAGAAAAAAATCAACATGAATACAGTGGCTTCGTGAACATCCTTGGGCCTCGTTCTGCCGGTGCGTAGGTTGGCGGATCCCGTCGGTCTCCCAGACTGTGGTCACAGTTGGAAGGGATCCGCGGGTTAATGAAGGTCTGCGCATAGTATTTGTTGTCCAGACTATTGTTCGGCTCCGGCGGAGGCACGTAGCCCCGCGGCCCGCGGGAGGGTTTACTGTCAGCCATTCTGGTGTTGACTTGGTTTCTAACTCTGCTTTGTTTTTGGCAACACTGCAACTACACTGACCTAGGTGTAAAATTACTCCTCGTGGAAGAGCTCGTAAAACGTGAACAGAAATCTAGTTGATGAATGCTTTTCCAAAATAAAATTGAATCATAAGCGAGCCTGGGTTCTTAAGTTCTTTCTTGGGAAGATTTGGGATAACTCCCTGAATCTGCTTGAGGCGGGGAAAAAACAAGAAATCGAGGTGGGAAAAACAAGAAAAGAAACGGGAAAAAAAGATTCCAATCAGAACGGACGAGGAAAACGGTAGGACGAAAAAAGCGAAACCACGAAAGCGAGTTGTTGATGTGCCATTTCTTGTACGAAGAGACAATTCACATAGGCAATAGTAGCAAACCGGGACACCAGACAAGAACGAGATCAAGAACACGATGGGGTAGATCAAGAAACAAATTAATAACGAATAACAAGAGCGACTCCAAGAACTGGCCGAGAAACGTACGATTTGCATTTGGAAATTATGAGAGTCTCCTGTGAAGCTCTTTATTTCTTGCACGAAGATGTCGCTAGTACTACGTGCTTGAAGAGCTCTTCGAACGACCTGGACGACTTGAAGACGACAGCGCCAATACAACTCGATGAGAACTTGTACTTCCTTAGCAGGAGTTGAGTACGTCGTGCGCGTGTTTTCCCGAGATCTAGCTCTAGGGCACGGAAAAATACGAAGAACAGCTGATCACTCACCAGCAGGATGACGATGAACACAGCGACAAACTTGTTCCCATAAGCATCTGTCCATGTCCGGTGTAGTAGGTCACATTGGTGGACTCAAGTCGAGATGTTTTTCAAATTCAAATAAGAAAGTCCGACAAGATGTTCTTGATGCTGTTCACGATGCAATTTGGATAAAACTGCAACGGCGCCCGTGTGACACTTCTAATAGTAGCTTTGTGACTTCTATTGCTCAGGAGGTTGACGCTCTGAAGTCCTCGACTCTTAATCCTATTTCTCAGTAAAACTTTAACTTTTAGATGATCCTTCAGAAGTACTAAATCAATTGCATGCGTTTCGTTGGCAAAAAAGTTAAAGCTACAAAGTGCAACAAGTAAGATAAGAAGAAGCTACTAAAGCATCTTGCTGCAAGGTTCTTGCATGGACTGCGTAACAGATGTTATCAAAACGGGTAGGCGATTCCTCGAAACGAGGGGTAAATATGTGTCTGGGGTGGAGCTTTGTTTTGCGTGTCCCGACAAGGTGAAGACGTCCTGGCTAGCACACGGAGCGCCAGCCAGTGGCTTCGTACTTGTTCCTTTCGCGCCGCTGCTAGTTTTCAAAGTAAACTTGTATCCTAAGTTCGACTACTTAGTCAAGGTCGGAGCGCGGTAGTGTCAAGCATACGTCTACTTTGGGAACTCACTTGAAGTTGCTAAAGCATTCCCATCTTGCTGCAAGGCTATTGCGTGGAAGATGGTATAAATGCGACATCAAAAGGAGTAGATAGCTGCGACTCAGATAAAAGCTTTTCTGAAAGCTGGCGCCTGCGTTTTGGATCGGGCCCGCAGCTGCTCTTCCCTTTGCACTTCAAAGCTGTTGATGCTCCGTACAATCTTAAAACAATTCCGCCGCACAACTATAGTTGCGCTTTCCGAATACGCGTTGTATTTTTTTGCGTTTTTCTCATATGTAATTTTTTTGTGTTTTTCCCATATGTAATTTTTTTGCGTTTTTCTCATATGTATATGTCTCCGTTCGAAAAAAGCGCTTTCATTCATCTTTTGCGCAAAAGGCAAAAGCTGCGACTGAAGACATTGCATTCGATCAAAACTACCACGAATATAATAGAGCCTTTGCCTGTCTCAACAAGATGAGGACTTCCTGGTTAGCAGACGCGGCACCAAACAGTGAAACGTAAGTTTGACTTACAGGTCAGGGTCGGGCCGCGGCAGTGTCAACGTCAAGCATGAAGTTGCGAAATACTAGGGGAACCTAGCTGCGTCTTGCCCTTGCGGCAAGATTATCGTATCGACTGCGCAATATCAATAAATGTGAAAAAAGGAATACTATTTTCCTGCCGGGAACGGAGTAGAAACTTCATTCTCCGGAAGTAATAGTCAAAAAGATTTTGTATCGGATGTGCGGGTGCATGAGCACTTCCAGTTCGAGCGCAGGGGCAGGCGCACATATGCAATCGCCATCACACTAGCAGATCGATGCGCTTTTGCTTACACATCTTTTTTTCCCCAGTGAAACTGAATAAAAGTTCAGTTAATACAAATTTAAGTGCGGCACCGGATACGGTGTGCTCGTTGTCGTCATCGCGCACTCCTCGTCGGGGCCGCCGTCGCGCACCCACCCCCACTTGCAAAAATTTCCCGCCTTCCAGGACGCAGCATTTCTACAGGCATCTTCTTCTCGTCCGTTGCACTTGAAACCGCAAACCCCGTCGTCTACGCAATCTGGCCATACCACTTTATCGAGAAAACAACAACCGCGACCCAGGTTCTGGTCCTGGGACTGCAACGCCACCGCCGGATCCGCCTTTTCGCTGCCGCTCCACACATGCGTCGCGGTGTTTGTCTTCTTCGTCGCCGCGGACACCCCCCCCCCAAGGGAGGCAGCAACGCCGGCGACTTTCGCGCACTTCTTGAAAGCCATGGCTTTGTTTCTCGTGCAGAGATCGAAACCGTTCTCACAACAACGTGCCTCAGAAGTGTTCCTGTGCTGGTGCAGCTTCTGCGACTAGGACTGTTAAAGTCTTTTCCGAAGCTACTGGCTCTACTTAGTTTGGTTCTTCTTCTACCCGAGGAGGAAGAAGATGGGAGCTGTCTCGTCTGAACGAGGAAGAGAAAAAAAAGTGGCTGTCAGTTGTTTTTTTCCGATTTTATGGAATTCATTCAGCAGATGCAAAAAGGACTGCTCGCAGATAGACATCAAAGTGGCTTCCATCGTCTCGAGGACGTGTTGTGTAGCTAGAAAGGTACTTTAGTAAAATAGCATGGTCACTTCAACTAGTAGTTTTTACCCACGCTGGAGATTCTTCCTCCAATCTTCACGAGTCGATCACGATAAAGAAATTATTTCGTCCTTACGTATTATTTTTCCAGAACGTGATGCAGGACGAGTACGACGAGGAGCGCCGTCTCGTATTGCAGGCAGTCCGCAGTGGCAGACGAAATTGATTGCATCACGATTGGGTGTCGGTTGTTTGACTCGCAGCGAAGTCCGATGACGGAGACTGAGACTGAATATTACGACGATGTATGATATTAAACGTGTCAGGAGGCCCACGAAAGTTTTCTTCTCAAGAAGTAGAACAGGGTGCGTTTAAAGTGCTGCAACGAGTTGTACGATCACGACGAGCACGAAAATCAAATCCCTTTTATGCTTCCGCTGTGGAAGCAGGAAGCGCACGCACACGTTTTTCGAACGATGTTGTACCTTTAAAGGCTGACATTCGATGGGTACCGAACCAACTAGCTAGAAAGATGAGTGCGCTTGTTCATAGGGCTCCTTTTCTACTTCTGGTTCTGCGAGACACATTGGGAATAAAAAATTCTCCCTTCGCTAGAACATGAGAAATGAATCCTTGCGCTGTATCATTTACCACATCACGTACAGTGGGGCCCCCAAGTGAAGGAACGAAATCGAGTTTTTTTTCTTATCGTCGCTAGCACAACGCACTAACTTCCCAACAGGGCAAGCGAATGTCGGTGCTTGGAGTTGCGCTCGCCCTGCGTTCATGACTTTATTCCCATATTCTTCAAATGAATTCTTCGAAATCAAAGTACCTAGCAGCGCGAAGTTACTAAAATTTCATTACCTCGATTTTGGAATATAGATTCATCGTCTTCCTCCCCTTCTCGCTCCTCTGCAGCTGGGAAGACTGTATATTGAATAAATAAAAGAGTGTCGCTTATTAGTTGAAAAAGTTAAAAAACCAATCCCGTCCGCCACCTCGATTGCCGCCTCATCAATACGGCACGACGACAATCCCGTCCGGTGTCAACATCATGCGGTACTGCAACACCGCCTTTCCATCACATCTCGATACCCAACGCCTCTAAATCGACGTTATCTTCCTCGTCGTCGAATACCAACTCATCCGGTGCGCGATCCAGCACCTCTATCCTGAGTAAAAACGTACCCACACCAGAGTCAGGATGGGGATTTTGCAACACAAACCTAGGAGTTTTGTGAGTCACGCATGACAAGTTGCACGCTGCAGTGTAGTGCAGGTTAGCAAGTGCAGCCGCGTCACAGAGTCGTCTGCTCATCCTGTTCACAGCATTACAAATTCCAAAACACGACTAAAAATGGCTCTCATGGGGATGCGCATTACAAGTCTTCCTGTCTTTGCAAATCTGCATTACAACTCTGGTGTGGGTACGTTTTTACTCAGGATAACCTCGATCTCGTCGTACGTGCCGAACGTACCATCCGCTTCCACGTCCGTCCTCTCGTACACCAATAAATACTATGGATGTGTCAGAATCGAAATCGACAAAGTCGAAAAATTTGTGATGCATAAAATGTAGGGCACTGCGGGCCTGTATTGGAGAGCAGGCAAATGAGACCGATTGTAAGCCTGTTTAGGGGCATGCAATCTGCTGCCAGAGTAGCATGAGAGGAGCAGTCTTCTTTGCCCAAACAGCATGACAGACTCGATCTGGGTGCTCCCGAAATTTGTCATGCGCCGCTTGGAAACTGAGGCTCCAACTGGTATCGATTTTATGCATCACAAGTTTTTCGATTTTGTCAATTTCGATTCTGACACTTTCATAAATACGCCTCGGCGAGTATAGTGAGGAAAATGAACGTGGTGGTCGCCACGAGAGAGAACTACATCATAGCTGTCTTCATGCAAATCTAGTTGTAATTACTTCATCCAGGAGCACGGCTTCTACAGGTACAGGGTGTGTCTCTCTACTAACTTGTGCGCCTCCCCATAATGAATAGAGGCCGCACTTTCTTCATCTGCCTTTTTTGTTTCCGGATTTTTTGCCAGCTTGCTCCAAGCAGTACGTCTACGTGAAAGGAGCTCAGGCTCTTTCATACCGCGATCGTAACAAAGGCTTCATAAATAACCTGCCGGCCCAAAAACATTTGTAGATGTCATGCACAAGTCAACAGAGAGCCCCTTTCTCTGTGTGCAAGCGCGAAACAAGCGTAAGCGACATAACAACCTACTACTTTTATGACCCAGCATGACTATGATATTATCGTGACCACGAAGATTTTCTTCACCCAGGATAGCTAACGCGACTGCTTGTGGCAGCACCTCTGAGACCCGCAGATCCTGAACCTCGTGCCAGGTGTTGAGCTCCTTGTGCAAGCAGTGAATCTTGTACTCGCCGCCTTTTGGCTTTCCGGAATGAATGATGGACGCCACCAGGTGATAGTTGGTGATCGGGTTCGCTGCCGCGGCTCCGGGGTGGAGGTCTGCCAAGAGGTGTCGTGAGTTGTACATTTGACTTTCTTGAAAGATACAACTAAAACTATTCGCATTAAAAAAAATCGTGCAACATGACCGCAGGTGAACAATGCAGAAAGCGGAGAGCAGGCCAGATACTGTCTCATGCGTTTATTTCTTTTACAAAAGCGAAAGCGAAAAAAAACACAAAATAACTACATGTTTTGAGGTCCAGGTCACGCAGGGGGAAATTGATGATCGTCGGATTTTTTTCGGTGAAGTACCCGTTGTGCTTGAATCGTTTTATTTGGAACAACACGTAGGGCGGTAGCCTGCGCAACGTGAATTTTCTCTGCTGCCGGTCCTCTCCCGTTTTCGCGATGGATTCCTGTTGGGTAGGGTAGTTTTGCTTTTGAATGTTGTACACAACCAGGTGTTGGGTATGTATCAGCTGAACCCTAGGTAGAAGTGGAAGGGGGACGACCACGAGCTCCTCACCAAACAAAACGACAATCTAAATCTATCACCGAAAACAACAAGAATGGATGATCTTCCTTATGAAGTGGTACGTGTATGGTTTCCCCGTTGTATTTTTCCAGCAGGGTGAACAGGGGCACTTGCGGGATGAAATTTACGTTCTCCTTGAACAGCGGCGCGGGGGGCACGTCGAGCTGCAACACCACCGACTTGTGACTCGAGTCCGTCCAGTTGGTCAGTGACACGGGGGAGGACTTTACCCCCACCTCGCCCTCAAACGTTTTGGTCAAAATGGGCATCTTCTTTCTCGCCAGGTAGGACATCAGGTAACTGAACAGGGCCACTGGGTCGTGCTGTTCGCCGTAGAACTTCTTGTGGCTCACCTTCCCGATGGCTTGAAACACTTCGTATCAAATGCAAAAGTGTCTGGGTCTGGAAACTTGTAATGCTAAAAATGAATGATAGACGCACTGCAATACGCAGCTATGCATCACAAATTTTTTGGCTGCCATGTCTTACGTATTCCGCATGGCAAGCTGCGTTTTATTATGACAGGTAAGAGGGCTTTTTCGTGCCTATGCAACACAGATTCCCGAGTCATGCCACACACGCATGACAAACTTGCATTCTTCCAGACCGAGACATTTTTACACTTGATACTTCGTGGGGACTCACAATGCCCTTGAAGTTTTGCGGATTGTAGATTTTCTTCATCAACTCCGACAGCGTGCGGACCACCGGATCCTCCGGTTTCTGTACAAGGGGGATTGGTTGATTTTTGTTCTTTGTCGATTTCCTACTCATCATTTTCATTCCTCGAGCAGCTGACGAGGTTCAATAAAATATAATCATGGACGACAAAACTTGTCACGTTGTCTCTATTCATGCACCGCAATCAGCTACGCCGGCGAATTGGAAAAAAAAACACCAACACGCAAGGGTACATAATGAAATTCTTTTTTCCATCAAAACTTACCTTGTGTATTCCGTTCAGCGCCAGTGTGTTTTTGTCTTCGTACTCGTGCAGCAAGAGCCAATTCCGCACCGGTATGACCACGCAGAGCAACTGTAGAAAGCAGTTCAGGTAATCCGACTGCTTAATGTTGTTCAACCCCACACATCCCGGGATAAAATCCGTCCCATCCAGGGACTTTGCGTGGTTGCCCTTGTCGATCTCCAAAATGTCGTGGAGCTGGTATTTCGGCCGCAGATTGAACTTCACGTCGTTCAGTGACGCGTCGATCACCTCATAATCGTCGGGGAGACAGTAGATCTTCGCGTTGTCCAAATTGATAAAAACGTAATGCTCGCACTCGAGCGAGTGGAGGTATGCCGTGGTGCCTTTGCCGCGACCTGAAGAAAAGTGGGCAAGATCAACGTCGACGAATTGCGATTGTCTTCTTTATTTATGCAATTACATTTTCCAATGGGTTCTTCCGGGAAGATGTGGAAATAAAGGCATGCAAAATGCTTACACTCGATGAAAAACGTGATCAGGGTCTACAAACGAATTTGTATGTACAAACATGTATACCCTGAAAGAACTTCCCGCAGACCAGACACGCGTAGATGTTTTGGTCCCTCATCGTCACTGAGCAAACGCGCTCGAAATCGAAGTCTAGCACGTTCCGATTTACGGTCGAGAGATACGGGCACTCCCTTCTTGGTTTTTTTAACACCTTGTCCGCAATGTCGGCGGGAACTTTCACTTGCGTCTCCACGTCGATCACTTGATCACTCGAGCCACCGTTCTGCCGCTCCCGTTTTCTCCCCTGCGCCGCGCGGTGCTTCTCCTCCTTCTGCAAATTTTCTTCGAAGGCCTTGTCGGTATGGATGTGTCAGAGTTGAAATCGACAAAGTTGAAATAATTTGTCATGCATAAAATGGATGCCAGTTGGAGCCCAGTTTCCAAGTGGCGCATGACAGATTTCGGCGGTCCCTAAATCCAGTTTGTCATGCTGCTTAGGCAAAGAAGAGCGATTTTCTCATGCTACTTTAGCAGCTCGAGCTGTAACGCCAAACAGGCTTACAATCGGCCTCACTTGCCTGCTCTGCAATACACGCACCTCGGGTCATGCATTTTATGCATTGCAAATTATTTCAACTTTGACGATTTCAAACCTGACGCTTCCATAGTCCGCCCTGTTCGCGTACGGATTTGAGCTGGAGGTGGTGGATCCCCCGTAGCCCGCGGCCTTGGGAATGGCCTTCGACGCCATCGCGTCCGTCATGTTTCTGGTCGTAGACTATCTATTACGCAGCTACTTTATTTGGGTTCTGGCGTAGGTGGAGTCCTCGGGACATCAAGGCGCACGCGTAAAGAATTATGGTGGTGTCTATGTATTGTAAAGGAAAAGTCGCTAGGAAAAAACTGTTTTTTCTTTTGAGTCGCTGGTTCAGAGAAAACAAGAGAAGTTTTAGGTTTCCGTTGAACGAAAAAGTAGCACGCTGCAAAACTGATCGGCAACATCCGATAGAAATAATCCGGGCTCGCTTTGATGCTTACTCTAGTAGAACTTTCTGAAATAGAAGGCGATCCTTGTCTTCCATGGAGAAGTGTGAACATCAAAATGATTGCTCTACAGGAACTCTACTGCAAGAACTACATCGGCTGACCTTTAACTTCTTGAACTTCATCGCGATAATAAAGGATCCCCTGCAGCACGCAGGCACAAAACGGTCTGAACATCCAGCGGGCGATTGCGATCAACGCGCCACTACTCCCGCCAAACGCTTAGTCAGGCACTCGAGCTCTTGCGCGCTTCAAATGCAGCATATTGCTTCTTTCTTGCATTTCTTCTCTTCGCACTGCTGCATTTTTGGTGGAGTACTTCCGTTTCTAAGATACAGTGGCTTCCTCATTTTCATTCAAATCGAATCTGGTGTACAGAATGCATTTCTTCCTAAGCTGCCAATCTTGTCGTCTACTAATCGATACTCACGCTTGCCTATCGCTGTTAGAAATGAAACGAAGCACCGGTGCTGTTCCGTCTTATTTCAGCCGGTCGTTCCGGCTGAAACATATCTGTTGGTGCGAGGAAATCACCAATCTGTGCTGCTGTCAACAACATTTCTCTCGAATGACGCAGGCGATAGGTAACATCGCCCTCCTTCCAGTGCCGCAGCACTTTGCTGTGTAGTATTTCCATAACCATAACCTTGCTACAATGTTAATCACATTCTTTCTTCACTATCTTCTGTTCTTCTTCTTGCGAAACACGATAATAAATTGGTTCTGTAGGAATGACAAGTAGTTTATTTCGAATAAGTAATTGGGTAATAATTTTGGTCAGAGAGGTCTTCAGAGCCTGTGCTCATTACAGATTCTTGCTTCAACATCGCGAGGTCCCCGAAGAGACAACCCTGCTGTGCTCTCGTGACGCTTTGGCTGAAGACCAGCAAGCTGTTCGCTTACTTTTTCTGCCACATGGCAGACAGCCGTGGGTCTTCCGCGAGCGCGTTCTCGAGTTCGACGAACTTCTTGACCGCGTGCATCTCGTGCCTGGCCAGCCGCTGCTCCAGGATCTGGATCCTAAACATCGCCTGCGACTGAAACTGCTCGAACTGTCGCTCGTCCTGTGGTGCGTGTGGACACATCATCTTTGAGGACAATAGGAAACAAATCAAATGCAATTATATCTTTTGCGTGATACACAACTCACCCAGCGGTGCAAAAACACGCAAGATCATGCGACCACCCTGTCGTGCGCAAGAAACCCGATGGGGGTGATAGATTGGTAGCCATGTTTTCTCAAAACACGTAAATATAAACTCATATTTGTACCTTCTCAACGTTGTGGCCGCCTCTTCCCGTCATAATCTCATGCCCTCGGCACCAGGGCATCCATGAGATTTCGGAGCCCGGAATCTCATGCCCCGGCCACAAGGGCGTGAGATTTTGGAACAGGCAAAATCTCATGCCCTGGCCAAAAGGGCATGAGATTTTGGAGCAGTCACAATCTCACGCCCTCGGCACCAGGGCATGAGATTTCGGGGCCCGGACTCTCATGCCCTGGTCACAAGGACGCGAGATTTTGGAACAGGCCAAATCTCATGCCCTCGGCACAAGGGCATGAGATTTCGGAGCCCGGAATCTCATGCCCCGGCCACAAGGGCATGAGATTCTCATTTTGGAGCAGGCAAAATCTCATGCCCTCGGCACCAGGGCATGAGATTTCGGAGCCCGGAATCTCATGCCCTGGCCACAAGGACGTGAGATTTTGGAGTACGCGAAATCTCGTGCCCTGGCCACAAGGGCGTGACATTTTCCCAGCGACAGCGAGCACGGGCACGGCTCGAGCTGTTTCCTGAAGCAAGCTACGTCCGTCCTGCAGGAAGCTTCTTGAGGAAACTTCTTAAGGCGCTCCCTTAAGGAGCTCTCTTAAGGAGCTCTCTTAAGTGGTACCGCCTAAGCAATTTCTCTTAGAAAAATTTTCTAAGCGGCCCCCTATAGATTATAATAATAGGCCACCGCTGACTCATTTCTGCATAGTTATTATTATTTGTACCTTCTCGACGTTGTCGCCGCCTCTTCTCTGCATCTATGGTAAGAAAAAATCCCCCCTCCCCATACCAAAGCGGGATACTTCAGAAAAGTTGTGATGCAGATTTGAGGCCATAGATCGTCTCTGTATTGCCAGAAGGCAAATCCAAAGACCTGGCCGCGTTCTGCCGGCAATTTGTAATGCTGTATGGCCTACGGAGGATATGCCTGCCTTGCTAAGTGCCTACGCAAAAACGCCCCTACTCCGGCTTTGTATCTGTTTGCAGTCCTCTACTGCAAGACAAATCCGATTTGTGTACACAAAACCCGCATCACAGATTTCCATTTCGATATGGGGAGGGGGGATTTTTCCTTTTGATAGCATCTGTGCTCTCTTCTTTTTCAAGTTCTCCTGCTCCGTTTCCAGCCTCCTTTGGATGATCTGCGCCCGGTCCAGGCGTATCAACTGCAAATATGTTGGGGTCCTGCCTCTGGAACGCTGCAACTTCTCATGCTACGTCTGGATCGTGCAAGACTCTGTGTTGCAAGATTGCCACAAGTGGTTAACTTTTGACGAAATTGAAAGCGGCATATAATTTCCTTTGTGGGATAAGCAGGCATGATAGAGATCTCACAGAATCTGTCACACTAGGTGGTCCTGCATCCCAGACCTCATGAGCCATGGAAAACCTGCATGGCAAGTTTTCCACTCTTCCAGACCACCCAGACATATTTGCATCTGATAGGGAGTCGTTTGCGGAAGTCGTTCTTGCACTTTTTGGCGACAAACTCGGCCTGTAGGGCGTCCAACGCTTTTCCTTGGAAGTCGTATCAACTGTAAAAGTGTCTGGGTCTGGAACATTCCGACACTTGTCATGCACGTTTTGCATGAGCCCTGATGTCTGTGATGCATGCCCTAGCATCACAGATTTTTTCGGAGCTTCTTGATGCCTATTCCGCATGACAAATGCCCTCTCCGCGTCGCAAAAAATACATTCCTTTTGGTACTCATGCAATACAGATTTTTCTGGAATCCAAATGCAGCATCACAAGTTCCAACCTTCCAGACCCAGACATTTTTACATTCGATAAGTCGACCAGATACCTGATTTATACACAGCAGTTTGTTTACCTCTAATACATTCTTCGACGAACAAAGCACTTAGCAACATCACACTTCGATTCATTTTCTTCTTCATGTCGATGCACAAGTAGTAGCGAGTAGTTAAGTGCAACTAACTAAGAATTCAGGCACTAAGATGAAAACGAACGCAAGATCATGATGCGCTGCACCAGAAAAAAAGCAACTAAAACAACACGTTGCGCCAACTATAATGACCTACATCTGTCACATAAATCAATTCTGTACCTGGCCAAGAAGTCCACCTTGCTGTCTGGCTGGTCGGTTGGCATGCTATCATCCTCTTTTTTGGTGACTGCCTGCACCTGCTCCTCCTCTTCTGCCCTGGTCCGGGCGATGTCGTATACGGACTTTTCGAGCACGGGCTCCTTCTCGATACCCGGCTCCTTTTTACGGTGCACCTGTGGTTCAGATTTTTTAAGTTTTTCATTTTCATCATCTCGAGATGATGAAAACAAAGAGACCTAGAACGCCCAGCGCTAGTTGTACTTCTGGTAGTGCAAGGACACAGGACGTTGGAAAATCGATCTTTCTACTAGGTTGTCGAAGCAAGTAAGTTGTCAAAAGTAAAAATGTGGTCTGGGTCTGGGAACTTGTGATGCTGGGTGGCGTCTCATGATGACGCTACAAATCCTGGCTCAGCATGACAAGTTTCTGAGCTCCTAGGTGTTGCCTATTCTGCATGACAAACTGCGCTTCTGCATCACAGAAAAACGGAGCTCTTGGGTAACGTGCATGACAGATTTAAGAGTCATGCCAGACAAGCATGACAAACATGAACTCTTCCAGACCCAGACATTTTTACAGTTGATATAAGTAGACCACCTTGATCAAATTTTCTTCTTTTCTCCGCGCCCCATACTCCCCGTAGATCTTTGACACCACGTCCTGTATGACCCGCTCAAACGTTACAATCTCAAACCTTACAATAGAATCTGGGTTTTGTATTGCATGATGAGCATGACAGACTCGGACAGCATTCCACTTTCTGCAATACAAATTTCGCCAGATTGTAGTGCGGATTGGGACTCCAGAACTTGTCATGCGCAAGCCTATGGGAGTAAGCTAGGCAGTGCACTTCTTGCAACACAAATTCCAGATTCGATTGTAACGTGTGAGATTGTAACACCTGAGCAGGCTATATCCTGAAAGGAAACCTTCGAGTTCTTCTCGAGTTGAATCAAATCCCGCAGTTGATTGTCTGACAGCCTCCCCGTCGGCGCGGACAGGGGCCGCAGCTGGTTGTCTTCCTTGATGTAGACCAGCGACTCGTCGACGATCTTCGACCGGGGGCCGTGCAGGTCAGCCCGGATTTTCCCCTCCGACACGTAGAACACAATTTTGTGGTAGTCCGGCGTTCCTTATCCTGCGCGACAACTTTTTCACCTACAGTTGCCCTGCCAGTTCGCTTCTTGTGCAGTTGCACATCAAAGTACTTACTTAATAGGGCATTGCAAGCCAGTAAAAAATGCTTTTTCGAAGATGACATCTACATGCTTTGTGGTTGCGTCGCTTGGAGCAAGTAGGTCGAGCCGCCACGACCTGTGATCATGCAAAAAAAGATAACAAAGCACTTTATTTTCTACATCTCTGACTGATAATCTGACTGTCAGAAACGAATGGCATTCGGCTGGGATCGTGAGTTGTCGTGTCTGATATTGGTTCCTGCGCGAATCCGGGCTTCATTTCCTGCTCCCCTCTCCTGCTGTATTTCAGCGTCATCTTGATGATGGCTAGTTCACCTGTGATAGGGGACGAAATTTCAATTTGTTGGTAAGAACTACGTAGTTGCATGACCATTTGTCGTTTCGCTCTGGAGCAGCTGCATTCACTCCGGATACAGTCACCCAAGCAAAAAAGGTACAAAGCTAATCATCTTAGTAAACACCGATCCCCTCAACGTGTATTGTGGGCTGCTTCCCGGCTTGCAAGGGGTCGGTGGGCCCGAGTTTGACGGAGTGGTAGATCAATCTGTCGTCGCGCGCTTGGAAGTATTCACAGACTTTTTTTCCCACTTCTTCCGTCGTTTTCTCTAGCCCGTCGAGCCTGGAACTCGGGTAATACGTCAGAATCCGCTTGGAGCCAAATACCTGGGGCGGGGTTAGTGAATTTGCTGGATTTCAACATCACACGATTCATCTTGCGCAAAGAGATTACGTCTCTGTAGTAAAAAGACAGTTGACGCGGATCGTGGCATCGAAAGCACTTCTTCACTTTATTGCTGGTCAACGAGATGCAACAATTTTCACAGCACCGGACGAAAAATGAATCCCGCCAAAAATCTTCTACTTACCTCTTCGATTTCTTTGAGGGCGTTACTTCTGCCGGTGAGAAACGACTCGACCGCTCTGTTCTCAAAGGGGTGCTTCAGCCTCCTGACGAGCTTGTCGTTTCGAAACTGGAAGAGCTCCTCCACCAGCTTCGGGCGCATTCTCCTCACGTCCTTGAACAGGGTCACCCGTCGGACCACCCCGTCCACCTGCGTGTAGGGGGAATACCGCTCGACTTTTGATTTCATGTAGTACGACACCTTTTCGCCGTGGTAGTACCGCGCTTGAAAATCCGCTGGCGTGATTTCTGTACAAAGAGTTTATTTTTTCCAAATAGATTTTGAAAGTCATTTAATTTCATGTTAGTTCTTACAGCCTCTTCTTCTGCCAGAAGCAGAGGCTGTAAAACCATTGAGTTGTTATTTTTGTAGCTGTATGCTCCCAGACTTGGAGCATACAGCTACAAAAATAACAAACCCACTGCATAGATCTCCTACAGCTCAGTTCTCCTGCACTCATATAGTATACCAATCTTTTTGCTCCAGCTCGGTGGGTTGTCCAGGTACTGGACTTTTTCCTTGTTTTTGTCCGCCTGTATCCCACAGAAAAAGCCAGGCAAGGCATATTTGTAACGCAAAAAAAACACACAGAAAAGTCGCGCACTGCGTAACGGAACAGCATGGTATGTGCTCGCCCATAGCAATTTTTTTGTTTAGTTATATATGCCCTGCTTGCTTTTTTCTGTATGATAGCCTGGTCCCCGGCGTCGCCGGCACCGAGGTCACCGCCCTCCTCGTCCTCCTTGGCTTCCTCCGAGTCTCCCCCCTCATCGCCCGCTTGATCCGCAGTGACCAGCACGTACTCGTTATCCCATGTAAAAACGTCCCCACCCCATAGTCAAGATGGAGAATCGGCTAGACACATGCATCCACAAGGTTTGGCTGTTTTGCATGACAAGTTTGGCACCGTAGTGTAGTGCTGTTTGAGGTAGTGAAGCAGCATGACAGATCTAGTATATCATGCTTATTGGAGCATGACAAACTCCAAAACACGACTAGAAAATGCTTCTCAGGGGGCTCCGCATGAGAAACATTTTCAGCATGCAGACTTGCATGACAACTCTGGGGTGGGGACGTTTTTAAATACGATACTCGTAAAACCTGGGATCGTTCAGGTTCAGCGAGATTTCGGACGCGGGAATCTCGCTCTGCATGTTCATATCCTATGTAAAAACGTCCCCACACTGATGTAGTCAAGATGGGGACTCGGCTAGACAAATCCACAAGTTTTGGCTGTTTTGCATGACAAATCTGGACTCATGTTGCAGAAGTGCTGTTTGAGCTAGCTCAGCAGCATCACAGATCTAGTATATCATGCTGATTGGAGCATGACAAATTCCAAAACACAAATGGAAAATGCTTCTCATGGGGCTCCGCATGAGAAACATTGTCAGCATGCAGATTTGCATGACAACTCTGGGGTGGGGACGTTTTCACGCAGGATAGTTCACCCACAGGTTTTTGTGGTTCCAGACCAGGTCGACCTTGAGATACGGGGAGTCCGCCACTTTGTAACACCTGCCGGTGGAGCACTCGATGTAGATATCTTCTGTCATTCCCCGCAGCCCCTGCCGAATCAGCACCCAGCAGTGCACGCGCTGGCCGGCATCCTCGGGCATGTCCTAATAAAAAAACATTCATTTAATATTGATGTTCTTCACTCCCCTAAGATTCCATTCTCGACAAATAAGAAAGATAGGAACCACAACTTATATGAGAGATTTCACATAATTCCACAATGAGCAGAGGCAAACCAACCTAGTTAGGAGCGCTATTTCAGTTATAACCTGCTCAGGTGTTACAATCTCAAACGTTACAATAGAATGAATTTGTGTTGCAAGAAGTGCATGATCTACCCTACTCCCACAGGATTACGCATGACAAGTTCTGGAGTCCCAATCCGCAATACAATCTGGCGAAATTTGTATTGCAGAAAGTGGAATGCTGTCCGAGTCTGTCACGTTGATCATGCAAGACAAGTCTCAGATTCTATTGTAACGCTTGAGATTGTAACGTTTGAGCAGGTCATATCAGTCTCAAAAATATTTTACCTCTTCGTCGTCGCTGTCACTGCACATGGCCTCGTCATTATCGCAAGAAAAAAGTGTTACAGTTACACATTGTGTTGCAAGACCGGCAACACAGACGACCTTTCTCATGCAGGAAATGCTTGGGAGCCTCGTTTCCTTCCTGTTTTCCCTTATGATCTTCGCATTACAAGTCTTCTCTGCCACACAGAGAAAATTTGTGATGCAGAAACTCCAACAAATGTGTAACTGTAACACTTTTTTCTCACGATAGTCATACTTCCTTTTTGCCTCAAGCCTCTCCTTATCCGTCTGCTCCGTTATAAAACCCGACTTGTTGAAGGGCGGGCGTTTCGGGATGCCCTCTGTCTTCGGTGCGGACTTGGAGCTAGAGCTGCTGGACGAAGACTATCAAATGCAAACATGTATGGGTCTGGATAGTTGTGATGCAAATCTGTGAATGGTAGGCGCACTCGTAGACGCAGCCAAGCATGACAAGTTTTCGTTCTACTTGCTCTGTCTTTCGTTTTGCGCATGAAAAACTGTGTTCTTGCATGGCAGGCAAGAGGATCTTTTCCTGCTCATGCATCACAGACTGAGTTTTAAGAGTCAACATGCCAGCCGAGCATGAGAAACTTGCACTCATCTTGTTCCAGAGGACCCAGACATATTTGCAATGCATAAAGACCCGGAGGGAACGATCTCGTTTCGCTCGTCCAACACCGCCAGTTCGACGGCGCAGTGCTCCATAGTTTCACACTTCGTAGCGATAAACCTTTTGTTTTTTCACTTGTTGCATAATTTTCTAATCCTTCTCCATCCTAAATAAATGATGTTCTTGACGTGGCTGATTCATTGCTTGGTGCAACACAAACATTCCATATTCAAATCCTAAATCATGCATATTATACACTCGGTACATCAAAATCTACTTTCTTAATACCGTGGCGCAAACCCGGAAACGCAGTAGGCGTCGTACCCAACTCCGATCAGCATCGAACATAGGAATATGCAATGCAAACATCCGCTTTTCCGCCCCGGGCGGTGAAAAAATAAAACAAGCTCATTTACTAGCTTGCATCCACATACTTTTAAACACCAGCATCTGGTGGATATGTTGACAAAAGGACCTCCGAGTCAACGCCTGCTGTGCTGTCGTTCGCCTAAGCACGACATCTCGCTACCGTGAGGGTCCTCATCCTTTTGTGATTTTGGTGATGTACATGTACAACTACCAGCATGACAATTTTCAGCGCACGGGTTGTAGTTCAACTTGAGAGTACAGATATCCATCTTGCATAGATATTATGCTAAAGTCGAAGGATATCCAGGCAAAAAACTGTGTAAGTGTAAGTTTCTTTGAGGAATAGCATCACAAGTTTGCTCTGCATAACACAGAAAACCTGTCATGCGTGGCTAGTACGTGAAAACACGCACGAAAATTGCCTCTGATGCATGTCCAGCATGACAAGTGTAACAGTTTTGCATTTTCTGCAACACAAACTTACACTTACACAGTTTTTTTCTTGGATAAAGGAGTCCCCGGCTCGCCAGTCCAAGACCGTGGTTGGACTCGGGATTACCTTGGGGTACTTGTTATCAAATGCAAAAATGTCTGGGTCTGGAAGGGTGCGAACTTGTGACGCATACTTGGATCACACAAAAATCTGTTATGCTTAGACAGCAAAGGGCGTTCCTTTTCCTGTCGCCGAAGGAAGGCGTTTGTCATGCGGATTAAGCATTGGGAAACCGTCTCAAAACCTGTGACGCTAGGCCTTGCATGGCACACCTTGCTTCTGTGTCAAGCAGACACAGCATCACAAACCTCAGCAATTTTCCAGACCCAGACATATTTGCAATCCATACTTGTCCACGGGAATCAATTCCTCGTAGTTCAGTCGGTCCGCCACGTAGTCCGCGCAGGTCTGGTACTCATACAGTTCTTGGTACGGCAAGTGCGTGGGTTTTATGGTCGTGGGCAGAAATTTCGGCACGTCGCACTCGTTCGGGGGACACAGGAAAAGAAAACGGTTCCCGTACACCTGGTGAGAAAGTTGATTTTCCACCTCCTACCTAGTCGGAGAGAAGATTTTAATAGTCTTTACTTCCACGACCTCGACCCCCGTAAGTAGCTGCGATAAAGAAAAAGAACCGAAGATAATAATTGATTTTGATACTTAAATCGACCTGGATAAAATTACCTGTCACAACCCACACATGGCATGCAAGCAACTCTATTCGTACAACGGGTGGTCGGATTGCCAACAAGAAACGCAAGTGCTGGCATGAGTCGATGAAATAGTTGCATGAAGTGAAACAAGTCAAAGTGTAAAAAAGCTGTAGATGAAGCAACTTCCAATATAATTCCATACCGACAGGAACTGCTGCTCGAATTCTGACACATGCTGCAGCAGCAGGTCTTCTTTTGGGGAATTGGACTTGTAACTCGGTGGTATGTTTTCCGTCGTGCTGTCCCGAAACCGACGTGACCGCACCTCCTTCTGGTTCACCCGGGCTTATTATCCGGTGGAAAAGCAGTACAGCACCATAGCAGACAGAGACTTTCATGCCTGTTCTTACGGTTCTTCTTCTTTTCCTGTCTACGTGTTGACAACTGGGGGTTCTTGTTGCGATGGCAACAAGAAGTCGTGGTCGATGTTTTTTTCATTAAAAAAATATGGACAATGAACAACAAAAATCAATGTAAATTTGCCGTTGATGGTCGTGCTCCTGAACTACATGCCAAATTATCGGAGACCGAAAAAACCGCATCGCAAGGATCATCTTCTCGGCACAATAGAACTCGTTCTGCAGTAGTGCTGTCCACCAAAAGTTTTTCCGGTCGATATTTTTGCCTTCATCATTTCCACGGCATCGGCCTCTTGTTTCTTCGCCGCTTCTATCAAATGCAAATATCCCTGGATGTCTGGAAGGTTGCAACTTGTGATCATGCTGTCCTTGGATTGTTCTAAAAAATCTGAATTGCATGAAAAGCAATAGGGGTCCAGTTTGTGCTTCGCGGGGAGGGCATTTGTCATGCGGTATAGAAGGCATCAGGAAGCCCTCAAAAAATCTGTGATGCTAGGGCATACAATACTGGCGTCAGGGGTCTTGCAAAATATGCATGACAGTCTTCCAGACCCAGACATTTTTGCAATCAATAGCTTCTGCCGCGGCCGCCGGGTCCGCGGCGGCGCCCTCCGCGGGAGGCGGTGCGGCCGGGGCGGACATTTCTTACTTCGAGTTTTTGTTCTTGTCCGATCTATATTACCTCGTGGTTCGCTACAATGAATTCCATTTTACATTTTCATGCTGTAGTAAGTACCTTTGCAACACCAGCACGACCACGCCGTTAGAATCAGTTCCGAATTCAACATCCTCGGCTACGAATAAAATGCACTCAAGAAATCCAACTGGTCGTAATATGCCCCGGTCGTGGTTCTTGTCTCGTCGTTTTATTTACTGTGCCACAACAACGAGCACGGTGCAAGCACAAAATGTCGTAAAGAACTGGTGCAGCACGAGCACCTCTTCTCACATCACAGTGGTCCACGATAAAAATTCTTCGAGTAGCTTCTACTTCTTCTCCACTCTACTTAAGCGAACCGCACTCAGCTCTCAGGCTGACGGTTCAGTCTCTCGATAAAATTCTCATTCATTTTTCCCGATCAAGCATTGCGTCGATTGTGTTTTTACTGATATGATCCAGCGCAGCTGTAAACCGCAAGGAGCGACGCCGAATGATAATGAAACGAAAACGATGAAAATAGCTCCTGAAAAAACGAATGTCAGAATCGCAGAGGATTATATCAAGGGGCGACGAGGGAGGTTGGTACGCAGACATAATGAAATACAGCGAACAAAACAAAACGATGCGAATCACCACCAGGAAACCACGAGCCGCCTCGATAGCGGTTTTTGGAGCGATTCATGCTTGCATAATTTTTCGGGTTGTTGATATCAAATATGGGATCATGTTAATGTGCTGTTTGCATCTATTTCTTACTTCCAAATCCAAATGCAGCGGCTCTTATTTCGCTGCACTTGTAATATCGTGTGCTGAGATGCTGAGGATGAAAGCAGGGGAGATGGGTCGGGAAAAGATAAATTTCTTGGCGCAGAAGCGCAAAAATTAAGTCGTGGATGACTCAACTAATTAAGGAGAAAAACCATGCCCGCGCAAACGGCAATGTCGTTTTTCTGTCAAAAAGTGTACTAGGGGTTGTACGCGTGTGTATGTAGAAGAGGTGGTCTTCATCTTCTACTTCGGGCAAAATAATGATGAATTTTCTTCGCAGCACCGGACACGCTGTGCGATCTTTGCCTGTAGAGACAGGCAAAAGTTTTCTTAGCACTGCTTCTGTTCAAATCGGATTACAGTTTGGTGGTAGAGAACCTTCTCGTCGATGCCGCGCGCTCTACCATCACATCGTGCGAATGCAATGCAAAGTAGGTGTTCTCGTCGTGCACGCAAAAAGAAAAAGTATGAACGCAAAAAAATATAAATTTGTTGTGCAAAATGAAACGTTGTACACTCGCAAAAAGAATCTTTCGCAAATCTGACACTGAAATGTATAACAGGGTTCAAGTAGGGTTATGAAGAGGTGATACAACTGCGTGCAAGAAATACTGTTTTGTCGATACCGGCAGAAAAGTCGGCACCTTTTCTGCACCTACAGCTCTTGCATCCCTGAGGGCAGGTTTCCACCAACGTTCCCAGTATGGACGCGTCAGGTTTGAAATCGTGAAAGTTGAAATAATTTGTAATGCATAAAATGCATGACCCGAGGTACGTGCGTTGCAGAGCAGGCAAGTGAGGCTGATTGTAGGCCTGTTTGGGGTTACAGCTCGAGCTGCTGAAGTAGCATGAGAAAATCCCTCTCCTTTGCCTAAACAGCATGACAAACTGGATTTAGGGACCACCGAAATTTGTCATGCGCCACTTGGAATCTGGTTTCCAACTGGCGTCCATTTTATGCATGACAAATTATTTCAACTTTGTCGATTTCAACTCTGACACATCCATACCCAGAAGATGGGATGTATTCCGCCCCCGACGGCAAACTCGGCATCGGCGTTTCCTTCAGCGCCCCTCCATCCTGTTTTTTGTTTTTTTTTGTCTTTATTGCATGACATAAACAGACTGTCTTTATTGCATGACACATTTTTTCAGAGGTATTAAGTGAAATGTGCAAAACAAAAAATTCACAGTTTACCACAGTCGCGCTCTTCCTCTTATCTGGCGGTTTCCCCGGCTTCCCCCGGTTCCCGCGGTTCTTCAAAAAATCGAGCCGTTCCGTGTTGCCCTTCTTGTTTTTCTGCGGGCCCTTTCCAGCAGCGCTCTCCTCGTCCGAGCTATCCTCGTCTTCGCCACCCCCCGAGCTCGTCTCCGGCGGCTCTTGCGCTGCCGCGGACGATATCAATTGCAAATGTGTCTGGGTCCGGAAGAGTGCCAGACTTGTCGCGCAGGTTTTCCATGACCCACGAGGTCTGGTATGTAAGACATAGCATGACAGATTCTGTGAGAGTTCTATCATGCCTATCCTGCATGAGAAACCGCCTCTCCATTGGCTCAAAAGTGGACAGCCTTTGGTAATCACGCAACACAGATTTTTCGATGATTCAGATTTAGCATGACAAGTTGCTTTGATGGTCCAGACCCAGACACTTTTGCATTTGATAGACGAAGGCGGGCCGCGAGCGTCCTCCTCCAAGAGATTCTCGCGCTCGGTCTGGTCGTAAACCGGCGCGCCGCTGCCGGCACTCTTCGGAAACGCGGCGCTTCCGCTTATCAAAAGGAAAAATCCACCCTCCCCATATCAAAACGAAAACTCTGCTGCTGGATTTGGATACACAGATCCGATGCGTGCTGCAGTAGAGGACAGCACGCAGATCGTAAGCCTAGCTGGGGCATTTTGTTGTAGGCGCCTCGCATGGTGGACGGCTGCCCTGTAGGCTCCTTTACAGCATTGAAAACCGCCTGAATAACGTGGCGGACAGCCTGAACTTGCCCTCTTGCAAGACAGACGCGATTTGTAGTCACAAATCTGCATCGCAAATTTTCAGAAAGATGCGCTTTCAATATGGGGAGGGGGGATTTTTCCTCACAATACCGCTTGCGCTCCCCATAACCTCCACTTGCGATCCGTGGCTCGAGCGCAGATCCGACGCCAGTTTCGGAGCATTAGACCCGGCGCTCTTGTTTTTCATCGCGGTAACACTCCCACTCGAGGTGTTCACCCCAGTTTTGTTGTTCATCTCGCTGCTTCGTCGATTTTTTAGAGGTTCTCCTTTTGAATTATTGTTGCTATTAACCGCGTCCATACCGTCCTCGGGAAAATCTGGCGGCTGCAAAAATCCCTGCGAAGCACGGGAAACTTTGCGACCTGGGAGGAAGAGTATTTTTTCACATATTGTAGATTCTAGATTCCTTTTTCAGTTGAGTACTTCCTTCTATGAAACACATCATCGGTTGACATTGATGATGAAGTCATGCAAAATACTAAAGTGATGTAAGCAATGCAAGCACAACTTTTATTTCTACCTGCGGTGCCCCCGGAGCTATTGTTGGTTTCCTCTACGCTGAGCGCGTCCGTTTTGATCCTGCCCGAATTGGTTTGTCCCACGATGTGGGTGGTGACGCTTCCCCCACCCGACCTCTCCGCGGCGGATAACCGCTCGCCCTGGGAGATGCCCGCCTGCACGCTGCTTCCGCCCGCGGCCTTAGTGCCACTCCCCTCCGGCTGCGGCGCACCGCCTCCCGCTCCTCCGGGAGAAGTTGCAGCTCCTCCTGGCTTTGTTCCCGAAGATTTGTTTTTCGGGTCTTTGGCCCCCTTTTTCTTATGCTGTTTGTCGCCTGCGGGCGGCTGTTCTACCACGGTCGCGCGGTCGCCCGAGAATCCGAAGGCGGAACAGTAAATCAGTACCGCGCACCCCAGCACCCCGATAATGGACGCCCCGAGGAGGGCCAGGCTATCCAAGCAAAAAACTGCGCAAGGGTAACTTTGTGTTGCAGACGTTGCAATACAGTTACACTTGTCATGCTGGATGTGCATCAGAGGCTATTCTCATACGTGTTTTCACGTACTAGCACGCATGACAGGTTTTCATCTCTGTCATGCAAAACAAATCTGTGATGCTGTTCCTGCAAAAAAGTTACACTTACACACTTTTTCTCTTCGATACAAGCCGCACGGACTGCACAGAAAGTCCACAACCTCGTTCCCGGTGTCGGAGGATGTGCCGCCGCCTTGTATGGAAGCGTCAGGACTGAAATCGACAAAGTAGAAATAATTTGTGATGCATAAACCGGATACAAGTTGGCGCCTAGTTTCCAAGTGGCGCATGAGAAATTTGGGTAGAGCCGAAATCCAGTCTGTAATGCTCTTTAGGTAAGGAAGACGCCTTTTGTCATGCTACTTGAGCAGCTCCATTTCTACCCACCAACAGGCTCACAGTCTGCCTGTCTTGCCTACTCTGCAAGACAGGCATTTTGTGGGTTGCAGTTTATGCATGACAAACCATTTCAACTTTGACGATTTCGATCCTGACGCTTCCATACCTTGCGGAGCGAGGTTCTCTGCAGATAAATTCGTTTGATTCGCCCCGCCCGCGTCGGTTCTTGTGTTGGACGACGAGGACATCGGGATGCTCATGGTGAGCGACGCCGACTCTTGCGTGGCATCCGCGGAAGCTAGCAACATGGTCTGGTCGATCTCCTCCATGATTTTTGTAGACTTCTCTGCACTATCCGCAGCTTCCACCTTCGCCGCCAGATCGAGAATTCGGTGCATATGCCCCGTGTTTTCCGCCCCAGCAATCCACTGCAAGGCGCCCGCGTTGAAAAATTTTGCAAAATTTTCCTCGACCTTCGCGTGCCCATGGTGGCCCTCCTGGTCCTCCTGCAATACGTGGCCTGCGAGGCCCGCCACGGTGAGCCCATTCAAAGCCTTCAAAAACACCTCCAGCGGCGAGCCGGCCGCGACTTTTACCCAGCTCAGGTCATTCGCCAGCTCCTCCGCGTGGTCGGCGCAGGCCAGGCCGGGGAGCTCCTGCGCGCCGTGAGAGTCGAGACTAACTTCGCGGTAATGGGTCACGTGGAACCGCTTGAAAGCGTCCGTGTGCGCCAAATCAAACGCGAGCTTGTACTTCTCGGCGGTCGTTGTCGTTCCGCCGGCGCCATGTACAACTGGTCCAAATTGTTGGTTATGCGGGCGATATTGCACATCGTGCGATTCGGACAGCACCGTCCGGGCCGTGCTAATCGTCCGGCCCTCCTCCAGAGGGGCGATTCCTCCGGAGGATGCTCGACCGCCAGAGCCCTTTGATCCGCTTCCCTTTTCGCCGCTGCCCTTACTGCCGCTGCCCTTTCCCGATCCCTTTGATGAGGAGGACTCTGGTGCTGGGCCGTCGGCCTGCCGCGCTTTCCGACGGGAAAAGTGGTCCAACTGTAGGAAAGACCCGTCTGCTCCTTCCGGCGCTGCAAACGTGCGCTCCGTGAAAGAACGGTTCCTGGGGTGGAGTTTTTTTCGTGATTCTGTTTGTGCCTCACAGAAGTGCAAAACTTTTTGGACATCACTTCGTCTGGGAGAGTCAGCAAATAAAACGGTAGTGCTCATTGTCGTGTTTTACTGATGGATACAATTAGCACATCAACTTCTATCTTATACGAAACGCTTCAAGTAGAACTTGTCAAACCATGAGATATTGATCAAAAAAATCATTTAAAGCAATACGGTTCGAAGGCGAGACAGAGGTGCGCGTGGCACGCTGCGCTCGTGACGGGGTGCGGCGCTTCCAGCGTGACCGGGAGCTCCTCCCCGATGAAGACCGGGCCGGACAGTTGAGTCTTGTCGTACACGTATCCTGTGTAAAAACGTACCCACACCAGAGTTGTCATGCAGATTTGCGATTACAGGAACATTTGTAATGCGCATCCCCAAGGGAGGCATTTCCAGTCGTGTTTTGGAATTTGTAATGCTGGTAACAGGATAAGCAGATGGATTTGTGTTGCGGTTGTCCTTGCTCACATGCACTACACTACGGACTGCAACTTCTCATGCGTGGCTCCCACAACATCTGGATTTGTGTTGCTAAGTTCCCAACTTGACTATGGGGTGGGGACGTTTTTCGATATGATAACACGGACTCTCGTCCCGCCGAACTCAAACTCGTCTTCGCGAATTTCTCGCCATGGCACAGGTCCTCCACAAAACTAGCAGCCTCCCATAACGGTTCTACCGCAACTCGCTGGTCGTGGTTTTGGTCTTTGTAGTTCTGCTCCTCCTGCTGTGTAGTTGTACTTCTAAAAGAAGTTCTTCCACGACGTTCTTGTACAAGATTCTTGTTTGTCTTTGTTCCTACGTGAAGGAAAGAAAGCTTATCACGCTTGTTGTTTCCCTTCTTGCCATTTTCAAGGGTCGTCCTTGATGTTGTCGTGGTCTTTTCCTTCCTTCTCGAAGAACCCCGCGAGGTCGGGTTATTGTCATTGTGTCTTTCACCTAGACCTACGTTTTCCTCTTCCGGGGCCGGAGAGGGCACTACAGGCAATTGCTTGTTGGACGAGACCGGTAGTTCTCCTTTACTCCTGCGAACAACAGAAGAGGTGGTGGCCTTTTGCAACAATGAGGAAGCATCTTTTCCTGCTGCAGTGCCATCGCCTATGGGTGGTCCTCGTGGTTGAGGTTGTCCCCCTGCTTGATGCTCCGCTGTTGTTCGAAGGGTCGACGTTGGCTGTCCAACCTGTAGAGCTCCTGACAAATGATCCGGATTCTCGATAGTATTTTTACGTTTTCTCCGTTTTCGCAGGTACCCCGAATCTCCATGATCTAGAGGCACGTTAAAATCACGACCAGCCACAATTCCTTTTGCCGCAACCTCGCTCAGGAGGACGACGACGACCGGTAATGTCCGGCGGAGGAACAACCCGGAAAGAACCGAAAACGCGACGGGCCGCATTGTCTCCTTGGCGAAAATAAGACTTGTTACCTTCGCGGACGCACAAACCTAAAAATGACGCAGCAGGTGGATTGACTGTCGTTCCTCTCCGGGTGAAACGCCAACGTGGTTCAAATTCCTGTTGTCACAACGAGGTCGTGGTCAAGGATTATTTTCTGAGAAAGTACGCATGAAGACCATTGATATGGACGACTTCTCAAGTGCCGCCAGCAGAACCAACTTCCTCGGCCATAATTGGGTGAGCTACTTCAAATTTTACTTACATGGTGCTCGATTTTTCAAGAAGTGGCAGAAAGATATTAAACTGGTGGGGTACTAGTATTTTTCTTTCATCTATAAGGGTGAAAATGGCCTAGCGCACCTTTGATGTCAGCCTGGTGGTGTTTGGATAATAAAACACGAACGCATGTCGAAGGGAAGCTACTTTTCTTTCAAGACGGATTGGCTTTGCAACACGAAAACTACCTTCGGGACAGAAGTGAAAAAAATATCTTCGTGCCACGACGAAATAGGACGAATGAACGAAACGAACGAACGGAACGAGGCACACTAGCGGGACGAAAGGGGACGAACGTACGAGAAGAACGCACATTTCGTCGTGCGACAACCTTCAAACGACTTTTCTTGTACGAAAAGACTTTCTATCTTCCACATCATCATTGGCAAGAGCAAAACGGATGATTTTCAGCGAAATGACAGTGATAGTTACGCTTGGACAAACGTGTCTACTTGGCAAAGCCTTTTTGACAGAAGACAACGGCAAGCAACCAATTGAAACAGCACGAGACCAAGGCTTTGCAACATAAAGAGGACGAAGAATCTGAACCCCTTTGTTAGCTGTGCTGTGCGCAGCAGCCAGATAGATTTGCCTTATCAATTGTGATTGCCGTATTCTTGTGCCACGACACATGCTTCAGATGAAGCTGCACCTTCGAGTTTTCGCCCCTCGCCACTGCTGGCGGCAGGTGTACTAAAATGTTCGGTTGTTATACAGGAATCTCAACGAGTGAATCTCAACGGTTGCGCCCCAACGCTTTGAGACGCCTCAACGGATTCGCGAAGAGCTCAACGACTGGTCTCAACGGTCTGCGCACAGAAGAACTCCGTGGCGTGAAGGTGCGCATCAAGCCCGGGCAACAAACCTCTCAGAGGTCCCGCCAACACGAATGCCGGCGAGCGGGCTCATAGATAGTTAGAAAAACGCACAGAGGCTGCGCGCATAGTGAGACACAATGCACACAAGCCAACGGGGCGCGCAAAACGGGCCGGGCAACAATGAATAGCGCAGGAGAGCGACACGAGAGTCGTCGGGCAGGGCAGCCGCCGCCGGCCGGCCGGCCGGCGGCGGCTGCCCTGCCCGACGACCTAAACCCCAAATCCTAAACCCGAAACCCTAAACCACTGCTGGTCGTTGAGATATATTTCTCAACGTTGAGCTGTGAGGTCTCAACGTTGAGATCCACAAGCACAGTTGAGATACCTGTAGTACAACCAAAATGTTCAGTTTTATGCAGCTCATCTACAAATATTTCTTTATCCGAACGACTTTTGTCGACGTCACCGGCATTTTTATTTTCTGCCTCGAGATCATGACCCCAGAAGTCCTCTCTTCCTAGCTGTCTCAAGCACAAGACAAAGCCGACATTTGGACTCGCGACCGGCCGCTTTTCCTTGATCAGCTTCAGTGCGGAGTCAAGAGTAAACTGCTGTCTCAGCATCAGAAACGCCGCGGTGACCACGACGGATCTGGACCTTCCCTGTCGACAACAAACCAAACACGTGTTGCACGGAGAAATACCCTCCGCGATGAAGTCGAGAACGGACACGGTAGTGGAGCTGGTGCCTGGAGGATCTCTGCCACGACCTGCAGGGTCTTCTTGAACTACAAGCGCCTCGTCGTCTGCAGCTGCCGTAGTACTTGTCTGTGAAACCACCCTGCCTTTTCCAATATAACCCGCTCAGGTGTTACAATCTCAAACGTTACAATAGAATCTGGAATTTGTGTTGCAAGAAGTGCATTATCTAGCCAACTCTCATAGGATTGCGCATGACAAGTTCTGGAGTCCCAATCCGCACTACAATCTGGCGAAATTTGTATTGCAGAAAGTGGAATGTTGTCCGAGTCTGTCATGTTGATCATGCAAGACAAACCTCAGAGTCTCTTGTAACGTTTGAGATTGTAACGTTTGAGCAAGTCATATCCAAACAGCGCGTTTTTCAAAGCCGAAAACTCGCCGGCGTATCCTGAGTAAAAACGTCCCCACACCACAATCAAGATGGGAAACCTGCTAGACAAATCAACCAGCTTTGGTTAATTCGCATGACAAGTTCTTTGCCGTCGTAGTGTAGTCCTGGTTTAGGTAGGGCAGCAGCATCACAGATCTAGCATATAATGCTGATTGTAGGCATCACAATTTCCAGAGCAAGACTAGAAAACGCTTCTCGTGGGGCTCCGCATGAGAAACTTTTCTGGCATGCAGATTTGCATGACAGCTCTGGGGTGGGGACGTTTTTACTCAGGATACGGCGTCGCGCATGTTCAAATCGAGGAACTTGGTGGTCGAGGTAGTTGGAAAAGTAGCGGTAGAAGAACTGCTGCAGCTACCGGAATTCTGCACAACTTCCAGCTGCTGCCCAGGAGTGCTGTCGTTCCTACTGGTGAAGACGTCGATGATCCCCTCCACGTCTACTTCGGAACAAGCTGCAGGAGGTTCTTTCTTCTTTCCTATCACGATGTCGCCCGCACACCTGACCACGTGGGTAAAAAACGGCGGCGGAACGGCTAGACGAAAACCAACAACGTCGTCATTAGCAGTTGTAGCTTTTGCCTGCGTAGTACTACGGCCGCCGACCAGCGCGCCCACACTGCCAAGCCACAGGTTCGGGATGATTTCCGAAGGCTGGGAATCAATCTCTTGGAGCCGATGCTGCAGCAGACCCTTGATGATGTTGGCCCTGTCCTTTTTCTTCTGCATTTTTCCCGCCGGGGTGGACGCTGAAGGTTCATCTTTTGTTAAATTGACAATGTGCTTCTCGTCTTGCTTCTCGTCTTCAGCAGCAAAAGCACGGGAAGAAGAGGACGGATACGACGAGGAGGACATCTTGTTTTTCTCCGAAAAAAACTTGCTTTCCGTAATGGGGAAATTATCCTTGTACTTGAGGATGAAGGGGTCGAAGCAACTCTCTGTTCCAAATAAGTCTTTACCATGTCAAAATGTGGCGGCTCGACTACTCTAAGTAAGAGGCTGCTGATAAACTCCCAACCCAAAGTAAGCCGTGAGTGTAGAAATGTAAAAATACAAGTAGAAGTAGAACGAACAGAGCGGAGAGCGGACAAAATTTTGCAGGTGCGTGCTTCTTGCTGCTCTGTGAATCCTCGAGGAGGTCGAAACACAATTTTCAGAACTCTCTTCTGCAACAGCTGTTTGCAAATCATGCGGTTTCTGTCTGTGGCGACAGAATGATTCTGTCGCCAGTGTCGTCTCTATTCGAAGTAGAGAATATTACCGGTTGTAGTTTCAAACTGCTCAAACTGCTATACTATGTTGCTCCTTCTTCAGATCATCGCACAATTGTTCACAGCTAGAAGCCGTTGTAACGTCCCTGCTTACTGATTTGCGTCCTCGCTATACAGAAAATTTGAGACATAATTCTTTGTGATGTCTCCCCGCAATGACAGTCCTCGAACTGGTTTCGATTTCCTTCACTTTGGCGCCTCCGGTGACAGGGGCAACACCCGCACCCACTCCGCCGGCTCGTCGTACCGGCTTCCGAAGAAAAGCCGCTGACTATGCAGACATAAAATTTTGAGTAGAAATGCAACTTGTTGCCTTCGTCGATGCACTGGAAGTAGATTCGTACCGTTTTATAGACACTGCAATGCTAACATGCTACTTACGCATTCGATACTTCTACGATTAGACCACATGCAGGACTAGACAATGACAGCACTCACTTGTCTAAGGCTCCTTCCCAAAATTTTCAACTGATATTGCCCGGTGAACTGGCTCCCGTCAAACCGCACGTCTGGGTTCATACTGGAGGCATATTGCGCGTAGAAGATAAACCAGTAGTAGTAACCCCAGAACATCCCCCATCAGATATCAAGGTGAAATAGAATGCCCCGGCCCAGTTGGGGTTGAGGAATGCTGCGAAATATGAGATCTTCTGTTTGCATGGTCCAACTTTTTTATAAGTACTTTCATGCCTCTGTCTGCAACACAAATTTCGCTTCGGTCTTCTGCATGATGCAGGAGTAGGTTTTTGTTGCTGCAAAGCTCCTGCTTCACATGGCAACTATGCATTGCTTTCTGCGCTACTTAGAAGGACTTGGACTCCTTTCTACTTCACTCTGGTAACCAATGTACCAACCGCCCTGAGTCACACCCACGTTCGGCGTCTGGTGGGCGCCACCTGGACAGGATTTTGTTTGTTCACATCCTGATTTCAACATTTGTTTATGCAACGCAGAGATTTAAAGGAAAAAATCGTTCTTTGTCATCATGCCATCCCATGGGAAATAAACAGAAATTTAAGGTTAACTCGTCCTTCTTCAAGTTGTTGATATACCGTACATAATGTTGAGCGGGTACATCCGGCGCTGCTTAGGTTCCACCGCCAACACGGGGCATTTGCCCACCGCCCCACGCAGGGCGCGGGCGAGGCGGAGCATGCTTTTTTCTAGGCAATATGAACTACAGAACAAATTAAACAACTGCACATCACATGCGAAGCGGAAGCTCCCACGTACGATTGAGAAGGCACAAAATAAATCACTCCCCCTTGTTCTGGCAGGACATGTGATGAGCATCGTCACTCAACACCAAGCAGTAGCGTCCGGTGGAAATACAGATCGTCACTCGTCTGGAATCAAGGACGCGTTGGTGCTCAAACAACACTCATCTCACGTCGGTGTGCTCTCGAGCTTCCCTTCGTAATTATGGTCTTCGCGGTAGATCATGCAGCATCTGCACAACCATGCGGAGCGTTTCAGTTCCGGCTCTCGCGTTTGCGTTTTTTCGAACAGTAGTGCAAACGTTTGAGGTAAGGCATGTCATCGAGTTTCTGAGGTTTTTACTTTTTTTGTTTACCCACTGCGTGAATGAGCGCAAAGCGTTGTTTTTTTACAGCTGCAACAGCAGGAATTCATCATGAAGGAATGAGCCTCATTGTCAAAACGAGGAGTTGAGCAGTGCTTTAATATGTTCAAAACTTAGTAGTAGAGTGAAACGAAAAATGCCGTATGAATGTTTATTTTCCACCTGCGGAAAAGCGTACTTAAACTTATCATAGTGATAATGGATGGGTCTGATATAAATCTCGTATGGTCAAATACTGAATGATGATGAGCCTCGATTTTGACACAGATGCGAGGAACCATAGAAGTAGATACATGCCTGAAAAAAAATATTGTAGTCGGCGCGAATACACGAAGAAACTGTGTAGAAGTTAATCTGATCTGCGAGAGGACCGCAGCCAAAAATTCGAATGCTTACAACGAACACATCACTGACAGCTTAACACCCCGCCTTCCGTAACACCTTGGCGAGATCCGCTTCGTTTCTGTAGAACACCATAAACTTGTTCTCTTCGCGCTTCCCACGCCCGTAAATCACCGTGTTGGTCTGCCTTTCCAAACTGCGAATGTTGACCCCGCCGCGGCCGATGAACCCACCGACGCTGCCACGCACGACGAAGGTGTGCACCTTCGCGTCGCGTGCCACGTTGAGGAACTCTTCCGACTTCTTCCGGGACCGCGCGTCAGCCCCGGACGATCCACTCGCTTTCTCCACTTGCTTCTCGCGCAACAGAAACAACGAATCCAGGTCCCCGCCCGCCCGCGCGAGCATGCTCGCGGTCAGCGGGCGCGTGGCCCAGAACGCGTGGTTGGTGCGGTACACGGAGTTGTCCCGGTCCGCGTTGGGCGGCAGCTCGTAAAACCGCAGGGTATCATTTAGTCCGACGTTGGGCCTTCCCGTGCTGACCGTGAACCAGCACGCCGTGTCGTGCACGTTCTCGAGCCGGATTTGCAAGTGGTGAAACAGCGCGTCGCTGTCCATGCGGCAGTCATGGATGATCTTCTCCACCGAGTCGTCTTCCAGCAACTCCCGCAGCCACGCGACCAAGGGGTCACTTTCCTCCTTGCCCAGCAGGTCCAGGATGAAGCAGCTTGCTCCATCAAGCGTCGCCAGCTGCACGATGCAGAGCTGCCCCACACGACTCAGGTCCACGCCCTCGCTGTCCACAGCAATCACCGGGGTGTGCCAGTTTTTCGGCTTCCCGAAAGCTGCCGTCAGCGTCTGCTCCGCGTCGGCAGAGAACTCGCTGATCAGAACCGGAGATGAAGCTGCGGTGGACGGCATTTTCTATGTGTTAAAACGTCGGGCGGTGTCGTCGTGTGCGCAGATCCTCAAAAATGCAACTGACACTGACTAAATAAGTAGTACAACTAGCGAGACTCGTCTATCAAATCCTAACTCCGTCTGTGTAAAAAACTGGAAATATGAATACCTGTCTGTTCGCAACAACATAAAGAACCCTATGCTTTGTACAAGGGGGCACGTAAAAATCTACTTCCGTCGCGGTTCAACTAATGATGCCCGGCGGTCACGTCGCTGCTGGTGTGGGTTATCGAAAATGCAGCTGCTGTTTGAATCTACATCATTTCTTTCACGACTTTGATCTACTTTATCGACCCTTCCTCTGATCAATCATAGCGTATCTGATTTTACTGGAAAGAAACCACCTGACGCGGCCTATCATTCGATCGCGTGGTCGATCTTCAGTTAGCGAAAAGCGAACCAACATCTATCGCTGCAGCGATTGCCTGGAGTAAGTAGTAGTCGCGGCATAATTAGTTGTGGAGAACAATAATTACCCTGGCGTCAAAGTCCGCGTCGCCGAACACTATTCCCACGGTCAGCAGCCTGCCTGCGACCGCGACATCTGTTTGGCCTTTGGAGATTTTCTTTTCGCTGTAGCCGTCACATAACTCAGATTTTCTTTGAAATCGAAATGAGTGAGTGAGGTTTTTCTTCGAAATTTTTTGTCGCCAAGGGGAGAAAGGGAGCCGAGCTCGTGCCGTCGCAGAAGAATTGGGTTACAATTCTCGTCTGACAAGCTAGAATTATCTCAAAGGAATCATAGGGTACTTACTACACAGGGTTGAGGAAAAAAATTGAGAAGTCTTACGCTTACATAAGAAGTCCCAGAGGGTACTTAACTAAAACTTACTACGATATAATCAGCCCCCGCCCACGATAGTACTTCCCATCGTGAAGAGGACTACATCGTGTATTAAACAACAACAAATCTCCCTACCTGTCGGATACCGAAGGCATATCCGCTGGGTCACTGTGCATCAAACGAGTCTATCATTCCTCGTTTTTGCACAGGACCTCGTGCATATTTGACGTATTCGCTTTTCTTTTGTTTTTGTAGTCCTGCTGTAGTTCTTTTATAAAAGTCGTGAAAAATTCAGTGCTCGTCACTACGCATTTCAAGAATTTCATGGCGCAGCGGTGCACATCTTCAAACGTGGCACAACAAAGTTTCGCTTAAAATTTCTTCCGAAACTCGATACCCATGACCTGCTTGCCGACTTCCCCTAGGCCGCACACGCGGCACTTGCGCTTCAGATACATTTTTTTGTAGACCGCGGCGCAGAAGCTACATCGCTCGTACTGCTCGCCTTCTGGGATGACCGTCAGGGATTCCGCGCAGATTTTTGCGGTCGCCGGATCGACGCGGGTCACGTCGAAAGAGAGTGGGATATCAAAGTGAAAAAAGCCCCCACCCCATATCAAAACGAAACTTCTGCTGCTGGATTTGCGTACACAAATCAGCTTTGTCTTGCAGTAGAGGACTGCAGGCCCATATCGTGCCAATATGGAGAAGTTTTGGCCTAGGCGCCTAGCATGGGGCACGCCTATGCTGTAGGACCAACAGCATGACAAACCGCCTGCATAATGGGGCGGCGCCCATGCCGTTGCTTTCTTGCAAGACAGACACGATTTGTGGCCACAAATCAGCATTACAAATTTTCTGAGACGTTCCTTTTCGATATGCGGAGGGGGGATTTTTCCTTACGATATGGCAGGGCGTTTGTTCCCCGCTCCTCGGCATTGCGGAGGACCTTTCCAGAGATTGAGCAGAATTATCAAAAGTGGACTACATTTTCGTTAGTTGTTGCTTTCCGCGTGCGAAAATGTCGCGCACAACTAATTGTTGTAATTTCTTGTTATTTTTCTACGAATAATAAGAAACAAATCTATCAAGTGGAAAAAAAGGAAAGCTAGTCCTAGTACCCCTCGCGCCTGCTGCACGGTTTTTTCCACGAAGCCCCCGGCCGCGGGATTTATGTTTTTCTGCAGTATTTTGGTGGCGAAGTGCGCCGAATCGATGAAGTTTTCCGCTTTGAAGGTGGCAGTCATGGCCTGCCTGAGGAAGAGAAACTGGTATGGATTGCAAAAGTGTCTGGGTCTGGAAACTAAAACTTGTGATGCTGCGTTGGGAATAATGAATGCTCTGTAATGCACAGCCAAGCATGAGAAATATCTGCGCTCTTTTGTGTCGTGTTTTTCGCATGACAAACTGCGTTTTTGCATGACAGGCATCAAAAGGGTCTCTTCTGGGACACGCATCACAAACTTTTTGGCCATGCCAGACAAGCATGACAAATCTCGCAATCTTCGAGACCCAGACATTTTTGCATTTGATAACTGGTGCGGCGGCTCGATGTTTTGTTGCACGACGGTCATCAGGTTTACCAGCTCCACCCCCCTCTTAACGTCCGTCGTGTCCTTCTTCGCGATCTGCATCATCAACGCCAACACGTAACTGCTCGCGGTCGTAATCAGCTCGGTCAACTCCTTTTCCTCCTCCGCATTACCCGCCACGGCGAGCGTGATGCAGTGCAGCAATTTCTTAAAGATCGCCAGCGCTTCGTCGAACTTCCCGCTCTGCACCTGCCTGTGCCCCTCGCGCTTCATTTCCACCAGAGAGGCGTAGCTGTAGAGCAGTCGCTATCAACTGTAAAAATGTCTGGGTCTGGAAGAATTCAACTTGTCATGCTAAATCTGAATGATGCAAAAATCTGTGTTGCGTGAGTCCCAAAAGCTGTCCACTTTTGACCAAGTTGAGACGGAGTTTCTCATGCAGGAAAGGCATGATAGAGAGCTCAAAGAATCTGTCATGCTGGGTCTCGCATTCCAGACCTCATGGGTCATGGAAAACCTGCATCACAAGTCGCGCATTCTTCCAGACCCAGACATTTTTACATTTGATAGTCGCGGGGAATTGGGGCCGTCCATGAGCAGATGGAGCTGGGAGGGGGTGTTGGGGAGCCCCGGGACGGAGCACTGGGAGCCGAGGAACTGGTTCTCAAAGTAGGGGAGCAGGGGTTTGGCGTCCACCAGTCCAATTCTTCTGCGAAGGTAGTCGAGGGCGTCGTCGAACTGTCCCGCTATTACCAAATCGACGCAAAGCTTTCCTGATGGAGGTGGTTAATTGTGAAAATCAAAGAGTTATTAAAGCTCATACAACTTGAAAGCATGGCAAACATTCGAGATGCACGTTTCAACGCAGTTGTGAGTTGTAAAAGTTGATGCATATAGAACATCTAGTTCTAGTCCGCACAATATTATAAGTACTTTGCTTCAGCGCCGCTTGTTGTGGTGACTCGCCGGGTATCAAATGCAAAAATGTCTGGGTCTGGAAGAATGGAACTTGTGATGCTGCATTTGGATTCCAAAAAAATCTGTATTGTATGAGTACCAAAGGGAATGTAATTTTTGCTACCCGGAGAGGGCATTTGTCATGCGGCATAGGCATCAAGAAGCTCTCAAAAAATCTGTGATGCTAGGACATGCATCACAGACATCAGGACTCGTGCAAAACGTGCATGACAAGTGTCAGAATCTTCCAGACCCAGACATTTTTACATTTGATACCGGGTGCCAGTGCTGGTTTTTGGGGTTTTCCAGCGGCGTCTCCTGCTACTGGCTCTATGACAATGTCGTCTGTGGTGGAAAATTTGTTTTGTAGTAGTTCATGACCAATTTAGATAGAATTCATTTTGATAGTACTCACAGCAGCTGCTGCATGAACTACTGCTTAGTACACCCGTGAGGAACAATGCAATCAAAAACCAGCGCAAAAAATCCAATTTTTTCTTTACCTCCAATGTCTTCCCAGCCATCTCCCACGGAATCCAAGTTCGCGTCACCAAACCCGTCGTCATTTACTCCGTCCATGGCGTCCTGGAACGCGTTTGCCGTGGGGTCCAAATCCTTCACAATGTGCTGCTGTGGCACGTGGTCGGGCACGTTTTCCATCTTCGTGTGCTCGAAGATTTTCTCTTGCGACTGCAGCTGCGGCCAGTTGACGTCCAGCTGCTCCTTGTGGTTCCATATGCTGTGCAAAACTATCGTACTCGTAGTAATTGCATTTATGCATTTCTTTGTCAAGGCAAACCAGCACTACAAATCTAATTTGTAATGCTGGGCTAATTTGTAATGCAACTTACACTAGTACGATGCTTTTGCATTGCATATTCCGCAACGGGACGGGCGGAATCAGGAGTTTCGGCGTTTTCACCTTGGTCAGCTATCAAGTGCAAAAATATCTGGGTCTGGAAACTTGTGATGCTGGTTGAGAAAGAGGAGGAAACCTCAGTTGACTGCTAAGCATGACAAGTTTTGGAGTTGCTGCAGTCTTGTCTATTCTGCATGACAAAGTGAGCTTCTGCATGAGAGAAAGAAGGTGGGCTTCGGTCACGCGCATGACAGACTTAAGAGTCATGCTAGCCAAGCATGACAAACCTTGCATCTTTCCAGATCCAGACATATTTGCGATGCATATCAGCAAAAACCGGTCGATCTTCTCTTTCTCCACGTTAGATTCGAGCGCCTCGGTGAGCTCCGTGAGTCCGTGCGCCTTGGCGGTCAGGTACGCAAGGGGGACCTGATAAATCGATCGAGGGTGATCATGTTGTCACAGTAATATTTCGAGTTGTACTACACTGCACAGCATCTTTACTTCTGAAAAAAGTCCGGACGACGCTGGAGGTTGCGATCTCTGCAAAAGAACCAACACAACAGTGGCTGGTGGTGCACACTTTTCAACTTCAACATCTACTCATACAAAGTGCAATTTCCAACATGCTCACCTGTCCCGTTTCCGCCAACACCTTTACTCGCTCTTCCACGCTTCCCAGCATGAGGGCGTTGTTGAACCTCCGCATGCTGTCCTGTCTCTTTTCCGCGATGGTCAGCATTCGGCCCAGCTTCAGCAAATTCCCTGTCAGCAAGTAGTGGAAGGAGAGCGCGTCCAAGTTTTTCGTCTTTTGCAGCGACATCTCCAGAATTTCCGCGGAGCCTTGGCGACTCGCTTCCGTGCCCAACCGCGTCCACACGGTGGCGTCCTGGAGTTCTTGGGCCTGCAAGCAGAAAAATTTGGTGTGGTCGTGTATCTACTTTGATGTCTATTGTAAAGTACTAGTTCTGTTTCTCGCCTGAAGATTTTGCAAACATGATGAAATCACTTTGAAATTCAAATTACGGGCCAGAATCGTGATCTTCTTATGCATGCAGTGGGAGTTAGTAGTTGTTTTAAAAACGGAGCAGGCATATTAAAGCAAAAGCTCCTGTAGTCCGTTTAATATGCTACAAGAAAAATCGATCCTCTACCGCCTTCATCGCCTCCGCGATATGGCCGTACTCCAGCGCTATCAAATGCAAATATGTCTGGGCCTGGAAGAATGCCAGCAGGTTTGTCATGCATATTTGCATGACCCATGATGCCTGCGTTTCATGGCCTAGCATCACAGATTTTGAGCCGGCTTCCTGATGCCTCTTCCGCATGAGAAATGCCCTCTCCGCGTTGCACAAACTGGACTCCTCTTGCTTGTCATGCAATACAGATTTTTTAAAAATCCAAAAACAGCATCACAAGTTGCAACCTTCCAGACCCAGACATATTTGCAATGCATAAGCGCTAGATTGAATCTGGTATGCTGGTCCTCGACGAAATGCAAGGCGACCTCTGGGTAGCCCTTCTTTTTCAAATATGAATTGCAAATATGTCTGGGTCTGGAACGCGACAACTTGTCATGCCAATCCTGAATCATGCAAAAATCTGTGTTGCATAAATGCCAAAGGCTGTCAACTTTTGACCAAGTTGAGAGGAGGTTTCTCATGCAGGAAAGGCATGGCAGAGATCTAACAGAATGTGTCATGCTAGGTTCTGCATTCCAGACCTCATGGGTCATGTAAAACCTGCATGACAAACTTGCATGCCTCCAGACCCAGATATATTTGCAGTGGATATCAAATACCCGATTACCACGTTGCCGCCGAGCCTGCCGTTCTTGATCCACATTTTCACGTCGTCGAAATTTTTCGACGCCAGAGACAGCTTGAACAGGTACTCCGTGCAATTCAGCCGTTGCTTGTGGACCTGGTAGTGGTAGTAGTCACCAGTTACGTTCTGGAATTTGTAATGCGGATTTGCTTTCAGAAACAAATTTGTAATGCATGACTGCAGTAGTTACTCACCTCCCCCTTTTCCCGGTCGATGTAAAACAAGTGCTGTTTGAACACCGCCTGAACATTATCAAAAGGAAAAATGCCCCCTCCCCATAGCGAAACGAAGTTTCTGATGCTGGGTTTCCGTACACAAATGCGATCTGTCTTGCAGTAGAGGACTGCAGGCATATGGCAAGCCTGAGCTGCGAGGTTTTGACGTCGGCGCCTAGCATGGCAAGCGTCTTTGCTGTAAGCCGAGCAGCATCACAAACCGCCTGCATGATGTGGCGGACTCTCTGGGCTTGCCCTCTTACAAGACAGACAGGATTTGTGGTCACAAATCTGCATCACAAATTTTCAAACGGATGCGCCTTCACTATGGGGACGGGGTATAGTTTTGCCACGCAATAAATGTAGATCGGGTGCTGCAGGGAATGGATGATCCCCGAGTCCCCGTTGAGCAGGCAGTATTTGACGTGGGACAGGGTGCTGTAGACGAACACGGAAGTCTTATCCTGAGTAAAAACATCCCCACACCAGAGTCAAGATGGGGATTTTGCAACACAAACCTAGAACTTTTGCGGGTCACGCATCACAAGCTGCAGTCCGTAGTGTAGTGCAGGTTCGCAAGGCCAGCTGCGTCAGAAATCCATCTGCTCATCCTGTTTACAGCATTACAAATTCCAAAACACGACTAAAAATGCCTCTCCTGGCGATGCGCATTACAAATGTTCCTGTCATTGCAAATCTGCATGACAACTCTGGTCTGGGGACGTTTTTACTCAGGATAATTCTGCGAGTCCCAGGCGCCGGATTTTATCCGAATGTTTTCGTGCAGAGTGAAAAGCACCTCGAAGTTTTTGTCGACCAAAACCAAGTTGTGCTTCGAGAACAGGGCGCAGTACTGGAAGTTCGCGGACCAGACCACGTACCGGACCCCGCCGGCGATGGAAACCTCGTTGACCACCTTCCGGGCGACGATGTCGAAGAGCACGGACCGTTCCTCCACCGCGTTTTCGCGCCGGCACTTCAGAATGATCCGGTTCAGACCCCCGCAGAAGATGTTGTCAATGCAGGAATTCTGTCCGATCGGGTGGTCGAACTTCTTCGTGAGTTCGTTTTGGAAGCTGTAGATCCCGATCGAGGTGCCCGACTGCTGGAGCACCGCAAACCGGTTGCGCTGGACGAAGCACACCGCGGAGCCGTAGCCGGACAACGGCGGCTGCTCCCCAATGCAGAGATCGTACGACCCCGTTTCGATCTGGTAGTACACCAAGACCGCGGACCCCTCGGAGGGCGAAAATTGGTTCACCTCCAGGGACTTCAAACCCGACTGCATGGCGTTCGTCGGCCGGCGCAGCGTGCAAAGAGTTATGAAAGCCTCAGAATGGAAATCCTCAAAGTGGAAATAATTTGTGATGCATGAAATGCACGGCAAAAAAGACTGTATTGCAGAGGACACAATGGAGACCGACTATTGTCCTGTTAGGGGTTCAGCATTGGGCTGCTGATTAGCACGAGAGAAGGGCACCCCTTTCCCTACCTAGCATGACAGACATGCTTTGAGTGCCCGGAAAATTTGTCATGCGCCGACTAGAAATGGCACTTCACCTGGAGTTGTTTTTTTGCATTACAAATTATTTCCACTTTGAGGATTTCCAACCTGAGGCTTTCATAAGAGTTTTGGTGAACGTTCGGCCGTCCGGCTGCTCCAAGGGCTCCGCCACCAGGTTCCGCTCCGCGCCGCGGACGTGGAACAGTGTGTTCTTCGACAAGTCCACCTGCGCCAGCGCCCGCTCGCGATCCAGCTTGAAAACCACCATGCCGCCGTCGTGCCCGACCGCGACCAGTTGGGAGGTGGGGTGGGTAGCGATGACCTGATACAGCAAGTGTTGAACAAGCACATATATCGATAATTCTATGCCGGTGGTAAAACTTTCTTCATGATCCTAAATCCTAAAACCCTAAACTCCAACTGTACTGTGGTGAAAAAAAACACGAAAATATTACAACCTAGTAGAGATGTGATGAAAGTTAAAAATTCAGAGTCTAGAAACAAATAACTATCAACCAAAACGGATCTTGGTAAGTACCCAGAATCTGTCCGTCTCGCGGCGGAAGGTGTGAATCTGCGTCCTTTTCGTGCAGTCCCAGACCCGTATTGTGCGGTCTTCGGAGTTGGATATGATCAAGTCCTTCCTGGGGTGGAAGCAGACGGAAGACACGTTCGAAAAGTGCCCCTTCAGCGTGTCCACCTCCCATGCCTTGGACTCGCTCATCCGCCACAATTTAATCAGCCGATCGTCCGCCCCGGACACGACTAGCGGTAGGGTTGGGTGGAAGCTGGCCCAGTTCACCCCGCGGTCGTGTCCTTCTAGCACGTACTTCACCACGGCATCGTACGTGCCGAACAAATCGTTGGCCCCGTTGTTGCCGTTACTCGCGCCGTTCCCGGAGAAATCGCCCGAGCCAGGCATCATGCCGCTCCCCATGCCGGACCCGCCGCGGCCCTTGTCGCGCAAACCGGAAATGTCCCAAATCCGGATGTATCAAGTGCAAACATGTCTGGGTCTGGGAGATTGCAAGATTTGTCATGCATATTTTGCATGATCCATAATGCCTGTAATGCATGGCCTACCATCACAGATTTTTAGAGCGCTTCCTCATGCCTATTCCGCATGACAAATGCCACCTCCGCGGAGCACAAAATTTACTCCTCTTACTGGTTACGCAATACAAAATTTTTTCGAATCCAGAGACAGCATCACAAGTTTAGAATCTTCCAGACCCAGACATTTTTGCATTTGATAGGATGGACTGGTCTAGGGACGCGGAGCAAACCATGTCCTCTGAGGGGTGGAATTGCGCGCACATCACGTAGTGGTTGTGGCCCGTGAGGACCGCGATGCAGCCGCGATCTGTTTTTGATATCCGAGATCAGAACAGCATTATTTCTTCACAATTTATCGTGTTACAAAAGCAAGACGCAGATCATGCTACTTAAATTCGTCTTCTGATGCAAGAATTTTCAAGTATCCAAAGAATTTAATGTACTTTGCCAATTCCAAATCCGCACGGTCTGGTCGTCGGAGCTCGACAAAATCCAGGGTGCCTCATGGTGAAACTGCACCGTTCGGATGTATATCGACTGTAAAAGTGTCTGGGTCTGGAAGAATTCAGGTTTGTCATGCTTGTCTGGCATGAAGACTCTTAAATCTGTCACGCACGTTACCCAAGAGCTGCGTTTTTCTGGGATGCAGAGACAGTTTGTCATGCAGAATAGGCAACACCTAGTAGCTCAGAAACTTGTCATGCTGAGCCAGAATTTGTAGCCTCATCATGAGACGCCACCCAGCATCACAAGTTCCCAGACCCAGACATTTTTACATTTGATAATGTAGTCCAGATGCCCTTGCAGCGTAAATATCGCCCTTTTCTGCTTGTAGTTCCACACTTTTATCTTGTAGTCGTCGCCGCCGGAGCAAAACAGTGGCTGCGAATTGTGAAAGCAAACCCCTCGCACAGGCCCGCCCTCGTGCTCTGGGTTTTTGGTTTTGTGTATTTGAATATGAAAGATGAGAAAATTATACAAATAGCAATAGGTTATTCGCATTCACCAAAAAATAAATTTTGTCATGATACAGACAGCGCATACAATTTTTCACGGTTCACATCATCCGATACGATCGATCAAGTTCCTTTACCTCCCTCAAATTTCTCGATCAAAGTGCCAAATCGGTAGTCCCAGAGTTGGATGGTTCCGTTGTGTAAACTCGCTAAGCACCACGACAATTTCGGGTGAAACGAAACGCCCTTCACCCGGTTCGACTTGGTCTCGCACTTGACGAGCATCTTGTTGTTGACCGCGCCGCCCGACATTTTTTATTTTTTCGGTTGGTTTCTAGTAAAAATGTCGTGAGCACCAGGAGTGTAATATTTTCAAGTGCGTCCTCGCCGCTTGTCGCCAGATCTTCGGTGTCGTCCTCGTGCTCCTCGTTAAGGTCGGTCCAAATCACGGCAGCTGGAATAAACCGCAGCAGCTTCTCGCGAACTCAGGGGCGAGGATTACAGCTGTAGCTGCACCGCGGCAGAGTAGTGTAACGGCCAGATATGGTCATGAGCGGGTCGTGTTTTTTTGATGTTCGGTATAATACTAGTAGTGGCTTTATTTCTTGGTCAACGAAAATATTTTTTGAAAAAATCCCTTCTAGCAGAGATAATGACGTAGATGTAGACAGGTAGCGTCAAGATGGTGGTTTGTTTGTTTGTTTGTTTGTTTGTTTGTGGTGGATTCACAACCGGTCTCAAAGTGCCCGCGACCGAGCACCGGGAGGCGGAATCGAAAAACTTACATCGTTGATCTTTGGCCGTGCCGTGTTGAATGAAACTTCATGGAAAATGTTGTTGTTTCTACAATATCTCGTAGCCTGAAGTAAAAAATTGATGTTGCAAGAGATTTATGTAGCAGTCCCAGTATAAGTTGTTGCGATAATTCATCATATGGCGCTTTGTTCTGCGCTCTTGTTGTTTTGCGGTTGTAATTATATCACTACTGATTCTGATTCAGAACTTCTTTTTGTGCGAGTACGCCTGGCATGCAGAACGCACTCGTGGATGATCCTTCTATCTGACGAACTTCTTCTTGGGGCAGTTTAACACATTCCAGAATGAGCTGGCAGTGCGAGAGAGCAAGGCAGTGGCTTCATCTGCCTCACATACTTACATGTAGGATGCTGAACACCGATACAACAATGCTAGTTTGCGCAAGTTTATGCACCGGAGCAAGCCCCGGCAGGCGCGTCGTCGAACTCCGATCTTCATGATGGATGATGATAGTTATCGTCGCTTATGGTCGTATTTTCAGTGCTGACGCTCAGCAACAGAAAGCTATTTTTTCACTTGTATTGTCAACTACATGGTGCAGCTGGAGGTTTCGTCTCTGTCGCCGTAGTTTTTAACACCAGGGAGGTTTGTAGTACATATTAGAGGCCACTTTAGGTACATAGATTTGTCATGCATAGGCTCCATGTGCCCAGGTGTTCTTTGTATTGCTGCTGATGCAATACATCATCACAAGTCCTCATCCTCATCCTCACTTTCCTCCGATAATTCTTCCGTGCGGATCGGCATCGCGTTCACTTTGTGCGCTTTCGCGACGAGGTCTTCCGTCAGACTTTCCGTGGCCGTGTCGTGGCACCGGGCCAGCGCCCGCCGCACCTGCGCGTGCGTGTAGTGAAACAAGGGCTCCGGAGGTTTCAGGCTGTCGCCAAATTTGCCACCGATCAAGTTCGGTTGCTTCCTCATCGAATGCTGGGGTTGTACGGAAGCTCCTCCACTTGTTCCTGCAGCGCTCGACAAAATTTGCTGTTTTGCGTTCGCAAACTCGACCAGCTTCATCTTCGTTTGCTGCTCTACGCCGGGCGGCGAGGGGTCGATAGAAGCGTTCGTCTGCTGTTTCATTTGCGTGTTAGTATTGGTGCCTCCGACGATCAGCCCGGGAACGGGAGCTGCTTTCTATCCTGTGTAAAAACGTCCCCACCCCATAGTCAAGATGGGGATTTTGCAACACAAACCTAGAAGTTTTGGGACTCACGCATCACAAGTTCCAGTCCGTAGTGTAGTGCAGGCTAGCAAGGACGCACGCATCACAAATCCATCTGCTTATCCTGGTTACAGCATTACAAATGCCAAAACACGACTAGAAACGCCTCTCATGGAGATACGCATCACAAATGTTCTTGTCAATGCAAATCTGCATCACAACTCTGGGGTGGGGACGTTTTTACAAATGGTACTTTCATGGAATTCTTCATGCTCCTTGTATTCGCCGCTCCAGTGGTTCTTGCTCCCCCAGTATCAAATGTAAAAATGTCTGGGTCTGGAAGAATGCAACTTGTCATGCTAAATCTGAACCCTGGAACCCTGAGGTGATGTCACTAAGGGAAAATGGAACAATCCTCAGTCCGAACGCGTCGAAAAAGAGGGGGCCATAATCCCCTGGGGTTGAGCACGGGGTGGCCCCATGTGGCTGTGATGCAAGATCACCGCCGGGTAGAGGAGCGGGAGTATCACCTGGAGGAACTCCACAGAACCTCAACCAACCACTGCCCCACGATCACAAATGCAGACCCACCATCGAGAACCGAGGGGGAAGCAACCCCGAACACCCTTCCCTGCACCCGAATACCGAAGGGGAAGAAGATGCCCAACAGTTCTGAAGCGTGCAAAAATCTGTGTTGCATGATTACCAAAACTCGTCCAGTTTTGACCAAGTTGAGAGGAAGTTTCTCATGCAGTATAGGCATGGCACGGATCTCACAGAATCTGTCATGCTAGGTCTCGCATTCCAGACCTCATGGCTCATGCAAAACGTGCATGACAAGTGTCAGAATCTTCCAGACCCAGACATTTTTACATTTGATACCCAGCGGCCGTGCTCTTCTCGCTTGTGGTCCCTCGCGCGGAGGAACTTGATGTAGCTCCCGTCTGGAGGTTCTTGATCCCGTCGGCTCCACCCGGAGCTGCTGTACCAGGAGGTTGCTGCATCATCATCCCCCCTGGAGGACCACGATGAGGAGGGTTGTACGCAAACGCTCCCTATCAAAAGTAAAAGTGTCTGGGTCTGGAAACTTGTGATGCTGGGTGGCGTCTCACGATGAGGCTACAAATGCTGGCTCAGCATGACAAGTCTCTGAGCTCCTAGGTGTTGCCTATTCTGCATGACCGACTGCGCTTCTGCATCACAGAAAAACGGAGCTCTTGGGTAACGTGCATGACAGATTTAGGAGTCATGCCAGACAAGCATGACAAACATCAATTTTTCCAGACCCAGACATTTTTTCATTTGATACTCCCCCAGCTGCTGCACCTCCACCTCCGACGCCTCCTCGCATTTCCTGTTGCAGTCGCTATCAAATGCAAAAATGTCTGGGTCTGGAAGAATGCAGGAGTTTGTCATGCAGATTTTGCATGACCCATGAGGTCTGTGATGCATGCCGTAGCATCAGAGATTTTGCGAGGGCTTTCTGATGCTCATACCGCATGAGAAACGCCCTCTCCGCGTAGCACAAATTGCGCCTGTTTTGCTGTTCATGCAATACAGATTTTATGTAGATTCCAAAAGTAGCATCACAAGTTGGATCCTTCCAGACCCAGACATTTTTGCAATCCATAGTCGCTTGTCTTCCGCGGCGGTCGCGCGGATTCGCGTCATCGCCTGGTCCAGTTTCCACTGGACAAAGTAGTCCAGAGAGTCCAAAATCTCCTCCGAAAGATGCTCGCCGCGGTTTGGGTAGAGGTCTGCGAAGACAGCCCTCTTTTTCGGGAGGGGGGGCGGAGAGTTGTGTGGCCGAGAACTGGAAGAGGAGGTGGATGAGGCCATCATGTTTTATTGGACAAGGCTTTTTTTCTTGATCATGTACAGTGCAAAATAGTAAAATGCGTTTACTCAAAAATAGGTGCTACTATTGTATTTACGCCGAAAGATGACTAGGAATCTGTCACTTGTTGCGTCAGCTACTTCATCTTGTCACTGAAAATAAGTATTCAATGCAACAAAGATGAACCCTATATCAATCATTTTTCACGGAAAGCAGTTGGTCGCAGGATCAGATCCGGGATGATCGTCCTCCGAAGATGTTATGTAGCCACAAGCCTCTACGGCTGAAGATAATTATACGAGCTGTTGCGTAGATCTCAACGGTCGAACAACGACTGCGTCCGACAATACCTCTAAGAACTACACGATTGGCATCTGGCCGAAAGATGAAATTCTACACAAATTTTCATTCGCGGGTAGTCGTTCATTTACTTCTAATACAGATTTTTCTGGTGCCCAGAATCATGGACACACGCCGGGGGTCGGACGGTTCTTTGTTTATGTCCGGTTTCAACTAGCACGACGGTTCTAATTCTATCGGATAAACGAAAACTTGGGAGAAGTCTCCTGCAAACAGCTCGATACATTATCATCGTTTATTTCGTGTTAGAATCAACACAAGTCCAAATTTTCTTTCTTCAATAGTGTCTTTTTAATATAAAACCGGCGTATTTTTCCCGTACTATCAGACAGATTTTTGGTTCTGCAGCTGCACCATCCAAAATCAGCCGAACCTTAATTACTCATTCCCCTGACGCCCCTGCCCACGTAGAAGAAGTCGCACCGCTCCCACTATTTGCCCCGGCGTGCACGGAGAGCCCGGCGCAGTGCTCGATTTTGTTCCACAGAGCCTCAGCGCAGAACTCATCCGGGATCGCCGTCAAATCAAACGCGGACACGCGATCCAATGACACGTACCCCTTCACGCCCTGGCTCACCACCGGCGGCGCGCCAGCCGCCGCACCGGTGGCGGAGTTGCCGCTGGGGTCCTCCTATGGATTGCAAATATGTCTAGGAGGTCTGGAAAGTTGTCATGCGAAAAGCTGTTTTCATCACACACAGCCAAGCATAAGAAGGTGTTTTCATGCCTGTGTGCTGCGCATTGTGCATGGCAGAGTCAGTGCGTTATTTTCGCATGACAAACACGTGGGGCCATTCGCTCGAGAGCATGACACAGAGTTCAGAGGCATGTCAGGCAAGCATGACAAACGGTCATGCACTTTTCCAGACCCAGACAGATTTGCATTTCACACCGCCCAGCGAATGCCCGTGGCTTGTTTGTACAGTTTATCAAATGCAAATATGTCTGGCTCTGGAAGACTACGCGACTTTTGGTGCAGGTTTTCCATGACCCAGGAGGCCTGGACTGCAGGACCTAGCATGGCAGACTCTGTGAGTAGATCTCTATCATGCCTATTCTGCATGAGAAACTCCCCCTCTTCACCTTGGTCAAAAATAAATGGACGCCGGCTTTTGGCACTTTTCATGCAACACAAATTCTTGCACGATTCAGATGTAGCATGACAAGTTGCTATGTTCCGGAACCACGACACACCTTTGCACTTGATACAGTTGGTACTTCTTCCGGTGCAGGAATTTCCGCCACCGCTTCTCCGAAGCGGAATATTTCTGTTGCTCCCGGGCAGTGTAGACCTTTTATTTATTTTTTGCGGGGATGTTGTAAGAAGAATCGAAGATCTGACTTAATTGTTGCATTACTCGGTTGCGTTGTTCGTTATGCATGCTAAAAACTTCTACAGGAAGAAGTAAAACTTTACCTCTCTGCGCACTTCGTCGACCTGCAGACGGAGATCCGTCTCCTTTGTTTGCAAGGCTAGCACGGTCTGCTGGAGCTCCGCCTTCTTCTTCTGCATGGCTATGATCCGCTCCTGCATGCGCACCTCCGACGCAGACCACAGGTGCCGCTTGCCCCCGGTCGGGCCAGAAGGAGCGGTTGCTGCACCGTCATCATGCCCACCTTCACGACCCGGTTGCGCTGCGGCAGCAGAGCTTTGCTTCATTTCCTCTTCGCCCCGGTTTATTTGCGAGAAAAACCCGGCCTGCATGTCCATTTCCCTTTGCTTCGCTTCATTCTCCGAAACCAGCTCCTTCACCTCCTTTCGCAGTTTTTTAATATTCGTCATCGCCGATCGCACATCCTGCAGGTCGTGGAGGTCGCGGAGAGCGTCGTCGACCTCCTGGGCCAGGTTGGAGTTGCTGCTGGAGGAAGAGGATCAAATGCAAAAATGTCTGGGTCTGGAAACTTGTAATGCTAAAAGTGAACGATAGACGCACTGCAATACGCAGCTACGCATGACAAATTTTGCGGCTGCCATGTCTTACGTATTCCGCATGGCAAACTGCGTTTTTGCATGACAGGCAAGATGGCCTTTTCGTGCCTATGCAACACAGATTCTCGAGTCATGCCAGACAAGCATGACAAACTTGCATTCTTCCAGACCCAGACATTTTTGCATTTTGATAAAGACGTGGACGCCCCTAGAACCGTGGAAGCGTTAGCAGTAGTAGCACCTGCAGCTTCTGCCATCTTTTAGTAATGGAGCTGTGCTGATTAGTATTCTTTTTACGGCCATAAACAAAGACCTCTCGTCTCCTCACCCTGTGTGCCTATCAATATCACCGAAAGTAGTACTTCATTCACCACAGGACAGCCATAACCTCAACATCGGGAATACCTACTTAGAACAAGACCTTTGATATATGGTTCGAGTTTATCTTTCACAAAACTCTTTCGATTCGTCAAGCGTGTTCTTTTTTCGACAAACCGACTGCTAACCGCGAGCGACTCCGCGTGCGTTAGTACAACCAGCTGCCCTTTTGGCAAGAACTTTTTCTCTAGCGATATTTCGTCTGCTCGAAACACATTTGCGGCGCGATCCTCGCTCAAGCGGTTCTACAGATAGTATTAACGACGTGCTCCCTACACAAGACGGAGTTCAAGAACAAAACAAGAAAACACTCTAGCGAAAGACGCCAATAGCGAGTCGTTCACCTTCCGTCGGCTAGCAGCACAGACGACAATACCACATGGGTTATCCATCATTTTTTTCCAGTTGCACAAGTGTCCTCACGTCATCTATCATCAAGAGACGGAGAAAGAACTGACACTGTGTCTCTGGACAAACGGCAAAAGCGGAACGGTTATCGCTTGTCGTGTGATTTGATGATAAGTGCAAACCGACCTTTATCTTCTGCCGCGGTTAGTTCTTCATCGATATTCGCATAATGAATAACATTCTACGAAGTACATAAACAAAGTAGTTGAGAAAAAGAAAAAGCAAAATGAAATTAGGAAAAATAACACAGGGCAGGCGCTTCATAATCAGTCGCCTTCTTGTTTTCAGTATCGCTCGGGAGAACCGGCCTGCACACAGGTTACATTGAGCCGCGCAGCGTTCTTGCAGAAAACTTGCCCGGAAAAAGCAGTCAGCGCGCTCACCCCTCGGCGAGGAAGTTGCTGTCTTTTTCAAAGCGATGTTGATTTTGTTTGAAAAAAGTCGCAAAAAATACAGCTAAAAAGAGGTCCTGAGCTAAAAATAGCTGAAAAAAAGAGTTCCTGAGCTAAAAAAAAGAGTTCCTTGATGCATGCAACCAAACTCCAATAGCTCTGGTCACTACTTCGCTTTCGCTGGTAAAAAAACTAGGAAAGCGCAAAATAAAGAATCGAAAAATTTGACAGTGCCTTCGCTAGAAACGAGATTGTGGTCGGGAATAAAAAGCGGTGAGAAACGCAAAGCAAGGAGCACGCTCTTGCTCGCGTTGTGGAGATATTAGAAAAGCTGTACCTTGATGAACGAAAGTCGCATATGTCGACGAACGAAGTCAGACAATGTGTTAACATCAAATATATCATGGGAGTACTATTCAGCGTTGATATTCACGAAGCAAACTAAGTAAAAATGCTCTATACGCACATATCTTCGGCCTACTGTACTGTGTATCTATGAATTTACGTTTAAGTACCTATGTGGAGCAATATTCAGCGTAGATATCGCAGGATTTACCACGACAATGCGAAGTAAGAATGCTGCTCGATCATCGGCCTACTGTGCTAGTATGTGTATGTAGTAATCATGAAGCTCTGATATCTATGTTCTTGAAGCGACTATTCACCGTTCTTGCTTTGGTCCAAAGCTTTTCATCGGACACGTCTCACGCGTCCGGGGGTGGAGAAAATGCACTTCCAAAGTGCCATCTTCTGCCCGACGGTGTGGAAAGAAGCTGAACCACTAAAAGTAGTAATTCGAAATTCCTTGCAGCTCCTGATCTGAAAATAGAGAAACGGGACATCGAGCACCCCGAAGGCTGGCTGTGAAAATCAGCATCGCGCGCCGTATTGCTCTGCAGTTAAAGTTATCAGTATCTCTAGGCTTATTTTGCAGCGAGAGCATTTTACGATTCCCGCAGACCAAAACACGCTTCTGGAAAGCGAAGACTTGCACGTCGAACCGAGCTTCCATTTCCAATATAGGTAGCTCGGACGAGGAAACTAGTTCTAGTAGGAGTACTATCTCGCAAATAAAGCAAACAAAAAAGAACAAATGGGAGCACCAGAGCAACAAATAGCTAGCAAAAATAAACAAGAGGAAAAGATAAATGTGAGCATCAAGTGCTTCTTCGATTCAGAAAAGCAAAACATGGAATTTGCCAAATGCCGAGCTGCAACATGGAGGTTGCCATAAAGATAAACCAGACTACACTAAACGAATCGTTAACTACACTACCCCACACAACATCATAATGTGGGGGGAAAAAATCACGGGCAGAGCCAGAACAAATTTGAGGTTTCCACGTCATGTTGTTAACTATCGCATGACAAACCGCTCGAACTTATGATGTTGCGGCAGGTTTGTTGGTTCTCATCTGTGTTTAGTTTCATTGCCGATCAATTCAAATATCTTGAATAGCAAGCTGCTTCCCCGCATGATAAAGTAAACATCGATTTAATGCATCTATCCTGCTGGTGTCCCCACGCGGTGCAGCTGCACCTTACACCACACAAAAGATCCCGACCCCCAGAGGACGACACATTTGCAGGTGATACGACGGGCGCGCCGAACTCCTGTGCGAACTGTATCCACAGTAAATTTCCTGTACATGTACAAACGCAGTCTCTGCATGACAAAACTTGCCTTCAATCCTAGTGTAGCATGACAAGTTGGACACTGCAAGTTAGCGAAATTTGTCATGCATTTTATACATGTACAGGAAATTTACATTGCATAAACTGACGCTTCATGTCACCGATGGTGAAATTCTCGGGCACCTCGAAGAAGAAGTCGAGTATCCTATGCAAAAATCTTCTCACATCGCACTCAAAGAGCTTTGTGATTTTTTATATGCATGACAAATCTTGACGCTTTTTTTTCTTTCCTGTTCCTAGTCCACTACATTTTTCCCGTAGCTGCATGACAAGGGTGTAAGTAAGTAAGGAACAACGGGCTCCTGTGCGCGGTCAGGCACTTTTTATTTTCCTTTTTGCAACCAAAAAACAGCAATGCACTGGCGCCGCGGAAGATGCGATGTTTTTTCTTGCGTATCAACGAACTCCGAGCGCTGGTTCAACATAGTGCCCACGCACATCACAGTCGCATGTTGAGCTGCCATCTTGTATAGTGTACCTTGCTCAACCTTTCGGTGAAGTGAACAAAGTGTGTAGAGTAGTGGTTTTAGCGTTATTTTTTCACACCTCAAGAGGAAGTGGAAGAAACGCGAAGAAGAAAGTTTTCGGCTGTACTGGCAAAAGCCAAACGTAACTACCTGCCTGTAATGTTTTTTTGGTTGGATTGGAAGAAATTCATGCGTTTACATATCCTTCTACCTCCCTCGAAGAGAAGAAATAAAGCAGGAACAGCAAATCATCATCATACATAATGCAAAGGAGAGAAAATCAGGATCGGAGTCGAAAGCTGTGATCTGAAGAAGATCCAAACCAAGACGGGGACCGTAACGAAAGCGAAAACACGATGATCGGTCAGCGGAGCAAACAGAATGAGAAAAAACAAAAGACCTGTCATGGATCGAAGCTAATGGCTTGTGCTCAACCTCGACGTCTGTCACGCCGTCGTGTGCTTTGACAAAGGGAAAAAAAAAGTACGCGCGACACCGACCGAGATAAGATAGTAGTTTTCCTGATCCCGAAGTCACCATCTGCCGCCGATGGGCAGCTGTTGTAGAACTAATAGGGCATGTCGTGATGAAGGAACTTGCTACAGGGGTAGCTGGAAAGATGATAGATCAGGAATTGGCGAAAGAAGAACACATTTTTGGCTGACACTTAGGGGCCAGCCTTTTCCTGGTCTGTTTTCGAAGTCTTGACATCTATTTACGCTGTCGTTCTTTTGCGAAAGGATAAGGCGTTGTAGTTGAAATCGAGCAAGAAAACAGTCCAAAGAACAAAAAGGAGAAAAAGATATCATTAGATATTGTATGTTTGGTTTTATTCAATTTGGCACTTACGTAGACTCAGTTTCCTTTTTAAGGTTTGGACTCTTGCTACGACATGCGCTTCATGATCACGAGAGAGAATTCAAATTCGCAACACGGAGGACGCTTTAGGGCCTTGAACCCGTGACGCCATGCTCGGGTATGGAAAGAAAAAGCGTCGCGACGGGAGCGCGCAATCGGCAAAGAGGAGCTACCCGAAAGCTGGCGTCGTATGAGTCGTCTTCTACGTTTATCACTTTCTAGGCACACTCTACTACACAAATCAGCGATAAAGTGCTCAGATTCTGTACGTTTGGACCAGCATCTGGACCAGCATCATTTTTCTCCAGTTGCACAAGTGTCCTCACGTCATCCTCAACATAGGAGACGGAGAAAGAACTGCCACTGTGTCTCTGGGCAAACCACGGAAGCGAACGGTTTAGGGTTTCGGGTTCGAAACTTCGCTTCGCGAAAAAGTAAAAAATTCAGCCTCACTGCCACAATGATGAAAAGAAAAAAACACAACCAATTCAAGCGGGGCAAAGTGGGCCAAGACGCCCCGACGAGGGCGGGAAGATATTAACCGAGAATCACTACTGGTCTTCATACTATTAGACAGCGGGTGGGGTAGTACCCGCATGTTTTTCTATGTCACCGCTTTATGTTACAGAAACAAATTCAAAAGCGGCTCTACCGATAGATTTACCACAGAGAGAATAAAGTAATCTGCACGAGGACTGTTGCGATACACTCGGCGACTAGAGTTGACGCTTACAATCAGTCGACGCCCCCTGCATAGCTTCCGCACAACATCTTCTTGCGTTACTACTATTGAGGCCGACTCCGTACCACCGAAACTGCTCCCCCGAGCAGTAGGCTGATACTTTAGTCGGCCAGTAAACCACGCTAGCCAGCAACCCAATTTGATCTACGTTCACTTTCGACGATCACCCAAATCTTCAGAAAAACAAGCTTAAGTCATGGCCATACAGCAAAATAAATAGCCCTTTGCGTTAGCTATGCCACTACTTATACCCCAGTCCTTCGACGAGCCACGAGTTTACTGCCTTAATCTACTTTCGACAGAGCCTACTGGGTTGTTGCCAATCTTAAAGAGTCGAACTTTTTTGAAAACGCTGTCAGAAAACTGTCTGCTGTAAAGATCCAGGAAAACCGGGGGCGTAGCTTTTCGAAATGCCCCAACTTTTCTTGGGGATTACGGTGTAAGCACCCTGGAGAAGTTCCAGAAACATGGCTGTGGGCAAACCAGAGGAAGAGGAGGGCAAAACTGTATATCCAGTGGCGGAATAAGCACTAAACTACAACTCCGGTAGTTTCAGTATCGTCATAAGCGCTGGTAAAAAGTTAGATCAATCTACAGGCACCCTAGTATGTCTCCTCAGAGTTGTGGGAGACTCAGATATCAAGTGTAACCAGGCGCGCTAAAAGTTTGGAAAGGAAAAAAAGGGTGAAAGTGCTGGCGTTTAAGCATCACACGGCAGCAAAAGCGACCGCTTTCAATCGTAACCAGGCGGACCCCACCATGTATGGTGAGGAAAGAAATAGCGAATGCCGGCGCTTGAGACTAGTACAGCTCAAAAACGACAGTTTGCAGTCGTAACCAGATGTGCTAGATGGTCTTTGTCAAGCAAAAGGACGATACACCAATGTTTTGTAAAGAAAAGCACAGCCAAAAGCAAAGCGGAGAGCAAGGTCGTGCGGAGGTTTGTTTCTTTGGACTACAGTTAGAAAGCAAAATAGAAACTAGCTGCGCGCTTTTTCTTCATCTAGTAGTCCAAAGACCACTTTATTCGTTAGATTTGAAATACTCTGACGTGGCTGAGTGGGAAGTCCGACGTGACTGAGTGGGCAGCTACAACGAGACAGGAAACAGAGCTTCCCGAAGTGTGTATCGCTCCCTCACACTACCGGTGAAACAAGAGCTATTGAAAACCACAGGCATGCTTCATATTTAGTTGGTAACTTTGAAGGCAGCACAGTGTAGTACACTTTGAAGCCAAAAACTAAGACTGACCGCCACGGTCAAGGACGGCTCCTGGGTTTAGAAATAACAGCTTGCCGCGACCTCATGTGAATGTGATACTCGTCACGACATAATGCGATGTCACAACTGCCGAAAGGAAGCTTGCGGGTACGGGAAGCATCGCTACCATACCCGCAAGAACTTGCAAAAAAAAACCAAAAAAATTAGCTCCAGAAGCAAAGCAAAAAAATAGTTCAGGTGCGAGGGAAGACTTTACGTCATATCCCAAAAATTCAAAATTCATATCTACTAAAACTCTTCAAGAAAATGAAGAGCTTCCTTCGCAAAATAAAGTGTAGGTTGAAAAACTGTTAATGAGTGGCAGCCGAAGAAAGAGCCGCTGCTGGCCAATAGTAAAGGTCTCGCTGCTGCAGTGCCAGATCGAGATCCTGCCTTCCAAAAAAGCGAAAAAGCAGTGCAGAGCGCCGGCCCATTACGACCGGCCAAAGAAACGATAAATGCAGAAATCAAGAGTCTTTCTGAGGAAAATTTCATATCAAAATGGCAGAAAAGCCAACTAGACTAGCCGATACAAGCCAACTAGACGGTACGTCCCTTGTTGGTGGAAGATCATGGTTGTAAACGTCTACAATTCCCAAGACATCTTAGGGGCAGACTGGCAAAAGAAGAACGTAAGCAATAAGCTTAAAAACCACAATAACACGATTCCAGACCACAGCACCTTCTCACGCCGTTCCATGTTTCGTCCCGATACTGCACCTCCGAACCATATCGCCAACACTGTCGAGAACGGTACCGTCGCGCGTGGGGTGCCCGACAGGGACGTGATCGAGGGGGTCGACGTCGCACTGTCCTCCACAGCGGCGGCGCGGTCGGTGTCACCGGTCGTGGCGTTGGGGACGGCGAGGGCTATCAAATGTAAAAATGTCTGGGTCTGGAAGATTCTAAACTTTTAATGCTGTCTGGGAATTCAACAAAAAAATTGTATTGCATGACCAGTAAGAGGAGTAGACTTGGTGCTCCGCGGAGTGGGCATTTCTTATGAGGCACAGGCATCACAAAGTCCTCTAAAAATCGGTCATGCTAGGGCATGCATCACAGACATCATGGGCCATTCAAAATCTGCATCACAAGTCTTGCATTCTTCCAGACCGACCCAGACATATTTACATTTGATAAGGGCGGCGCCCCGGACATGCACGGAGGCCTCCACGGCGGCGAGGATGTACCGGACGGCTTTTTTGGGCGGTATCCTGCGTAAAAACGGGGCCCACACCCCATAGTCAAGACGGGGAATCGGCTAGACAAATCCACAAGTTTTGCGTGTCTTGCATGACAGATTTTTTGGTCTCGTAGTGTACCAGTCGCGTAGTTTAGCTAGTGCAGCAACATCACAGATATAGCTTACCATGCTGATTTGAGCGCGACAAATCTCAAAACACCGCCAGAAACTGCTTCTCATGGGGCTCCGCACGAGAGACATTTTATGCATGCAGATTTCCATTACAACTCTTGGGTGGGGACGTTTTTACAAATGATAGGCGGCGCGGACTTCTTTTGCACCGCACGGACCAGTATGAAATGCAAATATGTCTGGGTCTGGAAACCTGTGATGGTAAAACGTGGATGATGGAAACAGTTCCGAACGCAACCCAGCATGACAACTCTGCAGAACGCTTTCTCATAGGCGACCCGCATGAGGGACTGCGTTTTTGCATGCACATAAGAGCCTGCGACTCATGCCGGCTATGCAATGCAGATTTTCTAGGTATAGTGGAAAGCTAGCATTACAAGTTCCAACCTCCCAGGCCCACCCAGACACGTTTGCAACCCATAGCCAGTTTGTTAAAGCAGGTCATCAGATGGCCATCGTCGCTGTCCTCCGCGATGCCAAGGATGTAGGTCAGCACGCCCTGGTCCGCCCACAGTCTGTACTGCCACTTCTCGTCGCTGAGAGTCGCGACCGTGGGGAGCTATCAACTGTAAAAGTGTCTGGGTCTGGAAGGTTGGAACTTGTGATGCTAACTTCGGACTCTAAAAATTTCTGTTTTCCATGACCAGCAAGAGGAGTCCGGTTTGTGCTACGCGTGGAGGGCATTTGTCATGCGAAATAGGCATCAGGAAGGCCTCTGAAAATCTGTGATGCTAGGGCTTCCATGACAGACATTCTGTGTCATGCAAAAACAGCATAACAAATTTCGGATTCTTCCAGACCCAGGCACTTTTGCAATCGATATGAACATGATGTCGCAGTACCGGTGGAACTCACGGACACCGGTGGCCGGGTCCGCCGTGACAATCGTATGCGAGGGAAAAAAACGGGCTCGTGACAAGGAAGAAAAAGCACTTTTGATCACCAGCCTGGGCGTCGGGCCACTTGCGAGACAAGTAGATACAACGGACTCTTCTGCGCACATGCTAGACAAGTTTTCTACTTCCGCAAGATCATCAGCTCCAGATGAAGTACCAAGCTTGTTCACATGCTTCTTTACGGGAAGAAGAACAAGACGTCAGAGCGGCTGGGGTTGATTGTTCAAAATATTGGCCAATCTCAATTTCTTGGCGCGAACCGCGTCCATTTTGTCTCTTCATACTTGTCCAAATTGAAAACTTCGTATCGGAGTTGCCTCCCGAGGACCTGTTGTGTAGTTAAAGAATTCGTGATTGATGTGGGTACTATTATATCTTTCCAGCACAGGAGCATGGCAGTTTTGCTGCAAGGTTGAAAAAGGATAGCTGATTGTCCAAGATGAAGAACCAGCTCTGATCTACTGCACTAATAAATCATATAATATGGCGACTGGTAAGTATCAGAAGAGACTTTCGTTCTTTATACCACAGTGTCATCCGTGGACGACAAGGTCCTGATGGAACCCCCGCCCATGCCGTTCGGTAAAGCGGCCGCATTCTGCTGCATCCTCAAGTCGTACGCGAGATTCTCCCGCGCAATGTGGTCGGCCAAGGGATCGCTCTGCAGCCGGTCGGCCTCGTTGGCACCGAAGACCAAGTTCACGAAACTCCCGTTTGGCACGGCGAAGGCTCGATTGTCACAGGAAGCGGGCAAGAACTCCTCCTTCGCGACTCCCTGATCCAGGATAAGGAACGACTTCTGGCGCGAACTCGGGACCGCGGTGGCACGCGCAAAATCGTCCTTCAAATCGCGCACCGTGTATCGGGGCGTCATCTGTAACTCAAAAGCTGTTCGGTGATCGTTATTGATCATGGCAGTGGCGTGAGTCACGCGCTGTGTGTAGTGGTTATGTCGCATCATTTTCAAAAATTATACGTGCAGCGTTGCAGTATAATTTGCTGGCAGCAGATTTTTGATAGGTATTTCAAATTGGGTTGGAAACCGATGTTTATAGCAAAGAAAGATCCTTTTGAAGAAAGTCGAACGGTCAGACGTAAAAACAAGTATTCCAGCACTCGGTGGTACAAGCAATACGAGTTAGAAGGAAGTTTTGATTCGATTTTCTAGCCTTGCGGCACGAAAAACCTACCTGTGGGTTTTTTTGAATTTGGGATTGATAAAGTCAAATTGTCAGTGGTAAATTGATGTTTCTTGGTCATCAAACGGCATTTTTGAAAAGTAGATCGAGCAAACACACAAAAGATACCATACCGGATGATCGAACCAAGAGGCAAAAAAAATACCGGAATTCAAAAACGAAAATCAACTCAAAATATCATTTATGCATTGCAAAAGTATCGTACTAGTATAAATTGCATCACAAATTTTTTCGAAAGGGAAAATGAAATTTGTAATGCTGATTCAGCTAAAAAGGGATATTTGTCATGCATGATTGCAATTACTACGAGTACGATACTTTTGCACAGTGTATCATTGTGGATCTTGTGATCGCCCCCGGACGAAAATCCGGACAGAAAAAACAAGGAACCAACTTGGGCGTCTGGATCGCTGTAGACAGGCTTCTTGGCCACCTTTCTCGCTGTGTCCAACTCCGACAGTCAAAAAAAAAAACGTGTCGTGCCTGACCGACTGCTGACCGAAATTATCTTGTGACAGATATCCAACCGATCTCTGGACTTACTTTTGCGACCATGAGTTGTGTAGCTTCAAAGAATAGAACAAAATCGCGAACGCAAACGAAACACTCTTCTAATTGCGGGCGTACAAGGTGTCATGAGCGTATCTTACAACTTTGAAAAAGTTTATTGCGGGATGATTATGTCGTGCCTGGCTTCATATTCATAGGTGAGAAGACCATGCGCCTCATCGAATAAATGGAGCGTCTGCAGAATCTGCGCATCTTTAAAGCACCTTCAGTACAAGCAACAGACCTGCAGCTTCCCGTACTTTTTTTCTTCACGCTGTATCTTCTATCATCTTCAAAATCATTTGCACATCCCGAACGCAGCCCATGATAATCGGGCATCGGTCGTGGATTTTCTCTGGATTCACCTCCAAGATCCGTCCGCACTTCCCGCGAAACATGCCGGTATTGGTATTGTTAGGAAAAATCTTCACTCCCCATGTCGAAAAGGAAATTTGTGATGCTAAAACAACCGCACCGACATTGCCATTGTCCATTATCACTGGGGAAGCAAGCCTCCGCAGGCGCTGGAGGGGCATAGGGTCAGCTTCGTATTGCAGGAAGGCCGCATCGCGGCCAGATCGCCAGCCTAGGTAGGGGCGTTTGTGTCTAGTTGCTCAGCATTGCAAACGGCTGCCCTTTAGGCCAAAAAGCATGACAGATGGCTTCCACAATGGGACGGAAGCTTCTGCCCTTGTCTTCTTGCAAGACAGATGCGATCTGTGACCACAAATCAGCAACCCGAATTTTTGGAAGCGTGCCTTTTCAATATGGGGAGGGGTGATTTTTCCCGACAATAATTGGCCAACCCACCGGCTTGTTCCGTGATCAAGGCCATCGGGAAGCCCTCGTACAAGATATCACAATGAAAACTGCCCCCATGATCCCAAACTTGGCAGCATTTGCATTGCAAACCTTTCCAATAGAAACATTCCCCGTCTTACATATCTCAGCATCACAAATTTTCCATGCTGAATAGCTCAAATTTGTCTTGCGAAGGACCCCAACAGTGGCCGGATCTGTCATGCAGAAGGCACCTTGCGGTTGCGCACCCAGATTCTGCATCAGGAAGGCTCGCAATCCTTTCATGCAAGACAAAAAGCTTTCATTTGGAAACTTTGCATGACAAACTTCTGCAAATTCCGGGGTGGGAGCATTTTTCATTGCAGTACAAGACCCGGAGTTTCCCTTTGGTCGATTTCTGGTCCGCGGGGTACAGGAAAACGCCGCCGTTATTACAATGAAAAATACCCCCACGACCCCCGATCTTGGGCGCATTTGTCTTGCAAATCTTTCCATATGAAACATGCGCCATCTTGCATCTATCAGCATCACAGATTTCCGGTCGTGAATTATAGCAAGAATTTGCATTGCGAAAGATCCCAGCAAGAGCGGCGCTTGTCATGCAGGCGCTGCGATACACGCCTAGACTCTGCATCAGAAAGATTCATACTCCTTTCATGCATGACACAAAGTTTTCATTTGGACGCTTCGCATCACAAACTGTTGCAACTTTGGAGGTGGGGACATTTTTCATTGTAATAGCCGTAGAGGAGACTTCGGTGGACGTCGGATACCATGGACCCCACGTACCGCGCGGTGTAATCGTTTTCCTTGCAGTAGTTCACAAAATCATGGATCCCTTTCTCCTGTCCTGTGCAAAAGTATCGGGCTCGTACTGGAGTACAGGCGCAATGTTGCTGCACGACATAAGCAAGACGACTCTGATAGTAGATATGGTCCTACCATTACAAATTGCACTGTTTTTAATTTTCCTGTACTCCGATAAAAACTCATGCTAGCACTTTACTTTTGCAATCCATACATCCCAGTGCTTGGAGTTGCCTTCGTTGCACGAGTAGATCTTCTTCCCGCCGTTCGAAGGTATTTTGATGTTTTCGATAAACATGAACTCTCCGATGGAGGGGTCCAATTGGTACCGCTGCACGCCGGTAATAGTTTCCGGCGCGGATATTACCAACTCGCAACCGGCACCGTACCTGATGAAAGTTGTGCATTATTTTTGCGGTCGTGATTTTATCTGATTCTGATCATGCGGTTTTGATTTGCATACAAAATTCTGATGTTTTCATCATTCTGTGTCTGTTCACAAAGCGATGTCGTGCATGGCGAAAGCAGAAGTAGGTACATTGAATATCCCGCAGCCACGATTTCCGTTCCGGGTCGCAAAATGTCGTCCACCGTCGCTTTTCCGCTCATGGGTATCTATCCGCCAGAAAAGAGTTTGCGATCGCGCAGTTTGTGATGCGTATATCTTGATGGCTAGGCGAAGGGCCAAAGGTTGTGTTTCTTGCATGTTGTAGCGTGTATTAGAATGCTAGAAAGTTTTGCACGAAGCCTTCGTTTATTTCTACGCTCCTCTTCTTTCCGCATGACAAGTTTGCCACGATGTTGGTACTAATTTTCTGTGTGATAGTGACAGCCTCTTGTAGATGCTGAAAATCGAACCGACAGAACCGGTATGCAATGCAAATTTACGTCTGCATCTCCAAGGAGTACACATGCGCATTTCACATCGCACAAAAAGCATCATGTATCAGCGGCAACAAGGGTCCTTTTCTTGTCCCGGAAGGAATGCATTTGTATTTCTCATGCGGCGTAACCAGGGCTGCAACCAAGCATCATATGAGAGAAGTCCTCACCTTTTTAGAAACAGTAGCTATCGCCGACTAGAACCCTCGGAGCGGACCTTGCCAGAGCCAGCCATTCAAAAACTGCATGACAAAGAACCCTCGCAGGAGTGCTGTTCCAGGCCCAGACATATTTGCAGTTGATAAACGTTACAGTCGATGTTTGAACTTCCGTCCAGGGGATCGAAGGCGACGCAGAATATGCATTGCAAACATGTCTGGGTCTGAAAGGATGCGAACTTGTCATGCTAAGTCTGGATGGTACTTACAAAAATTTGTGTTGCATGACTACCAAAAGCTGTCCAGTTTTGAACAAGTTTAGAGGCAGTTTGTCACGCAGGATAGGCATGATAGGGACGTCGCAGAACCTGTCATGCTAGGTCCTACATTCCAAACCTCATGGGGCATGGAAAATATGCATGAGAAGTTTGCACTCTTCCAGACCCAGACATTTTTGCAATGCATACAGAAACAGGCCCCGCTATTTCCGTCTTCTCCAGAAGATGCGGTAGTACTGCTATTGTTGTTCTCCCCATGAACGACGATGGCGTCTTTTTCCTCTTATGAGAGTGTCAGGATTGAAGTCGACAGAGTTGTAATGCATAAAATCGATACCAGTTGGAAGCCATATTTCCAAGCGGTGCATGACAAATTTCGGCACCGTCTAAATCCAGTCTGTCATGCTGTTTAGGGACAGAAAGTGTCTTTTGTCATGCTACATTAGTAGCTCTATCGCAGACCCAAAACAGGCTTACAGCCGGCCTCACTTGCCATCCCTGCAAGAGACACCCTTCATGCCTTGCCACTTATGCATGAGAAATTATTTCAACGTTGACGATTTCAGTCCTGACGCTTCCGTACCTCTTCCGAGACGAGTAAGCAGCACACGCCCGACTGCTTCAGAGAGTGGACCCAGATCTCGTTGGCCAGCACATCCAGCTTCTTCACGTCGTCGCCACTGGCGTTCGAGTCCCCGGCCTGGCCGTACAGGTTGGAAATTCCGGCGCGGCGGATGGCGTGGGCGACCACTTTACAGGCGGCGTATGGAGGGGACAGGAAATAATGTCTTCCTTCGATCATGCAAAAAACACCTCTGTCATCAAAAAAAGTTATCCTTGCCCTTCACAGCACCAGCAGGGCTGCTCTCGCGACAATTATGTACTTTACCGCGAACGTTGTTCCACAGCGCCTGCGGTAAGCGCACTCGCAAGCCGCTCCTAAGCGTCGGCGCACGCCTGAGTGATTTTTCGCGCGACTTCGGCTAAAGTCATTCGCGCCAGTTAAGCTGCAGTGCGAGCGTTGCACTACTTAAGCCGAAGTGCTGCTTCCTGCAGCTCCGGTGCTTTGCAAGACTCAGAGCAAGCTTAAGTGTTTCGCACGACTTAGACTAAGTAGTGCACTTCGTCGGTCGTCTTAAGTCGTTCGCACTACTTAAGCCAAAGTGCTTCGCGAACCTCTTAAGTCGTGCGCACGACTTAAGCCAAGGTGCTTCGCGAGCCTCTTAAGTCGGTCGCACGACTTAAGCCAAGGTGCTTCGTGAGCCTTAAGTCGTTCGCACGACTTAGGCGGTGATGCTTCGCGCGAGCCCATCTAAAGTAATTCGCGCGAGTCATCCCCATGCTGTGGCTTTTCAAAAGCAGACTGCATCACAATATGGCACTTATTTCCTTCATTTGGTGCAATAGCTGCCAGACAAAGCAATACGAACCGCCATTTTTCGCCGAGGCACGGTAGCTGAAGTCATTGTCATTATTTTTATTTCCTGATTCATAAATTCTGGATCGCGTTCATCAGTAGCGCCAGTTTGTTGTCGCCCGTGCACGCAAAAGTTTGCGTGACATTTTTTGACGTGGCTTATGCAGAGGCATGCTTTGGGCGTGGAAACAAAAGTTGTCTAGCTGTGCATTAGAACCACGAAGCCAAGATGCTGGTGTCATGCTGTAGAACAAGCAGCAATAGAAATTTCGTTCTCCAGCCACAAAAGCTCACTTTGATACCGCTCGGGACAGAAAGACCGCATCGTCGGGGTAAAACGTGCCTGCCGGGCGCGACATGGGTTAGTGTGTTCACGTTTGAAAAAGATTTGTGTTGCGAAAGCGACAGGTTGTGTTGTCACACAGAAAGATTTGTCTATGGCTAAATGTGAAAGCGTAAAGCACTAAGAACGACAGCCGTGCCTCTCTGTTGTTCCTCCACGTAAAAACGAAAATAATGAGAAGAAACAGCCACTTCTTTCTGCATCGTGAAGAGTCCAAGTACAACTTCTACCACTAGCTACTTCGCTCCGGAACCAACGAAAAAAAAAACTGCTGCTCAACATACGATTCTTCACAAAACCCTGCGCTCTTCCAGGAGCATTAGACCTTTTATACTCGCGGAAACAACCGACAAACGTTGTGCCGCAGAGCAGGTGCGCGATCTGAGCCGCTGACTGAGTGAATCACTGCTCTTCCTTTCATTATTTTTGTCGCGCCTAAAATCTTTAACTTGTTCATACTTGATACTCTGATACGCAGTACATTCAAATATCCAAATCTGTCGCTGGTTTCGTTCATTCAATCAAACCATTGTAAGTCGTTTCTTGAAACTGCGTCGCGGGAGGTTCAAGATCTCGCGCGATGATGCTCTTGATGTTGAGTAGGTGGACTTTTTCACCCAACATAGCATAATTGCTCTTTTCCTGGTGTAGTAGTAATGTAACTTCATGTGGACCACGAGAGTTCTTGTTGTCGCCACCGAATTACAACAAACCCTCATATACAACTACCGCATGCCCTTCAACTTGATCACTTCCGGCCCGGCCGCCCCCGCGCCGCTGCTCCCGCCCTTCCCGGCACTGCTATTCGCGTTGGTGTAACGCTCCATAATCTGGGCCATCCGCGCCCGTCGATCCATCTCTTCCCGTTCCGCAGAGGCAGGTTGATGCGCCGCCGGAATGGTATGGCCGCTGCTTGTTCCTTCGGCAGCCGAGCTCCACTTCCCGCCCTTGCCTTCCCGGCGGCCGGTCCGCTCTCGGTCTCGGGCGGTGTCTCGGTCGCGCTCGCTTCCCCGCGTGCTGCCACCGCCGGCTTCCGGCAGCGTCGAGAGAATGGCCTCGTCCTCGTACATGCGCTTGCTCTCGTTTCCAAGGTTGGACCGCTGGCACGCTAGCATGGCTTTGTAGCCCTGCGGCTTCGTGGCGTAGTCCCGGCCCACCGCAACAGCGCCAGTGCGATCTGGTGAGTCGTTTTGCGGATTGTTGTGTAGGTAAACCGCATGACAAAATCCATACATGTTGTATTTTCTGCATGACAAACAACGCAAAAATCATATCATCAAATAGAAGTAGTACAGTGTTCAATGTATTCCTCCACGTATCTCTTGATCTCTTTTTCGTCGCCCTTGGATTTCGTCAGATCCTCATCGTAATAGCGGTAATTGTTTCTCCGCCGCCCGTATCAAATGCAAAAATGTCTGGGTCTGGAGGGATCCGAACTTGTGATGCGTGTTTCGGATCCTACAAAAATCTGTGATGCATAACGTGCAAAAGGTGCCCACTTCTGACCATGCTGAGAGGCCATTTCTCATGCAGAACACGCATCACCAAGGAGCTGCAGAACCTGTGATGCTAGGCCCTGCATTGCAGACGTGGGGGAGCTTGGAAAAACTGCATCACAAATCTCGGGAGCTCCCAGACCCAGACACTTTTGCATTTGATAGGCCGCGCGATCGGGATCTGCGACTCCTGCCGTCCCCGCGCCGCGAACGGCGGTCTCGCGCATCGTGGCCGCTCTCTCCCGGACCGGCGTGTTCTGAGCCCGAGTCGGAGTCCGAATCTCTGTCCTCCTCTCTATGCAATACAAATTTATTCCCGTGCATGTACCAACTATAGCCGCCGGGGCGGGGGTAGTGAGGTCGTGGGCGTTTTTTTGCCGGCCGCAGCCTTGGCCGCGGCTTTGCTTTTTATGGGCTCGCCATACCACCGTGAGTAACGCTATGCCGCACGGTATGGCGGCCACTTGGGAAACGTCGCAAATTTTGGCACATTTCCAAAATTCCTTTCCGAAAGCCAGCCCCGGCGCGATGGGGCCGATCCGGGTGCCACGGGGGGCGCCCAAAAAGCGAAGAAAAACCGGGCCCATAGCATGCGGATTGGCTTTGCGCGTCTGGTGCGCTTTTTATTTTTCGCGTTTTTATTTTTCACGCCGGCGCTTTTTGCAAAGCTTCCCAGGCTCTAAAACCGGCGAAAAGGCGGCCGCTTTCGCGGCCGCCCAAAATGCTCCGAAATCGCGGCCGCGCCATGCTGTTTCGCTGTTCTGATTTTGGGCGCGTTTTTCGCGCGCCCCTTTTTGGGCGCCCCAAATCGCCAGAAACCAAGGCAGCGGGCGCCTCAGAAGGGCGCCCCTTTTGCCGGCTCCCCTGCGTCGTTTTATCAAGTGCGAATCGATAGTTTTCGACCGGGCTTGTTTGCCGCAAACGCCCCGGCCGCTTGATAAGTGAAAACTTTTTATGCTCAAAAACACTTCCGGCCGCTTCAAAACTGCCGGCCGTTTTTCAGGGTAGCTGTCAAAAAAACTCCCTGGTTAGAACCGTTCGGTGACCTCACTACATACAACACGCATCACAAATTTTACCAATTTGGAGCGTGAAACTTGTCGTGCTAAACTAGGATCGAAGCCAAGTTTCGTCATGCAGAGACCGCATCTGTACGTGTATGGGAAATTTACTGTGGATACTCTCTGTATTGAATCACCAACCCAAGGCTGACCAGCTGAATAGGCTCGGTCAAATCGATCTCTTGTTGTTGATCGAGAGCTCCTCCTGCGCCTGCCCTGGTTTGCTGGTGCGCCGTGGTACTTGTATTCTGCAGCTGCTCCGGTACAGCTGAGGCTGATGTCAACATGGCCGTTGCATTATTCGTCGCAAAACCTCCAGTCGCGGGTGATATTCCAACAGCCGAAATAGTTGTACCTCCACGCACATTGTTCCCCGTTCCGACGAGGTTCTTCTCGGTAGTACCCGCATTCAACATCATCGCAGCCATCTGCTTTTTCTTTCGCGATGCCGCGCCAGCCATGAATTTCCCGGCGAGTGGTTTCCGCGTCGCTTTTTGCAACTGCTGGTGCGCGACGGCCGCGGCCGCATGGGGTGGCAGAGAGTTGGACCCATCTAAATGGCCGCCGCTGCCGCTGGGGATGAAAACAGGCTTAGAAGCAGCTCCATTAAGCGGCGCGACTTCGGTGACCTTGATTGCAATTTCCGCATTTTTGTCCTCTTTCGTTGTCGTGTTGACACCACCATCGTCTACCTCCATTGCAGCGCCTTCCTCCGACTGACCCGCTTTGTTTTTTTCCTCGCTTTCCTTCACATCCGCGCCGTCCTGCGGGTTATTTTCCTGCTCGCGGCCCTCGATAATATTGCCGTCGTTCTCTTTCGTTTTCGCATCTTCACCTGCATTTTTGTCCATATTATCTAGTACAACTTTGTCGTGGTCCTTCTTCTTTTTCCTTTTCTTTCTCTCCAGTTGCGCCGCGAGAATCTCTATGGATTGCAAAAGTGTCTGGGTCTGGAAGATTGCCAGATTTGTCATGTAGGTTTTCCGTGACCCATGAGGTCTGGTATGTAGGACACAGCATGACAGATTCTGCGAGACCTTTCTAATGCCTATCCTGCATGAGAAACTGCCTCTCAATTAGGTCAAAGGTGCACAACTTTTGGCAATCATGCAACACAGCTTTTTGCCTGATTCAGATTTAGCATGACAAGTTGCAATCTTCAAGACCCAGACATTTTTGCAGTTGATAATCTCTTTCTCGTCCCACAGGCGGATTTTCAGCCGGATATTCGAGAGGGTTTATGCATTGCAAAAGTATCGCACTCACATAAGTGCCAGACTTGCATGACAAATCTGGATTTCTTAGGTAATTCAGCATGACAAATTCCATTTCTGATCTTGAGCAAATTTGTAATGCTGTTCATACTTAGCACGATACTTTTGCAATGCATAGCGTCGAGCCGTAGCTGATGCCAATCACTTCCCCCCGTCTCCACTCAAACGTCGTGTTCACGTACGGGTTATGAAATGCAAAAATGTCTGGGTCTGGAAACTTGTGATGCTAAAATGTGCATGATGAGAACACTTCCGAACGCAGTCCAGCATGACAACTTCCCAAAACGCTTTCTCATAGGCAATCCGCATGAGAAACTGCGTTTTTGCATGACAAAAGAGGCTGCGACTTTTGTTGGTTATGCAATACGGATTTTCTAGGTATGGAAAGCTAGCATTACAAGTTTCAACCTTCCAGACCCAGACATTTTTACAATCCATACGGGTTGCCGGGGGTGCCAAAAACGCACTCGACAAACGCTTCGATTTGGTTGCCGTACTGGTACACGCCGTCTTCCTTCTCCAGCAAATTCTCATTCTGCACGTAGCGTTCCCGACACACGTCCAGCATCGCCATCAACGGGGCTTTCTTCAAGCGAAACGCGGCGGCGGCGAGCCGGGGTAGCAGTACCACATCTTGGTACTTGTCCGTATTGACCAACTTTTCCGCGAACTCCCCGATCGTCAAGGTCCGCCCCCGCCGGTAGTGCGACCGGCTGTTCTGCTGCTGGAAATTGTGGTCCTCGTTCTCGGAGGAAGAGACCTGCTGTGCGGAAGAATGGTGCACCGCGGGCACGTGGTCCAAGACGCCAGCGTTTAATATTCCCGCTGCTCCACCCGGTCCGCCTCCTGCCAGAATCCCGCTCGTGTTTGTTGTTCCAACCCCGCCAGCACCGGGAACGGCAGCTCCGGAAGTAGATGTTGTCCCTACTGCTTCTCCCGCCGTTGTGCCTGCTACGGTGCCGCCGCTATTATTCCCCGAATTATTTCTCCGCACCGGGACGATCTTTTATGACAGTGCACAACTCCCCCTCCCCCTCATTTGTATAGCATCAACGGCAATACAAGCATCAGCAAGGATGCCGGTTTTGCATGACAAATTTGCGCTGGAGTGTAGTGCTATTTGGGCTACCAGAACTTGTCACGCAACCAGTGGTGCCAAGAGGCAAAGGGTGGATTGGGTATTTTGCATGACAAATGAGGGAGAGGGGGAGTTGTGCACTGTCATATCTTTTGCACGTCCAATAGGTATGGTTTGATCCACTCGAAGAACTTTTTCCCGTCGAAAACGAACCGGATCATCAGCAGAGCAACGCACCGGACAAACGGGTTACTGTGCTCCAGCAAATTGGTCAGCTCCTCCGTGCTCGGCCGCAGTTGCAACAGCCGGTAGCCTATGCATTGCAAAAGTACTATCGCAGTCGTACTAATCGCAGTCATGCATGACAGGTCTATGATTTAAGGGAAAGCACCATTACAAATTGCACTCTTTTTCTTGGAAAAACTTGTATTGCAATTTTCACTAGTACGATACTTTTGCAATGCGTATATACGCAACACAGGTAGGAGCTGCAGTCTTGGTTCGAGGAAAATCTTTGGTAGGGCTCGTAGTGTATGCATTGCAAATATGTCTGGGTCCTGGAAGGATACAACTTGTGATGCTACGTCTGGACACTAGATAAAATCTGTATTGCGTGAAGAGCAAAATAGATGCAGTTTTCGCTACGCGGAGAGGGCATAATTTCTCATGCGGTATGAGCATCAGAAAGCTAGCGCCGAATCTGTGATGCTAAGGCATGCATCACAGACGTCATGAGTCATGGAGAATATGCATGACAAACCTGGCAATCTTCCCGACGCCAGACATTTTTGCAGTTGATATAGTCGTCGACGAATTGGTCGACTTGCTGGACCAACTCGGCCACGGAACCGCAGTTCTGCTTCAAATCTTGAAAATACTTCGCCTTGCTCACGTGGCCTCTGGTGAGGTCGGACACGTTGAAGGTCGTGTCGTTGGTATACTCTTTTGCCGGGTCGAGGAGGTCCGCGGGTTTCGCGGCCGAGGGGAGGTTTTGGCCCGCGCGTACAGCCCCGCCGAGCGGGTTCGCGGCGCCGGCGAGCCTGTGAAGGTCGGTTTGTGTGAAGATGAGTAGATACTATAGACATAACTCTTTCTCTTTTCAGTACAAATGAAGTCTCGCCACTTTTTCCGTATCTGTTTTTCCTCAAAGGCTAGTGCATCCATTTTGATGATGATGACTGTGATGATGCTAGAACCTCCTAGTACAACACACTGCTAGGAGTAGTAGTGCACAACTTCTCTACTTGTTTCCCTACCGCAAAAAGTCTCATCGACTATATAGTAGTACAGCTGCGCGTTGGCTGTTGCACTAGCTGAAGTGTTCACACTAGTAACCTGGGCTCCTGCAGCTGCAGTGGGAAGCACCGCGCCGAGTTGCTGGGCCAAGAGCTGCCGTTGTTGCATCAGCTGCATGCTGAGTTGCGGATTTTGCATCATCTGTTGCATCATTGCCATCTGCTGCATCTGCATCATCTGTGCCGCGGCCAGCTGCGGATTGCTATTCATCTGCGCGGCTGCAAGTTGCGCTTGCATCAGCTGCGGCGCTTGTTGGGGCGGTCCACCAGCTGCTGGAGGTGCTCCCATCATCATGCCGGGTAGCTGCAACCCCGCGGCGGCTGGTTGCGGTAGTTGTGGTGCCATCATCGGATTATTGTGGTTCACACCAGTTGCAGCAATTCCCGCTGCGCTTGTAGTTCCCGGTGCCATCGGCGGGCCGATCGCCGGAGTCGCTGCTGCTGCGGTTCCTGATCCCCCCGCGGGTTGCTGCTGCAAAGAACCCAACGGCGGCTGCAATTGATGCCCTGCGACGGCCGCTGCCTGCCGCTGCTGCGCGAGTAAGAGCTGTTGCTGCTGCGCTAGAAAGTGTTGCTGCTGCTGGTGTTGTTGTCCAATCTGCATATGCGGCATAGCCATTGGCGCACCTGCTGCTCCGGGTGCCATGCCTACGCCCATCATCCCCATAGTATTCATCATACCCGCCGGCGGAATCTGCATGCGGGGCAGCGGCCCTCCTGCAGCGGTACCCGCGGGGGTGTTTTGGTACAAGTTCGCGTACGAATTATTGTTGGGGTTCGACGGTGCACCTCCGCCGCTGCCTGGGTTCATTTTGCGATTCGAGAAAAACAATTTTTGAATTGATGCTGTGTCTAGCTTATAGTACGACGCTCGTATAAAAATCTTCGCACTCCAGAAAAGGGACGCGACATCAACCTTCTGCGAGGGTGCTCTAGAGGCTCCGTCGAGGTGAGGAGCCTCAGCATCATCTTCATGCGTGCTGGGTCCAAATGGTGTAATCGAGGAATAGGCGCTTTCTACTTTGTACTTTGCCACGAAGTGAATAGGTTGTGGGGAATTTTTCACTGTCATATGGCACAAAAAGAAGCGATAGGGTCGCAGTTTTTTTTACAAGTCTAGCAGATGTTGAACTTGAGACGTCGATTCGCAGCTTTGATCTCCGGATCCTTTCCGAGCAAGAATTTTGTCTTCCAGGAGCAGTCGTATGGCGACAAGTGCTAATTTTGAGTTCTCCGATGATCGGTGTACTGTATTTTGAAGCGCACGACGACGGCAACCATCTATGCGAATAGACCAAGGTATGAGATCGATTGCGCAAGTGGGCCGCGCGGTAACACGCACCAAAGTTTATTTTGCATGCTGACGAGGTACCTGGGGGCCGCGTCTTCCCGTGCGAGGTGAGACGCAAGCGTAGGCCTTTGCCCCCCCTTTTGGTACCTCCGCGGCACCGTAGAAGCTCAATGACAAAAAGGACCAGCCGACCGAGGAGTGGGCACGGAGGCCACCTCGGGAAGGTCAATTTTGCGACGGCGCGGGCCGGGGTTGATTCATCTCGCGGCAGGGTGGCCCGGCGGCGCTTTATCTCACGCGGGAGAGGCGCGTCGCCGCTTCATCATGCGCGTGACAGCATTTCGCGCGGCGCCCTCCCCCGGCGCGCGCGCGCGCCGCCCGGAGGCTTTCCCTTCCCGGTGCGGGGGCTGGGGGTGGAGGCAAGCCGGGCGCCGGACTGGGACGCTAGAGCGCGCCGCGTAGCGCACGGGCAACGCCGCGGCCCCGCCCCCGGCATGATCGGCGGGGCGGCGGCCCGGGCGCCGCAGGCTCCGACCGGGGTCCACGCGGCCCGCGACCGCGCCGCATTTCCGGGGTTTTAGCATGGTAACTCCCCAGGTAATGCACCGCGCCCCGCCGGCGCGAGGAGCGCCCGACGACCCACCAGGGGCGCCCTTCCATGCGAGGAGCCCAGTACTGGGCCAGAGGTGCAGGTGCCGGCAAGGGAGGTGATTTTTTTTGTATTTTCTGCAAGAAATGGAATACATCATCCCAGGCACGTCCATCGACTTCCGCAGATAGAATAAAGGGAATAAACTACGACACAAGGGACACTTCTACTCATCATATTGCTTTACCTAAGTCAGTTTGTAGCACTGCTCATCGGCGGGCATTTTTTTGAAGAGGTGTGCGCATGGACACAGAGCGTTAAAATCCGACCAGAATTGCTGGACATCTCCCGAGAGTCCATTTGTTGTCGATTGTCCATTATGTACAATATTAAAATGAAGGCAGATTTGTATTTTTTTAAGATTTTTCAAAATATGAAAAAAAATTCAAAATTTCCACGGTGGAAAAAAGTGCCGACTGCACAATCCAAAACCATGAAATGAAAGGCATTAAAGATGATGCCTGTCATTTATTTATTTGTTGACTTATTATATGCTTACCTTTGTGCATTTTTTTCATATTCTCAAGAAGTGAAAATTTTTGAAAAATTAGAAAAATAAAAATAATGAGAGTCCACGTGGTGAGGGGAAGTTGAAAGACAACCAATGCAGATGAGGCCGTTAACAATTGTGGTGTTGGTGGGGTGCACACCACCAGCGCCACAAACTGTGATGCCTGCGCCTGTAAGTAGAAACAATTGTGGTGTTGGTGGGGTGCACACCACCAGCGCCGCAAACTGTGATGCCTGCGCCTGTAAGTAGATCGTAGATTTTACAGCGTTAAGCCAGTCGCGTCGTACTTAGCCTTCTAGGGTCGTAGTCGTATGCCAGGAGTGGGGGGAGAGAATCGGAAGGCACAAGAGAGAACTCCGTGTGGTAAGATCGTACTCAGGTCGTAGCTCGTGGATGTCCGCATGCTGGCACACAAGGAAGAACTTCATGCACAATGTGACTGCACTGGGGTGCTCTTTAGGTTGGTTCTACTATCTCGAGTTCCGGACGAAGGTCGTCTGGTGGTTCTGCCGCATCTGGGAAGCGTGTTCCTAGTGCGTTGCTAAGATAGTTCGATGCTATTTAACATGGTGCCGTAACTCCGCAGAGGCTGCCGGGGTGACTTCTTCTATTTCCTCACGGCGCGACGAGGTGGGACCCGTTCGCGACCTGTTTCTGCACGTTTCTAGGTGTTCGTCTTCGCGGCGTCACGACGACGAGCTTCACCGCCTTCGCTACCCCCGGAGGATCGCTAAACACGCTTGAAAACCGGTGAGGCGTCTTTTGCGGCCGTAGGGTAGCATTGTCCGGATACCGACCGGGCGGCAGGTTTTCCCCGCACCTAATTCCGACCGGAAATGGCGAAGAAGCAGCGGAAGGGAAGTAAAACCCGCGGGGCGGGCGCAGATGACGAGTTCGACAGCGGTTCCTCGGTCTCAAGCGGTGCTATGAACGCGATCAGCACCTCCATGAGCACGATCGCGGACGCCATGGCCAAGCAGGGCGAGGCTATGGCGAGGCAGACGGACATGCTGACCATGGTGCTTGGCAAGTTAGCGGCGCCGGAAAAGCCGAGCTCAGGTCTGGCAGCAGAGAAGGCGACCGAGCCGGCGGTGAGCAGCGCGAGCAGCGCTACAGGAGCTTCGGAAACCCGCACGAGCTTGGCGTTTCAGCACAAGATGTTCTCCGACCTCGCTTCCTCTTCCCCAGCCGAGCAGGCGGAGCCCGGAACCGCCATTGCAGCGATGTTATCGGACTGGCTCGACTTCCCGCAGCCGTCGGGACGCACGCTGACGCCGCAAGAGACGATCAAGGCGGACAAGATTTCGGACCAGATGCCACACTTCCAGCCGGACAAGGAGTCAATGGCGAAGTACCTGCCGCGGCTTGCGAAGTGGGCGCGGATGATGATGAAGCTGGAATTCGACGAGGAAAGCGTCTTCGACCTTATCGCGGTCGGGGCCTTCAAGGTGCACGCGGAATCGCAGGAGACGGTGGAAAACATCGCGGGGAAATCGCTTTTCGCCTTGGCGAAACAGCTTTTGCTGGACAACACCGGGACGCCGTCCACGGCGCTGAACGATCGCACCACCGCCCTGCTCCAGTCGCTGAGACCGCGGGGCACCAAGGTCGGGGACTTCGTCCGGGCCAAGGAGCGGGAGTACACCGCCTTGGCGAAGATGTCCGCTGGGGTCAGCAGCCTGGTGGCGGGTGATGCGATTCTCCGCACGGCACTGCTGGATCGCGCCACCCAGCGCATGGCGCGGCTGGTGTTCGGGGAGCAGACGACAGTTTCCAAGGTGTGCTACACCTTGAAACACAGCGGGGCGGCAAATGACACGGAGATTTACCCGCGGGACAGCCAGCCGGTGAACCAAGCCAATCTGATGACCTGCCCGCCGGTGGATACCGAGCCGAGCTACACGGGGGAAGAGTGGTCGGACTGGTTTCGCGGCCACCTCAACAACGGTTATCAGCTTTTGTACACCGGCACGGGGAACGGGAACCGCGGACCCGGCGGGGGAACGCACTGCGGCTTGGGCGACCGGTGCTACTTCTTCATCAAGTACGGAAACTGCAAGAAGATCCACACAGCGGCCGAGAAGGAGACTTTGCGCAAGAAGCGGGCCGAGTACGTCGCCAAATTTGGCGAGAACAAGAATCCCCCGTGACTATCTAGTGGAAACACGAAACGCAGCAGCCGGAAAGAAAACAGCACAGCCACGCGCCGCGACGTGGC